CTACCTCGACTCGGAGCAAGGAGGATGGATCCCAAAAGTCCAAATTCTCGGGGACAAAAGAAAGTGTCCAAGCGTCCTCCAAAGTCCAACTCCAGACAGGGACCCCCCCCCCCCCCCCCCGGGCCCCCCAATTCTACCCAAATAAAAACTTGTCCAAAGCACCGACGAGAAAAATAACATACCCACGTATCTACTCGGACAGACGAGACTGACTGACTACCTGACACACATCCCATTAACGAGCTACCTGGTACGGTACTGTACAGTCCACCTTGATCGAAAACTGCGTGTCACCCCACTCCCACAAAAATGATCCCTTTTGCGAGAGTCGACGGAGGAATTATCACAGACGGTGTCTACCTACCTACCTACCTACCTGAGAGTGGATTGTTGATTCCGTACTGTGAGTTACGCAGTAACTTGTCACCGTGTGGCGTCCACCGTTGTAACGGAGTAACCAAATGTGAGGTACTCTACATACAATACCTACAAGTACACCCACCGTACGGCACAGTAGTTGAAGTTCTCAACCGTTGATACTCCACACACTTACGTATTCAACATTCATGCGCCACACTTGTGTGGCGTCAGTCTCTGCTTTCATACTGTACGAGTTACGAACCTTGTTCTCCGTGTGCGTGGTTGTGTTTGTGTGGGTGTGACCGCAGGGGGTTGCAGATACGAGGTTTCACTTCATCGGGTGTTGATCTTCGTAGAAATGTTGATCGTTACGTCTTGTGATGTATTTGGGATCGTCCGACCACCATTCGGTGAAGATCTTGTTGTATAAAAGTATACAAAACTTTTTGGGAGTGACGGCGTAGCGTCAGAGCACGACTAACTCCTTGCGACACTCAAAAAAAAGTTCTCAGCTGTCATAGCACGTCGTTTGGAATGATCAACACTGCGACATTCAGTAAACTTGCACACTATTGAGATGATCTTTATGTCAAACTTCCCTCCCTTATTGTTTGCCCAGTAACAGAAACAGAAACAGACACGGACACGCAAAGACAGTATTTTCTTTTAGGTCAAATAGGGCCCAGCACACAGACAAACAGGCAGACAGTGTACAGTCGATTATCACGAGAGCCAATGTCGACAAAACACAAAAATAGTCTTGTAACCATATCATTATTCCCACCCTCATCAAATACTTTTTCACTCATACCTTCTCATAAGATATTGATGGTCCCTTTTCTTGTCCTGAGCCTTGCGAAAGAGGTAGCCTGCATCACGCCCCAGCACTCCAGGCATATCCTCAGGCTCCAAATTATATAAACAGACGTATTATTCGAATTCCACGGAGCCTGTTGATGCCTTCTCCGTATCGAGACATCGAAACCCCAATTACTAGTTAGGTTGCCCTTTCAACCCTCCAAATGATTAGCCTCACCATGGTAGGGATCTTATCCCTCATCCATCCTTTATTCCCACCTTGTCGTATGCGTAGTCGTATTCGTCCGTAGAAACCAGCGTGCCAAAATGATCAAAAGAACAAGACCATGACCCGTCTTGCGATGCAGCGCTTGCTCGAAACATGTATCCCACTTGTAAAGCTCTTGTAAAGCTCATACCTATCGTAGCCATGTTGGAGTTCTGCAGAAAAGGTGACATTATCCAGATATTGTTGATGATGATACAGTTGTCATATCCCACAAACCATTATCGAGTGATGATGATTTGAAACCCATCTATCCATGGTCCACATGTACCTGAAATGCCAGCAAGCATGTAACCGCGGGGTGCCATCAAAGTGTGTCTATATCGTCGTTAGCATAAGACTTCGAAAGCATCAACCAAACATACCCCGAACCACCGGTGGCATTGCCAAAGACCCCCGACCTCCGTCCAGTACTGGTCAAAATTTCGATACCATCGATCCAAAGCCCAGCGCGAACATAGAATCCGAGGACAGTTTCGCCCCGTCGTGTATCTGTCAAGATTAGATTTCGAAACCCGTTTGTTCCCGCGGATAAACTTACCAAGAAAGAACTCATCACCTCCTGGTTTACCACCACGTTTCCCGAACAGTTGGCTGTGGCCATCTTCGTAACAGAATTCGACTCCATCAAGTGCATATCCAGAATACACCTTCACAGAGGTCAAGAGCTTCGTTTGGAGACATGTGCTTTCCAAGATTAACTCCTCTGGTTTGGAGCCCTCCAACTGCGAGTGACCGAGCTTCTTGCTCCTGAATCCTGGTCTGGAATCAAATGACTTGCTCAGACCCTTGACACCGTTATAGGCGTTCATAGTCAATCCTTCGTCTCGTTTTGGTGCCTGTCGGACATGTGGGAGATTGACAATGTTGATTTTGGAGAAAAGACTGTCCAGATCGTCAATCCTCTCTTTCCTCGAACCGCCAGAGAAAATTTCAAGAGCCAACTTGGTCTTTTTCTTATCTTCTGGAAGGCGGCCACGAAGGTCACTCTCAGTTAGTATCACTTGCTTGGCGAGGCTGCTGCGAGGATCAGTGTTGGTAAAATCGATCCAGTATCGACACAAGTCGTCGCCTTCAAGCCATAGCTCTACAAAGGCAATTCCGGTTGCCGCTGAACAGATGATTTTGCCATTGCCAATGGGATAGTACTGGATACTATCGTCTTGTGCAAGAGGTTCATCACCGGGGATGCGGAAGCAAGGATGGTAGCGGAACCTGAGAACATCCAATCTGTGCCAGCCGCATTCGTCTTCTTGTCGGCAGACCTTGATCCCAGGTGATTTCGTCCTTGTCGAATATGCTTCTCGGATGACAAACGTCCGATTGAGGTGCACATAATCCCTAAGCATTACTCCGCTGGTTTGATGAGGGCAGCCGAACAGATGGCCGACTTCGTGCAAATGAGCACCGATGCCGATGTTTGCGGCTTCCCAACTGCTTCCAGACTCATTACAATCGTTAGCCACGAATTGAGGATCGGTTTTTGTGCAATCCATGAATGCCGGGACAACCTCCTCGATGCACGAAGGGTAACTTTGAAGGGCATGAGATCCGAAAATGGCTAATCCGAGTTCATCACTGGTCCCGCCTAACGCGGCGTGCCCTAGGATGGTCTTTGCCTCAGGATCCCAATGAGCATCAAGGAGCAGACATGCGACATGTTGCTTCTGACCGGGCCGAATATCGAAATACTTCTTGACAGCTTCTGCCGCGATGGAATATAGTTCTCCTTTCTTGGCTGCTGGAGAATGCTGCTGTGCGTATTGTAGATCTCGCAACTCTGCAGTAGTTTTGTCCGAGCGGACAACGTGCACCTTGGTTTCATTCTTCATCTGGCCTGTTTCCCAGTCACGCATCGACAGTGTTCCTGTTTGCCACTCCTCGTCGAATCTGAAGCATCGTCGTCCAAATTTGTATCTGTACATCTGTTCCGCTGTGAACGCCTGCCATAGATGCGCAGCCATTCGAAACTTTCTGATGGCCATGGACAGATCATTACCCTCATTTTGGGCGCGCTGCGGGACTGCGTCATATGTGCAGGCCGAATCCTTGCCGGCAAGGATGACCAGATGCAGCGGAGGTGCGCTGTTCAGCGGGAGGTAGTTCAACATCATATACGAGGCATGGGCTGTCGGCGCCGAAGCACTACTGATGGAGCTGAGTTTTGGGGACGTAAAATCGAACCGTATCCTATTCCATCCAGGAGATAGATAGACCAGCGCTTTAAAATAGGAATCCGACACCGGCCAGTTTGTGGGCGGAAAAGCCTGTCCGTCTTTATCGTGATGGACTGTTAAGTTGCCATCCAAGGCTTTCATGCTCGGATCCCCGATCTCACCGCTCACCAGGAGAACCTTTTGATAGACCTAATATGGGTGTAAGTTACTGGACGTCCACTTCATCTTGTTTTTCTTACCACCGAGTTGTCAAGGATCGAAGTAATCTTTGGAGCGTAGGCAGAGGTAGGTGGGGGGACACGCAGTGCGCCAGTCGAGATGGATGGCGACAGAGTCTGTGGTTTATTAGTTACACCAATATATGCAGTATGAACAGTCCTTACTATCATGCTGTTGCGGTTCGAGGGAGATACCATGACGTTAGGTCGTGGAGGTATCGGGGGAGCGTCTCCGTTCGTCTTTGCTGTGGCAAGCACATTGGATGTCGAGCCATTGGCATGATAGGTAGACGGCGGCGTCACGCTTCCTCCCGCAGAATTGAGCGTTGACGACGATTTCGCCGTTGGAACTGTCCCGTTGGAATCAGTCGAGGAATCGGAGGTCCGGAAGCTCGCCCTTGAGCGCCTTCGGAGGTCTCTGAAAAACGGCATGATGGTGGAAAATCTATGTCTTTATGGACCAAGCATTAAGATGTCAGGTGTTATGGCAAGTGAGCTCGTCAAATGCGCCTGGGTATTGCTCTCGGAGGAATGTAACGACTGTGGTGGCACATGCACATGCACATGCACATGCGGCGGAGCTTCTCCTTGGGGGCTGTAGATGTGCCTTGACCGGGGATCCCTGGCGGGGGCGTGAGGACGGTATGGCCAGTGCTCCGAGGCCAAACGAGCGACAGTGAAGGTCGTTAACACACCGAGAAGAGGTTCTAGCTGTAGAGTTGTAGAGCACGGAAAAAATGTGCCGGGAAGTCAAACGACGGCAGCGATGACGGCAAGGACGAGAAGGTGTGCCGCTGGCCTGGTGTCAGCGATATCTTCCTTGCCTTGCCGTCCGCTAGCATTGCGCATTAGCATTAGCTAGACATGTGGGTAGCTGGAAATCCCATTCCTCAGTATGCATGGCCAAGCAGGTGCAGCTCGCCACGCAAGGTGAAACGGCAGGTGTGGCCCCGAGGGGGGGGGCTTTGCGGGCATGTTGCAGTTGGTTTAGCGGGCAGATATCGCAGTATCAGTGGGGAAAGCATGCCTTAGGCCTGTTTGGAGACGCCCGTAGCCTGGCTCCAGTTAAACCATTTGGGGCCTTATGCCCAGAGCTTTCTCAGCTCGGTGGCCTTGGACCTGGATTTTGGGGCCTGGCTCACCACGATGCTTAGCCCGGTGCCGTCGAAAATCTTCTGGCTAAACAAAGTCCATGACGCAGATGTGGCGTCTTTTCTTGTCCACATCTCAACCATCGGCGTCTCATTCAGGATTCTCCGCTGTCCGCGCATAATCAGCGAGTAGAGTAGGAGCTGATAAGGCGTTATTTCTTGCGAAGCTGCGATGGATTTCTTTTCACGACAGTACACTGCAACAGACGAAACTTTCTAGCGTATCCTGCTATTCTTACAGGATACAACCCAATGCAATCTCTTTCATCAATAACAAGGCCGAAGCATGAGGTAGGCACGAAGGCATTCAAGAAGTCCTTCACTCAATGCTGACCTTCCGACAACGCATACAACCGGGCAAGCAAGAATACAAGACTGATTGGCAATCTGCTTAACTCTCTTAGCGCTCTCTCTTCCTCGGGCATGCTTGTAGGTAGTTGTCAATACACTTGCTTGTTGGCCAGCCTGGGCGGTGAAAATATCCGAAATGTAGCCTCAATACTTCCCATATCATGTGCAATAGCAGTGACAGTATAGTGGGAAGGACAAAGGCCAAACCTTCAGTACTTTAGAATCAAGGGTGTGGCAGACAACCTTATTCAGAGCACAGGGATAAGATCCAAGTCAGATGTGAACGCACCTTGAATGTGGAAGGGATGATATACGATCCGAGGCAGGTTCCTCGATGAGATTCAGCTATCAAATTTCTGGGTCCGTTCTCTGACGAAAACGACCTGGTACGTTTACAGATGATCAGGAGCTTGCTCTTAGAACTGCTCTGGTTTTGCCGCGCTCAGTCTCGCAGCCAGGTGGTGCAAGATATGAAACTCCTACCGAAATTATGCCCTTGCCGATATCAGACAACAGGGATCCAACGACCAGGTTCATGACTTGGGTCAAATCGATCTGGTGGCAGGAAAAGGTTAGTGATCAAAGCATAGCGTGGACAGTTCCTGAGCTGGGCGCATTTAGCTCTACGCCTCCTTGGTAGTCACTAGTCCGCATATTCCCCGGACCATGCTTTAGTTGGCCATTGTGACATTGTCTCGCAGATGACGCCTTGTAAGGAAAAGGAGACAGAAACTCTTATCGTTCGCTTGCGGCTGATTACTTGTATCCAGTGTAAGGCCAGGAGGAATGGCCATTGACAGCACATCAATCAATGTCTCCCGCGAAACTTGCGTCGACAGGTCATACCCGCTGCACGGCCAGGCCTTGAGGTGGCGGGCACAAAGGAGGCCTTTCTTTTTCTCTGACATGACCGAGCTCTTGAGGGTGTTCCATATCTTTCAGGTTTTCCTTGGAGCGGTTATCTTGCAGGCGCCAGATCGGGTGACAACGTGCATTACAGAGTAGTGAATCAAACATGCAGCTGGCAAATGCTGAGTTCAGGGCGTCATTGGGTGATGAGGCGGCTTGGGTTTGAGAGGGCCTAAACGCCAGAGACGTCTATGGCTGCAAAGCGACTCGGTGCTGGAAGTGCATGCAGGAGGCCAATGCAGCGGCCAATCTCACAGGCCACACCGAGTGGTGGATGAACTTGGAAGCTTCAGCTGCGGCGTCCCCAAGGCCAATGGGTTCATGAGTTTGGACAGCTTTCACCAGCCACTGGCGACGGCAGGAGGCAGGCCGCCTTGGATTTAGTGGGCTCTCGCTACAGACCAACATACTGACCTGGACATCGCTGTAACCCAGGGCTGGTGCTGGTGCTGGTCAACTCCCTCCAGCTGGGAGTCCTAGCGAGGACATGCCACAGGAGAAGAGTCAAGAAGGTCAAACCCCCAGGATCAATGGCATCGTAGAGTGCCAGCATAATCCCTAGGCTCACTAGGCTAAAGGTCAGGACAGGTAGGGAGACTAGACTTGTTACCGCAAAAGGTCACTTGGGCTCACCAGCTTCACTAGCATCGCATTCCGGCCGTGTCAAGCTGCACCTCTCACTACCTCCTACTCCCGTGCCTCCTCCAAACTGCCGGTAGACAAGTGGAATTCCTCATTCACAATATTCATTGTCATTCGCATTCGCATTCTCATTCCTTCCGACATCTCCTGCGCACCTACGCCCATTGCTGCATTCTTTCTGCCACCTCAACTACGTCTGCACACGAACCATATCTCGCACCGTTCTGGCCAAGAGGTCGCCAGTGCTACCGTCCGATCAATTATTCCCGTTGCCCTGGCCAGGAGCCGGCCCCACGAGCCACGGCTAGAAAGGTGAACCTGACAAACGCTATCCTTCCTAGCCTGCGCTTTGACGTCCACCGAAGCAGTACCACATACATATTTGACACTCTGAGACCTTTCTCCTTCCTGTGTTCTGCCTCCAGTACCAGCAGTCCTCATGTTGGTCACTCCCAATCTCTGTAACAACATGGCTTCACAGCAGCCGCAGCAGCCTCAACATGCCTATGCTGCAGCTCATGTCGCCGAAAAGGTGATGCGGAGGGTGGAAATTGCAAAGGTAGCCCACCCAACTTCTCGTCATGTGTGCTCGCTTGAGTCGACCTGGATACTGACCTAAATTTTTTTCTTCAGGTTGCTCGGAATCTGCAAGATTGCCTGGCCTTTGCAAGCTTCAAGGCCCAGAATGGCTGGCAGGATCGAACTCTCTCCACCATCGAGCCTGAATTCACTGAGAAGCTGAAGAGGAAGAGACCGTTTCTCGAAGATGACCTGCCCTCTGACGGATCCTCCCTCTCGGACGACGATCTCGTGCCCATGCCTTCCATTGCTGCCAATCGCTTTTCGAGACCGTCAAACGGTGTCTTCAAGGTGCCTCAGCCTCCCTTTGGAGTGAGGAAGAGAGTGAGGTCATCGTCGACCACCGGCGTCGATAGGCAATCGAACAGCATGAGCTGGAAGGAGGACCCACGCATGGCACAGTCTTCACCTGTTCTAGGACGCACACAGTCCTTTCAAGATCAGACAATGTTCCAAAGCAACCCGCCGCTGCCCCAACCGTCCCACGACGACTCTCCTATGTTTGATGTTCATTCTGACGACGATGATCATGACCTTGCCATGCCTTCCTTTGCAAACGAGCCTTCAAGCAGCATTCTCTCCTCGTCTCCTCCTCGAACGCCTCCGCCTACTAAACGTCTCATCAACGTGAACGCAAAACAAACTGGAGCTGACTTGCTTTTGTACTTGGCCAACTCCCCATCTCGTTCACCTGCGATCAATCTTCACCGTGGTTCTAACGCCGGCGAGCCACCTTCCACTCCCCCCTCACAACACTCACACCTCCCCTCTTCAGTCATGACGACTCCGGGGACCCATTTGGGGCTGTTCAACGGTGCACTGCAAACTCCAGGCCAGGGCTTCAATCTCGCTGACTTCTGCAATGTTACTCCTTCACCGGCGCAGGCTCAATGGGGTGGCCGAACCCCGGGCATAGCAAAGACCCCTAGCCGATTTGCCCGCAGAGGACTCAACTTTGACACGCTGGCTGCGTCTGAAAGTCCCTCGATACAACAACGCAAGACGCCAACCAGTCAAGGTCTGGCATTGCAGCTCGGTGACGAGCTCATCCCTCGCTCCTGACATTCACAGGCGTCTGATTGAACAGTCTCACACTGTTATGACATAAACACTAAACGACACCCAACCATGGTGTCATGAAACACTCGAACTGTCACGAATAGCATACACATCTCTGTCCTTTGCTAACGAACACATACGACGATCGAATTACGGAGTTTCTTATTTTTGGGAGCTACGCAAAAGGTGGCAGGGTTGGATGGAAATTGTCTTTGCACCCATGCCACAAGGAGAGAGGAACAGGAACACGACGGGAGATGGGTATCAACAACTACCTATCTGCGGTGTGAATTATTGTGTGTGGATGGGCGGCCTCTATCATGCATCGCATTCTCATTCTCATTGCGTTACCATTGCATCAGTAACTTGTTATCATGTTGAGCATGGCAAGCGGCTATGCTAGCTATTCCTGTGCTAATCATCACCAATGCACTGTCATGTAGATAGTTGAAGTAGATAGTCTACATCCAATAAGAATAGGTTGTACACAACCAGCTAAAGATAGTCTTTTCGAGCTGTGCACAGAGTCACCGTCCAGTAAAGCGGATGGCCGTGAGATGTAGTTCAGGGAGACCTTCCTAGGTGTTCTCTGACAGTGGCTCCCCTCAATCTCCTGTGAACCTCGGGATTGATGAAACGATGGATGAGATCGACGGTGTCCTGGAGTTTTCTCTCTGACTACCTTGGATGATTTAGTTCAGGTACTTGCACTGCGTACAGGACAGCTGACACTCGGGAGCGGCGCGCTGTAGGCACTGAGTGTTAGCTAGCAGGACTGAATCAATCGGAGTATCTAGTTCGTCGTTACTCCTCGTGATGATCCAAGTGCTGAGATGTGTAGGTAAGATTAAACAGAGGGAGGGGATCTCTCGACAAACTTTTTACTTTTCCCAGGGGCGTTGCACAACATGGTAAGCTTTCTTCTTTTGTCTTTCTTGCTTTCTTACTCCCCTCTTCGTTTGCCTTGCAACGCCGAACGTCTTGTGGTGTTTTACCTCGGATGGGTATCTAGGTTGTCTCAAGACGCCACATTTCATGTCAAGTAAGATTTCCCGCTTTCTGCTGTCTTACCTAAAGGTCCAACACCTTACGCAGGTCAACGCCCTCCGTGCTCGTGCTCGTGCTCGTGCTCGTACCCGTACGGATGTGGACTGACAGACTGTCTCCCCCCGATCATGTTAAAGTGCTTGCAGCAGTAAGTTCAGTTGACAGTACAAGTTATCAGAGTAGCTTCTTCCCAACTGCCCCTCTCTCTCATCTCCCCCTCTCCCTTTTTCCCTATCTGCCCCTCCACCAATTGTTGTTGTACGTGTACCCGGTATGGTATACCGTGGTAAACGCCCCCCCCTGTCCCAAGGTAATTATTATTACTCCAACATGCCGCTGCGGGTCACCACTCCCCTGTGGAGGACAGTGCTGATAGTTTCACGCATGCACTTTAACTCTTAGCTGGTGGCTGGTTTTTGCTTTTCGTTCTAATTTCACAAAGGTTTGGACTCGTAAAGAACGAAGGAGGACCAGGGGGAAAAAGAGACGGCTGCATGTCACATGTGCGCGATCGCTCATACTGTCATACAGACTACCTCGGTCGTAGGTCATTTCGCAGCGTTGACGGAGAACAAAAGAAGCCTTGCCTTTTTGTCCATCTTACATACGCTGCCCAGCGTTCCTGCTTGACTCTGCACAGCCAGCCACATTCCGCAATTGGTACGTACGGCCAGCTTACAGGAGTGCGTTGAAAGAACTCAAGCACGGCGAAGTTGACGACTCTTTACATACTCCGGATGCTTGAATCGACAGAGTAAGCGACCTTGAGGTATCTATGTCCGCCGTAGTAGCTACCTAACATAAGATACAAAGCTCGATCCTTGTTGTTGGCACTGATACAAGTAGAGTGGTTATCTCAGGGTGGTACGTACGTACAGATAGTACGGACTACAGATCATTTACCTACCTACAGTAGGTACTCCGCACGGAGTACGCATAACTTGCTCATAAGGGGGAGGGGGAAGTTTCTGAGCAAGATTCGTCTACGATCACGATATATTGACCTATGTGAGTAACACCTAGAAAAGTATAGAGTCGACAAACAAACCGACAAGTCAACAACTCTGTACGTAAAAATGATGTAAAAATGTCCTTTTGTCCTCTCCGAGTTACCTACCCATGTAGGTATAGGTTAGGAGTATGCGTGCAATGAACCTTTACTGTATGTAGAGTAGTACATACAGAAGTTCGCTTCGCCAGTTGCCAAAAAACTTTGCTGCGTGGGATGATGCATGTATGTACAATATCTACTAGCTACCAATAGTGCCTACCTACCTTACCGTATGTACCACGTCCAAAGCAATCTGTCACTCACACTCACGTACTCCCGTACTCGTACCTTGCCGTCGACAGTACCGACTACCGACTACCCGATCCTCTCGCCTTAGATCATCACCACAGTTACCATTGATATGTACGTGTCCTTGCCATTACGCATACTCCTACTCCGTTAGCTAGGTCCTCCGGACATGACACCATGCGGCTCAATGTCTCGAGGTGGTCAAGTTCCGCCGATGCTAACACTGTTAGCAAAGAACACCATGTGGACTGGCACACATTCCAGGATAAAAGGTCCGACGAGCTAGGAGCAGGGACCTGTACCAATCCTTGTACACCTTCGAGGATTGTTCAATATCTGTATCTCCGTTAGTCGGTGGTGCAGATTGCAATGTCGTGTAAGCGAGTTCGTAACCCCACCTCATCCCGTCCCCCGTAAGCGATGAGCATTATTACATACCTCAGCACTCCGTACCTCAGGTATCTAATTCAATTATTCCACTTTGTACGGAGTACAGTAGCGCGTACTCCGTACAAAAGGACGCGTTTATGGGCTTGATGATCGCTGTAAATCAGTGATCGCTGATGATCATCAGCGAGTTTTTTTTGTTTAGTTCTTACCCCAGGCTCGTTAGTAAAACAAGCGTTTCCACTATTGCACCGGTCGCGCCGACTCGAACACCACAAACCTGCTCTACGGGAGGGGAGGGAACTATTCGCGACTGCGGTATGCACATAAGGTACCCTTCTTGGGTTGTCGTTGTAACACAGACGTCGAGGGTCTGTATTATTGATACCCCATGGTCTTACTGTGAGAGTTCGTTAAACTGGTACCGTACGGTTCCTGACTTCTCAAAAGGGATGCGCAACAACTTTAAAAAAGAAAACAATGATGACGTCGTGGATAAATTTCCCGGGCGCGTCGACACGCGACTTAGCGTGACGCGCTAATTCACACCAATCTATATTAGGTACATTAAAAGGTACCAACGAGTCGGAGTTGGATCGCATGGAGGGAGGGGGAGACTTTGGGGCGAACATCCCGTTCTTACAGAAGTCTCGCTTGATGATCACTTTCAACAACCTACACCGTAACCCACGCACTCGGGTGCTCCTTGCAGCGATCAGTCCTTTCAGTGATCGATGATCGCTGATCGCTGATCGCGAATCAATGGAGCAATTTGCCGATGGTTAATCGACCGCTCGAGAGCTGTGGGGATCATATTTTTGATCCTTTCATTCAAATCCAGTCTCCGTACGCTGGCTGACCGGTAAACGAGCAAGTTTCTCAGTTGTACATCCTTACGAGTGTTTGGTACTCGGGCAGAGTGCCATCTCACGGCCTCACACAGCACATACCGTATGTCGACAAGTCAGAGAGGGCACTCACTCATCGCTCAACTTTAGGCGGGACAAAGAGCCAGAGCGAACTTTTGAGGCTGAGTGAGTGCAGGCTTTGGGGGAGAAGCAAAAAACAACAACGGAAATATGCAGGCGTTCGCCTGAATAAAACTTCTTTCTGGGTATCTACTTGAATCAAGCTGCCACAACCAACGCTTCAATCCCCAATCTAACTCGGTACGGACGAGGAGTTGATTATCGATTTCAATTGACTTGACTTGACTTGACCAACGGGACTCCGCATACCGAACGTGTATCATTTCTCATTTCTCGTCACCTCCTCCATCAGCGTCTGAGACTGTAATGACCTTCTAATAGCTCGACCCACAGATAGGTGATCAAACATGGCATATGGGATACGTTGGTTCAGGACTACTGATATGTGCATTGGTCGCTGTGCCTCCAAGGTTCGTTGATGGGCCACAGGTGGTCCAATGTTGCCGATGACGACGACACTTCGTTCTAGATATCTGGTACCCCTTCAGAGGCGGCATGGCTGAGATAGGGTTGTCCAAGATCTCGACTTGATGACATATCGAGTGTCTAGAGCCGAAAGTTAGGTATGCACACACCAGTGCAGGCTGAACAATCGCCGCTTGTAGGTGGAACTTTGCAGTCGTCAAAGTCGGTCGATCTGCTCTTTCAATGCAAATATCATCTCACTTCTTAACAACCCTCTCCTCCCACTGAACACCGACCCATTCCTCACGGAAAGTTATCTCTCCGGGCACGCCGCAGTTGTTTACACAGGTCCCGACAATCACAGTCCCCCATTCCATTCCGTCGTCTAAATCCATAACTTCATCCTTTTCAAGCTCGTATATTAACCCAGGCACAAGCTGTAACTCGAACACTCTTTGTGCACCGCAACTCTCGCACCTGGGCATTCCTCTGACTGCGCCAGACTTGCCATGTGGTACCACAAACCTCGAAGAGACGTTATCTGCGCCGGAATAAAGTAGAGGATCCCCTTTGTACTCATATCGAAGGACTTGTTGTGGGTTTTGAGATATTCGATCCGAGAACTTTTGGAACGTTTTATCCATGCTAGATTCAAACGCGTCCTTTTCAGAAGCTCCACCATTCGCGCTGTCATCCAGGTCGTATTGCGCCTTTGAGGCCTCCGCGGCCGGGACCACCTCTTGCTCTTTTTCCAGTTCTTCGGGCCATGCATCTAGATAAAACGAGGGAAAAGGAGACGGGAGTTCGGCATGCTCAGGCCACGGCTCAACAGGGTCTTTATCTTTGTTAGTCTGCGGAGGGTTTGAATCCCCCGAGATCTTGAGTTTGTCTGCGAATGTCTCGATAGGAGGCTGTGGACTGTTGACAGGAGGTTGCGGAGGTTTCGCGGCAAGTGTTGAAGGAGAGCCTATAGACGAGAAAGGATTTGCTGGAGGCTGCGAAGGCCCGGACATTGAGAACGGGTTGGTGGCTGTCTTTGATGGGGATGCTGCCGAACCACCAAACAGAGCATTTCCAAGAGCTGGCTGCGACGGTTGAGGCTGTGGTAGAGGCGCTTGCTTCTGGTTGTTCTCCTTCACCTCGCCCTTCTTGACTTCTCGAAAAGCTCTCACGCTACCTATCTTCTTCGAGCATGTCCGCTTTCTGCAGCAGAATATGTGTAAGCGGCGCTCGTCGCGGGGGAAATATTGCTGAAGATCTGCGTTCAGTTGTAACAGGAGTGACAGATAGCCATTGCAGACCTTGCATTTCGCAAGTGTCGCTGGAGGAGGATGTTGGGCATCCAGCCAAGTAGGATAGCCACCAATATGGCTGATATCATCGTCGGTGGGATCTGTGCTGGCATAGCCGAGGAGAACGTTCGTTTTCGAGTAGTCGCCATCGTCATCGGAAGAATCACTATCGATTGGAGCCATTTTATCGGCCGTATGAAGTCGACGTGGTTCTGTGCCTGAAATATGATTTCCTGCGAATGTTTTTTCCCAGCCTGCGCCGTGATAAATTTGCCTTGAGCCAGCAGCACAAAATGACTTAAGGTGTGGCTCTCCGGGATCTAACCAATTACAGTAAGTGGGCAGTGTTATCGATAAGGAGACTAGTGACCTCCGCTCCAGCTCCGCAAAGATCCTCGTCCAGCTTCCATTTCTCCTCTTTTCTCTACAGAGCACTCATTCGGATAACGAGCTCTCGTGCAGACATCCTTGTCCTTTGGCGAGCATCACCCAACAATCTGTCGCTCTGGAATTGCTGCTTTCATCGCCATTCGCTATCCATTGCCTCATTGGGTCTTCTCGACAAGCTCCGGCTGTGGGTGCTCCTCACCTGATGATTCAATCAATATCACTTCCAATGACAAGGTAGGCCAATGGTCTGTTTCAGCGAGCCGTTCCGCATAAATCCCCGCAAGAAATGGGCGGGGATCCGGATCAGTTTGGCTTCTTACTCTTCCGGCCCTGAGGGCATAAGACGGGAGCCATATTTGATGGTCGTGTACGGATGGGACACTGGGATTCAATGAAAAGCTCCTGTACACTCTCTTCTACCCAGGTTGATACCGCAAACTTAACATAGCAATGGCAACCCACAAAGCCACAGCCCTCGCCATTGATGACTACGAATTTCCAAAGGGCCATAACGCAGTCGGGGGTCTTATCATGACGGCTTTGATGGTTCTCTCCTCGAGGAGGAAGTTCATCGAGCCTGGTTCGGTCCTTCATGACCACATCATAGCGAGAAGCACCAAAGCTGCAAAACACTCGAAGTTCGTCCAAGAAGTTATATTTTATACCTTGTTTGGTGCTCATGGTATCGAAACCATATGGTTCGCGATGACCAAGCTCAATAAACACAGCGTCAAGATCACCAGACCTGCCTGGATTGAATGGGTCTTGACGGTATTTGCTGGAGGAGTCTTCGCTCGCAAGCACTTTGATGAATTCATCGAGCAGAGGGAGATCAAAGCCATCCAAGAGATCTAGATGATGAAGGAGAACCATGGTGACTAACGGTCCTTCACATATCCCTTGCAGGGCAATGCTTGCAGGCGATAAGGCGGGGAACCAGAATGCGATGGATCTACCCTGGAGATGTCATACCTTGGCTGGGTCCAGCAGAGGGACTGGTCTCATTTACCATTGTCGTCCTTGCAGGAAGAAAGCTACGATCTTGTTGATGGTTTTCCGACTTTGACAGAAGACTACCAGAAAGTCACCAAGGATTCTCTTTGTTTTTGTTGTTGGTTTTGGAAGACACTTTCATTATACTCGGACCAGAAGTTCTGGTTGTGCTGCTAGTCCCTTGTATCCTCGATGATGGGACGAGGATACTCCTCAGTAGTCCATATGCATATTTTATCCGTCCCGCTGGCGGGATGCTCTTTCGTCGTTTCCCCTGTCCAAACCCCCCTTTAATCTCACATCAAAAATCGTCAACAGCCCGGCCTCACAAACACAACGTCGCTCCGCGTGACAAGCTGCATGGTGCATTGCAATCCGAGCCCAACAGCTGCATGTGGCGGACGCTATCGAAACGCCTCGCCAAGGCTAATGCAGCTCGACCTCAATAGCCTGGCCGCGCAAGATCTCTCTGTCTCTCTCCTCCCCCCGGCCGCCTCTTACTGACACTAAACTCTCAGTCAAACCGTCTATCTACTTTCCCGTATCTCTTCACGTATAGAATAGACAGCTACCGACCACTAAACCTATCGTATGCTGGAAAAGTGAGTTGGCTCGGTCTGACTAGTATACTGACAGCCGCAATGGCCACGACCTTTGTCACACCAACCGCGACGTCTCGACCGACGACCACCACTACTACTACAGCCGGTCCTAGTACAACAACCACACCCGCTGCAGCGTCTCAACCACACCAACCACAATTACAAACCTCGCCATTTCTGAATTTACCAGCCGAAACACGCCTCAACATCTACAAATACCTGATCCCCGATGATGGTCTTGAGGTGTGCATCTGCGACGAGGCCGCCACTCAACCAGCTGGAGCACCCTTCGCATCCAGCATGACCAGCATGGCCGGCGCCAGCAGGACCATGACGAGCTACCTGTCCCGCTTCTTCGCGCGAGAAGCTCTCATCCGCGACAATGGACTCAATCTACTTCTCGTCTGCACGCACACCAAAGCCGAGATCCTCCCGCTCCTCAACAGCCTGACGCTCCGGTTCCACTGCCTCAAGTGCCTCAACGAGCTCTTCAGCAACATCTCGCACGGCCTCGGCGTGGGCATCAACTGGATCAAGCACATCGAGATTGTGGTCTCGCAGCGGCGTAACTACGACGACATCATGACGCATTTTCTTCCCGCCAGATACGACTCCGGCCACGACGACGACGTTTACGAGGGCGGCGGCGACGGTGGTGGCGCCAGGCGTCGCATCACACCCGAGCTCATCCGCGTCGTCGCCCGCGAACGCGCCTGGGAAATCATGGCCGATGCCCAGCGCGTCATATGGCTCTACTGCGGCCGTCTGAACCTCAGCAACAGGGAGAAGTGGACGTGTGAGCAGGTCCGAGACACGACATTCACAGAGAGCTCGGCCGCGAGTAGAAACGCCCTCCCGCATGGATGTCATGTCCTGGGCATTGCTGGTGATGGGCCGAGATATGGTGGCGGCGGCAGCAGCAGCAGCAACAGCAGTCGTACTCCGAGTACTCACAACCCCGCCAACACTGCCAACGCCTACGCCAACCCACTTCGACCCCGGCCGATCTGCGACATTGCCGCATTCATGAGAACAATGGCAACGACAACCCTGTCGTTCACTGAGCGTGAGTCTCGGCGACGGCAGCTACCAACGTGGGTTGGTAGAGATCGTGACAAGAAATGGTTGATCAGTGGTTGGCTCGACATGTAGTAATCGAGCCAAGCCAGCCCAACAATGTTACAAGCGTCGACGATGACAAGAAAAGGTCTGTCAGCGGTCAGATCGACATATAGCAGCCAAGCAACCAGCGTCGATGACGGGACGAGGACGTGGAAGTTGAACTGAACTTGGCCGCTTATCACGTCCAAATGATAAAGGATCGGTGATTGTAAAGGACAGAGAAAATTCCATTGGTAAACGATGACCGTCTATGGAAACAAGCCGATCGAAAGGCAGCGAAAAGAAGAGATCTGACGGGAACATTTGGGGCCTCACGATCATCTAATATTACAATCTTAAGCTCACTCACATCCACAGATACAAGAGAAAGAAAGAGAGAAAAAGGAGTGACGGTGTCGTATCCCAGCATTGGAGTCTAGAAGTTGCCCAAGGCGTTTCAGTAGGTATCGCAAACATTTTAAGTGAGACAAACCCAACTCAAAGTCATCTTCTCCCTCACTCTAAAATGTGAACTGCATCAATCCAGGATTCAGCACGAGCGGCAGTAAAGCATGCGAAGCTATAACACCATCTTCGTCAGAAATACATGCACATAATTTATCAAACACGTCAACACCGGACAAGGACTCACCAACAACAGTTGCCAAAGGCCAAATCGCCGTGAAGAACGATATCTGCCAGTCATAGGGCACCAAGGCACCGAGCGGCCCGATTCCCGCGACAATAATCATTCCCAGGCTCAGCACCACACAGAATGCAAATGTCAGTCGGAACTTGCGCAATATCACTGGAACTTCTTTGAAGAAGCTGGTGTCCGTTGCTTCCTTGCTGGTCGCCCCCCAACTCATATCAACGCTGAACAAATGGCTCAATATTGCCTGGGAGACATGCAACGAGATGCCGCCCAAAAAGACCGTTAGCAATGGGATCCAGCGGAAGTTTTCATACAATGCAGAGCCCAGCGTCTTCTCCTCGATGCGATATTTCATGATGGCGAGGGCGAGGTTTCCCAAGGCCGTGAAGACGAGGATGATGGCGAAGTAAATCTTGAAACTATCAATGTAGTAGTGATCCAGAAAGCCATTGAACCAGCCGACGATGCAGTAATTGAGCAGAGTCAAGATCCAAGCCGAACCGATGGCGTAGTATGTGCCCACGTAAGCCATGATGGTTATTTTGGATGGCAGAGGCATATTACTGGAGATGAAGTTTCGGAAGATGGGCGTCAGAGGACCCTTTGCGAACCACTGTGCGAATGGATGAAAGATCAACTCGGAGCACCCATAGGCGTATTTCTCCCAGCGCGCAAGTTCGTCGTACACCGTCAGCGAGACGCCTTCCTTGAATCCCTGGCCGGCATATGCAGCCAGACGAAGGATGTAGCCGTTCGTTTGGAGCCGGAGAGCCATGTCGAAGTCCTCAGACACAGTGGCTTCGGACCAGTACTTTTCTTTACTGCCGCCGTCGTTGATGTCTATCTCGATATACGCGACATCTTGCACGGCCTTCCAGCGCAAAAAAGCGTTGTGCCCGACAAAAGGCGCGACGTCCCCATTCGACACTGCATACTGGATCGCAGTGTACACGAGATTCGTGAAGAAAGTAATGCCCTTTTCGAACCAGGTGTCCGCGACGTTCATGACGCCAGACGCGAATTGGATAATCGCAACTGCAGGAGACTGTTCCATCTCACTGACCGCATCCAAGAAGCAGTCGACTGGGACACGTGTGTCCGAGTCTATCAGCAGGATGTAGTCGCCGATGCGGACGTTGCCTTCGGCCTGAGTCCACCCGTCGTCTTCAGCAATGACTTCAGCTAACGCCGAATCGTACGCATCGCGCTCCTTCTCCACGCCCCAGCGATCATCGCGGTTGATTAGGGCTAGCTTGTCCTCGATGCGTGTGCTTACGTTGAGGGCATAATTCATGTTCGACGCCTTCTTGAACTTGCCAGCTCGGATGAATTTCTTCTCTCCGTCTGCTGGTCTGGGGTTGTGTTTGGGGCGAGAGACCCAGCCAATGTTGTGCTCGTCGTAGTACTCGCGGCGCTCCTGGGCTTGGTCGGGAGGAATCAATTGCATCCCGTCGTCGTTAATGAAGATGTTGGCGGTGCCGCCCTGCATCTCGTAGGTTGAAATGGCTGCCTTGATGGACTTGACAGTCGGGTCGATGACTGAATATAGACCTTCTTTGTACACTGGGCATTGGATTGTAACGTGTGGGAGAACGGCCGAGCGTGCAAGACGGGGTGGAGGTTGACCAGAAAAGAATTTAGTGTTTGCATTCATCTGACTGATGGGACCCATAATCTGAGCAACGCAGCCAGCGACAGATTGCATGAAAAAAAGAGCCAGCCAGCACTGGAATGGTACAACCAGCAGGAAAGCAAGACGCATCCAGTTCTTGTCGACTCTTACTTCGATGGCAATCTGCCGCCAGCCGCTGCCGATGGCAACAACAAGCAGAATGAGCGTGATAGCAGTGAGCACGGATTGAATCAATACCACCCGGCGTGGAGCAATCACAACCTGCTCCAGGTTTGAAGAATTGTCGTCGGGATTTAAGTTGGTAGTACTGGGAATTGCACTTCCCATCGGGGCGACGGAGTCGTCATCATCCACTTGTTCTTTCCAAACCATACTGACGAGCTGCCCCTCGATACCTTGTACTCGTTTAAGAACATGATTCGGATCGTCGTCCCACACGATGAGGATTTGAGAGTCCCGGATAAAGGCAGCAAAGTGATGTTTCTGGCACTGAGGCAGATGTGAGATACTGGGCAAGATCTGCAAGCGTAAACCTGATTCTAATGGAACGTGGATGAGGCTATCGTCTTGCAGAAAGAGCTTGATGATGCGTGTGTTGACAGTTAATGCACACTAAAATCAATTGTTTAGGAAGAGAACGTTGGCTACGATACGATGAGTGGACTTGCCTTGACGTTGAGCTTCTGTACAGCATCGAAGAATCCGTCCCGATGAGTCGAAAGGTCTGCTGGAGCACACTTGTAGTCATCTTTCGTTTTCTTGAGAACCACACCCTCCTCCAGGCCATTAGTCGACCACATCCGTTCCAATTGTTGCTGGTACAACCAGTTGCACATCATGTCGGCTTTCATATCGCGGAACTCTGGCACGGAGCTGTTTCGGAAGTCGCCTGAAGAGTATAAGACCGACTTTCTGCTTTGCATAGCGCCTAATCGAGACACTGCTTTTGGCTGGATTAGACTCAACGGACCGGCTTGATCTGAGGACGAAGTTGGAGGCAGCATGCTCGACGTCGAGGCCAGGTCGATATCTGAACTCATTGTGATAGTGCTACTGACTCTCAGTCGAAAGAGCTAGTCGTGAACGAGCGCCTGATGACCCAATGTTGCACGTTGCAACGCTGACTCGGTGAGCGTAGGTGTTGAGTTTGAGACTTTTGGACAGTACGATATGAATGCAATGAGAAGCAATGACCCTGAACTGATACAGGCAAGTGAATCTCACTCCCTTGTAGACTTTGAGAGCCTCAATTCGGGGACCTATCTGAATATAAGGAAAATAGAAGTCGATGATCTCGACAACATGTCGCAGTAAGACATCCGGACCTAGGTAGATCGTTGGTACAGTTGGAAGCAGCCTTCGTGGAATCAGGAACGGTCATCACCGATATTTAGAACGCCTCTTTATCCGTCGATGATGGTGGATCTCGCTCGTTTCCTGCTCAGGTGTTCGATGGCTTCACGGTCATGGTATGTCTTGAAAAATGTGAGATGAACGATTTATGCCGAAGAGCAAGAACCTGGCAACATAGAGCAGCACTCTAATGTCTCAGCGGACATAGTCCAGGGAAAGGTTCTGGACGAAAATGGCCTCGCCATCACCAACTCTCATTAACTGGGATGTCCACCACTTTCCCGGTGGTCTCGCACATAGAAAAAGTGTGTAGACCAGCAATGAGAATTGGACATGCCTTCTGAAGACTTTGCTCACACTGGCAATAGTTTTGGTGTTCATACACTCACACCATTCGTCGAGTGGCGTCTAGGCTCAAGAATATCCCCAAGCCTTGTGGGCCAGTTGACAACCTGACCACGGTAGCGGCTCTCCTTCGTGCAGTCAGCCATGGTCAAGTTGTTTGTCTCACTGCGTCCAATCATGTATTACCAGGCAGCGCCTTCACCCATCTCTGGCATTATGGGGCCCCAATATGATGGCTGTTGTTTCGATTTGCAAGCGCCTAGTGTTCCCGTCATGGAGGACACGGCCCAAGACGCTCACTTGCGAAGTGATTTTGACTGTCTCGCGATCGATCGTTGTTCCTCGAGAGTGATCTCATAGTCTTCAATTCGTAAGACTCTAGTAGGCCAGATTAGAATGGCTTGCATGGCAGGAAGTTCGTCTCTGTCTCTTGACTGATGCAAGTGTGCCTTGCTCCTACGGCTCTTGAGCCCGGTAATTCGCGTATAGCCAATAATGTTGACCCAAGCACCGGTTCTGAGGACGGAAGAATCAACGGTTTCGAGACTGAGGTTTACATCGACCGAAACTCGTGGAGTAGGTAGGATGTGCTTTGGATAGGCGTGCTCGAGAATGAGCTGTCCTTTGACCATATCATAGTCCACCACACTAGAGTGCCAAGTCAGTAGCAGGGGTGCTAGTGACGCTTGAAGCATACCAGCCCAAAAGTCTCACCTTGGTTTCAGGTGGTAGAGAGGCAATCTCATGCAGAAAGACCAACACGGACGCGACGGGCCCATTGGTCGAGCTTTCATTCATGTCTACGACAACATAACTGACCTGCGAAGACAAAAGAGCCGTCCTTTGAACCTGGCTATGAGCAATCTGATGCCGGCGGAAAGTAGCTCTTGAGTAAACACTCTTTGCGGCTGCAGAGAGGACATAGATGCATTTTACTGAGGTCGCGGGTCGAAAACAAACACGTCTTGTGAGAAGTATAAAGGCGGCGTCCGAAGATTTCCGGATTGAGCTCCCAGGTCTCGCTACGTTGGAAAGGCTGATTGAGGGAACATGATATAACGCATGTGAGGCAATAATTCTACTCGTCACACTCTATCTCCTGCGAGATTATAATGTTCATCAAAGGACAAGGACTGAGTGGTGATGAATCATTCAGTTGATCCTAGACCATATATCATTCTGGCTCAAATCACGCAGCTTGCAACAGAATGTTGCCGGTGTGGGGTTTTCCAAAGGCCATTAAGCCAGCTTTAACGCTAGGCTTTTGGTTGACAAAAGGGACCTGGCAGCGCGGGTTTTTTGTCCAAATCTTACGCGAAGATTCTCTGAGGAGGGTTCAAATAATCACCCTGTCACTTTGTTAGTCCCCATAACATAAGTCCAGCAGCAAGGATTAACTTACCGGATCGTTGAAGCGCAAGCCCTTGTCCAAAGAGCTGATGCTGTTCATCTCGTCCGAAGAAAGCTCGAAGGAAAAGAGATCGAGGTTCTGCTTCTGGCGGGTTGCATCATTCGACTTGGGAATGACAATCAGGCCACTGAGGTCCCTCTCTGTTAGCTTTTCCGGATTGCCATTTGAAAGGTAACTGAAATCCTACCGTTGCACCGCCCACCTCAAAAGAACTTGGGCTGGAGTTCGGGAAAGTTTCTCTGCCATAGAGGTAATCACGTCGTTCTCAAAGAGCAAAGAAGTGCCCATCGCCTTGGGACTTTGCAAATCGCGGTAACTCAAAGGTCCGAAGCTGGAGTACGCGGTGACAGCAATACCGAGGTCCTTGCACAGGTCTATGAGCTGAGGCTGCACCAGATAAGGATGGTGCTCAATTTGGAGCATGCTGGGCTGGATCCTAGCAGAGCGGATCAGGTCCATGAGCAATCCGCCCTGGAAGTTGCAGCCGCCGATATTCTTGACGAGGCCCTCATCAACAAGAGATTCCATGGCCTTCCAGGTAGATGCAAGCGGAATGGCGGCAGTCTTTGTTTCCCACTTGTCAGCAGCAATTGACCACCCGGGGGGATACCTCTCGGCCGGGTCGACATATTGGAGTGGAAGAGGAAAGTGGATGAGGTAGAGGTCGAAATACTCCAGACCCCAGTCGGAAAGTTGCTTCTTAGCGATCTGCTTGACATGTTCCCTGAGTGATATCCAGTTTAGTGTCTGCGTCCCTCGTGCTGAGCAAGTCGAGGCAGGCTTTCACTCACGGAGAATGAAACGTTGCCCAGAGTTTCGTGGTGATGAATACTTCTTCTCTCTTCACTAGGCCGTCCTTGATGGCTCGAGTGATGCCCTCGCCAGCCTCCTTCTCATTTCCTGTTGCACTGTAAGCCAAACACTCATAGTAGTGGCTCCCTAGCAACAATACCGTAGTCACAGGCACCATCAAAGTGGCGGTAGCCGTTCTTGATGGCACCATAGACAACATCTGCTGTGCTGTCTTTCGGCACCTGTGAATTGCTTAGAACGGAAGTATCCAGCCCACTGGATCTCTACCCACCTTCCACAGACCAAAACCGACTTGAGCAACCTTCTGGCCGGAGGGCTTCAATGTGATAGCGGGGGATGCCATTCCGTGTACGCTATTATGTTATTTGAACAGAGGATCCTGGTTGTGGTAAAAATGCGAAATGCTTTCTGGCAGGAGAGGGAAAACTTTGGAACCGAATGGCTCGAGAGGATTTATCAAGCTAAAGAGGTTTAGGAACCGTGGCATTGGACCTTTTTCAGACCATGCAATTAAGAACTTATAAGGTGTGGAGCGAGGCACGTCAGGAGGACCGTCCGCTATCCACAAAGTTACCCACGCCCTGAACCTTTTCTAGCAGGCTTTGCCCATTGTTATTACACCCCGATTTCCGTGGCAGGTTTCGACTTCTTTTGAGACAGGAAAGGAAGTATGCATCCCCCATCGACAGGTGGACAGAATTTCGAGTAACACACTAGCTACGCTGATTTCGAGAAAGCCGTTCAATCCATACTATTATAGAGACTCAGATGCGTCAACCCCTTAGCGATATTTCGTTCACCAGCACCTCCGTTACTTCTTTGCCACTTTCTACAAATCGTCCATCATAACTGTCATAGGTTAGTATATAAGTAGCAAGGAGTACGTATTTGACTTACAGCATGTGGCACATATGCTCGTAGTAGCTTGCCGCATCCCTTGGATTATTACTGTCGTCTCCGCAGCCCTCCAGTGGTTTTATCAAGGTCGTAAGAGATGGCTCAAAAAAGAAAGGAATTGAAACCCGATGTGTGTCGCCCCGGTGGATGACTCGATGGACGGTGGCAGTGTAACGGTTGTTTGTGAGAACATTTACCATATCACCTGCGAACAATCAGTACCTATCCCTTGTATTCTTGTGGTTGATCGGACTCACCAATGTTCACAACGTAAGCTCCCGGGAGGGGATCAGCCTTGATCCAGTCTCCATCCTTAGTTTCTACCTCCAAAGCAGATTTGATATGATCATCAGCGAGGAGAAACGTCAGGCCTCCATAATCTGTATGCTCGCCACAAGAGATGCCTTTCTCCTGTTCCGAGAGGTCGGGTGTTGAGAGAGGAGGATAGCCGTTGAATTTCAGGCCCCAGAAAGGATCCTTTACAATCTCCTCAAAACGTTCTGCTCCGTTTTCTACTCCCAGGGCATCTCCCATAGCTCGCATTAATGCCTTCCCGACCGGTATCAACTTTGAAACGTAATGGAGGACCGTTGGCTTGAGGGAGGCTGGTCGTGAGGGCCACACTTGCGCACCTCGGAGCATCTCCGAAGAAGGGTCGGGGTACTCTCGATATATATCGTATCCCTCAAGGACGTCTCTTTTCCCAGAGGTCACATTCTCCCCAAGTCGACCATATCCGCGGACCCGATCCATGCTGTTGAAGATAGAGATTTGTTCCTTCTCGGCCTTAGGCAAGGAGAAGAACTCATGGCCTAAGCGGAGCATCTCCTGTCGCAGATCTTCGTCTATTCCATGCCCAACGAGGTAGAAGAAGCCATATTCACGACAGGCATTGTCAACAGCTTTGGCCGTCGCTGCGCGTTGAGCAGGTGATGATTCGGGGTCTAGGTAAGGCGCAATATCAATCACGGGCAATGAAGCTGGTTCCGCCATTGTTGTGCGAACAGAGTGAAGAAGGTTGTCGGAACCAAATCTTTTGCGATGGAAGACTGATCAAAGAGAAATGTGCTTCGGGCGTTTCAGGATGTATTCAGCGAAATATAGTAAACGACACATTTCGTCCTCTGATCAACCTACCAGACTAAATAACGGACTGCAGAAATTCCCAAAGAGGGAATTGAGCTGAATGGAGATCACCGTAGGGAGCAATTCTGCTACATGAGCAAGGTTGAAGAGTGCAAAAATAACGGAGTCTGGGTCGATATTCGGTTTCCCAAAATGCATATATTCTGGAAAGCTGGCCACATGACTTTCTGCACAAGGAACGTTTTCGCTTATCGAGGATACGAATATTCGGTTGCCAGAAGAGGCAAATGAGGACAGAACTTCGACCATGGGCGAACATTCCATCGTGGGGCACGCCTAACGTGCCTCACACAGACATCGAAGTGTCTGGGGCAACCGAGTTCGGCCAATTCTGCCAGGTGGCAAGCCGACAATCCGAGGGGTGCCAATCCTGGGAGCGTCGCTCCAACCACCGGGCCCTCGAGGCGCAGATCCGGATGCACCCAAACCCCTGCTAGTTGGCTCGGGGAACAAGCAGCAACACTGCTAGACTAGGGTAGAACCCCCTGTGAAAGCCCGCTCCCTTATTGTCAGTGCTGTGCTAAAGCAGCGACCATATAATGTTGGTCCACATCTAGATCCATTCAGTATAAACATCCACATGCTATTGGTTTACAAGAGCGGCAAGGGACCAGCTTCCTGTTTAGCGAAGTAGGGTGAGATTAATTGCTAACCATACAAGTCGCAGTGGTCCGACGCACTCCAAAGATAAGACCAGCTTTACCGTGATTGGGTTGCCTAGTGAGGAATTTAGCTTCTGACGGCGTTATACCGTGGTCTATTGCCACGAGGACATATTATGGCTCGTTCTCACTGGAGAGCCTAGTAGACGTCTAATTCTCATGCTTTGTCGCTCTTTAGCGAGCACAAAATCCAGCATATATCTTCTGACAACCACCACTGTCATCTGGTAGCTTTTGGCAAACACGGAAGACCTGAGACTCGCGACACAGGCTCATCTATAGATTGACGTCTCCATGGTTTGTACTCCTGCACCCCTCACAGGTCAGGAACAAAGGCTGATGATCATCGTGAACACAGGCCGACTCTTCTACCACATCGCCTGCTGAGGCGGCGAGTCTCGGATCACAAGCGGAGAAAGGCATGATGTCTGAAAAGACAACTACTCCAGTAGAGTCGGGAGTCAGCCAGCTCAGAGGAATGGGCCCCGACGAGCTTGAGCATCGCGGTCCACGATGGCTACAGACTGTCCAGCACTACTCGAATGTCCTGGACCGGAAACTCCACATTGAGAGTCGTGGCATTGAGCGTGTCTTGCCTACAGAACGTGATGAAAACCTCAATTATCTTGATATGATGTTTCTCTGGTTTTCTTGTTCGGCCGTCATTTCTACAGTGGCCACTGGCTTGCTCGCCGGTCCATCATGGCTGGGCCTCAGTGTTACGAATGGCTTCCTAGCAGTCTTCTTCGGCACAAGCCTGGGCGCTGCGAGTGCTGCATACATGGGCACGTTCGGACCGCGACTTGGCTTGCGACAGATCATTCTTGCTCGATTCTCTTTTGGTTGGTACGGTGGCAAGCTCGTCGCTCTGGTGAACGCCATCACCGAGCTGGGGTGGTGTCTCGTCGGAGTTGTCATCGGCGGCCAGATCCTTAGCTTCATCTCGCACGGCTCATGTCCAACGGTGGTCGGAATCATCATTCTCTCCATCCTTTCTTTCATTGTTGCAGGCTTCGGTTACAACATTGTCCATTTCTACGAGCGTTACGCCTTCATCCCAGGTTTCATCGCGACGATTATTCTCTGCGCCGTCGCCTCAAGACATTTTGATTCTGGTGCGCCGAACCAGGTCCACGGAGCGACGTTCTCGGGCAGCTTCTTGACCATGATCACAATTTGCTACGGCTCTGCTTCAGGATTCTTGCCTATTGCTTCTGACTACTATATCACTTACCCTGCCACGACGCCGCGCTGGAAGACGTTCTCATTGACCTGGGTCGGCATTACCGTTCCCATGGTTTTCTTCCAATCAGTTGGCCTGGCCATTGGTGGTGCTCTCGGCAGCACTCCAACCTGGATGGATGTCTATTATGACGAGGGCTATGGCGCGCTTATTGGCACTGCTCTCAAGCCTGTACATGGCTTTGGTACATTCTTGATGGTTGTGTTCTTCCTCGGTCAGAATTTTCCCGCCCAACTGCGTGCCTCACAATCTCTAACGAGTACTAGGTCTTGTTGCAAACAATATTCCCAATACCTACTCTGCGGGTTTGTCCATTCAAGCTCTGACAACCTACTTCGCCATTATTCCGAGACTGTTTTGGACACTTGTCGGCACCCTGATCTATGCGATCTGCGGAATTGCAGGCCGGGGTCATCTGATGACCATTATCTCCAACTTTTTGAGTGTGATTGGGTACTGGACCAGTGCTTTGTTCATGATTGTTCTGCAAGAAGACCTCATCTTCCGCAGAAGGACTGGTTACAATGTCGAGGATTATGCCGACAAGTCCAAGCTACCCTGGGGTGCCGCGGCAGTTCTTAGTTTTCTGCTCGGCATCGTCGGAGCCGTGCTCGGGATGAACCAGACCTGGTACGTGGGAGTCATTGCGAGACAAATTGGCGACTACGGAGGGGAACTTGGGGTCATCATGGCCTTCATCTTCACGGGTGTTTCGTACCCCCCTCTGCGTTGGCTCGAGAAACGGTACAGCGGCAAATAGAGCTTTGTTATTGGTATGTTATTAGATTCTCACACCACATCGACCAACCTGGTATCGCAGGAAGGCGTAATGCATGTAGCACATCATCCCCTCGGGCGCTGGCTGGTGAATACGAGTATTTCCGGTGCAAGACTCCGTGGTAACGAGCCACTGAGCGTGCGTGGTCTCGGGGGTGGATTTCTCCAGCCGAATCCCCGCTGCAACGTCTAAGCGAGATTTTGATAGGGGTCTGGCTCAGACTGGCTGTCTCTGAGAGTAACAAGCTAGTGCAAGCTGCCGCCGGAAAGGGTTTTCTCAGCTGATGGGGCTCAGCTGATGGGCCTCCCCTGCTTAGGCTCTGGCAACATCCGTCTCGCACATGTCTTGGACTATGTAAAGTTTTAAGTTGTAGGCATGGAGTATATGATTATGGGGTACGAGACACTCACCCAACGGGCCTGGAGTTTGTTACAAAGTTGAGTGACGTGCAGTGTAGTATGTACGTAGAGACCCCTTATCAGTGGAGACAGGCACGCTAGGCGTCTGTACAGGGAGGCATTTGCTCAAGCTCTCGCTATAAGGCTTACTGTAAAAGGGCCTGCCACACCCCTGCTAGGCTGGTCCTGGCCTGATAACTTGATGACCATCTACTTAAAGGCACCCTAATGATCCTCGCTCACCAGGCCCGAGCTCCACCCTGGACTTCCGACATTGCCCTGGCCCCTCAATTTGGCGGATCTTCGTCTAGACGATGTGAGAAAAACACTTCCGGCCTCTTCAAGCGTCATGATCAGTCGATCTTTGAACGACAGCAACAACAACAATAGGATGTGACAGACAGCGAGCATAGTTAACATAGCGATCCGTTCAGTCAAGAGACAACATCACATTGTCTCTAGGCGTCATCCGCCGCCACTCTACCCAAACCCACGCGCCGCAATGAGTAATGTGCCACCAAGAACGAACTCTCTCGCGTTCGCAAAGTCGGATTGTCATACGTGCAAGTCAAAGCAGAGAAAATGCGACAGGCAACGACCAATCTGCAAGACTTGCCAGGACGCTGGCGATAAGTGTGCCGGCTTTCAAACACGTTTAGTGTGGGAAGGCAGCGACCTGCCATCACGCCGAGGCGATGACAGTCGACGGCGACATAAGGCACCAGCACGTGCAGAAGCCAGCGATGGAGCAAAGACATCAGGAACTGATGGTGGAGTGATTAAAAGATCTCTACCCTCGAGAAAAGCCGAACGCGAGTTTGCATTTGTGTCAAGTTGGCCGCCTAGGCCACGGAAGAAGCACACTAGGAAGAACTCAGTGACTTCAAAAGAGAACCGTCCACCACCGTCGAACACAGTGACAGCAACGACTGAAGACGTTGCGCCCAACGTAAATCAGAGAGTAAGCCCTCATGCAGCATTCAAGCAGAAGGAGGCGGTGCATCCGAATGCTGATAAGGTTGCGTTTGCGCGTCCGACGATGATGGACCCTACACAAGTAATATTTCCCGAAGACGGTACATACGCGGTCTGGTCAGTTGACGGAGCAAGAGAAGAAGTTCCGATCTTAACTTCTAGCTATATTGCCGATCGGTGGGCTGTAGATGAAGAAAGCCATGCGAGTTTCGCTCAACCTTGGCCTGAGTCTGTCGAAGCAGGGTACTTTCAGAATCCCATGGCCCTCTCCAAAGTCCACCATCAGATTCCATTCGTTATGAGCCAGAGATTCATGACTTCGATCCCGCCTCATGTCCAGTATGCCAGTATACAGGATCAGTATTCAGTTTTACTGGACAGATGTAAGTGATGTTACTGCTACCTGGAAAGCTTATGCTTATCGAAGTAGACGATCAGGAATTCTGCAAATACCCGATCACGATCGATCTGGATACCAATCCGTTCCGGTATCGAAGAGAAACTTCGAGAGGCTCCAAACATCTGTTCCATGCGATTATTGCGCTCGCATGCCATTACAGAAAAGATTATCGACGAGATAAGCCGCCTCCTTTGGAATTCTACGAACACAAGAATCAATCTGTGGTGCTCTACAAAGAAGCTCTGCAGGGTTCGCAGATTCAACACCAGAGTTTACCTGCTCTGGACACGTTGCTTGCCTTGTGGTGTATTGATGTGAGATTGCGTCACTTTGCAAGCGTTGAGTACTGAGCATCTCGAGTGCTAATATTTCCTCATAGACTACAGAGGCGGCTCTGAACGATTGGAGAACTCACCTGAGTAACGCATATGCACTGCTCGAACTCGCTGGTGGCGTAAACACGTGGTCACTGTCCTTTCGGACTCAAACGCAAGTCGCCATGTTTTTATGGTCAGTTGGTTTTGCCGCCCTTGTAGGCGTCACTGACATCCTGTAGGTGGGACGCCGTTGTATCATTGACATCACGTCGTGCTCCGACCATGCCCTACTCATACTTTGAAGCAGTCCTTCAGTGGGAAAGCTCCCCCTTTTGGACATTTTTTGACCTTGTTGGCATTCCTCGAGAACTGCTGGTCCCACTAATGCAGTTTGCCCATCTAGTCGGGCAGATGAACAGCAAAAACATGTCCCAAAAGACATTGCGCAAAATCGTTACCGAAATTGAGTCGAACCTGAAGGGCCATCACTCTCTCCAGGAGGATCTAGAATCCGACGATACGGACGAGGATAAGTTGCAAGAGGCGAGAGATCGATTTCATTGTTGTGAGGCCATCCGACACTCACTACAGATATACGCTATCAGAGTGTTCCCCGATCAGAATATTCCCGTTGCCCGAAGGAGTGCTAGACTCAAATATCTGAGCCGACTGAGTCTAGACCACGTCATCTCAATACGAACATCGTCGGACACTTTGAAGCAGTTGTTACTTCCGATTTTTTTCGCAGGCGCCGAGACGGATGATCAACGCCACAAGGATTTCATCCGCGGATACTGTGAGCGATGGTATGGAGTATTTGGGTATGATATGTTTCCTACCACCGCAGAAATTCTGGAAGAGGTCTGGGCCAGCCAACTTATGGTCCACCAGGAACTATGGTGGGGAGAAGTGATTGACATGCGAAGGCATGCCTGTCAAGAAGGAGACTACGACTTTTGCTTTGGGTAGGGCTTACGAGTCTTCGTGATACAAAAACCTCGGTGACATGTAGATGTAATAACTATAATGAATCAAGAGCAGCCTCGCGCAGCGAGCGCACATCAGTGTCGTTGCAAACATTAGTGCACAGAGGATGACTAGTGCCTTGGCAAATGGACGTGCTAGTGCTCGGCAAACCTTCGTTTTCTGGCCCCGGCGATGAGCAAACCCAACGATGTCATGCCCTTGGACTCTTCCAGACTCGTCCCCAGGCACTCATCAAAGCCGCCTCTCGTCCACCATTTGACCTCTCTTCGGATCCTAGTGTTCAAGATCTTCTTCCTGGCTCTCACTTACGACTCCTCTCGTTCACGTTCGCCTAGCCGAGTGCCTGGACTCGCCGAGGTTTCGATCGTTTTTGCCCCCGCGATAACAACCGCACTCATAAGCAGGGCGAGTTCTTCTGCCTAACACAACGGATAGGACTTGCTGTTCATTCTAGGCCTGGGCGAACGCGCCTCGTACCCTCGCTGAATACACGTCCAGCAAACGTTGCCGTCAGCCGCCTATCGAAATGTGGAGTTGGTTTGGAGGGGCAGGAGCCCAAGCGAGAAGAGATGCACCAAAGAACGCCATCCTGAAGTTGCGACAGCAACTGGACATGTTACAGAAACGAGAAAAGCACCTGGAAAGTCAGATGGCAGAGCAAGATGCCATAGCCAGAAAGAACATATCCACCAATAAAACCGGTAAGCAAGGCCGCAGGTACCCCACTAAGCCCAAGGATAATGTACTGACACAGTCATGGTGTAGCCGCAAAAGCTGCTTTGCGACGGAAGAAGCTGCACGAAAGAACGCTCGAACAGACGTCGGCACAGATCGCCCAGATTGAACAGCAAATCTACTCCATTGAGGCTGCCAACATCAATCAAGAGACTCTCAACGCCATGAAGAACGCGGGCGCGGCTATGAAACAGATCCACGGTAATCTGACCATCGACAAGGTGGACCAGACAATGGACGAACTACGTGAACAACATGCTCTCGGCGAAGAAATTGCCAATGCCATTACGAATGCACCCATCGGCGAGCCTATCGACGAGGCAGATCTTGAAGAAGAGTTGGAAGGCCTGGAACAGGAGGCCATGGATGAGAGAATGATCAGCACTGGCCCAACGCCCGTCACAGGGGAAGTTAGCAGGCTACCTGCCGTCTCAAATGCTCCGAGTAAGTCATCCGCGTGCGAGCCTACAGTTCTCAGTGGCACTGACACTTTCACCAGTCAAGCAAACATCGCAAGAAGAAGACGAAGAGGAAGAGTTGAGAAGAATGCAAGCAGAAATTGCGCTGTAGGAGACGTGTGCTTGGTGCCAGGGACGGGTTTCGCAGTCGCAGTTTTGGTATAAAGACTTCTTTCTTCTTCATGTGGCCCACTCCAATCCTGCTTCTCCTATAGTCACGGCCCTCCACCATCCGCAAACGGAGCAGACCGCGATACCTGAACCAGGAGCAGACTCTAATATTCAGAACAGTAAATGGTCGGCGTTACAGAGCGAGAGATTTGTTCTTGACTTGAATTTCGTAGGGGGGTTTGTGCATGCTGCACTTTTTTTTCCAAGAATTGGCAATGAATTATCATGCATTTTTCCTCGATGCTACCACGCGGCCATTGTATCTGTGTTCATGTCTATCATATGTCCGTGATTGAATCCGTAATGCATCAACCATTGTACTCCCTTGTAGGGACGGAGTACTCTACAAGCGCTCGACTCACCCATTTCTTCACCCATCCCCTAAAACTATATCTACTCTCTCGGTGGGTTCTTAAACCACATCAAGGATGATAAGATGCATTTACGAAGGAATAAGAAGTAGAAGTGCCCCTTACTCTGCTACCATTGTACTGCGAGGAACGGAGGGGTACTGCCCTCGGGGATATTTCTTCAACTTCTAGAGCTACTCGCGCGAACCCTTGTGACTTCCGATGAGAGCCACCCCTCCCTCTGAGCCAGCACAGCATGCACGGCAGTCCAAACACACAATGCCTAGCGTATTCGCTTCCTGGGAGACTGATGTCACCACTCCAGACTCGTTCGCAAACCAAGACCAATATGAAAGACTTAGCCAAGAAATGACTTTTTCAGGATTTGAATGTCATAGACTTCCCGCTCATCTCTTTGCCCATCTTGTTTCGTCTCGCTCCGGTACTGGTATCCAGCGCCTTTGCGAACGGATTCATCTTCTTCGTAGGTTGGGCCTTCGGTCCTGACTCAGCGGTTGAAGTCAAAAGGGACTCTGCACTAGCGTAGTCGAAAGGCTTGATTTCTTGGGCAGCCTGTTCCGCAGCTAGCTTTTCTGCCTGCTTCCGGGCCTTTTTCTCTGCCTTCTTCTGTTTCTTTGCTAGACGCTTGTCTGCATACGCAGGGTCAAGAGTTTGTGCTGCCTCCTGATCATCTGCCTGATCCGGGTCAGCGGAAGCGGAGGAGTCGGCCATAGACGGTAAAGTAGTTGCTATTTGCTCCTCTATCGTGTCAGTCTCGCCCGCTTTACGTTTCTTGGATCGTGAGCGTTCCTTCAACGTGAAGATTTCCTTGGACTTGGTTTGTTGGAGAAGTCGGCTTGGCGCTGTTTCGATAGGAACTGTAGTTTGCGAAATATCGACGGGACCTGGCTCTGTTGGCTGTTGAGCGACTAATTCTGGAGCATGAACCGTGGGTAACGGAAGAACAGACGCCAAAGCAGCGAAGGCAGTAGCAGGCTCGGTTGCGACGTGTTCATGATTCGGCGTGATGGTGCCCCAAAGGTGAGATGAAGCTGACCGTGTGGCAACAGGAATGTCAAACGCCAATACAGCGGAAGACGACACACTTTCATTGGCAGCGGTGGCGACGAGCTGCTTCAGAGTCGCACCTACACCGTCGTATGTAGTCTGTTGTTCTCGTCTTGGTTGGAATCTCGGGCCTCTGCGAGGGAAAATGCCATACGCCGTTTCGGCATGTTTAAGTACCTCCTGCACAGTCTTCCCTTCCTTTCCCTCGGCTTTGGCCTTCTTGATAACCTCGATCAACTCCGGAAGGTAATTGGAAATTGCCTTGGTGTTGCGACGAATCGTGGCATGAAAGTTGAATGCCGACGTCGGCATGGTTTCTGCTATCTGGAATAGAACTTGATTAGACATGATAAATTGTAATCCTTCATCAGTCTCTCGTGCTTTGCGGTCCCGCCACTCATGCACTGCTCGAAAAACGCTGAACTGTTCTGGCCCAAAGGTCACCGAACGTTGCAAGAGAAGATTCAGCCAACCTAATGAGCCCCGTCCAGTCTCTGCGTCATACAATGGACGCTCATATACTTGAAGAGATTCTTTCTTTGACTCTCGGAGAACGTAATCGACCAGATTTTCGTTGGGGGTGGATGCCTCAACCAACATATTCCTGACGTTGTCGTAGATGTGAAGAAGGAAATGGGTATCTGAGCGAGCATAGTCCAACAATTCCTTGGGCAGAGGCCGCACGCGCCAATCTGCAACTTGGTACTGTTTCTGTGCCTCGAAATTGGCGAATCGCTGCAAGAGATACTTGAGGCTTTTGCCTTCGAAATGTAGAGCCATGGAAGCGTGGAAAGTATCAAACAGACCGACAACGTACAGACCGAGATCTCGCTGTAGCCAGATCATGTCCATATTTGAGCCGTGAAAGAGCTTGAGGATTTTAGGATCCGCAAATACCTCATTCAGCATCTGTAAATTCTCTCGCCACGGTTTAAGCGTATCGATAATCCAATCTTTCTCTCTTGTGCTGATTTGCATGAGGCAGACCATACCAACAAAGGAGCGCATATCATTATGTTCCAAATCAATGGCTATCTCTGAGGCTTGCTTTAGCTCGTCTAGCATTTCTTTCACGCCTTCTTCGGTATCCACATAGATTGGTTCCGTGTTCTCAGGTGGAAGAAAGGGGATGGGTGGCTTAATCTCGTAGACGCTGGGTGGATAGGTATAGTCTTCTATCTCTGGGGCATAAGGGTGCTTGTACCTGGATCGCAGTCAGTGGCAGAGCTGGAACAGAGTGAAATGGCATTTACCCAGATTCTTCCTCCACCATGCACTCCTCAAGAGGCACTTGCGCATGAGGCTTGGAGCGGAGGAGAGGCTTGAAAGGTTTCGTGTCATTGTTGTTGACTTTCTTCTCGAAATGAACTTGTGGCTTTTGCATCACATTAGAAAAACGATCTCTGACGAGCTTTGCATTTTGTGATGGCAAATCTCCCTCCTTCAAACTCGGACTATGGCGCTTTATAACTCCAGAGACTTCGTCCAGAGCAGAGTCTGCCTTTTCCAGTAGATCATCTACTATATCCACAACTCGCCGCCAATTGTCGTCAATCCCATCTGGACTCTGGAGAGTTGGAGGTTTGATACTCGTATCTGTAGTGGCAGCCTTGAGCAACTTGTTCGTGAGACGCAAGAGATGAGCATTTTGACGATCAAGAGCGCGGGACAGTTTCTCGCTGGACGAGCGGTGGAAGCCCAGATCCTCATTCGCAACGCGGCCTGCTGTTCTCGTTGCATTGACGAGGGCTTTCTGAACTTGGTCTTGGAAAGACTTGAAGTCTGCAGTCAAATCCGCCGCAGCTTCTTTGGAGTCTTCGGAGGTCATCGTGACAATGATCTTCTATCCTGATCAGACCAGGAGAGATCGAGACTCGCCTCGCGATGGAATTTGGTCCTCACCCTTCGATTGAGAGATTTCAAAAAGTCGCAGATTGAAATCTCCAAATTCCCCACAAACGACATACGAGGTATAATTGGTTCACCATACAATATCTACGGTCGACTATAAGACCAAAGCGTACGCCTTACCTCGTGTCCCGTACTCGCAAGGCAATCTGATCTTGCCATGACTCAAAGTACACCCGCTACCGAACCAAGAGCAGGGAGATGACATACACATGGCTCGTCCCAAGTGATGCTTCGCAATGCTACCCATGCAGCGTCTCGTCTGATCCTAATGCTGACTTGAAGAAATGGAGATTTCCTTCTCATGCTGTAACGGGCCGATCTGTGATCAGTTCGATTAGGTAACAGCCCAGCAGATTTTCTATGAAGGTGCTCATTCCTTCATGGCCAATAGCTGACAGCTGGAAGCTGATGTGAAGCATGCTGATCATCAATAGGTGGCATTTGCAGTCACCGGACTTGTAAAAGCGTCGTGATCAGGACATCTAAACGACACCCTTGTCCCTGCTACGAAATGCAGCAGAATGTAACTTTGGGAGGGCACAGGTGTCACAAGTGTTACCGATACTTCGGATAGGGTTACACGGGGGTGCTTCGTCTGGGCCTGCGCAACATCACCACGGTGAGGCTGACGTCCTGTAGCTTTGCAGGAGAGTAATTCCCATGAGCCCCTCTTCGCAAGAAGACCAGGCTTACCCAAGTTTCAAGCAGCTTTCGTCATACCTACCATACGTCGCGTTCACGCCATGGTATCAATGGCCCAAGACAAGACAGAAATAGGCTGGCAGGCATCGCGAAGGATCGCGACCTATGTTGTAGATCGCAGTGGAACGCTCCGACACTCGACGCGCTGAAGCCAGCTTTCGCGCATTGTCGCACCCAAGGTGATATACCCGGGATACCTTGACCTGTTGACTGCTGGTGAGTTTCCGTTGACTTGTTCCGCTCGTTGTCGGTGAGTCAAAAGGGGAGAGTCAACTTTTGAGGACTCCCATCTGCAAGGCGGCGCAGTATCTTTGTGTACACGGCCCCCAGCGCCGTAGCTTCGTTGTCCACTCCCAGGACAAGTCCCCATCTGTCCGTCAGTGAGCATTGCAGTCATTTTCAGGCATGCGTCGTCCAATGCAATCACCGATTGCCCCATCAATGAGCGCCTTGACGACCTTCACGCGTTGAGCGGGTGACACGGATGAGCTTGCGATGCCCGCCGTGCTTGTCAGGTCAACACTACAAGAGAAGTCGCATGTCTCCTATCTCATGCAATCTATGGAGAGGGGCGTCGCACTTGCACTTCACTTCTGAAGTGATCATTCTAACAAACCGCCCAGACACTTCAGCTACCATGCTTCCAGCTTCAACACTTCCACACGAATCTTCTCAGCTCTCATCGTTGCTGAATAAAAGGCTGCGTCAAGCGTGTGATGCTTGCCATAGTGCCAAAACCAAGTGTTGTGGCAGCAGCCCATGTACACGATGCCAGCGTTCTGGGAGTCCTTGCGTCTACAGTCAGCCAAATCGAGCTGGAAGGCCAAAAGGGACGCGAAATAAGAGAAGCAACGACAATATCCAAGTCGACCGTACTCGAAGCGAATCGAATGGATCTTTACGGATGCCACTGAGCAAGAGCAACAGCACCAGTGGAAATAGCATCAATGTCCATAACAACCGCTACTCCGATGCTCGAAACATTCCAGTCCCTCTGACTCAGCTAAATGCGCCATACCAAATCCCAGAATCGTCTTCTTCTTCTGAATCTTTCTTAACCTCCAGCATATCGTCGCCCTTAAGGCCACAATTGTCTCTACGAGGTCAACATCAGAACAGTGGGGACAGCCTTCCGTTCGACTTCAACCCCGGCCACGACTTCCCTACATCCTCCAGCCATGTCCATGATCCAGCAGCTATCTATGAACAGAGCTTATCTCTTCCAGTGATTGCGAACGACTTGAGTGTCGACCCTGTGGAACTCTGCTCAGGCTTGAATCCTGACGTCGGCATGGGCGACGGGCAGTCAGCCTGCTGCGTGCAGATACTTCCCGATATCTTTGGTCTTTCAACCACCGCGGCAGAACTCTCTGCAATGTCCCCCTCTCAGTTTCTGGGAGACTCAATCTTACAGTCTATCCAGCAAGGAGATATCGTCTTTTCAAGGTCTTCTGGTCTGACCTCCGAGCCACTTTCGAAGACTACGACAAACAGTAACAGCACCGAATCGAAATGCTCGACAGTTTGTAACAGCATTGAAGATGGAAGTTCTGCAATGCTACAGGTGTGGTCCTCGAATGAATCTTCTGGAATGTCGACTTCCGATTCTGATGCCTTAGGCCTGGCTTTTTCGCCGTTGTTTGCTCCCAACAGTCACGCCTCACTCGACGAGAACAGGTGTTAATGTCTACATTGGCACGCCAAGCTACTTGCACATCTACAAGAACTGCTCAAATGCCTATCGGAGCTTCCGGTTGATGTAGTTCTGAATAGAGTAGAGCAGGGGTTGAAGTCGTGGGATACATATCTGCAATGCCGCATACGCCACCAAGACCAGCACGGAGAAGTCTTGCTCTTATCCGCCATGAGCATTCGAGCAGTCACGCGACTTTTACAAGACGCTTCTCGACGTGTGTTCTCGCAGTCCAATTCAAGTGAGCGGCCGCAGGGGGACAATAATAGATCACAGCAAATGGGCTTTCCGCCAAAGCAACGGGACACCAAATTCACCTTTGGTGGCCATGACATCAAGGGCGAAGAGAGTATCTTATTGCTCGGTGTGGTATTCTCCCGCATCTTGGCCAACATCCAGAATGTGCTCGCATCTCTCAAGAAATCTCTTCCACGCCTATGTCACGGTGAGGTCGATTTTCAAGAAAGCGACACCTACATAAGCTATCTACGCAAATTGCTTGAGGGGCTGGAGGCTGGTGCGCAAGTGTTGTCAGCAAATTTGTTAGAGTTTCGTCTGTGATATATCGAATAGGCCTTGTTCATACGGAAGGCATTAAATGTATTAAATGTTGGTCAGATCAACTTGAGCTACTAGGGAGATCAATTTACGCTGCTGTCTACTTTGTCCTTGGTAGGCTCTTGCGACATCATACTGCTCTGTCCTTGAAGCTTGGCAAATACCAGAAGCCCCCTGAATCTCGCAGCCTCGGGCTACAAATGTGCGGCACCTTTCAACACAAGAAAACCGTGAGACAAATAAACCATCACGCGTTTTCGAAGAGCATAAAATTGATGCCCTGGATGAGCAAGGGAAACAAAAACCCTTACATCTAACCGTCAGCACTAGATCAAGCTTGACATTGTAACCATAAAAATCTAGAACTGATGCCACACAAACCCAGACTCCCAAAACGACGTGTAGCTAGGGATATAAATAAGTAGGTACCGGTCCAAGCCAACCCAATCAATGAATTGAATACCAGTCCTTGATCTCTCTGGGTATGTCCGAGTTCTCACAATCCCTTCCAGGGAGTCATATTATTCATCATCACTCCGTGCCTCACCTCGGCCAGTCGCTTCCCCGGCCGTCGAGCCCTTCTTGAACTTCTTGCGCAATTCCTCCTTCGCATACCCAAACGTGACGGCTGCTGACTTGAGAGCCTTTCCGACTTTCTATCCCGCCGCAGTTAGCACACGCAAAGCGACAGTGTGAACTCCCGAAGAATTCCTAAGAACGGGATAGGACAGACACTCACATTGCTTGTCAAGAGATCCATCATTTCGGCAAACACATCGCCGATTTCTTTACGTTGAGAAGCCCAGGTTCCTTTGGCATTGAACCCATCAAGACCAAGATCTTTGCCGTACGCGGCTTCAAGCAGGACACTTCGGCTTGGAAACGCCAACTCGACGTGCTTCTTGGTGGGGATCATGTGCACACCGCAGAGAACTTGTCTGAGCTGGCCTGCTGCTCGGCCACCGCCGTGACCTCCGTAGCTGACAATCATGGCCGGTTTGCCTTTCCACTCGTTGTACAGGTAGTCGATTGCGTTCTTCAGAACGGCAGGGTACCCCCAATTGTACTGTGGGCAGACAAAGATGAAGGCGTCGTAGCTTTGGACTTCTTGACTCCATTCGCGGGTGTGGGCGTGGGCGTACTTGGTGTAGTCATGGATCTGGGATGGGACGTCGGGCTCGTCGAAGAACGGGAGGTTCCGCTCAGCGAGATCAATGACTTTGAATGATGGTTCGAGAGACCAGCGGTCTTGGTATGTGGATTCAATGGCTTCCAGGACAAAGTTGGCGATTTGGGGGTTCGCACGGGGTTTTCTGTTGCTGCATATCACCACTGCGACTTTGGCGACGCTTTTGGCCATGCTGATTGTATCCGGTGGGGTTTGTGATCTGTTACTTGCAAAGCTATGCTGGTACAAGATGGTACGCGGTAGTCAGATGGGCCTTCAGGGTCAGAATGTCGCTATTCGGCCTCGCCTAGAGCACCTGTGAGAGGGTTGACGCGGTGAGACGTTGCGAAGATATACTGAATGAAATGGAAGGGAGAAGCTTGTCAGTAGTGAGAGCAGAAAGCGGACTCTTATCTTGTGGAAATTCCAGGTTCATCTCTCCTACAAGCGCCAACGAGTATATGCCTCGTCTACCATTTGAGTGACAAGACATCATCACATTCCCCCAAAACACCTCGCTGCTGGCTGCCGAGCGAGAGAGACGAGATGGCAAGGCCGGTACGCGAGATAAAGTTCGTAGCTCGTTGACAGGCTCTTGAGCCAGACAAGGCCAGTTGATTGGAGAGCGCATGGACGACGTTTCAAAGTATTCGCTGGTGCCTTTCTGCAATCGGTCAAGCTCCATCTGTTGTGGCCGAGGTATTAATACCGAGCCGATTGAAAGACCGAGCGTCCCAGGGCGGCGCTTGACCCCATTTATTCTCCCAGGGCATAAAGGGGAGCAAGGCTGAAGTGGCCCCAGGCCAATAATGGTCCCGGCAGTTACGGTCCATTGCAAGCCTTCGCCCGACCTTGAAAGCCAGCGTGAGCTTGACCAACTTTCGCCCGAGCCTTGTGATTTCTCGTCCATAGCTCGTTCTGTCTGCTTGATTGCGACTTCATGACGCAAAGTGGCAGCTGCAGGTGGGCTAGAGGACATGTGAGATGAGAAGCGCATTTCTTCTGCCGTGTATCGCGCGTGGAACAGAGCGCGGAATGCTCGTCCCCGATATGAGTCGTTGAAAAACAAAAATCGACGAGGATGAGCCCTCTGCATCGGCGCATTTCTTGACTTCCCGCGGACAACTCGTGCAAACTTGGGACAAAGACTAATTGCATCTCACTCCGATACATATGTGGACAGATCATGTGCAAGTGCTACAAAGACCTTTGGAAGGTGTTTTGGACCACGGGGACAAGAATCGCACGGCGAGGTTCTGGCCAAAGAAGTCCCAACGCCATGTCTGTGCTGATGTCGCTTCTCCCGAGCGCGGTTTGTGCAGCCATGTTGACCGTCTGCAGGGCCATGCTGGTGCCGACACCATATAGAATCTGGTATCACGTCCACTTCGAACTTCTTGTTGAAGGTTTGAGCTGCGTCAGAGGTACCGCGTTGAAGCCAGTCTGGCTGGAACGACGCACTGCCACTACCCCGCCGCAAGGTATCCGCGTACCTTTCAACTCGTCCCTCTTACGAAGCGGTGTACATCCCGGCGGCAAGTTTTTGCAGAAGCGGATTGTTGAAAGCACTATCCGAGCAGACAGTCTTCTGGGCAAGGGGTTGCCGAATGTTATGGCCGAGAGGTTCTCACTGGATCAATTATACATCGGGCAAGCGTACAGACTAACACAGAGTTCTGTGTGGAAGCAGATATTGGAGCAGGGCATGCATTGCAGACATTACAGTATCACTTGGCAGGAACCAGAACGGAACCTCCCTCCGCATCCTGACGTGCATAGTAAACACTCCAACCAGCTTTCGGAAGATCAATGGTCTCATCTTGAGTCAAGAACTTCATGAAAACGCCATGCGTAACCACCACGATGGCCTTGTTTGGATCATTGAGCGACTCGTCGAGCTCCCTGAGACGTTGGCGTAGGTTTCCTGCGCGAGCCCGAAGAGCTTCGTCGTCTGGAGTATACGGGCCATCCTTGCGAGGCCAGCTCTCAGGCAAAGTTGAGAAATCCAACCGTGGAAACGTATTCGCCAATGTGTCCCTATCGGAACCTGTATCGCAAGGGAGATCGCTTCGCTCTTGGGCGTCTGCGTCGACCAACAATTCCACGCCTCCGCTCACCCCTTGGCTGGATTGAGGGTCGAAGTAGCGTTTGTCGAGGATGTTTGAAAAGGCTGAGAGCGTTGTTTGAAGCGCACGTTGCAGTGGCGACGTCAAGATGAGACCGACTCGGTCTGGATCAGGGAATGTTCGCCCGAGCTGTTCGGCCTGTTGCAGTCCCAGCTCAGTCAGGCCAGGATCCAATTGATCGAAGTTGTGGTCGACATTGTGCTTTGACTCGGCGTGCCTAATGACGAAGATCTTGCTCCCCATTGTGATGTGAATGTTGTAACTTTACACGCACACGACTGCAACTGCAATGTGCATCCGGGATGCCAACCTAGCCACGGTATCTAGATACTCATGGCATCCTTGGAAGATGATGGAAGATTACACCTAAGGAGACGGCACTGTCGCCAAGTCAAATCACGCAATTGCACAAGAATCTTATCTGTTGTAGGAGAGAAGTTATTCATTGCCGCTCTTACAGCTGATCTTTTCCAAGCTGATACGGAGGCACCTTCGCTCTGAATACAGTTTCATATCGACATATACTTGTAAGGTCTTCGCGAGTCCAGAGTGAGCAGCGGCGCCAAACACCCTTCTTCTCGTTCGGGTGTGGAGTGAAGAGAGAGCAATTCGACCACAGCTCGGCAAAAAAACGCACCCTTTTCTTATCTACCTTCTCACCAATCTTTCGATCCGCATTCTCCAAGATATCATCCGTCAATACCAGTGCCATACATACTGCAAGTCTGCATCTGTTTGATCCAAACTATTACTGTATCTCACAGAGTAATATTGGATGAAAAAACACACCTATTGTCACTGATTTTCCCCCGCTTATCCCCCCTCTCCGCGGCCAAAAATGGCCGAGAGAACAAGAAGACCACAATGTCTGCAACCGCCAACCCCTTACTGCAGGCGTACATGAGGTTCTGCTGAGCTGTACAGTTTTGATATTTTTGCGGGTGTGGTTATGGGACGTCTACTATTGATAATGGTTATTGTGAAAGAACGTCCTGGTATGGATTGCTCTTCGTGGTTTGCTGAGTTTTTGCCCCCAGCGAGTCTTTCTTAATGCCGTGAAACAAGCCAAAGCACGACTAGACTACAATCACCTGAGGAAGGCAGGTTCCTAACTTGAGGTAAGACTCGCCGGGACTGGAACTGTTGTCAATGCAAGCCCCAAGCAGGTCTTCAGATCCGCAGAGTCGCCTCACCAGTGAGCGCGAGTCCTGGGGTGCTCTCCCACCGTGCCGCAGCAGCCAGCAAGTACACTTTCCTCGTCAGCATTGGGTCGATGCAGTTGAGACAAGCTGGTTTCAGATCCTCCGCACAGTCTGGTAAAAAGGCTTCAAGGTGTTTCTTCTCGACCTCCCCGGGCAGAGACAAGTCGATCCCGCATTGGCGGCTTCACGTACAGCGAGTTGGCCCTCTTGAGAATACACTTCGACTCAACCTTTCTCATCTCTGTCCTTTTAACCGCGGTCGCGCTTCACATGTGCAAGAGATACCAGACCTTTGAAGCAATTTAGCTAAAGACAGACCCGCAGGGCCGCTTCCAGCTTCTAACAATAGCAAGGCGAGGACCAGTCATAATATATATGGGTGGTAGAGAACTCTTGTTTGGGTCTCGAGTCTTTGAAAAGACTTCACTCGTGAGTAGGCCGCATGAACGACATACTTGACTTTTATTATACACGGGGTGCCAGTTGCTTCGCACACTTGACGCGTGCTTCCCGAGGGCATGGCAGAATCGCGGAGGGCTACGTAGTACCTTTGTACCGTCGGCGGCAGGCGCTGATTCAAGGCGCAAGCAGTACGCAAGCAGTGAAAAGACGGTCTTCCGTTTCAGCCACGGGACGCTGCGATATGGCTATGAACTGCTGTTGGAAGGACAGGGGTGCCTTTAAAGGCCCCGTGCTAGTGAGGCTCGCTCGGCTTTAGCAAACTCAGCCATGACTCGATATAGACCGAGGGCCGATAACAAGCAACGACAAAGCACTGCGCAATCCTGCATGACTCGCGTCGCCAAAGTTAGAGATTGGTTGGTTGCCACAGAACAACAAATTAATGGATCAGGGTCATCCCTTGTGTAGGATGGGAAGTTGGTCGGTTGCCATCTCAATTAGATGCGAAGGAGGAAGACGTAAACCCCGGGCACGAACATATGGCAAAGACCGCGACGATGGAAAAACTTTGCATAAAGACGAGAGGAATTGAATTGTTGGGCGATTGTCTTCTGCCAACCGTTGTATCAGTGACAAGAAGGAAGAACAGGATGGTGGAGGTGTAAGTGCGCACAACTAACGACTTACTCTGTAGAGACTATGCATTTACCCTCTCGCGGATCCATGCATTGAATCACCGCTCTCAAGATATCACTCACGCGAACATTCAGTCGGCCACCTTCTGCCTCTTCAACACAGTCACAGCATTACATCCTTGTGCTACTAATCCGAGTCATACCGTCCTTGGGTTCACCAACTCCATCTGCGGCCTGCCGTACGATAGCCTCGTCGCAAGTCGCTCTTCTCGATACACAAATCACAGCCTGAGCCCGTCACCAGTAGCCGTCCTATTTCGACATGTCGGCCAACGTCAATCCACCAGCAATCGAGAATGAGTTGACCAGAGCCATGGATGCAGCTTTGAGGCCGCAAACAACACACAAGATCGGTGTCATCGTCTGTAGTCAACGCAAGCCACGAGCAGGTCTTCAGATCGGCACCTTTGTCCTGGAGACACTCCAACATTTTCAAAAGACTCATCCAAGCCCTCGTCCCTATGAGCTGAGCCTAATCGATCTCAACGACCACCCTCTGCCACTCTTCAATGAACCTGACGTGCCTTCACGGATCAAGTCGGCATCAGACTACAAGTATTCGCACACCCGTGCCTGGTCTGAACTTGTCTCTTCATACAATGCCTTCGTCTTTGTCACTCCCCAATACAACTGGGGCTATCCTGCTAGTATCAAGAATGCCATTGACTACCTCTTCAACGAGTGGAGGGGCAAGCCGGCAATGGTAGTTTCCTATGGCGGTCATGGTGGAGGCAAGGCTGCATTACAGTTGCTGCAAGTCTTGGAGGGGGTGAACATGAAGGTCACCAAGGACTTTGTGGCTCTCCAGTTCCCCGACAGAGCCTTTCTTTACAAAGCGGCGCACGGCGAAAATCTCAACCTGAATGTGGTACCAGAAGAGGCAGATGGTCAGGGAGTTATTGAGACGGAGGATCCACAGGCGATACTCGATGGTGTCGATGCGACGGATGAAGCTGCGAGGAAGGCAAAGGAGCCTCTGTGGGCAAAGGAAAGTAGAGAGCTCTGTAGCCAGTTCTGGGAGTTGGTCTCGGTCTTGAATGGCTAAAAGATGTCTGGAAAGGCTTGCTCTTGTTAGTGGACGATAGGAACGATGAGCTCCAGTCGTGGAGTTAGCAGAGAATTGCTGTTATCATTTCGAATGGTCCCGCAAAGGGAAGCTGTTGAATGACTCCTGGTTCAGACTCGAGGGGTGCATCTTCACAGCAGGTACTATCCTTGAGGCTGCCAATCTTTTCGTTCAACATAGATGGTGAGGTAGCGCTGAACCAGGCTCCAGAGTACCTAAAATGAGTGTGCACAGGCTTCCAGATAGATATTTAGGGCAGTTTTACGAGCGCAGGCGGCACGGATTAACATAACTCCGCGCAGCGTCATACAGTCTGTCCAAGTCTTTTCTCGCCTTTTCTTGGAAGGCGAATCTTCAACTCGCTCGACGAAGAGCAACATGTCAGCATCACTGGCGCCAGAATGCAACGAAGTCAAGGAGTATGGCATGCCAATGAACTACTGGCAATGCTGACTGGTATAACAGAAAGTATGACACTTGTTTCTTGAAGTGGTACTCAGAGAGTACGTCACCCAAACTCACACCTCTTTGTCAAATAGACTGATAGCTCGCAGAATATCTGCGAGGCAGTTCATCCACCGATGAATGTGAACCACTCTTTCGCAAGTATAAAGCTTGCTTAACGGTACTATGGTCTCCGTTTGTGACATGGTTGGGAGCTAATTACATAGCAGAAAGCGCTAAAGGACAAGGGGATCGATACCATGCTGGCCGAAGCCAGAGAAGGGACCGTTCACGAAACTGACGCTGAACACCTGAGAAGATGACAGCCGAAGCAGCCCCTTCGTATCTATCTCGTGTACTTGTAATTATCGAGTATTTTCAGTGTCGCCATCAAGATCAGGCCGAGAGAGTTTGCACGATCTGACTTGCATCATCTCTGTACCACCAGATCACTTCTCAACACCCATTTCTCTCCACTCCGCACTTCTTTGCCTTCATGAAACAAGCAGTCGTCGCCATGTTTATGAAGCAAAGCCATGCCAGTCTCAAGGCCGATCACTATTGGCTCCGGTGGTGGAACACCCCTCTTGGAAGGCTCCGGGTAGAAGGCAGTCTCACCTCCCTGGCAAGTTGTGAGGTAGATTAGCAGAGTCCAGGTGGTTTTGGCGGGCACTTTGTCCTCGCCAAAGTGTATTTTATTGCTTTCATCGTAATGTTTGTCAAAAAACTGGCCTGGCCGGTATCTGTATACTCTAATGTTGGAATTCAGACCAAGAATCTTGCCATCGAAGGCTTTTGTATCGCCAAACGATTCCACCAGGGACTTGAGCCCGCTACTTTCCCAGAGAGTTTTGGCAAATATCGGGTCTTCGATCTGAAAACGATCATTGACGCGGACAGCCTCTCCCCTTTTGGGTTTCCCCGGAGTCGTGGTCAACGGTAGTGAGGCCAGAAAGGCAACATAGTTCTTGCATAGCGTAGACGTGAAGAGGTTCCGAATCACCAGAATCTGGCCGTCAAGGACAGTCTCGATCGACAGATGGTCAGCTGGAATGACCGGAGTCAAAGGTGGCCAGTTTGGTGCTGTGATACCCGTGCTAGGTCCTGGCTTCGGATGAAGAGCATTCTTCTGCTTTGCTCTAGGAGGCATGGCCTTCGTGGTGGAGTCACATGGAGGACTCGTAGGCTGGTGTGAGTAGAGGCCGGAGGGCTCACTCGTCGGTCGTCCAATCGTCTCGAACTAGTAGTTCACTTGTTGACTCATTGAGGCTCAGAGGTGAACTGATCGAGTCACTCTGTCTAGTCGCAAGTTAAATGCGATCCTGGCCAGCAGCATGTGATGATTCCCCGGTTCAGCCATCGAGATGCCTCAGTGTCTGTCATTCCAACCAAAAATCTGAACAGCGTGCGTGTCTGTGATTGGTCAAATGACAAAACTCCGCGACTCTGGCGCTGTCTCCGTCTCCGACGCCCGCGACAACTTCGAACTTTTGTTCTCCATCTTCTCGCCCGGTAACGAAGTCGCCCAACCGACGACAAGTCTCTCGCCTCGCCCCTTCCTCCCGTAGAATTCGCAGACCTCGGAATGTCGTCGCAGGCAATTGCGACGTCGGCTAGAGGTCTGCCGGATTTCCCATCGTCCTCCATTAACCTAGACGACTTCGAAGATCAACAATGGCCCGCTCCCTCGAACCCCCACCGACACGACTCGCAGCCACAGGATGAAGCGGATCAATCGCCTGTCGAGGACGGTCATTCTTGGAGCGAAATGGACGCCCAACAAAGAAAACAAGCCGTTGGCAATCTGTTGGCGGCGCTGGCACCCATAAGCCCTGAGCAGACCGCAACTATGGCCGACGGACCAACAACGCATCCAGGGCTTTCTGCGGTCAAAGCCGATGATACGAACGGCCAGGCAAATGCTAGTGAATACACAACACAAGATACCAACCCAGGCAACCAGAATGTGAATGCGAACGCCGCCATCTCTGTTCCTCCGCTCCCTCCCCTCAACAATGACGACTTCATCGATGAAAACGTCGCGCCACCATTTTCCCCATCTCTTCCTCAGGAGTCATTTGGCCAATCCCAAGCAAATTTAGTAGGAGATGACACATTCGGCATAGACCAAGCAGAATCACTCGCACCAATGGCGTCCCAGGGGCCCCTTCCCGAACGAAGAGAAATCGAGGCTTTTGCAAAGATTGAATTCGAAGATGGAAACTACTACATAACCACATACGCATGCGAATTAGGTCGCGATGCCTTTGCGTACCGAGCTGCTTCAGCAAGAGCTGCCGAAGCACGTCAGGCAGATCAAGAACGCGCTCAAAGTTCCAGTGGAAGACGATCCGGTTTTCCTGATGCGGTCTCCAGACCAGGCGACAGTCAAGTTCAAGGAAGTGTGGTCAGTGAGGCTGGTGGCTTTGGTGGTGTCGATGAAGCCCCTTTGCCAAACGAGCCGGATCATAAGGATTCTCACCACATGCAATCTCATTCCTCCGATATGTCTGGCGGTAGTATCGTCAAACCTCAGGAGGTGCTTATCAACCCCCCTTTAATCCCATTTGACTACCACAAGACGGCAGAACGCCAAGCGCAGATGGAGAATCGACAGATACGCTCGAGGCAACGTCGAACGGGAAGTGAAGACATCGAGTCGGACACTGAGCAACCAGCGCCGGTGACTGCAGATCATATTCCCACTGCTGATAATTGCCCTTTGATTCCTATCCATGCATGTCGCACCTTTGAACAGTCAGAGCTCGAAAACTTGAGGAGTATTTCTCGACGACATGTAAAGATATATTGGGATTTCGACAAGGAATGGTTTGAAATGAAGGTTCTGGGGAGGAACGGTGCATTTTTGAACGACCGTTTCTTGGAACGAGGGGAAGTCATGCGCTTACGTGACGGATCCAGGATTCAAATATCCAACGTCTGGATGACATTCCGGCTTCCCAGTCAGAGAGCAGATTCAGTCACTGAAGAATCCGAACGAGAAGAACGGGAGGCGGAAGAGAACTCGGTACCACCCGGCAGCGCATCGCCAATATCTGATGAGCTTGAAAACACTTCCCCTCCACGTGGCGGCGGCAAGACGAAGCTCAAAATCACATTAACAACAAATACACCAAAACCACCCGCACCTCAAGCGTCGCCGCCAGTACCTGAACCTTTGGTCGGCCCCGACGGTCAACTCGTGCCACCGAAAAAGCGCGGACCAGGCCGGCCGCCTAAGGATGGTATCATGTCTACTCGTGAACGCAAAGAATTGGAAAGAGCTCGGAAACTGGCGGAGGCAAAGGCTGCTAATGGAGGAAGAACACCGGAACCACCTCTTCTCAAAGGCAAATATCCCGCCAAACCTTCGGTCATCAAGGAGGAGCCTCTCCCTGTCGACACCAAGCCTGAGAAAAGGAAATACAAAAAGAGAAAGAGATCTGGAGAAGAGGGTGATGTGCTTCAATCGATCGAAGGAGGAGAGCAGGATGTACCGAGTGAGACTGAAGATCAACCTGCGAAGAAAGCCAGACAATCAAAATCCCCCTCGCCGGAATATCCACCTCTGGAATCTTGGACTGAAGAGCAACTTCAAAGACCACAGGAGCCCTACGCTCGTCTTATTTACGACATCTTGATGGAGATTCATCCACAAGCTATGCCATTGAAACTCATTTATCGAGCCATCAAACTGAGGTACCCCTTCTATGTTCACATTGTCGAATCGGAAGGTTGGCAGAGCAGTGTAAGACACAACCTGAACCAGGAATGGAACAAGCTCTTCGAGAAAGACAAGAAGGAGGGCAAAGGATGGGCATGGAAGGCTATACCGGGCGCTCTGCAACCGCAAGCCGAAAGAAGGAAGGCTGCTCAGCAAGCTGCAGCATCAAAGCCCAAACCAAATCCAGCACCACGGCCACAACCTCAACAAGGGCCGCCTCCGCCGTTGAATTGGCAAAACAATATGTCGTATCCCCCCAATGGTATGCTCCCACAAGGACCACCACCACCCTTCTTTGGGGCAGGGAACGGTCCGATACCACCACCAAATGGTATGCCATACCCACCACCATTTGCAGCTGGAACGCCTTCATCCAATCCAAGTGGCCCTGGCACCCACCCTCCTGGCCAGGCGCCTGGTCAGTTCTACCCCCTCAACCCAAGTAATCGTCCGCCATTTCCTGGAGCAGCTCTTCAACAACCAGCAGCAAAGCAAGGCGCCGGTCGACCATCTTCCTCCACTCCTGGAGCTTCTCCAGCTGCCGCAGCTAGCTCCTCTGCACCGAACATGCCTTGCACGACTGCAGGTCTACTCAAAATCCGAGAATTCGAGGTCGCCATGTACCAACAAGAACCCGATGCGCGCAAGGTCCAAGTCTACCAAAGAATATTCGCTTCGGCTAAGCGGCGGATGCTTCATGGAGCGACTTCTACTTCAATGGCAGAAGGGGATAGCACTGAGGAACACGTCATCATGCGGCAGCTCCAAGCGATTATCAACGAGTTTAGAAACCCTAATTTTGTGGGCTTTTCAAATACAGGGCATGCGGTAAATACTCCTGTCGTTACGACTCCCGCGCTTGCTCCTCCAGCGCCTCCTCCAAGTCTACCGGCAGCTGCCACTTCTATACCACCGGCAAGAATCGCAACCCCGGCGGCGGCAGCTCCTGTGAACAGTCCTAAAATTCTCAACAACGCCAGTTCTGTCAACACTGTCGGTGGGCCAAGTCCTGAAACTGGCACTATTGCATCCACGTCTGCTCAGAAGCAGCCCCCAGAGACAACCGCCGCAGCCCCTCCTGTCGAGGTACCGGTGGCAGAAAGCCCTGGACGAGCCGCTGGTTCTGCGATGCAGCAGAGCTAGAAGCTCTACTGTCGCAGACACCATACTCTGAAGAAGTTGGTAGATCCGAATTTGGCGTTGAAGTGATGCTTTGGCATGACCGAAATGATCAGCACAACCTTGCCTTAACCAGAATGGGTTCTTACGCAAGTGATGGAAACGAGGGTTTATGATATGATCACGATTATGCCTAGGCCAGAGTGTTGGAGTGTTGGGCGCAGTCTTATTCTAAGGTGTGGGTTAGTATTGGGCTAGGTGGTAATGGCGTCGTGGATCTTCTATTGTCGAAAGGACACGCTCATGCCATTTGGGGCTTTTGCGGGATCGTTTGGGACCCGTTGAGCCGATAAGAAGCTTGAATTCTGCACAGCGTGCGGTGTCCCGAAGCCTCGTCAGACTTTTTGGGCGGCAGAGCATTGCTACAGATATTTTTGCGTGGTCTGATAGTGGCACCAGCACAAATGGATAGTGATAAAACCAGTATTCTGCAGTGGAACAGCATGAGGCTCGAAGTGGCCGATCTTATCCCTACCTGAAACAGAAAGAAAAGGCCTCAATCTGAGTTTGTACCAGATGTTGCATGCATTGTGTTTGTAGCATTTTTTGACTCTACAGATTATTACCCGATGCAGTAGCCTGACTTTCCTCTTTGAGCGATACGGCTATCTTTTGGTGCACCAGCATCGCCAGGTGTTTGATATATAATACCCGCCATTTCCCATGGTCCTGCCCTCTCCTGACATTCGTCATGTAACACCATCACAACCTCGCTTGATGACTGTGCATACTTCATGTACCACCTCAGCTTCTCCCACTACTCGTGAAAAGTAATGTAGTTTAACCTTCATTGTTGCCTTGGTTGGCAAATTCACAAGATGCATCTCCCATTCCTCTCCCGCGTGCTAATCCTCTCGCTCCTTCACATCTCCACCATCGCTACAGAACATGTCCCGGCCCAAAGACCACTCCAAAGCAGCAACACTACGCCCTCGACCCAAGTGCACCGTGTCGCTATCATCGGTGCAGGTCCCGGTGGCTCCTCAGCTAGTTACCATCTCGACAAGTTCTCCCGACTATCCTCTCTCGAGCCTCCTCTCGACATCACCATCTTTGACACGAACCCATACATAGGTGGCCGCACCACGACCGTCAATGCGTTGGACAACCCTCGGTATCCTGTCGAGCTAGGTGCCAGCATCTTCGTCGAGATAAACTATATTTTGTACAATGCAACGCGAGACTTTGACCTTACTCCCTCTTTCAAAATCTACGAAGCCACACCCACTGCGAAATACGAGCTGGGGATCTGGGATGGGACCAAGTTTGTCTTCACAGCCGTCAGGGAAGACAGCGACTCATCTTCCTGGCGCGGATGGTGGGACATTGCAAAATTATTGTGGAAGTATGGGCTCAGTCCCATCCGCACACAGCGCGCAACAAGGGCAGCGATCTCTTCCTTTCTGAAGTTCTACGATGACTATTTCCCTTTCGCGAGTCTACAAGATGCTGTCATGGCGACGGGGCTGGATGCATATACAGGGGCAACGGGGAAAGAGGTGCTCAAGAACGCAGGTGTTAGCGAACAATTCGCTCGCGAAATCATCCAAGCGAGCACCCGCGTGAATTATGCGAGTAACCTAGGTGGCATTCATGGACTGGAGACGCTTGTCTGTATGGCCATCGAAGGCGCGATGGCCGTCCATGGTGGCAATTGGCAGATATTTGACACAATGGTCAAACATTCTGCACAAAGAGCGTTCCTGAACACTAGTGTGACGCATGTTGAGCGGACGAGCAAGGGAACGTATGCTCTGCAGACCACTAATGATGACATGGCCGAGGATGATTTCGAGTTTGACACGGTCATCCTCGCGGCGCCGTATCAGTTTGCAAACATCTCATTCACGCCCAAGATACTGGATCCGCCAGTCAGGATTCCTTATGTATCGTTGTATGTTACGCTATTCACGTCCCCACACAGGCTGGCGCCGGCGTACTTTGGTCTGAGCGATGACAAACAAGACGATGTGCCGAGTTCGGTCATAACGACGTTGCCCGAGGATTTGAACGAGCGCCTAGGCTCTCAACATGGTGTTGAAGCTGTCGGTCCTTCGGGGTTCTGGTCAATTAGCACATTGAGAGTGTTGCACCCCGAAAGCGATGGACTTTCTGCGGGTCCGATCGGTGCTGTCAACGGTTCAAGTCAGGACGATGAGGAGTCGACGCAATACCTGTACAAGATATTCTCTCCTGCTCCGTTGACAGGATCGTTCTTGTCTGAGCTTCTCGGGTTCGAGTACACGCCTCCGTCGGGAGAGGACGACAGTCTTGGCTCCCTCCCAAAGAAAGATTTGAGTTGGTTGTATGAGAAGGTGTGGCATAGTTATCCTTACGAATTGCCTACGACGACCTTCTCGAATTTCACGTTACAGATGGATGAGGGTGAGGGTGTGGGTTTGTACTACCTTTCTGGCATGGAGAGTTTTATTTCAACAATGGAGACATCGGCATTGGCCGGGATGAATGTTGCAAAGTTGATTGTTGAAGGGCTGCATAGTCATGAAAATAGGTAACTTTGAGGAGTTGTTCTCGACATCAGTTGGTGGGTGGGGATTGTTGGTAGAACCCGGCGACTGCTCTGTAGTTTATACCAAGAGGGTAGTAATTGAAGGAATGAAGCCATTTCCATGGTCACAGTCTGATCATGGATCATCTATCCGCAGTCTTGAAGAGCTCCTCTGTGTCTCTTATTGAATACTCTTCTTTTCGTCTCCTTGTAGACGACGTTAGACTATCTATGTATGACATGAATTTTAGCCCCTCGTTTTGAAAAAGTAAGCGATGGTTCTTTAGATACTTTAAACTTCTGGTTTGAATCGCTCTGCAGTGGCGTCTGGCTGATACCTCCTTCCTCCTCTGGGTCTGGATTCAATTCTTCGGAGCAATAACAAATCGTAGCTCAGTTATGTACGTCTTGTTGGCTAAATCCATGTCTCCTTGTTTATCCACGACCTTGCTTGCCAGATCCATCAAACCACAGACAATAAATCTATCGGGACAACTAAAAGTTTGGTCCGTAGCGTCCGTGGTGACCATACTTCCACCCTTACCAAAGGGCCCGAGAGTTCTCTTGTTGGTGGTGATCACTAGGCTGTGTATGACCTTCATCTTCTCGTCACTGACCAGAGTCCCAGTCTTCCACGTAGCTTTCGTGATGGTTTCGTCCGTTGCCATTGTGTTTGATGACGCAGTGCCGCCAGGTCCACCAAACCGCAGACCGTCCTTGAAATTTGTTTGTGCTTGCAACCCATTCACAGCGAAGTCGGACGACACGTCAAGCTGTGTGATTTTGATAGTCTCTGACATCTTGTAGAGCTCTAAAACATGCTTCGAAAGGTCAGGATCGTCGGCGGTGTAAGCTTGTTGATCCTTGTCAGACTGTTCCACCTCGGCTTTGGCTTTCTCGCCTACTTCGTTGAACTCCTTGATCAGCTTTTGTGTGAGATCGCCTAGTTTCGCACGAATATCAAGATTGGACGCGATAGTGGTTTCTTCTGCGTAGACACTGGCGGTGGTTGCAAGTCTCGTGATATTGTCCGAGACATACTTCATCATGAGTTTGTGTGCGCAGGCGTCAAGGCGCATTGGTGCCAGATCTTCGATGGAGTTTACCAGACGCGTATAGTCTGTTTCGTCGATCCATGCTTCGAGGCCGATAGCGACGGGGATTAGCGCGAAGCTACCGATTTCCAGGAAGCGTCCAAATCGAGCCCACCGCAAAGCCCTGACTCCCGCAGCACCGAATCCAGGACCTCGAAGAGCCCTTCCCAGGCGAGCAAGACGCAGGATACCCATTTGTCTTGCGGCAGCCGCGCCCTCGACCATGCCAGCAAAGATAGAACCGGCATGTACAAAGATGAGCTGAGCGCCCACATAGAGTGCCGGCGACGAGACCATACAAGTAAGACTGAACCAGGCGGAGAAGCTGAGGGTTGTTCCAAGACCCTCTAGGCCATGATATTCGAACCCTGGGGCGAATACAACATTCTGATACTGGTCCGGGAGGTCGAGTAATTGAGCGACGGTTTTGTCCTGGGCCTTGGCAATCTTTCCCAATGCGGTGTAAAGCTGCTTCGCGTTTTCCTCGCAAATACGAGCCAGCTTTTGGTGTTCAGTATATTATAGCTGAGCTTGGTTTGCCAAGGCAAAGCATCTCGCTCTCCGCTGGTCATTGTCGGGACGAAATATCGACATAGCTTCAAGTTCAAAGTTAAAGTGTTGTCGCAAGAAAGCAAAAAAGAGGTCGTCTGGAGAGCTCTGCTGTAGAGAGAGACTCGTGCTTTTCAAATTATATGAGTACAAGGCTGCCAGAATGGTTCGAGATTGTATTTCTCATCCCATCTCTATACTCGTGCGATGCTCGGCGAGAACTTTATACTGAAATAACGAAGATGGCGTTCTAGTCTTCGAGCTGAAAGAATTTCAGCCGAGTTGATTTAAGCCACCGAATCCAGAGAGACATGGAGCAGGCATATAGAAAGTAACCACTATGACTAACAAGTAATGTCCTATTATCACAGTAATAGAGGTGGCGCATCCATCTTCAAGCTGAGGGATTCTAGCTAAATTGATTTAAGCTGCCGAAATCCAGGAAGACATAGAGCGAGGAGAAGCACTAATTAGAAAGTGTAAACTAACAAGATGAGTCCGCAGCTTCAGCGTCAAGGAAACAAGGCGAAGACTCACGTGATAGAGTAGTCTCGGCAGCCGGCGAGGTTTGAATGGGAAAGTTAAGCGGGCGCAAGACACCTCCCCATCTTGTATCGTTCCTCTTGATCAGGCCTCCCTAGATATATAAAAGCGGCAATGGAACCGAGTTGGAATTTATGCATCCCGAGTATCGAACCTCCTCGTAACACGGATCCCTCTTTCATCGATCACATACAAAGTAACCACTTCAGCCTTCAATTAATTCGTACTCGCAATTGTACAATAAAGTATTTACCGCCTCGCCTTGTCAAGTCCAGCACCTTGTACCCACCACCTATCCAATATCGGGTGCTTGGCTGTAACCAAACAGTTGTTAAAAGCCATCCAACACGGTTTTGTTTACTAATACGACAATGCTCTGCGTTTACATCTCGAGGTGACCTTTCGACGCGAGACGATCTTGAAGCGAAGAACAAAAGATCAAAAGACCAAACCGACGAGAGAGAGGGAGAGAGGACAAGTAAGAAGAAATGGCACTCAAAGATCTCGTCTCCGGCACGGCTTCTTCCACAAGTCGGAAATTCGACGACTTTGAAGACCCCAAGGCCTTTGACAGGAGTGAAGATTGTCTATCGTGTCGAGTTTTAGGTATGTACCATGATGATCCGAGGTTCCTGGACAGTGATGAGTTGCGACCCACCGTACTATCCCGTACTCTCTTTCCTTCAACCGCGGAGGAGTCAGTCCGTGTTCCCAAACTAATTCTTTTCCCCTTGGGGCTCATTCCCTCCCGTAGGCTCGACCGCACTCACATCCCTGGGGATATACACTTATTACTCTGGCATGCAACAACTGCGGACGCAGCGCAGGGCCATCGAACTCAGCAAGTCAAAGTACAAGTCCGGCTCACGACAATTGGGCGTCTTGTCGTTGTCGGCGACCTTGGTCGGGTTGGGGATCTATCGAATGTTCAACTGAAAAATAAACGTTGATCGGATTTACGGCCCCTCTCACTCTGGGGGAGTTTATCCTATCGCATCGCATCGCATCGCATGTCTTTGATGGGAACATTCAGTACGAACCCGGAGGGCCTGTCTCCATACCTGACTTGCCTCGATCTATGTATTCCCTCACCGTCCATCGTCAACCTATGTATGTACCTTTTACGACGTACCTCAACTTAGAACGGCCTACATCCTCCCTCTCGTCCTACAACCTCCCAGTCCCTACACCTCACGGCGAACCTGAGAATAGCCGTACAGGATGTGGACGGATGCTCATATGCATGTCTGTACCTTATCTGATGTATTATTAGCGGGCAGAAGCAACCTACAAGTCGAAAAATGGAATACTAGCAAATGTAAAGTAACTCGAAACCAAACGAGGTCAATTAATTGGTATCCTCAAGTCTATGTACTATCTCAACTCGAGCCTCTCGAGTACCCTGAGGTACCTACCTCGGATACCTGGCGAGGCACCTGAACAACGTCAAGGCGGTCGGGAAACAAACTCAAGTGTAGGCCCCAAAGAACAACGCAAAAGTCGGTAGAAGTTGCTCAAACATGAGCTCACAGAAATATGATAATGGTATGCTGCTGCTGCTGCTGCTTTGATAATAAACAGAATTCGCTATGCCGTTGATCATGTCGTCGTTAACAAATGTTCCTGTCCCCACCCTCATTCTGTCCTGGCGTCGTCGTGTCGGCATCTGAAGCTCCGCTTCAACTCCCACGGAAGAAAAACCTTGCTCGAGCAGAAATTGTCTACATAACAACGTACGCCTTCATGAAAGTCGACCTCGTTTGTTGCTGCCGGTGCCAGCACCGCCACCAAACCCGTCCCTGGGTCCGATGTTGGAAATGTCAAAAAAATCGGGAAACTGTAATTTACGCTTGGTCCCTGATGTGAAGGTGAACTCTCGATTGTTGGGTCGATTAGCGTTCCGCTGACTGCCGTGTCGGTGAGGTGCACGACTGCCGTAGTTGTTCAGAAGCTCTAATCGAATAGCGGGACCGGAGGAACTAGACGGTGTGTTATCTGCTCCATGTTCGACGCCTTGTACATTCTCGTCGGTTTGCATATTGTCAGATTCATTGGAGGACGTGGCACCAGTAAAATGAAAGACAGGGGTAGATGTTTGTTCCGAGCCCCTTGCAGGCGAGGGCTCTTCCGTCTGAGTGGAATGTTCAACTTTGGGTGCTTCGGTCCGAGTGGGTATTAAAGGTGCGGGTGCCTCTTCTTTGGCTGGGGAAACACTTCGATGTCTGGGCTCAATATCACTCCGGTCGTCATCGTCCTCGGCGCCCTGTTGGTGAGAGGCGCTTCCGTCATATCGTTCGGTAGCCCATTGTCTTACTCTCCAACCTTCACCATCCTGCAGACCCAGGTTTTCCCGATCTAGAAAGCTTAATAGATCTTCAAGAGCTTCCTGGTATCCGGCCTGTCGAGCAGATCCCTGGTCTGTCACAGCACTCTTGTATAGATTTGTCACCGAGAGAGCGGCGTTTCGGAAAGCTTGGAGAAGTTGTTCGGGAGGTGCAGGTCGAGTAGAGGGAAGTGAAGTGTTGAGAGATCTCATGGAATCCATGTTGATGTCAATGAGGCCTCTTTGTCGAGGTCCTGAAAGGTTGGGCTTAACTCGTGTTAAGTTGTCGATAGGATTCCTCGAGGTAAGGTAGACGGGCCTCTGATGGAGGGGTTCGTTGGTTGGTTGGTTGGTTGGCGTGCGGCCGAGGCAGCGGACTGTTGGGACAACAAAGTTCTTTGACAGTTGGAGCAGCGAGTGACTTATGAAACGATTGAGATGAAAAGTGCCTCCTTAAGCCTAAGTGATTTTCTGTGGCACGGGCTTATGTGCTGAGGTTGGTAAGTTGATGGTGGGAGGATGCCAGTCACAGCGAAAACCCTGGTCACTGAGATACCTACAGCTGCGGCGGCTTTCACCATTCTGGAACCGCCGATTTACGCGGCGGGTGTAAGAATTCGGTCACGTGGGGAAGTCTGAGTGTGCACGCTCTGCCAAGGCTGTATACAAAGAAATTCCGCTCGTCTGACGGAAGTAACTTTAGAGGCCTTGTTAGGAGCAGGTGGCAGATTACTGCCCCAGGGCGCGTCAGACTCAACAGCATACTACCTCTCACCCAAAGGGGAGGTTTGCCGACTCTGTGGGTAACTTTTTGCTGCCCATACTATATGCGCGTGTCGTGCCTGCCAATCACAGCACGTTCACTGAATGCGCGACTCTTTCACTCTACACCCTCTCCATATCTTCTCACAAGAGCACTCAGCGAGCTTGTTTTCCGTCCTTCATCTTCCACTGCCACAGACGTGTCTTTCATCGCGTCGCCGCACTACTCATCAGCAAACTCGTTATGCGTATCTCCGTCTCTGTCTAGTCGCGCGGATTGCATCCTTTGAACTATTTCAACAGGCCTCTCCGGCCGAAAGCCCACCATGGCTCCTACCAAACCCCAACAAACGGATTCCGAAAACTCCTCAATAGCCGATACCTCCATGATAGATGCTCATAGCGTCCTCCAACCGCGCAGACCTTCATTTGGTCATCTGAATCGGTACATGGACGACACACCAGATTATACGGATTCAGATACGAATCCAAATACTACTGCGAGCAGCGTAGCAGGTGATTCGGTGGCACCAGACGGCCGTAAGAGACGGTCGGAAGCGTTTCAATTGAGGAAGAGCATATTGGGAAGAAAGCATGGACAATTGGATGAATCTAAAGAGGATGACACTGTTCGACGCTTCAAGTATCTTCTCGGCCTTACAGATCTCTTCCGCCACTTTATCGAGACGAACCCCAATCCTAAGATCAGAGAGGTCATGGAAGAGATAGATCGACAAAACGCGGAAGATGCCGCGAAAGCGAAGAAAGGCGTGTCGCGTAAAGGAGGCGCCGCAGCCGGAGCCAAGAGGAAAACGGAACAAGAAGAAGATGCAGAATTGCTACGTGATGAAAAGCGTGGTACAGCATCGCAGACCATATTCAGAGAGTCGCCGGCATTCATTCAAGGTGGCGAAATGAGAGACTATCAGGTTGCTGGTTTGAACTGGCTGATTTCTCTTCACGAGAACGGTATCTCTGGAATCCTTGCTGATGAGATGGGTCTCGGCAAAACTCTTCAGACCATTTCCTTCCTGGGATATTTACGCCACATCTGCGACATAAAAGGGCCACACCTCGTTGCCGTACCCAAGTCGACCCTGGACAACTGGGCTAGAGAATTCAAGAAATGGACCCCAGAAGTCGATGTCCTGGTCCTGCAGGGAGCTAAGGATGATCGCCATGCCTTGATCAACGACAGACTCATCGAGGAGAAGTTCGATGTCTGTATCACCAGTTACGAAATGATTCTCAGGGAAAAGTCCCACTTGAAGAAGTTTGCCTGGGAGTATATCATTGTTGATGAAGCACATCGAATCAAGAACGAAGAGTCGTCTCTCGCACAGATTATTCGAATGTTCACTTCCCGAAACAGATTGCTCATCACTGGAACACCTCTTCAGAACAATTTGCATGAGTTGTGGGCACTGCTCAATTTCCTTCTTCCTGATGTTTTTGGTGACTCCGAGGCCTTTGACTCGTGGTTTTCCAGTCAAAATAATGATCAGGATACGGTAGTTCAACAGCTCCATCGAGTCTTAAGACCATTCTTGCTACGCAGAGTGAAGAGCGATGTCGAGAAGAGCTTGTTACCAAAGAAAGAAGTCAATCTGTATGTCGGCATGTCTGAGATGCAGGTCAAATGGTACCAGAGAATTCTCGAGAAGGACATCGATGCCGTCAACGGTGCAGGTGGCAAGCGGGAGTCTAAGACTAGACTCTTGAACATTGTCATGCAGCTGCGAAAGTGTTGCAATCATCCATATCTGTTTGAAGGAGCCGAACCCGGTCCCCCGTACACAACTGACGAGCATTTGGTCTACAACTCTGGCAAGATGATCATTCTCGACAAGATTTTGAACCGAATGAAGGAAGAAGGAAGCCGAGTACTTATCTTCTCTCAGATGAGCAGAGTTCTGGACATACTTGAGGACTACTGTGTCTTCAGAGGTCACAAGTACTGTCGCATTGATGGTGGCACTGCCCATGAGGACCGTATCGCAGCCATTGACGAGTACAACAAGCCAGGCTCTGAAAAGTTCGTCTTCTTGCTTACTACCCGTGCAGGTGGTCTCGGCATCAATTTGACCACTGCCAATATCGTCGTTCTGTACGACAGCGATTGGAACCCACAAGCTGATTTGCAAGCTATGGACCGAGCACATCGTATTGGTCAGACGAAGCAAGTCAAAGTCTTCCGCTTTGTTACAGAAAATGCCATTGAAGAAAAAGTGCTAGAGAGAGCCGCCCAGAAACTGCGTCTGGATCAGCTTGTTATTCAACAAGGCCGAGCGCAACAACAAGTCAAGCAGGCGGCCTCCAAGGACGACTTGTTGAACATGATTCAACACGGCGCCGAAAAGGTCTTCGAGACCAAAGGCGCCACGGGTGCACTCGATGACATCGACGAAATTCTGCAGCGTGGCGAGGCTCGTACCGCGGAACTGAATAAAAAGTATGAGAAGCTCGGTATTGATGATTTGCAAAAGTTTTCGTCCGAGAATGCATACGAGTGGAATGGCGAAGACTTCACCAATCGTCGTAAAGACATTGGCATAAATTGGATCAATCCTGCCAAACGAGAACGCAAAGAACAATCCTACTCGATGGATAAGTACTACAAGCAGGCATTGTCAACGGGAGGCAAACCAGCTGAGACGAAGCCTAAAGTACCTCGAGCCCCAAAACAGGTGAACGTGCACGATTGGCAATTCTTTCCTCCTGGGCTTCAGGAGCTTCAAGAGAAGGAGACTGCCTACTACCACAAGGAAATCGGATACAAGGTGCCTTTGGCTGAAGGAACCGAGGAAGACTTGAGTGATCGTGAAGCAGATCAGCGACTCAATCAAGATGAAATTGATAACGCCGAGCCTCTCACTGAGGAAGAAAAACAGAGAAAAGCTGAAATGCAGGAACACGGGTTTGGCAACTGGAATCGGCGAGATTTCCAACAGTTCATCAATGGATCTGCCAAATTCGGCCGCACAAACTATGAAGGCATTGCGAACGAAGTCGATAGCAAGGAGCCGGATGAAATTGAAGAATATGCCAAGGTCTTCTGGAAGCGATACACCGAAATTGCGGATTACGACAAGCACATCAAGACCATAGAGGCTGGTGAAGAGAAACTTCGCAAGACCAATCTCCAGCGAAAGCTTCTTCGGAAGAAGATGGAGATGTATCGTGTTCCTTTGCAACAACTGAAGATCAATTACACAGTCTCAACCACCAACAAAAAGGTGTATACTGAGGAAGAGGACCGATTTTTATTGGTTATGCTGGACAAACACGGTGTGGACGGAGAAGGCTTGTACGACAAAATTCGTGACGAAATCCGCGATTCACCACTATTCCGCTTCGACTGGTTCTTCCTCAGCAGAACTCCCGTCGAGATTGGCAGAAGATGTACCACATTGCTCAACACCGTACTCCGAGAGTTTGGTGACCCGGAAGAAAAACTCACCAATGGTCACGGTTCAGGTAAAGGCCGAGGTCGCGACCGGGACGATGACGATGACGATGATAATGAAAGTGAGGCTCCTCCTGTGAAAAAGAAGGCGAAGAATGGCATTGTGGTGAGTTTTTGATCTGTCCATCTACTCTATGCTCCTTCACTGACTCCAGGTAGAATAAAGCCGTCAAAGCCGTCAAATCAGGCCGAGGCAGTAAAAACACCTCACCTGCAACATCTCGAGCTCAAAGTGTTTCGTCAAGCACTCCGGCGAGTAAATCGAAGGGACGGAAGAAATGAACCTGTTAAACGATTAATCTCCTTCCATGATCCGGAGTACGTGAGTTTTTGACTGGATGTCGGAGGCATTATGGGTGTTTTCAGGGGCATGCAAACGGCGGTGTTGCCTATTGACCTCAAGGTTAGGTTCGCAAAATTGAGGCAACGACCAAAGCAATGATTGTTTTACGAACTTTCAAACAGGTGTGGTGGTGTGTTGTTGCTTAGAGACTGCAAAGAGTGGCGTTTAGCATGAGCTCGAAATATGTAGAATTAGTTACACAAAGGAGTCATATCAATAGAGTCGTGATTCCTGATACCTGATAGTCTGACAGTGATTGTCCTTGCTCATTGATAGACCCAAGCATTTGTTTCTACGAGTCTCTCCAGAAGCAGATATCCGCCAGTGGCGGCAAAGGGGGTCCATACAGCGAGGTGCGGTCCTAAAGCAGCGTAAAGGCTAAAAGACCACGTGTAGATAGCGATAACGGCGGGCTCATCTATGACATTGGCCTCAACTGCTTGCACAGCGCATTGAACAATCTCGCCATGAGTGTCAATATTGACGCTCTCTACGTTTTCGATGACCACAAGTGAGATATCCTGAGATAAGGCGACTTGTACCTGGGGCTGACATGATGTAGTATCTGTGTGCTCGAGCACACATATGCCGGACGACCACCCACACCCCAGGCTCTTATAGCCAGCTTCACGACTCGACCCTCCCCTCGACCTTCAATCCTCCAGCTTTCCGACCTCGCACCACCAGTCACAGCATACTCTATATACCACTCTAGCCTGCTGCTGATAGCAGTCTCTAGTAAAGATGGACAATCACTGGCAATCCTCGACTTTCTTCATCGACTGGTGGATGTCTTTGAAGACTTTCTTGGGAGTCCCTTGTTGGCGACCAAAATCGAAGGCAACTACGAGATTGTGGCACAATTACTTAGTGAAATGTGTGATGGTGGTATAGTGTGCAATACGGAACCGAATGCGCTGCGCGAGAATGTCGAAGTCTCTTCCGTGCTGGGGAAGCTATTCACACAGGTCGGACTACCAGGGTACGCGCCAGTCTGTTATTCCGGCACACGGGGAACATATGTACTGACAGAATAGGTCATCACCATCTTTCGGATCACCGAGCAGCTTCTCCGCAAGTTCGCGTCCGGCTGCACCACAATCAAGCGGGCCAGCCATACCCTGGCGCAAATCCAATGTTCGACATACATCAAATGAGCTCTACGTCGACATCGTCGAGACATTGGCTGTGATATTCGCCCCGTCAGGTCGACCTATCTCGGCCCGCTCTCATGGCTCGATAGCGTTCACGGCCAAGATTTCCGGAGTGCCAGACCTGCTATTGACGCTTTCGGCTCCAGGAGGGACAAGTAGCGCAAAGGCTTCTGGCATCTCTCGCACCATGCAGATTCCAGTTTTTCACCCCTGCGTCCGACTTTCTAGGTGGAAGGAGCATCCAGGAGAATTGTCGTTTGTTCCTCCCGATGGGCGTTTCATGCTGGCAGGATACGAAACCGACTTGATGCCTTCAGACCTCAACACCGATACACCGCCTAGCAAGACAGATCGCATTTTCTTACCAGCCACGGTTGATCTGCGACCCGCAACGGGAGCCAGTGGATCCGAATTTGAGGCTCGACTCACTCTCAACACCAATTTCCCTGGAGTTGGGCTCGGTGCAAAGCCGAGCAACTCCCGGACCAATTCGAGTGCTCTTGGAGGATTGTCTTTTGGAGGTAGCACCAACGGAAGTTCCAATGCACCATCGCTGGAAGCGGTCACGGTTACGATCCCGTTTCCTCGTGATGTGCGCAACGTCACAGAGCTGAAAGCCTCCCGGGGCGAAGCCACTTTCGACGCGTTCGAGAAGGTGGTTGAATGGAAAGTGCCGACCAAGGATGGCGCGTCGGTCAGCGGAGTCACCACATTAACTGGATATGTGATTGGACCGTTGAACTCGGAGAATGATGTCGGTGATGATGACGAAGCTCAGGTGATTGATGCGGGCAAGTCGGGGTCCACGGCTGGTTATTATAATGCTGATGACGATGAGGGAGCTGTGCTCAAGCGGTCGTCAGAGCGGTATAACAATAACAACGCCAAGGATAACAATGGTGGCGGTGGTGCAGTGAGCAGAAAGCTACAAGCGAACAAGGCACTGATGCCCCGGTCCATATCCGTGTCATTCAATGTCAGGGGTTGGCTGGCAAGTGGAATCAAAGTCGACACGTTGACCGTGGACGTGAAGAAGAGCAAAGGGCTAGGGGACGGCGTGAAACCCTACAAGGGTGTCAAGTATCTTACTGTTAGTCGGCAGGGGGTAGAGAGGAGAGCTGAATGAATGATGGATAATGATGATGATTGGTGACTGACTACCTGAGAACGTTTGTGTGAGGGCGGCCAGCCGCGAGGCTATGTTGTCTTTTGTCCATATGTGCATCTCTACCTTATCGTACTGTCTTGGAAGAGCAAAGAATAGATGGATTGGAGTCTTACAAGAGGCAAGAAGGACGACTATGAGCACGTGTCATATGAATTGGAGTCTCGTGAGTCTTAAGACACGCATGAAAGATAAAAGAGGTAGAGATCGTGGGAGGACTACGGCGGCGAAATATGGCTTCGAGGTGGTCAATGAATTAATTGATTAAATAATGCCTACCCTAGGTAATGATGCATACGGTACTTACTACTTTTGCAACACAAAGTAGTAAGAGTAGCAGTAGTGCTAAGAGTGAAAAGGAAAATCGTATCGTAGAGAACAAAACTCATGCCCCGATGTTGTTTTTGTTATTGTTTTTCAACATAACAAAAAAAGTTGTGTCATGAGATTCGTCAAGTCATACTCCGTAACAATGGTGACGGTGATGATGCAGCTTGATTGTCGCAGCAACCCCCTTTTTTGGCCCCAAGATGTCGGACGTTCCTGTCCGGATGCGACTTTCCATTGAAAAATTTGTCCCAGAGCGCCACGCCAATGATGAAAAAAAAAAAGACATCAGCAAGAAACAAATGAGCGAGATGGTGTGTGTGTTTGTGTAGTGGAGAGAGAGAGAGATGACATGAGGTCGTGATGGATGATGATCATGTCGGTTGTTGGACGGCAGTCGTCATCTAGTATCCCACACCCATCAACTTGTTCCATCGCTTCTTGATGCCGCGGTTGAAGACGTCGGCACCGCTCTCGCTCTCGGTGCTGCTCTGGCTGGTGAAACTGTGGTCGCTGGACCGACGACGAGTGGCTCCTCCGGCGCCGGTGGTGGACGTGGTCGTCGTGGCCACGAGATCGTCGCCGTCGTACCATGCCGGTCGGCCGCTCGTCGTCGACCGCCTTCCCCCGGTGGTGGTGCTGAAGAAGCCGCTTGACCCAGTGGTGGTGGTGCTGCTGCCGCCGTTGGGGGAGTGGGCGAGGTTTCCCGCTCCGCCCCGGCCGACGTGGTAGACGGGCGCGGCGTGGCGTTCTTGAGACAACTGGCGCTCGAGCTCCTCGTCAAAGCTGAAGATGGCCCGCTCGGAACTCGGGTGCACGTTGCCCGCGCCGCCGCGGCCGGCCACAAAGTTCTTGCGAGGGTGCGACGGGTGCGAGATGAGGCTGACTCGTGCCGCTGGTCCCGTGGCGTCGCTGCCCCGGGTGGTCGAGGGTGGTGCGCGCGTCACGTTACCAGCGCCACCACGGCCCGTGGAGAAGTAGTGTGATGATGGCACCGACGGGTGTGGTTCGACGATCGAGTAGCGCTTGGGAGGTGACGATGTTGACGATGAGACTGACATTGCGTTATGTGTATGTGTAGTGTATCAGGTATGCGCGCGCGCGTGTGTGTGTGTGTGTGTGTTCGAGAAGATGTGTGTGTGTTCCCAGTCACAGAGAGACTCTGTGCAGGTAGTGGATGCTTGTATTTCTGATTGGTTGCTGGTACTGCGGGCGTGAGAAATAAATCTCTCAGATCGAGAAGGTATAGTAAGTCGTGGTGTATCTCAGCAAAGCGCAAGCAGGCGAAGGTGAGTTTTATAGATTGAGAGACTCGATGAATAATAATATCCTTCTTGTCAGATGGACAAAAATACACACAGGTACTGTAGTGTCGGTGCGTTGATGGAGGTGGGTTCTTACAAATTGTAGTTCAGAGACGATCACGAGTTATTCAGGAACCCGGCTGAGTCGAGATGGTTATATAATGGCACTTACGGTACTAGGAGAAAATAAAGCCATGACACCAAGAAATCCTCGTACACACGAAAGAGGGCGCGTGTGTCGATGCAAATTTTCCCGCGGTCGCGTAGGGGATGATGGCAATGTGCAATGCGATGGCGTTTACGAGTACAGGCAACGGTATGGAGTACAGATGTAGTAATGCCCAGCAAATGACCCAAACACGGAGCATATTGATTACTCGATGGAAACCCCCAGAGGGTGCTCCAGATGCCGTTAACTGCAAAGCGTCAGACGCCAGAAAATTTTTGCAAGGTCACGGCGAGATGAGGGTAAAATGAGGTCAAGGGAGGATGGAGTCGGAAAATTCTTCTCGAGCGTCATGGGTGTGTGACAAGTGACTTCAAGTGGCAATCAAGCGGCTCCTCCCCCGGATTCTCTCACCAGAGAAACAGACAGACAGCGGGAGAAGGACAAAGAGGTACTCGTACGTACACGCACGGGCACGAGCAATGCACGAGGACGAGGACACTCTCTCCATCTCGATGCGGCAAACATGTCCCTGCGACGCCCTCCATAGTGGCGCCATCACAACAAACAACTACGAGTACTGTGCACAGCTTGTACACCGCCCAGCGCACAACACCCTACACATCAGGAACCCCTCCAGCTGCATGTACTCGGATTATGTTCCTCCCTCCCGCCAGACCAAAAAATTCTCAATCTCGTTAGTCATGCCGAGCATCGCCGCACGAAACTATGGGGTAATCGATCGTGTTGCCAGGCGGGGGCTGTGGTTTCCTGGGGGTAATGGAAACAACATGGCCGGAGACTATTAGTCTATTCTTGTACGGGCCATCGTCGCCTGATCAAGGCTCTACTCTGGGTACGTACCAGTACACACTTCTTCTCCTCCTCCTCGCTTGCCTGACCCCTTGACTTGTACGGTAGGTACAAGTCTCATCTGGATGCCCCTTGATCCTCTACAAGAGCCGACGTTCCTGACCAGCCCGTCCGACACGTGTCATTCCCCTGGGGACACTATCAGGAGTTCGAGCAGGTCATATCGTAGTCCTCACGGGCTGCAGCACAGACTTCCGACTCCCATGGGCCATCAGGGATGCGCCTCGTACACAATACGCCTCTGCTTTCCCAAAACGGCATCAATCGACCATGACAGGTCCTGCTGTGCATGTTCGGCCCATCATTTCCAAGACAACTCGGCCTTTGACCCCGGATTTTCGGCTACTGGTCTTGCCCCCGCATAATTTAATGATGGTGACAGTGACGGTGACAACAGTGCTGTTCCTTTCTTGATCAGCAGACTCCATAGCCGCAGAGCGTCTTCCGGATCAGGTGTTCGGGCCGTTGTTTGTCTCAACCTGTTCTGTCCCCTGAATGCCGTGTGGCTCGAGCTCGACCACGACCTTGGTTTAGCTAGCTGGCCTCAAACCACAAAGTCTGTCATTCTGTCGGTCAGTGTCTGATGGCCACCTGCATCGCACTCGTGACCCTCACCCCTGGCATTCAACTCAGCCCAACTAGGAGAATTTGGTGTGAATGATGTCTGGGTTCTCATGCCAATCATCGATGCTGACCCACATCTAGTCTGTTGTCAGTATTGCGTGCCGTGTCGCCATCATAGTACAAAATCTCACCTTTCGAAACGTGCTTAACCCTGCCAGGATACTTCCACCAATCCACGTGCTGTACTTCCGTTCGGGTGGTGCAAAGATCTTGATTCGCATGTCCTTGACCGCCAGCCGTTGCATTTCGTACAACAGTCGGTCAGGGAATCCCTTACACAATGTTGTACCACCACTCAGCACAACATTGCCATAAAGGCTCTTGCGAAGGTCCATGTCCGTTCGGTTGATGGCATCGACCACCATTTGATGAACACCAGGATACTCCAGCCCAATCAACTCTGGTTCGAACAGGATTTCTGGCGCTCGAAATCTTTCAGCCCCAATCTTGATCTTCTGACCATCAGGCAGCACATAGTCAATCTCCTTTTTCTCACTCTTCCAGATCCCTTGCGACCAGTCTTTCTCTTCCTTGCGGGGATCCAGAGCCACGTAGGACGTCTTCTCCTTCATGATGCGAACAATTTCCTTCTCTGCACTGGTGTGGAAAACGTGGCCATTCTTTCTCAGCAGAAGCTGCATGTGCTCCGTTACGTCCCGTCCCGCCACGTCGATCCTGCGAATGCTGCTCGGGATTGCGAACCCCTCGTACACAGGGACGGCGTGACTGACACCGTCGCCACTGTCGAGAACGATACCGGTGGTGCGGCCACTGGCGTAAAGACTGAGGACGGCTTGGATGGACATGTATATGGCGGGCACGTTGAACTGCTCAAACAGGATCTGTGCTGCGGTGTCTCGGTTTTGTCTTGGGTTCAGCGGGGGTTCGGTCAAGAGCACAGGGTGTTCCTCGCTCAGAGTCTTCAATTCTTGTTCGTAGACGTATGTCCATATCTTTTCCATATCATCCCAGTCCGTGACAATTCCATGTTCCAGCGGATATCTGATTTTGAGGAGTCCCCTCAGCTCCTGCGCCTTGGGCCCGATAAAGACATCCCCTTCTAAAGCTCCAGCAAGCGCCCGGACATGCTTCGGTCGACCGACATAGGAAGGGAAATATGCCCCAGGAAGATCATTACCAGCAAACCCAGCCCGGATGGTCCCACTGCCGTTGTCTAGAACAATCGGCACATTGTGGAGGGTGCCCCCGTCGGCCATGTTGGCATCAAGTTACTCGCGCGGAAACGATTTGATCATCTAGTCGTTATAACGACGACGACGAGAGCCTGGGTGATTGAATAGCCATCAGGTGGCGTGGGATCCTGGCTGAGGGGGAAGAGTACTCTGTAGTTCGTGGCTGTTGGAAGAATCAACTCTCAACAATTTCCAGGAGCCAGACCAGATGCGCAGCCGCGTGAAGCCCCCAGTTGGACGCGACGGGGATACGAGGAGAAGTTGCCAGGCTAACCGCATTCGTACCAAATTCTTGCCGCCGCCTCTGTAGAATTCCACCTCACAAACTGTGCTGCATCGCGACCTTGACTATTGTTCGTCACGACGGAACTGCTCGACACGATCCCTCACTCTTTGCACGTCCTTCTTCCTGTCTTGTTAGTTGACCAGAGAAGAACCCAACAACTCAAAATGCCGAAATATAAGTTTCTTGCCCCCTGTCTAGATGATTGATACTGACTCTCTCAGCACTCTTTTGCGACTATTGCGATGTCTACCTCACCCATGACTCCATGTCGGTGCGAAAAGCCCATAACTCTGGCCGAAACCATCTCCGAAATGTGACGGATTACTATCAACGTGGGTGGATGGAATCGCAAGAGCTGTGCATGCGCTGACATATTCTAGAAATCGGCCACGAAAAGGCGCAATCTGTCATCGACTCCATCACGGCCTCATACACTGCCGAAGGCCAGGTAAATCCTATGCTGCAACAAGCAGGTGCTGGATTCCCTCCACCACCACCAGGATTTCCCGGTATGCCCCCTCCACCATTCGGTATGCCGGGTGCCCCTGCACCTGGACCTGGAGGTATAATTCCTCCTCCAGTTGGTCGTGGCATGCCTTTCCCGCCTTTCCCACCAAACGGTCCTCCTCCTCCTAATCTACCTGCTGGATTGCCATTCCCTCCTCCTGGCGGATTTCCTCCGAACTTCCAGATCCCTCCTCCAGGTGCTCCGCCAGGTAATTTCCCTCCACCGCCTCAACAAAGTATCCCTGGTAATCCAAGCCCGTCGAATGCGTCTGGCCCTCCAGGTCAAGCTCCTCCGCCAGGTTATGGCATGGGTGCGCCTCCAGGAATGGGAGACAGCAGACGTTGAAGATGAATGTATGGTTAATCCAAGCGCATTCTGAATGCCTGGGTGCATCTGCGAACTGCTCCGCCTCGGGCATTCAACATAAAATCGTCGGTAATACAGCTTAAGATTCCAGCCCTCTCCCATTGTGAGAGTTGAGCGGGTTTGACAACCTTCATACAAGCGGGGCATTTGCGGGAGTTGCGTTGGACAGTACTGATTTGAAATTGAGAGGCATGGCAATAGAATCGTGGCATGCAAAAGGAAAAAGAATTTAATAGCTTCAAAACAAGGCAACCGGTCCCCCAAGATGACACGAAGCGACTATGGCTGGGGTTGGAAGCCGCGATGGAGATTCTGTTCATGGATCTCGTTTACAATGGCCGTGTCACCCACCCCAAGTGTCCGATGGTCACACCTATGGCTTTCCCAGAGATATTAATCACCTTCATCGGTCCATTCCTCTTACCCATCATTATTGTCGTCGCCCTCGCTATTTTCATACATTGCGTACTTTTGTATCGCCAAAGCCACGAACGACGAGCAACTCAATTCGACTCGAGCTTGTTAACGCCTCAAAATTTAAGATCACAGCGAACTCTCGAGGACCAACCTTTGGTTTCGCAGCCATGACTGGTACTGCCACCGGTGGACATGGGTCGCCTGAACCCGAACCTCTCTTGACTTCAAGCTCAACCTCGCCTAGCAATGAAACTTCTGACACAAAGACCGTGGGATCTTCAAGTGCACCTTCTACACCCTCTTCCTCAGAATCATCACCAGCAGACCAGAACAAGAGGACGAATCTGTTTGGCCGAATCTTTTGCCGCAAAGGAAAGGGCTTGAAGAATCTACTCGCTCAAGATGTGGAGACTCAACGACGAGCCGGGGAGGAGAAAAAAGAACGTGCAATAAAGTGGAAACGGGTTGGAGATGATAGAATGGGTGTTGCGAAATTCGGAACTAGTGAAAACGAGGCACAAGAAGATCAAGACACCAACAATCCACCCAAAGCGGGGGAGAAGAACACCAAACATCAGTACCTTAGTGGAATTTTGTATGGCTTCGACCCGAATGCTGGCAAGTTACAAGTGAACCATGGTCATCAGGTTTCGCATGAGGACGAAGCGGGGGCCGACGAGTTATCGCCACAACCCTCCGAGACTTCGGAATCGAAGCGCCGACGCGGCGAGACGTGGGGAGTTGACCACAATAAACCTGGCATGCGTGATCGATTTAGGGGACACAGGCATGGAGGTGATGATGTTGAAAACGGCACCTCGTTTTGAGAGACGCGATGAACCTCAGAGTGCCACTCTCATTACCTAGTCAGTCGTATAAGTGCTCTACGGATTCACAGATCTGCTCACTCGCGACCCTTGAAGTGATTTGTTGGATGGTAGATAGTATGTACACGTCCAGCGAAATGCGGTCATAACTCATCGTTATTCGATATTGTTCGTTTGTTAGTTCGTCTTTCATACAAGTACGAGCACTTTGTCACTTTCGCACCGGTAGCAACCTACCAGTACTCGTACGAGTAGTGATTGTTAGCTTTAGGCACGGAGTAAAGACGCGGAGGTTCCTTAGCAACGAATAGGGGTAGACAATCCGAACAGTTCTCCACAACTGAGAGGCCTACCAGTATCCCAGTGGATCAAGAGTCAAAGGTTAATACCGCGCGACGAGTCTTCCACCATCGACTGCAGTCCTCTCCACGACGCTGTGATGGAGACGCTGCCCTGCTGTAACAGCGAGAACATGCCTCTCAAGTTACAAGTCGATAACGGTAGGTGCACACATTCGACAGAGATTTTGCAACATAACTTACTCTAACTACAGCTCAAGCTGTCAAGGCTTGAAAAGTGCCCGATCCCGCTTTCACAGTTGGGGAGCAGCCTGGCAAATAACAACGGGGATGGGTTTGATGCGGCACTTTGCGAGTCATGACACGCAGACGAAGGAGGAAACCAATGCAATTTTAATCCCGTCGTGGTCGAATTTTTAGATCCAAAATGTCGATACTGTCCTGGACAAATAAAGGTGGTGTTGACGGCTCGGGAAAAGCATTTCTCCGAGATGCATGAGTCTATCTCAACTTCAACGGTCGATGTCACTGGCAGACACCACTCGGCCCTTGATCGGCGACAGATTGTCGACATCGCAAATTGGCGGCAGAGGAATGTGTATGACACCTTCTCGCGTGGTGGAAATCCATCTCGATCTACCACCAACATCCACCGTCGTAGAGGCACCGCTATTGACCCTTCTGAAGAGGGGACCATGTCAGCCCCAGCCTTAGGGCTCACACCAACGATGGCGAGACCGCATCTTCTAGGCCTGCCCGGCGAACTACGCGTCAAGATATGGAAGCTGGTATTCGAAGACGCGAATGCAGCGCCTTCTCGAAACAGCCATCGAATCTACGAAGAGAGCTGTTTCAGCTGCTTCGAAGAACAGCGACCGTTCCCCATGACATGGAACGCCACGTTCGAGCCTCTACTGACTTGCAAGCAAATCTACAGCGAAGCACACGAGATACTACTGTCGGGCATGATGATCGAGATCCGCAACCCCATTTTCGACCTCTCGTGGCTTGCCTGGCCTCTCCCGCCGATCAACCATAAGGTCCGACGTCTCGTCGTCTGGGCTCACATCAACGGCCACAACAGCCGCCAATGGGTCTCGACGTGCGACCTCTTGAAGAACGCGTTCCCAGCCATGGAGAGCCTCGTCGTCAAAGCGCACATGCGGCCACAGGAAGGCGCCGAGGAAACGTTGGACGCAGCTGCTCTCGCAGGGTCCATTGTGCGGCTGAAGCACAACAATGCCGGGCTTGCAGTGACGCTGGAGTATGGCTACCGCTACCACAAGTCCATGTGGCACAACCCAAGGCTCGGCCAGATTACCTCGCACGACATAATGGAGGACAACGACCGCTTCGTGCGCGATCTGATCGAGGATCGTGAGTTTGGGGAAGCCGCGCTGCAAGCGCACCGAGACGACGCCGACGAAGCGGCTCTGGCCATGGCGTTCATGAGAGTCACAATTGCTCATGAAGAGAACCTGTTTGAAGCCATGGTCAGAAGCCGAGAGGAGAGACAAAGACTTGGGGAAGCGAAACTGGCAAGCACACAAGCGTAGCAGATGGGAATACAGTAGCAGCGGCTGCCTTTTACCGAGGACCCCTCCTATCCATCCCTAGACGCAAGCACGGACTCGACGCCCCATCATTGGACCCTCTCCGTACTATTCTGTTGGCATGTATGGGGTGTGGGATTATGCAATCGGTTATGTGCAGTCATTAGACCCCGACTCTGGGCAGGGACATCGCTCACGTCAGGTAACCCCCTATGCTGCGGATGACGTGATTGGTGGCAGTTTGACCTTGGGTCTTCGAGGAGATGCGCTTTCCCTTAGGACGTGCCGTTTTCGGTCGCTCGCATATATTTTCGTTTACTCGCCGGATGGTGCATCCACCGAGAATGGGCGAACGGCAGCGTCATTGACTTCTATTCCAGTTGAGCAGTGGACTAAGGACCATTCTCTCGACCACGTTTCGACACACCACGTTTTTTGCCTTGTTGGCGACACAAAGACGAGTCTGCACTTACGGTATCGCCAACTCTTCGGCGCCTTTCGGGATCGTCTGCATTCATTATGTGGTCTCCGCTTTACTCAAGACTTTGCTTTCTTTGTGTGACTGTCAAGTATCAGTCTGAGGCTACCTTTGTTATTATGAGAGATGCTATCTTTCACGGCTTCAGGTGATAAAGTATCAACACTATTAGCGCTTGAACTCATAATGTGAGGGCAATGCTTCTCTTTTTCCTATTCTGGCGAACCACGCATACACGGCATCGAGCCAAGCATGTACGTGATCTCTCCTTGTCGTGATTCCCAATTTGAGGCATAGGTGCGCCAGGTACCTACCCAGTGGTGAGGGGGTAATCGTACATGTGATTCGAGTATCTAAGAAACCTCCCCTCTCGTCCTGCCCCAAAAAGAAATTGTGTGCGTTTTTACTGATCTGCACCTACCTGTCTAGGTAGGTATGTAAGGTTCCGTGAATTGCCCAAAACAAAAAAAAGTACTGAGAGGAGTGGGGTTCGAACCCACGCTTCCTTACGGAAAGCAGAGGTTCAAGTTGAAGACTATGAGTTTTTTGGGTATTTCTCATAATACTCCTAAGCTTAAATCTGCCGCCTTAAACCACTTTGCAAACAGTGTCAGTGGCGAGGGACAAAAGAGAGAAATCGATGGAAAGGGTCATTGTTTACCTCGGCCATCCTCCCGGGAGAAATTAAGTCAAATTTCCGCTTGCACGGTATATGACCGCCTTGATTTTCCGAAGCGATCCGTACCCACCTGGCCGCCTACTGAGAGTATCATAGGCGCGCAAAGGGGAGCCGTTCTAACTTTAGTAAGCGGACTCCCCGCCCTTGCCTTGGGGACCTACAATACCTAGGCATCCAACGTACTAAAACTACTGTAGTGTCTTCGAGGTAGACAATTGTGCCGCTCCCAGCCTCACCGAGCTCGAGCATGCCTTTGAATACTACTTGTAGGTAAGGCACATGTTCGTGTACTTCATACGGCTCCTATAAATTGTCATCTACATATTATCACCGCCTCGCCAATATCCCGACTCTTCAATCTATCCATCAACTCCCTCTCGCTAATCTCGAGCTCTGTACAGATCTCGTCGAAGCAGTGTGTACCGTCCAGAAAATCAATGATTCGGTGGTTGATGTGACGATCAGACACCCCTCGATCATCTGGCCTCCTACTGACGTTCTTGCCCTTCCGCCTGGAAAATTCTTCAGTCAAAGGCCGCTCACTCGACATGCTTCGGGGTATGTCGTCCGAGCCTTGCTCGGGATGAGGAACATGGGAACGCGAACCGCCGAGTGTCTTTTGCGTTCTAATGGCGTACCGGTGGACGCGGTAGAGAAACCCTTTGATGACGCCAAACGTAATGAACCGCCTCATGTCGATGTTGGCGAGCATGTTCGCGTTCTGTGCGTACCATTCCCGCACGGTCAGCCCTTGTCTGAGACAGGCGAAGAGCTGGACTATACCGACGCCGTCGATCGGGTCGCCTTTCTCGGTGAGTGGCCAGATTTCGTCATCTTGTAACCCCAGCGACGTCAAACCGCTGGTTCTTCGGTCCGTGGCGCTGTCTATGATGGCTTCTTCCTGGGCCGCCGGGGCGAGGGCAGTGTTGACGTAGCGGGCGCACTCCTGCTGCATGTCAGGATCTTTGGCTATGAGGTTGGAAAACTCGGCGGTCGGAGCGTATATCGCGTTGAAGCTGAATATATCGAGGAGGATCGCGCAGCCATAGTAGAGCAGGTGCTTGATGCATTTCTTGGTGAGCTTGAGATCAGCATCGGCCAGCATCGCTATCCTCTTGACGCTATTGACCCCGTTTATGTAGGGGATGATTCGTAACATGGTCAAATCCCAGTTTTCGTCGATCATGGTCTCGATCCTCACCGTGAACAGCGGCACGTACCAAGGCTTGACGCTGGCAGGATTTGGCAGGGTGGGGAATAGCTTGATATTCAAGGTGTTGAGCTCATCAATCGGTATCATGCATTCGCAATAGTTGTTGAGGTCCTCCATGAGCATTTCGCATAAACTGTATATCTTCCCCGAGTTTGTAGGAGACGTGTCATCGCTCAAGAACCTCGACTGTTCTTCTAGGCTTCGCAGCAAATGCGCCAGCTTCTTGACTACCGACTTGTATGACGCGACATCCGTAGTGCTGGGCTCACCCAGCACAAGCGCGAGGTTGAAGATGAATTCGTTTCGCGGATAATGCGGCGATGTCAGGCAGATCGGGTATGAAAGGACAAGCGTTGGTGGTGTGTTGGGCGCCAGAGGAGGCGGCGACAGGGATATGAGGTTCCCACATAGTGACTGACGAGGTATCAGGAAGCGTGATATGGTGGGAAATGATAGAAGCGCAGAAGACGAGGCGCCTAGACTGGAGGTCGTGCCCGCTGGGATTTCGGTGGTCGTTAGGATCGAGTCCTCTGGTACCTGGTGAACAATCTTTGGTCCTGTATGAGAGGTTAAAGACGCTCAACGACTCCAGCGAGCACACTGGACAGACTCACCTTCATATGGATCAAATTTGCTGTAGAAGATGGCTTTGATGGACATGTTTGGAGGGGTGATTTGAAAGGATCATGAAACGCGAAGAGTGTCTTTGGGTACCATGGTTTTCGATTATGAGGACTAAACTGCCCTCCTCATGTAGGCGTCGTCAGACCATTGCAGAGACGATGTTACAGTGTCGTGGAGCTTGGATCGAACATCAGTTATCAAGTGTTGTTACAACGACCAGCCTTATAACCTGTAAGGCCGCATGCACAAGGCTTTGAGTACCTAAAACCCCACGCCTAAAATAGTTAGTGCTGGACGTGATGCGGCTTTACGTGTGCCTATAGCACATTTATAGTCAAGGTCCATTGGAGAGTCGAATATGACTTTGCAGTCAACCATCCTCACTTTTACAATTAATTACTTTATCTGCTCGCTTTTCCCACTGCTCTCGGTTCCTTCGTGTTCAACTAGCTGCAATCATCCATATCCAATCAATATTACTTGTCATTCCTGAGCCGATAAGGTGTAGAGAACTTGCTGGGTGCCAACATGTCTACCATGTCACTCATTTAACCTAGATCATCGAAGCCACAAGCTGTTCCGCTGCACGGCTGTGATCTTTGTCTCGCCAACAGAAAGTCGCCCTGAGGATGCTGGTCTAACTAGGTCAGGTTGGGACATCAAATAAATTGGCTGTATTGGCGGGACAGCGCAGGCTTCAAGACCGGCAAAGACCCTGTGTGTGAATGGATAATGCAGTGCCCAAAACGAGCTTTGGCAACATGGGACCTTGCTAATCATGCAGCCAACAATCCTAGGTCGCGAAGCTTCCAGGATTTATGTTTAGTCCTGCAGAAGATTCCGTTGGAAGCACTGCCGTGGCTCCTCATGCACGTAAAATGAGATGTTTGGCAAAAGGCCGAAAATCCCCCATTGCCGGAACTCGACTTGAGCCGCGCGCGAGCATGAAATTCCGCACCACATCTACATATGACGTCGCTGCCAGGGATGCCCCCAGCCTAGCGAGCCTCATCCGATGCTGAGCTCTGGAGAGGAACCACTAGCGAACGTCTGATACACGGCGCTAGGTGACAAAGGCTTTGTAGCATTCCGCCTCGCTTTCGGCGTTTAACCTGTTATATCTCTCAAGCATGCGTCTACGAAAATCCCAGCAGACGCATGCGACTAGCGCCTCGCTTCGAATCGCGGTATTGGATAGTAAGTCCTCCCTTTATGGAAAACCGGCCAAAATTCCTCTCGCGCGCAATTCAAAGGCACGCGTCCGACTTTGTCGCCCTGTCCGAGGCTTCAAGCCGTTGACGCAAAGCTTTGGAACGCATGACTCTGATCCGGATCTGCCGGTAAAGTCTTGAACATGCTGTGCATTCAAGATGTATATCAGCGTGGCGAGAGGCTGGTCCATGAGTCGACTATCACTTGGTTGACTTGGACGAAATCGAGGACATGCTCACGGCTTCAAGACAAAATTCAGCACATCAACAAGTGACAGAGGCACAACCATGGACACACTTGACAGGGATCTCATCCGTGCTGAGGTCGACGCAAATGTCAACAGACCTGACACGCTATCATACATAGCTACCCATGGCCCTGACATGGAGAGAGACTGGGCCGATGGCGAGTCGACACCTGATCAGACCACGACCCATGGAGACTTGACAAACATCAGTACAGTATGTCTGACAGTACCCGTAGCTGCACATACTGACACTTATCACAGCGCAGTTCTTTCAAGTTGCAACACTCCAATCCAGGCCTTGACCCCGTCGAGCTAGAAAGGATTAGTCGGCAGCGAACCCAGCATCAGGGAACTATGGGTCGACCTGCAGATACAAGACGGCGATCAACAGCCACCATAAGAACAGTCACCACATTGGGAGCCGGGAAGCCAGTACCTCCGCCAGACAACAAGGAGGAATTTGTGGTAGAATTTGAGGGCGTGGATGATCCCGAGCATCCGCTGAATTGGCCTTTTAGCAAGAAGTCCGTCCCTTTGCATCCCTCAACACCGATCTGCCACCTTTTGCTGACCCCATTCCAGGATCGCCATGTCTGTGATCCTCTCATACATCACGTTCAACGCATCATTCGGCTCCGCTATTTTCTCTCCTGCCATCGGCCAAGTGTCCCACCACTTTCACGTCAGCACCGAAGTCGGGGTGCTCGGTATTTCCCTGTACGTCCTGGGGTTTGCATTCGGTCCAATCCTTTGGGGACCTCTCTCCGAGATCTTGGGTCGCAAACGACCTCTCGTTGTCGCCATGTTCGGGTTCAGCATCTTCGCCGTCGCGGCCGCCACCTCGAAAGACTATCAAACGCTCATGCTCACGCGATTCTTCAGCGGCTTCTTCTCGGCGGGCCCCCTTGCCGTCGTGCCAGCCTGCTTCGCTGACATGTATGACGACAGCCAGCGTGGGATCGCCATCACTGCATTCGCGATGGCCGTCTTTTGTGGGCCCTTTGCCAGCCCCTTCACAGGAGGCTTCATCACCCAGAGCTACCTCGGCTGGCGTTGGACCATGTACATCGTCAGCATCATGGGCTGGCTTGGAACCGTGCTTACACTGTTCCTCGACGAGAGCTATGCGCCTACCATCCTCGTGAGCAAGGCAGGACGAATCCGCCGGGAGACCAAGAACTTCGCCATCCACGCGAAGCAAGAAGAGATCGAAGTCGACATGGCAGAGCTGATCAATCACAACTTCATGCGCCCGATCAGGATGCTGTGCACGGAACCCATCGTCTTCCTGATCACGTTGTACATGAGCTTCATCTACGGCCTGATCTATCTGTTTCTCGGCGCATACCCACTCGTCTTCCAGAAGGTGCGAGGGATGAACTTGGGTGTTGGCGGGCTCCCGTTCATCGGCTTGATTCTCGGTCAACTGTGCGGTGGCGTGTACATCATGATCGACCAGACACAGTACAAGAAGAAGCTTGCCAGGAATCATGGCGTGCAGGTTCCTGAGTGGCGTCTCCCTCCCGTGATTGTCGGCGCCGTGTGTTTCAGTGTTGGTTTGTTCTGGTACGTCTTGTTCCCCCTTCCTAGCCTGCCTGTGTCAACCTTGTGCATCACGTACGGAAAGTGGTGACTAACTGTCTAACTGTTTGCTTCGACAGGTTCGGTTGGACCGGCTTCTCCAAAGACATCCACTGGCTTGCACCAACGGCCAGCGGCGTTGTCACTGGATTTGGCATCCTGTGTATTTTCTTACAGTGTTTCAATTATCTCATCGACACCTATCTCATGTTGTGAGTTCTTCCTCGGCCCCCTCCCTTTTTTCCACCAACGAGTGCCACGCATACTGACTCGGCCGGACCCCCGCTCACAGTGCCGCATCAGCAATAGCCGCGAATTCTCTTCTGCGGTCCTTCTTCGGCGCCGGATTCCCTCTCTTCGCGGACCAGATGTTCAACAATCTGGGTATACAATTCGCTGGCACGCTTTTAGGATGTCTCGCAGCTATCATGGTTCCTATCCCGGTGGTGTTCTATCTCTACGGCCATAAGATCAGGGCTTTAAGCAGAATGAACCGACGCTCGGGTCCTGAAGATGATGGTACAGATGACGAGACTGGTGAGGAGAAGGTGTGAATTGCACCCCTTTGAGCCTTCTGGCTTGGTGACGGGATTCTGTCTAAGCATATACATCATACCTTCTGGACTTTCGAGAGTCGTTGGGTATTGATGCTTCACGAAACTGGAGTCGGTGTCGGGTTGCCCTTTGCTATATAACACGTCTTTCAGTTTTGCATGGCGAAGGAGTCATGGGAAGAAGAAGAAGCTCACGCATTCAGTGGCTTTGAGCATGTTACTTTCAACGAAGAGTGATTGCAAACGTGAGACATACATCTATGCCTATGCATGTGGTAGATTGGTACCCTTATCACTAACCACCTCGAGTCGTGATGAGAATAGAGTCACCAGCCTTGTATGATCATAACAATTCTCACCACCATTGAACGAAAATATGCATCAAAACAGAGTCTTCAGAACTGGAACACAGGGCAACTTGGTTTCATTTCTCTAGGTTGCTCACCTTGTTCGCACGAACAAAGCTTATGCGTACAGTGCGGACTTGCAGAGACTACTGGAGGGAATTGACGGTGAAGGATTATTAATGTTATAAGGGAACCCGAAAAGTACAAAGTGCCAGCCTCCCTTGCTCTACTGAGCGGGGCCTGATAAATTTGCCTTTACAGGAAGTTCTGTGGAACGTGGAATTCCGGAAGGAAACGGGAAAGAGATACCTCTCTGGCAGCCTCTTGGAAATGACTCTCGGCGAGGGTGAGGGTGACTGAGCGCCTGCTTACCTGGCTTGTTGCCCAGGCGTTAAGGCCGGGAGGCTAGGCTGTACCACAGAGCAACACAGGATAACTTGATGGCTGGCAAGGATGGTTGAGCAGTCATCCACGCGATAACTCTCTATTCTTGGATCCGAGTAGTAGTTGACCGATTTAAGGGGGAAACACGCTGTGGAAAGGTCAACTGCGTGCTGTCATTTGCCGTCCTTTGAGCCGGATGAAAGACCTACAGGTTCAATTGGATGCTTTATCCCATCGACAGGGTGAGGTTGCCTTGGACTTGGTGCTGTTGTGCTCGTGTAACACTTGCAGTGGCGGTGGCAGTGGGATTCAGATCAACTCAACCCATGCCGAACCAAGTCCGCTACAGTCCCTCAAATTCAAAAGTCATCTCTTCGAGCGCGTTGAAAGGCGTCCTCCACTCGATATTGTTCTGTGCCGCCACAGGTGAACCGTGCAGAACAGAGCAGACAAACGCTGGTAGTTCAACAACGATACGTCCGAAACACTAGGTAGAGTAATATGCCTGCGGATGACGAATGGTATTATGAGCGACGACGGATCCCAATCACAAGGGGATGGGGTCCTTGCAAGCAGACTGACTGGGTACCCGTTGAAGAATTCTACCAAGGGCGCAACTCTCGAACGGTCCGGACATTTCTGAGGGCAGTCGGACTCAATCCTGACTCTTCACTCGAAACTCGAGCGGTCGATAGGTTCCGGCCAATCGTGCATCTTGATGGTGGTGACGATGACGCGAACAACAACAACGGGCGCGACTTTCTGCAGTACGCGGGGTATCGAGAGCGCGAACTGCACGCCGGTCCATGGCGATGGCATCCTGTCGGCGGTCCACCAGCGCCGGCACAGATTCACGAAGTCGATCGAGTAATAGCGAATGACCTACAAGAGCTCGAGCAGTTCAGAGCACAAAGATTCGAACATCGCATCGGGGAGCTCAATGCCCAGATCAACGAGATTGGTGGCCGGTATCAGCAGCAAATCCAAGAGTATCACCAGGCTTTGGCAGCTGAAGGTGTTGGCCCACAGCGGGAACTGCGAGAGGTACAGGACGCGTTGCGTCGGATGAGACAGGATGATGAATTGAGAAGACAAGAGGATGAGCGGCGGGAAGTCGAGCGGCGGGTCAACCTGAGGTGTGAGGCCGCCCTGGACAGATTGAGAACCATTGAACAAGTGCAGCGCGACCTACGTCTGCAGCAGGCACTAGATAGAGCCCGCCATGAGAGGGATTACCATCGTCGAAGGCATCATAGGTATCGTGAGGAATGCCGGCGGTAGTGATGGCAGTGACGAGGGAGATGGACTCGGATTTTGTAACGGAGGGTGGACAGGGATGTAAAGATCGAAGATCAAGATGTTTTGTCGCGCTTTGTCCAGATTGGGCTCTCAATGTAGTGATAATGAGGCTGTAAGAGTCGCTCACAGTGCAGATCGTACACAAGATCATGAAGACTGGGTAGGTAGTAGATGCATGTATCCGGATAGACTAATGGTTCGGCTGGGGAGAAGTCTCAGGTACAGCTTTGTTGGGTAAGGTAAGTAAGACGAGCACCAGGCCCTAAGTTAATGTTCTAACTTTGTCGTAAGCGGCTAAGGCCGTCGATTTAACTATAGGTTATGCCTAAACACTCTCTATTCCGGGGGCCAATAGGCTCACCACCGCCCATCCGTAAGTACTGGATATACCCAGAGACGTCGTTACTGGCGTCCTTGGCAAGGCCATTCCGCGAGAACTACGGAGTACCACTTTGGTAATTAGAGTAAGTCGACCACCACCTTGCGACAAGCTCCGCCCAGCGACATCGACATCGCTCTTCTCCGCCACCTCAAAGGGCGTAGTTGTCGCCGACAGTTGCAGAAAAATGATTATATATCATCCCAATCTTCGCTGAAACCCAGCCTTGATCCTGTACTCGCTCTTCATCTCACTCCTCGGTCTCGTCAAGTGCTCCTACCACACATATATACCCCGTAGCAATGGCTCCAAAACAACCAGTCAACTCTGACAAGGGCCTCAAGTCGCCGTTGTTCTCCCAGGCAATCGTCCACAACGGGACTGTGTACTGCTCTGGCAATGTCGGAATAGATCCAGTCACCAGCAAGATGGTTGAGGGGTCCGTGGCCGACCGAACCGTAAGTGCACAGCAGCATACCCATAGAAGCACTCTTGACCGTGCTGACACTGATTACTGAACAGAAGCAAATTTTTGAAAACATCAAGAATGTCTTGGAGGAAGCCGGAAGCAGCCTCCAAAACATTCTTAAGATGAACATCTATCTCGTCGACATGGGCGACTATGCCGCCGTGAACACAGTCTGTGCGTAGCATCTGGCCGTGGAGCTTTCACTTTCACATTCACATTCCATTCACTAATCCGGAACTAGACCTCGACACCATTCCAGACCCCAAGCCAGCCAGAACTTGCGTTTGCGTCAAGGAACTCCCGGGCAAGACAGATGTAGGTTGACAGAGGTGATCATTCCGGAAACCTGCTCTTTACTAATCTTGCTTACACAGGTTGAGATTGAATGCATCGCACTTCTGTGAGGGCATGTTCCATAGCCCATTTCCGAACAGTTTCTGTTGACTGACGTCTCGCCAGGAATGATGCTGCTGGGTCAAAGCTTTAGGTAGAGGACATGAGCTGTACAGGGGGAAGAGCTGTGTTCTACACTCTTCGAGATTCACATCATCACACCTTAGCTCAGTATACTAGTTGACAAGGACAAAAAAACTTCAAGCGTCGTTTGCTGAGAATGACACGAGCAATACCCGTCAATAACAATGAACAACAATGACTTTGGTATTGTGCTGATTGAAAACAGCCAACATCTTCACTTCCCCATTGTTCATTCTACCGCTTTCAGATCGATCAACAGATTTCTCAAAGCACCTCTATATTTGCACTATATGCGCACAACTTCTTCGTGTTTTTCTCTCTCCCACCGTTCTTCTTTCACGTCTTTGATTCTCTTACAGTGAGCACTCTAGCATTGACTGCATCAAGGATCCCCAGAAACTTCTGTACACATTTGAAGATGGACGTGCCGATAATTGACAGGTTGAGACCTCGCAAAGGCCGGTCCACTCAGTCTCAGAATGACGATGTAGCAGATCAAACGCTATCCATGGCTGGAGGGACGCCTCCTACGAAGACTCCCAGAAGAGCAGCGGGCAAATTGACAACCACACCCAAGACCACTGCAAAAGTCACTAAGAAGGTGCAAGCTAAAGGAATATCGAAGGCCACCACCACTCCTTCGAAGGTTCTCCGCAAGTCTGTCGTAGAGAAGAAGAGAAAGTGTCCAGCCAAAAAGAACTCAACGAAAGATAGGACCCTCAAACCCGACCCGGCTGAGCAAAGCGACGATGAGGCTGAATCAACCGTACAGCAGAAATCCACTCCTGCGAAGCCCAGCCCTGAGGCTTCATTGAAAAGGGTAGGGAGACTATCCAAAACTCCAGTCAAAGATGGTGCCTACCAACCAGACGAGGACGAGTCGAACGAGGAAGCATCTGCGAAACCCACTAGAAAACCACGGTCGACCAAGAAACCGATCAGAAAGGCGGCGCCGATACCTTTTGTTCCTATCCCTGAACATGAGGACTCTGCAAAGACACACCCGCCGCCAGAAGAAGGCCCAAACAGAAACAGTACACGCGTCAAGGTCACTTTGAAGGTAAAAAAGCCTGCTTCACCTGGACTGGCCACTCCACACCCTGGGCGCCATTCAACATCCAGCGATCTTCGTAGCAGCCCGGACACATTCCACACTGCAAGCCCAGCGGCACGATCTGACGGACCGAATCTGAGCACAGAATCCCCACGGCCATCAGCAAGTTTTTGGACTTCTGCAAAATCGCCCAAGCGCCGTTCTCCAGACAATCAAGATGACGATGGCAATGGCTATCCTCGGTCTCCCAAGCGTGCAAGGTCTGTGAATGCGACGACTGCTTCAAGTTCACTCCCCAAACGTGGTACCTCAACGCAACCTCGCCAGGGTGGTGGTGATTATCTCACGATCGCCGATGCCGATCGCTTGTTGGAAGAAATAACGGTCATGCCCAGGAAGCTGGAGCTGGCCGAGATCGCAGCGCTGTTCGTTTGTCTCCAGGAGAAGTGCATCCGGTTCTCCCAGCTACACTTCAACTACAACCTGACCGAAGACCAACAGGCGGTGTGGCCGTTGCATCAGCTCGACGAAGAAAAGTACCGATCCTTCTTTAACATGGCCCGGTTCCTTGTAGACGCCAACCACTGCGGCTGGAGAGAGTTCTTCACGAGTCGCAAGCACCGCGTGCCTTTTGTCCACGGAGTTCTCGGGGAACGGTTCAAGCACAACATCTTCAAGATTCCCGGGTTCGGCCTTGGTCGGGACGAAGTCAACAAACTGGCCGAGATTGATCGTATGTACATCAGATACGACGCCGTTGTCCGGAGCAAAGTGCGCGCCGAGTATCTCGAGGCACTCAAGTTTGACAAGGCCGAAGACTGGGCTACCTCTGTGGACGTCGACGAGAACGCTGGCAACAAGGGAGATAACGCTGCAGTGAAACCACCAACACCGGCACCGGGCACATCAGCTCATCGTTCAGTTCCCTCCGGATCGTCGTCAGAAGCGTCCGACCCAAAAGTGAACCACTTCACAACAAAGTACGCTGCCAGTCTCGACAATGACGCGACCCAGCTCGCCTCCCAGATCATGGAACAGCTGGAACTGGTCCTCCCTCCTCCCGTCTTCGATCCACTCCGTCCTCACGATCCACAGACGTTCAGCGAGAAAGCCAGACAGGCCTCCTTCCGCCGCTTAATAGAGAGTGATCTGATCACTTTGCTCAAGTACATGGGCGGGCTGTCCCTTTCGATCAGGCTTACCGGTATCAACGGCACGATTATCCGCCTGGCGGAAGCGTACCCAAAGGGAAGCGAATACCACCTGGCCGACTCGGTGGACAACATCTGCGTCAACTCAACCTACTGTAACCTCACGTGTCCCGACACTCCCGCGACGCTGCGCATCTACATGACGTGCTGGTGTAGACTTGAAGGGGTCGTTCCTCACGGTAAGAACAGATTGGAACTGGAAAGGTTTCAAACCGAACACCAGGATCCAGACGGTCTCGAGGAATTCACCTGGGAACAATACGAAGAGGAAGTCTTCCCTCCGCTTCCGTATGAATTGCAAACTACCCCCGAGGGTCGTGCCGCCGTTGCAGACTTGCCCATTGTTGCCGGTACCGAATGGGACGTTTCCATGGCTCAGGCGTCGTGGTCGGACAATGAGCGGCGTCACGATCACGTCTTTGAGGGAGATGACGACGACGACGACCACGATGACCGCCGGAACAATCCCAGCAAACGACGAGCCCCAGGTCCCGAAAGAGGCTGTTTCGTCACATACTACAACAAAATCGCTCCGACGAACGTCTACTGCGCATGGACACCCAAGGCTTCTCGGCCTACCAAGTTTCCAGACGTGGGCGACAACGACGACGTCAATGTGAATGACGATGGTGCCAAAGTGGATGTAACGCTAGAATCCGCCATTTTCCATGCGAAACTCGACCGACAAGACCGCCAAGGAGACGGAAGAGCAGGTGCTGAGAATTCTTCTCACATAGGGTCCACGATAGACTTGATCCGCGAATACCACGTCGGCGAATGGCTCGTCGCGAGCTCCGTGGCCGGCGGTATATTGGCGTACGTGGTCTCCGCGGCCAACCGAGAAAGTCTCGCACCGAATCTTGTTTTCTTCAGCAATGGCAACGAGAACAACAAGATGGTGTCGTCGGCAGCATCGGCAGCGGTCGTCAGACGACTATTACGAACCGTCCCATCGTCTGTCGTCAGGAGTGTGAGCGACGCGCTGGGGCTCACGGTGGCCGCGGCACGGGAGTACATCGTAACCGTACTCGCGTGGGCACAACATTTGGAACAGCGCACCGTTCAGGGTGTGCGCGACGTTGCCGCGGATCTGAGTAGGTCGGTCGCCTTGATGAGTGCGTCACGGTCGCTTGCGGCGTCGAATGCAAAGTCCGGCGTGAGCACACCTACGTTTGTCGAGGTCACGACTTTGTCTACACCTGAGTACCTGTAGCTCCCCGTGAGGTCACGACTTTTGTATATGCCTACATAGATAGGCTTTCACCGGTGGTGGTGGTGGTCGTGCTAGCGGAGGAGGGGTGGGGTGATCAAGCCCAAGGAAAGGGTGATCAGAGGACAGTGACATGGTGTTGAGACTTTAGGGAACCCCGGTCGGCTCTCTGAGAGAGGCCCGTGATGACTGAAGAGAAAGATATCAGAGGAAAAGCAGGGACAGATTGACGAGTCCAGAGAAGAAGCAGAAGAAGCAGAAGATGATGGTGATGATGATGATGAATGAATGAATGAATGGAAGGGGGCGCTAGGAATGCCATCATGCATGCGGTTGATTGATATTCCTGAGGCTTTGGTTAGAGAGCGAGGTCAGACCGGCGTAACAGTAGGTAGTGAGGTGGTACACAGTGTTTTTGGCAATCTCCGTAGGTAACTTCAAAATTACAGATACAGACCGAGTCGTCCGTGATAATAGATTTCACAACTTTTGCAACACCATCAATTCACTGGAGTTCACCATATATGATTGTATTCTCAGTCTTCACAAGGAGGATTTCTCTCCGTCTAGAGCGTCCCCCGATGGCGGCCGATGACTCCATGCGGCACGCTGTGCGGCGGCGAGAAAGCCCTCCCTCGGAAAAAGAAAGTTCACTCCTTTTGCCTATGTAATAGACAGATATCTCCCTCCTAGACAGGGAGGTCAGACTCGTCAATACATCCCATCTGGCCCCCAAACATCGCCCAAGAACTGAGCGTTGCATAACACTCTATGTCGGTGGTTGTGTGAAACAGCCTTTGTATAGCTGTTACAACAAGTCCACCTGGCCAACAGGTCGCATACGAACCCGTGACTTCCGGAAAAGGAAGGACCGTGATGTGGTGAAAGGCCGGTGTGGGGTTGGATATACAACACAACAACACCACACCAAGGCAGCACGTCACCAACCCAAATATATATACACGGTCATTACGTAGCCTTGCTATGTAGTCAACTTCGTTCACGTCTTAGGCTGTGAAATGGCGTAACGGCGTTGATCCATCCACCGAGACTTCTCTCCCTGGTCAGAGGTCCTCGAGTATAGCGTCAGTGGAGTATCCAGCAGCACTCAAGTAAAGTATATGTGCAAATGGCAGCGTGGATAGCAAGCAACCGTGGAGAAGTGGGGTCAATTGTTCTGTTGTCGGCCAAGAACAAGGTCCGATTCATGATACTGTAGAAGAGTCAGGTACCGTTGCAGATAAGCAAGCCCCGGCCCAAAAGAGACTGATCATGCTCTTTGCCCTGGAAGTCGGCTGGGGAAATTGGACGAATTATCAAGTAGCTTCTATGCTCATCGTATCGATCCATTGCTGTTTGATCCGGGAAGTTGTACTCTGTAAGCACCAAATCGGACCCTCTTAATCCCAGCAATGGCATACTGCGGATTATCTGTCCTAAATGCCTCATCATCGACAAACTCGAATTCAGTCTGCCACTGGGTCCCTGTCGCCTCCCCGACTTCAACCCACAGCCTCGCCCAGCTCTCGGCGTTGTGCATAAACAACTTCGACTGTCCCGGTCCACGTACATCGCCAGGCTCCTCCCTTCCGACCATTCCTCCAAATACCATCACATTGGGCAGTTCAGGATTCATGAACTCCACACACCGCTTCGCGGCCTTGATTTGCAGCGACCAGTCGAAAAGATGGAAGAAACTGCTCGCGTGGATGAGAGTAAATCTGCCTACAAAGGGATCTAGGCGCGGATCCCGCGGCTCCAGCAGCATATCACCCGCAATGAAGTGCGACCGGTCCATCTTGCCGCTGTCACGAAACAAGTCGAAGCCAAGGTCGAGATATGCCTGCTCCAGATCCGTGCCATACAGCTTCGCGGGGTCAGCGCCGTTGAAGGCGAGGGCGCGCACAACCTGACCCACGAAACATCCCACGTCGAGCAAGGCATCTACCGAGCCTCCATGCCGAAGGCGAGTGAGTGCAGCCTGGTAGCGAGGGTCTGTGAGCGTACGCTCCAGCTCCAGGAAGCGGAATTGGCCTATGCAGGGGAAGGGCAAGATGGCCCAACCTTGATCTCGCTGAAGACGTTGGCAGGTATTGTTAGGCAGGCAATGCGAACGGGGCGTGGAGGTAAGCTTACGATCCTCAAAACATGTTCATTTACTTCGTCGGTCGGTATCCCGCTATATTGTTCCAGGACCTGCCTAGCAGCATCAAACCTGTCAGGTAGGTGCGTCGAATAGAACTGCTTCTTGAACCTCTCGCGCTGATCGTCTGTGACACGGCTCTTTGGATCCTGTGCCGCCATTGACTGTGAGAGAACCGGGCTGGTATGTATCCCGGCTGGTCGAGCTAAGACAGCTGGAGGCAAGCGGAGTGATGGAGTGGCGATGCAGCCTCTGATGCGCAAAGATTTCATTGAGAATTTCAAATGGACAAGACAACTGACGACCTGAAATAAGACGCATGCAACCACTGGCAGGGCGTTTCGACATATATATCTAGGCGAGCACAGACAGAAAGCCGATCCAGGCCCCCACTACCACACGACTAAACCTTCCTAAAGTCGCGACGCTAGCTGTATCGATACTCTGTTGCGAAGCTTGCCCCATTATGGACTAGCTCGTTATACTTAACAGTGCAGCCGCGGAGACCAATCGCTCGTTTGGTACTGTACGGAGGACTGCGTACTCCGTAGTTCCGCGTCTTGGTAGGCGGCCGAGGTCTCAGATCAGGGATTATGTGAATGCTTGTAAAGACTTTTCTCTTAGATGGACGAGCGTGAAAAGAAGAGCCACAATGGCAATGTCAAGACAGGTCTGTGCTGGTAAATGTGAATGTTCTTGCCATGGCATCACTTTCTTGTTCAACTGATTGACACGTTAGGTAGTCTTCTCTCACTTTTGTCTAATCTCGTATCATTCCATTCTCGACCCAACAAACCCTAACTCGTACACGACAGAGAACGGCGAAGCTAGATACAAGGAAAAGAACTCCCCCGAGTGGTTGATGCGGTCTAACCGGTTGGACCTTTTATGTTGTTGATGTGACCCGGTGCTTTGGATTCCCTGGTGCGAAGATAGCCAGGACGTACCGTTTCCAAATTCACGCACACAGCCAATGGCCGCTAGAGCCTAGCCTCATCTCAGTTCATGAGACAGCAGTATGAAGCTAGGTAGGTTCACGGTGGACCTAGTACCAGATTCGATACAGAGAAATGGGATAAGCGACAGTGCCGTCTTCTCACTGCCCAGGATCTTCGCTTCGACGGCCACCGAGAGAAGAGCACTCGATCTCGATCTAAAAGGTGTCCGAATATCTCCCCCGAGCCTGATGATTCGATCCATACAGTCTTTTTCTTCCTGAGCGAAACCAGGAAGCCTCGAAAGCCTTCGTGTGTGTCGATTCAGCATAACCTTGAACGAGAACATTCCAACCAAAGCCAAAAAAACAACTGAACATTGAAACTAATCACTCCCCTGCTTTCTCGACAGCGCATCGACTTTCACAACATGCTCAACCATCTCGGCCATGGTCTTCTGCACTTTAAGCCACGAGACCTCTGCGCGTGCCGCTTCCATCTTGGCCTTCTCCATTGCCTTTTCGGCATCTCGCGCAGCACCAACCACTTCGACCATACATTTGCTCATCTGAATCAGATGGCTCTTTCGCTGCAAGTCGGTCTCGATGTGCGCGAGGTCCAAAAGAGAGTGCGTCAGAGTCGTTGCATTCGCGAGGGTCTCGGCTGGAGACGGGAGTGGCGGGGTTGTATCTGCGCTTCCACTTGCCTTCGCATTGTCGCGCTGTTGCGCAGATACACCACTAATTCCCGGATACGGTGACGGCTGAACAGTAGCGGTGAACGGTGTGGTTGGGCTGATGAATGGATTTCGGATCAAGTTGCGTGGAGCACTGTTGGTGTTGTCAGAGGCCGCCGCGCCGCAATCGGAAGGATTTATTCGTAATGGATTAGGCATGAGACTCTGCCGGATGGAACCAGTACCGTCATCGTTGGTCGTCTCGGACTCGACGGAGCGTTTGTGGAAGAGTCCTCGGAGATTTGAAATGACTTTCTTGCTGCTGGAAGTAGGAGTATAGCCTAATTTGCGGGCGACCCTCCTAGCCTTGGTGGAATCCGTGTGCGGACTAACACTCTGAGAGAAAGTTTTGACATTTCTCGGCTTCTTCAGAAAATCAGGGTCAACTTCGCGGCCATTTGACGCACGAGGCTTGATACTGACTGTTGGCCCGGCGTTCTGTGGGGGCGAAACAATGATCGGAGGTGGCTTTGGTCTTCTCGAGGAGACTCGAGGTGGATATGTCGTGGTCGAGTCACCACTGTCAGCACCACCTGAAACCTCCAAACGGACGGACACCTTTCCGATAGATTCCTTGCCTTTCTTCTCTCCATTTTTGGTATCTTGAAACAAGAAAGGCGCAATCTCTCTGCTAGGTGGCGCACGTAGAGCGATTGTGGAAGGCCGGGATGTAATTGACTTGATGCTTGCTGATCCTGTCTTTGGTGGTTCGGCATCTGTGTAGATCGAAGACTTGCTTTTGCTTGGGTCGCCTTTTTCGTAGAAGGAAGCACTCGTAAGTTTTGGAGGGGATCGATCAGGGCTTGCACAGAGGTTGAACTCTGCAAAGTCTTTGCCAGGCCAGTCACATTGTACAGGAGCTGGGTTTCGCGGACTCTCCCAAGAATCTCGTTTCACGTACTTTATAATGAGTGAGCTGGGTCTTGAATCGTGAACGTACACGGATTCTCTCCCAGGCAGCTCTGCTGACTGAGGCTGTGATGGGGAGTCACAGTCACCTATTAACTGACGCACTTCATCATCGCCAAGTGCTCTGATTTCACTTGTACGATCCGCGATGTTCCTCGCAATGAAAGAGAGGGGACGGTCAAAAATTGCGCTGGTCGGCCGACTGCTTGTCTTTGTGTCTTTCCGTTGACCAATTTCTGGAGCACTTCTTTTTCGGCGGAGGATGACGCTGGAGCGTGCAGAGGGGGCAACTGGGTCACTGGCTTTCTCGTCGCTTCCTAGCAAGATACGACTTGCAGAGTCGTTGATACGGAGTGTCGGGCCCTCAAGCAGTCCATTCCCAAGATGTTTGATGCGGAAACCACCATAGGAATCATAACCACGAGTTGTGCTGTTGGAAATATCGGCACTACGTACCGTGTGGTCAAGTGGTGGGACAGGGGACGACAGCGCATCGCGAAGATCAATACAGCTATCTGCAACAGGAGGAGATTGGCCAGCAACTCTGGGACTCGAGGAGTTGGTGGATGCGGCGCCACTACTACCTTGAGTTCCTGGGCACTCTGTAGGTTTAGAAGTATCGTCCAGAGAAGGCTGTCCATGTGGAGAGACACCTTCTGTACCAGGACTAGCTCGTTCACCTTTAATTCGGCTGGGAACCGGGAGTGAGCTTTGTCTGGAGACATCTTTTGCAGTAGATTCTTCTTTCCTTCCAACGTGGTCAAGGCCATGCGAGATAGAATTCTCCAGACCCCCGGATACCATCATACTATGGTCGTCATGGGTCATTTCTTGCTGATTGGCAGGTGACGCCGCATTTGCTCTTAATGGTACGCGAGTAGGGATGATGTATGGTGAGCCGCGGACTGTGACCGCGTGTCGACCTTTGGACGCGGATCGAGTTGGATTTGGACCGCGTCCATCGATGTGTCTGGGCTTCCCCAACAGAGTTGACGGTTGTTGAATTGACGGAAGTGCATCTTCTGTCGCTACACTCTTCTCGCCAGAGCTCCAGGTTCTCTTCCCCATTGCATTCTGAAGTCTCATAGCCGAAGTCTTCGTCTGACGTATGACAGGGTTATCGGTATGGCGTGAAAGAGTCTGCAACATTGAGTCGCGTGGCTTTGGCAGTTGACTCGATGACAGCGGACGGTCAGAGTCATTGTCAAGGATTCCGAGAGAAGTATGCATTTGTCTTCCTGAAGAGTGGGACTTGGATTCCTTTTTTCTTTCAACGGCAGAATTTGCAAATTCGACGGCTGGGTACCCCTTCTCTTTTTCATCTTCATTATCTTGCAAATTCAGGCTTCGAAGGCCATCGATGATACTCTCTCCCAGACTTGGCTTAGCCGGAGCTTTGCAAGGTTCTGGTATCGGGACAGTTGTACCAGTTGATGGCTGGATCGAGGGCCATTCTTCCTCCTTCGGTGGTCCTCCATCAGGAGGGGAGACTGAACGTCGCAAAGGGCGTTCAGAGCAGTCAATAAGTGATCTGCGGACAGGAGATTTGTAGTCAACCGTTGCAACCGGAAGACTTGGTAAAGGTTTGTCGGTTGGGCTAGAGGACTGTTTGGTAGGCCCGGGACGTTCTAAAGTGCTCTTCTGAGTGAGCTGGGCTGCGACTGGAGTTGCGACACGGCTCTTCGCTGGACCAACCTGGAACACAGTCAGTATCATCGGCAGTTTCATTAGTGAAGGCATACAATGGGTTTCTGCGCAGACTCTTTCGAAGGCATCGAAGCTTCTTGAACCTGCGATAAGCTTCTTTTCTCGCGAAGCTTTGGGAGCCGCAGACGTTTCGATGCGCTTCCTACCCAATCCTTCTTCCTTCCCTTTTGCTCAGACGACCTAGCAGATACAGACTGAGGCTGACTGAACACAGGTGAAGGCGGCCTCTCCGCAACATCGCGGATTGGCATCTTGGAGGTAGAGGCAGGATGATTCTTCGCGTGGTGGTTCAAGCTCGTTGGATGGGACCTTGTGCTTCGAGAGCGAAAACCCGTCGCTTCCATGGGTGGTTGACGGTGTTCGGAGTTGCCATGGGTCTTGTGACCAGCAGCCATGACAAAATGAATGATTAATGTTCAGTCAGGAGCATGTTGAAGATGTTTATGAGGTGTTGTTTTGATTTCAGGCGCGTCAGGTGAAGACGTTGATTTGTTTTGGCAATGTGATCGTTACTTTCCATTGAATTTCACTGCAATCACGTTGCCCTGGCACGGCAGCAAGGATGTTATCCTGAAGCCTTCCCATACTAACCCATTGAGCCCTTCAAGGTGTCGTCGGCGACCTCCCGTTTTATAGCCTTGGATATATCTGCGAATACCACTTCGCCCAACGGGAACTACCAGCTGCTTGCCAATGATTGCAGCATAGTAGAAGTCCACCCGAGTGATACCATTTTAGTGTCAAGATGCAGTCATGTATCATTCAGTCATTTTCTTCATACTCGTTTGATCCACCTTTCCTTTGCTTGCTGGCCTCGTATTGCTCCATGTTCGGTTGTTTCCATCTAGGACCTCCATAATCTTCATCCTTTAGACGCCCAGCATCGTCAATGTGAATGCCTCGTGAGTCAGCAAGAGCTTCAAGGTTTCGCTGCTCTTCCATCATTTCCCTCAAGTAGTCGGCCGTCTTGCTCAACATGACTTGCTCACTCTTTTCCTGGCCCAGTGTACCTGGCACCATGCGAGAGAGCTCGATGAATCGTTCTCTGATGGCTGTGCGACGCTTGTTCTCAGCATCTTTGTGGTTGAAGTTTCTCTGATCCTCGGTTAGCCTGGGTTTGGTGACTTTCGAGTTCTTCCTCGAGCCGCTTCCAGGCTCGCCCGCATTGCTGTTGTCCTCAGGCTCTGTTGAAGACGTCCGTGATTTGATGCGAGACTCTGCTCCGTCTTCTTTCGACATCTCTTCGCGCTGAATAAAAGCCTGGTGAGGGTTTTTGACGGCTGGCCGGTCGTCTTCGGAAGTTAAAACTGATAATCTTGGTACAATCTATGTTATGAAGAATGATGGGAAGAGAAGCTTTTAAATCTCATCGATGTAGTGCAGGTTTGCTCGAGGGGTAGACCAGACAAAAGGACAAATTGATGGCAACAAGAGAGATGTGGTCGTGGGTCCAGCACAGACTACCGTTGTCCTCGTACGAGTGGATTCTCGCCCAGTTTCCTCATTGACCCGGCTCTTAATCCCGACATGCATGAGGGTTAAATCCGAGTTCTTTTGGAAGTGGGAGCCCGCCGTCGTTCACGATTAGATCACTTGTTCAACGCTTTGCTTTCACTCCTATCGCTCCCCTGCATGTCAATCTCGAGTCAACACTCTACCACCTCCTGTCACGGTCTTCGTGATATCGGAACACTTCTCACGCCAGCACCATGAGCAGAGAACGACCGCTCCGTGGCGCCTGCAACTGCGGCCGGATTCACTATTCCGTAATTGTGCCTGGAGATTCTACACAACGGGCAGAAGTCTTTTTTGACAACACCAGTGACAGCAGTAAGCCACGGACCGTGACAGTACAAGGTCAAGCTAACACGACTAGGACGAAGTCAAGCAACACCATTGACAGCATGGCTGAGAGTGCCACTGACTTGGTACTCCTCGACAACCCAAGCATTCTTCCCTGATGAAACCCACGCCACAATCCGGCGAACCTTTTCTCCTTTGCATAGTCCACACACTCAACGTGTATTCTGCGGATACTGTGGTACGCACTTGTCTTACTGGACAGAGAACCCCTCCTCGGAAGCCGACTTCATGAACATCACCCTGGGCAGTTTACTGGGCGAGGACATGCATGCATTACAAGAGCTGGATCTACTACCCGAGGACGTGGAGCCGGAGAATATCCAGGGACCGTCTCAAACAGCTGTTCAAGCACCCACAGAACAAAAGCAGAACCAAGACGTGACCTGGACGGAACGGAGCGGACGATCAGGAGGCCTATCATGGTTCGAGGAATTGTTGGATGGCAGCAGACTAGGTCGTACTCACAACTTCCGAAAAGGAGTCGGAGTGAGTTCGGATGGCAATACCAGAGTCGAGTGGGAAATTGAGGAGTTCTTTGATGATGGAAGTGCTACGCCACAGACACCGACCGGCTCAAAGCGGAAACTCGGAGACGTCACAAGTGATGATCTGATGGAAGTTTGATGAGCCCAAACGCTTGCCAGAGAAGAGACATCAAAGCGGCCCAACCTGGTATCGAAGCTCCGCAGGCACGGGTGTGTAATGAAAGCAGTAATGGACATGGGCATTGCTCTACAATGCGATGCCAAAAAAAAGATAAAATCAAAACAGGCTAACACTGTTGAAACATGTATTTACAACTCTAGTTCTATCACGCCGGGTCTTTTTCGCATCCATTTATCGTACCGTGTTTCCAATTCATCCCGTAACACTCTTCACAGCTGTCCTCATGGCTTCGGGCAAAGAAGCGACCTTGGCGTTGAATAGGTCCTCTGCTTGTTGCCAGACGCGACTGCTCTTGCGATCCTTCAGTGTCAGCAGGCTTGGCAGCAGAGCCTCACTAAATGCCTCGCTGGCCTCCCGAGGCAACAGAGAAGGCAAATGGTCAATGCTAATGACACATAGTGGCGGGTTATCGTAACCTTCAACCTTGATCGTCGGACTCGAAAACGTGCTGTTCTTGGTGTATATCGGCACCGGATTGTGAGGGTTCGTCGTGTCGCAGGATACGTCGCACACGACGCTCAGCTTTCTCTTCTCTGACAACAACGATTCTTTGTTGATGAAAGGTGGGATTGGATCGGAGAGATAAATGCAGTTGACGAAGATGTCGCTTTCCACAATCTCGGAAAACGGGCCCCCCTTTGCCGTTTCCGCCATGTCCCACTGCAAGATGTTCTCGTCGGGGATGCCAACCTGCTTGCACAGATCGACGGCTCCACGGCCACAGCGGCCAAGGGCGCCGATGACCAGAACTCGAGGCTTGCGTCCGGCGATCTTTTCACCCTCGGCTAATCTCGCGCCGACATCCTTCAGGAGAAGGTCTTGGTTGGGGTAACTCGAAACGGAGGGCATGCTCTCGGCTTCAGGATGTTGCAGTTGATAAGCCCATGCTTCCACGGCGAGGGCTGCACCAGCGTAGCCGGCGTGGTATCCGAATGCGGCGACACGTCGGCCGGTATCATCTTGGAGGAACTCGAGATCAAGCAGGGTGCCGCCACCCTGGGGAAAGCGGGAGAGGACGTCTTGCCAGCCACCTTGGCCTTTGTAGCAATGCGCAAACTGGACATGCGTATGCTTCAATGCGACTGGAAAGTGTTAGCAAAGTCTGAATGTGCAGACACGGTCTCCAAAGAAGTACATTTATCCACGGGCAGCTCCTTGAGACCGACGATGACATGGTCTTGCGGAGCATCAACCCATGATCCCTCAGGCACGAGAGTTGCGCCTACAGCTTCGAATTCGGAGTCGTCGAAAATGCGCTCTGGACTTCGCTCAACGTTGATCTTGTAGCCGGCGTCGAGCAGAGCCTTTGTAGTGGTTGGGGTGACTGTAGGGTGTTAGGACGAGCGACTGAACCCGATAAAACATGCAGAACATACGAGCTGAGCGATGCTCGAGAGGCTTGCACTCTGAGCGAAGATGTAATGTCGTTGCCATGGTTTGGACTCTAGGCTTGGAACGAGTATGGTACAAGGCGTAGAGAAGATGTTCAGGTTATTTGTTATTTATTCGGATTTTATCCAGACACAATATGACTCAATAAAAAGAGTAGCGTGCCAGGGCGCAACTCGCATAATGTGCTGAGATGCTCCAGAAAATTCCCCCACACCGAACTTTTTCTGCCACCGCCCGTTTGATTCCCTTTGATTGGGCCTGTTCCTGGATGTTCGGCTGACGTACGCATCTATGCGTCTATGCATTGTACGACGGATACAACCAGGCCAGGCATTGCGAGGCACAGTACGCCAGGCTTACAGAAAAAAGGCACCTAGTACCTATTCTCTCCTATACATGTTCCTGACGACCTGTACTCGCATTGTCCCCGATTAACAGCATCATCAACACCTTCTCAGCCCCCTGTGTATTCCGAGCTGCAGACTGAAACCATATACACATGATGGCGGACAAAAAGGAGAAGGAGCCAGAGCCCGAGCCCAGCGAGGCGCCTCCATCCTACGAAGCACTCTCTGTGCCCCCTCCTCAATCACAACCACAAGCAGCCTCACAGCAACCTGGTGGCCCTGGGAGGAGGCTTCGAGCCCCTCCTCCTCTAGACATTCCCGCCCTGCGCATCCTCCGCGGACGTCGAGTCATCCTCGCCTCCCAGTCCCCTCGTCGCAGAGCCCTCCTCGCCCAGGTCGGCCTGACCCAAGTAGAGACGATACCGTCCAACTTTGCCGAGAACCTCCCCCACACCCTGTCGCCGTGGGAATACGTGTCGGCGACGGCGACCCAGAAGGCGCTCTCGGTCTACCGTACGTCGATCCAGGACGAATCCAAACCGGAGCCGGCGCTGATTATTGCGGCCGACACCATCGTCGTCTCTGCGGCGGGCGAGATCCTGGAGAAGCCCCGCTCCGAAGCACACCACATCAAGATGCTCCGGGGCCTTCGCGACACGGGAACCCACCGCGTCTACACTGCGGTCACGCTGATCGCGCCGTTGGCCAGTGCAAGGGACCCCGGTTACGCTCTCGAGACAGGGACCGAGGAGACGGTGGTCAAGTTTGACTCGGACATCTCGGACGAGCTGTTGCTCGCGTACGTGCGCACGAGGGAGGGTGCCGACAAGGCCGGCGGGTACGGAATCCAGGGCACAGGCGCGATTCTCGTGGAGAGAATAGAAGGGAGTTTCGACAATGTTGTAGGCTTGCCGCTGCGGTTGACGTTGAAGCTCATGGAAACGGTCATGATGAAGGCCGACGATGACGATCATTTGGGCGACGAGGACTTGTTGGCTGATGAAGACTAGGGACTGAACAAGGAACATCCGACAGGGCGTTATTGGCACTTGGGTTGTGACGTGACACGACAAGTTATAAATGACGAGATTGGGACATACACACACGCACAAAAAGAATAGACATGACTTGAGCGAGCATACAAGTTTTAGTTTGAATCTTTGAACCTCGAAAAAGTACATGGCCAACCTGGTCCAAGTCCTGTACTTGCAGATACTCAATCCCATGCGAACATCTGTGTGCAGTGTGCACCTGCTGCCGTGGATTCTGCATTTGTTTTTCGCATATACATGAGTCGTGTATAACTCCCCGCTACCACCACCGCATCCTGCAGCATGTTAAATTACTTCAGGTGCTTCAACTTTCCATCATGTCCGAGGGCCGACAAGTCGGTCTTTCCGATGGTCGCATCGTTCTCGCCAGCATGCCATATCCTCTTCACCGCCTCCGTGACACCGACATCGTTGGTCTCGAATTCGTAGAAGCCAATTGCAACAACCAAAGTCGCCAGGTTCAAAGCCCACATGAACGCCTTTCGCAAAGTTGGGTGCTTGTTAATCGGGATATAGTCAATCACCATAGACCTGAAACAGACATCCGCGTTAGTATTCGCCTCAGTAATTTGGAAAGGTCTTGTCGTTCTCGATGTCATGATAAAAATAGACGGCACAGGCCCGGGTGCAGGGATATATATTTATCGCAGGGTCAGAAACATACTGGAATCCGATATGGCTGTGCACGAGGATGCTAAAGATCAAGACAGCGTCCAGAGTCGGGCTCAGGCTCCCCGAGGCAAAGGGTACCATCGTGAGCGGCACGAGACCGGCCGACATCAGTCTCTCAAAGGTCCAGTGGTAGCTTCCGTGTAGAGGATTCGGCTTCGGCACGGGTGCGGGAGTGTTCACGCCGCCCTCGATGACTTGTGGTCCAGGAGGGAGGATCTTGCGCTGTGAGGTCGTCGAAAAAGCTGCATATCTGCTCGCGCCCGCCGCCCACGAAGGTACGAGGAGCTGTCTGGGTTGAAATGACGGAGCAGGTCGGAGCAGGCGAAGCGGTTGTGTCGTCGAGGTCGCGAACGATCGTGATGACGATGACAAGAGTTGTGCTGAGCGGAGCACGGCGGATCTCGACGACGCTGCCATCGTAACTGCGAGCTAGCCCTCGAAGGTTGTGTCTGTCGAGAGGTGTGGTGTTGGCGATGCGAGAGATGTTGCAAAGACAAAACGATCGGGTCCAAGCAAGCAGGTAAATGGAGGAGAGAGGATGCGGCGTGCATTCCCGAAGCTCGCATCCGAAAGGCCAATCACGAGCATTGCATTTCAAGAACTCGGTGTACGGCGAAGCACAGGGACACATGCGCCACTTGATGATTCCTCGGCATTATCGAAATAGCAGACTTCACGCGTTTGCCATACGCAGAACGTACACGATGAATACTCCATGGGTTCCTATACATGTGTCGCTGTCCCCGCGATATCTGACGTCTGCTAATCGATTTTCTATTGTCCTATCCAAGCATAGTGCAGGCCGATTTCTTCGCAAGAGTCGGCCTAACAAACAACCATGCATCCCAGGGCACCGCAAACCTCACGATCCTTCTGCATCGTCACACTTCAGTGATGCTCGGACCATTTCAAATATCGTACAATTGGTACAGTCTGGTCAATTCAAGTGCATTCCGATCCCCGCAAGATGCTTTTTGATACAATTTTCGCCACGTGACTGAAAGGCTTCAGCATGCGACGCGTCTCAGGCGCAGAATTTAGCCATCGGTCACGGGATGAGCTCCTCTGTACTTGAAAACATTCTCGAATGACGGTGAGTGGCATATGGAGCCGTCGCTACCTTCACGTCCTCGGGGATATACTCGATTCTGATGACCTTCAAGCGAGGCCCGGGGACGCCCTACATTGAGAGTGCCCACAGTCTCTATGCCTTCAACATGCACGTTATGGTATGGCCGTACGAATATTCGTTCGCTGATGATACGTGGAACATACTCGGTGGTCCAGAGTATAGGCTTACCAACTCCACCGCTTCCTGATAAGTAGGTGAATGGTCGGGACCCGGAAACCCTGTACGGATCTCACCTTCCAGCTTCTTCTAGCCTCAAGGGTTTCTGCCATATTCCTATATTGTACATGGTTGTCACGCTTATAGCGTCGGTACCATCAATCAAGAAAACGATGGTGTTCTCAACGAGTTCTTCAAAGATCGATCTGCTCCCCTTAGTTTCCTCGATCCCAGCGTCTAGAAGGTTCCTGAGGAATGTGTCTTGGGCAAAGTCAACACCTTTCTTTGTAGCCTATACTCCGAAATCACCCCCTGAAGGCCTAAATCTGCCTGCAGTCTCTATGGAGTTCCGGGACGGACACACTGGACAATCAGTCCTGTCCTTCTTGACGAAGCAGTAGTCTTCAGATCAAGCACCTGTACACTCATGTACTCCTTACCCGCGAGGGATGTGAAGCTAACCGCTCTAGGATTAGAGTCTACATATAGATCATGTCTCCACCTCGCGAACAACTCTTCTACCTCTCAACTACGCTGGAAGAGATGAGTGCCTTGTCAGAAGCAAAAAGCGCAGACACCCCGACTGGCTGACGTAGAGACAACGCTACAAGAGGTAGGGTCCCATTGATCAGATGGGACGCAGCGTGAGCGTGTCTTAGTCGATGACCAAAAACAGATTCGAGAGGCAACCCAGCGGACCGCAGTCTTTCGCATATCATGCTAGCTAAGCTGACCTGCATATTGTCAGTCATGCCTACAGTTTTCAGTTTCCACGCTCGACTCAGCATCCAAGATCATACCACCAGAGGCCTCGGGCCAATGTCAGAAATGGCCCATTGGGGCGGCTATTGCTGCGGGGTTCACCGAGGAGTTTGAGCGGCTTACCAAGTAGATTAGAAAAGACAAGAAATGTCCTTTGAACTCCCAGAAGGTATGCATGACCTCAATCCAGCCAAAACCGTGCTCTCAAGGGTGCTTCTCGTCCACAATGGCGACCGACCGAGTAGTACTTATCTCTGCAGCGCCAACTGAGGACGTCACTGTAGCATCAGACGCCCCACACGAGAACGAATGGTATAATGGTCGAGACTTCGACGGCTACCGCATCACTGAGCAGCTACTATACGAACGACGCAAGATCAGAGTGATCTGTGTTGGTGCGGGAGCCACAGGCTTGCAATTCGCTTACAAAGCCGAGCGTGCTCTCAAGGACGTTGAGCTCCAGATATACGAGAAAAACAGTGAGCCTGGAGGAACTTGGCTCGAAAACAGGTATCCTGGATGCAGTTGTGATATTCCAAGTCCTTCGTACCAATTCACCTGGGCTAAAAACCCAAATTGGTCGCGATACTATTCAGGGGCTGAAGAAATCTGGAAGTATCTGAAGGATGTTGCTGTCAAGTACGACCTCGAGAAGTATGTTCAGTTCAAGACGACGGTAGAATCGGCCACTTGGGACGAGGATGCAGGTCTATGGAGACTCAGTCTAGTGCGCCCTGATGGATCATACTTCGAGGACAGTTGCAATATCTTGGTCAACGGATCCGGAGTCCTCAACTCGTGGAAGTGGCCCAAAATACCGGGCCTAGACTTGTTCAAGGGCAAGTTGATGCACTCTGCTCGATGGGATGACAGTTATGACTTGAAGGATAAGAGGGTCGCTGTTATAGGAGGTGGATCATCTGCTGTACAGATCATACCGTCAATCCAACCGAGTAAGTGATCTTGAAGATGGCACATGCGGCTGCTGATGTTTGGTTCAGCTGTCAAGAAGTTGTATCCCTTTTTAAGGTCTCCAGTCTGGATCACTACGGGATTTGGAGCAAAATATGCTGGCCCTGGCGGCACCAACTTCACATGTAGGTAAACTAGTCTCATTTGTGGCTTCAAGCCTGACACTCCCCAGACTCAGAAGAGCAGAAGCAAGAATGGAAGGCAAATCCCGACAAGTACGCCCAGTACTGCCGCGACATCGAGGGCGAGCTCAACAAGCGATTCACACTGGTAGGTCCTTGAGACTAGGCAGCCCCCTTCAACAGACTCGCTGACGATGGATAGATGCATCTCAAAGCCCATGATCAGAAAACCTCTCGCGAGCTGGTAGCAGACATCATGGCAGAGCAACTTGGGCACGATGAAAAGTTAACCAAGCATATGATTCCGCCATTTGCTCTCGGTTGCCGACGGATGACTCCCGGGTCAGGTTACCTACAGTCGTTACGCGCGGACAATGTCCAGGTGATCCCATCCTCAGCAGTGCGTCTCACCGAGACTGGCATAGTAGATGAATCAGGCGAGGAGCGCGAGGTGGATGTTGTTATCTGTGCGACTGGCTTCGACACTTCTTTTACGCCGCATTTTAAAGTGTATGGTCGCAACAAGGCTGAGATTCACGAACAATTTGGAGACTTCCCAGTCGGGTATCTCGGCATCACGGCAGAGAATTTCCCAAACCTATTCCTGTTGATAGGGCCTAACGGACCGGCTTCGCATTCGAGCATCCTACCGATATTAGAGTGGTATACCAGGTATATCTTCCAGGTGATTGAGAAGATTCAGACGGAGCGAGTAAAGGCCGTGGAACCCAAAAAGGAAGCCATCAAGGATCTGTACAACCACACGCACGAATTGATGAAGCGACTGGTGTGGTCGTCGGCTTGTCGAAGCTGGTTCAAGAATGGGAAGACTCATGGTCCAGTGACGGCCATCTATCCTGGGAGTCGCTTGCATTTCTTCGAAATCCTGAAGAATGTCCGGTGGGAGGACTACAACATTACCTATATGTCTGACAACCGATTTGCTTTTATGGGCAACGGATACACGCAGACCGAAGTCGATCCAGACGGGGATCCGGTGTGGTATTTCGATGATGATTTTGTGAAGATATAATACTGATAAAGTAGAAGGTAGTAGAGCAGCCATCCAGATACGATGTAGCAGCAGGAATAATAATTCATAGCGATTGTCGAGATTCGTAATAAGGCGTGGCCAGGGGCCTCAACTGCCCCAGTCGACTAGACCTACAGTAAGCCTATAACGGGGCCTCCTAGAGGCGGTCCACCACCGCTGTCCACGCCTATTGGAGCCACTGAGCTCACTATGCCTCATCAAGTAAACCCGCCTATTAGTGCCCAGCCCAGACGAGCATACAACGCCTCCTCTCCGCTATCAATCTCTTCTCCGCTTGGTCAGATCTACAACTTCTCGACTCATATAATTCCTACAACTGCCTCGACCGCTGCAGAGTCAACCTGGCGATGCCATTGTTCCCTCCGCTGCAGGACCCGAACATCATATACCAAATACATTCGCAACCATGTCGAAGCGGAGTTGGCAAGAGGCCAATCTGCCTTCCCCGTCCCCACGAGGCCCAATAACCAGCCTGCAACGAACAGGTTCCTCGGTGTCGCCGCAGTCCTACAATTCACCAGGCCAGACGCTCTCGCCAAAGAAGAGCCGCAACTCTTTCGACGAGCCGCCTCTGATAGCAAAGGCCCCTCCCAAAGCACCACAACGAACCAACTCCTCCAATGGCGCACAGGCCGATTCGAAGTTGCCAGGAATATCGAGAAAGGTCAAAGCATGTGCAGCTTGTCGCAAACAAAAGGTGGGCATAGGATATCGATTCTGTATTCACCGTGGAGCTGACACATACATCGCAGATCAAATGTATCATGATTGGCGATCCCCCGTGCCAGAGATGCAAAGAGCGAGGATTGTCATGTCGGTTGAATAAAAGCTTGCAAACCCTCATGTCAGAAGACTCGAAGTGGAAGTCTGCAGTCACCAAGGATGTTACTTCGCTGTACGCTGCTGTGGAAGAGATAGTGCGGACACTTCAGCTTCCTCCTTTGCCGCAGATGCTCGTCTCAACGCAAGATCCCGCCATCTTCTTTGACCAGGAAGATCAGGGCAATGATCAGGATGATGAGGATCAGTCGGTCGACAATTCACCAAAAGTCACGCCCGTTGCTGACAATCTGTCCCACGTCCCAATTGAATCCCTATATCAGATCACAGGCATGCGGTCTCTACGAGCGACCGAGAACATTACAGAAGACCAGTCGCGGATATGCAAGCAGCTGCGCGATACTGACTTCATTGCACGAGGTTTGATCAAGCAAGAGGATGCAGAGCATCTGGCCAATTACTACCTCAGCAAGCTCGACCCATATATCTGGCACATTTGCCCTGACTATAAAGACCTCGACTCCTTCAGGCGACGCTCTCCCACTCTGACGGCATGCGTTCTGACGGTTGCCGCGCTTCATGATACTAAGCTGGGTCATCTGTACGCCATCTGTAACAAAGAGTACCGAAGGTTGGTTGCCAATGCAATGTTTGAGAGAAAGATCGATATGGAGTATTTAAGGGCACTCGTACTTGGATCATACTGGTTGAGCGACATCTCCTGGACATTATCAGGTTACGCTATTCGTCGCGCCAGTGAATTTCACCTTCGACAGTACTATCACGAAATCTCCGAATCTCTCAAGTCGCCCGAGAAGGCGGATCAGGAGAAGCTCCAAGAGGCGATCGACGGTATCAGAGTGCTTTACTTGCTCTATATCTGCGATCATCATCTATCGATTCTCTACGGACGTTCATCGATCATGCGTGACAACGAAAGTTATATTACGGGTTGGGAGGCGTACCTGGCATGCCCACTATCAACGGACGCCGATCGCAGAATCGCTGGACAAATCTGTCTGATGTATCTCATGAACCAAATTCGCGAAACGCTAGGTCCAGAAGATACAGGATCAGTGTTACCAGCCTCTGCACTGAGCAAGATTGCTGGATTTGAGAGAGATTTGGATGATTGGATAGCCAGGTTCTCTCGGCATAGTAAGTTTACATACCCCAACGGCAGCCAAATCTGTTACTGACAATCAAACAGACCCAAGCCAATGGATAGGCAATTGGCCCAACAAGGGCGCGATAATGCACTACCACTGGGCGAAGTTGTACCTTCAATCGTATGTGCTTCGTGGCTTGCCAGACACCGGTGCTGTTATCCCAGAACACTTCTTGGAGAATGCGTCGGCGGCAGTTGCTGCTGCGACTGCAATCATCAATCTGCTACTTGACGACAAGGACGCACAAATAGCCATTGCATACGTCCCTCATCACGTTCACGGCATGATTGCGTTTGCTTGCATGTTTTTACTGAAGATTGCCAAAAAGTTCAGTGCGCAGCTATTCCTAGATACCGTTCGCTTCCAGCGTCTTATCAACGCGTTAGCACAACATATCAAATCGACAGATGTCGGAAAGGATCACCTAATACACCGGATGGCAGAGGGGCTTGAGAAGATGGCCGAAACTCTGGGAGGTCCAGCTCGACCTAGAAGTCGAAAGGTAAATGGAGAGCAGTCGAAACCAACTGTGACCTTTTCGAGTGAGCCTGTCGTGGACAAGAAATCCGATGCTACACCTAATGGGCTGGCAGATGTGCCAGACTACAACGCCCTGGACCCTGCTGCATTCGATTTTGACGATCCTGCTTTGGGGTTGGGAATGCCATTCTTCGACTTTGAGGGCACAACTGTTGGTATGGGTGACAGCATGTGGAACTTCAATAATTGAGTAATGAAGGATCTGCCGACGAAGTAATGTGCCTATCCCATAGTTAGTGTATTCCTGCGAAGTCCTCGATTACGAGTATCCGTACGAGTATGAGTAGTGGGTGACAAAGTATATGAGCCAATCAGATGATATGTAAAAGGCCTGCTCTATTTGGGTTTAGCGCGTTGCGGAATCTCCATGAGCTTTCGAAGTGCCTACAACGAAGCTCAATCTTCAACCATACCAGCTTCTTCCTCTCGTGTGCCTCCCTCTGTACTTCGAAATGGCGTCTCAACGGCTGGCGCTGAACTTCCAGCGCTCTCTACGAAGCCGACAAGCTCTCAATGCGATCAAATCTCCCCTTAGACGCTACGCCAACCCTGTTACGCCGACGAGAACAGAAAGCACAACGCTCTCCAACGGCCTAACTGTACGAACGCCAAATGTCATTGCAAAATTTTCCAGTGTACTGACTGGTGGTAGATCGCGACAGAACATTCGCCATGGGCTCAGACCTCGACCGTCGGAGTGTGGATTGATGCAGGAAGCCGGGCAGAGACGGATAAGACAAATGGAACAGCTCACTTCCTCGAGCATCTTGCCTTCAAGGTATAATGACCCATCGAGGAGTTCTTGATACGGAGAGTCTAAAGAGATCCAGGGCACAAACAGACGCAGCCAGCATCAGCTAGAGCTCGAAATTGAAAACATGGGTGGCCACCTGAACGCATACACTTCGGTATGGAGAAAATTGTGTGGGGGGTCTCGAATACAAGATTAACATCTGTGCAGCGCGAAAACACCGTATACTACGCCAAATCCTTCAACTCCGATGTTCCCAAGACTGTTGATATCCTCTCCGACATTCTTCAGAACTCCAAGCTCGAATCCGCCGCAGTTGAACGGGAACGCGATGTCATCCTTCGGGAGCAAGAGGAGGTTGACAAGCAACTGGAAGAGGTCGTCTTCGATCACTTGCACGCCACTGCCTATATGAACCAGCCCCTCGGACGAACGATTCTCGGACCAAGGGAAAATATCGAGACCATTTCGCGACAAGATCTGGTGGACTATATTGGCACCAACTACACCGCAGACCGCATGGTTCTTGTGGGAGCTGGCGGTGTTCCTCACGAGGAATTGGTCAAGCTGGCCGAGAAGCACTTTTCAGGTCTCAAGTCCGCACCACCTACCTCGTATGCGGCCGAGATTGCTGCCGAGCAAAAGCGCACTCCCGAGTTCATTGGATCCGAGGTCAGAATCAGAGACGACACTATCCCAACTGCTCACATTGCCATTGCGGTTGAGGGTGTCAGCTGGAAGGACGATGATTACTTTACTGCGCTCGTTACTCAGGCCATCGTCGGTAACTGGGACCGGGCTATGGGAAACTCCCCATACCTGGGCGGCAAGCTCAGCACTTTCGTCCATGCCAATAACCTTGCCAACAGCTTCATGAGCTTCTCTACGAGCTACAGTGATACTGGGTATGTGTGAACGGGGAAAAGATGGTGAAATGGATCATGTTGCTAACATTGATGAATAGTCTCTGGGGTATCTATCTGGTCAGTGAAAACAAGACGGCCCTCGACGACCTTGTCCATTTCACACTCCGCGAATGGTCCAGACTGTCATTCAACGTCAGCGAAGCCGAGACGGAACGTGCCAAGGCCCAACTGAAGGCGTCGATTCTGCTTTCGCTCGACGGTACAACGGCTGTTGCGGAAGACATCGGCCGACAGATCATCACCACTGGACGAAGGATGGACCCTGCCGAGATTGAGCGAGTGATTGGATCCATCACCGAGAAGGATGTCATGCGCTTTGCCCAGAAGAAGCTGTGGGATCAAGATGTTGCAGTGTCGGCTGTTGGATCGATCGAGGGTCTTCTCGACTACAACAGAATAAGAAACGACATGAGCCGAAATGCGGCATAGATGGGGAAGCTTTCTTTCTCTCGGGACAAAAGACGATGGAAACAGCATTTTTGTTTTCTTAAACAAAGTGCGGAAGCTGGGTGAGCAGAGAAGAAAGGCTTTTTTGTTTGTATTGTACAGTGCATGATATAATTCGAAAAGAATTGTTGCCGAGAGATTCCTACCTAGAGAGTAGTAGGTACCTGTATATTTCCTCGACTGACGTGTGTGTTCTATGACCTCGTTGCTACTTAGTTTCTTTCCGACTCGTCCCTCAAACACCCCCCCCCCCCCCCCACGGGGGGTTGATCAGCGACAAGTTCGGTCCGGACTCTCCCTACATATGTACTCTACCCTAGGTAGAGAAGCACGAGTTACGTGAAATGCCTCGGGTAGGTATTTTCGCGGTTTCCATAGATACACACGATGGGGTTCTGTTCTACCTAAGCCAGAAGGTCTACCTCGTCGGTAATTTGTATGTGAGGTCCTTTTTTCCCTTTGATGAAATTGTTTATTGTAGCACAACAATATCAGGTATGTATCCGTACATACGAGCCTACGAGTACCTACCTGCCGTGACATAATAAATGAATGGACGGAATCATGAAAATATTAATTAGCTGGCGGAATGTCTCGCTTCGGATGAACATCCCGCCCCGCCCCGCCCCGCTCTCCAGTTTGTGAAAGCCTCTGAAGCCTCTGAAGCCGCTGAAGCCGCTGACGCTGCTGATACTGCTGGTTCTGCTGGTACTGCTGGTTCTGCTAAGGATTTTGTTGATCACTGGTGGACAAATCCTGCGACCGCGCCTCGATGAGGATCGGGACAAAATAAACACGGTAGTGCCTTCATGCCGCTCCGTAATCTCTACAGCGGAGGAACCTCGCTTCAACGCATTTTTGGTCATCTCAAGAGAGAAAGACTCGGACCGTGACCATCGAAAATGTGAAAGAAACGGGTGGGTGCTAATGCGAGTACAGGCAATTTTGATAAATTGTTGCTCAGCCACAGTTCCATGACCTTCGAAGAGCCACGAGAGAACCACAAAAGCTCTCTCTGCCTCTGCTTCTCTCTCTCTCTGCCGAAGGGGAAAGAAAAATAAAAGAGCCGCACGCGATTCACGACGATCCAGTGTCCGCCGATCCACGACGCACGGCTGCGAGTGATGGGGACGGAAAAGAGAGGAATGAAGAGAAAGAAAAAAAAGTCTGTTACCCGTATTATTGCATTATTAATAATTCCAGAGAATCTGGTTTCCCACTGTGTTCGGGAATTGTCCCCTCTGAGAAGACCGTAATGCTAACTCCTCCAACTCGTCCTCCACCGTAATATTAACTCCTCCTCCTCCTCCTCCTCCTCCTCCTCCTCCTCCTCCTCCCTCCTCTCCACCACCACCGCCATCACCGCCATCACCGCCATCACCGCCGGTGCCTCGGACGAGTAGCCTGTCGCCGTCGCACGGAGTACATCTCCTGATTCAGGTGGTCAAGTCTCCGGTAGTTCTACCCGGATGGGAACGAGGCGACAGCACGGTACTCGCCCCATTGTACTTGCTCATTACTCAATCCTCGTCCGCGCCCCACTGTACGTATATTTACACACGCGGAAGATCCCCTTTTATGACATAATGATAAACTTCTTGTACAACGGCGGGTATAAAACCTACTGTACGTTACGTGCCCCGGTAAGGTAGATGTGTACATACTAATGCAGTTGAACCTTTCATCTCGGCTTACAAATTTCTTGTTCGAATATTCTCTTTTTTTTCATACCTTTGCTGCTTGAGAAAGCTTGAAATCTCGTAACTGGTGTCCACACGGGTGTGTACAGATATAAAATACCTGCGAGTACCGGGACTGAGTACAATATACCCAACTACCCTACTGCTATCTACTTGTCTACACCAAGATTACGTGGACCTCGGTTTCTCTACAATACTATTCATTGACTGGGACCACTCAGACACCACATTAACTTATCCGAGCGGCTTGTCAGAGATACTTTCCAGAAGACAAAAAACATAGCTACTTGGTCATAAGTTTCTTTGGCGAAGCGCCTTAACGACTGTTTAAAATCATCACCATGCCTACAAAAAACCGTGCACTCATCTTCACAAAGCCACCCACCGGCATGCCGGTACCCGGTGAACATGTCACGGTCAAAGACGTCGGCTTCGACCTGGACGCCCCGGCGCCAGAGAATGGTATGGTTCTCGAAACGCTCTACGTCTCCCTTGACCCGTACCTCCGCGGGCTCCTGCGCGACCCGAGCATCAAGTCCTACATGCCTGCCGTGCCGCTGGGCTCGCCGATCCCGTCGCTGTCGCTGAGCCGGGTCGTCAAGTCCAACCTGACCGACTACAAGGAGGGCGACATCGTGCGCCACGGCCTCCCGATCCAGGAGTACAACACCTTCGTCGTGACCAAGGGCGCCGAGGGCAGCGTGGTGAATCCTGCGAAGCCGGAGAAGATCGACCCCTCCAGCGTCAACGACATCCGCCACTACCTCGGCGCGCTGGGCATGCCAGGCCTCACGGCGTACAGCTCGCTGTATGAGATCGGCAAGCCCAAACGCGGCGAGACCATCGTCGTCTCCTCGGCCGCGGGTGCCGTGGGCCAGCTCGTGGGCCAGCTCGCCAAGCACGAGGGCCTCAAGGTCTTTGGTTCCGTGGGAAGCGACGACAAGCTGGCGTATATTGCCAACGAGCTCGGCTTCGACGGCGGCTGGAATTACAAGAAGGAAAAGTCGACGTTGGAAGCTATCCACCGCCTCACCAACAACAACGGCATCGACATCTTCTACGATAACGTGGGCGGCGAGCAGCTCGAGGGCGCCTTCGATGCCCTCAACTGGCACGGTCGCGTCATCGAGTGCGGCCAGATCAGCCAGTACAACCTCCCACCCGAGGAGCGGTACCCGATCCGCAACACCTTCAACATCGTCTCGAAGCGTCTGCAGGTCGAAGGCTTCCTAGTGGGCGACGAGAGGTTCGGTCCAAAGTGGGCCAAGGAACACGCTGAGAATGTGACCAAGTGGTTGAGGGACGGTACGTTCGTGGCCAAGATCCATGAGACGGTCGGTATTGAGAATGCGGGCCACGCATTTGTGGGAATGTTGAAGGGTGAGAATTTCGGCAAGACCGTGCTCAAAGTCAGGTGAAAAACGATGGAATAGGATCGATTCGTGTTTGAAGCTTGTATCCAAGATATTATACAATATGATGACCATGTTTTGGGTTGATCGGTTGACCGGCCGCCTTCGTTATTTCATGTTGAACATTAGAGATACGCATTGATTGGACTAGTGCAGAACTGGGTGACGTATTTGTGCAAACATTGCCAGGAAGAAAGGGCTATCCCCCAGCCCTAACTTTCCGTTCCATTGCGTTAAGTGAAGTCGTTCGTCTATCTTTGGTCGCAGAATCGAAGAAACAATGCGAGGGCGCTTGAAAGGTACGCTAGGGAGGTGCGCTGACAATTCGCGGGACATCTCTTTATCCCCTGATACAACAGGCTCGCACCTCAAGTCTTGCTGATTGAGATTTCGACTCATCACTAAATTGACAAGAAAGGGTTCCTCTCTGCTCATCTGTACCTCTGCGTGAGACTGGGTTTGTGTGCAGAGGTGCGGTTACCAATGGACATGAGAAACGTCTCCAGGCCCGAGGTGAAGCTGCATTGTCAATTGCATGAACTTGAGCACACGATTAACACGGCTCAACTTGGGCGGTCCCGGTGATTCTCTCGCTGCAGCACGAACCTATCGGAAAACCATTCAGGCACGGTGGCCGCAGAATGGTCTCGTGGTCGTTGTCGAGGAGGAACTGACACCGATGAAGATCTCGACATGGCCTCACCTCCTTCCTGCCCCGATTCAGCTGGGATTGAGTATTGGACGGCCCGGTCCCAATCTCTGAGGTGCTCATAAGGGCTGCGTAGCCATGATTCTAATTCATGTAGGAATAGTCGTGCATTTTCTCTCCCCAGGAAATCCTTCAACAATTCCTCAGCTTGTCCAGAACTCCCTTTCAAATCGATCGATTTCAAGATGGCAATTATATATTCGAGTAAGAAGCCGGCATTGCCTGCTCGTCGGTCTGCGGTGCTGGAGCTGCCACTATTACCAGGAGAATCGACGGTTGAGGCCGAGTTCAGAAAGTCGAATACCCCAAGTTCACGACGTATCCACATACGTGCTCGAGATTGCCATGGTTGGTCCTTCGCGAATGAGTCCGGTGTAAGGTTTCGGTAGCGAGAAAGACGGTTTGTTCCGACGTGCAACGAGTACAGTCTTCGCTGGTAGACTTGTTTCCGAAAATCGAGCGTACCTGTGTCGTTCGGTCCATCATTCCGTGCCCGTGTTGAACGATGCCGGCGCGTATTTCTTGAGTGGAGAGTTGCAAATCTCGCCCTCCGATCGAAACTTGCAGAAGGTGATGCCACAGACTGTCGCCCGGGAGGCGGTAACTCAGGCTCGGGGAGATAAAAGATTTGACTCCCTTGTTTATTCTCCTCATTTATACCAAACCTGACGGAATCCACGTGCCCTTTACACAACGGACAGACTTGTTGACGCTGGAGCCATGTCCCTAGACAATGAAAGTCAAATTGATCGTGTCGACATGGGCGGGCGATGGCTTTTTGCGTTATATGATCCAGACAGATCACGCATGTTTCGGTTGAGGTGTCGGACAAGGTCTGCAGGAGAGCGGAGGACGCAATTGAGTCTAACGGCTGCGCAACAGTTGTTGCTACATCATTCTCGTGAGACCCGTCTGCCATCAGGTGATGTACAGGAGAGAAAGAAACCCAGACAAGACGGTGGCGCTTCTTGCTGAGAAGTTACAAAATGTGCGCTTCAACGCCGATACGGTCTACCGTATACATTTCAAATGACGTGTCAACCTCGCTTCTTCACCCTCGTATTATTCCACAAACATTGACCATCATCGGATCCCAGATGCGAGCGCCATAAAATCATCGTCATCGTCATGAGGCTGGTTGGGGTGGGCGCGTGTTACATGGACACCATCTTGAGGTTGGTCCCTCCATATCCTCTGAGCCGCGAGCAAAACACCTGAGAGCCGAGCGGAACAGCGTACCATACTACCCAGCCGAGGATGAGAAGCTCCGAGCCACAAACATCCATCGTCGCCGCGGAGGCAATGTGCCAAACACTCTAGAGGTCCTCCAACAGCTGGTCAGCGCCAGCAGCGGCAGCGAACACAAACCTCAGCTGTACCTCTGCTCCGTCATGCCGGCACTCTCGTCAGTTGGATCTAGCGAGATCAAGGCCTCATTTGGCCCGAGCGTAGACCTGTCGCACTGTTTATACCGTGATGCACACTCCGAGCCAGCGTCCAGCTACATCATCAAGAGCTCCTCGGCTGACAGCAGGACCATCGTGAACTACAACGACCTGCCAGAAATGACATGTGCTGAGTTCATAGCCATGTCGGACTCTTTCGACGATGAAGCAACCTGGTATCATTTTGAAGTGCGTTTCGTTTTGGAGCCAGCAAACTTTCTCGCTTGCGCCTGTGCCTGCGGACTGTTGGACTGACTCATCAGCCTTCTAGGGCCGGATTCCAGACGTCACTCTTCAGTTTATGCGACATCTTCGCCAAAATCACCCCACCGTGAGACTCAGCGTCGAGGTGGAAAAGCCAGGCCGGCCCGGTCTCGAATCGCTGGCGGCCCAGGCTGACGTCGTGTTCTACTCCAAGAGCTGGTCTCGCGAACGCGGGTACCCCGACGCTATTGCTTGTGTGCGAGACCAGGCTCGTATAGCTAGAAAGGCGTATGAATCCAGAGTCCTGTGGATACGTCCCACCGTGCTGACAAGAGAATCCAAGGTCTCATCTGTTTTGCACATGGGGAGAGGCCGGCGCTACTGCATTCGACGTCAAGCACCAAGAGATATACAATCAACGAGCCGCCTCAATAGCTGCCGTTACAGAGTACGTCGATCTCTTTTCCATTTCACAATCCTTTCCCTGACGCAAAGCAAAAGCACCATTGGAGCCGGCGATACATTCATTGCCGGAGTTCTCTACGGGATGCTCTGGCGAGATCACGACTGGGACGTTTCACGAGTTCTCGAGTTTGCGAGCACTCTTGCCGGATGCAAGATTGCACAGGAAGGCTTCCAAGGCCTGGGCGATCGTATGCGCATCTCCGGTGCTATCCCGGCATAGGATCACAAGGGAAAGTGAGTATATAAACGTTCCAGAGGTTTCAACTACGGCCAAGTCCAAGTTTGGGGTGGGTACAAGTACAAGAAACCACCACACCTAGCTCTTTAGTTTTTCAGCTTCTACCCTCACGATTTCAGGAATGGTGTCCTGTAACGAAGGCGCCGAGGGTTTCCAGCCCAGCAGTATCTGCGCCCTTTCCGACTTATACACGGCATTTGTGCCCCAGAAGATGGCGCCACCGGGCATCGCCGCATTCGCTTCGTCCACGTCGATTGTCCTGTCTATCGTTGCGCTCTTGATGAGACCCTGTGCATGAGCTTCAGTTGCCACCGCCTCACATAAATCCCCAAAGGACTAGACATCTATCGTTCAGCCATGTGTGCCAACTGTGTACGGGTCTGGGGTTTGAGGACTCACCATGTCTCCGTTTCCAGGAAGATAGACGCCATTTTCGCCCCATATATCGAGGTCTGCGGCACTTGAAGAAGTATTACCTGTACTGGTACTGGAACCTTGACCAGCAGTCCTAGCCAGCGTCGCAAACAATTCCCCAAGGTCCTCGATGTGGATGTTACTCCATACGTTCAGACCCTTTCTCAACTTGAACCCGCTACCGTCTGAAATAGTCTTGCGCGCGATCTCGGGTGCCTGGATGCTCCGCGTATTACCCGGTCCTGGCCCCGTGCCGTAGATCAACGGTCCGACGACGAGGGCCGTTCGTATCCCGGTAGACGACGCGTCGGAGATGATGTAGTTGTCCACTTCACGCGAGGGGTAGGCGCGGATGTTTTCGATAATCTCAGGTTGACCGGCCATGTCGTCCCAGATGGTCGTGGGCGGTTCGCCGTACCTTTTGGACTCGATCTCGGGGATGACAAAGAGCGAATCTCCTGACATTTGGATGTACGTTGCTTTTGATCGCCAGAATGTCAGTCACTAGTCGGTGCCAGCTCTTACATTGTTTGTCCTGGGGGCGTTTGGGAAGTAGGTGAAGGTCTCACACGTACCTGGTGATCCGGTGGTGCGTGATCGTGAAGTCAATCCCTTGACGATAGCGTGGGCGGCACCCATGTGTTTTGTGTCGGCGAGTTCTGAGATAATCAAGCCATTTTCTTTTTAGCACAGAGGTTCCATCTTGAACTCGTAGAATGAGAAACGACGTTGGTAGGTCGTCCAAGGACTACTGCACACGGCGAAGAGGAAGAGAGGGGACGGGAAACCGAGAGCGGTAGGTAGAGAGAGAGAGAATGTCGAGGGGGAACCGCAAAGCAAACTCACGAAGAACTACATCCGATTTCTGGGATTGCTTCTCAACCACCTCGACGTCGTCAAGGTCGCCGACAACCACCTTGACATAATCCGGGTATGCATCTTGTACGACCTTGCCCTTCTCGGCGCTCCGAACGAGACATGTGATCGATACTTGTGAGGCCGGTGTCGACGCCGCTATGGCATGAAGTGCTTGCCCGCCGGTATAGCCTGTTGCTCCCGTTCTAGTATCTGATCAATTGGCGGTTCAGAGTATTATGCGGCGGCCATATGCAATCGCAGAGAAGGGCGGGGCGGGGAGGCAAGGTTAACGCGGGGGGGGACGTACAAGAAGATCTGGAACTTTTTATCTGAGAGAGAGGATGGTGCTTGCATGTCTTTTACCTTTGCTTGCTGTCGTTGTTGAGTAGAGAAGTTGATTGTTAGACGCTCTCGAAAAGATCGGATATCACCTACCGTGTTAAATACTCTCGAGGCAGATCAGATGGGACGGCAGTAAATATAATATCCGTGCTGTTCTCCGGCGCCACGTTATTGATTAAGATATCAAAGAACCGTTTGCAGAGAGATACTTTCTCACTACGAGGGTGAATCGGGTTTAAGGTGCTCGCGCACTTCAGCGTCGCCTGCAAACCTTTGATTCTGAACCAAGTACGGAGTTACTCACTCTCTCGTCCCTGTCATTGACATCCGGCAGACGACAGGACAGTAGATGAAATGTGAATCCTTGTGACTCGTATACAGCAGTTCTTGGTCCATCGGATCCGAGTGTTGAACTTGGTCCAATGCATCATACTCTCCCCTTCATCTTGGGAACCAACCGAACCAACCTCTACACTTCCAGGTCTGGCACGGCGAGCTTCTTCGGATTCAGGGGTGCCCCATTCAGCCACGGTATCCCGCCCAGTTGTAGCGTTCCAAGCGGCGCCAGGAATTTCGGCCCTTCCAGATCAGAGACCAAGGCAACGCCGAAACAACTTGAGAACAATCTCGGGAACATTTGGCAAGGCTCTTTGTCTTGAGCTACCTCTTGGAAACTGAGGAAGACTTTGATGAGTGCAAGGCAGCCAGATTGCTCCTAACATATGTAGCTCCATCCGAGTTCCATTAACAATCACCAACCGTGACAAAAGTATCTCATTCACGTGGACTTCAAGAATCACTCTTTCTAATGCCAACTCAGCTCGTTGGAGTGCATCAGCTAACACCGCACCATCGAACATCTTCTCCGGTGGACGATGTCCCGATGGAAACATCGAAGCGTGCGGATCTGCGTATGGAGGGTTGGCCAACACTCAGTTTGTACTCGTTGTCGGCCACTTCTCATAGCATGTTGCGCTCAGGTCTTCGCTGGATCGGCTTGTCTTCGTCAAGATCAAGTCCTTCGGGATCTGCAAGAGCCTCTGATGCGGTCCGTTTCCGAGACTCAGTATTGACAGATGAAGGTGGGCGTATTCTCTCCTCTCGATGTTTGATGGCTGTTGCCCATCTCCTCTCCAGTCTTTGGCGAAGTGCCTCTAGCCAACTTGGATTCATTGATAGGCGCTCTGGTGCAGATGGCGGGCATGGCAAGCACGAGCCTTGAGGAACCCATATGAGACGTTCAGCAAACGTCTCCCAAAATGATCTGTCCTTGTCGTCCGAAATCGCTTCTCCGCTACCGAGTTCGTTCAGCTCGTCCGGAGTACACCACAGATACAAGGGATGCCAGTCTCCTGTCCGGTTTGCCCGTTCCGTCTCCTTTTCCAGACATTCTTGTCGAAGGGAGAAGACCTCCCGGAATAGGTCCTCAGCCGTAGGTCTGTCTTGAGTTCTCATCCTCAAGCGCTTCTTGATCATTCCTAGGAGCTGGGGGCTATAATTTCGAGTAACGCTACCCTCGAACTCTTGGAGTATATTGACGCCATCGAGAGGGAATATTCCCATGAGAATGGCATCTGTCTGGTTGCTGAGGTTTTGAATTTCACCGAGGCTCGTCAAACTCCACATAACCGCACCGACAGCCCAAATGTTTGCTTTTGACAGAATTTTGTGCTGGTCTCGCTGTGAGGGGTTGATGCCGGGCTGCATGAAGTAGTATTTCTTGGGATCAGTCATCATCGCGACTCTAATTTCCTGAAAGGAACTCTGTCAGGTAATATTTAAGCAGAACAGTGTACTCACAGGAGGGTGCCACGGTTTTGTGCCTCTCTGCAGGAACCGTGCAGTATTTCTCAGCGCTTCGTACCGATTTGTGATGATAAAGAGACCAAAGTCCGCAAATTTGGCCACCGGGTACCACTCCTTGCTTCCATCTTTCTTGACATTCGAGCCCAGAAGAACTGCAGTCCATCAGTAAGTAGCTTTCTTGTCGTGAGGATCTCACTACAACTCACTATTGTCAGTTTTGATATCGTTATGCAGGAGATATGCCTCTGGAAAGTCTTGTCCAAAGCGACTTGACGCAAGGTTCTTAAAGGGTCCACTATCAAACTTGACACAACCTTCTGCCAAAAAGCAGAACACTTGCCAAAGAAAGGCTTCTGGCAGATACATACTAGAAGCCTTGATTAGAATTGCTGGATACTTTGAATAGTCATGCTCTTACTCCCAAGCTTTGTAACTTAACCTCAGGGACTCCAAACAATTGTGAGGGCAATGTTCGAAGTAATACCTGCCATAATTGTCGCTGACATTGAAGTGTCTCAGACGGACGATGCTGTCCGATCCCAATGCGTTGGTTTGGGCCATAATTGCGGCCTCACGGGACAGGCCAATCTTCTTGTCACTTAAGCGGTCATTAGGCTTCAAGTCAGCCACTTTCAACACGAAGTTCTGGCGGATCAGTAACTGCCTAGCAGAAGGCCACTATCCACCTACATCAATAGGCTTCCCTGTTCCGTCAAGCTTAACAAACAGCGCCGCGGCACCAAAAGAACCTTTGCCAAGTGGTCGTTGAAATTTCCATTCTTCCTCATCTGATAATTCTGTTCCGCGAGAGAAGAGGTGCAAGAATCTCTGTCCCGTCGGTCTAATATTGCCCTTTGAATCGGACTCCTGCCATCCGAAGAAGTATTTGACAGGAGAGTAGGGTGTCTCTTGTCGCAGAGGGGGTTTTACTATGAAGTCTTGTCGTTCAGAAGGACTCCACTGAACCTGGAAATCGTCAAGTCGTTTCGAGGTCATTGCTGGCCGCGATAAACACCTCAAATCAGACGTTGAAGAACCATAAGATCGAGGTCGAACAAGTGCTTGTACACCTCGATCCGTATCCATGGTGTCACTTCAACTGATAGCTATCCAGGACAGCGGTCACAATGTGCTTTGTCCCGAATGCGTTGAGCCGTGTAATGTTTAGCTGTCCTAGGGCCACCAATCGTCAAGTACCACCGGTTCCGGCGATGATAGTTATAATCACCCTGAGGGCTTGTTCCAGGCCTACATCTTATTAGTTAGCAACCAACCGTTCGTGCTGGAATGTCCTCTGTCTTCCCAAAAAGTTTTTAGAGTCTTGACTACATAAGCCAAGGTGTTTCAGGAAGACCTTGTCCAGCTGGCTTGCGGAGTTTGAAATTGTATTGGGTATGTAACCAATTATCAGGTGACCTCGCAGCATAGAATTCATCCTCTGCGCCTTTTAGCCATCCGCCGCAGTCCCAAGAACGGCTCATCGCTGTTTCATTATGCATAAAATGTGATGTTCGTAATGTTGAGACATTTGTGCTGAATGTGCTGAATGAGCGCAATATCATATTCGGGTCTCCATCGTATCGAGTGACCTCATGGCCTTGGCAGACATTGCAGACAACCAAACATCATTCAGTGTGCTGACTGAACGAAGGACATCGCGGTCCTACTCTTCAGCCTCTTCAAGAGCTTCCATCTCCGCCTTCTCCAGCGCCTCCATGATCTTTGGATCGAAGATTGTCATGTCCTTGTCCGGAATGCCAAACTTCATATTCGTGAAAATAGTTCCAACATTAACTATCCAGCGCTTGCGTCGATCCATAAGCATCCGAGCACTGTCTCCAATGTCCCGGGCTCTGTTAACGCTCATAGCGGTGCCGGGACCAGCGGTACCTGGGCGAGGTTTGGCCCCAGGTCCACCTTTCTTGGTCTTTCCCATGGTCCTAGTCCTCTTAAGATAGGCTTGCTGGACTTGACCGTCGAGATCTTCATGAATGGTGCTATATTCTTGGTGCGCGAGACGATTCTTGGAAAGTTCGTGCAAGCGAGCCTTGCGAGCACCATTGATGATCATAACCCGACGCAATTCGCCTTGTAACAAACGGAGTCTCTCACTGATGTCGTCATCATGATGAGCATCAAAGTCTGGCTCATCCTGGCTGAGCAAGCCAAGGTGGCGAAGTTCTCCTTTGATACGTTCCTCGGCCTGAATATAGTCAAGACGTTGCGAGGCTTTAGCACCTGCAGAATCTGCGACAGCCGATGCGGGGGCCAGAGGTTTCTCGGCGTTGTCGTGGCCGTTCATCAGACCGTCGAGATCCATGGTGTCATTGCCATCAGCGTTGAATGCATTCTCGGCGACTCCATTAGTATCAGTGGGTGGGGACCGATGTTCGAATTTGAGAAGCGAAAGCAGTCGGCTTGCCAACGGGCCAGTCGAGACTTGATCGGTGGTCAGGTTATCGTCGTTGATTTGATCGACGTTTCCCCTGGGATGATTGAGCGGCAATTTGTCATTGGCACCATCTACCAGTAAAGTTCCATCTTCTTCTGCCCAAATTTCTTGATAGGAACGTTTGCCGCGAGGAACAGCGAGGAACGGGTTGATTCGGTCGCCCTGGTGAATGATTAGCCGAGAAACAAAGGTCTAGGTTAGATTCTTTCTTTATTACTCACCCGTTCTCTTAGGAATGCCATGTCCTCTTCAGTCAGTGGTCGAACATAGGGCTCAACAAAAGTCAGGAAAGTGTTTGCAGAGATTTGGTTGGTTGGCTTCGCATTGCTGAAGTCTTTGTCAGGTGGGACGCCTGCGATCTCGTCCTTCAGATCCTTAGTTGGGAATGAAGTGACACCGTAGATTTCCTTCTTTTCAGCGTCCGACATATCTGGCGTAATCTCGCGGATGTGATAGATAACCGGGTCAGGAGCTAGAGGGTCAGGAAAGAAGCCTTGCTGAGGAACGGGCGGTTGGCTGTGAATGACGCGATTTTCTTCAGCGTCAGACATGGACACGTCGGTCTTTGACGGTGAGGCGTGCTCAGCAGCAGTGGCATCTGGCGAGTCAGCCACTTCTGAAAGCGATGAGGTGCCAGGGCTGAGCTTCGTCTTCTTTGAGGGTGACGGACTGTCAGTCGGTCCTGGAGTGCTTGTGACGCGCATCTTGACCTTGTTTGTAGGCTCATCTGTCGTGGTCGGATTAGTAGGAGTTTCACAGTAATTGCATTTGACAATGCAGGTTGAACTCATTGCTTGCTTGCACCTTCGCCAAGGCGTAGCGATGATAGTAGAAGGAGGGAAGTAAGCCGAAGCCATGATAGTGTATAAGTTGACTATACATACCTTCATGTTTGATTTCTACATTGTCGTCTGTTTCTGGCCTGTCTTTACGCTTCTTTACCTTCAAGTTCTTGGACGACTGCGCCTCTTCCTTGCGGGCCTTAGCACGGCGAGCTTGCTCAGCTTGACGTTCACGCTCTTGATGGTCTGACTCTACTTCTTTCTTCTGTTCATGAATCAAACGAATGGCCTTCTCGCAGGATTCGGCCCGTTTCTCGGCGGCGTCGCTCAGGTGCTTCAGTTGGTCGATCAAATCGTTGAGAGATTTAGGCTCGAATTTTGTTCCGTGGGTTTCAAGGTAATCGACAATCTCTCCGTAATTCGGTCTCGAAGGGACAAGGAGTTTGGCAGTTTCTAGTTCTAGGAGCGGAGTGGTTGCAGGCCCCGCCGTGGCGGTACCACTGCTGAGAACTGAGCTGGGAGTTGTGTTGCGGCTTCGTGAGCGACGGGAATCTGCCTTCTTCCCCTTGCTCTTGCTGGCACTTCCTAGTGCAGGCATAACGATGGTCTGTGGCTCGACTGGTTTGGACTTCAGTGGAGGCAAGAGACGGTGTTCTTCAGCGCGTCTCGGCCGTCATTTCGCGACGAAGGACTCAACCCTCAACTGCGAACGAATAATACGAAGCGATTGTATCTCTGGTGAAGGGATGTCGAAAGACGACGATTGCAGGGTTGGCTGGCACACAAGACACGATGTCGTTACGATGTCGTTACTCTGTGGAGAGCGCAACTGCAGTCATCCGTGTACTTGGATCTGATCTGGGGGGCCAGCCAAGTACTCGGAAAAGATGCCCTCTGGAGACTTGTTCCGGCCTCGGACGTAGCGCAAAGTACGGCGGACGACCGTGGGTTGGAGTCACGTGAATGCGTCCTCGATAGGCAAGCGAGAGTGCGCCTATCATGAGGGAGCCGCGGAGGAGCTAATGATAGCTGCGCGCCGGAGGGGGTGGGCCAGGGTCACCACGCTGGGCTTCACCGATCGCAGAGCGGCCTTTGATGGACTCTCGCGCTGGATCTTCTCTTCGTCGTTCAAGGGTCGACAGAACCTTCCCGGCAATCATCTACACCTTTTGGATTCTCGAGCGCACCTAAGGCTCGACTTCTTGTGATCGACCTGGTGCGATGGGATGCAATAGGTGCTGACGAAACACCCGCAAGTCCCGGCCTGTGTCGCATACCATGTCCTCGCCTCGTCGCATCGTGGAATCCTTTCAAGTCTTGTCCATTGTCGAATAAAGCGTCGGCTTTTCGGAGCTATGTGTATGTCAAAGTTCACTGCTGTGCTCTTGGGTAGATGCTAAATTATCTCAGCGGCACACAGCTTCGGTGTCGTTGCAGCCGTTGTGCCCGACACGCAGTACGATCCCCATCCGAACGTTCGACTTGTCAACGTATGCAAGAAGATGAACTCTATACAAAGAACAGGCTAACATCCTGGAAGCGGACATATGGCCTCCAATTGAGAGCGTCCGGCCTCGTAAGGACATTGTCGCAGAACAACCCGAATAACTATGGAACCATCGAAGGTCTCCTCTACGTCCCCGATCTCCCACCCTCGGATCCATGCGACAATGCAACTAGAGCACTGATACCTTCTAATGTCACGACTCGAGCTCAGATCCCTGGTCAAAAATACCCACTTATTGCTTTGGCACCATGGACGCAAACGGCGTGTGTAGAATCATATCTGGCTGCGATGGCTTCCGACAACGTCCGGGGAGGAATTTTCTTCCACCCGGGTAATGAGAGCGAACAACCACCACCAGTCAGTGACCCGTCATGGAGCCTTAACGACGGTGGTAATTGGAAGGGCGAAAATCCGTATCCGGTGTACGCTATCCCTGGCATGCTCGGTGCATTCCTCCTCGACGAGCTCGCACAATATTCAGGCAATTTGTCGTCATCCCCCTACGGCAAGGAATTGGAGGATTTATACGATTCTCACGACGTCGTTAGGCTCGTCGCTAGAATCGATGTGAGTGTGACAGGTGGGATACCGTCTTTGTGGGTATTCCTGATTATAGTTCTGGCGGTCCTTCTCGCTGTGGTGCTGGTAACATCGGTCATCATGCACTGGGTCCAGCGCAAGCAAAGACGACAACTTCAGCAGAGAGTGGCCAGAGGGGAAGTCGACCTCGAAGCACTGGGGATAAAAAGGCTCAATGTCCCGCAAGAGATACTCGACAAGATGCCACAATGGATCTATATTTCCTCAAACAACGACAGCAATGGCGAAACAGGATTGAATGAGTCGGTCGCGTCTGCGGAAAAAAATTCCACCGACACGACTATATCTGCAAAGGCAGTTCGAGAAGCCCCGTTCAGCCAGACGACATGTCCGATCTGTTTGGATGACTTTGTGCATGACGAGACAACAGTACGAGAGCTACCGTGCAACCATATTTACCATCCAGAATGCATCGATCCGTTCCTTCGAGAAAACAGTTCTCTATGTCCCTTGTGCAAGAAGACAGTCCTTCCTGCAGGTTACTGTCCTGTTCAGGTGACCAATATAATGGTCAGGCGGGAACGTCTGCTACGAAGGACGAGGCAGCGCGACGCCGAGGACAATCTTGCGGTGAACGGGTCCAGACTGCCTGGGGTTACCGCTATCAACCGGACAATGCGGCAGTTCTCAAATCCACTGACGGCTTCGCGGCATCAACACGGTAGTGCTGCAGGCGAGCACACAACAGGAGCCGAGATGCAAGCTCCTCCACAGAGACAACAGACCCAGGTAGACGATGAAATGCCCGCGGAAATCAGGGCCCAAGGGACGTCAGCCAGACGTGCATGGCGTCGAGAGCGGCTCGCAAGGCAGCAAGCTCGAGAATATGGCCAACAAGCAGACCAGGCGCGAGTGGTGGACGAATCAAGACCGTTATGTAAGTTTGCATGCTATGAGGTGACTCTCTGCGAAGCTAACTGTAATCCAGGGCGCCGAATTGTTGGACGGGTGTTTCCTAGCCTGGAATGACAGGACATGATGTATATTTGGATTGATGAGTCGTTTTCGCCCTTGTTTGTTGCATAGCGTCGGCGTTTTTGGACTTTGGCGACAGTCTGTTTGAAATGACGGTACGGCTTTGATGTATGTTATGGGGGATTGGAAAGCCACAGCTTATGTGCTTGGATGTCCGTCAACGCCATTGGACTTATCAAGCACTTGCAAGTATTTTGTGCGAAATATTCCAGATCGCTGTTGAGCAATATGTCTTAAGCTCTGGGAATACCGCTCGTTTCCTAGTACCGTGACGCCTCTACTGTTTTTCTGCAAGGCTCAAATCAAGATTCGATTGTGTCCACACTTCAGCTCGCAAACTTGTCATGTTTGCCTTTCACTCTTACGTCGAGAACCTCTTCGTAGTAGTTGCCTTCTTTTTTCGCACGCTTCAGCCTCTTGACCTCGTCATCATCCAAAGGCCGACCGACAACCTGCTCAAGTTCGCGGCGGCTTATTTTCTCCTTGGCCTTTGTCTCCTTTTTCTGTTGGACCTGCGGCTTGAACCGCGCTTGCATCTTGACGACGAGGTGTGTATTCTCGGACACGGCATCGCCATCGCCACGCAGTGACAATGACACCTTCTGCTTCTTCTCATCGTCGGACTTGGACGTGGCTGTCTCCGTCACCGCGGCGATGAAGAGCGCGCCCCGATCGCCTTCTGACGGTTTCGACGCCGCCGTCCGTAGCCGCCATCTCGTCCTGCCCGCGTCTGTGGCAAACTGCTCGACGACGAACCCTTCCTCGTGGCCGCGCGCTTCGCGTCGCGCACCCAGCACGCCGATGCTGTCGCACGACAGGTAACCCCCGTGGCTGGCTTTCAGGTTGATCTGGCCTGTCCCTGCCACGGACGAGGCCACCCAGACCTGGCGCACGTCGTGCGGCTCCGCGGTCTCGGGCACATTCTCGACGATGTTCTCGAGCGGGCTGGCGAAGACGTTGCCGTGCGCGTCGGAGGAGAGGACCGTAGGCGGAGCGGTGGGGAGGACCAGGATCGTCGGCCCGGATATGTCGGTCGCCGCGTCCGGAGTGGTCCAGGTCGTGTCTTCTTCAGCGTCCGCGGTCGAAGAAGGGTCGCCGGAAGTCGAGACGAGCGCGGAAGACGAGTCGTCGTCGTGGCGGTGATGGTGTTTGCGTTTCTTGGAAGGCTTCTTGTCGCCTTTGAAGGATAAGGGCTTGATCGGCATTGTGAGTCGCTTCGGTGAGGTCAGATCCCAAGATTCGATCCTCAATATGGCGTGGTCAAGCAATTCCGGGGTTGTGTAACTCGAATCCAAGGATGCAAGCGAACCTGTAGTTGAAAAGAACCAAAAGTTAACTTCTGCGACGAGGCTGCATATGTCATTCTCTGCAGAATGGCAGAATTGCAGCCTCGTGTCTTTCTCCGCACCGGGAGATTTCGCGGGGTGGAAACTCAGGTAACAAGTAGTACATATCACCTACAAGTACATCATTAGAGATCGAGCATCATTCTCTTCTAGGTAGCTGGGATAATCTCGGTCTAGAGAGCATGAACAATCTTCATGGGGTGAGGCTGATCGGCATGCTAGATTCAGGAAAAACTTCAGATTTCACTTTCGTTCCAAGAGCCATTCAATGATGTTCGCTGTCGTGTCTGTATGGGAGTCACTACAAATAATGAGCCTTCTCTTCACCAAAAACAAATAGTGCCATCGCCTTAATCAGGTGTAGCATCCTAGATATGCCCAAGTCGATCGCCAACAATTCAGTGTGAATCGTTCATGGCAGGTGCTTGATGCTCGCCATCAACAGACTTCTCTACACTCTCCAGGATAGCCCTCGCCATCTCCCAAGCTTGTTGTCTCAGCACGTCGAGCTCTCTTTCCACATTCATAATGTCTCTCTGAAGCTGCCTCAAAGCTGGATTGCCGTCCATGATTCCTTCCAACTGAGCTACTTCTCGGCGTGCTTCCCCCTGGACCTCTCGCGACTTCAAAGCCACTATCTTCATGACGGCGGTGCACCACTTGCACAGAGCACTTTGATCGTAGGTTTCTCTTGCCTCATGTGTGCCATCTCCGCCCACGCAAACCATAGGAACAATGGTGTCAGAAGAAGAGTGTCGCTTTCTGATAGGCGTCTTTGTGTGCTCTTCTTCACCGTTGACTTGATTTTCAACCGAGTTACCAGAACGAAATCGAAGAATATCTTCGACAAGGTTGATTGAGTGTGCGTGGGAGGCCGTGGGCGATGTATCGAGACCGATGGGATGTTCAATGACAAGCTTGCCGCAACTCAGACGGCCCCATGGCTTGCCGAGGTTGCAAGGTACCCATTCACGGTCTTTCTCGCGGTCGAAGGTGAGCGCAGCAAGTGGATCTTGATGAGGATAAGGACAGGTCTGCAATTTGTAAAAGCACATGATGCGTTGAACTTCGTGTCGGTGGCCAGCCTTGAGGGGAAAGGGGTGGGAATGGATGATCAGTTAGTTGCCTGGGCTGGAAAAGTACAAGTATTTATACTCTGCAGCATGAAGGCAGTCATTGATGGATGTAGCGCAAGGGAATGTTTGCTCTTTCATGCCTTATTATTGTGAAGTGATTGTTGGTGACAGTCCATACAATCAGGTCTTTCTTTTCCGCCAGTTCTGACGATGAGGAAAGCACTCTGGCACAGCGCTTCTTCACAGGAGCAGCTGCGACTTCATTGGCCGACAATAGCCTTCCTATTGTTTGACGCTGCCATTGATGGTGAAAGTGAAAAGAGAAATTTTCTCAATGGAAGATTGTTATACTTCACCCATAACTTATCAGCCTTCAACCAATATTGAGGAGTTTTCCCGGTTAGCCACCACCACTTCCTTCCCAAGAACTACCTCTTAGCAGCCGATCCTCACTGACTAGGAACCATCTTATGGAAACCAAGATCTCAACCAGGTACGTTCCTTATGGTTGTGCTTACAGCACTGCCATAGCTAATCGATATCATCTGGCAGACCATAGCACAACAGGACCACATCACTCAAACATCTCCTGGGAGCATCGAACATCTTTCCCCTTCGATACCGAGCTTTGGAGAAGATCAAGATCCACCCTCACAATCGAGACCTGCGGGTTGACCAGAACAAATCAACTCGACAATTCAGCAGCCATGTGCAGATTGATCAAAGTGGTCCATTTTGGATGCGAGGAGCCACATACGGAGGAACTGCTCGTACGCTGCAAGCCTGCGATGGAATACATTCTAGAAATGCCGAGCAAGGTTTTCTGCCGACAGATGGTCGAGGTTGAAGATTGGGTGATGTCTCCTTGTCGCTTCTGCACTGCATGGGAAGCCAGAAGAGACACAGCACCAGCAAAGTGTCGTGGTCGAGCCATGTCACTCCAAGAGGATGACTTTTCTCATGAATTCAAGGCCAGACTCATGCCAACAATCGGCACCCGCGACGATATAGCGGTGCTTGGGGTAAAGAGGAACTTTGACGTGGCTTTTGAACCCAGCAAACAGGCCCTTTGCTGATCCATGTCTTGGACACGGGGAGCTCCATTCAGGTCCGGAACTAGGCTTCGGGGGGACGATGAACTGGTGCAACTTGAGACGAGTTTTCCCCCGGTGGAAATGACCTGATCGATCCAACTGGAAAGACTCTTTGGAAAGACTTCCAGAGAATGACGAAATCTTCCTCGGTCATATCCTTTCACTGATCCAAATTGCACCCTTACAGCCATATCGAATGACATCGGTCAACGGTTGGTAAGGTTGGGCTTCTTTTGCGTCGTTTTCCACGGCGTAATCCAGATGCTCCAGCTCTTCATCACGAATTCTCTTGATATCATCAATCAAAACTTTCAACTCAGGGTCGAGCTCTTCTCCTTTCTCTTGCAAGTCTTGCATCCACTTGAACATCTCCCTAACCTGTCCATTATAATGGTCGCCAATTTCCGTCTCGACAGCTTCAGTACAAGCCATTGCAGCTTCCCTTCCCATCACTCCTGTTGTCCAGCCGAGGATGGTGGCCGCAGCCTGCCACACGGGATACATCGCAGTCGGCCGGATCCGATGCTTCGCTAGCAGTTCATTAAAGGTTTTAAAATGACCAGCCTCCTGATCGTACATATGCTTCATCAGAGGCCGCAGATGGGGATGCGCTTTTACAACCGGAGGCGTTTGGGCGGTGTAGATCAGCGTAGCTGCAAGCTCTCCTGCTTGATTGACACGGAGCGCGCTATCTAGAAAGCGTCTTTGCTCCTCGGTGAGGATTGTTCTGCTTTGGGTGGTGGTGTGAGATGATCTGGAGCTTGCCTCGCTCTGAGAAGATACTCGCCGCATTCCACATTTAGCAGCCCGTAGCACGGAAGCCCGTCCCAGCCTAGAAAGGGCCAATGGACTCACGCAAGAGATCATGGCGTAAGAAAGTTCCCTGACTTGAATGTTCTCCCAAAGGAGCAAAATGAAGAAGGTCGTGCTCGTACTCCATATGATCGAGTTCATTTGGGGTCCGCAGGCGATCGCGAGTCATGTCTTCGACATTGCCAAGATCGAATGAATCGATCAGGATGGGAACGTGCCTGCGACCTCGTCTTCAATCAACTACAATTCAACTACAATAAGACTCTCTTCAATGGTTGGCTGCCTCCAGTTAGTCAAGGATTCAATTGATTTGAATACATCTTGAAGCTCGTCGTCATCACCGTTCCTGATCGTCCCGACTGATCCTAGACCAATCAGGTTCCCTTGTAACTTGCCTCCCTCGACAACTTTTCAGAAAGAGGCACTATCGCCAGGGGACAAACCTGTGGTATTCGCCACAGCTTCTTTACCACCGAACTACACTGCCTAACCAAAGTCGGACTTTCACAACGCTGCCCGGTCTTTGCGCGTGTGACCAATTCACTTCTGCCTCACCATGGCCGATATCAATGCGGAACTGCTTGCGCTCGCCGGAGGGGACTCCTCCGGTGAAGAAAGCATGCCTTCTTCTCCTAAACCAAAATCCCCTTCTCCATCTAGAAACAATCAACAAAATCGAAGAGCATCGAGCCCGGCAGATATGTCTCGTAAAGGTGTCGCAAAGTCTGCTCGGCGACCTCGGCGTCGCAAGGTATATTCTGACGATGAGGGCGAAGTGTATGTATCCCTCCGCCATTGAGCAAGCCTGGTAGTTGACATCATGTTATTTCTCAGGTCATCGGAGTCTCAGCATTCGGAATCCGCTTCGATGTCACAATCTGACTCCGAGGCCGATTTCGACTCGGGCGTAGACAAGCCAATTTTTCCATACGAGAAGCTCTACTACGACGCCGAAGACAAGGCTCGCATTGACGCCAAACCAGAAATTGAAAGAGAAGAGATCCTCGCCCAGAGAAGTGAGCAAGTCGAACGACACGAGCAAGACCTCGCCCTTCGCCGCCTTGTGGCTGCGAGAGCTCGAGAAGAAGCGAAGACCACCGCGAAGAACAAGCGCAAAGCCAGTGCTGCAGAATTGGAAGACACGCAGCGCAAGAGCACTCGTCAGCGTACCAAGGTTGGGGGTGGCAGGGTCGGCGAGGCAAGCAGTGCTATCGAAGCATACAAGCAGCAACGTGCCGAAAAAAACTTACGAGAGGAGCAGAGGAAGAGAGATGGCTATGTTCGAAGGCCGGCATCCCCAGAACAAGACTACAGCGATGTGGATGCGGATGCTGAAAGTGACAACGACTACGATGATCGGAGATACAAGCGACGTTCCCCAAGCCCTCCAAAGGATGAGCCAATTGCTGAACTTGCCGACATTCAGAGAGCAAAAGTTGGTCGAGATAATTTCGCCCAGGTCTGCTACACTCCAGGATTTGAGGATGCGATTACAGATTGCTACGCTCGCGTATGCCTCGGCCCTGGCCCTGATCCGAAAGTCAATGCATATAGACTCTGTCGTATTAAAGGATTCGTCACAGGCAAACCGTATGCGATGATTGGATCTAACGGAAGGCCATTTCCTGTGGAGAAATACATTGTGGCCGCGCATGGCAAATCAGAGAAAGCCTGGTCATTCCTGGAATGCTCGATGTCTAAGTTCACCGAGGACGAGTGGAGACGGTACCGGGTGGTCATGGCCAATGAAGACCTCAAGCTGCCGACAAAGAAGTTCATTAATTCGAAGCTTGAACAAATCAATAAACTACTGAAGCATCGATTTACCGATGATGAAATCGATGTGAGAATGCGAACCATGAATGAGCTTACTGAGAAAATCACCAGGGCTCGAGAAAAGGAGATTCTCAAAGAGGAGATCAAAGGAGCTATTGCTGAAGGAAAGGATGAACTTGCTGAGGAACTAGAGAACAAGCTCGCAAGCATCGTTCCCATGAAGCTAGCTTTCGGAACGAGTCTATACCGCTCAGATTCTTACGAAGTCAGTCAAGAACAAGAGCGAATTGCAGAGCTCAACCGCAGGAATCAGCGATTGAATGCCGAAAATATTAGAAAGGCGCAGCTCGCTGAGATGAGGGCACGAAGGACGAAGAAACATCTGGCTCCTGGCGTTGATGAACTGTTTGAGGGTGGTAGTGACATCAGTCGGACCGGAACGCCTATCAACGGTTCTGGTACGCCCAAGGTGGCATCAGGTCTTTCTCGCGCCGGAACTCCCAACCCTACTCCTCTCGCAAATGGAACTCCGAGAACCTCGACTCCTACACCGAACGTTTTGAAGCCGACTGCCGAGAAGAAGAAAGGACTCCCTGTCATTCGCAAGGCGGCATTGGATGACGAGATATTGGCCAATATGGACCTCGGGATTGACATTGACGTTGATATCTGAAAAAGATATATGATGAATGTGTCGATGGTCTCAGGTCGCGACGAGGCAAGAGGTCTTGAAGAAAGGTTTTGTGCAATGCTATGCCCCCGGATCACTTGACCATGAGTCGTACCTTGGGCAAATTCTTTGAGCAACCAGACAGGGCATTACGTTATTTTTGTTGGTATTGAGCGAATGCTGATACCTACTAAATTGCAATTCTAGATGAATCTGGTACTCCCACTGCGAGAGGGAGCTGAAATTACACAGGGTGTCCTTCTCCCAATGTATCAACAAGTTTGTCCCAATCAGTTTCACATACCATTCACCATCGGTCTCCCTCCCTGAGCCCGAGGGCATGGTTTCCTTTCATCGCTTAACATTATCTCAGCTATCCATCGCTTTAGTCCCCAACTTGTTTTCAGTTCTCCTACAAAGGACATGGCTGGCACATGCATCATCTAGAATCATTGCAGCTGGCTCATCCTGACATCCATAGTCCCTGTGAACATGGACACACCACTTGTGCCGTTCTACTGGTTTCGTTCCTAGCTGACAACAACATCACTTCACATTTACAAAAGGGCAAGTTCACCTCTGACTTGTTTTTCGAGACCGGCATTTCATTCACCAACTCGACGTCTCTCGTTCTCGCTCCAACATGTGCCTATACAATTTCTTTCCATGCATATCTCATGATGCCCAGGCCCTTCACAAAACACTCTTCGAGGAAATAAACGCCAGTTTCGCCGTTCAGGCGTTTCGATGCAAATGGTACCACTGTGCAAACCTGAGATTCAACGGCGGCTCGAAGCTTTGTCCGTACTTGATTATCCGTCACCAGACCAAGAAGCCGCCGATCGAAGAGCTGTCCCGGACGTATAGGGCCGTGCTGGAGAACGAAGTCCTCGATCACGGGTGCGGCAAGTGCTGGGACACCGTCCGCAAGAAGGGCTGGGTTCAGTCTGTCCACACGCAAATGGCCAACAATCTCAACATGATGCCGGTAGCCTGGGCTGAAACTCACAGTGATCGCGAGGAAGAGCAATCATCACATTATGAGCAGAGTTCAGCCGAGGAGGGATGCGAGTCGTTGGTGACGGAAAGCGAAGGCGAAAGCAAAGGCAAGAGAAAGCGAAGATGTTCTGAAGTCTCCATTCCGCCGCCACCCTGGAACAAGAAGTCAAAGAAGGTCTGCATGAGTGATGTCGGCGCATCGCCTTCGGGGTCTTCGGAAACGGACTCGGAACAAGAAAGTGACGAGGACGAGGAGGAGGAGGGGTCAGAAGACGGAAAAGTTGAGAGTGACTTGGACCAAGAGGACAAGGACTACATACGGGCCTGTCAAGAAAGTTTGGAGTCGTTCGAACGTGAAAACAATCGGAGGGGAAAAGGAAAAGGAAAAGAGAAGGAGATCATACAAGTATCGACCAGAGACGACGGCGATGACGGCGACGGAGATGACGATGAGGCAGCAGACCCTGATCTCCAAAGGGCCCTTCAAGCCAGCCTCGAAGAGCAAGAAGCTCCCAAGAACAAGAACTTCTGGAGGCATCGGCCCGACGTAGACCGGCATATGAGGTTTGGATCTGGAGGAGAAAGCTCGAGCTCGAAGAAGGACGTGGCGGTTGCCCCTCAACAGCCACTGATCACCCCGCCGAATTCGCAAAAGAGTCCCAGCAACAGCGAAGAAGACACTCGGCCGAATCAAAGCTATGGATTCGACGTTGTGGCGTTGCTCAAAGAGAAGGTGGCCTGGCAGAAGGAGAAGGCGGCTTTGATCAGCGAGAACGCAAGACTATTGCAGACGAATATGGCTCATGTGGAGCGAGGAATCGAGCTGGAGCGACGCAACAGGGAACTCGAAGAGCTGTGTTTTCCTACCGATGACCACACAGACGCTGCAGAAAGAGGATAAGAGCCAGACGGATTTTCATGATGCCTTTGCTGCTTGCTGGTGAGGCTGCAGGAGACCACGCGCATTTTTTTCTCTCTCTCGTGGTTCTGGGAATGAGCGGGCATTTTCCTTTTTCTTTCGAAAGACATCTTTGATTCCAGTCATGAATTGAGCTGAGCTACTGACACTGCAACACGTTTCATCATAGTCTCACCGAGTCTATTCATTGCAGTGCCGCAATGGGATTCTTCTCGAGATACTCCTCAAAGGTGGTGACTTGCCCCCGTGCATGCTCTGCAGCCCATTGTACCAGTTCCTCCGTCTTGGGGCCATAGTAGCCGAACTCCTCTTGGTAAGACATCATCTCAATCAGTGCTTCGGCGTAGTCGCCCACGGCTCCAGCCAAGACGGCTTGATGCTGCTCCGCGGACACCTGCACGTACTTGACCGTCTTTCCGAACTGCTTGCTCATGATCTCGCACATTTCAGCCATGCCGTAGAGCTTTGTGGCCGCGCAGAATGTCTTGCCCTCGTACTTATCTGGCTCGGCCAGGATGGCTCCGACAAATTTGCCCGTGTCGCCGACTATGTCGATCAATGGCAATTTAGACCCAGGACCGACGTGTCGCGACACAACAAATTCGCCCGGTGTGCCAGACGGATGGACTCCCCTGAGAGATTGCCAGTTTTGCATGAAGCTTCCCGGTGCGAAAAAGGCAGATTTGATCGGAAGTGTCTTGATATAGTCTTCCACATCGGCTTTGGCATCGAAGCCGGTGACTTTCTTGTACTTGCCGCCGGAGACAACGCTTACATTGGGCAAGGTCGACAGGATGATATAGGTTGCACCGGCGGCGACCGCAGCATCGGCGATGGCTTTGCCTGTGTCATACTCGCGGGCTCGTGAGTCTGGACCGAATGATGGAGCTGTGAGAGCAAAAACGGTGTGCACGCCATGTAGTGCGCTCGTGAGACTGGATGGCTTCGTCACATCGCCTGAGACCACCTCGACCCCTTTTCGTTTGAGTGCTTCTGCGGACGCGGACGATGCGTCACGAGTTACACCACGAACTCTGTACTGCTTCGACAGTTCCGAGTCGTTGAGGACGAAGTTGACAATGGAACCTCCTTGCTGGCCAGTGGCGCCGAAGACAGCAAGGATTTTGGACATTGTGGTTACGACTGGTTGCTGGTAAACTCCTATGGACGAATGATTGGAGAATGTGTTGGTGCGTTAGCATCTGCCGGTGATGGACGAGGGAAGGACAAGAAAAACCGCAAGATTATATAGTCTTCGTTCGGAGATACCATTGACCAAAAATGTGTTTCTCTTGCAAAACGCAAGAGTGTGCCCGTCAGACATTGCAACAGGAGCTAACTTCCCTTCGCATTAATTTGGGGCGTCATTGGTTGGTAGCAGACTGCTGCTACCAGATACATGATGCGGACATGGCATGCATGGCAGCAGGCGTCGCAAAGCTACGGAGATACAAGGCTGAGATATGTCCGGGAAACAACATACAGTACACGATCAAAAAAGAATCAGAACGATGCTCGGTGGAGGAAACGAAGTCGATAAGCGACTTGAGGTTAGCGCGATAGACCTGACTAGTCCTATCTCGGGTTAGCGTCCATGTCGAAGTATCCAACGTCGCCTCCTGGCCATAACGGCCTTTGACTCGACAATGACGGGTACATTACCGTGTACTATGACTTGACCTGCCTCGCCGTTGTCCGAAGCGATGCACGCAATACCACAGACCGAGCCTGCCGTGCTCCCTGCTTCGACTGGCCCCAGTTTGGGTCCTGCGCCAGGACCACACATCATCCAGCCCAGGCGTAAGATTCAGACTCACCGAAAATCTCGCAAAGGCTGCCGCAACTGCAAAATACGGAAGGTCAAGTGTGATGAGACCAGGCCGAGATGTGACAAATGCGACAAGTACGGCATTCTATGCAACTACGACTTAAGCAATGCAGACCTTCAACTCTCCAAGTCCGGTGCTTCGGCGATTGATATTACCGTCCTGGACTTCTCTCGCGCATCGACTTCGAGCATTGAGACTCATCTCACCAATGGGGAGGAGAGAAATACGTCCCCGCAGTCGTTGAAATCAGAGGCTGAATGCTATCATCCCACCGTAGATGACCTTGAAACTCTCGGTCGCTTCTTCTCGAGGACAATTCGTACTCTAGGCGCACATAAATATGCGACACTCTACCATGACGTTTACACCAGGTTGACGGAATCGGTATCACTCTTGAATACGATATTGTTGATGGGTCCTCGTCACTGACAATTTTGCTAGAATCGTTTCTTATTCCACATTGTTCTCGCCCTGACGTTGGTACACGACTCTGTCCTCGAACAATCCTCGTCACCTTCTGGTTTCCAAGCAATCGCTCAGCACTGGTCGCTTGGAGCTTCGTTATTAAACCAAGCCATATCCCTACCAAGTTCACAATTGACCTCATCGACACGAGACGCCATGTGGGCTTGTGCAGGGCTGCTGGGGTGTCTAGCTTTCAGCGTTGTCGACTCAGAGTCTGTGGAAGAGTCGTGGCCGCTGAAACCACCGGATCCAAGCGACCTGGGATGGCTCGGGTTTTGCGAGGGCAAGACGGCCATCTTCAAAGTCTCCGATCCATTGCGAGAAGACAGTCTGTTTGCTCCAATGAGAGAGGAAATGGCCCTGTTCATGAGTCTGACGCCAGATCTTTCTTTGCCGGAGTTACAGGAGGCCCTTCCAACCGAACTGATCGATCTCTGTGGTCTTGATGTGGATGGGGACTCAGTCCCGAGGGCATCTTCAAATCCGTGCCTTGCTCCTGCATCGGTGATGGCGCAGTTGACACGGTATGAATGCACGCAAGAAAACTATGTCCTATTCCTGGCATTCTTCAGGACGATGAAAGGAGATTTCAAGCAACTGCTCATTGAGCGACATCCTGCCGCTTTGGCTCTGCTGCTCATCTGGTACACCAAGGTTCTCCCTTTTGGCGCATGGTGGCTGAGGAAAAGGACGAGGCTGGAGTGCGGTGCTATATGCGCGTACTTAACACGAGTTCACAGAGACGATGAGAGAGTGATGAAGCTGGTAGGTCAAGTCAAAGAGAAGGATCGCGACCAAAACTTGGGTGATTGACGAGACAACCCGCTCTGGGTCTGGGTCGACGATTTCTACAACACCGAGCGATACAATGTGATGCTCACTGCCACCCAGGCAGGCCAAAAAAAAATCGAAAGGCAAAAAGGAATTAATGAGGTTTTGGAGTTTCCACCGCCCACAATCAAGACGCCTTCCAGATAAGCCCATCTAATTTGATCCAACCTGACCGTGGTTTTGATAATCCTAATTTTCTGCTCGACCGACCAGAGATTCGAACGCGGGACCTTTTTCTTTTTCCTTGCTCGCCCGAGTGAATGGCCGCCCACCACACAGCCATGTGGTTTCGACCTGCGCCATCACTTTAGGGGTCTTGGTGATTGTTGAGGGAAAATTCACTGATTCAATTGATAGTGAACTTGAATATTTCCCCGTGGGTCTTACACGCGCGCGTGTGTGTGTGCTAACGTTGTCTGCTTGCACCGGCTAACTAACTCCCTACCTACCTAGGTATGTAAGGTACATAGTGATGCGCCATATACTCACCTTTGGCATCCCTTCGTCCTGGCTATTTGCGAACACGAACGACACGAAGAATGCAACCTGCTACGGGTGCCTACGCTCGGAGCTCAAGCAACACGGCAATTAAGATACAAAGTTGACCACTTCCCTCCTCCCTCTCCCTCTCCTCCTCCTGACCTCTCATCTTCTCGGCGGTGTCTGCGTCAAGCAAGCAGTGCACGATGGATCCAGGTGTCTAGAAAGTGCACAACGTGACTACATTCCTACACGTGCTGCGTGCTGCGTGCTGGGGCTCACCGAGCAGTAAGATTATGACTTGTATCATTCTGATTCATCACGCCAAGTAGCTGGTCGCATGTATCCCAATCCTTGTTCCATGTCTACCTACATAGGTATGTACTCGGCCTGTCTCCAGCATTGTGTGCATCCTTGCAGGGATGGCGAGTGTTCCACGGAAATGACATCTCGGAAAGAGCCGATGGTGATCCCTTTCACTTCTTACCGCTGACCGTATTGTCATACAACGATGTTCATACCTGAGGCAGAGGCAGGTGAGACTGGGCTGGCCTCAGCCAGGGACGGGGGGGGAGAGATCGTGAAAGTCTTTCGCCACTCGTGACGCCGTCACACAGAAAAAACCCACCCTACCTGGACCCAGGTACCTAGTCCTAGCACTCATCTGCGCATCATGTGTCGTACAGAGTGGTATCCCTTACTGTATGCACATACGCAGGGAAGAAGCAGTGCCGCTCCCGTCCTCCCCCCAACGCAAAAGCCAGCAGAGGACCCTGCGCCATGCCGTCAAACGTGACACGAACTTGAATGCCCTGGCCGTTGACTTGACAGGCAGGCAGGAGGCATTGGAACCAACCTCACCGTTTCTCTACTCGTTTCTTTTTTTTTGGAAGAGGGGGGGGGGCTTGTGATCCGTCGTACAGTATCTGTGTTTCGCGACTTGTGTATCCTGAAGACCCTGCATCGAAACAAAAACACGAGAACTGGGGAAACGACGACGTCACTCGGCCCTATTATCAACCAGTCGGCATGCAAGTGGCAACATGCATCGCTCGTTCAAGGCCCGGAAGGGACAACTACAGATAACGGACGACAAGCACCAGACGGTGATGTTTCATAGCCCCGACATGGCGCAATCATACCTTCCTTACCTTACACGACGTCAGTTCAAGACGACGTGGCTTTTGCACACCAAACTGAGAAATTTGCAACGTAGGGACGGCAAATCACATGGGACGTCCCGTCATTACCAGGCTCAGGCGAGGGTCGAACCCTGCGTCGATGCGGGTTTCATCAGGTTTCGAGAGTTCGATTCAAGAGGAAACCATTGGGAAGTACGTCGCTGATGTGGGATGGAACAATGAAAATGTGTGAAAAGACACCGAGACAAAATGTGCGGTGGCCGAGAGGGGGACATTTGTTGTTGGCCGAGTTTCAAAAGCGACGTTTGAAATCGTCACTCGATGATCCCTGCCGCAGAGGCTCTTTCGGTGTCTCTGTCTTGCGACCGACCGACCGATTTGCTGGCATCGGTCAAGGATTACCTACCGTACAGAGAGAGTAGATCTCTTCTCCCCACCCGTGGCGGGTGGTTTGTCGTCGGCCTGCCGTCTGAAAGATGAAGATGGAGGATGTACAGAATAAAGGGGCACGTCCTCGCCATCGCCGCTACCCTTGGCCTCGCTGTTTGCGAATGGCGACGGCAACGGCAATCAAAGTATGCTGTTGAACAGAGTGATCATCCCCAGTCCAATTCCTTGATGTGGAACCGATGTAGGACATGCACACAGCGCACAATCACGGCCTTCCTGATGATATTGGTGGTCAACGTACCAAGTCCGCCGGCTCCCTACCTACCTGTACCTGGAGGGTGCTGTGTCGTTCTCAGCTTTGGTGTTGCCCAGTGCAAACCAAAGCGAACCGGCCCCCGGCTCATGAGCAGCCTTGTCTCCCGCTTGCCCTGCGCTGCGTCATATGATATGACGACGTGGCGAGTGGTTGTTGACTCGTTTACACAGAGACAAGATATTTGGCTGAACAATAAAGTCAATTCAATTCAATTATTGACTGCTTGCACTTTGCCGGGGAAAAAACACATGGGCTCCCTCGTCTCCCGTTCGTCAATTGTTGTCGATAAAGTCATTAGTGAGTCGGTGAGTCGGACGTCTACGTCGCCGCCCAGAGTCAGTCTTTGGGGATTCATCAATCTACGGTACCGGAGGTCGCAGGTGTCTGTGCTGCAAAGAGACGGCAAGAGCATTGGTAACTCTAAAAATCACATGTGGCGCCGTTCGGCAACTTCTTGTTCCCAAGAGTACGAGTACGAGTGAGGAGACACGCTTGCTTGAACTCTCGCAAGGCTGAACGACGAAGGTTTAGTCCGGGTGCGAAGTCAAAAAAGCTCGTGCTCTCGCCGACACCACCGATGATCGGGATCGGATGATGATGCGGGGAGGAAGTTTAACCGGTTGATCAACCCATTGGCAATCAATCCATCACAATGGTCCCCCGGGGGGTGGTCGGTCTGGGCCAAAGCACGTTTAAACTTTTAAAGCCGTGGTGTTGTAGGCATCGGCACCCCCGTGCTTGGGAGCCGAAAAGCCACAAGTGCAATCCATGTTTCACCATCGGCCGACCGGATTTTCTTGACTTTCTCAGTCAAGGTTTTTCCCATCAGCTCAATCTGGACATGGCTGGAAACGCCACAAGAGACTAATATCTTGGACAAAGGGCGCGGCTTCTGTTTTCGTGCTTCGCGATTCGCGGTTCGCGTGTCTAATTGAGACGGCAGGATTTGGCGAAGACACAACAAACAAGACACAAAGGGGGAGTGAGAGGAGGTGAGCACGGACATGCTCCTAGCAGACTTCAGCCCTGTCAACAAGTCAATGTCATCTATCCCGCACTGTCGTTGTCATACACGAGTTATAGTACGAGCTCGTGGATATGAGAAAAGTCGGAGAGTCGGCATATCGGCCAACATAGACGCCGTTGTTTATCGTATTCATGATATACAATATCATCAGGTAATTTCCAACGAGATTCATCAAATCTGAGTAGACCGCGCCGTGAGGTGTTTTGTTTTACACAACATTCAATAATGTTTCTGGTTTCTTAGGTGTTCAATCTCGTTATTGTGGAGGCGATGGCCAAAACAGTACTGTAAGAGGTAAGTGCTGGTACTTTTGGGAGCCCGTGAGTATGACTAAGCTTTAAAAAACTTGGTCTGTGGTGCGGGCGACGACAAGAATAGAACAAACAAAAAAGACTGGCTTCTCGAAGCGATGAGAAAAATGAGAGGTGCTTCGAGAATCCAGAGATGGGAGATTTGCAATTGTAGAAATCGGAGAGTAACGAGGGTTGTAGCTCGGCGAGAGAGACGAGACGCGGATAGTCATCAGGTGAAAGGCAGACCAATATCATACCGCTCCTGCACAAATGTCCTTTGCAGATCGTGTCTTGCGTACTGACTCTCCTTAGGTACTGGATAGGACGTCGTCTTCCTGCACGAGACACAGGGAAAACAACAAGCTCGACCTTGTCCCTCTCGCCTCGTTTGTTGAGTTGATCTCTTTTCGTCGTGGTAATAGAATCACCACATGAATGAATGTCAGCCACACATGGCTCGAAGAAGAATCAGTTGAATGGTCGGTTCGGAAGAATTCCTGACCTAACCTCCTGCTGCTCCATAAAAATGCTGCCAGTTGTGCTTCGGTACTGATTTACAGGAGGTACATTGAGTAGTGAGTAGTGAGTGGTGAGTAGTCAGCACCAGCGAGCAGTCAATAGTCAATAGTCAATAGTAGTCAGTAGTGAGCGGGAAGGATCCGTCTTGCATGATTTTCTCTCTGACTGATGGTGTACAACTTGTCATAAAAGGAAGCCGAGACCAAATAGGCAACCAAATCTTACTCTTACCAATCCTGCCCAAGATGTGATCGACGTGACAAATCTGTTGTGGGTGTGAACCTGTATACGTGTACGTATAGTGTGCTGACGATTAAGGAACAATGATTCACCAAGTCCTCTCTCTCGTACACTACCTCGCATCTTGGTATCCATAGCCCATGATTCGCCCACGAGGTACTCAGGGAGTCATCCAGTCCAGGAAAGGGTATATGTTTCGTCAGCATTATCGTCAATCGCATCATCATGAAATGGATTCTGAAGACGATGATGAAGTTGAGGATGTATTTTGTTTTTAGAAATGTATGACGGCTGGTTCGTCTTTGTCATTCAGACATTGAATGGATATTTTTGCTGCTGACAATGATGATTATGGCATATTTCCAGTGCTCTCAAGTTCGTCACAGTACGCTTCGTCCATTCTCTAGGCACTAGCAGTAGCTGGTACTCACACTTGCGCAATTGGTTACTCTCGGTCTCTCGGGAATCTACCCTGTCATTGCCAAAATGGATGAAAAGCGAAGTCGGAAAGTATAGTACCTAACTAACATCTGACCTCAGCACTGAATACTGAACTGGTTTTGAATCACACAATTGGCCAAAGTTGAAAGTTTGCTTACCTATTTCTATCCAGTACGAGTAGGCGCCTGCCTACCTTGCTACCTGCACACGTACGTGGCCTTACCTAGCTAGTGATTGATCTGTCTTGACAAAAAGCTACGAACGAGGTAGCTGACCACCTTTGGGTAGAAAGGAGGCTCTCAACACGGAGCGAACTTGTTAAGTCGTCCAACTGCCACACGTGGAAGGAGGGCAAAATCGGATCGCCATCCACCAGTCATGGCCTCACACGCTGTCATCGATTTTTGTGGCTTGTGGTTCCGAAAATTGTTGGCTCCTTTAGGAAACCGTTCCTTTCGAGGAGGAGGGGGCAGGCTGAGAACGAAAGAGGCGCTACAACTTACAAGTTAACAGCTTACTCCGGTCCCGATTGTGCATGTGCAAGTACGGACGGAGTAGTAAATGTGCAAGGGTTGGACGGGAGATCGAGAACGAGCCGAATCCAAAATCCCTGTTGCTGTAGGGGGGCATAGTACACACAGTAGAGTGAGATCCAAAATGTACGGATAAAGGGGGCTGAGCCTCCCTTACCTTGCCCTTTACTAGGATAGGGTGGTCTACTGTAGACTCTCTGCACGGCCTAACAGCCCTCAGGTGGTTTTAGTGCCGTGCCCGTGGCGTCAGTCGTCAGTTTGGTTCTTTCGCGACTTTCATACGACGAGTGCTCCGACTGGTCACGGAGTCGCTGGGACGGTGCGTGCACGGTACTCGCAGAGGAAGAACCAATGGTCTGGAACGCGCCACAGGGCGGCAAAGACAAGGTCCACCTCCCACGAGTACGGTTCACGGGCCCCAACATCCAACAGGGCTACACGTACAGACTGCGAGACCTGGAGGACGAGTGGTTAAGGTGCAGCAATCCATGTTGCGCCTTGTGCGGCTGTTTCACCCGTCTACAGCACAGTCTTCCCCCCCCTTCTTTCAAGGTACCCTTATGTATGTACTAGTTGTGTTAAGCGAATCTGATATCGATAAAGGGGGCGATAACAGGGTAGACTAATCGATAAGCAAGCGAGAGCAATGCGGGACACGAGTAACTGCGTACTCCGTACGCAGTGTACATGCACATGTTATATTCCCATGGACGCGTTACTACAAGTCCACAGGACTTGCGCGATCGCGATGACTTTTCTGCTGCATCGTGCATTGGTAACGCCATCGAGGAGAGAAATGTCATTATTGGTGAATGGTCTCGCTCCGACCCCCTGCGAATGCCTGCATGGCTTGGAAGCCTAGTGGCCCAAGCCTTCGGTATCCCCACGATAAGCCGGTTTTTTTTTGGTGGATATGTGTGTTTGGGACGTTCGGACACTTGTCTTCACTACCGGAGGGCAAGAGTACCAACTCGCAAGTAGGTAGGTAGGTAACTGTAAGCGCTTCCCGCTCGTAAAGATGGATGTTTTGGGTTGTCGGTATGGGTTTCCATTGAACCGTTTTAGTGGTCTCTTCATCGTCAATTGATTGACCGTTCACCGGGGTGATGATGATGATGGTGGCGGTGGTGGTGTCCACGACTTGTCTTAGATTCATCCATGCCTTGATGAGCCTGCTCCCTAGGTACTCCTGTGCACGTTTCTGACACCGGAGAGGAGGTACCTACGAGGAGGACATTCTCATTACCCGTCACCCCGAAAGGAAGCCGAGTTCACCGGATGCCACAGCTCCCCAAGTCGACTTGAGCGGGCATATCGAGCAAAGCCAAAAGAAGTACCTGGCTCTGTGTGGTCCGCATGGCTGAAACAGGTCAACAGTTGAGACGGAAAGACAAAGCCATCCGTAGTACTGGAATCTCGCTGGATGTTCTTTTCACCTCTGGTAGGTAAACCTAGGTAATGCTCTCGGGGCCAAAGAATGAGTTGGGGACTCGGGACACCACGTGGAGCCGAAACATATTGTAGCACGGCTCTAACTATGCGTAGTAGACTTTTCACGCAGTCCTCGCCACAAAGTACTAGATACAATACAGTATAGGCGGCTAGACCAAATTTTTTCTTGTATTCGGTACGACTCCGAGCACGCTCCCGGACGGAAAAAGGGTGTTTCTTTTTCGTTCTTCCATCTTCATTGGTCTTGCTTACCTAGGAAATTCTCGACGACGATCTCTATGGGTTTACCCGACGCTTCGGGTGTGTGCGTGTGGAGGGAGGAATAACTGTTTTGTTGCTCGTTCAATAGTTCTCGTATTCGTCAGCCCACCAAGTCAGCAAACAATGGGAACATTCCACCCCAGTCACGAATCGGAGTCTCAACCACAGGCTCATAAGTAGGTCTGGTCCGGGTAGGTAGAATGGTAGGCCTGACTGGCTCTGAGGCTGCTTGAGATGGGTAGAGGACGACAAGGACGAGGACGAGGACGAGGGGGGTCCGTTCTGGTCAAATAATCATTGAATCTGGTGACCACCTTCGCAAGGGAGAACGGTAAACGAGAGAGGGACAAGCCTGCATGGCTCTGCGGATGACTTTTCCTCGCGGGAAAAGGGGGCATCATTATTACGTGGTTTGATCGAGTCATATGGTCACCAAGGATCAACTGACTTTGCATCTGTGATCCTGATCAGTCAATCAATCAGTCACCCAGCGCGCCCAAGCGAGGATGGGGATGAGCATGAGGATGAGGGGTAGGAACAGGCAACTCGGCACCTAAACGAAGGCGAAGAAGACGCAGACGAAGACGAGGACCGGATAGACTGTAGCTACAGGATGTTATTCCGACATCCAGTAAATAACAAGCTGGTGGGTTTTGTTGGGCGGCCTGAAACCACACCGTCGTGCACCGTACTACTGTACTAACTCTTGAGTCTTCACAAACAACACTCCGTAACTAGTAACCTCGTGGGAGGGAAGAAGAGGCCCCCCCAATGAAGAATTTTGCCAATACCTTTGTTGCGTAAAGATACACGTACTAACCTCGAGACTCGGTAGAGTGAGTGACTTGACACCTACATCCGTCTCTCCCTAAGCTACCTCTAACGACAGGCTTGCCTTACCCTAGACTACCTAGGTATAGTAGGCGGAGTCGATCACCTCTTTTCTCTCTTTTTCTCACTCAACTCACTCACTCGTTGGTTTGTTGGGTTGCTGGGTGGATTGGTTGATTGGTTGACGTCCTTTTTCCCAAAATTCCTACAGGAACCTGGAAGGATTCTCTTTAGCACTGGCGCGAGGACGGATATGCAATGCAAATGCAGTATCATCGGCTCACTAGGCTTGTCCTCAACTCAATTCGAGACGGGTTGTTTTCACGCAATAGTACACATCACATCATTGGCGAGAAGAAGACACTGACTTATCTCGCCCCGAAAAGGATTTTTTTATCTCATTCGTACAATCAATTCCAATTGCTCGACTCGGCTCGATTCGACTTCTGACGAGCTAGCTGGTGTCTACCTAGGTTTTCATACCGAACTACCTCTCTTTTGTCCTGCATCTTCCAGAGACTCTCAGGATTCGTTGGATTTTGTCTTTTCTGGTTTCTCAAAACGTAACATAACATAGCATACAGTAGGGTATCGTCATACACATGGATGGTGATGGTGGTAGCGGTTGTAGTACTATCCTAGTACTTGAAACTCGCAATTCGTGAATTCCATTCAGTAAAAAATGCATTTCCATCCTCAAAAAAAGGATCCATCTCAGCACTTGAGGGATCAAGATCGAAGAAAATCAAAGTTCTTTTTTTTTGGTTCAGGTTGACCCCTGAAAAAAAAAGATCCATAACGGTGTAGTACAAGTACCCAGTCTCGGTTTTAGACAAAGGAAAAACGAGGGCCTTTTTCGAACGACCTTACGTCCTCCCATACACCATTCAGCGTCTCCACCAATGGTTCCGGAAGAGGGCCTTGTTCGAGAATATCCATGTTCTCCTTCAGTTGGGAGAGCTTGGACGCACCCACGATGACGGCGTCGCCATATTCGGCACCAAGTTGCGAGTGCCACGTAGTCCATCGCAGAGCAGCGGCGTGACCTGAGATGCCGTACCGTCTGGCTTGTTCTCGGACAACCGCCGCTGCCGCAAACAGAGGGTCGTGGAAGTAGTCGCCAGCGTATTTGGCACCGAGAGGTGAGTTAATGTTCCATCGACTGCTCTTGTCCTTGGTCGAGGCCCGAGAGACTTTGTTGGAGAAGAAACCACACGCCGACGGGCTGTAGGCGTAAAAGGCGATGTTGTGTTCGCGAAGGACGGCAAAGAGGCGTTCCTCACCTCCACGGCAGATGGGGTTGTACTGGCCTTGGTACACAGAGGGCTTGACCCAGCCGTTCTCTTCACACACTTGAACAATCTCCTCAACCTCCTCCACCGAGTAGTTGGACAGTCCGAAGCGTTCGAATTTGCCCTCGAGGTAGGCCTTGTTCATGGCCTCACACGTCTCCTTGAAGGGAGTGGCTCGGTCGGGAGCATGTAGGTACATGACATCCACCTGGTCAGTGTTGAGGGCGTCTAATGAGCGGTCGATGCTGAGGGCGATGTTCTTTGCTCGGTGAGACCCAGGCATGAAACTGGACACCTTGGTCGAGACGTTGGCCCACTTGGCCAGTCGTAGTTCTTCTTCTCCCAACAGCTTCTCACATGTGCCTCCACGACCGACGGGGTATGCTCGGGCAGTGTCAATGTCGTTGTAACCCCTTGATCGGAAGAGGTTGATGAACTTGGAGGCGTCCTCAACCGTGGTGATCTTGGCCAGAGGGGACAGGTGTGAGCCCACCGACGCAGTTCCCAGTACTATCCGCAGGGGAGGTTTGCATGGTTCAGTCTGTACCAAGGGGGACGTGATTGTCTCGGCGTTGTCAAAGGTGCTGGCCCGCGACCGGGTCGGGGTGACGGTCAGGTCTGTGGCATCGGTGTCGTCCGACTGTTGTGACGAGAAGGAGTGTGCAGAGCGGGAGGATGTGGCAGAGTTCAGTTCGAACGAGAGGCGTTTTTGATGTGCTCGGTGCATGTCGAGGTTGTGCATATTTAATGAGGGCAGGTGTTCCAACTTCATTCTGAGAGCGGCTGCCATGGAGCCCATATGGCGGTCTTGGGACATGGTCGGGGACTGAGGATAGTCAAAGGACGACATTGTGAGGTGGAGAGGAGGCCAAAGCCTGAGGTCCTCTCTGGGATTGATATAGAGTGCGCTTCGGCGGCTAGTTGCTCAGTCGAACACAGTCAGCTCGTATAGTTCGGTGTGTGGGCGGTAATCGGCAACGTGGAGGTCGTTGTACCAACAGTCTCACACAAAGAACTTTGTCTGGGTGCGAGGAACGTAATCAGTGACAACGATTAGTAGGAGGAGTTGTTGTAGTTGTGTGTGTGCGTTGTGGTATAAGTTTGCACTCTGTAACAAAAGAAATGCTGGTAGGGGGGTGGAGGGTGGTGGATGGAGTATATACCACTGGGTATTCTGATCCTGAAACGGGGAGGGCTTTTTGCCGATCCAAACGACAACCGCTTTGGGGATGCAGGACCAGGACCAGGACCAGGATTGAACGTCGCCACCACCGTTTGCGTGGCCAGAAGCCATGGCATTATTTGACGAGCCCTTCTCGTAACTCGTACGGCGTCTGCGTGGAGTAGAGGCCGCATTCCCTTCACCTGACGCGCAAACCTCCCCCCGGCACAGGGCTCGCCTGCTGGTGACACGGCACCCACAGTCGCCGTGGTTCCACTCTCGGCCAGCTGGGATCAACCCTGCCCCCCTGCTCACGCAAGCACAACAAACTCTGGGCCCCCTGGTGACCCTGTCCATGCAGCTCGACGCCCACGCCGTGAGGTGACAGCCTCCCGCTAGAACCTTCGCAGTCTAGTCCCCCAAGGAGCCTCTTGACTCAAAGCGCCAGAGCGCCAGAGCGCAGCGCATTCCTTCTAAAAAACTTCGGCCGTCTCGCGCATGCCGAGTCACGGCTGGTCCAGCGAACACGCTTTGCTCTCAGCCTGCCTTCCGCCGCCCGTGGTCGTTCCTCGTACAGCGTCAGCGACGCCTCAAGCGACTTTTGTTGGATTACGATTGTCCCGAACCGGCCGCTATGGCTGAGGTGGCTGCGTTTACCTGCTCGATTATCGTTCAGTCATCATGGCAACGCATGGCGAGCTGAATGGTCCTCGCAGTCGACCGAGTCTGGCAGGCCAGCCACACCATCTCGTCAAGCCTGTCGATGTCTCTTCTACGCAACGCCGAAGGGGGACGCCATTTTGCATATCCTTGGCCGAGTGCTTGTCGTCGTGGGCCGCAGCCCCTCGCCATCGCCGGACGCACCTGAGGGACTGCCTGGCCGCCGTACGAATAGTAGAAGCGATCAGCAGTCGCTACTGCGCATAGACCCGAGTGATGCTACACATGCAAGGTACGAGTCAAATGTAGCATTACTTAGCCAGTGCCAACTTTTACTCTGTCTTCGAAAGGACTTTGGCTTGCTGCCCATGCATACTTTGACTTAGTCTGTACTACTGAACGACGTATTCAACGGCGCAACGAGTACCGCGCCACACGAATACACAAATACCACGGGGACTCGCTTGCACGCTGGAAGGCGTTCGGTGGTCACGTCAACAAGATTAGCGGGACAGCCACGATTCCCACGACCATGGTCAAAATCTGAGCCGGGGAGAATGTCGGCGCCGACGGCTGCGATAGTGAGCAACATATAACGAGACGGTACTTTTTGGTTGCCTGCCACTGAGTTTGCAGTTTGAACTCTGTCTCGTTCAGAACGAACTTGATTCAGAAGGGATGTTCCGATGCCCAAAGATCAATAGTTCGTTTTACGGGGTACGGATATACAGTAGGACGTCGGCCATGCTTGATAATGGGCCCAGTTACGGCTCCGCACACATGGAAGGATATGTTTGTTGAGGCCCTGAGAGGTCGATCGCTTCACCCACTGGCTGTCGAGTGTCTATGCTTTATGATGATCCCTTCGCCGGTGCCCCCATCCGTCGTCTCTCTCCTGCTTTCCGGAGTACTCGTTCGCAACGATACAGAGTACTCGGAGCACTGGCACGAGCTTTACCAATAAGTTCTACTCTTGAAGCCAGGTCTGCATGTCTCATCTTGAACATCCGTTCCTCTGATTTGCCATTTGGCGCGCGGCTCATGCGGCGATTGGCTGCTCTGTCCTCGACCGGTGCCAAGCATGTTATCTAGTGGCCCGTCAATCGGCGGACGGAGAGTCGGCGCGCCGACGCCGATCTGCTTCCTGTTCCTGGCCAATGAAACAAAGAATGGCGTCATGGGAAGAAATCTAACGCACACACCTGACACTGCGAGTCTTTTCTCTCAACACCTGCTGGCTTTGATTATGGTGGCGGCTTGACTCCCATGATGATTGCGATGAGCCATCCTGGCCGCCATGTTTTTGTGTACGCAATATCTGGTGGCTGGCAGTTGCAATTACTCATTTTCTCTCCGACATGCATTCGTCAAGTGTGTGGCGCATTGTGGTCACTGGGCCTGGGGGCTTCGAGACACTCATTCGTTCTCCCTAGTACCGTACAACATTCATGTGACTGCAAAGCGAGGAGTTCTACAAACAACTCCGGGGCTCGCTTAACCACCAAAGGACGTCATAGTCGGGTACCAGAGTATTGGATTGGCTCTGCCTCTCGCAAAGTCAACTTTGAAGCTCGCCTCGGTTTGTCCTGGTACCTGCGCAGGTGACTAGGTACCCCGTACAAAGTGCACACTACTCGTCCAGAGTACACACTACAGTACTCCGGTCGGTGGCAAGTGCAGGGCGATGACGTCTACAAGCAGTACGAGTCAGAGAAGACTACTCGGACCCGACAGACTTTATCGCCGTCCTGTCTACCACAGTACCGTCTCCGGCTTCCTTTCGCCTACAGTAGCAGGGGGGGGGAAAAAAGGGCAAGTCAACAAGCGAAAGGCACTAAGTTTGATAAAACATCAAATCTAGATTGGGGTCGTCGGTCAACGGCGAGTGTTGCACCGATCGGGGGTCTTAGCGTCGCTGGTCACCGGAGGTTGGTTTCGTGGCGCCAGAGAAATTCTGGGGAAGCCTGGTCAGTTCGTCATCCGTTCAGTGATCAATACGAGTAGTAATAATATCAATAATATCAATAATGGAGAAGTTTACAACTCGTCCAGGGCCAGGGCCACGGTTATCACCTGCCAGACCGAACGCCAGATTGCAAAGTTTCAGATTATTGTTTTTTTTGTCTTGGATGGTGGGAATTGCTCCCGGGACAAAACATATCAACAACAGAGCAACTGGAGAGCATCTACCCGTAATACCCAAGCCACGCTCTTCGTAGAGCCATCACATCCGTTGTTATGACAGTAGATGTTCCGTACCTACAGTAGGTATGTAGGTTCCTTGGGTGGTGTTCCGGCCTCTGGGAAGGGAATAGCGATACGAGTATCGAGCAGCAGTAGTAGTAGGCTGGTACAACATCTCAGAGTCTGCATAAATGTTGTTTCGCCGACATGAAACCATTGACAACGGCACCGATATTCACCCCCAACATTCATTGAATCTACCGAATCTACCGAATCTGCTGCATGCCTCCCTTCCTGCCTTCTTCCTTCCCTCTCTTCGCTTCTCTCTCTCTCTCTCTCTCTCTCTCCCCCCTCTTCTGTTTCGTTACACATTCTCGGGGTCACGGCGTGATGAGATGGTCGGTACACGGAGTCGTAGTGTCTTATCCTAGGTTAGGTGGAGCGACACGTAGGATCGACCTCGGACTGTCCAATTTTTGCTCCGTACTCTCATAAGTTCGGTGACACGGAGGAGCCAGACACCTACGGCAGTACTCGTGATTAGACGGGCACACACTCACTCATCCTCCTCCTCCTCCTTCTCAAATGCAGAAAAAGGTTGTCTCTCTGTTCCATGGGTAGTTCCTCCCCGTAACCCCCGTGCTCCGTCCATACTGTTCGTCTTTCTACTACTTGGTCGGTCGCAGTGTAGCATGCTGCGTGCATGCATGCATGCATGCACGATCCCAAACGGGCCGACGGAATCTATCTCCTGCAACAGCCCCCAGTCGGTTCGGTATACATACTACCTACTGCTGTACGGTGCAGGCTTACTGGCCACGAGTGCACTACAGTAGCCTCCGTACTTGCTTAGGTACATACATGACCTCGGACAGTAGTTCGCCATCCGCCGCTCACTACCTGTTCCTCACTAGTTTGCGCGCATCTAAACGATGGCAGGGTCGCATTCGTGCCGTAAGCCTGTACGATATGTGCGTGCGATAGCATGGGGGACGACAACGTTACGAGGATATTCTCAAGCTATGACGAAGTGCGTCGCCGGTCGCCGGTCACTGGTCCAAAGTTACAGGGTTTGACTTACTTTCCACGTTCGCTGTTCGGGCATTTGTGTTTTGTTTGAACTTGTGAGTGTATGGAGTAACCACAGTCTACCCGATACACAACGTTTCCGAGTAGATGTGAGACCGGAACTAACTAGTATGGAGTAACTATCCGTACGGAGTGGGAGCACATATTGTAGTGGTAGGGGTCAAGATTCAGATTCGAGCACGAGGGAAATTTCAGGGCAGTAACTAAGTCGACCATAATTTCTCTCCAGGTTGGTCGGCGTTGTCGCGTGAGAACATGTTTGGACGTTTGACGAGGTAAAATTGCAGTGACTATCCCACCGACCCCCTTGTCGTCGCCGCTGCTTTTACAAGGACCAGCCCTGGACAGTACTTCGTACAATGCTTCTAAGTGACTGCAGGGTTGTGGGTGTAGGGGAGGAGACGCATACTGCAGTACTCGTATGTACAAGGACCGTCTTTCGGACACCGGTGATTGATTGGCACACAGCGAACTCGAAGAAATATCTACTCGTAGACGGTCCAATTTTTAGTTGTATGAAAAGGGACCTGCGATCGCGACGATCTGGAAACTTGTCGCGGAGTACGGAAGAAGAAGGAAGCAAGGAAGGAAATAATACCCTGTTGTACAGACACTTCCTGGGTGGGCAAAACAAGATCTGCGAATTCTGAAACGGCGATACATAATAAATTGTGCATTCTATCCGCCGGGGACCGCAATTGCGGGTTTTTAATTAGTTGATCGAATACTGTATCTGTACAAAGGTAAACCCACCGACGCACGATTCAACGGTCTTGTTTTCTCTTTCCAGCTTAGCACGCATCGTCGTCGTCGTCGTCGTTGGTGCTCGACGGTTCATCTGAGTACCCAGTCCAGCCTTGATGAGCATTGCCGATTGCTAACTCTGACCTATTGTACTCTGCACTGCTAGTGTAACCACAGTCATCAGTACTCCATACCTACAAGAAGAGTAATTTCTCCGTTCGCTGAACCTCTTTGTCCTGTTCGTGAAGCACGGGTCGTGCCGGTCACTCCGTATTTCTGCTGTAGACGTTGGAGAATGATGCGACAGGGTGAACTCTACAAGCTCTCAGTTCTGCATTATTTACCTAGGTAAGATACGCTGGGTGCTGTGAGCCTATACGCCATGTGACTGTTCTTCATCGAGTGATTTTGATGTTAGACTATTGCCCCTACTGCTGCTGCTGCTGCTACTTCTCCGTCGGAAAACCGAAACGAACGAACGTGTTCGGTACAATAATATGTGATCCGTAATGCTATGTTGGAACTTCTCCTCTTACGAGACTCTGTACGTCGAGACGGTCAGCGTAAGTCATACACATCTTTGTTACCTGCACGATCGGAGTCAGTTGATTCTGTGTGACACGCAAAACATCGATGGGGACGAATCCAGGGCGGAGTCCAGCGACCGAGTTCGTTCACAAGTCGTAGGTAGACAAGGACGTCAAACGAATCACTCGCTAATCCGCTAACTGACTGGAATGCGAGCCACAAGCAAGAGTCAAGACCAACCGCCACAACCTATCAGTACAACCATATCTTGTGTCGAGTTCGGGTACGGGTACGAGTGAAGAGGCGTTTTAGCATCGGCTACCCACTTTGGTACGTATAACTTATCAGAAGGGCAACCAGAGCAACAGAGCAGCTAGTTTTTGGGGCGTCCTGAGAAGCAGCTGAGGTCGTGAACCGGCACTATAAGTCACTAATGTAGTCGTTAAAACTGTAAAAGAGGGATACATACCTCAAGCACAACATCGACATACAAGAACGGGTTGGACTGGAGAGTGGCTGAAACATGCTCTTCTCAACCTGCATCTCGATTATACGAAAAAGTATAATACCCGACTCAAAGGGACTTGCAGCTTTACAGACTCGGAGCGCCCGTTCCAGATGGTCTTGGCTCTCAGGGCTGAGAGTTATTATCTGCCACCCCGGATGGCGCCGCAAAGCTGCCGTTAGAAGAGACGTCGTCGTCGTAGGAACCAAATATTCATAAAGGAATGCGGATGTCGTTCCCAAGTTCTGCCTGGGTGACATTCACCTGTGATGGGTCCTGTCTTGGCAGACCAAATTCAGAACATCAGCTGTTATGGTTGAGGAGTACAAGAACGATGGAAGGAATGTGAACTTTATTGGTGCTTGACTGTGAAGAGAATAAACCTAATGTGTAGCCGACAACAGCACACAAAAAGCTGCCAGCCATACAATGACAGGCTCTACGAAGTAGGTGTAGGTCAAAAAGACGCGAGCCAACACCCTGTCTCAACATAAACCGTGCAACAAAAGCAAGAACCTTCAAACAACCTTAAACCGCATTTCATTGTTCGACGATGTTCCTTATTCCGCGACTCAGTGTCGCCAACATGATTCACTCTCCCAGGTTGACGTCAGGAGGAGGGACCATGTACATGTGCTCTGAATCGCTCTCGGGGATCGTCATATCGGCTCCATCATTGATCTCGACATAAGGTGGACGTGATGGAAGTTCGTCCACAGGCGTCACATATTGGCGTTGCCAGTCTGTACTATGAAGTTCATCGACTACGTAGACCTCCTTCAACAATTGGAGAGGTAGACATTCCCAGCTTGTTTCGGCTCCGTATGGGATTTCCGGGACACGACCTGAAAGTCAAGAATGGTGGTCAGTACGCGACTGACATGCTCTCAGATGCCAAACTGACCGGTAGCATATGCCTCTTGCAAGAGGCTGTGGCAGCGATTCCAGACCGATTCCCTGATCTCCATGGGTGCCAATTCCGTCGTGGTCTGACTTTGCAAGGATTCTTCCCAGGTGCCATTCAATCTCACTGCAATCTTGGGCAGGCAGACGTAGGGCCAGAAGAGACGGTTGCCGAGCATGTTTCTCTGTACCGATTCTGGGTTTATCCAGTGAAAGGCAGCGAGGAGTGCAGCGACTTGGTCAAGGCGCCAGACTGGTATGGCTTTGTATCTGCAAGAAAGAAGATCAGTATAGTTATATTTGAAAGTCAGATTCATCAAAGTGAACGCACACTGGCGGACCATCAACAGTCCTTGCCCCTTGTCTGGCTCGTAGCTAGCAATTGCCAAACTTCAGCTTGATAGCAAGACGACCAGAATCGACAAAGGCCCCGAGAATATATTCTAGTGCTTCTCCGATATTCACTCCACGCCGCACCAAGGGGATCATACAGACATGGCGATTGTCCCAGTCCATCATGTGAGTCCTGTCAGGGTTGGGTGAATCAAAAGAGGGGTCAAACTGAATGATGACCCTGTCACGTCGAAGCCAGTCGAATTGGTTCAGGTGATGAATATTCAGGTCAGGGTCATTCATGCGTACAACGAAAACATGGCCTTCCTCGGTCGTCTCGGCCGATGGATTTTCTGGCAGAGGAGCCGGTTGAGGCTCCGTCGGAGGAATTGGTGAGATCCCATCAGCGTCGACTGGGCCAGAGGCTGAAGCGAGCGCAGGAATCGCAGAAGAAGAACCAGAGGCGGATGACTCGCCAGGAGTGAAGTTTGGAGATCCGGACGATGCCATGGTATCGGTGCTAGAGTAAGAAGATTGCAGTAAACAGATGCTTTGAGCAAAATGCTGTTACAAAGTACAATGCAAGGGGAAGATGTTGGTGCGAAGAGACAAAAGACAAGAAGAAAAGATGAATCAAATGGTATCCTACCGTTGGAATGCGCCTGCCATCATGATGAGCTTACTTGGAAAGATGCGTGTTAAGGAAGGCACAGGTATCTAAGGAGTTTCAGTTAGATAGATACCTATGTACCTAGGACGCAAGAAGGTACGGAGGAGTACTATGTAGACAGACGCAAGATGACAAGGTGATCGCCATACCTTCCCGACTTGACCGAGTGTTCCCCGCTGTACACATGCTTCCCCTCAGGCACCCTCGGTCGCTGATTGGCTGAATTGCCCGCGAACACCGCAACTTGAGTGGGCTTCGAAGGAACATTCAAGAAGTTTTGTGTGCAAGGCCCAAACTACAGTGAACGAAAGCTGTGCTATTCTCTGACTTCCAATTCCTAACCACTGTCCGCTACATATAATACATACTCAGTCCGGTTCAGAATTCACACTGTCCTCAACCTCTCCGTCAGCCCACTGAGCCGACCTCACCATGGCAGAATCCAAGAGTGGTAAGCCTGGCCCGGGAAGTCAGTGTCGCATGGTCGCAGCCTAACCCAGACTCTAGGAAGACCTCGTGTCTATTTCGACATTACAATTGGCGGCAGACAAGAAGGCCGCATTGTCTTTGAGCTGGTAAGTTGCAACCCTGTTTTCTTGTAGAGATTGCAAATGATCTGACGTGCCCGCAGTTCAACGATGGTAACTTGCCATGCCTCCGGTTCTGACGTCGTGTCGACTAACCATGAATGTAGTGGTTCCAAAGACTGCCGAGAACTTTCGCGCACTCTGTACTGGTGAAAAGGGGGAAGGGAAGTCTGGCAAGCCTCTGAGCTACAAAGGTGGGAGATTCAGCTTGTGCTGGTTGATTAAAAACTAAGACGGGACTAGGGTCAATTTTCCATCGAGTGATCAAGTCTTTTATGATCCAGGGTGGTGATTTCACGGCATTCAATGGCACTGGCGGAGAATCAATCTATGGAGAAAAGTTCCCAGATGAGAATTTCGAGCTGAAGCATGACCGACCCTTCCTCTTGTCGATGGCAAACTCGGGACCAGGTAAAGAGGCCAAACCGGAGTGACATGAGGTGAAGACTGACATATGCAGGCACAAATGGGTCCCAATTCTTCGTCACCACCGTTCCCACTCCTCATCTGGACGGCAAACATGTTGTTTTTGGAGAAGTCATCAACGGCAAAAACATCGTGCGCAAGATAGAAAACCTGCCCACGCAGTCAGACAAACCCGTGAGCGACGTTGTGGTGGCAGATTGCGGACAGCTTGAAGGCAGCGATTACAGCACAGCCACTCAGAAAGCGCCTGATGCTACCGGGGACCCCTATGAAGACTTTCCCGACGACCAGGGCGAGCTCAAGGGCGAAGAATATTACAAGATTGCTCTAGATCTCAAGGAGTACGGCAACAAAGCATTCAAGGCCGGTGACATTGAGACGGGTATTGAAAAGTACCAAAAGGGCCTAAGATATCTTAACGAGTATCCTGCAGCAAACGAGAACGATCCCAAAGATCTTCAGGCCAACATGGACTCGCTTCGATTCACCCTCCACAGCAATTCAGCGCTCCTGGCCATCAAAGCCAAGCGATACGCCGAGGCACAGAAGTGGGCTGGATTTGCGATTGATGCCATCCCGAAGGATGCAAAGGACACGGACAAGGCAAAGGCATATTTCCGGAGAGGTCAAGCGCGAGTTGCGCTAAAGGACGCGGACGAGGCCCTGAAAGACTTTGAGCAAGCGGCCAAGCTCGCTCCAGAAGACGCCGCGATCAAGAGCGAACTGGCCAAGACCAAGAAGAGCCTGCAAGAGAGCCTCAAGAAGGAGAAGGATGCATACAAGAAGTTCTTTAGTTGAGAAGCCATTCCGTCAACAGCCTCCAACACGACATCGAAGGGCGCCTTGTTTTTGATTGCATACCTAGACAATGCATTCGTGGAGTCCAACCGTGCATACAAACTCGGCTCAGGCTCGGCAAATGCTGGACGATACCCATGCTGCATCAGTGAATGTCATGTCTGGAAAAAGAAGGGCATCAAATGATCATAGTAAAAGAAATGAATGATGTGAACAACTACTAATTGTTTGTACGGAAGCGAGCATTTGGCACCAGTGGTAGATCTTCAGAAACGGCCCCCACAAGTGCCTAAAAGCGCGGCGTCATAGTGGAGGACCTGCGACCTCGACTCCAAATTCCGTATGAATCTGAGATATCTCGAGTCCGTTAGGGCTCACCAGCAGTGAATTTAAGACATCCCATAGCACGTTCCTCTATTTGTGCTGGGAACCTATTTAGGGGCATTCAGCGAAGGTGAATTCCGATTGAGAAGTCTTGCTCCCGTACCCAAGTCAAGAGCGCACTTCTCGACCCTGTGGAAACAATGCGCCTCGTCAAGCGCCATATTGATGACAACGGCAGTGGTAGTGTCACGCTATGCCCGGAGGAACCAGAAGACATGGTACGGCAGCGACTCTCGAAGATCTGTCGAAGTGTGTACTAATTTTACCCAGTGGCACGCCTTCAATCTCATCCGACCGACCGACCTACTGACAGCCTCCGCCATACGTCGAGTAACCTCCGAATCCGCCTCAACTGGCTCAACATCATCCCAGCGGGTGCACACAAACCTGACCATCCGAGTGAAGTCACTGGACTTTGATCCGCAGGCCGGACAGTTACATGTGCTTGGCCAGATTGCCCGTGAAAATCGATTTACGAAGATCGGACAATTCCACACCCTCGATCTCGAATTGAACCGTAATTTCACGCTCGAAAAAGAAGTTGAAGGACCGCATGGCGGCGAAGGATGGGACAGCGTTGCACGAGCACAACTGGAGGAGGCGATCGATCCGTCGAAAGGCACCGAGGCGGTGGCCGTCGTCATGCAAGAAGGCCTCGCGAATATATGTTTTATCACACAATACCAGACGGTGCTCCGACAGAGAGTCGAAGTCTCAGTACCCAGGAAGCGCACAGGAGCCGGGAGGTCAGCAGATCATGACAAGGGTCTAGAAAAGTTCTTTGGCACAGTGTTGGATACGTTGTCAAGACAGCTCGAAGGCTTGATCCAGAACAACGACAGTACTACGCATTTTCCGATTTTACTGGCCAGTCCTGGTTTCACCGCATCTGGCTTTCTCGATTATATCAAGAGCACTGCAATGACGGGAGGGGATAAGCTTCTGAATGAGTTACTGAAGCGCAAGGCGTTTGTTGTGATTCATAGCAGTTCGGGTCATCTGCACAGTCTGAACGAGGTGCTTAAGAGTCCGGAGGTGTTGGCTAGACTGAAGGACACGAAGTACGCAAGAGAGACTGCATTGATGGATGAGTTCTTTGCGATGTTGAGGAAAGATGACGGACGGGCGTGGTACGGGCCCAAAGAAGTCGAGACCTCGGTCGAAAAGGGCGCGGTCGGTCGAGGAGGCGGTGTTCTTCTCATCAGCAACGCACTGTTTAGAAGTGAAGACGTAGCGACTCGGAGGAGATGGGTGAGACTTGTGGATAGAGTCCGCAAAGAAGAAGGCGGCGAGGTACGGGTTCTAAGTAGCGACCACGAAAGCGGGAAGAGGCTGGAAGGATTGGGTGGCATTGCTGCAATCCTTACATTTCCTATCGATGAGATGGAGTCCGAGGACGAGTCCGAGTCTGCAAATGACACTCAGGATTCATGACGATGTGCGTATTCCTCATCGCGTGCCTCGAGCTCTAGAGTCAGCTCTTCTCCACTTGAGATAGTGTGTTGCTTGTCTCTTCTTCGCCTGCCGGCCAAAGTGAGATTGGCTGCAGGCTTAAAGGAGCATCCAGCCTTGCGGGTTGAATTCACGAACCGAGGTCGGCCTCACTAGCCTCGCACCGGAAGATCTTCGGCTTGCAGGTCAGTGAACGTGAAGTGCCTTTTCTGCTTTGTTTGTTTGTGATCGTGAACAGCATCAACAACACCACAAGAGATGCCATCAATGGCTCAGTACACCTCATACGACTGTGACGCTCCTCAGATTGCCGTTCAAGATGCCGCGGCCTCCAAAACCCCCCATGACCCTCAAGGAGGCGAAGAAGGCCTACAAGAAAGAAGGCATAGGCATTCAGTACACTGCATCACAGATGGCCAGGGCCGACCGCTTCGATGAACGCGAGGCAAAAAGGAAGAAAGAACTGGAGAGAGAAAAACAAAGAGTGGACAACAAACGAAAAAGAGACCAGAAAGAGGCCAGAGAACGCGCGGTAAAACAAAAGATGCTGGAAGAGGGCAGGATAACAGTTGAAGACACTTGGGGAAAGGTCACTGCGAGCCAGCCGAGGCTGAACAAGTTCTTTGGACAGAATGCGGTAGCAGCAAGCAAGAAGAATACGAAAGATGTGACTACAGACCACAAGGAAAAGAACAGGAACATGCAAGGGGATGATCAACCAGCACAGGGCGAGACGAAGACAACTGGACATACACCAGGTGCTGATACAACCATCGTGCGCAATGTTCTACAGGTGAAATCCCCCAGCGGTATCTCCTGTCCAAGTGTTTTGGAGAAGGAGAATTCCAGCAGCAACACTAGCCTTTCAAAGTCACATCTCTGCAACACGGCCTCGGAAGAGAGTAATTCACTGAGACATGTGCCAAATCCATCCTCAGCGCTCAGCGAGCTAAAACATGCTCAGCTGAACGTTCCATCCGCAGGATCACGGAAGCTTGTGTATGACACCAAGCCTTGGAAAGTCTACAATCCGACACGGACCGCATCTGAAACCGAAGCGCGTAAGCCTGAAATTCGGACATACACACCTAACGAAGTGCATGACAACGACGGTCCGTCAGTTGAGACATACTTTGGTTCGAAGAATATTGAGTACGACCCGAATCTCCACTCCAGTGTAAATGCCACGGCTTTGGAATATCAGGGATCTGACGAAAATCTATCTCGAACAACAAATGAGGTTGACGAGGAAGAGGATTTCTCCGATGGCATAGACGATGAAACTCTGTTGGAGCTCTATGACGACCAATATCAGCAAGCTACCACTCCGAGAGGAGCATCGGCTGATTTGTGTTCGCCGACTTCAACCGTCACATTGAGTTCTCCATCTTGTGGTCCAGAAGTAGGCCAGCCTTGCACAGACAAAGAAGAAAAGCCAAAAGTACTTCCCAAGTCCCAGAGTAATCTCTCAGACAGCTTCACGTCCTGCTTCAACGAGATTGACGAAGACGACCTCATTGCTCTTGCAGAAGAGGTCGAAGCTGAGATATCGACGCCTTTAGCGAGCGCCGACAAGACTGCAGAGAATGGATGTTTTCCTCAAGTTCCCAAGCACTCACTCGGTCTCGAGAAGCAAATGAGCCACGGGACCCCGTCTCCGCCGCAGCTTGCTAGACCTGAGCCTCCCCTTCCGCCACGGTCTCAGCCCACCGAGACAAAACCATCTTCATCAAAACCGGGTGTGGTGACACCGCTGGAGAACGATTCACGCCATAAGACCAACACTCCAAACCCGAAGCGAGAACCGCTACAAGGCAAAGGTATCATGGCGCCACCTCCGGCTCCCGCGCATCCACGGATAAGGGAGGGTAAGAAGAACAGTCGCGACGACAACAACAACACGACGACCTCTTCAGTCTCTTTTCAGCGACCAGAGTCCGTCGCGCGAACTGCCGTCTCCAAACAACGCACAAAAAGAGTCCTTCCGTGGAACAAACCTTCGAAACAGCATTACTACACCAACCATGATAACCCAAGTGACGATTTTGACCTTCTGGGACCATCAACGCAGGCATTGATGGTCGAATTAGCCGAGCAGGCCGAAGCACAGATCAGTTCTTGTAGTGAAGGCATGAGCGGGAAGGGGAGTCGTACGAGATGAGTCATGTGGATTGGGTTCGGTTGGGTTGAACTGAATTGGATCGATATCTATCTGACACACGCGCGCACGCACACCTAAACGCTGGTTTGCCTCGCCTCCTCATGGGAATGCATGATATTACTAAAAACCAGAAGATGACGACGATACGACGATACGACGACGACGACGACGACGACGATTACGACGACGATGACATTGAGAAATCTGCACAGGGAAACGTGGGAAACGAGGCATAGAGCATACATGCATGGGGTTTGAAAAGGAAAACAGCGTTGTATAGCGTTGTATGGCATTTGAAACATTTTGGGGCATTATGCATAGAGCGCCGGTACCTGGGAGTCTACTTCTCTCTTTGAGGGGAGCACAAGGACAGGAGTGTTGAATCTAGAGGACCAGAAGAACAGAGATCCGGAGGTGAGCAGAAGCGTAGAAGTGTCGAGACTACCTAGGGTCAGAAGAACTCAAAACCAGGAGAACCAGAAGATCAGAAGAGAAGACCAAAAAAAAAGAACCAAAACACAGCATGACTACACAGCATCACAACATGTGATTAGCATTTATGGCACTGACACCTTTTGGTGGCCTGTTGCATGCGATACCCGGGCGGGAAAAGGTACAAAAAAAAAGGGGGGGGGGGGGGGGGGGGGGGGTGGCATTCATAGGTGCACGCCTTGTACATACCTGTACATAGTGACAATCACGATCACGATCGCAACCACGATCGTGTAAGAGTCACACCAATTAACACACGATGTCACGACTGAGTCCCTATAGCCATGAACGGAATAGCAGCAGCAGCATCAGCAGGAGCAACAATAATCTTTAAATGTCATCATGTCTATCTGTTTGGGTACAGTATAGTTCTAATCTTCCGGCACAGGGGCAAACTTTGATTTCTTCCGCAGTCGCAAGCTGACCTTCATCAGCAGAAACGGTACAGGAAGCATCAACGCTGCCACGCCGCCGAGTATAGACATGCCAGGACCTACACCTATACCGTGAAACATTGGCCTGGCAACGAGCGGGAGGGCGAAGGCCATCAGACTGCGGAGGAAGGTATTTGCGGCTGTCGCGCTGGCGGCGTAAAGACCGTAAACGTCGACAAGATAGTTGATGCCTGTTTTTTTGAAGATTTGAATAAACGTTAGCCAAGTGCAGCAAGTCAAGGACAGGTGGCATTGGAGTCCAGTGCGAGTAGGAGGACATCTCATCAAAGGTTCAACTTAACGCAAAAGAGAGAGAAAACTTACATTGCTGGAATATCGTGTTGAAGCCGGCTCCAATCAACACGGCGGCAACACAGGGATGGACCCATGAATACCTCGGCGCAGCCCTCCAGCCGAACCAGAAAAGCCCGACCACCATCAAAACGGCCCCTATGGCCAAAGGGGGCAGGCGGGCTTCCGGGACCGGTCTCCCGTTCGCGGCTCGACACTGACGAATATAACGGGGTTGGTTTCCCAGGTTGATGCACAACGCGCACAGGACGCCGACGAACAGGCCGAGGAACGGCAGTGATGCCACGACAGGCGAGTACTTCCTTTCCTCGGTAAAGACGATCGGGAAGACCTCCAGCGTAAGGTAGAGGATCGAGTAGACGAAACTGGCGTAGAACGCGATGCAGGTCACCATGGGTTCTAGGCACAGCATCTTCAGTGGCCGCGAGAGCTGCTTGGTCACTATCGATTTGAGGTCGAGCTTCAGGCGTTCATGAGGATGGTAGAGTTTGTCGTTGCCGGTTTCCTTGCGGAGTCTTTGGGCTTTGCGCTTCAGCACCACCGGAGGGTACATTTCCGGCATGCAAAAGAATGTCAGCGCAACGACGGCGAAGTTGATGATGGCTGTGATGTATTCCGTCCACCGCCATCCCAGGTGTGGATTGGTCAGGATTGCAGCCCCGATCGTCGGGCCCAACGTCGGTCCTCCAACGACACAAATGGCGTATAATGAAACAGCGGTGCCTCGGGCCTCTCGTGACCAGATATCTCCCAAGGCGGCATTCACGTTACTGACAGCCGACGAGCCAAACACACCGCCGAAGAAACGAGTGATGAAGACGGATGCTGCATTCCGACTTGTCGCCGTTCCAATAGAAAACAGCGCCAGACAAAACATGGCCGGCAGGATGGACACTCTCCGTCCCCAAATCTCCGAACATGGTGCCCATACTAACGGCCCCAAAGCAAAACCAATGCTGGAAAAAAGACAGTCAGCGGAGTCGAGGTTCTTTGGTCGATGGAATGAATCCACACTCACACGTATAGTGATACATTCAAGACCACCGCATCCTCGCTCACTCCGACATATGCGGCAATGGTCGGGTTAGCGGGCGAAATGATGCTGGACGCGAGACTGGCCGTGAAGGCCAGCATGCTCAATTGAGCCGTTACCCATGATTTAAATGAGGTTGACCAGTTTTGAGGATTTTCTGGGTCATCATCGCCGTCCCATTTGACGATAAACTCATCATCTACCGTCTTCTCTTGCCGAACCACCTGCTCCTCGGGGACCTGGGATTCGGTGATTTTCTGCGCTTCCAGGTCTGGAGGAACAGAGGCTGCCATCTCGAAGGTAAGTCGTCTAAGTCAACGGTGAGAGACATATTCAAGGTGACAACAGTGTTTTCACCAGCAGAAGAGATGGCTGTGGAGTTTCGTACAGGCAGTGACTATGGATAGCGTTTGGAGGATTGCGAATCTCTTCGTACAAAACAGACTTCCGTTCATATCGCTATTGCGTGTGGTCGGGATGTGACCGAAAAGACGATCCGGTGCCGATTTGCCGCGAAGGTCCCTGAGCCAGGCCATTATAGGCATCGACTCTTGAGCGTCGATGATGCAGGCGTCAGAGGGCGCGGGCCGCCGATAAGCAAGGCTACTAGGGTAGAGATGCCGTGGAGCGCGGTAGAGTACCCGAGAAGAACAAACGCCAGCAGTTGTCATGGGCACCTTTTATTCTCTCACGGCCTGTCTTTGCGCATCAGGCTTTGTTCGAACTGACCATCGAGAAAAGTTGTGCCCTTGGAACTGGCGCAATGAAGGACTCGCATACGCCTAACGAGGCTGCAATGAGCCCTCCGGAACGTGTCGAGCTCGCTGCCGATAGCAGATTCGTCGTCTTCCGATGTCGCTCGTCGGTCGTCGCTCTCGGATCAAGTCGTCTCGACTATGGCCGATGTCCAGCTATAGCCGAAGTCGCCGCGACTGCTCATGTGGAAGATCTTCTCTTTCTGGTCCCAGGCATCGATCCATGGTGTCTGATAGTCCCCCTTGGGCCCCTTTAAGTATACTCGCATGGCGACGGCGTCTCGAGCTGGTTCCGATCCTGGTATCGCCTCTGTGGTCCTTGGCAGCAAAGCATAAAGGGACGACTGATTTATGATCAATGCATAACCAGACGCATGGCCTTCCACTCATCAACCTCTGGCCGATTCAGTGATGCGTTTGGGTGCCCGCCACAACGTCTCTGCACCACCGTTCGGCAGATGATTCCAAATTGCGGCCTTGTCTTTTACTAGGACCAGAATTGATGCTAACATCTCGCTTGCAAGTCAACTGGTGCGACCATCGAATCACCGGCAGCCCCGTACAATGCTAGTCTCTATCCGGGGAACGACCCCTACCAGCAGCAACCAACCTTGAGGGAGCCCCAGCATTCATCAGTCCTGAATTTTGCGGGGAATCGACCTGTGGGCTACCCCATGGGCCATGGATGAGATGAAGCTTTGCTCGTATCCCTTCATCTCCTCAGTCTTGGTCTGGAAATGCCGCTCCACTGACAAAGAGCTCCACACGAGGCACTGGCAACAAAACAAGTGTACGAGACGCCGTGACTGATCCCAAACGCTCACCAGGTCTTTTCTCGTTGCGCTTTCGTCTCACTGGCTCTTCCTCCGCGGTGTCTTTGCGGGGTTGTTCCATTCGTGCAGTCCAGCGTGCCCTGGACATCGTCCTGGAGTTGGAGAATTGTGCCCAACACTAATGTCCACAGTCCGCTGACATTGAGCTTGTGCCTCCCCTGTCCAGAAGTCTCCCATTCACCGCCTCCGAGGCCTCCAGGCATTCTCAGCAAGGACAGACTAGCTTATAGCTAATCCTTCTCACTCGAACCACGCGCCTTCAGCCAAAAGCCGAATCCTACGAAATGGGACTATTTTTTTCGCCGAGAGCATCCAATCGCAGACATGGCTCAGCCAACGGACAAACCTAAGAAATTGCCCTTCCCATGGATCACGACACCTGGTCGTCGTCGAGCCCTGAGCCCCACGTTGCCATCTCGCCTGCCCTGAAGTCCGCATGGGATGGTTGTGGGTGGAAAGGAATAAGAGGAGAAGGATGGCCCGGCCCTGTGTGCGGTCGCTTCTATTCCCCAGCACCTGTGTTCTTACCTACATTTCCACGCAGCAATCCGAATTCACCCTGCAAACTTTCCATAGTACCAGTTCAGCATGTCGTCCGCAGCAGAAGCATCGACTCCTCCGGATCGGGACCTCATTGAAGAGAAGCCAAGCTTGACACACACCGTCTCAGCTGGAGCCATCTCCATCAGTCCCGAGCTGTTTGAGAAGGTAAGTGAGATCCAAACAGAAAAGACTGAGGTGTTCGAGACTAGGACACTAAGAAGTACGGCAGCTCTATCTTACTCCCAAAGTTCCCCATGCCGGAGACAACATAAAACGTTTTGCCAATCCAACTCCCCTCGGTTTCGTCGGGTGAGAATGGAACAACCTAAGGATAGAACACCATGTGCTGATACGAGTAGCTTCGTTATCTCCACCATGACCTTTGCAATGGTCATGATGGGCTGGGGTGGCGCCGAAGGTCTTTCACCAGTTGTGTAAGTTCGCATCATTGGTGTCTCGAGAAGGTCCGATCAGGATGGTTGAACGTGCTGATACTGCAAAGTGGAATTTTCTTCTTCGTTGGTCCTGTCCTGCTCGTCTTGACTGTCATCTTCGAATGGATCATGGGCAATTTCTTCTCCATGATGGTGTGCGGTCTCTTTGCCGTATTCTGGCTGAGCTTTGGCATGCTACAACTGCCAACCCTCGGGCTTGCAGCGCCATACTCGACTTCTGGAACCAATGCCGTTGCGGGAGCCGTGAGTAAAGAATATAACGCCGTCATCGCACTATATTTGATCGTCTGGGGCTTTGCGCTGTTCACCTATTTCATCTTTACGCTAAAGACTAATGTCGTCTTTGCTGCCATCTTCTTGTTTGTCAGCATTGCCGCCTGGATCCTCAGCGGAGCATACTGGAAAGTGAGCAAGGGCGACTATGACAATGCCCATACCCTGCAAGTTGTAAGTGTTGAGCCTTGGCCTCGGAAACTGAGGGTTCCAACTAACGAGCGACAAGACCGGTGGCGCGCTTTTGTTCATTGTCGGCTGTCTAGGTTGGTACATGTGTTTTGTGATGATGGCGGCGGAGATGAGGCTTACTGTCTCTCTTCCGGTGGGAGACCTGAGCCATTTCTGGCCAAGGACCGACATCGAGATGGCTAAAGCTGAGAAGGAAGCTTAGGTCGATGCTCGCCTATCGAGAATGCTGAGAAGGCGCGCCTGGTGGTCGACTTGCTGTATGGTCGGCTTGTTGGGGAACGAATGCCAGTCACAGTCTCAACGTTATGATCTACATCAAATGTGCGGAAATTTGCGATGAGGACGGGTAGAAATTGCTGCCAGTGCGAAAGGATGGAAGTTAATGAAGGAGGCAGCGAAACACTTCGTTGTATAATGGCCGTATCAATACTTTGCTGATGCAACAGCGAGTAACTGTTTCATACATGGCCTATGTTTGACTCTTTTCTGTAGCCATCTTGTTCCCCCCTCGCACAACGTGGTGTATGTCGAACATTAGCGTTATGCCTGGATCTACTGGGTAGCATCTCCTGGCCCAGTTACCTCTAAGCAGCATGCTCCCTTCATGTGTCAGACGTCCTTCAGATGTATTAAGCCACCGCGGAGCTCACGATAGCGATAAGCACACCAGAGCTCTCGCATTCGGCTTTTGATGTATCGCAATTGTATCGCTGGATCGACGGGTAGCTAAGGAAGAAGTTTGAGAACTTGGTCAGGATGTTGTAGGGGTATTTGCCGACGCTGCGTTACAGTTAGCTGACATAATTGAGGTTCAAGCCTGTTCGAGACGCACCTGTTGTCGATGTATCTGTGACTGAGCTGGAGGGTCACATTGTCAACACCTTCCCACAACTTGATCTGGGCATTGAATGTGGAGTTGTGGCAAGTATTGCTGTAGGTTGTTGAAGGTTGCGTTCCAGCTGCCCATTCGATACAACAGTGGGTTGAGCCAGCCTCTGGGGTATCCTGGTCGGAGAACTCGACTGTTTGGCCATAAGCAAGAGTCGATTGCAGGGACCGGGCAGGGAGAAAAGATGGAGTGGACTCACATTCAACGAAGGACCCTTCGGTCGAATTGGGATTCGCCTGCGACGGGCTTGACACAACGATATTAGTCACCTCGAAGTTGCCAGAGAAAGCCGTTGCGAGAGGAACGACAAGGAGAACGGCAAGGCCGAGTGAAACCTTGAAAAGCATATCGACGGGATGGTTCTGGTAGGGTCGAGAGAGGTCTGGACACAGGCAAGTACACACTGGTGTCCCACAAAGATCAAAACTGCTGGCGTAGCAATGGAGATGAGTATTGCTGAGGACTGAATTCGGATGTCAGTCGAAGTAGGTCGTAGATTGGATACCAGAACAGAAGCATTTGAGAGCATGTAGGTGGCTCTTATACCAGCCGTTAGAGCCACTGCCGACGTGACCTGGTTTAAGCAATCGTTCGACATGGATCGCAAATCCTGCAAACATTCTTTGTCCATCAGTGACGTTGCGAGACAAGGGACGTCCGTCCAGTGTACAATCCTACGCCAATACGACATTCCCAGCCTTCTGTGTCGAACGTTGTGTCAGTAGATCTTGCTTCCAGAGCATAACTAACCCTGATTCAGCTGAGACAACGCAGCAAGGACATCAACGGATCTGAGATGATTCGCAATAACATGGGAAGCAAGATACAGGTTGAGCGGTATGCCTTTTACTTACACACATTCACACGAATGCAACCCTTTGTTTTTCCCCAGTCTCTTGCAGCCAGAAGGCCCTAGAGTTGTTAGTAGTGCCATGGATTCGGAAGATAACAACGAATCTCACGAGGCTGCCAGAAATAGCCGTCGTTACACAGCTGACGAGAAGTAGTGGAGCGGAATAATACGGACACTCAACACCAATAAAAGGCACAAGCCTCCTGCAGAGCGTCGCCCTTGGCTGGACGTGGGTGTCAATCGTTGCATCCGATACGCATGATTCCAAGCGAATGACCTCAAACATTTAAAATATGGCTGTAGTGGAGTTCGTCGATGCAGCACGGTGATCGGGCAAGGCAGAAATTCCAGAATGTTCACCCCCTTGGCCGTCATGACAAAGTTGAGAAGACTGCCTGATATCCAGGGACATTCAGTAGTGGCATAGCATCGCCAGAGAATATCTGGACAGCGCTCTGTAGACCACAGACGTGTGTAATCCTTCTCGCGGCCAATATGGTAAGTGCTAAGGAAGTTGGAACGATAGGCCCGCTCAACTATAGGGAATGGCAAGAGGAACTGTAGGTAGCCCTGTGCAACGAAGACGGCTGTACCACAATGTTGAGGCAATCCGCTTGCCCAAAGCCGAGGCAGGGAGTGGAAGAACACAACCAATCATTCAAAGAGACGAACAAACGAGATCCAAGAAAACAAGTTCATGTAATGCCATAAATTTGGTCAAAGGAACCCACTAACCTCGCAGGCCCGTGAGTATTTGTGATTTTGTTCCACAAGCCAAGAAAACCCAGCCGTGTCATTTGTTTTGCTTCACCGAGGAAGAATGTCGCAATGCTTTGTCGAATGCCCTTTATCGAGACCCAACCACAACCACAAACACCACATGATAGCAATCGCTTAACCCTTCTTCTTGCTGACACCGACAGTGCGACCTCTTCTGCCAGTAGTCTTGGAGTGTTGACCACGGACACGGAGACCCCAGTAGTGTCGCAGACCACGGTGAGCTCGGATCTTCTTCAGGCGCTCCAAGTCCTCACGCAGCTTGCTCTCCATACCGTTGGCCAGGACCTGGTAGTTCTTGCCATCGACGATATCACGTTGTCTGTTCAAGAACCATTCTGGGATCTTGTATTGAGTAGGGTTTTGGATGATGGTGACGATACGTTCAAGTTCTTCGGTAGTAATTTCACCAGCACTGTAAGTTTCCACAATCAGCCATCGCTTTGAATTCCTACTTGGCCGAAGGTGTATTCATACCGCTTGTTCAAATCGACATCGGCCTTCTTGCAAACCAAGTTGGAATATCTGCGACCGACACCCTTGATTCGGGTCAAGGCGTACATGATCTTCTGCTTTCCATCGACGTTGGTGTTGAGGAGACGCAAGATGAACTGGACTATTGAAACTATCAATCATGGTGTTTCGAATCAGATCGAAGGCAATGGAGGCTTACAGTTCGACTTTTCGCCGCTGACGAGAGCTGTTCGTTGTTAGTTAAGAGTCCGTAGAATGAAACAAGAGACTGCAGGAACGTACACATGGTGGGCAGATCTCTCGTTGATGTTGTCGCAAAAAGTTGTCGCGGAGAGGATGTCGCAGACAGATCGAATGTGCAGGCAAATATCAAAATTCTTGGTCTCTGTGGGAATTCTTGGCGAATGCTGGGGCTAGAGCATTTGGGGACTAGTTTGTGCTGGTGAGTCACGTGCGGTCTCTTATCTTGCGGACGAAGTATATCGCTTGTCTGACATCGACAACCCTTCTTGGAGTGGAAACTCAGTACAGCTACAGGTGCATAGGCTGTCATAAACCTCTACGTGGTATGTTGCCTTTGGACGACATGCTCAAGCTCGCTATGTAGACACTCTCAATATCAATGCTGCCGTTATTTTCCAATTGTCTGCGAGTGGAAAGTGCCTATAGGACCTGTCCAGATTGAATAGCCAGCGCAGGGTACCGTGCGTCAGACATGTCCAATATTTGAAACTCTATGAGGTCAGTGGACGGGGCTGGGTTGTCTAGCAACCCAACATGCTTCGGCAGGCTGCCTCATTACATGTACTTGCGAGTCACGCAGGCATCCTCATCTCTAAACAATCCCGCATCTCTTTCGTCTTCCCCTTCTCCTTTCATCTTTCCAACTCAGATCAATCCAAGCCATTATGAAGTCTCTCGCTGCTGCCCTGGTGGCAGGTGTTGCTTCGGCCGCTGTTACGCAGCAACCGATGCAACTCCCCAAATCGTTCTCAGCTGCGGCAAAGGATGCGTTCGACAACCAGATGCATCACCTCAAGGATGCTCTCAGGGGTCTCACTGCTGAGGCGGCTTCCGTCTGGGACGAAGTAGCTGCTCTCTATCCCGAAGCCATGAGCGAAGCAAGCTTCTTTTCCCTACCCAAGAAGCACACCCGCCGCCCCGACCACGAATGGGACCATATCGTGCGTGGTGCAGATATCCAGAAGGTCTGGATCCAGAACGAGAAAGGAGAACAAGAGCGCCGGATTGATGGCAAGCTTGATACATATGACCTCCGTGTCAAGTCGGTTGATCCCAGCTCCCTCGGCGTTGACACCGTCAAGCAATACTCTGGATACCTGGATGACAACGAGAACGACAAGCACTTATTCTACTGGTTCTTCGAGTCACGAAACGACCCGAAGAATGATCCAGTTGTCTTGTGGCTTAACGGCGGACCGGGATGCTCCTCTTTGACCGGTCTGTTCCTCGAACTGGGTCCATCCAGCATTAACGAAAAGATCCAGCTCGTCTCAAACCCGTACTCGTGGAACGATAATGCCAGCGTCATCTTCCTAGACCAGCCTGTCAACGTCGGTTACTCGTACTCGAGCGGCAGCGTCTCCAATACTGTTGCTGCTGGAAAGGATGTGTATGCTCTTCTTACGCTCTTCTTCGAACAGTTTCCAGAGTACGCGCACCAAGATTTCCACATCGCGGGTGAATCGTATGCTGGACATTACATTCCCGTGTTTGCGGCTGAAATCATGTCACACAAGAAAAAGAACATCAATCTCAAGTCTCTCTTGATCGGGAACGGCCTTACTGATGGACTGACTCAATATGAGTACTACCGACCAATGGCTTGTGGTGATGGTGGCTGGCCTGCCGTTCTCGATCCTCAGTCGTGCGAAGCGATGGATAATGCCCTTCCTCGATGCTTGTCTTTGATCCAAAACTGCTACGACAGCGAGAGTGTGTGGTCCTGCGTTCCGGCTAGCATCTATTGCAACAATGCTCTCCTTGCACCTTATCAGCGAACTGGGCAGAATGTCTATGATGTCCGTGGCAAGTGCAAGGATAGCAGCAATCTGTGCTACCCGGAACTCGGCTATATCAGTCAATGGCTTAACAAGGAGTCTGTCATGAAAGCCCTCGGCGTTGAAGTCAGTGGATACGACTCCTGCAACTTCGACATCAACCGCAACTTCCTCTTCCAGGGCGACTGGATGAAGCCATACCATCGTCTTGTGCCTGACCTCATTGCCGAAATGCCTGTACTTATTTATGCTGGCGACGCCGATTTTATCTGCAATTGGCTGGGCAATAAGGCATGGAGTGAAGCTCTCGAGTACCCAGATCACAAGAAGTTTGCTGCTACAGAGATGAAGGATCTTCGCCTTGATGGCAATGGTCGCAAGATTGGCGAGGTCAAATCCCATGGCAATTTTACCTTCATGAGGATCCACGCTGGAGGCCACATGGTACCTCTTGATCAGCCCGAGGCCAGCTTGGAGTTCTTCAACCGATGGCTGTCCGGAGAGTGGTTCTAGATGCTTTTGGCGTGGAAGGATTTTGGTCAGTGATGTAGTGATGTAGTCTTGAGACGCTTTGCACTTGGAAATCAACTGATCTGTGAGATTATTTAAGGATGGGAGAACGTGTGTTATACAACCCACTGTTAGAAATGCCATGCCATATCGTTATGAAATTCAGATTCCTTAGCCGTCAGTCGTCGCTAACTTCGAGGAATGCCTCGCTAAGTACGCAGTAGGCGATATGGAAGGCCACGGACTACTCAGGATTATTGGTCATATCGCTAGCCACAGCTATCAAGGAACTGTAACCTCGAATAGTAAGATGGCGGTGAGATGCGTGAATCTGATGGTACAGCCACCGAGTTCGGTGTCAGATTGCCATCCCACAAGCGCCCGAGGTACTGAAGCGGACAATGCCTCAAAGTTGCGACTCAAGCGTATGAGGGGAGACATGCCGACTGGGATGGGAAACAGATTATCGAACCACGCACATGTTTATCTATCTCCATAGTTCTTGGAGGCTGCGTATGGAGTACTGTAAATTTAGTCGCAGCGGAGACCACAGCGTCATCTATTGTTGCTCTGCTGCCCACTTTGGAGAGAGTTTCACTCCACCACCTCTTTGTCGAAGTCACTCACGCACTTGCTCGACTACGTCTTGTTTGTTGCTCTCTCCTCATCCTCGCTCTAGTGCTATTATTCCTACCGACGTTCGCCCTGCCAGCGCTCTTTCCCAGGTGAAAGGGTGCCCTTTCGCCTCACACCACGGTCCACCTCCTCCGGAACCTGTAGAGACGATATGCAGCTGGCCGTAGTATGGAACACGAGGTTGCTTATGACTTCAAGGACGAAGGCCACTTCTGGACCGGTAATTCTGAACACAAAGCCCCTGATAAGCCATTATGTCTGACTCTCGCTCAGTTCTCGACGAGACAATCTCGAGAGAATGCGACAGCCACGGGACAATCGACGATACTTTGCGATCCTACCTGACCCTGATCGGTGCCTTTCGAGGTACGCCTCCATTTCATCGTTAAGAGCTAGGCGATCGGATGGCTCACTTCTATACTGCAGAACGTCTACATGCGAGCGATTATGAACTCAGTCGTTGCGCCTATAAATTACAAGAGTCCGACCTCTTCACGAATCATGCCGACTATATACGGAGACAATTTGTCCAATGTCTGATCGAGGTTCGTTGTAAAATGCACCGTTCGATATGTACATGCTGACAGAATGTGAAAGGACGACGAGCCACATGTTCTCTTACTCTCCACCCTCTTCTTGATCGCCGATGCCCAAAGCCACGAGCGCACCTACGAACTACTTAGCGAAGAGGGCGCGTTTCCTCGCTTAGTGGACTTGATGGCAAGCCCGAAGCGACATGGCCACGAAGAAATACACAGGTCACTCATGGAGTTGCTATACGAGATGTCGCGGATACAGAGGATCAAAACGAGTGACTTGGCCCATATCGACGACGACTTTATCAAGATGCTCTTCGAGATTATAGAGCAAGTGTCTGATGATGTGAATGATCCGTATCACTACCCTACCATCCGAGTACTGTTGGTGCTCAATGAGCAATTCATGGTTGCTGCGCATGATCCTGCCGGTAGCCAGACTGGAGTACCTCTCACTAACAAAGTGATCAAGGTGCTCTCCGCACACGGCAGCGCATACAAGACGTTTGGCGAGAACATCATCTTGCTATTAAATCGGGAGGACGAGACATCATTGCAGCTGCTAACTCTCAAGCTGCTCTATCTCCTGTTCACCACTCCACCTACTTACGAATATTTCTACACAAATGATCTGCGAGTCTTGGTAGACATTTTGATCCGAAATTTGCTCGATTTGCCTGAAGAGGCTTCGTCTTTGCGGCATACATACCTACGTGTCTTATATCCATTGCTTGAGCACACCCAGCTCCAATTTCCTCCATATTACAAGAGGGAAGAGATTCGGAAGATGCTTCAAGTTCTTGGGGGAGGCCAATTACGCGAACATGGGCCAGGACAGGACGATCAGCATCACTGGGGGCATTTTGAGGCCGTCGACGAAACCACAAAGCGTCTTGTGAAACGCTGCGAAGGTGTCAGTTGGCTTACGGATCCCGAAACTGAACCACCAGTGCAAGCAGAATCCCCCACAAGCGATGTCGCCTCCGACCTGTCGTCACCAGCGTCACCAATCAAGGGCCATCCCCCAGCCCTACCTGCTCCTCGCAAGTTGAAGAAGCGGAATTCCTCAAAAGCATCTACTTTGACTATTGGTCATTATCTAACTCCTCATCTCGAAAGTGCTCGGCAATCAAGCTTGAGTATGATAGAAGTGGCTGCGCAGCGCGAGAAGCCTGGCGTGATGACTCCAAGCAGGAATCCCACGCTGAAAAATAACCTTCGAGCAGCAATAATGCACAAGAAGGATAAACCTCCGCCGCCGCCTCAAGCTAGAAGGTCCGGTTCGTCCAGACCGAAGCTGACTGAAAACTCCACGGAAATAGAAGTCATGAAAGCGTCAAGCACTGAGGAGGCTCCGGTGTCTAAGCCGGAGGTGCCAAATCACCACCACCACCACCATCATCATCATATACCACATCCGCCTTTGCCTCACCTAAGACATCATCCGACGCCACCTGTACCCGGCGTGGAGCAGGGTAATGAGAAAGAGAAGATTTTGAAGTCTCCCGTTCCCCCTCCCATCCCGTCTCATCACAAAGGACACTTTTCGCCGAAGAAGCCACCACCTGCGCCTAAGTCGCGTCGGTGGCGGAAAACGTATGATCACTCCAACGCAACGAGGGAGCCTGGGAAATTCAACGCCAGCCTACCATCTATAGTGACGACATCAACTGCAGGTAACGAGGTTATCGAGCAGAGTCCATTTTCTCCGTCTTTACCACATGAGGAGAAGACATTGAGTCCAACCAGCCTGGACTCGGCTATAGGAAAGGAGAAGATGGGTGTCAAGGAAGCTTTGGAGTTAGCTCGAGCACAGGCCGTTGATGATGTTACCGGGACCCTAGAGCAGGTTGAGTTGAAGGACGAATCCAAGGACCAAGTTGAAGACAACCCCAACCCTGCTGAACTGCCGGAAGCCGAAGCTGGAAGCGGCAAAGCAGAGGAGTCAGATAGGCGGCAAGCAAGCGGTGACACGCTGGATCCCGAAATGAGTCGAACCCGATCTGACGATGACCTGGACCTACCGTTCCATGACGCAAAGCAATCACTCCCGCAGAGTCCGTTGCGAGTCTCGCCGTCGCCTTCTCCTGGTCCACAAAATCTCGATTCGACGTTTTTGTCTGTGTCGGCAACCAACGCTCTACCTCACCAGAGAGCAGTGCTCACTCCTCCCGGTCAAGAGCCTTCCAGGGGAGTTCCTGGGCCACAGTATGCGCTTGAAAGGAGCCCATTCTTGACGGACGAGGAGGAGGAGGAAGAAGAGGAGGAAGATGCAGGAGAAGTCGCTGACGGAAGTGATGACGAAGGTACGGTCGATGAAAATACGCATCATGATGGAAAAGAATGAGCGAGGAACTAACTAGAGATATTCATCAAGACAATGAGTGATATATCGCATCTCTCTCCTCCAAGAAAGAATCTTCTTCATCCTCCTATTGAGTTTTTTTGTTTGCTTCCCGCAGCTTCCATGATACAAAGGATATGAATGAATACTAATAGTTAATGCCTACGAGGACTTTGCAATGACTGTATTGTAGTCACGGCTTATTCTTTTTGAAACACCACTTCATTGTGGAATTATGTAATTAAAAAAGGGGCCATGCCAGCTATCTAAGCTCAGTAGTTCACTCTCATCTTAGGAGAAAGGAGGAGCAAAGCTTGGTGTCTCTTTTCTTGACTCAGAGGTTGGACGTCATCCGTTGTGGCTACTATCCCGGAGGTTTTTTGATCCCGGTAGGAACAGGTCATCAAAAGCCCATCCTTTCATAATTGCATAATCATGCTCTTGGGATTGACCTTGTCGTTTCAAAGATGCTGGTGCTGCTCGTCAAGAGTGCTCTCAGTTGCTGCCTATTCCAAGACGGAAGAGGTAAAGAAATCTGTGGAATGTGTTTTGAGAAAGAGAAAAAAAGAAGATAAAAAAAAGACCTGCTAGCTATGCTGTCCTGCAAGCTCTGTGTGTTTGAGGCAGTCTCTACATTGTGCATAAAAGTGTCGCCGATTCTGTTGGGTATCATGTCGAAATAAAGCAAGAAAACGCTAAACCCGCGGGGCAGCGATATGCTGAATTGACTGAACGCAGTCGCAATGCTGAATCCCAGCCGCCGGTGAGTGATGATTTGGTGGAGGAACGCAAAAGAAAGGATGATGTCCGGCGTCCAGGCTTAGCAAGGATCATAACAAGAGCAGTATTGTGATCCCGCCGTTGTGGACCGAGGTTCAATGACCGTAGATGCCAAAGAACTGTTCGACACCCAGAGGGCCAGGAGCCTTGTAGGTCGCATCGTACGCCTGGAACAAGAACAGACCGCCTGGGTTCGAGGAAAATGCAGATCTTAGGCCACCGACTGCGGTCTGTTGGTTGGCAGGTGAAGGAACGGCTAGGCCGTTGGTTTGTCCTTGCCATGGCCATCCGGACTCTGTGATGACAACAGACTTGCCATTGGCGACAGCTGCGAGTTGTTGGCTAATTTTGTAGACATATGTGCCAGCTTCGTCTGCACTGGTGTTGACATCAAAGTATGCGTGGGCGTTGGCTGCGCAGTAGTCGGAGTTCTGGCACAACTGCGGGTATCTCAGCAACTGACTCCAGACATCTACGGTGACGACGTTCTTGGTGTATCCAGCAGCGGAGAGAGCAGCTCGAGCAATACCCAGGGCTCCAACCACAGCATTTGGATCTCCGCCATTATTGACAACCTCATTACCGATGACAATAGTGTCGACCGAAGCCCAATTTCCAGTGAGGAAGCCAATCAGCTTTGCAATGTCTCCGGAAACGTTGGTGATGGTGTTAAGTCCAGCAATCAGTTGCATGTTGGCTGCAGAAGCAGCTCGGGCAACTGGGCCAAGGTCACAGCCAACGTCGTAGACGCGAACCTTGCTGAAGCCCTGGCTAGCCAAGAAGGTAAAGTCATTATTGAGCTGATCGTTGGTCTTGCAGCCAGTCTCTGTGATGAGTTCGTAGCAGATTCCGAAGCCACCACCTCCAGCTTGGTTGTCGTCACTCCCGGAGATACCGCTGCTGGTAGTAGAGCTGCTGGTGGCTGACACTTCAGAAGCAGTGGTAGGGGTAGGAGTGACAGTTGAAGATGGAGACGTTGTTTCGGCCGAGGTTGGTAGAGCTACAGAGCTTGAAACCGACGCAAGAGTTGTTGGCGGTGGTGCACCATCAGTGGGACCGACCGAAGACGAGACAGCAGTGCTAGTGCCAGCTGGAGTGGTGGTACTGAGAGTCTCAGTCGGCGGGGGTGAGTTGGCTTGACCACGATATTCGGTGGAGATGATGTTGTTGAACTGATCGACCCAGACGACAGCGTTAGGAGCTGTGACGGTCACGATATCAGTGATGGTTGAATAATAGGTCTCCAGGTGACGAGCTGCATGTCGATGTTTCTGATGGCCAGCTGCAGTTTCCCGTTAGTCTTTCTGTTCATTTGTTCTTCTTTTCTGGACTTACCATGCGGAACAGCCAGTCCAACCTGAGCACACAACACGGCGGCGCCGAGATGAATAGCCCTCATGGCTGAAACAATGAGGCGTGATGTGGCGGATCTGTGAAAGGAGTGTCTGAATCTATATGATAGAACAAAGAGTAAGCGATAGTACTACCGACCGGCGGTTTAATGGGGATGCGTGGTGTAGTGCACGTGGTCCAGGGCATTAGCCTGCAAGGTCGACGGGGAGATGGATAGTGTTGTCTAGAGCAGCAGTGTGGGTTTTGTATATGCAGGTGGTCGAGGGTTTATGGGAGATTGCTGGTGGTCCATGCGCTGTCATTTCTGGCTCAGATGCGATCGCGGTGTCTTTGTTCACCTGGACGACAGCGGATAAAGCACAGACAAAGGCGATGTGAGTCAGAACGTCATGTATCGCTGCTTCCGGTCCAAGAGGATTTGCACAGATGCGATTGTGTTGTGTTTTGTGTTGTGTTGTCGCGGTAGTGAGCGGAGTGATTGGCAAAGAACAGGTTGGGGAAGCTGCAAACGGGACACGTCCATTTTGTGGAAGTGTCGATGCAAACAAGAAACCAGACGCGAGAACTCACCGAAAAAGACTAAGGAGCGACGAGGAATTGCCGGTTGGTAGAGAGTGGCGGACAGGGAGGAATGGGAGGGAGGTGTTGTGGAAGCGACGCAAGGAATGTTGACAGGTATGTGGGTGGTGTCGGCGACAACTCACCACCCTCGCCTATATAGCAGTATGGTGAACATGGCTTCACTGTCCATTGGACCTTGGCGCAGATGCGTGCGTCATCAGAAGAGTGACACGGCGAAGGGGTTCCTGCGGATATACATGGGCACAGTGTGAGGTGAGGTTGATATTTGGTGAAGACCGTTGCGACCAGTCCGTGAGTGACAAGGCTGTAACGTGGCCCTGAATCGATCTGAACAAGGAGTCCACCCACAAGGTTCCAGACTTGTGGTATCGCGTCAGTGAGATAACACCGTGGACGACCTGTCACCAGCTGTCAACGCCAACTAGCGTGAAGAAACTGCCGTTGCTGGGGAGCGGTGCACAGATCCGAGTACTATAGTCAGTATACGTCCCCAAGACCTGGGCAGCGCGAAGACCAGTATTTTCACCAGCAACAGCATTCTTGTCAAAATCAAGCTGAAGTCAACTGCTGTGAGGCTCTGATGGTCGTTCGGAATCTGCATTTTCACTGATACTCACGGTGATGGTGAGGACGGTACCGTGCCAGGGGCGACGTAGCGTACCTTGTGGTTTTCGCCACCTTACCGTCACCTTACCTTGATTGAGCATGGATTTGAGTCGTGGCTGAATCATTCTTCACGCACTCTTTCGTGTCATGTCGAGTGACTTGGGATTCTTGTTTCTCTTGTCAGGGAGGAAGAAATTGCACGGGCAGAAAAGGGGTCAGAACAAACTTTTTCTCACTGTAGGCATATTACGTAGTACAGGGCAATACTGAACCAATACCAAGACTCGCCCAAGACTGACCAAGGCTGGCTACACATCTCACATACGTACAATCAATCTCGGCATCTCCTGAACAACAACAGCAACAACAACAACAACAACAACCTCCCTTGGCCAGGTACAAGTAGATCTGGACAATACAATGCAGTTGCTCGGGGATGAAAAATGACTTGGAGGAGCACCTAGCTAGTAGTCACTATTGGACTACCTCTTTCTCACCACCCCCCCCCCTCTTCCCTTCCTCCCTCTCAACATGGACCGACGACGACGAGCTCCTATTTCTCCCACTCCCTCTCGCTCTCATGGCTCAATCATGACCGTCTTTCCTATGCCAGTCCACTCCGCCGCCGCATCCAAGGCCTCCTTCCACTCCTCCATCTTGTACACTTTGGGAACCACAAGATCCTTTCCCCTGGGAAACAAGCCTCTCTCCATCATCTTGATAAACAACACAATGTCCTCCCTCTCGTACATCAGCTTTCCCTTGATGGTGATGTTGAGTGAAATGGTATTCCACACGATGACGTCCTCGATGAAGCCCATCATGCTACACCTCCCCTGACGCCGCAAAGATTGAATCGCGCTCTTCAAGTGTGTGGACTTGCTCGCCCATTGCGGGGTCAAGTCGACGACGGCGTCAATGGTTCCGAACGCCTGCAACGCAGCGACGTCGGTTTCGAAGACTCCGGAAATTTTGACCGTTTCGATTTCCGCGTTTGGATTTCCCTTCTTGACGTGTTCTTTTAGCCTTGCCAGTTCCTTCTCGTTCCTGCCCATTGCAATCACCCTCGCGCCCATCGAAACAGCTACCTGGACGCCTGCGCCTCCAAAGCCGCCCGTGGCAGGAGACACGACGACCGTCTCGCCGGGCTCGACGCGGATGTCTCGGAGCCCGCCGAACGGAACGAGCAGGTACATCATGTACATGAGCTCGCGGGTCGTGTAGCCCAGTCCGCCGGGCCCGCCGCCGCACAGCCGGTCCTCGTCCAGCCGGAAACAGTTCTCCAGCGGCGCCTTCATGTACTCTGCGAACGCGCCGTCGCGCCACACCTCGCTGCTCAGCTTGCGGCTCGCGGCGTCGACGCCGTCGTGGATGGCCGTGAGGAACAGCGAGTCCGGGTTGTCGCGCGCGTGGATCACGCAGTCCACGTAGACGAGCTGCCCCGGCGCCAGCACCACGGCGTCCTCTCCCACGGCCACAATGCGCCCAATCGCGCTCAGCCCGCCCACGATCGGCTTGGGGAAGTCGTAGTGTCGTGCTCCGTTGTAGATGTCGCGATGGTACGAGATCACTCCTGCTTCGATGATGCGGACCACCACGCTACCAGGACCTGGTTGAGGTGTCGGGACCGTCTTGACAGAGAACCCTCGTTCGAGTGTTTCGAGAACAAGAGCTCTGTGGTGCCTGGGTAGGGTCGACGATGAAGCCGCAGTCGCTGCCATGGTTGCACAAAGCCAAGTATACTGGAGAATGGCGTTGGTCAAAAAAAAAAGTCAGTTATAAGTTTGATCAGGTAGTTGGCGGCGACAACAGAGGAGATACTTACTACAAGAGCCTATCGACGATCTTCGAATGAATGGAGCGTTGTCGGATTTGGACCTATATTCATGTTAATGAAATCTCTCTCAGAGGAGCTGGGGAAGAATTAATTACCTTGCGAAATATCTTTTCGAACGGTCGGGGATTCGAACCCGCGGCCCTTTGTCTTCCTTACTCGCCCGCGGCCCTCGGTGTTCCTTGCTCGCCTCAGTGAATGGACGTCCGCCACATAGCCATGTGGTTTTAACCTGAGCCACCACTGAGGGGTCTTGGTGATTTGGAGAAGAAAATTCACGGGTTCAATTGATGACCTTTGAATATTCGGTGGTGAGTGAATGAGGTTCTTGGGTGGGTCCCGAGGTGTCGAAGAGCAAAGGCTGGTATACATTCACACTGGCACACCACGGTATCACATTGCATATATATAGATATTTTAGCTACGGAGTGTGTATCCCCAACGCCCGCAGCGTGATGGAGATAAGTTTGGCCCTTCCCTGACTTGACCAGCGTCCTTCATTCGGAGTATGGGCACTCAGGAGGTAGGTAGGTATTTACCGCTTATACCTAGGTATGGTAGCGTATCCGCGACGTGACGGAGATAATGTAAAAGATCCACAACGGCCTTTTCCCCAAATCCCGCCCCGCTCGCCGGCCCCCAAGGACGGACTTCGAATTGCAATGAGCCACTCACTGGCACTGGGCGTTCTGAACCCTGCAACGGCAACGGAGACAAGACGTGCAGCGGAGGCAGGACTACCTGCACAAAGCAAAGTATCTGTGGGATAACAACTAACTCGGGAAGCGGACGGTGCAACTCCATTATACCAGAGTCGGCGCCGCCGTGCCGTCGATTGTCATATCCAAATCTGCCGGAATTAAAAACAAATCATCCAAATTGAACCCAGATCCAATGGAGAAGACCTCTGGATCAAACCCATCCGGTTCAAAATCCTCCAATGACCCCCCACCATTGCCTCTATCTTCGACATCGACGTCGCCTTCGTCAGCGGCCCGTCGCACGATAGTAGCGTACGAACTCTCTAAGCTCTCCTTTGCGCTTTGAGCCAACTGTGTTGTGGAGGACGACGAATTCTCACCGCCCGTCACCTCTACCTGGCGCATGGCCATAGCCAATTTCATATGCAGCTTGACGTTGGTTTCTCCCAGACGGATCCGTTCCGCAGACTGTCGAAGCCCCTCTCTCAGCGCCTCCATCAGCATCTTTCGATAGCCCGAAGGTTCCTGTGAAGACACCACGAGAACTTGCTCTTGGACGTCCAAGAGCAATTCCAAAGCCACAGCAAGGGAGGCATGGATCATACGGTTTTTGAACATCCCGGATCCAAGGAGCACGAGATGCATGAATTCGGCGTTCTTTGGTAGCGGGTCGAGTATGGCCAGGGCCGCGTCGAGGCTCATCTTTCGGGAGAAATAATACAATGCGTCGCTTCGAGCTCGGCCTGCAAGAGGACGATGGAGATGAAGTATAAACCGCCGTAGAAGGAGGTCTGCAAAGTTGCTGTGGAAAGCAGCGATGTCGGGGCTGATGGTTCTGAGGATATGAGTGCTACAGTTCCGGCAGGCGTTGGTGATTGAGGTGGTCAAAGTAACAAGTTCGTCGTACGACATTTCTGGCATGGCGGATGTTATATCATTCATGCGACGGGCAACTTCCAGCCGGGCACCGAGCGATTGGAGCAGAAAACGCTGGAGGGATGAGTCAGTCGGGGCTGTGGCGGCATGCTCTTGGAGTGCGAGCGTCTCCTCGTCAATATCCTTGTCATTGATATCGGAAGGAGCCTCGGTGTCAAAATCATTCGAAGAAATGGTTGGTGGCACTCCGGCGTCTAGGGCAGCTTGGATGTTCAGTTCCAAGATGGTGGCCCAGAGTCTTCGGCGGATCTCGCCCTCACTAGTTCAGAGATGTCGCATTCAGTCAAGGCGGCCTTATGAAGTTGATCTTCGTTGAGAACTTACAGGATCCCCATCTTCTTGAAATGCTTAGGATCTCTGTGTAGACCCATTTGCATGGCCGTCCGCACGACTGTCCCCATCGATATCCAAACGATATCCCCTCCGATGGCGAGAGCCTGCCGAGCTAGTATCAGCAGGCACTGCAGCTGTAGACTCTCGATGCTGATCCTGTTCTTTTTCATAGGTCCAGATAACCATTCCTGCGCGGCGTATAACCATTGACGAGCCATTGTGTAGACGTCTGGTACGTCAATTGGAGCTTGACGAATCGCAATTCCAATGGCGGTAACAAGCTGGATCTTGAGCTTGAGTACAGTCCGTGCCACCAGAGGCTCACTCCAATACAGTTCATATTCATTCCAGAATGAGGGGACATGCAGTATGCGAAACACCGACTCAAAACGTGTGGTGTACAAGTGTACCATTTCATCCGCGATATCTTTGGCGACTGATAGGTTTGCTTGTGCATAGAAACGACACCTACTCAGCTGACAAGACTTGATTTTGTTAGAACGGAGTTTGCACTTTTGAAGAAGAGAGCCAATCTCCCACTTTAGTCGGGCAAGAGACTCATTCTCTGGAGCGTTTCCGGACTCGGTATCGAGGACTGCTGCTGTCCTTTGGAACTGTGGAATGTGAGCAATGATCGATGAGGTATATAGCTTGCGCACACAACGTACGTCAAGAGTAGAGTTTGTCCAGTGACTCTTGCCAAATAGTCTGGATTTGTTTAGTGACATCCTCGCGCCCGGTGGAACGTTTGTGACATTGTCAGGCGTGACATTGGTGGTCTCTCCGGAGTAGGCACATCTTGCAATACCGCAAGAGTGTTCCACAGGGGGTTGTGCCGCGAGAACATGTCCGCTAAGACGAGTTGCATCCGACGCGGGACTTGGTCCTATGGCAGAAGCAGTCGCCTGAGTCGGCGTAGCGTAAGGTACAAAAGTGCGGTCATTAACAATTCGGCCGGAGGGAGCACGATCGTGGACGATTCGTCTGTCTTGAGCAGATCCAAGGCCGTAATGGCATTGTTTCTTGGACAGCACACAGTGGCCGCACGGTTCCGCTCGATTGCACTTCACTTTTCTTCTTCTGCATTCCTGGCAAGATATTGGAGGTCGACGCCGTTTGCGCGGGTTTGGCTGAACATCGTCACCACCATTCACCGACGAAGAAACCATGAGATCGGAAAAACAGGCAGATTGCCCATGTGTCGAGGGCGCATAATTGTCTCTCCAATAGATGCAGTAAATTGAGAAGTGTCGCAGAGAAGTCTGAGACCGACTCCGTGGAGGTAAGAATGTCACGGAACATAGAAGTTTTATCTCCGCCGTGTCTAATAGCGCACAATATTATCATCTGTGCTCTACATACAAACACACCATCACCTTGCCACATGTACAGGTGTTGTAGGAGTCTGCATATCTTTCACCGTATCCTACATGGAACAATGTGCTTCGTCAAATCTATACGACGTTATCGTCACTCATGACCCTGGTCTCAAAGTCTGCCTCGATCCGAGAGCATAACGGCCGAATTCGTGTTATTCCAACTTCGCCATAAAACGCCCCGAAATGCCCTTGCCCCTCTTCGTCCGATGTGTCTTTGAATGCATATATTGACGTCCACATAACTGATGCGCCTTCGCGTCGTGAACGCATGAACCACGATCGCTCGAATTGCACCTAGCCACCCCGTTCACCAAAATCCCTAGCCCACTGTTCAAACTCCTCTAATCCTTTCTTGCTAACGCTTGGTCTGATGCTGGCTAGGCTGGCTTCAAAATCTTGCATATTAATCGGTCGTATCTGCTCCTTAGGCGTATACAGTAGCGCCTCTCCGAGGTTTCGCAGGGGGCCCATGGCCGCATCTTTCGCGAGAGCTGTAATATCCGACCCCGAGTATCCTATGCAACTGGTCAGTCCAATTTGGCCGTCAAAACGGGATGCCTTTTCTGTGCTTACCCTCGGTCAAGCGGACCAAGTCAGTGATGTTCTCCACGCTCAAGTCGTGCTTTTGATGGCCTAGCAACGTGCGAATCTGTGTCTCTCTTGTCTCCGCTTCCGGTAATGGAATATACTGCCGTCGGACGAACCTTCGTCGGGCTGCCTCATCGATATCCCACGGGCAGTTAGTCGCAGCAAGCACCAGCACGCGACTAGGATCACCGAGTGTCGTGTCTCTCCCCGCTGCTGCTCGCTGGAGGTCAGACCATTGTATCAAGAATTCCGTTTTGCTGCGCCTGGATGCTTCATGCTCGCTCGAGCCACTCCTGGTGCTGAGCAAAGAATCAATCTCGTCTACGAAAATGATGCTTGGAGCAAGGGCCTTCGCCAAAGCGAACAAAGCCCGTACCAGCTTTTCAGACTCACCGTGCCATTTGCTGGTGAGGCTGCTGGCACTGATGGCAAAGAAGGTGCTCTTGCTTTCGGTTGCCACTGCTCTTGCCAACATAGTCTTGCCAGTTCCCGGTGGTCCGAATAGCAGCATTCCGCGAGCAGGTTCTCGCAAGCCCATAAAAAGGTCGGGTCGCAGGAATGGGTACACTACTGCCTCCTTCAGAGCCTTCTTAGCGGCACCAAGACCGGCCACATCTTCCCAGTGAACCTCATCGCCCTTGACCACGATCTCGTTAAGGATCTGTTTTGCCGCAGCTTCGTCAACTCCTTTAGGCAGGTTCTTCAGTAACTTTGCTCGACGTTTCTCCTGGTCCGAACCAGCAGCATCATCATCTAGTGATTCGCCGTCTGTTGAGGGCGGAGTGATGGTTTTAGCACTCTGAGTACGGGATGCCTTTGGCCGGACTGGCAGGGCTAGACTGGGTTTTGAACCGTCATCGTCGCTGTCAGATTGCTCTTCTCGCCTCTTTGGGGATCGGCCCCTTACCTCAAGCGAACTGCTCGAGGTAGGCACAGGCTTTCGGTATATACCCGAAGAGCTCGTTTCTGTGCTTGGCCGCCGGTAGGCCTTTTCGAGTAGATTGTTCGCAAGCGGCTGTGGAAGCTTTTGTGGCCGTAGAGGATATTCTTTCCGATATGCAATATCTGGTGGTCTTACTGGAGCAATAGGCGACGCTGTCCTGGCCTTGGAAATCGACGGCCCTGCCGCCGATCCATGTAGTGGCGGCTGAGGTGGCTTCTCGGGCTCGATATCTAGATCTATCAAGTCGGGCACCGAGTTTGATGTTAGTTTTAAGCTCTCCATCGACTTTTGCATCGTGGAGCTGGGATAGCTTGAGTTTGTAAGTTCCCGCCATGTTTGGGGGGAAATCATATCAGCAGGGTTAGGATTGGATCTGCGATGCTCTTCTGACCTTGCCGCTGCTTCTTGATCAATGCTCCGGCGAGCAGCAGTGGCGCTCAGTCTCGCCTCGATCGTCGGATCTGACTCCGGCCGCGGGCTCTGTTGCGAAGTCCTGCGCGGCTGCGACTCCCATGCTAGACCAGCCGCTCGCATTGTATCGCCCTGTCTGTCCCGATTCGGTGCTGATCGATATTTTCTAAACCCTTTTCTTTCGGGTCGCAGAGTTGTTCTCATGGTCTTCCTCGCATGATCGGGACTAGGGCTTCTCGACACTTTCGTCGTCGGCACGGGTAAGGTAGGGGGAAACCCTATGGGCGAGGCGCGTGGGTATTGTGCTGGTGAGTTGCTCGCCGTGGTTTCGCTACTTCGCGCAGGCTTGAGTGGCGGTCTGGAGGGTAGCGCAGGCGTAGCTGTTGGGAGTTCTGACATCTGCATTGGCGGTACAGTCTCATCGCCCAGCCACTGCGGTGGTCCTGGTCGATCCTGAGGCGTCTCTACGTCGCCTCTGTTCTTCTCGAGACGTCTTCGGCTGCTACGTTCTGATTTGTCGCCCTTGATGGTAGTCCTGTTCACCTCTTGCCGGCTCCTCTTTAGTGCTTCGAGAAGATCGACCCGTTCTTTACATTGTATCTCAAGTTCTTTAAGTGAATCAAACAATGCTCGCTCGGTCTCGGACTTGGGTGCATAGTTGAGTGGCAATTTGTAGGCTTTGTAGTAAGTGATTTGATCTAGCGCAGACTTCCAAGATCGGAGCGCCTCTGCTTCATTGCCCTGTCAAGTCCCATCAGTATGCTGCCCAGGATTGTGCATTGACACGCAAAGACTTCATACCTGGCCCTCGAAGAACACGGCGGTCGAGCATTGCAAATAGCATTCGTCGTAGGTCTTCTGCATGGACGAGGCTGGCTTGCTCCGCATCATCGTTGCTTGTTGAGATGCAGAGGAACATGCTTCACGACAGCATCAACAGGATCAAGCGGTAGGAAGCGACGGTCGTCGCCTGGGTCTGAGCCTCAAAGATGGGTGGAATCGCCTGGAGTTTAGTTATTGTCCAAGGCGAATGAGGCACACTGCACCAACACTGCGCCCAGTACATTTGTGGTTCCACTACGTCACCCCCAAAACCCATCACACGAGCGTCCATCACATCGACTGATTGCGCCTCACCAGTTGCCAAACCACGGATACGCACACACTCGCAGAGTCACAGGATCCGACGAGACAAGAAGATACAGGGGATTAACTGAGGACTGAAGAAACATTTTGCAACAAAAGGTGGCCCATGTGATGTGTTGCAATGATATCTTTGTCATTGCTATTCAGCTCGTCTACATAGTGAACAAAGCTGAAGACGTTGCCGACCGTCTCTTTTGGATCCTCGATAAATATACAGTAATTATCCAAGCCCATACGATGAACTGTCTGACACAATTGTATCAGATCTGCGACTTCCCCGTCGGTCATAACGCCGCTCGCATGCAAATGGCCTCCCGAGACATTTTAGCCCGTCATGTTCCGCCAGAAGAAAAGCATCAGTCAGGCCGTGCTCGAAAACAGAATCAGTGCTCTGAGCCATCCCCATTGCACTTAGTCGGGTATCTTCATAGGGGTGATGTAGAGCGCTCCGAAACCGGAGATTTCACGATTTTAGGGCCACCAAGAGTTTGCCTCTTGGGGCGAAGCGTCGAGGAGTGGTTCACAAGTTGCTGATATGTGCCTCATGTTCCTCTCGAAGTGTTCTTCTGAAATATGCCTTTGCCATCTCGTAGGATGACCTGTCGACTGTCAGTATACTTGAGGAACGTATCCAAGTAGCGAGCTATACTTACCAACATATTGCGGTGCTTGGCATTGTGGAAATAATGCGCGGCCGCCAGCCCCTCATGAAACCGCTCCAGCCATACTCCTTTTTGATGATAGACGCAGCATTCCAAATACCGCGTACATTTCGGATTTCGTCTTGTTGGCTGAGCCCTCGTGTCTGTAGTAGTGTCTTGATTACATCGAGTGGTGTGGTGATACCAGCCGCAAAGGCACCTGCCAACCCGCCAGCTACGCAGTGGGTGATAGGGTCGTATTCTTTTCTCGGGTTCATTATTTTCGACAGTGACTCGTATGCCATGAATTGCGTCGCGGTGAATGGGACTGTCATACATAATGTCGTAGGGTACGATATGTAAAACGCCGAAAGGCCTTCGGCGCGAAAGACTGAGCGGGCGCAGTGCGTTATGGATCGATACGATGACCCGTGCACCTGCATGCGCTGTTTGATCACTGTCGAACGGTTAGCTTTCCGCAGAAGGGAGCAACACGTTGATCGCACCATCAAAAGGGTTCATCAGAGCATCACTTGCGATCGTAGCACAAGCTCCGCTCAAAGCTATCAACCCGTTAGCAATCAACAATCTTTTCCAAGAACGTTGCGGCGTAGTTCGGCCACGAGTTACATACCTGCTGCAGCAGGATGATGCTTGCCGTCCGCTCGGTTTCCTCCAGCCATTTCCTTGATTACTTCGTAGGTACCGAAATAGACTGCGTGAGCAGGACCTGTAAAGCCAGTCAGGATTTTTTTCCCACCTCTTGAAACGTTGTGACACTGTACACACCTGCTCCAACAATGACGCTCGTTACGCCTCTCCATAGAGTCCGCAAGCCTTCGAGCCGGTATATCGTAGAGACGGCATGAGAGAGTCCTGTATAGAGGCCACCAGCCGAAGGGTTTACGACCTGCATCCGTGTCTATCATGGAAAGTTAGTGGGTGGCTGTAATGCGAAGTTCAAAAATTTGTAGCTGCCGTACCTTCATCAAATCAACCGGATACATCACCGTGTGCTCCTAGAATGTCCCATCAGTTCGTGCTCCGTGTCCTGATTCTTGAGTTTTCCTTACCGCAATTCCAGCGAAGGCACCGGCCAGCATGTTATGGCTGAGGCCATAGTTGGGTGGTAGAGCTTCGTAGCTGCAGCCAGGTCAACATCCTCCGCTAGCACTCCGGTCACAACGACATACTCAAATTCCTCACCAGGCACGGCGTCCGGACTGCTCGACGCAGTCATATTCTCCGCGGTCAGAACCGCCGGGAATTTGGCTGACGTCGCCACGATTGCAGATATTCTTTCGCTGGTTTGATGAGTCCCTCAGCGAGCGGGTGGAACGATCGTCCAGGAGGGGATGTGAAGGATATAGTGTCCGCCAGAGGTAATCCGGGCACAGAGAACACCTCGGTGCAGTCGGAGATGGTGCAAGCAATGGCAAAAAAAAAAGTGAACTGAGCAAATATCAGAGCGAGCCACGGCGAGACCTTTGCGCAGACAGCAGAGCGCACCCCGAGAAAATGTTAGACGACTGGGTCGTTAGCCAAAGGGACGGGCTGGTCAATGAAGCCTAGTGGCCGCGGATCTTCCAAGCACCCACGGTTAGGCTAGGTACCTACGGATGGCCAGGTAGGGGTCCCTAATTCGCTGGCCTCCGCAGTTCCGGGCTCAACCAGGCAGAGAATCAACGGCCTCTACAATCTTTACATTTTTTAGGTACTTTTTAGCCTCCCCAGCTCGCTCGCTTGCACTTGTTTAGGCTTAGAGGCTCGCTCATAGCTGACACCTCGGGCGGCTTTCGCTTTTTCGCGTTCGGTGTATCTCTGACATACGGTACACACCTACGGAGTACAGGTACATGGTTGCCCAACTACAGGAGATTCCAGTGACTGATAAGGAAATGAAACGGACAATGTCAATTCTCTCAATTCGGTCCATTCCTTCGATCTGTCTATGACAACGGAAATCCTGTATGACTAACCTCCACGGATAAGCAGCTGGATGAGCCATCCGAGTCTGTCAACAGATGTTAGATCTTTGAGACCCACTAGGTGATCTGGCGAGGGATGGCGATCATCTGGGAGAAAACTTTGCCATTTCTTTCTGAGACATCCCTTCGACAATGATGTGGGCATATAAAATGTTCGGCCTTCAGTCTTCATGTGTTCATCAAGCTGGTCTCCCCAGCAAGCCACAGGCCCTCGTATTGTCGCCAATCGAAGCGCCACCCCTCTCCGCGGAGATGCATTCAACTTGCTCATGTACAAACGCCTCGCTTTCTGCAATTGGAATGCGAAATGAAGAATATCTTCACCGTCGGATTCACGCTCCTATCCTTCCATCATAAAGTCACATTGAAACTCCACTCCCCTATTGTCACGTCAGTATTAGAAGCGTCAGGGGGGATGAAAGCCCTTACCCTTCTGGAGGTTGTTAGCAGTGTCGGTCAAGAGAATCTCTCGTCGTCTATTGCAGTACGTGGTTTTGTCCAAGATCTCGACCTTGAGAGAGGCCAGTTCGTTGACAGGTTTCTCAAACATCTGACTAAGGTTCTCGACCGCCATTTCCAAGTCCTTCTGATTGTCCTCGAATATCACGGTCATGTTGTTCCGCTCTAGGTAGTATGCGAAGGCATAAGTCCACTTGAGTGTTTGGCGGCATGCTTGCAGCGCCTTAGCGGCAGTGTCAAGAAACTGTACCTCGATCCAGGACATGTTGGATTGAGACTGCAGACTTGTCATCTTCTTTTCGGTTTTGAGCCAGAGATCCTTGTCCAATTTGGCACTCTGCTCGTGATTGGCATACCGGTTGTAGTAGTGCAAGTATCGTTCCAGGGAGTGACGGGAGCGAGCTTGAGCATCACGTGCATCGGCACCCGATTGCTCTTCGTATCGGTTGCAGTTGTACCAGCTTGTGCCGTGCTCACTCCAAGGGCCCATGCACATCCAGCAGAATTCATGTTTGCACTTGCGACAAGTCATGTGATTGCAGCCACCGTTCTTTTCAATGGTAGATTGGCATTTGGGGCATTCCTTTGTATTGGCTGAGATCCAGTTCGACGTTTCGGAGTCATCCTCACACTTCTTCAGCCATCTCTTGACCAGAGAGCAGGGAGCAGGTCGGTGATCGGCCAGAGTGCAGCCAAAACAAAAGCTATGATCGTGTGAGCAACGCACGGTAGGAACGATTCTGGTGAGGTCCCGTTTCTTGACTGGACAATCAATGGCATATTCACACTCTGGGGCCGGGCACCATTTCAGGTTTGCCTTGTCGTCCACATATGTCCGCGTGAGAAGTACCTGGTAACGTTCCCAAACGGTCTGGTCCACCAGTAGTCTAAGCGATTTCGAGTCCACGATCCGGTGGCAGCCATCAAAGGGGCACTGAATCCTCGCAGCCTCTCCTTCTTCCTTGACCTTCTGACCTAGGTAATGGGAGTAGCAGTCAACACAGTATCGGTGACCACATCTCATGGCATATGTCTGCAAGTCAGGATCGTCCTCATAGCAAATCTCGCATGTAAAACCTGGGACTGTCGTGGTCTTTGGCGATTCCGAGAAACTCGACCCTAAGCCTGCCTCTTCAAGGACCTTTTCCGGGAAATCCATATATGACTCGATCAGTTTCTCCTTGTTCCATCTCATGTACCGAAGTAGGATGGCTGTCTGTTCGGGAGGCAGTTCAATGATTGATGAAACTTCCTGGAATTGCCGCTCCTGCAGCGATTGTATGTCCTTGGGACTCAAGACCTTGAATTCCACTTCGTAGGGTTTCTGGGGATTTGTGAAGATGTCTTTGTCGTACGCAAAGCCGCCGTCGTGATCCTGATCGAAATCTATACAATTTGTCAGCGAACAACCCCTCACAACTCACGACAGCCGCCACATACCGCCTTCTATGCTGCCAACGTCACTATCCTGCGTTCCTTCGTCGAAATCGATCTCATCACCACTGAGGGAATCGGACATGAAGTCATCTTCTGAATCCATATCTGGTAGAGAGGGAGAGCCGTGCTCTGTCATGGGCGTCGTGGGACCTTGCGCAGGGACGGCGGATGCCTTTCGTGACTTGACAGATACGTGATTCAAGGCGTCTGAGACACCGTCCTCGGCCTTTCTCTTTTTCGAGGAGGGTGTCGTGGTGACTTTATGGGAGCAGCTGTGTCTCAAACTGAGACAACAGACTGCTTTACGATAGGTGACGACGGGGGAGGAAGTCTAGTACTCGTAGAGGGAATTGGTCAACGGACAGTACTGAATGAATGACTGCACATGGAAAAAGTAATGGCGACGGGAATATGATCAAGATAATACATCCAGTTACAAAACGATAAGGATCCCTCTAATGACAAGAAGTTGAAAGTCGCGAGTCGGGCGTGCAGTGACGGTGCATAAGGCAGACGATGTCGGGCGGGAATGGAAGCGCAGGGAGCAGCCACATGATGATGGAGTATTGAAGTGGCGTCCAGCTGGCCGACCGCCGCTGCCGCTAACTGGATTTGACCAGAGCGGCGGGGCTTAACATCACCGCTACGGTGCAGGCCAGCCTTAGAAGTTAGGTGAGCAGACACAGTCACGTGCGTAGAAAAGTAGTCGCCACAGCCTTGCCACCGCCTAGCCGCATGCTCGGGGAGGTAACGGAGAAGTATCGGGACATTCTGAGGAGGCTTGTCTAAGGTAGTACGTCCTTGACAGCATCACATCAACTTGGTGTTTCCATGCAGTGACTGTGCTGAGCCCATGTGCACAATCAGTCATCTTCATCCTCTTCATCGTCGCTCTCACTTTCACTCTCTGCATTCTCCAGCCAGTCAATAAACTGCGAGCTCTGCTCCCTCACGGCAGCTAAGCCGGGCTCACTACTCGACCTCTCATCCTCCCACCATTCAGTGAAAGCTTCCTCGCCAAAAACCTCCAGATCGTACAAGTCCTTTATGACAAACAACAGAATCTTCCCTCCATCCTGTCTGCGAGTCAAGTCTGTCTGTGCGTCTAACAAGAACGAGACTTGCTCTTCCGTGGCTTGGGACGCCCCCTTGCGGCGGATAAGAGTGTGATATGCGCTCAGAACTCGCCTGCTGGCATCCGCTGCGGACAGGCCGGCCTCGATCTCGCTGTGGATGTGCTTCATCAGAGCAATGGCGACAGCTTTGCGGACCTGAACTTCATCGGCACCACCGCTAAATCGAAGGCCCATCAATTCACTCAGCATGTCGTCTGCCTGCTTTCCTTCCTGCATGCGCTGAACTAAGATTGCAACTGTGTCATGCTGGAAGCGGTCTGTGATGTCTTCGTCTGAGATAGAAGTAGCGAAGCTCTGCCGCCGAGAGTCACTTCTCGAAGAAAGCTCGTCTTGCGAGATGTCGGAGGCTAGCGTGGATAACGAATCTGCGAACTCTGCTTTCCCATACACCAGTCTGGATATTCTTGAACCATCCAGATCGTCCTCATCTTCGACGTATGCATGGCCTTCTCCCCCTTCGCTGCCCACTAACGCCTGGTCGTTTACTGCAGCTGAACCTTGCTGGGTTGTGCAGATTCTTGCGCCTGGCATGACCGTCGTTCCCGGGGCGATCTTGACGCCAAATGAGATAAGTGCACCTTCTCCGATAGTACTGTTGTCGCCAATGAAAGCTTCATGACCGATAATTGCTCTTGAGATTTTGACGTTTTTGCCAACAGTAACATCATCCCAGATATAGCCACCATCAATTTGTGTGTTTTTTCCAATGTGGCACCGCTGGCCTATGATACTGTTGACTATGTTGCACCCGGTCCCAATACTGGATTCTGGGCCAACAATGGCACCGGCGGCAATCCTCGTGGGGCGGGCCCTGATGACTTTACGGTCGAGGATGTCACCGGATGGCGAGCGCTCATAATGGGTGTCTGCGAAGACATTATTTTCAATTGCCAACGACGTGACCAGACCTTGCTTCAGGTCCTGCGAGATAGCATCGTACGACCAAAAATCCGCAGCCCGTGAGGAGTAATAGTCTGTCACGATATAAGTGTGGATTGTTTTGCCGTTCAATTCGTAGTCTTTCAAGACTCCGTACAAAAAGTCTTTCCGTGGTGCCTGGTTGTCGAAATTGTCGGACCAGAGACTGAGAACGTCTGGGGTGCAGATGTCGATTCTGCAATCGATGAGATCCTGTCTGACGTCTATTTCGGGGGACTTTAGAATTTCTGGGTCAACATGGCCGGTGAATTGGGTACCAGCGACCGCCTCTTCGTAATGAAGGCAGCGGTCTTTGGTCGGATCTAGGATGAACGTTGGCACGATTCCTCCGGCATGGTCATGAGTGCCGGGTTGGGTTTCGCGGAGAACCATGGTCATAATAGCATTCTTGTCCTTTTCTCTACGATTTCGGTGCTGCTTCAGAGCCTTCTCGATGGGAAAGTTAGAGACAACATCACCACTCATGCAGATAAAATCGCCTGCCATCAAATGCTTTTGATCCAGATCCCGCATGACGTCGCCGACCGAGCTGGCCACACACCTGAGGAATGTGATGTTGTCAAATGGTGACTTAGGTGACTTCCACCGGGATGCCTCGATGTATGTTTCGACTTGGTCGACATGAGCTCCAGCATAGATATATACCACCTGAACTCCCGCACTTGCAAGGTACTCTAGGCTATACTCGATGAGCGGAGTGTTGGCCAAGGTCAGCAAACATCGCGGTCGTTCAAGCGTAAATGGTGCAAATCTGGTTTCGAAAGTGTCCGTAATGAGCACTGCTTGCAATGGGTCTTCCTTGCTGTCGTCCCCTGATCTCCCCTTTCCACCCACGGATTTCTGTGACTTGGGTGGCATGTTGAAAGCGAAATATCTGGATGTCTGATTTGTTATCGAAGAGACTGAACTGCGAGTCTGTCTTTCACATGCATGGCGCAACGGGTGAGTAGCTTGTGATGTGATCCTTTTGATGCCTGTCGTTGTGCGAGCCTCGTCGAAGTGGGAAAGGATTGTTTGATTCAAGAATATTTTTATGAACGCAGTGACTCACTTCTGAATGGCCGGATGAGAAAGGCTAATGCTAGAGCAAATGATGGTGTTGGGGTCAGATTTGTGGTCGGGAATCTTGCCAAGCCTGGGTAGCCACCAGTGACTTTGACCTGTTGAGGGGGAGACTATGGCACACTAACTGAGGCGACTAACTCTATGTACCTGCCCACCTGCGATTAAGGTACCTTAGGTTTGTCCGGCAGCCTGTATGTATCCAGCGTGGGAGGTTTATGGGTGCTCCGGGTAGTCCTCTCGCGCGGGACACCGTGCGATTAGGCATATCCAACCCCCCTAACCGTCTAGGTAACCCCTGCAACCCTGCCCACAAGTCAAGATATAGGGGCAAGGCTCTCCAGGCTACTGCTGTAGGCCCGAATGTACAATACCGTTCTGGTAGCGAATACGAGAGCACGCAGTCGTTAGGTACGAGGCCTTATTGGTGTACGCTCCGTAGGTTGGTATCTGACACGCTGTGTCTCTGCGTCATAGCTGGTAACGAGCGAGGGGGCCCATTTAATCGCCTGTCAACTTGTTCTCGCCCAAATTACGAAGCTCGTGTCTGTGATTCTCGGGATTCAATCGTCAGTGACTATTCTTGTTATTGTTGTTGGTCCGAAAGGACTGTTGATTCTTACAACCACCATCACTCCCTTTCTCGACTATCGACTTAATTGGTGTTCCGCCCACTCCTGCCCTCCCGCGTCTTCTCACCCAAACCGGACCTGAGAATTTCTGCCAATAATCCACAGTTCCTCAGCCCAATCTTCTAGACCCTTACGCAGCTCAGTATGTCGAAAACGTCAAAGGAAGGCCCAAATGCCAATCCGCAGATGGAGCTGGATCCGAAGTACGACGACTATGACTTTCCCACGACTGCTCCCGAGTCGCAGTCTGGCCACCCTGGCCATACCACCAAAGAACAAGATGCCCAGGTACACCAGCTGCGGGCGATACTTGAACAAGAAGGATACACTGAACGTTTGGACACCTTGACCCTGTTGCGGTTCTTGAGAGCTCGGAAATTCGATGTCGAGCTTTCCAAACAAATGTGCGATCACACGCGGAGGGGTTCAATGGAGAGGTGCTAACCAGGGGTCTAGGTTCATCAAGAACGAGCAATGGCGCAACGAGTTCGGTGTGGATGATCTGGTTCGCAATTTTGACTACAAGGAGAAACCCGAAGTTTTCAAGTACTATCCTCAGTATTACCACAAAACAGACAAGGTACTTGCGAACGTGTCAGAAATCCACGTCTCTGGCTTACCAAAATTTACAGGACGGCCGACCTGTTTACATCGAGCAATACGGGAAAATCGACCTCAATGCCATGTACAAGATCACCACTGCTGAACGAATGGTCCAGAACCTTGTCGTTGAGTACGAGAAAGTCGCCGACCCTCGACTGCCAGCTTGCTCGCGGAAGTCGGGCAAATTGCTCGAGACTTGCTGCACGATCATGGATATGAAGGGGGTAGGCGTAACAAAGATTCCTTCAGTGTACGGCTATCTCCAATCAGTCAGTTCCATCTCTCAAGATCACTACCCTGAACGCCTGGGTAAGTTATACATCATCAATGCGCCCTGGGGATTCAGCACCGTGTTCGGCATCATCAAGGGATTCCTAGATCCTGTCACGGTTGCAAAGATCCACGTCCTAGGTTCGGGTTACCAGAGTGAGCTCTTGAAACAAGTTCCTGCTGAGAATCTCCCAACGCAATTTGGCGGGACCTGCCAGTGCGAGGGCGGGTGTGAATACAGCGACGAGGGTCCTTGGCAAGATCCCCAGTGGGTGAGGACACCAAAATGGGCAAAGAAGGACCCAGTCACCGGAAAGGATGCTGCAAACATTGTACAGCCTGCCCCTACTGCGGGAGCGAAAGATCCGCTTGAAGGCGGCGCGCCAGCTCCTGCCACGGCCCCTGCCGAAGCAGAGAACCTCCCCTCTGAAGGACCAAAGATGCCATTGGAAGCACCACAACCATAGTCTGGGGAAAGGCGACGAAGGTGCGGTGCCAGCTTACGAAGAGAAGGACGTCGAAGAAGACTTGATTTTTGGAACTAGATAAAGGTATGCTTCGGGTTTCTTAGGCCAGCAAAGGTCTAAGTACTGGACTCTCATGAGGTCAAAGAGTCGAACCAGTTTACGCTGTTGTTACAGATCCCTCTGCTTCCTCCTGGAACATATCAGTTAGTCTGTTTTTTCCTCCTTGATTACACAGAGTTCGTCTGTATATGTAGAGCTCGCAGATAAGCTCCATAGCAGTGTATTTATTGTTTGGAAGATTATGTGTTCCTCTGCCTTGCTTCCTACGCGATGAACTCGCTTCTGTCTCGACCAAAAACGCGCCTCGACTACAAGTGAGAGCCGCGAAACATCGGCAGTGCGCTGTAACCATGGTTCACCGTGTGATGTCTCGTCATTGCGTCAGGTTTGTCTATCGTGCCCTCAAATCGCCCTGGTGGGCGTCGTGTTTTCTGGGAGATCTTGCTCAGAACCGCTCCATCGTCCCGCGTCATGACGTGTCGGCGTAGGGATTTCTTTCCAGCCTTGATGATTGCCAGGTAAAGCGCAACTGCTTCCGGGAGATTTCTCCACGTCGAGTATTTGTGATAGTACCCATAATCCTGGCGTGATGTGGCTGCGGCTAGGTGACGCCCACACCGTGAGCTATGATCGTACTCGAGAAGGTATATCATATTCCGGACTCCACTACCGGGTCTGTGCTCTGGCGGCGGCTCGGGGTGGTGGTGGTCGTAGAGAAGTGCTGCATGTAAGGCAAGCAGCCCTGAGACGGTTGATGCAATCCAGTGACAATTGTTCCGCACGGGTGTCAAATCCATCTGCAGAACTACTCTACCTTGCCTATTCGAATTCCATAGCAACGGTCCTTGCGCGCTGGACCTTGCCAACCGTCTCTGTCAGACTGGCGCCCCCCTGGCCGTTTCCGGCGGCCGCTGTCGCTAGTCCAGAGAGCACAGCCAATTCGCCTATCCCCCTCTCATACATGGCCTGTACATCGTCGTGCCATCCGTCACGCAGGGGCTTGAGCTTCAGCGGTCCATCCTTCTCGCTGACCGCGTTCTCTTGTATCTTGGTCATGTCCCGATTATATCGCTCGTCATCGTGCGCCAACTCTGCAACCAGAGCATTCCTAAAGTCGCTCGACGCCTGCAGTGGTGCCGTTCGTCGAAGTTTGCTCACCTGCGCGGTAAGTGCTTCAAGTTCGCCGTACAAGCCCGCAACTCGCGATTGCAGTCTGCTGTCATAATTCTCGTATACAAAGTCCACGCCCTCTCTTTCCTCGTGAGGCTCGTCGGATGAGGTAGTAGTCTGGGAGGCTTCGTTGGCCAGAATGGAGAACTGAGAAGCGTTCATCCCATTGACTGTGATGTTCTGGCTGGCACCCTCCCATGTCCGCCGCATGAACGCGTCGACGAGTTGGCGGACTCTCGCTCGCAGTGGATCTTCTTGTTGTTCGGGCTTTTGGTGCGCGATGTCCCCAGTAGCCACGGTGGCGTCAGCAGGCTTCACGCCATCGAGTGAGATTATCGTAGCGGGTTGAGCACTGTCAACGCCGTCTGTCTGCAAGGCGGAAAGAGGGAAGTGAAGATCGAGTTTCTGCTGCGCCGACGCGATCAGATTACGCTGCAGGTATGTAAAGTCTTCGGGGGACTGGAGTTCAATCTTGCGATGGTGATCATTCGGCTGCGGCTGCGGATGAACAGCGCCATCTGCAGCCATTATTATGAGGTCTTAAATTTCAGCAGTAAAAAGCCTTGCGTGGACGAAGCCGTCTCCGTCTTCTGTCGGTGCTGGAAGTAAACAACTCGTACAGTATTGCGGAGAAGTGGCGCACTCCAATTGGTCAGCGGCGCACAAGGCTGTCAAGCAGGGCTTGCACAAGGCTGGCGGGGCTGGTGCGTACAATTAAACCATGGGACTGCTACGGAGTACAATATAGCAAAACTGACTAGCGCAGTGCAGTGATCATTAGGGGCCAGGTTGAAATAGCGCAAATGGATGATAGAGAAGCGATAATATAAGAAAGCAACAAAAGACAAGAGAAGTTATTTAGCAAGATGCGTGATGTGAAGAATGTATTTCAGATTCGGATTGTTGCCAAGCTAACTCGCTCTTGTATCTGATTCTGTGTCGATTTGTCTGCTAAGAAAATCCGGCGTATTCTTCACCTTGGATTTGTCAAGCCCTATCGCAGCTTACTTGGTCTCGTCGAAGACATAGGTCAAGTGGCAACGACCGCAGTATTGTCTGTTGTGCATGGCAGCCATGAAGACACCAGCACCGCATTCCTTTTGCGGGCACTCTCGTCGGAGGCGCTCGATCTTGCCATCGCCATCGACCTTGTAGTACTTGAGAACAGCCAACTTGGTCTTCTTGCGCTTGTGCTTGATCTTCTTGGGGGTGGTGTAAACCTTCTTCTTGCGCTTCTTGGCACCACCACGCAGACGGAGGACGAGGTGAAGGGTCGACTCCTTCTGGATGTTGTAGTCGGAGAGAGTGCGGCCGTCCTCGAGTTGCTTTCCGGCGAAGATCAGACGTTGCTGGTCGGGGGGAATTCCTTCCTTGTCTGTGGTACTTCAGGTCAGCCTCTTCGTCAGTTGAGATCACACAGGACCAGACGCACCTTGAATCTTGGACTTGACATTGTCGATGGTATCAGAAGACTCCACCTCGAGGGTGATAGTCTTACCCGTGAGGGTCTTGACGAAGATCTGCATGTTGAAGATCTAAAGACGTGGTCAGCTCGTAGTCGACCAAAGGATGGAGGGAAGATGGTCGCTCGTAATGTGCCGAGGGTATAGAGAGGCGATAGGACTTATAATGCGAGAGGGCAGATAGACTTACCTCGACAATGACTGTCTTCCTCAATCTACAGAATGCAGGAGGTCTTGACAGAAACGAAAGGGAAGTGGTGGCAGGCGGCTGAAATGATTTTGGGCGTTCGTGGGTTTGCCAAGCCCAAATTTTGCCATCTTATCTAATCTTAGTCACATGACTCCATCGAAATGCACTCAGTGGCGAGGCTGGAGATGGAACCTTCTGCGACCTCGCAACCAAGACCATTGCGAATGCCTTAACTTGTCAAATACTCATTCATCCAATGCCATTATGGCGACACGCCTTTAGAGAAGGTTGGCTACCAGTCAGACGTCCTAGTCACGCCACTGGTGCTCTCCTGGAACGGTAAGTGGTGACACGAGCGCTTATGTCGTCTGGGTTGCTGCGACAACCAAAAATCATGGTGCTGTAAACACTCCAGGCCCTGATGGTCGTCATCAGCTCCATCGACATGACAACCAGGGAAAGTCACTAGTAGGCTTTGCTCGGCTGTCAACACCTCTGGACTCTTCTCCCTCCCCATACAATCTTGACCCTCCCATACCACACCACTTGCTGCATCGTTCAAGGACTTAAGAACAAGACAAAGACAAGCGAAGAAGCCTCTCAGGGCCAGTTTTGAACCAAACAGTCATACTGCCCGAGAGGGCCCCTTCTGAGATCTGATCAGAGTCGCAAGCAGTTGCCTGCGACTGGTGGAGATATAAGAAAGAAAGACCGCTGCCCGGTCCGCAGCCCTCGCACTGCGTGAGGTGAGGAAGAGAGAGAAACCTACAAGGAGAGGAGAGGAAGCTGATGGACGCAGTCTCGAACCATAAGAAGGATCCATTTTCCGGAAAGACAACGACAACAACCTTCGACAAGACACCATTTCGAACTCATCTCGCCTAAGATGATGTCCAATCCACCTTCATCTCTTCATCACGGACAGGCAATGCACCGGAGACAACATTCGACACCGGTTGCAGCCTCTGAAGCCATGAAGGTCAACACCAGTATGCCACCACAACGACAAACACTTCACAAAAGAGGACAATCGTTTGACCAGCAACGAAGTCCTATCCGAAGACAACAACACCACGGCAATACGGTAAGTATGACTAACCTCAGACAATACCATGGACAACAAATTTTGCGAGAAACGCAGCGGCAGAAAATAGCAAGACCGGGCCAGCACTTGCAACTAAATCTTGATATACCAATCTCTCCAGATTGTGGTATCTACTCTGGGGTCTCTGGATCAATGCCCGAGACTTTGGAAAATATGCCAATGAATGCTTTTGTGCACCAGAATCCCCAGTGCATGGAATTCCCTCATTCACAACAGTTCTTCTCCGACATGAACATGTCGATGCGCAGTGGAATGCCGAGCATGTCCGTCATGGACGAGAACAGTCCTCAATATCTCTTTGACGCGCAGGCTCACAACCTTCATTCTCAGCGTACCCGCAACCTCTCATTCGACGCGCGCAGACAGTCTCAACCAGAGCTGCGTGTGCAGACCCAGTTGCGCCCTCATACTCCTTCACATCAAATCCAGACTGGTAAGTGCCTTCTCGGCGCCCACGTTTCACTGTTTTTGGCCGCTGACCAGAAATTGAAGCACAATTTCCTCTCACGCCTCCCTTCAGTCAGCACACCTCGGGTGCTCAATATTCTCGCTCGCTCCAAGCATCACCGTCTCTGCAATCGCCATATCCTCTTCCAATGACTAGAGACCGGTCGTTGCAAGGCATCATCGAACACGAAGAGTTCAAGGCCGATTTCATGAATACCCCAACAGCTGCCAATTTCGAGATCGCCGAGTTGCCAACTCCAGCGGCTCGAAGACAACTCGCGAGTCCTCAAATGCTTCCTCAGGGTGAGCCTCGTAAGGCGGTTGGCTCATCGCCACCTGCGATGCCATCTGACGACAACATGCCAAAGCTTGGTGAACGACCCACGCCGGTTCTGACCACAGGTGCAGTCCCAGCTGGTAGTGCATCACCAGGACGTCCGGCTCTGTCACCTCGCCGAATGTCCATCTCGGATTTGAATCTAGAGCCTGGAATCTCGGCATCTATTGAAGAGACAAACATCACGCTCGACGACATCGCACAGTTCATTGAAGGACCTGACCCCGCAGACAACAAATGGGTTTGCACGTACCCTCAGTGTGACAAACGCTTTGGTCGTAAAGAGAACATCAAGTCACACGTCCAGACCCATCTCGGCGACCGTCAGTTCCGCTGCGACCATTGCGGCAAATGCTTCGTGCGAGGCCATGATTTGAAGCGCCACGCCAAGATCCACACTGGCAACAAGCCTTACCCGTGTGCCTGCGGCAACTCGTTTGCCCGTCACGACGCTCTGACCCGTCATCGTCAGCGAGGCATGTGTATTGGCGCGTTCGAAGGGACCGTCAAGAAGATCGTCAAACGCGGCCGCCCACGCAAGCACCGCCCAGAAATGGACGAGCGTGTCGACAAGGCCCAGCGCACCCGCACAAAGAATGCTGCCGTTCATGGAAGCGAGTTTTCCAACGACCCGTACCCGTCGTCCTCGTCTAGCTACTCGGCATCAAGCTACGGTTCACCCCCGACTGAGGACATGGACAATCTCAGCATCCGAGCCACACCGCCCTTTGACAACGGCATGCAAATGTTCGGCAGCATCTCCTCCAACAACAACAACCGCCATGTCGTCGGAATCGAGCCAATGCTCACTTTCCCACCCGACTCATTCTCCTTCACCCCACCCGCGAGCCCAGGCTACTCGACTGGCAACAAGCCGAGCCCAACGTATCGCGAACTCAGCCCGGCCGACTTCATTGAGCACGCCGCTGAGGCTTCGCAGATGCTTCCGGACTTGCCGAGCATGGATCCCAGCTTGTCCGTCATGAACGGTGTCAACAACAACCACGGGTACTCTGCTCAGAGCCTGCCCAGCTTGTCGCATTCCAGCTCCTCGCCCGCTGCCGACGTGGTTGCGTTCGACTTCTCCGACCACCTCCCACCCGACAGCTCGTCGGCCATGGTGATGAGCTCGTCGCAGATGCCCATGAAGCTCGACAACGACCGTAACGACTTCGACGCTTTTCTCGACTACGGCGGCATGGAAATGAACATGGACCCTGGCGTGCAAGACTTCTTCTCCATCTAGGTGATGGATAGGGCGCACCATATGTTCAATTACATGACGTTCTAAAAAGGTGCCCTTCTTCTTCGAGAGTTGTTGTCATCAGTACGAAGCATGAATTGATCAACTATGTGGGTCATAGTCATGATTCAAGGTTACGGTTCATGGGCTCTATTGGGGCATGTCAATACGGGTGGATTTTGGGGGGGGGATGTTTTCTTCTTTCGTTTTGCATGCGGCACCATTGCCAACCGACAAGCAAACAGACAAGACGGGTGTTAATAGGCGTTTCGGGCGTGTCACTTTGGCCAGAATTGCTCTCTGAACGCAAGCAACGCAACAATCCTGTACAATAGCCATGGATGACACGAACGAATTCTAATGACGGGGGGCGAAGACAAATGGAGTTTCTTTGTTTCTATTTCCGTCGGGAATTTTTGAGCGTATGGATTCAGGGAAAGGAAGACGACCGTCAGGGCGAATTGGGAAAGGAATGATTGATTGAATGATGGATGACGGATGGACTAGCTTGGACCCGGACAGAATACGGTATCAATCCCGCCAGCTTTAGATTGGGTTGATCAAGACCAAACCTTTGGAATGGAGGCAGGTTCGTCATGCCTCCTAGGAGGTTCAAGGAATGGGACAGCGTGTGTATCGTGTCAAAGTGTTTTTTTGCGTGTTTTTTCTTGTGTGTCGTTCGTCTTGACTTTATTTTCCCATTCCCTCTCTCTTCTTTCAAGCAGGCAGCATATGGCTGAGGACTGTACATTCACTCTTTATTTTGCTCACTTCGGCAGCTTCACTCATTTTTGCCCCTGTCGATTCATCATGTCATGTCTGCCGGAGCAGAAGGAGCCTCAGCGTCAAAGGGGGCCGGGTGGAACGGGGTTGTTGGGTCCGTCCTCCTTGCGCAGGCACCCTTGCTGCCGAACGGGGGGCGGGACCGGAGAGCAAGGACCACTGGTACCTACCTAGGCGTGGAAGGCCTTTTCAAGCATTGTTGTTGACAACCATCAGGAGATACGGGAGAAAGGGGTTTCCCGAAGGAACAGCCTTTGCTTTGCTGGATTTGGGGGGTTTTGCGGCTTGTTACTAGACGCAAGGCGCGTTGTCGTTGCCGGCCTTGTGTCGAGGTGCCTTGTCTGGTCATGCCGATTCTGTGTTTTTGTGGTCACCAGAAATGAACGCACCACAGGCTACAGCGAAGTGGATAGACGGGACAGGAAACCCTGCCTCGACTTTGTTAACAAGTTCATCAATAGTCACTGTCCTAACCAATACCATTCATTGTACGTACTTCTCCCGTTTCGCACTAATTACCATTTTCCAATTTCCAGACTTCTCTCGCTTCACTCTCGGATATCAATGGTCGCCGCTGGAGTCTAAGGACTGTTCAGTGTTCTGTCTGTTACCGATTTCACATGTACACACACACACACACACACACACACACACACACACATACACACACACACACAACAGTCGCTCGAGCATCGGGTGCCGTACGTACAGACCGTGAGACAAGATCGACCTTGAAGTCGATCCTCCTTGTAGTCTCGTCGAGAGCAAGAAAGAACGAGTGCCTACGTACGTACGTAGTGCATGGATTTTCGTTACCATGGCGTGCGAGAATGACCGCCATCCATGGGGTGGAAAGATGTCGTCCTGCCCACCCAAGCACATGACATTAGCCCGTCATCAGGAAGAGAAAGTGCTAGCATGCAATCTCTGTTGAAGAAATGGCCAATATTGCGCTTGAAGGGAGTCTAACGCCTAGACATTACCTGGGTAGAAGTGAGGCTGCCTCTGCCAGTGCAAGTTCCGCTAGCGTCTTAGATTGTGACTTCTGCTTGAGCTTCTTCATTATGTCTCTTCCGGAAGCTGGCTTATCAATCGTCCCACCTTCTCGCGAAAGTATATTTCCAGAGGAGGGTGGAGTTATGAAGGTCACCCAACTGCCACTTGCTGGACTGGGGCGATGACTTAGGCTGATGGACTCAGCATCGGCTCTTTTGGTGTTTTGAGCACTAGGACACTCCATAACCGTGGCAAGCTGCCCGCGCACCGAGAGTAGGACGGCACCACGACGTCCTAGGTGCATTCGTCTCGATGGACACCACGACCTAGACGACCAAGCCGCGCTTCGGTATCGTGTGTCATGGCCATGTCGTCCTCATCCTCAGTGTGAAGAAATTAATTTGGCTCAGCCGGAGAAAGAGCGCTGATCATGGTGAGCGCTGATCGTTCGATAGTGAGGCGAGAAGACGAGGGGCTCCTTTTAAGCCGCTCCTTCTGACATCTTCCCGTGTGTAGCCATGCCTTTGTTGCTGCCCGGCTACGCAGTTGCAGAAGCGGCACTGTTGAGAAGAAGGCGCCCTTCGCGTGGTGCAGCCCATACGGAGTACAGCTTACGAGGACGAATAGCTGGGAAAGCCAAAACTGCGTTACAAGGGTCGGGTAGGTACGGCTACTCTCGCGACGCCGATCAGTGTTCGTCGTTCTGAACCGGTTGGAGGTCGAATGATGTCAAAGTCAGCTGTCGATTTGAAACTGGGTCGTTCCCAGTGCACTGGTGCCGTGGATGAGAATACGGCACCAGGACGTTTAGGGTTTGATCCTAGATGCGTACTGGATTCGGAACTCCATTTTTCCAACTCGGTAGTGGCGAAAATTCACGTTTTGACGATCATGTCTCGAGTCGAGAATTGAGTGCAGGTGGTGTCTTCGTAGCATCCGCGGCGATTCGTGGCAGCTGACCGATGTGAAGTAGATAGGGGCGAGAAGATCGTCCGGGAGCCTTGTACATCTTGATTGGTGCGCAGATCAATCCAACAGGGCTGGCCTAACGTTTTGAGCAACGGTAGATATTCAAAGCCGGCAATTTTGGGCCATAGCAGGTTCGGATTGGAAACTACCAAGTCACGGATCCTTCGACCTCCGTGTACTGCATAGAGTTTCTCTACCAGCCTCACGAGTATCGAGTAAAATTCCCATCGTAGACAACATGAGGAGCGGGCGTTGTGGATGCGAGTCGTTTATACCAGCCGACCGTGGACGTCCAGGTTACCATTGAGGAGCTATAACCTAATGTTCGGACCGACAAACAAGAGTTCGGAAGAACAGGACGAAAGAATAGAACGGGCCCGATGGTGTGAATTCGAAGGTCATTGTAAAACAGGTGGACGACGTATCATGGAATTGAATACTCGGCGAAGGTTAGATGGCATGGCGTAATAGGCCGATTGACTGTGTATCGACCTCCTGGAGGCCAAGGTTCAGCTGGTGTTGAATGTCACGGAACAGAGCACTACGACATTGGACTGGTTTCCTGATGTTGGATCCACCGCAGCCTCTCGTCTGATTCGGATACAAGGGATTATTCAGAAATCCCACCACATGAGTGGTCATTCAAGAGGCGGGAGGAGAGCCATGAAGAGTGGTGATTTTGTTATTGCAGGAGGAATATATTTGCGACGCGCTTTGCCTCATATTCCACGTGTGCGAATCAGAGACGATAGGTTATTCCCGGGACAGAGGTGAACAGCTGACAAGGCGACTAAATCTGCTTCTCGCTCAAGCGGTGTGAGAGTATGAGGTGCGTCGCAGGATTGCATGTCAGAAGCTGCATAGGATTTGTGAAAGCCTCAGCTGCTTGGCCCGCAATGCAGCAGCCGGCTGTTCGAGCAATGGTACGCCTGTCGGTGGCCCAGCGCCCCTCTCTCGTTAGAAGACATCTCTCGCAGCGAAGAGATCGACTGAAGGTTTCGGTGGCGACAATATCATGGGCCGTGGTCCTGAGGATCTGGCTTGAAGCACTCCACACAAAGACGATCCTAACCTGAGGCTGATGGTTGGATGAAATCGCCACCGAGCGTGGCACCATTTGGGCTTGGAGAGGGACAGCGTTGGGCGGCCCACGTGTGCAGCAGGAAAACCATCGTAGCTTTCTGCGTCCTGAAGCGTAGCGAGCGCGGCGGCACCAAAGTGGACTAGGAGTAAGGAGACGGACACCAAAGCGACAAGTGGATGTCGGCGTGAGAGATGAAGCTGGGATCTCAAAGTGAGGCGGATGGGCGAAATCGCCCTGATATCAGCCGGCTTGTGATTGGCTCGTTCCCAGCCACATCCCTGGCCTTGCGATGCCCCCTTCACCTGTACCTGTCGAAGCAAGGCAATCATTGGATATGCGAGGTACGTGTGTCTTTGATGCACCGGACCGGAGCCTCGTACAGTCAGGAAATCCATGCCGGGGCTCGGGCAACACCATGTCATTTGGCGTCCGCGCACCAGCCGCCGACGACTCCTCTCCTGAAAGCCTTATATGACCCCTTCAGCTCCCTCTCGAGGACGACAAGCCTTCTACCAGGATAAGGGTGAAAGGACAACTGAATCTCCAACGCAGCAACAGCAGAAGCAGCTTGAACGTCGACACCGGCTCGCTTTCAACCTCCTTGATCCAATACGTTAAGACCTTACCATCCAATATGCCTCAATCCAACACCGCCGCTCATGATTACTGGTTACCTGGATATGGACTCTCTCGACATATCGTTCTTCGACAAATGCATTATTATCTTGGCCCTACTGCCACAGTACGGCCATACTCCTACCAGGTACGGAGGGAACGTCTTGTCCTTCATGTGAAAACGCTCATCAATTCCAGGGCCGCGAAGGGTACCTCATCAACGGACGCGAATTGACAAAAGTGAGCACCTATGCCTATTCCAATCGTGCGGACAAGAGACTGACCCCCTCTAGGAACAAATTGACGACCTCAAACGCCAGTCCAGAGAGTACGAGAGGCAGCAGACCATTCGAATGTCCGGAAGGCCTGCCACAATCACGGAGACACCTGAGCGTGATATCAACGAACCCATTGTGGTGAATGTCGGAAGTCGACGAAACAATTCGTCCTATTTGTCGGAGCCAGCCGCCTATCACAGATACCGATGACACTATGGGGTGCTTCAGGACGAGTTTGTCGTTTATCTCTGCGCCGTTTTCTATGCAAAGGGTACGAAGTTGTTCCAATTCCATACCGGCGTTACCAAGGAACTGTACACAGAAGAGAGCATGGCAAATGAAACGCACAATCTTCGTGTCGGAGCTCGATGTATCTTGATGTATTTCCAATGGAGCACCATGTCTAGATACGGTACCACCTCTCCGGGTCAATGCCCTCGATGGTGGCGATGGTTTGAGGAAAAGCCTTGGAGGAGATGTCGTCGTCTTCTAACTGGTGAGAATACTTGTATCAATACCCTGACATTGACACCATCGGAAGATTTCAAGTTCGCTCGAGAGCGATATGTGACATGAACTGATTTGCCTGGTTGATATTGTCCAGGTGGAGCTGTTTGCAGAAGTCGCATTCGTTTGTGTTCAGTCCCAGGATGTGTCTGGACGCCGAGAGATCTGCTTCGCGAAGACGTGGGATGGACTGGGTGGTCGACTACAAGATGTCAACATCCAGCAAAGCTTTGCTTGATGACAAGAAGTGCAATCGACAGACGCATATCTTCTCCCCTAATCGGATGATTGTGTCGCCAAATTATGACCCTCGATAGGTTGTGTAAGTCCACGGTCCGACCAGAACTGGGACATGATAGTGTCTCTCTCCTTTCTTGACGTAGAATTTGACCTCGACCTCGGGCCAGAAGGATTCCACCCCCTGACTCTCATACCATGGGCCAACTTCAAACTTGATACTCCAGGGTATTCGTTCACCTGGACCGAACCAGTCCATAACCTCCATCAAAGTTCGGCCTGTGGACGATGAAGCTTCCCACTCTTTCACGCGTCCATCATCATTGGTGACGGCGCTGAACGTCTCCGCCGATGCATACAACGAGTTCTTCTGTAGCAGTGTCAACGTGGCCTTGAGACCGGCCGCAGGAGTGCCGGAGAGGGTGTTGAGAACATGGCATGTGATGGGAGACGACATGATTGCGAGCGCTGAGACGAGGAGATACGTGCTACTCTGTGCGTGTGCCTAAGCAAGTGCAGTGTCGCAAGAAACATGGCAGGGAACAGAAGATAAATACCTGAGTTTTAGCAGGTGGTGAGAGGCACGAAGCACGTCGGAGGAGGCCGATGACGGTACGTCATTTTCTCGTATCGGCGCCGTAACGATAAAGATTACTGTGACGGCGAGTTCGTCTGACAAAATTATCACACGATGTTTCGCCAGGGGAATCTTGTCAGACAACGGATTTCGAGCGCAGTACAACATCTGCTTCGTATGCTGAAAGATTGGTTGCTTCTACCGAGTCGTTCGTACAACGCGTCTCAAAAGATCTTTTCTCGCGCAACCCCCGGTGCAACAGCCACTCGACATCTTCATGCCCCTGCCTAAGCATCAACTCCATCACTATCACCTTGATCAAGAGGCAAATATTCTTCCCCGTGGGCGAGTGGTCTCAACTCTACTCCCTTCCGTCTGAGAATATAGTGCATAAAGAACCAAGGTAAGTATTCAGTCGTTTGGTATCTGATGAATGTGCGGGTGGGGACTGAGAAAACATGGTCCAAGTCTTCGAGCGTCATCATCCGTGTTTCTGGGAGTAGGAGGAATACTAGAGTCAGGGCAACAACGTTCAGGAAGGCATACAAGGTGAAGGCGCCTTGCGATCCGAGTCCTGCCAGGATCCGGGGAAACGTGAGGGAGAGGACAGCAGCCCAGAAGTTAGCAGTAGCAACTGCGAAACCCATGCCGAGTTCGCGGTGAGAAAGGGGAAAGACCTCGGCCGAGTAAGCATTTGGAACAGGCCTGCCCCTGATTAACAGAATAACAGAATGGAGTGACGGTCGCTTACCCCATGCCTGGCGAGTACAACGCGCAGAAGAGATAGATGAGCGTCGCAAGCAATGCGAAATGTGCCGGATTCTCGGCTGGTATCTCGAAGCTTAGCCCTGCCGCAAGCATTGTCGCACCCATAAGTGGCAACGTCAATAGCAATAGTGATCTACGGCCGACACTATCCATCGTCCAGATGGCAGGGAATGCTCCTACAAAATTCACAAACCCAAAGACACAAGATGCTAGCAGAGCACCAAGGGGTGAAAATCCAGCTTGAGAGAAAATCTGGGCACCGTCGAAGTCAGCAGGACGTCCTTGGAGACCTTTTTCGTACGATGGACCGGGAGCTTACCGTGGATGAGTAGAAAGCGATTATGTTTACTGGAAAATGCTATCAGTGGTGTTTTGAATAGGAATCTCGTCAACTCACTGCCGCAAAGTTGCTGTGACAGCATAGCCACATAGGAACCTGTTGTAGCACGGCGTATTCGTGGAACTGTGAACAGTTCAAGTATTTTCGCAAAGAAAGATACCATCTCGACATCGCCTACTTTGACTTGTTCGCGGTGCTGAAGGTACATCGAATAGATTTCCTTCGCGGCCTGGAGTTCACTATTGCGAAGTTTGCAGAGGGTTTTAAACGCCCGGTCGTATCGTTGCCCATGCTTGATACACCATGCAGGAGACTCCGGGCACATGTACAACATGATGAGCAATGGAAGTGTCGGTAGGAAGGGCGCAGCCAGTTGCAGCCGCCAGGCGTCCGCGCCATACTGTCCAGAAATTGGGTCAGCTAGGCACAGACTATCCTCGCTCCAGTACTCACGTTATACACTGCCGCGTTTGCGACGAACCCTAGGAAGATGCCAAAGGCAGTCCACATCTGCCAGCTTACGGCCAATCCTCCACGGATCGCTGCCGGGGCACATTCTGCGGCATAAACCGAGACTGTGCTTGCGTTGATGCCTAGACCGATGCCGAGGAGAAGTCTGAAGACGAGAAGCTGGTGCCAGGATCTGCTGATCGAAGACGACAGATTGGATATCAGACAAATGATGGTGCCTGTAAAAACCGCACCTCGTCGACCGAGCCGGCTGTTGACAGGATCAGACAGCCATGCGCCCCTTCTCCGGTCAGCTCCGGGGTTACATATCGAGGTCCTGGTAGGACGACTTACAATGCCCCTGTGCTCAGATATATACCGCTGTTGATGAGTCCAACAATGAAGTTATCGTGCTTGCTGTTCGACCCGATGCCCAATGCCTTGGGGAAGTACAGGTTGGCTCCATTCATCCCCGTCTGAGCCCATCCCTGCTCGACCGCACCGATTGAGCAAACGAGTATGGTAAAGTAGAGCATCTTTGGTTGGTGCCATTTCCGATCGGTCTCCCATTGCAATGCGAGCTTCTCGGCTGCAGAGAGTCCGGTGACACTCCTCAGTGGACAGTCGCCTGTCGCAATATTCGCTGCCTTCTGAAACGTGTTGAGGTAGCCCGTCAGGCTGTACTGTTCCGTAAACTGCAAGATCTCGCTTGCAACTGGCAGCTCCTCATTGGTGGCCTCCTCAGACGCGCGTGGAGGCACAAGCGAAGATGTACCTGGCTCTACGACGCTGGACGTCTCCTGGTGTTGAGATAAGCCGGTAGCTTTGGACATTACCAAGTATCTCCGTCATCGATTTCAAAAAAGACTGTTTCTGAGGTGTTCTGCTCCCTTACACCAGGTCAACGTTTGGGTAATTGGGCGAGTTACTTAACACATCTTGGACGTATATTTTAGTGGCATCTCACAAGGAAGGTCGTGCGAGGCAATCAAGGTTTTAGTGTTGCTAGCCTTGTCTTAGGACCCATAACGGAAGATACATAGGTACCGACCTATCCAGGTTCATGTACCATATTATAGGCGAATAGTTTACTAAAGGGTTAACTGACCCCAGATTAGATAGCCATAATTGAAAGGGAGACCTCAAGTTACACCAGATGGTTTAGTGTACCTTGTAGATTAATGCGACTTCGAAATTGAACTTTGCTGGCCACAAACGCGTACATGATTGGAATATGTAATGAAAGGGTCAGGACTAGATGAGACACTATTTCGTGTGATCCGCCATTTAGCCATGCCCATGCAGCTTATGCTCACTTCTTGACTTTCTCGAAGCCAACGAAATCAGGAAGCGTGGCTCGGATCTCTGCGTGATATGCAGGGATGCCGCCGGCCCAATTGGTCTGTTCGAAAGCTTTGTCCGGCTTACTCCCACCCATGTAGGTCGACTTGGTGGTTGGGAACAGGCTGATATCGGACAATGCGTTGATCTTCTTCTTGTACTCGGCCTGCGCTTCAGCTTTGGGATTGATGTACTTGAGACCCTGGCGTTCAACTTGCTTGATCGCATCTACGATCCAGCGACCTTGGACCTCGACAGTGGTCGGACCGTTGCTCAAGAGAGTCGGCCCTCTGAACTTCATCAGCAAATGTTCGGCTGGATCAATCCAGTTCACCACTTTGAGTATCGCAAGCCTTCTGGGGACACTTACTGAGGACCGTAGAGATGGAACATGTTAGGATAGCCGCTGATGGTCGTACCCAGATAAGTGTAAGCAGCTTTCTTCCACTCGTCCTGCAACAGGTTGCCATTGATGTTGCGGAGACCCATGGCGGTCATTCCACCTAGAAAATGCAGTCAGCCAAAATTGCATACTCGTTGCGGCCGTGTGCTTTACCAGTCACGATATCAAATCCGGTAGCGATGCAGATAACATCAAACTCATGCTCAGTTCCATCCTTGAGTCTGATACCCTTCTCGGTGAATTGAGAGATTGGGTTATTCTTAATGTCCACTAGTTCAACATTCTCACGGTTGAATTGCTCATAATAGTTCAGCTCAAGGCAAGGACGCTTGACGCCAAAGGGGTGGGGTGGGTCCAGCGGTGCGACGAGGTCTCGGGTTCTAGGATCGCCGACTCGGTAGCGTACATTCTTGGCCCAGAAGTTGTATGCCTCACGATTGGCCTTGGGGTCAAAAAGGTAGTCTTTGTAATTACCGAGCCAGAATCTGAAGCCGCCATCGGTCCAGAGCTTGCGATAGAATGCTTCTCTCTCGGCTGGCGTGTCTTCGAAAGTGCCTTTCTCGGAGAAAGTATACAAGAATCCGCCGAAGCATTTCTCACGGAGACTGAAAAGCTCCGGATACATGGACTTCTGGTCGTTTTGTTCCTGTGCTGTAAGAGCCCTCTTCCTCATCGGCACAGCTAGGTTAGGTGTTCTTTGAAAAACTTTCAAATGTCCGGCGATAGGGCCCCATTTCTGGGTGATCTGGACTCCGGAAGCTCCAGTTCCAATGACACAACATTTTTTGTTGGAAACATCAATGTTGAGGTCAGGCCAGAACGAGGAATGATGGCAGATGCCTTGGAATTTGTCAATTCCAATGAACTCATCAGGGATGTAGCGTTTTGCCGCGAAGCCAGCAGCAACGACAAGGTATTTTGCCTTGGCGGTGCGTCCGTCAGCAGTTTTGACATGCCAGCGACCTTCGCCGGTCTGGAATTGAGCATCGACGACAACACTATCGAAGGCGGTATGGCTTTTGATGTCCAGGACCTTGTCACAGTGGTCAAAATATGCTCTGAGATCCTCATAAGTTGGGTAGTTGGAAGGCCAGGTCCAATCTTTATATGTCTCTGGAATAGACAATTGATATTCCGGAATCTTGCATGGAAACATTAGACGCCAGTAAATGAGTATGCATCACGGCGGGACAAACCTCGGAATCCACCATCGCCCCCGGCTGCATTGATGTCAGTCTTGATCGATTCTGATTTAATGAGGGCGGCTCATACGTAGCAATTCCAACGCCACGTTCCCCCTAGGTCGTTGCCGGCTTCATAGATGACGGTGTTGAAGCCAGCCTTCCTCAATTCGTAGAAGCAGAACACTCCACCAAAGCCACCACCGACAACAAGTGCATCGACCTCCAAGTTATCGGCATATGGGCCCGTCTGAGCTCTTCTGCGTCCATACTCTCGCAATTCCGTCTTGATTTGAGGCATATTGAAGACCAATCTTGCGGTTCAAAGGTAGGTGTTAGGTTCTGCAGAATCAGTTCTTGTGACGTCGCAGAAACTCAGGCCATTTTGTATCTTTTCAGTCCTCACATAAACCTCTAGGTACCGAGTAGTTCACCCCAAACTTGGTCCTCGAGATGCGGAACAGACCAGTTCTAGAACACGGATCCGACTGTCGCTGGGGTTTGCCATGAAGCGTATTCCGCCACGGGGAAGGCTATCGACACAATCCCGGCACCAGCCGTACACGCGGAAGCATAGCTCACCTCTTAAAGCCGCAGCTGAATTGTGGTGCAAGAAACCAAATTGTCGTCTTCCCCCTCTCTCTTCTCATTTCTCCGCTTCAGTTGCGGAACCGCCAGATCTTCAGCGCGACGATATCGACACTGCCCGCAGCATACGAAGCAGAAATTGGAGACAGCGTTTCTTTACCTCTTGTTTGCACTGGTAGATCCGCTCGTACACATACAGGTGTGTTTCATGAACATAGAGCCCGCTACTATGCAATCGAGATAATACATATGATCGGAGTAGTGGGTGTAGGCCGTTCATCCCTGCTCGGACATATCTACCTGGCTTACTCCCACTTCTAAAAACATTCGGGTCAAATGTAGATGATGCCGGCCCATCGTCTTCATATGTCGGTGGCTACAGAACGTTGATCTTATTGATAACCTGAAGGACTACGGGTAACGGTCAAAGAGATGCCAAGTTTGCTTCTGTGAGCCATATGCGCCACCGTACATATTACTGCGGATCTCCACTTCACGAGGCGTACCGAATGACCTACAGCATGCATGATGTATGAAGTGTGAGTGATTACTTAGGTGTTGTCAACATGATTCTTTTACTCTTTGCACTCGACGCTGCTTCAATTTCTGGTCTGTATCGAATCTATACGCTGTGATTACTATACTCGCTCCTGGCCGCAAATCTGTTTGTAAGACATAGGGCGCAGGGATATTGTCGATGTTCGGTTCTCATGCATTTCGCAGACAGTCTTGGAGAAATTTTGCCGCCAGGAATGCCATGTCCGATTTGTTTGCCAGGTTGAGCAGTCCCTCGATGCAGTAGCTGCATCTTTTCCTAAGCTGGTATCGTTCATCATCTTCATTGGACCAAAGCTTATCTGTCCACTGGTCCCAAGACATCAAGTAACGGATGAAGATGTAGCCTGCTCTACTGAAGGATTGAATAAGTACCACCGTCCAAGGTTCCGACAGTAATGCGACCTGATTGACAGGATACGAAAATTCTCGTGCCTTTGGAAATGACAGCGAAGGCCCGTGGAGGGAGCATCGACCTAATTCGGAAACAGTGATTGCATTACTCCTCCTCAGGCTGTTCGAAAAGTCCGATGTCCTTCTCATATTCCGCTGAAACATATGACTCAGGCCTGCCTGATCCATTTCTTCCACGGCATCGGCAAGCAACATTGCCCCCAAGTGCCAATGCCCTGCGAGAACAATATACCAGGATTGAATCCGGGGCGGAAGATCGTGATGGTTGGCGATGCAATAAGAGATAAATTTGCCGTAAGTGTCGTTCCAGAAAGCATACACGCCCAGTGCTTCATCGACTGCAAGTTCTAAATCTTCACCAGACGCTCGTCTAGACATTAACTTTTGGATACGACCGACTTTTCGAAACAGTAGAACCTTGACTGGTGCTGCATCACACAAAATGGTTGATGCTTCTCCAAGGCTGAAATGCAATTGGTCTTGATCAAAGCATGAAAATGTCCGAGATTTCGACTTTTCAAGAAATAATGTGCCCCACAGATCGCTCGATATACCATCGCGCCGTGCATCTGGGAGTGAATCTGGGGCCCAGCCGTCCAGATCAAAGATATTTACTGAGTTCTGTCCTGCACCATCCGATTTCTGTGTGTCTCCAGAATGGTCGGAGCGCCAGGGGTCAGAGGTTTCGATTTTACAGTCTTCATCAGAGACCACGACAGGACGTTGCAACATCGCAGCTGAAATAGTGTCGAACATGATTGCGAGCCAAGACAAGAGCTTGAAGGTTTCACGATGTTCTTCGGTCGGAACAGGAATCGGGTCGGTGGTCTGTGCAAGGTTGAAGGGCCTCGAGTTCGGCAAACTTTTGAATTGCAATGGCGGTCGCCGCTGGCGCTTTTCCCATGTCCAGCGGGAAGATACCAGTTGCCTCAGGGCAGCCTCAAGATATACAGGGGGACCGTCGGCATTTATAATATCTTGGAGTATTTGCCATCTGGATTCGATGTCTGCTTTGCTCGGAAGTGGCCTGTGGTCGCTCAAAAGTTCCCCATTGAGCCCAAATTCGGCGTCATTCACGCGAGACTTCCAATTCCAATTTTGTACCCAGTCCTCCAGCTTGAGTGGCTTTTGGGTGAGGGAGAAAATGATATTGGCAAAAGCAACCCGGTACGACTCGATGCCCGCTGCATTCTGCAGTGCTTGACGAGCTTGGTACCACAAGGTTTCCTGAACGGACCTCCCAAATTCGTCAGCAGCTGGTAAGTTCATGTCCTCGTGTACATTTGAAGTTGAGCCTGCTGATGAACTATATGTTCTCATGTCCCCCCTCGGCCCTGCTTGGGCCCACTGTACTCCGAAAGCCATGACGGCGGCATGCAATGCCTTGCCTGCCAATGAGTTGTCCGTCTTATTTAATCCTTTCCGCGGCATATTGTTCAGAAAGCGATCCAGGCTACAGACTCGAGCATATATCCTGTTCGACCACTGTGGGCCCCATATGGAGAAATAATTGTTCCCTGGGTGAAGTTGGCTGTCAGGTTTCTGTGAAAGGGTATAAGGACAGTTTCTCTCCGTTAGCCAGCAAGACAAAGCGTTTTCGAAACTGTCATGGTATACATGCAACCAGTTCTGCGCGAGCAACCATCGATTTGTGCCAGAAATCAAGGTATCTTCGGATAGGATGGAAGGTGAAACATGTGTACCAAAAGCACTACTGGCTGGCGCTGCACATGGCTCCGTCAAAGGAAAGAGTGGCCCGTCGCTCTGCGGGATAGCAAAGCTGGTATCTCCAAAGCTCGACGTATCTTGTGTCCAACCGAGAGTGGAAAACTCTAGGCCGTCATCTGGAGAGGGACCTCCGCTTGCATGTTCGATGCTTATATCGTCGATGCGCCATTCAGGTGCTGGCTTACAAGAACCCAACTCTTGGAAACCCGTGCTGGACTCTTCCTGTCCTATGCAAACTCGCTCTTGGGGGGCATCTCCTAAGGCCTCGAGCCAGCAGTGGTCTACGGCCTCATTCGCGATGGGACTGAAGTCCCACGCCTGTATGTGTTGATCTAACTTCGACCTGGCTGGACTCCTTCGGGTATCTGAAGTGTTCGCTAAGTGAGGTGTATTGGTCTGGAACATGACTTGTTCTCTCGGCACATGCGCGGTGGGCCGATGCTGGTGCTTTTTCTTGCCTCCATCAGTCGCTTTTGGTGGTAGGATGTCTTGAAGCCATGAAAATGTGCAGTCCCGACCACTTTTCCGGCAATTGCTGCACTTGGCGGTTGGAACTTGAAGCCTCTCTTCGCTGGTGGCGGATTTCGCGTACGGAGATTGCTGCTTCCGACCGTCCACGGGGACTGTTCCTACGGTTTGCGACGCATCGCAAGCTCGCTTTGCCTTCCGACACTGATCGCAACTGCTGTGCTGCTTACGACGGACTCTTCTGATAACGACACTTCGCTGTTCCATGCTGGGCCTCAGGAGACTAGTTTGGAGGTCAGTCCGCACAATCGGCTCTGGAAATGAACTCGTCAGAACGAAATTCAACTCGCACCCGCAGAGTTACAAGCCAACATCGGTGCTCATCCATCCGCTCCTCGTAAGCGGATCGCGACCTGCTCCGCCCGCAACCGACCCCGCAACATGAGAAAGTCAAAACGCGGGGGAAAGGAAAGGGGTGTAGGATCCTTTACACGTCGGAGCTTACCTGGCGAGTCATTCTCCTACAATCATCGACGATCGTTGCGTGAATTGTGTCGATGTACTCCGCAACTGCGTACTCTCTGTCGGGGCCGGTACTACTACGCCTGGAGGATTCGTGTCTTGCCCCCAAACTACACTTGAAGCATTCTAGTGTGGCCAGCCCGGAATGGTCACTTCATTCGACTCGAGCTTGATCGACATTTCTCAACAGACGCTGTCGAACAAGTCGCGAGATCAAGACTTTGTCACGTATTTTGATGAGATAAGAGCGTACTTCTTTCTGCCGGGCACAACGAATAGTGACCTCGCTCCATTAAGGGCTCCCCTGGTGTCTGACGATACCTTGGAAATAGTTGGCTTCTTTTTTGGCGCTTGTGGCTTCATCGCCTCCCTCACCCTCGTACACCGCATATGAGTCAGTCAGCCTGTCGGTCATCACCTTTGATGGTTGGTTGATGGTGGGTGCCATACGGGACGGATGGTCCCTGACACAAAAATCCGGCAGCTTCAGAAGAAAAGAATCGTGCTTGACTTCTTTGGACTAACACAGCACAGTCAAGCACCAGATGGCTGCTCTTGCTATCATAACTGCCCTCACATGGGCTTTGTTCGCTCGAGTTCGCTCGCGCATACCTCGAAGTATTCACTGTATTTCACGCTGTATGCTCCACTGTCGCTTTCATGTACCGAGAGCTATTGTACAGCAATGGGAGATCCCACCACAAACGGATTGAATTGTGTGTTTCTTGAGCTTGTCCGATACGCTTGAGCCACCGCGTTGACCACTGGTCGTCTGTTGAACTATCTCAATGCAGGGACTCATGGTCAAACTTCCAAGGTTTCTGAGTTATCATGCAGTAGGCATTTGGACAGACCTACGGTCTACGCTTCAGGCTTTCCCTAGATCACCGCTGATATTTTTGTTCTATTAGACAACCACCCCCTTCGCAGAGGTCAAAAGATTCTAGGTCCGGAAGTTCTTTAGCACGCTGGCCATCCGGGATGGAAATCGTCATCGTGGCTTTGAACAGTAAGTTGAAGTTCGGAGAGGAAAGGGCGGTGAGGAAGCATCAACCCTTTGCAAGGCTGAAAATCAGGCGAACTACCTTGGGCAATCCTTGTCTGAATAGTGGCTTTCATCTCAGATTGGCAGCAGTTGAGTTGCTGGACACCCTCCTTACTGAGTACCTTTTTCTGTCTCTCATTCGTTGAATGAGAGATATGACTAGCGCCACAAACCCCAGGGATCACACTATTTCAGAGCCCACGGTCTTTAGTCGGCATGAACGAGTTGAATGGTGCCTCACAAATTCATGATCCCGGTCGGACACCCTTATGTGTGGAGTGAAGCAATTACCGGTGTACCGTGCTACAACGTGGGCGTTCCCGGAGCGACATTGACTTCACAATATCCGCCAAAAAGGCTACAATGTAATAATGCACTCGGCTCCTTCGGGCAGCAGAAGCATACAGTTCCGCTGGAGGTGGATCAGGACGGTGCGTCAGTACTTCCGGACTCTGTACGTACACAGACCCACTTTGTCTTTTCGTTCCAGCACTTGGAAGCTGGAACTACCACAGAACCCCCTCAACATCGGTCGCCGGAGCATTCCCTTGGGCTTTGAGTATAGCAGGTTGCAAGAGCAAGCGCCTCGCTGCACGCGGGCAACTCCTTGCGTGTTTTGGCGCTGGTCGTGTTTGACCCACCAGCATGTTCAACGCTGATTTGTCGTTCGACGCGGGCAATATGCGGCCACTGGCATGTACTTTCAGCCTAATGAGTTGCTCCTAACCTCTTGGTGCCATGTGTCTCTATACTGATCCGTTGCAGGTCGAAGGGGACACTATTGATGCTTATTCAGTCCTGAGTCCTGACTCACCCACGGCACCGAGCCTGCAACACAACGCCCGGGAACTTCAAACCCATGTCTTCTGGGCTTACTTGCACTTTATGGTCTTCCATGGCCAGTACTCAGTACTCCGTGGGAGCTTACAGAGTTTGTTTTCTTTTCTTTTCCCCGCGGTCATGATCGGGAAGCCGTGATCGAAGACATCTTGAAGAGGAACCGTATCGGCAGATATCCTCAGAAACCCGTTCTCGACTTCACCAGCGTCAGAAAGTCCGAGCTGGGGACCATTTGGCGTCGATCTTGAATGAGAGCATCATTCGTCACCTACACCTCTCAACTTCTCTCTGCCCATCTCTCATGCGCACACATATGGTACAGACCGCCAGCGCGAAGACCTTTGCCCCTGACCATCTCGCAGCAGGCGTTGGCGACCTGAACCTGACCCACATCACCACCGTAGACGGTAGTCGCACGGATGGTTTAGACCTTTTTTCTATTCCCCTGTCCCTGTCGTACGAGTTGCTCTATGCAATGCACGAGGTGTGAATTGGTGGTTTCCTTATTTTTGGTTTCACACCGGTTCCGTAGCCCTGTCACCCACTGTCTGAATTCTCCTTCTCCCGTAAGGTGTTCGCCTCCACTCCGCTGTACGGTACTAAAGGTACCTACCTACCTACCTATCTGCCTGCCTGCCTGCCTGCCTGCCTGTCTGCCTGACCCTGCCGTGGCCCAAACATGAACCCGATAACCGCGAGACCCGAGAACCGCGTGTTGATCCACGGGCATCACCGACCCACGTTGTGAATACTCGCGGGGCGCTTACCAGAAGCGCGAAAATGAGTGGCCGTCTGTTGAACACGGAACCCGAAACTCTTCACCGCTCTCGTTCATTTCACACTTTTGTAACCTGCAGGCCTCGCCAGAAAAAAAAAGAGAACAAAGAAAAGAAAAGAAAAGTTCCCCCAAAAAACAAAAACGCCAATAGCAGCTGCAATTGGACCGGCGGATTCAAATCTACTGGACGTGCATGGATCAAGGCAGGGCGGCCAAAAGAAAAATCGCCGTATCATTTTGAAACCCGTTCCGTGAACGCTTCGCACTTTTGCCGTTCCAGACAGGAGAAAGAAAATGGACATGTACGAGCCAGGTGAGAGTAGAGCAGTAAGGCTTGAAGCAAGCAAGCAATATTTCGGCGAGAGATAGAATCACACTTCTCCCTCACCTACGGATACAAAACCCCGGTTGTACGCTTTTATTACGCTTACACCAGCCACGGCTTGCGAGGACGGGCTGAATCATCGCAGTCCTCGGACCTTCCACCCGACTACTGTACAGAGAGACCAGTGGGGCCCCTACTAAGTATACAATCGCCACTGTCGATTAAGAAGATGATGCGGCGGCACCTTGACCCACGACTCCATGAGCCCAACCCAGGCGGTAGTCAAGCTGAGGGCGCCGCCGTCATCTCCTCACTGAATCTCCCGCCAAAATCCTTTCGGCTTAGACCTACCAAGAGCATTGTGCTGCTCCATTCGCACTCTCACACCATCACGACTCTTACTCAGTACCATGTGCGCCTTGGATAACAACTCATCGGATTGGTTTGCTTTGGATGTGGCAGCAAAGGTGCCGACACCTGCTCAGCTCAAGATTCCTCGGCAGGCAATTGATAGATATCGCGCTGCTGCCCAATACGACCCCAACACGAGCGAGGATGGAGCAATTCCCACATCGAGTCCTATTTGCTTCACCATGCCTGATGATCCATTTTTGGTCCCAGCCCTTCCCAATAGATCCATTCTGAATATCACTACTTTTTGGGTGCACCAAGGAAACAAAACCCAGTAGATTTGATCCTCCCATCCGCGGTTTTGATGAGGTCAACATCCAGGTCATTTCCTCAAGTACAGGTGAGAGTCTGCCGTTAAACGCCGTCGTAAAAGAATTTGTCCAGCGCATGCAGCAGGTGTGTCCATGTGTGGCTCTGGTCAAGAACCTTTTCACATCATTTGATCTTGTGTCATTCCTCCAGTGGCTTCTTGCCCTTCCATTTCGTTGCCATTTGCATTGGTGTACTTGACAAAGGTCAAGCCAAGGGGACGTCCGCCGTACATATAACCAGAGAATTTTGCTGAGTCAAGAGTTAGTGGGGTTCATCAATGAGAGTCAGTGATGTACTTACAGATGGCAGTCTCGGCATTTTCTGCGCTGTCGAACTGAACCACACCAGTGCCTTTCGAGCGTCCATTCGGTTCGTACTGGATCTCGGCGCGCTCGACTTTGCCGATAGTCGTGAAGAGTTCGACCAAGTCGTCGTTGCTGGTAGACCACGGAAGCTGTAAAGAGTAGTCAGTACAGAATGAACGCATGAAGTGAAGTCAACCAGGGCACTCACGTTTCGGACAAAGATGATTTCACTCCTCTCCCCTCCATAGGTGGCATAGTCGGTGAAAGGATTGGGAGCGACGGGCTCCTGAGGAGCACCAGCTGTTCCGCCGCCACCATATCCACCACCGCCGCCGCCATAACCACCAGCACCACCTCCTCCATAGCCTCCTCGCCCGTAGCCGCCACCTCCGTACCCTCCACGGCTTCCAAACCCGCCTCGGCCGCCGCCATAACTGCCTCGCATGCCGTAGCCACCACCGAAGCCACCGCGGCTACCAAAGCCCATACCTGGTCCACTGCTTGCGTAGCGGTCCTCACGGACTTCGAGGGCGCGGCCGTGCCAGTCGTAGCCATTGAACTGATTGATAGCATTGCGAGCGTCGTTAGCAAACTCAAATGCAACAATGCCAGTACCTTTTGGTCGTCCAGTGGCGTCCATGTGGACGTCGGCTCGCATGACACCACCTTCCTGAGCTATACATCGTGAGAAAGGTCGTCAGCATGTCAGTAGAGACGGGGCTTACCAGCGCCACGGAACAAGTCTTTCAAGTCCTGCCAGCCGACATTGAAGGGGAGCTAAATAGCGACGTCAACGATGACCTCACACAGGAAAGATGTATAGGCTGAGAAACAAACATTGGAAACGTAGAGTTGACGGCCACCGCCGCCACCACCACCTGGTCCGCCGCCGTAGCCGTCACCTCCGTATCCCCCACCACCGAAACCGCCTCGTGGTGGTCCGCCCATGCCACCGCCGCCACGGCCTCCTGGTGGACCGATGAAGCGTGGTTCAGTCTCGCGGTCCTGGTTAAGAAAGTCGCAGTTAGCAACGAACAAGTGTCATGAGGAATGGGGTTTTCATACTTCACGGACATAGACGAGACGGCCCATCAGATTCTGATTGCTAAGTGTTTGAATAGCTTGTTGGGCTTGATCCCTAGTTGCGTATTCCACAATCCTGCGAAAGTCAATACGCGTAACGACGCCGGTTGGAGAGAATGAACATACCCGCATCCCTACAAAAACCCGTGGACCAGGTCCAACCCGTCAATCCAGCGTCCCACAAGATAAAAACCAAGAAAAAATGACCAGCAGAACCAGCCGCATCACACAATGGCGCCCACCTTCGACATTCCATTTGGAAGTAGTAAGACATCGGCAAAGAGAACTTCTCCAGCTAATTTTGTATTCAGCAACGATCCGGAAGCACCGAGTTTGGTGATAAACTAACCTTGTCTCATGAAATCTTTAAGGTGATGCCATTTGACGTCGTAAGCCAAATTGCCAACATAGACCCGGCGGTCTTGCTGAGATGATTCGCGCACCGATTGCATCATTTGTTCTTTTGCAGCGGCGCGGTCTTCGCTTGATCGATATGAACCTCCGCCTCTGCCGCCGTAGCCAGACCCTGCGTATCCTCCGGATGGATTAGGTGCTCCGCTCATGGGACTTCGAGATCGGCGTTCACTGCGGCGGTATTCGTCGCCTCGACTGCGGGAGCGGCTACGAGGAGAGTAAGAACGTCGGCTGCGTCGAGGGCTGCGCGATCGGCGACGGGGTGATCGAGATCGGTCTCTCTGTGTGTAATGGTCAGAAAATTGTCGACTCAAGGTAATCATCATGCGCGAGGAGTGAGGTTGAATTTAAGGGACGCGCGAGTGAATCCGAGACACCGTTGCACGTGGGAATGAGGGTTCGTGTGATTGTTAGGCAGGTGAGGGAGAAGGTGAATTTCGCCTGTCTGGTTGCAGTATTGCTGGTGAAGGACTCAAGGCAGAAGTGGAGTCTCCAGGCCAAATGACAATGGGTGCAAGGTGAATTTGGACATCACCTCAATCCCGATTCGACTCATTGGCGTTTTCGATCTGTGTTCGAAACGAGAAATTGTGTCACTTACTGTACGTCCGAAAGGTCAGCCAAATCAATCTCAACCAGAAAAAAATGATCAAACGAAATGAAACGATGGATGAAGGGTGAGGTGGACAAGGACAATTGTCATGCAGTGGAAGTGAGCAGAGCAGAATTTAGGGCAAGACAGGGTGATGAAGACAGGCCAATACGGAAACGGAGAAGCGAGACTGGGGCAGAATTGACTGATGAATAGAGACGCACCCATGATGAAAGACTGCCGAGAAGTTGCGTTGCGGCCGGTTTCAACTGTTGAGCTCTACGAGATCAGGATCGCATGCACGAGAATGCAGGAGGGGAGGGGGGTTAGAGGCCAGCTAACAAGGTTTCCCGAGTTGTACAAGGGCTGTCAGGACAGTTCTTTGAACGCGAGCAGCTCGATTTGTCTCGGTGGCGGTGGAGCGAGGTGTAAGGCCACAAAAAGGACAAAGTGCCAGGGTTTCTTCGGAACTTGACAGAGCCTCAACTACGCGTCCACAGGTCAAAGAGTCGCTGGACGCACGTCTTTCCAACGCCGGCTGGACAGTACAGTAAGGCCGGGTGGAAATTTTCGACGGCCGCGCGAGCACAGCAGTGCAAAGGCGGGGCGGGTGTGAGAACAAGCTAGAGCGTGAAGCCCGGTGGAGAAGCCGCTTCGCAGGCTTGAAACTCGTTGCTATGCACAGGCGCAGCTATTGGCTGCCGGCGTGTTGATATGGTGTGAGGAGGAGTGGCCTTCTCCTGCAGTATGATGGTGGAATGGAAACCCTGTATGCCCACAGTTCAGTCAGCCCTTTCAGCGTCTTTTATCATCCTTTCAACACCGAGTCCAGCGGGTTGCCTGCTCGCCAAACTCTGGACAAGGCCAGCGCCTGGTTGGCTCGTCCCATGCGTAGCAGGCTCCGCGCAGGCTCTATGACTGTATCTTCTCTTGTGTTGGACCGGGGGATGTCTGACCAACCAGTGATAGTGACCGAACAAGACTAGGGGTCTTGCGTCAGGACAAGTGCGAACAGGGGAGAGCTTGTTCGAGATTAGGAAGGTCCTGGAATGGCGTTGGAAGCTTCCTGTTCGCGATGGAGTCAGCAACAAGGACTCGAGCCTGTCAGGGCGTGAACGGCACGCATTGGGCGTTTCGCTCAACTTGGAAAAGGGCAAGCAATCGGGCGAAGATACCGTAGGCGGCGAGGGTGTTAAAGGCCTGCAGCTATTTGCGGACACGGCGCGCGCAGCTGAGGGATTGAGCGAGGAGGTGCAGGAACAGTGTGACGGCGCGGTTGGGAAGTGGAAGAGACGTTTACGATCTGTGAGTGGGTGGAGGCCTTGGCGCTAGCGACGGTGCCAGAAGCATCAATGGGAGCATGAGAGACTCCCACTCCGCCTGCGTTTCCCAAGGCCTCGCACAGGTAGTGATGCAACTCTCCCCTCCCTTGTCAACCAAGACGCCCTCGACTCACACCTTATTTTGCCGCCCGCATTCTCTCGCCGTGCCACTCGTGCTCCGTACCGTCATCCGAGCTGACCGGGCCCTCCGTCGTGCCTCTTTCCTGTGCGTCGCCGTGCTCAAGCTTGACTCCTCGACCAGGGCCACGGCCCTGTTGATACCTACAGCCTACCGAGGGCTATTGTACAGATCACTTAGCGAAAGCTCGAGGCGCTCTAGATTGTATTCTTCAAGCACGGCTTCGAGTCGGCAAACAGCCTCGTACATGTGCTTCAAGACATCGAAGCTTACTCAAGGTCCTCAATCGATGAACTTAGTTGTGCATGGCCCGCACTAGCGCAAGCTGCCAGTCAAGCTCAAAGTCCATTTTTTCAGGCCTCTGCTCCGGGCATCTAAATCGAGAATATGGCCTCTTTCAATCGAAGACCCAGGCATCCTCGGTCCCAAGACTTGTACAAATCATGATGCTACCTTCACGAAGGCTTGCAGCAGCGTTGATTGGGCCCTTGGCTCGGATGCCGAACACGGTACTCTGTTATTTCCTCTATCACGCGAGGATATCCCCAAGCCGGTCCTCCTCCGATGCAAGAGAAAGGTGTGCGTTGCAAGACCGTGCTCGAGAGGAGAATTGACGTCCAACGACCAGGGGTCAGCACGTAGGCTAGTAGGCTAAAAACACGGCCTGCGTTGGTGCCCTTCCCCCCCGAGGCACCATCTGCAGTGATCGGCGTCCCCGGCCATCACAAGTGGTGCCTTTATGAAACTAGCAACAGGTGGGTGACTCTGCCACGCACCCGCACCCACAGAAGCACGAGAGTTACGATCTGAAGCTACACAAAATCGTGCACAAGGACGAAGCCAGTGTGTGGTAGCTTCAGTGACGGGCTAGCACATGTCTCACTGCGCCTCGCAGAAGTAAACAGTATCTAGACATACAGTACCTGATTGACCTCGGGTTTTTCTATTCTATTTTCGAAGCCAAGTGAAAGCATGCCACAATGCTGTTGGTAGACGAGCAAGGGCAGGGAACAAAACCCTATCAAAGCAACAGCCCCTTGAAATAACCTCCACTTGAATCGATATCACATCCGCCACGGAATGTGTGATTGATTATGGAGTTTGGTTTCAGCGCATACCGAGGACGAGCACCAGCTATTGTGGGAACAAAACTCGTCAAGCTCGACGCGCAAAATAGCCTAGAAAAACACCTTGGATGCAGCTATTCTGGCAGAGCACAAAGCTTATCCGGCGCAGTTCACGTACTGGAGCTTCCCTTCGGCACTTTGGCTGCCGACTTGCTGCAAAGATATGGAGCATTTGGAACAGTCAACTGCTGCGGAGAGACTTAGGCATGCGAAGTAGTTAAGCCGTGATGCTGCGCATGTAATATGTCCCTGGCCGTACGGGAAGTTCGGCAACTCTTAAAGCACGACTGAAGCCCAAAAGGCATACACATGTGAGCCATGATTCCGTGAATAGACGCGTCCTTGTCTCGGGCTGTGGGCGGAATTCCGAAGCTGGTAAGGCTGAGACTGGAAGTGGGAACAAACCGCTTCTCTCTGCTCGTCGTCCACAATCTACAGACGCCGCAAGCAAGCCACATGCTGTTTTAGTCTGGGCCGACGGAGAGCTAGACGTCGAATGCGAGAACGGAGCCGCGGACCGTTCGTAGATCGCCTAGCCGGTCCATTAATGCACATCATTTTCGTCGCTTAACCACTTCGGCAAGCTTCTGAACTTCACCTACACCATATCAGCGTCGACGCGAGCCCAGCCATGTCAAGACCTCGGCTGGCCACCGCAACTGTGGCATTGAAGTCATGCAGGCCTCGGTGGTCACCTTCACAGCTGCGGCGATCCTACTTCTCCATACACCATCCTGATCCTCCTCCCTTCCACGATACGCAGGATAAAATTCTCGCCGCAGCCATTGCAAGAGTTCCCAAGTCCGGTTTCACGGAAGATGCCCTGGTATTGGGAGCCAGAGATGCTGGCTATCTCGACGTGACCGTTCAATTATTTCCCCGGGGTGTTTTTGACTTGATCAATTACCATCTGGTTACACAAAGACTGGCATTGAAGAACAATGTACAGTTCCCAGAAGGGACGCACTTGGGCCTCGGGGCCAAGGTGAGGGCATTAGTCATGGCACGATTAAGAGCAAATGAGAACATAATACATCAATGGCAAGGAGTAAGCAAGAAAAGCGTATACCTGTCTGCTAAAAGGAAAAGGCACTGATATACCCTTGTTCGCAGGCCTTGGGACACATGTCTCTCCTAGGAAACATCCCCGCCTCCCTTCAAGAACTTACGGCACTCTCAGACGAAATATGGTACCTCGCCGGTGATACGGCTGTCGACTTCTCCTGGTATACAAAGCGAGCCACCTTGGCCGCAGTCTACGCCAGCTCGGAGGTCTTCATGACCACTGACACGTCAAAGAATTTTACCGCAACCGAAGAATTCCTGGCGCGCAGGCTAGAAGATACACAATACATTGGGAGCACTGCAAGAGGCTTTACACAATACGTCGGCTTTTGGGCTGGCAATAGTGTCAATCTCGCTCGAGCTTGGGGGTTGAAGGTATAGAAGGTCAATCGATCTAACCTCTGGTGTATCTGGTCGGCGAAACAGCAGGAGTTGTCCGAGGCCGCAAATCTTTGTATTCGAGCTACCATGCTCGAATCGAGAATCCTCTACAACTTCATTCTTTATGTGCTTGTGGGACGAGTGCGGCGCGTCAGACAAATCTGGTGACTCATTCAATTCGGGATAGTCAAACAGACTGCAGCGCATCTTTCGCCTGATACGAATCGAAGCTGTTCTCGGGAGGCGAGTTCACAGCCTCGCAGGAGACGCCTCGTAGCAGTAACACCCCTACGATCTGCTCAAGGCATGGCCCTTTGCTGTGGTCGGCTCCTCTCTAAGGGATGCCCCTTTACCCACAGAGTCAGCCCCAACGCTCGATACTGATCATGCTGAGCATCTACATTTGGCGACCATCGGCTTGGGTCTTATACGAAATCTTCAATGTGTTCCTTTCGACTCAAAATGGCCGTGGATCATGGATTTGGGGAGTTGACTGTTGGGTGACGGCGACAGATTCAGTCGTGTTTGTTAGGCTTCCCAAGTTGTCCTGTGCGATTGTTCATAATTCGTCCATTACCTCTTACCACTGTATAATAATCTATTCAAATGTATATCGTCAAGAGAATAATGAGAAGAGTATAACAACTAAGCTTGGCTACAGATTTCAGCCGCTATATACATGCTGGTGTGAAGTTGGCTACTCCGTGGGGATAGCTTGCGATTTAACTGTTGTAAATATTCGATTGCTCCACGGACATGCGTTTATCTTATGCCTCTTCAAGGCCGCACCACCATCAATACAAGAACCACAGTCGAGAAGACCAATCGGTCAGTGGATCGGCGCCCAAGAAAATCTATTTCTTTCAGGCCGCATCGTTTCCAGAGTTGGTGGCTGACATCCACGTTTCGAGGGGCATTCGTCGTCCTCGTCCTCGTCGACTTCGGCTGTTTTTGTGAGGGATATTTACTATAAGTGGTCGACCCGACATGATAAACCGCAACGTAATCCGACATGCGTTCCAATCTGGCAGAGGACTCTTTCGCAATGCAGGCGTCGCCATCCAAGGCCCGGGCAGTCGCCCTGGAGTCACACTCGTGGTCTCTCGTTCTCGACTGGCTCTCGACGTTGTACCAGCCTTCACCCATCCCGGCGTTTGAGCGCAATGCGTTTACCCTCCAAGCTCTGCAAAGCCTCATGGGCGAAAACATCGCAGCGGAGCGACTGAGGAGCCTAGTACACGAAGCCCAGCTCGAGGAGCTCACGACGAACTCGGGAAATCAAGACACCACGTCCGCGCAGAACAACAACACCGACCACCATGACAACCTCCGAAGAATCAGCGCAACAACAGACGACTCTTGGACCACGCTCCTGTACGAGGTCCAGTCGTGTCTTCCACCACCATCACGCGCCGCACTAGACAGTATATCTGACGCTGCCGTTCTCGCCGGCTGTTGTTCCTCCTCATCCTCCTCCCTGTGCCCATCAGCAGCACCATCTCAGAATACAGTCCTACAGGGTCTACAATCTCACATAACCAATCTTCCAGTTCAAACCTTCAGACTCGAGACGCAACTCGCGTCCATCGATGGCCTTATATCGACTCTCCAAGGAGAAATCAAACGGATCCAATCGACAAGGTCACACAAGAGATCCCAATCCCAATCTCGACCCCAGCGACGGAACGAATCGGCCCAATCCCGCAGTGGTGGCGGTGGCGGTTCGCTCTCGTCCTCGTCACCACCCCGTACTCCAACCACAGTCTCGAAGATGATATTTCCAAACGATGATGCTGATGATGACGACGACGAGGACGACGACGGCCAAGACAACGACGGATACCACGCCGCTCTACACGCCGAGACTGTCCAGCACCAACGTGAAACGAAACAACTCGCACTCAAATGTGCAGAGTACACGGACCGCATCGCCACGCTTGAACGACACGCTTCACCTTCGTCGTCGTCGTCCACTACCCCTACCACGGCCACGGCCAACGTCAACGCCGACCAACCCACACTCTCTGACGTCGCGGAGAAACAAGTCCTCGTCGCCCAGAAACGCAAACAGCTCGATCATCTAAAACGAAGAATCCTGGCGTTTCACAACCTCCCGCCTGACCTCGACGCGAGTCGAGCCGAAGTCCAACGCGCACAGGCGGACCTGGAAAGGCTGAAGAATAAAAGAGACGACTTGTTCGCGCAGTTGGCTTCGTAGTGGGAAAAAAAATTCTCATACGAGGTCGTAATGGGAGAGGGGCTTCTTGTTCGGACCATGAAATAATGGCTTTGTTGTTGTCGTTATGATTACAGGGGTTTTTTACTAACTTTTCCACGACTATAGATGGATAGATACGATGCCCTGCGGATGCCCTGCGGAACAGAGTACGTCTACGTACGTACCACTTACACTCTCACGACCCGTATCCACGATTGAGCCCCAAAGCAGCTAAACCCACATTCCTACCAGGTAATAATGAATGCTCATGCCATGGAGCCTTATTCAAAGCTATCTGAATTTTACCAAGGGTACGGGAGGTAAGGGGCTTGAAAAGTCCCGGAGGTGACACGAGATACCAGGATCTACCTGCCTATCTACCTAGCTCCGCAGCAATATATCAAGCATTGCAACAGGAGTAACAAGTCCATCCCGTAGAGGATTCTTATTTGGGTACTTGCGGCTACTTCGAGCCCAAAGAAAGGCTAGCACAGAACTTGACGCCAGAAGCTAAATTTATCATCAATGCACTCATACACAACATCCCAGACTTCAACCATTTTTCGAACCGTAGCTCAAATGTCTCGGATAGGCAGAAAAAAAAAGCCTCAGACAACAGGTTCTATCCGCCGTCTCTTGGCTGATCCTAGCATTTCCTCTCTCTCACGCCTCCTGGCAGCAATCAACTTATCTCTCTCGGCCTTGGCGGCAAGATACTTTTCTGTATGGGCGAGAGGCTGGCCATCTCGTCCACGCACCACAGGGTCAGGCAGAGTTGGAGGTTTGGTGAAAAACAAAACTCGGCCTTCGTCGTCCTGCGGGAAATTGTCACGTATGTGTTTAGGAATGGACTCGTTCGCAATGTTGGAGAGAACATAGACCTCAGAGCCACGCGGTTCTGACACCTGAGGCGCGTACTGATTGTACGCAGGTGTTGATTGTGTCGGTGGCCGTTGATAGGACTGTGGCGCAGCAGGAACACTGTAGTTGGTAGGGTGTGATGCCGTCAAATGAGGCTGAGGATGCAATTGCTGGCGCGCTGCGTAAGGGGTTGGTTGCTGGGTGGCTGGTGTCTTTGGTGTCGGAGCGGCTTGGATGGGAGTCTGAGATTGTGGGTAAGAAGGCTGGCGTGAATAAGCCGATGGTGCGGGAGATATAGATTGTGGCTGGTATGGAGTCATCTGAGGAGGTAGCGACGGTCGGGATACTGGAGGCTGGATGGTTGTTGAGCTTCCGCTGACGCTGGGAGTCCGATCCATGCTTGGGCGAGGGATTGGTTGCGCCGCCATGCTGGTCAGAGAAGGCTGCCGTACGGGTTGTGGAGGAGTCGGTGGTGGGGGAGGTGTAGGTTCTGGTGGTGGCGATTGCTGTGATAAAGAGAAGAGTTAGTGGTTGCAGGGAAAGACCGATCCGAGTATCAATGGTTAAAAGTAAAACTAGAAGTGAAAGGAATGTGAAAGCAAATATGCTGGAGGCTTACATTTTCCTCACGAGGATGTTTGTGGATGGCGCCCAAAATCGGTGGTGCATTGGGATGGCCCCATTGTGGTGAAGGAATCTCATCCGTCTCCTTCATGTCGTCCTTCAACAGATGCTTCAGGGGACTCGGCACTTTTTTGATTCTCCGGGGCTGGTCAAATAGGTCCATCTCATAGTCCTTGTCCCTCACTTCATCGGGTAGGCAACTGGCCCATGTTTTGATCTTGTTGAAGCGATGTTTCTCTTCATTGTATCGCGCCTCACAGACGTAAACCTCCTTGCTTGGATCGACTCCTCGAGGTCGACCACGGCTGTACCGTGTCACAAACATGACAAAGCACCGATCGACGACTTCTTCGATCTTATGATCTCGATACTGACCAGTCTTGACCACTTCGTTAGGAAAGAAGTGTTTTTCGTGCTGATGGATTGTTTGCTCTGGTCGATAATACCAGCAAGCATTTATCCACTTTTGCCCGTCGGAATCTTCCCATGTTCGATAGATTTGTGCAATGATGGGTTTGGTGATATCGTTGGGATTTGCAATATGTATCCAATCTCCGACTTTCCAGAGTTCGTTCTTGTATAATATTCCAGAGGGCAACGGCCGCCTCCCATCCTCCAGGAGATAGACGTCGTCTGGCTTGGCCTTCTCAATGTCCAGAAGTTTGTGCGCCTCGGCCTGTAACTCCACTGCATCATTATAGATCTCACTTCCTTCTTCATTGAAGTGTTTCGCGTTGTTGAATAGCAGGTCAATGTCCTTCATGAATTGTTCCAGTGACTGATACTTCTTGCGCTTCGACTTTTTCTTAATCGAGTCCAGGGCGATGGGATCCGTTATGGCCACAAAATAAGCGGGGTACTCTGCTTTGTCGGGCAGTCGTTCGAAATTTCGGACCTTGGGATTTCCAGCCGTGTCTTTCTGCTTGCGAAGACCTTTCAATACAGCCTTGATTCTAGCTTCCATCGGAGTGTCGACTCTCGGCGGTCGCCCTCTTCGCTTGCGAACGTCACCATCGTCCAGTTTGTCGTCATCTTCTCCACGACTCTTTCGACCAGATATACTGGGCCTCGCGCCTCGCCGACCTCGTCTTCTTCGCCGGTCATCGTCCGAATCATCTGCGTCGTCGTCATCGTCATCGTCCTCACCGTCATCATCGTTGTCTTCGTCATCATCTGAGACAGGATCTGGCTCCGGCGTCGCATAAGGAATCTCTCCCAGGTCTGGGAATTCCGTCTCTTCCTCCTTAGCTAATCCTTCACTAACCAGCTTATTCAACTCTTCTTTGAAGACGTCTTGTAGTACAAGCACGTCACGCACAGGGGCAGAGTTTGGAAGATTGTAGACTTGTGCATTGTGCACTATCAAAGCAAAATCTCGAACGAATTCTGGGATCCCTGTGTACTGTTTCCTCTGTATTTTGCCCTTAAGTGTACTGAGAGCAACAGGCTCCTTGATGATCTCGTGGTAGTCTGGCAGATTGCGTCGGTTGGGAATCCGTCGAAATAGGAGTGATGGGTAATGCTCACTGCACACATGTCAACCGGACCGTCACGTATAGGTATAGCAGACCTACTCGTCGCCCTTAACCTTGACACTGTAGTTCGTCAAAATTTCAGCAATGTTTTTGAGGGCTTTGTACTGTTCGCTCGAGACACCCTGGTGGGCTTCCCCTCCCTCGCCTTCTTCCGCTTCAGCATCTTCATCGGACTTGTCATCAGCGACATCTTCTTGCTTCAAGTCAGTCTCGATAGACTGAACGGGTTCCGCATTCGCAGACTCTGCGACGGGGGTCTCTGCCATCTTAGCAACCACAAAATTCAATCGTGCCAATAAGATGATGTCAATAGTTAAGGCATGCCATGTGTGCGCACCTTATGATTGCTGCTTCACAGGCGTTGCAGGCTCGAATACGGTTTGCGACGAGTCTGGTCTTCACCAACAAACATGCGCGCGTGGAAAGATGCGCGAGAATGACTCAAGAATTGTCCCTACTGGCGGGGACTTGGCACTTACGCATGACTCGCGCATTGAATCCACACTTTGGCGGCCAGCGATACGAGTAGGCCCATCGGTAGATGACTAAAAGCTCGACCAGCTAAGGATCATTCGACATCGACAGGCCCTTTCTTTGTTCGTGTGATGGTTAGGGACTGGTTGGAGGAGGACGACTTCCACCTGGAGAAAGAACGAACTACAATTCTCTGGTATCTTCTCCTCGACCGGGGGTAGGACAGAGCACCGACCCAGGCCTCGAACTGTTATTACCAACGGTCTCCGTTCGCCTTCCCTGTGGCAAATAGCTGCTGACAATCCGTCCGCTTGTGGTACTTGTGTCTTCATATTTGATTGCCAGCTGGCCTCACTTTTCCCTCATACATATCTGATCTTCACCAAGATGCGAGTTCGTCTGAGGGGTCCCTCGGGCAAATCGACTACAGTTACGCTAGACGATACTGCAACAGTGGAATCTCTGAGGAATACTGTTACTGCAGAGACCTCTCTATCTTCTTTCGAAATCAAATATGGGTATCCGCCGAAGACTTTGATGTTAGATCAGTACCCTCCGAACAAGCTCCTATCGGAACTGGATGTCAAGCTCAGCGGAGAACAACTCATTATTAACAGCACTGAGGCGGCCTCCCGGAAGACCACCACCGAGCCGTCACAGACATTTCAGCATTCGGAAAAAGATAACCATTCATCAGGAAGAGTCGCCGAACTACCCACAAGTCACACCGGCTCGTCACATTCATCCTCGACAAAAGAGCAGAATAGGGAGGTGAAGAAAGCCTCTTCTGCACCCCTGTCTCTGACTCGGAAAGAAAACAAAGCTATGTCAGATCCCCCCGAGATCTTTCTGCCGGACCTTGGTGGCAGCCTTGTTCTACGCATTATGCCGGACGATAATTCTTGTCTTTTCCGAGCAGTCGCCAGCGCTATCATGTCGAATCTTGACACAATGACCGAGTTGCGATCGGTGGTGGCGCAAACCATTCAGGCAAACCCCGATAAATACACCAAGGCAATATTGGACAACAAAGACCCCGATGCATACTGTCGATGGATTCAAACCGAGAATGCCTGGGGTGGCCAGATTGAACTCGACATCCTCAGTCAGCAATTTGATGTCGAAATCTGTAGCATTGATGTTCAAACCTTGAGAGTGGATAGGTACAACGAAGGTGCACCACGAAGATGCTTTCTCGTCTATTCAGGTATCCACTATGACATTATTGCCCTCAGCCTATTTGGGATGCCACCCGAAGACGATGTCAAGCAGTTTGAACAACCATTATCCGACGAAGTGTTGCCCCAAGCTGTTGCCCTATGCCAAAAGCTGCAGGAGAAACATTACTTCACGGATACTGCGGGTTTTAGACTCAGGTGTGGCGACTGTGGTGCCACTTGCATTGGGGAAGCTGGCGCTACAGAACACGCGCAAGCGACGGGACATTACAACTTTGGCGAAGCCTCCTAGCTTCGTTGAAATCCTTACCTGACCAGGCGCACTTGTTTGGTATATCCCACAACGCTTATTCTGGAATGGATCCTTTGTCTATCCGAAATGGACGTTTATGAGCACGAGGCAGTCTTCGAATGGTCATCTTGAGCTGGCCTGCGAGTTATGACCCTTCATGCAAGTCGCAACATAGATTGGCCAAGAGAATGTATCATATATTGAGCTTCGTCTGAGATACCCCTGCCTATCTATGTCCATGATGCCTTCCAAAGGACTTCTCCCTGATATTACATCAAATCGATTTGACCCTCGAGTTTTCAAAATACTTCAGACAACGTTCCGGCGAGCAAATCCCAGATTCAGTGTCCTGTCTCGGAAATCGCCAAATGACCGAGAGGTGTATCGTTACTTTAAACATCGGCGCATTCAGCATACCGCCTCTTCTTGCAACTCCAGATAGGCCTTGTTAAGGATGCCTTGCCTCAACGCTGCCTTTTGGTCACGGACATGCACACGAGGATGCCATACAGCTGGTCCTGGTGTGAGGAAATGATGTATCTGACCCGCACCAACGACTTTACGGGAACCAGACTTAATGGGGGTGATCTGTGCCCTTTAGTCGACCTTTGTGTCGCTGACTGTGATACAATTCTTCGCCAACAACTGCGCTCTGTTCCAGGTCAAAGTGCGGGCAGATTCTACGTATGCCTGCTGCAATTCTGATATGGGACTTCTCTATGCCACTGTGAGTAAGGCCTCCATACACAATTTTCCTATTACCACTCTTTTACTACACATCGACTGATCATAAACACCCAACATGACATATCTGCAGTCTATGCGTCGACGTAGGTTTTAACCGCTAGGAGTGTTCCTTGCGACTTGCTCTACATATCGGTGGACAGAGAGCTGGGTAGGCGACCACTATGGCATGGCCTTGGAGAAGAAATGAGAGCTTAAGTTGCCCAGCTAGATCAGAAACTTACTCCACACGCCTCGACTCCATGAGACGCTGTTGATGGCTGAGACGGGTACGTCGACAGCGTTTGATATTGTGTCTGTACCTGGAGGTCAACAGCTTGGTTTGAACTTGATTGGTGGTATACAGTGGCTGATTTCCTCGGATGGAGACCATGTGCATATTCATCTTTGACAGAGTAGACAGCAACAGCATTCACGAAATAAGCTAATCAAGTCGCATCGAAGATACTTTGATGTGCGCACGAAGGTAACGCCTATCAAGAGGTGCCCTCCCTTCAAGCACAGTCAAGGCGGGTCCACGTTGTTCCAGTGCCGAACTTCTACTCCACAGCCTCGTGCCTCATGCAGCAGTAGATGCCACACTATCTCTATTGTTGCTGTCCCCTCTACAAATGACCACACCGTACCTCAGTGGCCTCGATGGCTTCGCTTCTAGCAACCTCGAGAGTCCAATTGACTCCCATGGCGAAACCGTCTCCTCTCGACGCAACAACGCCTTGAGCACGAAGCTCACCAGTGTCCTGTCTACGTCGTACGTAGACCACGAAATCCGCGATGCTCTCCGCCTTCTCGACGTGCGCGGTGTTCACAACGATGAGGAAACGAGGCGCAATCTCAAGCTTAACGCACAGAGAGAGGTCATAGACTGCAATGCTAAGATTGTGGACGACTTCGGCCAGATCGCGGAGCAACTCCGCCGCGTGGGCTCGCTGCTTTCCACGCTGGACGCAACATGTTCCTCGATGCGTCAACACATTATCGCTGCGAAACAAGAATCGGCGCCGGTCCTCGAGGAAGCACGCACGCTCATCTCCCGTAAACAGGAGACGGAGACGAGACAGGTGCTTCTCGACGCCTTCAACGCGCACTTCCTCCTCTCCCCCGCCGATGCCAAAATTCTCACGAGTTCCGCCGAACCACTCGACGATCGCTTCTTCACCGCCCTCACGCGCGCAAAGACAATTTACCGAGACTGCGAAGTACTGCTGGGGTACGATGGGGAAAATCAACGCCTTGGGCTCGAGCTGATGGAGCAGACAACGCGCACTCTCGACGCGGGGTTCAAGAAACTATACAACTGGATCCAACTCGAGTTCAAGACGCTCGACTTGGAGGATCCGCACATCAGCACGGCCATCCGGCGTGCGTTGACGGTGCTCAGCGAGCGTCCAACGCTATTTCACAACTGCCTCGATTTCTTCGCCGAGGCAAGACAAAGTACACTGGCCGAGGCGTTCCAAGCGGCGCTCACGGGGACTGGGCCGGCGGCGCACAGAAAAGCAATCGAGTTCTTGACGCACGAGCCGCTACGATATGTGGGAGACATGCTTGCCTGGGTTCACTCCGCGGCCGTGTCGGAGAATGAAGCACTAGAAGGCCTCTTTATTGCGGATGCAGATGAAATATCGAGAGGTCTGGCATCGAAAGCTGGCAGCGAGCCTTGGGCGCGAATTGATAGGGGCGCGAGAAACACGTCTAATGATGATGACGATGACGACGACGACGATGACGAGCAATTGGAGTCTGTCTTTGATCCCCGTAAAGCGCTGGCTGACCTGGTTTCGAGGAACCTCGCCGTTGTGTGCGAGACGTTGCAGTCGAGGATCGACCTGTCTGTCAGCAGCACAGGAGATCCCGTGTTGACGTACAAGACGTTCAACCTCCTGGACTTTTACCGTGGGATTTTTGATAAACTGCTCGGTTCTGAGTCGGCGCTTTGCAAAGCCATCCGCAACCTGCAGTCGTCGGCGCTGTCACAGTTCGAGGCGATCATGGCGGAAGAAACTGCCGCGGCGATCGCCACCGAGATCGAGCCGTCCAGCGACCTCAGTCCGCCTGCTTACCTGGCCACGGTGTTGAGGCAGTTCTCAGAGGTCGCGCGTGCGCGAGGACCGCAGCTGACCGAGTCGGAGCTGGAGAGGCTTTTCAACTGCATGCTCATGGGCATCTTGACCGCCTGTGCGGACTCGGCCGCTCAGATGCCCGATGCCAGGGAGAGCAACATCTATAGAATCAACTACGTGACGGCCCTCAAGGCGACCATGGCGACCGTGTCGGCTCAAGCACCCGTGGCCCAGGCTCCGCTGGAGAGAGCAGGCCTGGAGATACGGTCTCTTCGTGACGAGCTGGTCAAAGCTCTGACTACGCTGCTCCTGGACGACTCTGGCGTGAGGGACCTGTTGCAGGAACTCGACACGCGCCGAAGCCAGGATGCGCGGACGCGACGGGCCTGGCTTGTCACGAACCTCGACGGAGCTGCGCAGCGTCTAGACGACTTCTTGTCGTCGGCGCTCATGGATGCGCAGGATGGTATGAAGAACTTGCTTGACCGCACCCTGGCCAAGGATGTAGTGTCGGAAGCCGTTGAGAAATTCTGCGCAGAGTTCGACGAGCTCGAGGGCATATTGGACATGGTTGATGTCGAGACTGGTGGCGCGGACGGAGAAGGGTCAGCCGGGCATGCTTCCGACCAGGTCGCTTCGTTGAGGCAGTTGTATCCCAGGACGGGAGCTGAAGTACGGGCGCTTCTAAGCTGATGTAGTTGTCCAGCATACCAAGTACCGTATAATGTCAACAGTCCTAATTGTCACGACAAAGTAATTTTATAGACCAGTGGTTAATGAAGAGTATTGCAGCAACTTTGGGAACTTTTGGATTGTTCGATATCTAATCATCATGCCCATGTCTTGTTTCATGGATCTGAAAAAGAGCTCGTTGGAGGATCCCTTGGGATCTGGATCATGTCACAGCCACTCTCAATAGTGGTGCGACAGAAGAAGGGTATCTACAAGATGCTCTCGGCGCTAGACACTGTTTTCCTGTTAGATTCCACTTAGATGTTTGAATAGTCAGTCAGGACTCACCAGTGACCTTGGTTGGATCCTCCTCGAGGCCGACCTTGGTGACCTTGCCGTCCTCAGTGACAACAGCATAGCGCTTGCTTCTCTTGTTTCCTAGGAGCGGCGTTGCGTCAAACTCGACATCCCAAGCCTTGGTGAACTCGCCAGCCGGGTCAGCAAGGAAGCGGATGCCGCTGGCCTTGGACGAGTCGAGATCCTTGGACCAGGCTTTCATGCTATCGCGAAAGTCAGCATGTTGTTTTGTATTCAAGGTGTGATCAGCTTGTTGGCGGCTTACACAAACGCATCGTTGACCGAGATGACAAACACCTTTCCAGCACTCTTGAGCTTGTCACTTGCAATGTAGCCAGGAATGTGCTGCTCGGAGCATGAGGGAGAGAAGGCCGCAGGGACACCAATGATGACGCCTTTGCCGGAGGCCAGCTCTTGAGACAAGTTGACCTTGTTGCCAGGAGAGTCCTCGAAGAGGTCAACGTTAGGGATGGAGTCGCCTTCCTTGACCTGCAGTGAGACTCGGGTGAGCAGGAGGAGCGAGATCGAGGGACATGCAATAGATCATCCATACCATGATTGCGGGAGTTGACGAGAATGTTCTGCGCGTTGCGAGGGGAGTGATTCGTGCTTGACGGAATGAAGAGGTGGCACAACGATTGAGAGATCGAGAGAACATGGTGAGAGGAAAGGAAAGAAAGAGTTTTGACTTTAAGTACCTCAAGGTATGTGTACCTACTTGACCTGGATTCCACTTCAAAAACAGTATTTGAAATAATGATGCCAGGTCCCTCCTGCCTCGCAACGAGCCTGGTGGTTGCGACTTACGCATCTGGGAAGCTTGTGGTGCCAAATCACATCATAGTGCGGGGTGGGGGAGAGCTTGGTGAGCTCTAGTTAGCTCAGGTAGCTTCACGGAACTTGGAAGGCTCCTGAAGGATCGAGGTACCTGGCCACGGGCTGCCAGACCGCCTGGGGCGCCTACAGCACAAGTGTATGGATCGCTTGATTCGGGGCGCCCTGCACGCTACGAGTACCGAATACGAGGCTTCTCCAGCACGGCCCGCCTGGTCCGTCTCGGGCCCAACAGCAGGTCCCGGCAATGGCCCCCAATAGCCCCAACAGGCCCCTAAAGGCTGTCCCTAACTTACCTGAGTTACTGCACTGTCCCGCCTGCCCGAGCATGTGGAAGGTCCAACAAGGCTTCTGCGATGTTTTGAGCTCACAGACTGTAAACCAAGGGCCATTATCTGTCATGCGAGATATTTGAGTTGAAGAAGACCGGCAGTGGAATACAGTACCTGCAATCTGTGAATGGCAATCTCTCAGCTCGTCCCTTGGTCCGCGGCCGGACGCTTTTACTTGCCTCGATCTGTCAACATTGGACTGTACAACGATATGTATCCCGGCGCAAATGCGAGAGTTGAGGCAGGGATTCGCTTCTGTCGTCAGGAACAAACACTCAGATATGCAAGCCCGAATAGGTGATTGATACGAGTGCTGTGCTAAATTTTCACAGTGTCAACTACTACCTCGTTATCGGCATCTTTTATCTACACAGCCGACTCCATAGTCGCTTGGGACAGAATTTGGAATCAACAAGGCACTATCACCAACTCATCCAGCATGTAGACGAGAAATTAGTCCGCAGCGGCTAGAGAACAACACCAGAGAACAACAACCCTGCCTGTACAGTGCAAACCAATCCCACCAAACAATGACACTTCATGTCTTGGGCTGAAACAATCGAGAAGGAAGCACAGTTCCGCGCACTCTTCAGCAAATGTAAAGGGCTGGTGGCCCAGGGTAACAAAGACAATTGTAGTCTATCGCTTTGAATGGACCTAGGGCTACCGTAGCTGCTGCCGACCGCACACAGCTTGAAACTGGCCGATACATGATACGAGGATCAGTGAACCCCTGCATTGTTTGTAGTCAGCCACCTTCTGTCGTCCCAGAAGTTCGGATAAGCTGGTAGCATTCGGTTTTGTACTCGGTACAATATCTCTCCTTTGGACTTCCCCTGGGCGAGAGGTCTCGGCTCCAGAAGATCCAGTCTTCTGTCGTACTGTTCGAGGTCTAGAACATCTGCATTGGCCACGCTTTTGGCAGCTCATGTCCAACATGAACAGTACGACCATCCGCCTCCACATACAGCAGATAGTGTTGTCGGGAACTGGCAGAATCCGTGTCATCTGTCCGGAGCACAGAGTTTTAGGGCTGTCGAGCGCTGACGCCAAAGTCTTCACGTCTCGAGAGGGCGTTCAAGGGACGTCCCGTCTTGGTAAATGTTGAAACCGACGTCTCCTGGAAGAAACAACTTGTCGCTCAGGCACTGTTATATTCCAGATATTGGCATCAAAGCATTGGAACCGCAGACAGTTATCTGATTTGAGGCCACGCCTAGCCAACGCTTTCGTGTTGCGCGAGCCGAAAGACGAAGATCACGAATCCGACGGCTACTTGATGCCTGGAAAGCAGCCTACCTCATCCAGAGCCTGAATACTTTTCGAGTTACTCCGCGGCCATTCTTCTGGTCCCCTGCAGCTTAGCATACATGGTCGCTTGTCACGGCCGATTCCGTGCCTGCAATAAGAAATCTTCTCAAACACATCAGACTACTACACGTGGATAGCTCTCTTGCAGACACAACCTGACGCGATAACCCATTATTTGTTCTACTTATGTGGAGCGGCAAGTGTGCGGGCGGCTGTCACTGCCTGGACTATCCGTATCGTCAGGTGGCATGGAGATGAGGGCGTTGTCTTTATGGGGACCGTAATCTGGCTGCTGGCCGGCAGTGGCAGCAGGCTCCCAGGACAAGGCTGTCCTCGCATCATGTCGATCTGATGATTTTGCCATGAGGTTCCTCCGTTGTACCTGTGAGCCGAAGTTCCGACTTATTACTGTAGAACACAGTACAGGACCAGAACGACTCACAAAGACCCACCCAAGACTGTGGAGGCGCGACTATCTGAATACGGACACCATCAGCTGTCACGGCTCTTCGCAGAGGCTTGCAGAAGCGGCGAATCATAGCCTAATTTGAGGTGATGACTTGCTCAATGGTCACAAGCCTCGTTATTAGTCCGCAAGCGTGGATAGCAGCTATGACCGCTCCAACCTTGGACGCTTGCTGCTGTTGTCGTTCATTTCCTATTTGGCATCCCAGATCAGCACCTGCCGTCCGCTGGCAGCTCTTGGCCCAATGCGATTCGCAACACCTACGAGCCATTTCCGAGCACGATAGACGGCGGCGTCGTGTCTCCTGTCCACATGAAGAGGGGTTCTACGATGGTCGCAGTCGGAGGGACTCTCCAAAGTGGGATGTCCCTCCAGCTCAGATCGCTACCCAGCGGCTTGATTGGGACTAGAAAAAAGGCAAAACGAGAGATCTCAGGCCAAATCGGTGGGAAGATTCGGTGCCGCTCTCGTCATCCTCGCTGTCCCTGCGAGCTCTGTGTTTCCCAAGGAGCCCTTAAGCGAATCCCGGACGGCACTGTAGCGAACAAGTACCCTTTTACGGGCAAGGCATTGGCACCCCTGGGGAAGCATCTCGCGAACGTAGTGCAACTCAGAAGCGATCACAGCCACAAGTGCAGCAAAGAATAGACGATCTGATCAAAGAGCGGCCTATCAAGACAGCCACTTGGGCCACTAGTAGCGCCGCCTATGTAGCTTGATCGATGGGCTGCTCGAACGGGCCCTCTAGTAGCCGTACCGTGTACGAGTTATGCTCCCTGGACCCTGTATCACGGGCGCCCTCGAGACGCCACGAATGCCTAATGGTACTCGCTGGCCACTCCCCGGCGCTGATAGTGCATTCGGCCAACACCCATGCTCGGATGAAACTGGGAAGGGAACTCGAGGCTTCCTGGATGTGGGTGTTTCTGGTGCAATTGTCGTCAGGGAAGGGATCCGACCTTTGGACTTTTGCCTGTGTTTGGAATTGCGAATCTACAGTACCTCTGCCGTACGGTAGGGCTCCCTATATTCGCTCAAAACCTCTTCCATCCCCTCCGAATCCACCTGCCATCCCAGGCTTCGGCGAGTGACCCTCCACTCCAGGCGAAAAATCAACGACCGTGCACCTACCTGTCTTGCCCTTGTTATCCGCATACCTCTCTCAATCCAAGCGTCCTCTTTCCTCCCCATCCTTCGTCCTAAAAGTAGCTCATCCGCACGCCGCGCAATATCCTCGACCGGCGCTGCCTCCCGGGAAGGACTTCCAACTATCTCAGATTCGTACTGCACCCAAAATTCCCACCTACCGACCACCCACTCTGGAGTGCGACTTGGACATCATTCATTTTGCTTACATTCTGTCGCTACTATCCCATCTTTGCGCATTGGCGACAATGTTGTGCTGAGGAGGGTGCATGCAAGTCATTGCATCACCAGTCGCAAATCGCGGTTCGTCCTCCTAACCAACTCCCTCGGCCTTTCCTGTCACTCAACCTTCTCTCTCTCGGTCCAACAATTAGACGAAAAGGTGCGACATTACATGAGAAAATGGATAGTCAAGGGGGCGCAGGGGGAAACAACAATTCCAGCGACTTCGTGCGCAAATTGTACAAGTACGTTGTGAATCGGGCGCCGTCACTACCGCTGTTGCTAACATCTCTTGCGCAGAATGCTTGAAGACCCCTCGTACTCCTCAGTAGTGCGATGGGGCGACGATGGCGACAGTTTCGTCGTACTAGAGAACGAAAAGTTCACCAAATCCATCCTGCCGAAACACTTCAAACATTCCAACTTTGCCAGTTTTGTCCGGCAGTTAAACAAGTACGACTTTCACAAGGTGCGGCAGAACAACGAGGACGGCGGAATGTCGACCTACGGGGCCAATGCGTGGGAATTCCGGCATCCAGAGTTCAAGGCAAACAGCAAAGATACGCTCGACAATATCCGGCGGAAAGCCCCGGCTCCTCGGAAGCCGTCAGGCCTGAACGATGAGCAAATACCCATACAACAGATTGATTTGATGAACCAGCAAATAGTAGCACAAGCACAACAGATTGAGTCGCTAGTTCAGGCAAACAATCAACTTCAAATCAACCACCAGATGGTGGTCCAAGAGCTTCTACGAATACAAAAGACGGTCCTCAATCACGATCGCGTCATGCAGGATGTCATGACGTTCTTGCATTCGGTAGATGCGAAGCAGCGGAGGGACAGCAAAGCACTTTTCGCGCCGCAAGCAGATCCCACGCAGACGAGCACCACCTTGACCCCAACAAGCCAGAACATGCCTCAACCAGAGGACGACGCGCCTGCTTCCCCTCTCCAGCATGCGTCAAAACTGTTGAATGATCTAAATGCAGACATCCAATTCAACATCTCTGGCTTGGAACAGATGCACACCAATATCGCAACTCCACCTATCAACTCAGATCCCCGGAACCTACAGTATAGGGGACAGAGCTCTTCCAACTCGAGCGCCAGCATGGCCTTCGCCAAGATGGACCCGTCGCAACTGGAAACCGTCGTGTATCCGATGGGCACGAACAACGGTATTGACCCGATGTCCAGCGAATACATCCACAACATTCCCTACCCCATGCCTTCAAAAGACAGCCCTCATGACCCTCGAGCACAATTTGCCGATTCTCGCAAGAAGAGTGCATCAGCGGATCCTGGCTGGAGCCGGTCACCGAGGATATTGTTGGTTGAAGACGACCCCACGTGTCGACAAATTGGCGGAAAGTTTTTGTATTCTTTCAACTGTGTGGTAGACAGTGCTTTTGATGGCCTCGAGGCTGTCGGTAAAATGCAAGACGGAAACAAGTATGACATGATATTGATGGATATTATCATGCCCAACCTCGATGGTGTATCTGCATGCCATATTATCCGGCAATTCGATCGGACACCCATAGTTGCGATGACGTCCAACATCAGATCCGACGACATCCAGATGTACTTCCATCATGGAATGGACGATGTGCTCCCGAAGCCGTTTACGCGAAAGTCGCTTCTCGACATGCTTGAAAAACACCTGATGCACCTGAAGAAGGTGCCTCAGATGGAGGGCCCGCCTATGCCGGCTATGGCTCCCGGTGGTCTTTCCTCTACCACGCACACTGTGCGCGATGACGGCTCGTCAGGCGCATCTCCTGCTGGATCAAGCGGGACTTGGAATTCTCCTAGTCAGTACTCTGGAGCATCCCCAGTCAACCCGAATCTGCACTTGGGCGCGCTCCCCCAACAGCAGCCACAGCAACAGCAACATTTTATCGATGCGAATGGTAACATCGCGTCCTTTCAAAGCGCCCCACAGACCCCAATGGGCATGAGGCAAAGTGCAATGCAGAATCATGCGCACAGAAGAGGGCCGTCTGACATGTCGGGCGGAATGGACGTGGCCAACGCGAATAAACGGCAGCGTATTTATGGTTCACAACAAACAGTGGCACCTCCATTGCGGCAATAATAATGGCGGCCAGCTTTTTCATTCAGGAATGGGAGAACGGAGAACCTGAAGAGTTGTATTTCATGATCGCTTGTCTACGGACTTTGGAAAAAGGACCCGAGGCAGAGAATTTGGACGCTCATACACGTTCCAAAGTCTGCTATATCAGGAATTGAGGAAAGCCCCGTTCGAGCGATGAATATATACATATGTGTGGCAAGGTCTCCAGCCCCTTTTGCAACTCGGTTCGGATCGTGGACGTATCGCAACAGCAACCACAAGAATACCAGGTTTGACAACAGGGATACACGGCGACCTTTCGGAGTGTTTACGACGTTCATGAAAAAGTGCATTGGGAGGAAGTGGGAGTGTCTGGGAGAGACGGGGGTCTGGAAAACCGACTAAAGGTCATCACCGACACTTTTGGCATTGTGCCGTGAGGCCTGATTAATGTGACATCTTTGACTCTTTGATTCCCGCGTTTGATGTGACTTTTTCAAGAGAGAGGGAGAGGAGATAAATCGATTTCAGAAAATCTGACGAGTGTTCATCGGCCGCTTTGGATACCTCTCTATCTCTATTTGTACAGATGATGCTTTGGGTACAGATACCCCAGACAGCTATCTAGGTATCTAATTAGGTAACTTTGGTCTACTATGACCAAAATGACAAAATGGCGATAGTATGGCAAATACTTGGAATGTACACAGTACCTATGTATACATATACACCCAGGTAGATAGTGATTCGTATGCGTTTTGAGTTCTAGGTACCTGAGATACCTGTATCAGAGAGCTACCTTGGGTCAGCACCCAAAATACTATAGGTGAGATGTAGTTGATAATGCTCATGAAGATGAAGATAAAGCACCCATGCATGTCAACGTACTGCTGTACAGTTGAACTCAAGAGAGGTCGTGACATTGGGCTTTTTCGGTCTTTTTTTTCCCCCCCTGGCTGTAAGGAATTTTGGATACGACAAAAACCAAAAAGAAAATGATTCCCCATCAACCCTGGATTATTCTGGCCGTCCCCATGTACATGTTCATTCACGTGTTACGTTGTGTGTTACATGGTTCGCTCTCATTGCGCCCCGATCTTCTCCTTCTCCTTCTCCCACTGTTCCGGCGTGAGACACTTGGGCGTCCAGGCGTGGATGGCGGCAATCTCGGCCTTGAGCGCGTTGTTCACCAGTCTGTGGCGCGCCAGGAGCGTCTTCTTCTCAAACTCGGGCGACACGACGATGGCGTTGAAGGCCTGCCCGCAGCCGCCGGACATGTCCTCGATCGACACGTACGTCGCGCCGATGCTCGACTTGAGCTTCTCGCTCAGCGACTCCGGTGTGACCCCGGAGGTCGCCGCCGTCTCGGCGGCAGCTGTGTCCGTTGGAGCGGCCATGGCGGAGGCGGAGGAAGGGGAGTAGGAAGATTGAGAGGAGGAGAAGTGCAAGTGTCGTTGTCGGTGTTGAACAGGAAGAAGAGGAGGAGGAGTGTAGCCCGGCGATCGCGCACTGGGAATACCACCGCGATGATGACGACGGAGAGACGGAGACAGTCGCGACGTCGATCTGGATTGTGAAAATGTCCAAGACGATCTCGTTAGTGCTCTGCGGGCGACGGGCAGGGCGACTACACGGACAGTCATGAACGGTGACTATCGGACGATGTGGAGATGGATGGTGGGATAGAGATGAGGTGAGGTGAGGTGAGGTGAGGTTGATTCGGAAGAAGGATGGGATTCTCTGGATAGGCGGTTCTCGTTGACCTCTTTTCGTCTCTTGAGTCTTGGTATTGCTGTCGCAGTCGCAGTAGGCAAGATGTAGCTAGGTGCTCCAGAGGGCGGATGGTTTGAAATCACAATTCCGACGACGACGATGGACCGGAGGAGGATTGATTACTTAGCAGAATTATTTACTCGACAGCTGCAGCTGGAAAAAAGTGCGTCATTGGAGACAGACACAAGTTTAACATCCCGTATTCACAGTTGCACGAGGTTTGACTGTTGATGCTCTCCAACATCAACACCAAACAGGTACTTGAGGACGCCCAACCACAACAACAAAAACATACACAGATGCACTTCATCCTCGACATCACTACTTCTTTGGTCGCACAAGTGTCGATACTTGACTGATGCTGCGCCCGTTATTGACTCGAGCTAGACCAAAATCTCACGTCTTCGTCAACAGTCGCAGCATGAATACTTCAACCTCATACAATGTCTCCCCATTCACCAGCGCAGTCGTCTCTTCCATGCGACGCCTCTACCCTGAATCCCTCGCCGACAAATCCTTTGACAACACTGGCTTCCTCGTCCAAGCTCCTTTCCTTCCCGCCCGTCCTCGCAATCGCAACTCGGTTCTGTTGACCGTCGACCTGACTCGCGCCGTTGCCGACGAGGCCATTGAGAATGGCGCCTCTGTTGTCGTCGCTTACCACCCCATCATCTTCCGCGGACTCAAATCCATCACCACAGACGACACCCAACAGCTGTCAATGACCCTGCTGCTCGCGCACGGCATCAGCGTCTACTGTCCCCACACCGCAGTCGACACGGTCCCCGACGGCATGGCAGACTGGCTATGCGACATTGTCACAGGCAAGACTGACGTTCCTGAAGACCACGCTTACACCGCCACGTATTCATCATCCGTACCGTCAGAAACAGAAGTCACCACCACCGATGAAGACGACGACGCTAACGAGGATTCGGATGCTGCGCAGTCCCACGCGTCGACGAAGCCTACGTCCCCTTCCGCCGCGGACCACGACGACCCATTCACATCCACAGATACACCCAAGCCAAACAAGAAGCTAAGACTGTTCAGGCCGCACTCTCACAGGACGTACTCGAAGCCCACGTATCCCCGGCCGACGGAGGATTTCCAGCCAGCGGTCTTGCCCCATTCAAGGAGCGTAATCACACCTTCGCCGCGGGGGGCATTGGATGAAGCGAATCGATTTGTGGCGTCTGACACGGACATCTATCACCCCAACAACACCGGCGCAGGGAGGTTGATTGAGTTCGCGGAGCCGCAGCCCTTGACCGTCCTCATCACGCGTATCGCGCACGCCATCGGATTACCCAAGGGGTTCGCCATAGCCGTACCGCAAGGTAAGACCTTGGAGGAGATTGCCATTGCGAGCGTGGCGACTTGTCCAGGCAGTGGAGGCAGCGTGGTGAGGGGTTGTCGTGCGGATCTCGTCTTCACGGGCGAATTGAGTCATCACGAGGCTCTGGCCGTGACGGAGAGGGGTGGATGTGTGATCAGCCTTTTCCACACGAATTCGGAACGGGGGTATTTGTGGACGGTCATGAGGGAGAAATTGGAAAACGAAGTCAGGGATGAGTGGGCGAGGGTGAGGAGCGAGGAGGGCGCAAAGATTGGGCTCGACGGCGAGATTAAAGAAATGTTACAAGATGAGAGTGTCGAGGTCGTGGTGAGTGAGCGCGATAGAGATCCCTATGGGATTGTCGTGCTGGAAGAGACGGCGGTGGAAGGGGTAAGGATCGGGTCTGGATCAAGTGGCTGAAAGAAGAAATTGGGTCTTTGGGGTCATAGAAGAAGCACATGTCTGTTGTGTGACTTGGTCTCCGGCAGCATGCACCACACTTGACCTGCTTCCGTGGTTTGAATTGGAAGCCAAACGGTCCAAATCGATCGATTGATCTAGTCCCAGACTGGATGACTGACTGAGTGGCTCATCGTGGTCGCTCTCGAAGTTTGCGTTTCTTTGTGACGACAACAAGCCTACAAGCCTATCTGCGACGAAGGTACAGCCTACATCAATCAACACCAACCTCCAGCTTGACATGTCATGAGATGGCCCAGTGCCATTGCATGAACGACATTACCATCTACGGTCCAGAAAGCAGTCGAGATCGACCTCAGAGTGCGCCTATCTTATCCCTGTGAGGAGAAGTCTCAACGAGGGTTCAGACATGCCACGATAGACACAGCTTCTGGATCCAGATCCAATGCATGGGTAGGTACAGGGAGGTACCTGGTCAAGCTGGGCGGAGCATCCAGCAGGGAAAAGATCCTGGGCCGGGCTGGTGGACACACCGTGGTTGAGTGAGAGCCACGTGTTGTGTTCCGATGAAGTCGAACTATACTTGGACTTTTAAAGCGCGGTTTGTCAGGGGACGTTTTCCCCATTTGTTGGATGGCAAGAAGCGAGGGCTCATTTCATTCTCGTAAGACCTCGATCAGGGAAGAAAGATACCTCGGTTACCCAGGTATCCATCGATCAATACACCCTTCAGCTCCTCTTCTCTCCTCCCTTTCCTCGTCGTCATCGTCACCGTCGGCAAAGCAAGTGCGTCAGGATTGACGATTTGACAGGCCATTTGCCCATCAACTGTGTCCCTACAATGTACATTGGTCCCAACACGCTCCGCTATGCAAGAAAGATCAAAAAATCAACATCACCGCCGATGACTGAGACGGTCACCGACGGCCCACAGAACTCTAGCTGGGCCGACGAGGGAAAACGAATTAAAAGATGCAAGCCGGGTTCATGCCTGTCAAGTGATAAAAAGGTGTTCAGCTAGACAATGACGCCTTCCCTCATCGTCTCGAGCGTCTTCTTCCCTATGCCGCGCAACCTCGTCAAATCGGTCCAAGAATGTAAAGTCGTCCCGGCCCCTTCTCTGCCGTCGTCATCGTTGCCATCGCCGTTGAGAAAGTCGACGATTCCCTCGGCCCTCTTTGCGCCCAGACCGCTCAGAGACTTGATCCTCGCCACATCCCGGCTGTTCAGCACGTCAATTAGATATCTCGTCCGAGGAGTCAAGATGGCAGTGCTCCCGTCCTGTTGAGCAAGTGGGTCTGGAGAAGAGATTCGTTTTCGCTTCGGTTTGGTGGGCTTCCTCCATCGGCCGGCGCGCCGAGATGTGCTGCCGTTGTCATCTGCGTCACTATCGTTGTACGCTGACTCGGCATCGCCGTCATCATGGTAGCTCTCGTCATCGTCATCGTCGTGGTGTTGACCGTTTCGATCTTCAGTACGTGCGTCCCTCGCTACAGACTCCTCGGGCTTATGTGGAGGCTCTTCAACCTCCTCTCTTTTCCGAGCCATCTTCTCTTTCAATCTCTCAATCTTGCTTTCCAGCTTTTGGTTGTCGGGGAAATAAGGTCGTGCCAACTCGTACATCTTCAACGCACTGCCATCCTCGCCACGAGCCTGATGTTGCTTCGCCATGAACAGGTAGCTCAAGCCTTCCGCACGCTCTCCCTCTTGTCCCTCGAGTCGCTTTTCGATACTGTCCAGACGGCGCTGCACTTCTTCGGATATCGTCTTGGTAGGAAGAGGATCAGGGGCATTGAGAGCGCGCGCAGCGAGAATCTCGGATACCTTTTGCTCTACCAGGCTCTCGATCGATGCTTTTGTCAAGTTGGCTGGCTCTGGTCCGCGGCGAATGAAGCTTGGTGTTGGCCGGGAGGCTTTGGCTGGTCGAGTGGACCCGGTGAAGGAGGTGTCTGCGGTGCGTTTAAGGGGTGGAGATTTCTGGGTCACCGGCTTGGGAATCGACGGCCTGTATCGATCAGAGTACACAGAGAAGGCTTTTGGAGGCTTCTCGTTCTTGCCCGCGGCATCCTTGGTGGCTATCAGATTCACATTGATGCTGTTTGTGAGTGGCCGAAGCGGTTGGCGTTGTATTGTCGGGCCGCCTAGAGATGCCCCAGAAACTTGCCGCGGGGGGCCTTTGAAGATGGGATCGTTTTCGACTTCGCGGACCTCGATTTTCTTGGTGCGATTGGCGAAATTCAACGAGCTTAATGTGTCGAGGTGGTATGCTTTGACTGGGGCAAGATTCAGGATCATGACGGTAAAGCCATTGTTTTGACCGAGTGACAGGATTCGTGTCATTTTGGACTCTCGGTATGGGATACGCGGTTGTTTCTTTGCAATAGCTTCCACGCACTGAGCGAGCACAAAGAGTGATTTGTTGATGCTTGCTGACTCGACCATCCTGTCCTTGCCATTTCCTGTCCGGCGGTTGTCCTCGGAGCCAGCCAGATCAATAGCAGACGCCACGCTGACTCTTGTCTCGGTTGGACTTGTGACGGTCAACTTGACGCAGAGAATGGCATGTGAGCGAGATGAATGGGCATTGAGCTTGGTTGCGCCAGTGCTTCGGTTAGCGTTGGCCTTGTCGTAGAGAACCTCAAAGTCTTTCAGCGAACCGCAGGGGACTTCTGTCAATCCTACCACGACGGTCTTGCCACCTTCCGCCTCTCTGATGGGCAGACCTGTTGGTGTTCGCTTGTCGGGTGGCTCAAATAGGTCATAGACTCGGTCGTTGTATATCTCGTAATAGCTCATGGAAACGGCTGCTTTTGTGTCGCCGTTGGTGCTTTTCTCGAGAGCTCTACTCTTTCTGTAAATGTTGCTAAGCATTCGTGGAATCATGCCCCGATCTCCCAGTGATTTTCCACCTCGCATTGTGTGTGTCTTTCCGGTCCCCGTCGACCCATATGCGAAGATTGTGACATCGTAACCAAGGAAGAGGTGTTTGATGGTGGGTGCGACTATCATACACGATCAGCTCTGGCTCGAGACGTGCGCGACAAATAGTACCTTCTGCTTCAAACAGTTCTTGCTGGGTGGATTCCTGTTCGTAGACACTGTTGAACTGAAAACTGAACTCCTCGGCGAAGTTCTTGGGGTTGGGTATTTTGACAATTGTCGGCCCGTCATCTGTCGCGGCGTGGCTCGTAACAATCTGATCTTTTTCGAGTTCTGACTTGAGGAGAGGCCGGATCCGGGCGACCACTCTGACGCTCATCTTGAAGCAATTGTGCAGTATTGATGAGGCTGTTGGCGCTGGCAATGTTTCGTGGTCAGTTTGTGGATGAGTGTCTGCACCTTCGGGATAGTGTTGTTGCCCAGCAACCAGAGTAGAACTGGGCGCATACACAGTACAGCTTACAGCCATTTTCTTCCTGGTCTTACCACCAGCGGCAACATCATAAGATATCAATCATTCTGTATTTCGAATAGAGTACAATCCCACAATTACTCCAGGCTATCTAGAAAACACCTGTTGGGAAACATGCACTTTAGGCAAGACTTAGCCTTTCGCATAACAGATGACCATAGCAAGGCTTCAGCGGTGACCGCAGCGCGTGCTTTGTTGGCTTGACATTTTACCCGATGGACCAGGAGTAGATATCTAGTACGAGGACATTGTAGGAACGATCAATGTGTCTGAGCCACGAAGCAGTGTTCTGTTGTATGTGTCTGTGGATGAGTTGTTGGCTTGTGACTGGTGAACTGTACGGTGTGACTTTGCTTTCAGTGCTTACAAGCTACAGTCCGGGCCCGGAACAAATGGATTTTCCAGGCTCCGGGCGCCACCTCAAGCCTAATAAGAGCAGATCTGGTGGCGGCCTCAGGCTCCGCAGGCGCTGGGAGTCTCTGCACAGTGAGGCATAAGTTGGTGCCTTAGGTACGTTCGGTAAGTATTATCACAACAGCCACCCAGAAGTACCTCAGGTGTCCGTACCTGATGAGGTATTATTATTGTCCGTCGTTGCCCAATCGACCCCCCACATACAGACTGCAAACACCCAAACAATCGACGCTGCGTGTTCGCCGACCATTTGAAGCACAAGCAACACCACACCACATCACACCGTTTCAGCCCGTCTTCCACGTCTCTCCTTCAGGTACCTGCGCTTCGGCTTGCAGCCTAATCCATGTCACTGTTCATATATAGCGTCTCTCTGCCGGGCATCATGCACTCAACCAAAACACTGTCCTAGACGTTCCTCCATACTCTTCCAAACCTTGTTCGAGTGCGAAACACAAAATCTCACGAACCCCCTCCGCCGAATATCATCTGGCAAACCAGCCCTGACCTACGACCGAATTCTCTGCGCAAGCCCGAATCCCTGCTGTGAAAAGAACATACCTCTCTACAACCCCAGATCATCATCACCACTTCAGAGCGACCAGAGCGACGAGCGCGCCTCTCTCACAGCCTCCGTAATGGCGGGTACAGAAATATACGTGCGCGAGACGCGACGACGGTACAGATGGCCCGAAGTCCAGCTCAACCTGTGGATCTTCATCGTCCTTGCTGGCGCAGCTACGGTGCTGGGAATAAATGCATGGTTTATAACAGTCCAGAATCAATTAAATATCGGAGTACCCTGGTAAGCACGCACTGTCCTGTTCCTGGTCCTTGCACATCCTACAACCCGCCGGATGATCATCCCGTTGTTGACATGTCCACCTCCAGGCTATTTACATTCGCTGTTATTACCGGCGGCCTTACGATCTTGTTCCTCATTATCATTTTGATCCTTGCCGGACGGCGCATGCTTATACCTGGCGGGATCTTACTCGGCTCGTTCATCCTGTTTGTGTTATGGGTGACGACGCTGATCGAGACAGCCATCCAACTCTACGGCAACGGCAACGTCAACAGCAACTGCAACAACTACGTCAACAACCAACAGTACCACGGCGTATCGATAGAAACCCTGGCTTGGCTGACACAGAACAATATATGTTCATGTTGGAAAGCTTCGTTTGCCTGGTCGATCATTCTGGCCGTGCTGTTTTTGTGGATGATGGTGCTGTCGTGGCAAGTGCAGAATTACGATGACTGAGAGGAGCAGTATACCCACCTAGGTATAGGCATTCACATGCCCCATCTGTCTTTTTTAGTTTTTCTGGTCTGTGAAGATGGTAATGAGTATTTCAGCATATACGGATGTGAATGTTTTGTGATGCGCGCATGGGCCAAGCTGGATTGCTTCTGTGGAGCGTCTTACGATGATTACGCATATTTGGCGAGGAGTTGTGTTTGACGTTGTGGCATACCTGAGTTGGTTTCTTTTCTTTTCTTTTTCTTCTTTTATCAGATGCCTTTATACGTAGGGCAGTGCAGTGCACTCATGATTGCACAAGGATATTCCTGTACATATAAAAATTAAACAGGACGAATGGGGAAAAGTGTTGCTAAGAGACAATGTTCGTCACGACATGGTAGAATGATTGCCTTTTTACTCATTCATTCCTTGATGAATGCCGATATCTTGCCATTCATAAACTCGACGTCTTTCGCATTCAACCCTCCGCCGGCAGTGTGTCCCCACGTGGATTCTATGACGGCCAGAGTTCCACGTTTGAGATATTTGACTTCAATCTCCGAGTCCTCGGGCGGGAAATACTGGTCCGTTCGACACGGCATGAGCAGGACCTTGGCCTTGATGCTCTCGAGGGCCTTGACGTACAAGTCATCGTCTGGCACTGCGCCACCGAGCTGGCTGAGTTTCGTCGTCGTCGTCGTCGTCGTCGAGTCTGAGTCTGACTCGGGCACGACCAACCCCACGTCACCCATCTGCCACATCCTCGCGAGGACAAGCAGGTCGTCGGCGTCCCACGACAACATCGACTCCTCCCTCTTGGCCAACCAGTCCTCGACCGAGTCCGCGGCGAAGACGCCCGCGTTTCTGAACTCGCGGTCGCGGAACCAGCGGGTGCTCGTCAGCCAGGCGGCGTAGGCCCTCGCGAAGGCGCGCAGGCCGTGTTTCGGCGTGAGCTCGCGCAGGTTGGCGCCGACGTCCTCGCCGTTGGCGAGCTTGGTCCTCATGGCCTTCCAGGCGACGTAGTCGATGGCGTTGGTCAGCGCGGCCACGGGCCCCTCGAGGAATGCGTAGTTGTGCAGGCTCGTCCGAGCCGACGAGCAGATGGGCACGACCCGCTTCACGAACCCCGGGTACATGACGGCCCAGTGGTACGCCTGCTGGCCGCCCATGCTGAACCCGACCACGGCCTCGAGCGACGTGACCTTCAGGTGCGCCGTCAGCAGCGCGTGCTGCGCCCGCACCACGTCCTGGTAGCGCAGTTCGCCCGGCAGCGGGAAAAACGGTTTCGTCGACGGCGACGAGCTCTCGCCGTTGCCGAGCATCGCCACCACGACCACGTGGTACGCCGCCAGCGCGTCGTGCGGCGCCGACGTGAAGGTGAGCGTCGTGTTGACGTGCCCGCCGTAGCACGTCGGGATCAACACCACCCCCGCCCGCGACGACGCGTTGAAGCTGCGATATGCCACCCGCACGTCGTGCAGTGTCGTCCCGTTGGAAAAGGAAAAGTCGGGAATGTCGTAGTATTCGACCCCTTCGCTACTGGGAGGGGCCATTTTGAGACCTCCCCTACCACCTTCTCGAGACCCCAACTTGGATTTCTGATTTGTAAATCAAACGGGCCGAGAATTGGGGTGATTGTTCCGAGGCAAGTTAGTTGTTGAAGAGAAACCAAATTACTTGTACTGGCTACGTCGTAGAACCCTTGATACTTGGCCGGCTATGTAGGTAGGTAGGTCTGTCTGTGGTGGTGAGTATCAAAGACCAAGGATGATGATGGGGATGTCGGGCTACGTCGTCGGCGACAACTCCGCACATGCTGCTGACTAAGGCAGACGACAACGCATATCTACCGCGTTATGACTTTCTACCTTGAACGATCAGAGCGAGTTCATCGCTTCACTCACAAATCCATTCGCCAAGGTTTTGTCCAACTGCTCGTCCTACTGTGGCTGCGATGGTGTGGACGCTGCCGGCTGCCATATTGATTGGGGTGGTGCAGTGCGGTCAACTAATAAACGCCACAGAGCAGTGTAGGTTTCTTGCACTACTCTAGTGCGGTAGACTATCACGTACACAGTCACATTTTACTCCTCTTCGTGGTCTGCAGGGCGCTTTCGATTGTCGCTTCCTCTTCTTATTCCGAGACTGGTTAGGTTTAGCAAAGGTTGTGATCACTCTCGACTATAAGTACCGGTAGCTTTGGACGGCGATGTGCTGAGGTTAGGAAACTACTGCCGAACTTCGTGGGACACCCTTTTTGCGAGCAATGCGAGAGACAGTACAGTACTGTACACGTTCTGAAGAGAGCGTCCCTTCCATTGTCTCTGCTGTGGGTTCTCTATGATTTGTGGCCCAAAATTTGCGAGTCGCCCGACCTCCTGATAAATACTGTCCCTTAAGACTGAACAAAACCCATCATTTACGTACAGTGTTGTATACGCGTTCGAGAATATCCACATCGGGGGCAGGATAAAAATAGGTAGACGATCAAGGTGTGCTTTTCCCGGGACGAGCAAGATAAATCTGGTCCCCTGCGGAGGTCGATCTGGACGCTTCCTCTACGCACTGACGCTGGGTATTACGAAGAGTCTTTTAAACGAGTCGTCTATTCCTTTTTGTTTTTGTGGTCCCCCCCCTTTTCCTCTTTTTTTCTTTTCCCATGAGTTACAAGTCTCTCCTGCTCATACTGTATCTGAAAGCACCTCAAACGAGCAATCGAGTAGCTACAAGTAAGTGTGGATCCTCCTAAGTTCACATGCGACTGCGAGCTTTCGGTACAACCTCTTGTTGAAAGATTGAACCGGTGAGTCACTATGCAGGCACAAAGAGTACCATACATGGAGACTTATCTTCTGTGAGTGCTCCCCGGTCTATCTCTCAAGCTGTTGGTACGCGCAGACTCCATGTACGCCGAGCTTCAGCTCTCAGGATGAGTGGAGGTGCCAGGACACATCATACCCAGGGTACGTCCGAATGGGTTCCAACCCGTGATGGACGTCGATTATACAGTATGGTACTGCTGCCGCAGCAGCCCAATTCTGCTCAGGATACGATAGCAGCGCCGGCGCCGCCGCCGACGACAGCAACGACAGTCATCTTCGAAGCAGGGGCCGGTGCATCTCGGTCCTCATGGGCAAAAGTCCAGAAGGAGGTTGCATGCTTCGCGCGCGCCATTGTCTATGACCGATCCGGTCTGGGTCGTTCTGAACCCGACCGCAACGGACGCACCCTTGACAAAATGGCGTGCGACCTCTGCGATCTGCTGGAGCATTTCGGCCCAGGGCCATTCGTCCTCGTCGGCCACAGCGCCGGTGGTCCTATTGTCCGTCTAGCTGCATCGCGCAAGCCTGACGTCGTCGCTGGCCTCGTCCTCGTCGACCCGGCCGACGAAGCGGCCGACGCCCTCTTCAGCAGGAAGTTCCGGTGCATGGAATGGCTTGTTATCCGCGTTGGATGGGTTTTGGCCAAGCTGGGACTTCTCCGGCACCTTCATGGATCATCAATAATTGACACTGCTCTAGCTGCTGATGTTCGCGATGATCTCCTTCGCGAGGGATTCACAACGAGGGTCATGGCCACAATGGCGCAACAAGCCCGGACTTTTCTTGTTGAACTCGAAACGTGGAAGACCAACCCTCCACAGACGGCCGATATCCCTACTACTGTCATCTCTGGTGGGCTGGCCAACAAGGCCGATGGTATGCCCGAACAGGTCCGCGCTCAAGCAATCGCTGCTCACGTACATCGTGCGGCGCAGTGTTGCCAGGGGAGACACGTTGTTGCCGATAGATCCGGACACTTGGTGCCTATGACCGAGCCGGAGCTTGTCGTCGCAGAAATCAGACGAATGGTGGTCAAAGGAAGCGACTGCAGTTAGGTGAAGGGATGGATACAGACCTTGCATGTGCAGGTGCTGATTTCCTGTACGTGACTGTTGCGAGCATCTTACACTCTATCCAAACAAATCTGGCTCTTTGGCGTCAGCCAAAACTGCCTGTGAATTGTCGCACCTTGGTTCGACTCGATGGTATGGTCTCTTCAGAATCTCTCTCCGGTGCATTCTTTGAGTTCGACCTGGTGAATCTCCCAGGACCTGGGAGCCAATGTGCTCGCCGCTGCAAAGAGGAACACACAGCCCACGAAGATCTGCGAGCTGAGATGTCCAGAGGTGGCAACCATTTCCAAGGCAATTGGCTCTGCAAACGTCGAAGCCAACAGCAGAGCCAGAGAGATCATGCCGAACGCAGAGTGTAATCACTTCAGGCCGACGATTTCAGTGGTCACGGGCGCGAAGCGCGCTTTCAAGGCCTGAATAACCGACTTTGGTCGTGTGTCACAGATCCTGTTTGCTGAGTTGGGTATCGACTCGGCAGGAACGTTTCTAGGGACCCCCAAGGGATGAGACCTTTCATTGCGTACATACTGAGAATTAGATGTACACGTCTCGTCAACAGGGGTCATTTGTCACGAACTACCGCGTTCTGACAGGTAAATACACAAAGCTAAGAGGTCCAGATCCTGTCATGAAACGACAGGATTATAGTCCTTTTGGGCGGTCCCCAAGGGACTGTGGACCTTTTCCTCCTGACCCCCATTCCAGAGAACAGGGCCGTTGTTGCGCGCAGTTCTTTTTTACGTCTTTTCGTCCCAGGCCTTGCTTGCATCTTCCACCATTGCCCAATTTGTCACGTCCTGCATGTAGCTCTCCAGCTCCGCGACGGTTTCGATAATACGCTTGGTTGCTCCGGGACATGTGGCCTGGTCAAGCCATTCTCCGATGAGCTGGTCGAGGTTGTTGTGGTCGAACTCTTTGTCCAGCTGATCGATGAGCTTTCGCATGTCGTCGCCCGTGCCATTGACTGCGTTTGGGGAGGGCATTGGTCGGCGTGCTGCTGGATTGTCGTGCGGATCAAAGTCAGTCCAAGTCCTCGGCAAGAATGAAGGACGTGGTTGGACGTACAACTGTCGACAGGATGCTTTCCTGGACGACTAGACCGTCACGGGGGTGTTGTTTTTGACGCACTGAGAAGAGCTACGATCGACTATCTCTACTTGACCATGTCCCTGGGGGGGCTTCCCCCTTCTTGAGTCCTAGCCTCACAGGTTCTCTTATACCCATCTCCGGGCACCGAACAGTCGCCGTTTCCGCAGCCAAGGGGAGCACGACTTGGTCAACGTGTGAACTTTTTGGGAAGCACGGTATCCAAGCAACAGCAAAGACGGTGGGCGGGAAACGGCAAGAAGGTAGCTAAGTCAAGCGACATGAGTCTTGCTTCTACACGGTGCGGTGGCTAAAACTACGGATCGAGCACCGCCCATCCCAATCAAGGAACACGGTCGGGCTACCGTTTTGGAAAGTCGTAGCGTCGCACCATGAGCTACAAAGGTCCGTTGCAGTAATTACAAGCGTCAGAACTCTAAGCCATGGTCGGGCAGCAACGTAAGTTCACAAATGACAGAAGATACAAGAAGGCGTCATCATTTGACCGTTATTTGACGAGATACTTCGGACCCTGGACTCCTGGGTTTGCGGCTTTGGACCACACAGCGATAGACCTCCTCACAACAACATCAAGCCCTTGGGCTTGACTCTTGGCGGCTCGTACAACATTGCGATTGAATCCAGATACTCCTCTTCACCGGGCGCTTGCATTCTCTGCCGCCCCAAAGCACGGAATCCCAGTGACCTGTACATAGGAGCCCCCTGAGGACCAGCATCCAAGCTTAACCTCATCTTGTCGGGAGTTGCACGATCAATCCCCCATTCTACCAGCGATCTGCCGTACCCTCGTCTTCAGTACTCTGGCACGGTCCCCAAGAATCTGCAAGAACATGATATCGTCTGGCTCATAGAGATCAATATACTTTGATTTTAGCTCTGTGAGGGCCTTTCTGAACGCGGCGACGTGCCTTGGATTGGCATCTTTGCGTCGAGAGCCTCTGTTCCTATTACATCCGCTGGTGCTGGCACACGGGCTGAGCTCAGCTAAGCATCATGATCGGAAATGCCATGAGCACCACTCACAGGATTTTGGCTCATAATTTGGGCCATGATGGCGCTTGTTGATGTATGACATATCCCAGATGCTGAAATACACGATCTTGCTAGATCCCCTTGCGTGCCTTTCAAACCATGGACCATGAATGAAGTCTGGATACTCGGACAAAATGAATCGCCGAATCAGAATTCACATTGAACTTCCTGTGGTCCTCTGGATAGTCAAACCTGTAGGGGAAGCGGTAAGGCCAAGATGGCTCATCAGGCATGGCAGCGAGAAAAGCATCTGTCACTTGCTCAGCATCGGCGAGCGTAGCCTGACGTATGGACATGTTTGTCTGGTTCAGCCTGATGTGCGGCTGAACTGAAAATCGTGAGAGACAGACACAGGGGCCACGTAGATGATCCTTAGAAAAGTCTTTGTGACGATCATGTCCTCTTTGTCTCGGACGTTGAGGAGAAGTGTTCTTATAGCATTTTCCGCTGGTGGTGTCTCCTCGGTGCTACACTTGCGCTTTTTCACCTGGATCACCAGGCAGCTCTTTGACGTTTCGGGAAACACGGTCTGGAGTCCGCAAGGCGCTCTAACCACAACAGGCAACACGGGCTTCGAGCGCAGAAAGACGCTATTGTCAATGTGGATTAGCCTGGTCACACCATCGGTCGATGCCTACCACCGACAACGCATCTGCATAGGCGGCTTCGCAGGCCTCGTTGCCAGGGTTGTAGTCATGGTATGGTTGTGGTATTGCTGTCAGTGTCAGAGTATCAGGCTGCGGGAAGAAGAGGTCAGCGTGAGTATGGCTAGTTCTAGAAAGGGAAGGTATGCCAAGAGGCGCCATTTAGGGAAAGTGCCCCGAGCGTCTAACAGAGTTGGGCACACGGGGAAGTGCGGAGGCGAGTGAGCCTTGCTCAACATGGAAAACACGGTCACTGTGCACCAGTGTAGTCGACAAACTGCGCCCTCGCTCACAGCACCAGAACAACCGCAACAATAAAATCCTGACAGGCTATTCGCGATGATCGCATCGTACGTTCACGTTAAGGAAGAGTTTTCCGGGTCTCCTTTTTTCCCTCTCTAGCTTCATTTCTTCGTTTCAATAGCATGCCACGAGTCCGTTTGTCATTTCCCCTGTGTCGTACAATCAGACAGGCCTGTTGAGATTAGTCCGATGAGCTGCGTACACCGTAGTGCCTCAACTGAAAGTCCCGAACCCAACCGATCCCGCCTTTCGTTTCCTAGGAGTATCATCATCATCACCATTATCATGTTAGACAAATAGTTGCTCTGCCAAGGAACCCATCTAGCTCCAGATCCTGAGGTATGTTGTCTACATACACCAGACCAACTCGACGATAATGGGAGTTGCTTAGGGGTCTCCTAGCAAGCGTATTCCATCGTGTACTGATAGGGGTCACCGCAAGGCCAATATAGCCGCGCTTCTCGGGATAGCGAATTTTGACCAGACAAAAGAACAACATGGTCCGGGGGAAGCCTTCTGAGGGGATGTCCAGTTCCACTGCTCCTTGAATGGGCGGGTTTAGATTAGCCTGGAGGTCTGGCTGGATGTTGAAAAACTGTGTGCCATGCTGAACCTTGTCCGTAGCTTTGGTGTTGAGGGAGAGGCGTCCGAGGAAACCACGTAGATGCAGCTCCGCCCCGAAATGTACGGTTTCCACCATAGACACGGGCGCGCTCTCAGAACGCTCCACCTTGTCTTGCGTGAAAACACGATCAATATTGACACGGGTAACCCTTAGACGGCCTGTCATTTCAGTTGGACCGTCAATCGAGCACCAAGACCACGATGGGCCTTGGAAACGACGTGAGTCACATTGTCTGGGAGCTTTCGTCCAGAGTAGTCCACGGGGGATATCTTGGTCCCAAATGCCTAAGCAGTATTTGTATCTGGTCAACCTGGCAATGACTTCGACCACTCCAGATATTGCAGCCAGGTTATCTTGAGGGTTAGTGAGCTTTCGCCTGCAGAATTCCTCCAGGTATAAGTGCCAATACATCAATATGTTTTCAAAGCCACTTTTATGCCACACTTCATTTGTAACATTGCTGTACACATCCACCATTCTCTGAATTAGACTCAGCTTGTGGATACCTGCGTTATCATTGTGCAGTTGCTGAGAACTTCCCGGGTGAAAATTGTATTCAAATTCATATATCCCCGCGTTCGTGAAAAATTCTGTCCGGCACTCCCAGAGAAGCACAGCATCATCGACTAAATGTAGAAGCCTTGGAGATAAGTGGCGCTCCTGGAAGCACCAGGCGCGTTGCCCAATTGGACCACCTTCCAATATATGCTTCCAGAAAAATATGTGTCGCACTATAATTTCACTTTGTGAAAAAGATTGAGATTTTTGCGCTTCGTCCACCGTTCGTAACCACAACACCGGCTCGATCGCAGTTGGCTCCGTTCTGAGCAACGTATCGAATAGGTTTTGATTTGTATTAATCGAGATGGTGAGATATGAGGCGCCGTATATTTGAGCCATACGAAGAGATTCCGACTCCCAATCACCGCCCTTTCCCTGTTTGTGGTTAACGTTGGGCACATGGAAGCAATCGAATCGCACACCTGGATAATGCAAAGAGAGTCGACCCACACATATCGGACATTTAGGCCGCGGCATATCAAAATCACCGCTTGGTATTGATCGGGAAAAAGGGAGAGAGGAGTTCCTTGCTGTCGAGCAGTAAGATTCTTCATTGTAGTAGACATCGCTTCTTTATCGGCATCAGACAATGGTCCCCAAACGTGGCTTAGGGCAACATATCTCTTGCCTTGAAGGCTTGACGTGGAGACTAGTTGAGGTTGACATGGCCACTTCCCTTTCGGACCTACGTCGAGAAGGCGGTTCGGCATTACCGGTGGATCATAGAATGCTTGATTGCATCTGCGATGCTTTTCGCATTTTTTGATCATCGAAGAAGGTCCTTCAAGTTGAGAGAATTTTCAACCTTTTCCAGATCTCGGTCTTGACGGGCGATAGATCGGGTTGCGCTAAGAGTCAAATCCGTCAGCCTGCCCGAGTGATGCTCAGTCTCTGCCCTCAACGGGAACGAACTCATTTTGTGCAAGGTTCTGATGATGTTTTAGAGATCCCGACTTTGGCTACCATGAGAGGATAAGCCAGGTATAAACGAAGGAGAAAATTGACATACGCTGGCGGTTTGTTTTCACTCCAGATAAGTCCAAGACTTCACTTCACTGGAGTGGCCAGATACGTGGACTTGACCGATTGGCTCATATCAGATAATCATAAGTTACCCAGCTTTCGGTGGCAGAAGACCCTGCTATTTAAGAGACAGCCTCGTCAGCAGGGCAGCCCAAAGTCGAACGAAGTCGCCAGTAAACGATTGCGGCCGCCAGCCATTCCGAAGAGTTGAATAGACCCCTTCTGTCTCTGAAAGGGGACTGTTTCTGGCCCCCAGTCGTGTTTGCGTATTGAATGGGAAGGCCGACTTGGGAGAATGCGGCCGGAGGTAGGACCTGACCAGGGGAGCGATTTTAAACATAGGGGAAAGAAACCCTCTAAAAGCGGATTAAGCGGTAGTTTCTCATATTGCAGATTTATCGTTTAGCTACAACACCTCAGTGACTTGAGCCCACTCAAACCCCAGCGAACGACATTGGCCATCCAAGTATTTTGACAAGTCGCCAAGTAGAGCCACGAAACTTTCTTTATGATTCAACTTCCGAATACGAGACGACGATCAGACGTAACTTTAACAGTCAACTTCGCCGTGGCCTTGTCCTCAAAAATGACTTCCAATTTCAATCAACCTCATATATATCTCTGAGATTTATACAAGAGCTTCTAGGCTCTGAGGGGACTGAGCGTCTTCAATATCAATCAGCGAAGCTCTTCAAAATGGCTGCTCAATGGACACCTCCGCCCAACGGCCACCCTTGCTGGATCAATATCTTTGCTACCGATGTCCAACGAGGTATGTAAGAGGGCACCTCCGCTGTCTGGTATTCCCCCTACCCTCAAGATCCTTGGATCATTACTCACCCAGACTGCTGCAGCACGGACCTTCTACAAGACCGTTTTCGACTGGGATTTCCGCTGCGAGTCGACAGGCGAGGAGGAAGATCCGACAGAAGTCGCTCACTTCTCCTTTGGCGACACTTGCCCCGGTGGGGGTATCACTAGAGTTGACCAGGTTGCTCAAACACGTGGGAAGGGAGGGGTCGTTCTATACTTGTCGGTCGATAACCTGGAAACTGCAATGGAGGTACGACTTCGAGTTAAGTTTGCGATATCTGTGAAGGCAGATCTCGTCGATTCAGCCCTATCCCCCGAAATGCCCAGGAGCAACAACATGACACACCATGAGGAGCTACTTACTGACGTACCGTGACCCAGAGAATCGTCAGTGCGGGAGGGAAGAAGATGACTGAGATCACACCCGAAGGGGAGTCTGGCTTGATACAGAACTTCGAGGATACCGAGGGAAATTATGTCGGATTGTATCAGGTCAAGTAGTTTTGTCATTCTGAACCCTGCCATGGGAACTCTTTCCTCTCCACGGTATCAATGCAAGGAATTTCCTCTTTCTCAACTCAATCGTGTTCCTTCAACGGTCAGGAAGTGAGCAGAGCACGAGTAGACTGACGGTAGACTGTTCTCAAAACGGCGCGGCTACCTAGGGAGTTTCTCAACGGCGGCTCCGACTTCAACTGTGCCTACGAAGTCATATAGCACAGCGGCTCGAGCTCATAGCCAATATCTCGTGACTTGCTGTCAAGTTAACATCCTGGAGTTGGATACTTGGGAGGTGTAGCACGTACAATCCTCGGTTCCGCATACCGAAAACGCAAAATACGGGAAGATTCTCCAAAGGGTCAGTTGCCTGAAGCTTTGGTGTTTTCGGAGGGACATTCAGCACCGCCTTACTGTTGGCTGTTGGTCTTTTGCTGCCTCGGACAGCGATTTGATTCAAACGGGTCGACGCCGGCACAAAGCTTATGCAAATCTGCTCATCCCCGGCAACTTGAAGTCGACGATCAGAACCATGTTGGACGGCAGTTGGTCTTGTCCAAGAGGACTGTAATAAACTCTGAGTACCTACAGTATGTGTGTGGTGCATTTAGCTTTTTACGGGACAGGCAGCCAGCCACCGGCGCACCCGAACCTAACGTTTTCATTATCAATGGGCTTTGGACTCCTCATTTCCACGGTTCTACATAGTAGGTATGTGGCACGTGGTTCTGGATGACAGGATCCAACCGGTCTACACGAAACTGGTACGTCTGTGATTCTGCATCCCATTACGACTTGGCTATCCCGTACATCTTAATTATAAAGGGGCCTCGGTTTGCAATCGGGGCGACCAACTAGTCAGTGGTGTCTTCATCGCCGACCAAAAATAAAATAAAATAAAATAAAATGTCAATCGCATTCCACTCCGTCACTCCGATCCTGCGCATCTTCGACATCGCCAAAGCCGAGGAGTTCTACCGAGACTTTCTCGGGTTCTCGACCGACTGGGACCACCGCTTCGGGGACGACTTTCCTCTGTATCGACAAATTTCCAGGGGCGGGCTTGTCTTCCATCTGAGCGAACATCACGGCGACGGAAGTCCAGGGGTGCACGTCAGAATCAATACGAGTGGGATCGCGCAGTTCCACGCCGAGCTCGAATCAAAGAACTACCGATACATGAAACCGGGCCTGGACAAGGCGTCCCCGGACAGGCTGGAAATGACCGTCATTGATCCATTTGGAAATAAGTTGACTTTCGTCGAGGAGCAGAACAAGAAGAACGAACAAGGGTGATCCAGCGAGACACACCGGCCTTTGTGTAGATTCTACTCAAAACTACTTCCCTCTGGAGCTGAAAGTTGAACTTGATGAGCGTGAATAGTCGTTATGTCATGCGAACCATCAACTGAAGTCTATCCAAACAATGCGTCGCAGATGTACAAGCCCAACACCTTGGTATAGTGGACTTTGTTCTGGACAAGGTACAGTACCCTACGCTCTGCCTTGGGCTTTGGGATTTGATCCTCTTCCTCGTCTTCAAAGTCCCGCTTTCCCAAATCCAAACAGGCAAGATACTTCAGATCCACGCCATCATGGGCAGCGTAGTCCAGCTCCGTCCCTTTCCGTACATCCAGTGTGATCAAATGCTCGCCAGTGCTGCTGAGAACCTTGAGGATGATGAATCCACTCACGAGCATGGTGGAAAGCTGAGCTGGCACGTCAATCGAGAATCCGTCCGACCCCGGACCCTCGGGTCGCCGGGAGAACATCCCATTGTAAGGTCCTCTCGTCACCACAGTAGTGTTCCGTTCGTCGTAGAGTAGCTTCGTCAATATCAATTGAGCATCTACTCCAGTGACTTCGGCGAGATCAGAAACGGATTTGCATACCACTCGTCCGTGCAGGAAGTCATGCCAAGGCCACTCCGTCACGTATCGAGTTTTGGCCACGATGAGAATCACACCGACAATGAGCCAGGTGAAGGTGGTGATCTGGAAAGGGTCGACTCCGACGATTTCGTTCCGAACGACAAATGGGATCGCCAGTCCGCCGCCGAGGACAACTGCACAAAGACCCATGATCGCCATGATGTACCCTGTGCATCGAACCGTGACCGACGTTTCGGCAAAGACCCAGGACTGCATCCGTTTCTCCTCTTTCACATATTGTTGCACGACTTGCATTTCCTTTTTGGTATCGACTAGCTCCGGTTGATCAAGCGCAGGTAATTCTTGTAGGCGAGTCCTATCGAGTCCTAGTTGTGTACCAGCTTGTATTGAGTCAGTAAAAGTGCACCGAGAGTGAGCAGGAGCAAAGCATACCGCGAATACGTTTGGAGAAAAGGTCGCCCGAAACCGGTATGGTCTCAGGGTCGTTATACCACTGATCTGTGAAGCCAAGGCGACGCTTCCGACTCAAATAGTCTGCGCTTGCGACAACGAATTTGGCCTGGAAATGCTTGGGAGCAAATTGGAAAACGGGATCTTCTTCTTCCGAGTTCACTGATATGTTGCTGATCATCTTGAGCATCCGATCACAAACGTAGGACGTCGACAGTGAAAGTAGGATCAGAGCCGAGATGACTTCATCCGCGCTAGATGTTTGTAGAGACTTCTCGACCGTGTTTTGTCCTTTTCGGCCTTCCGCCCATCGCCACCTGACGAGCGTTTTCTCCTGGCTGTTGTCTGGTTGCTCTTGGGCCTTGAGGGCTTCTACAACTTCGAGGAGGAGTTTAAGCACCACATAAATGCAGCTAATACTTTGAGTTTGTGAGGTTGCAAACACGTCTCCATCACGGTCCGCACTGAGAGTCGTCAGAGAATGAGAAAGGCCCACCTCGTAAACGACGGTACAGACTTCAAAGGTGCTGGGAGCTGTCAAGAACCATTGAGTGGAGTATAATCCAAGGATACACGACCTGAAGATTGACTCCAGCCAAACGCGTACCATCCCGTTGTAGCTGAAGTAGAGCTGGGTTGCATCTGTTTCTTCGTGGACATCATAGCCGTTCTCGCCACCAGCGTCGGGTCTCTGACTAGCACCAATTCGAATTCTGATGATGCGAAACATTTCGGTGTCTTCCGACGCGTTTAGTTGCTCGATAATAGCTTCCCCATCTGACAGAGCCTGTCTGGCATATGTGACTGGGTCGTGGCAAAGCACCTTCAACTTCACAGCCCATCGAGCAAGAACAGCGATATTGACGCTCTTCCAAAACTTGCTCGACGCTAGGCGAAGCAACACACGGGCAACTGAGCTGGTGGCATAATCGACAAGGGCGAAGTATACCTTGGTATTGTCCGCTTCTGGTTCAATGCGGATCGGGATTCGAGGTTTGACTTTCTCATTCTGTTGAAACTTGCGTCTGAGCGTGCCCCTAGCAAGCTTGAACTGTGATGCCGCCTTCTCCAACTCTACTCCAGCACGGGAATGTTCGAGAATCAAAAGCTGGTTGTCATGAGAAACTATTGCAAGGTTGCAGAGAATTTGATCGGCAAAGTCGGAGATGATCTTGAATGCTTCTGGTTTTGTGGTGCCGAGGATATTGTCGCTGTTGAAGAGCAATGGCGATTCTGAAACGCAGTCCTTGATCAAGCGCTTTACCTCAAGGCGTACAAGTCTGTTCTCTTCATCTTTGTCGATGCCGTAATTGAGAGTGTCATCGAACTTTGGCAAATCCTCCAACACCAGTGGGCCTCTCACGAATTTTTCGTTCCAATTAGCCACTTCGAGGACGTCATCTTCATTGATTTCGAGCTTCCAGCCATTACGTGACATGACATTGGCACGCCTAGGCTTGGATGCGGGAACATCGGCTTCAGGTCTCGGTTTCTTCTTGGATTTGAATCTCTGCTTTGCGCTCCTGACGTTGATGTAAGCATACAACGTCGAAACAGTCTCAGGTATGAATAAACTCTCGCTGAGAAGATTAAAACCTCACCTGCTGATGTTTTCAAAGAAGCCAGTTGAGGCATGTTCTGAGCCTCCAGGATCTGCCAGCTTTTCATCCATGTCAAACATGATCGTCGTGCGGATCGTGATGATTTTTGATCAATGTAGTGCTCCAAGGATGGGAACAAGGCCGCAACAAGAATGAAGTCTAGGAAATGCGGACGCAAGATAGATAGGGAAGACTTCACGAAGTACGTCCAGAACTTGCTTGTAAGCTCACAGACACGGATGATACTTAGGACATGTTTTTGGCCATGACATCGAGATGGCCGTGGATCAGAGTAACCCTTGGACAGACCCTGTATCTCGCTCAGGGTTTGAGGTAGAATTCAACGGAGAAGGCATCTGCGCCACCATTGGTGTCGCCATTTCTGAGGCTAATGCACAGGGATTTGGCAAGATGCTGAAAAGGCAGCCACTAAACTGCGCAACAGCCTGATCGTTTCCTTTTGGCGAAATGCACCGGATCCTTTGAGCGGTAGGCCACAGTAGGCATGCATGAGTCAATGGGAGCACTCCAGCTTGAGATGGAGTGCAGCGACACCAAGTGAGATAGCTGGTCATCGAAAACAGGGCGAATGAAGAAGTTCAGCGGGGTTTGAGCTGCGCAGGGGCTTTATCACTGCGCCGTACATAATTACGGTGCGTATTTCGGATGCTTGACGCAGATAATGTCTACGGTCGGTCTGGCATGCGAACAACAATCTCAACCCTCTGTTTCTGAGCCTGAAGATACCCGATCTACGAAACCATGCAGTATCCTCGCAATGATGCAATCCCTTGAGAGGGCGGTTGGACTTCACCTCCAGACGGAACTTTTGCATTCCAGGTCGCTGCAGCCACGAGCTTTGTCATGTGTGATACCCCTAGTCAAGCGCTAACTACTCAGCAATCCTAGGAATCTCATAGGGTGTGGGTGCCTCGGACGAATGACCCTTCGCTTCTGTCCTACTAAGCGAGAATCTCGACAGGGCTACAAGTAAGTCGATCGGGAGAATTGGGACATTATAAGGAAGTACGCGAACCAATATGAAGAAACCATAACACACACGACATGAACCCCTGTTCCAGCCTCACCACACCCCCGGTCTCCGTACACAGCCTTCTTGCAAGTGCAGCAAAAGGCTGGATTTCTGCCTGATCCCAAGCGTGCACAGCCTTCTCAAAAGTTCCTCACGGCAAGCAGGAGATGAGTTGGGGAGATCCGTATGTGATTCGGACAAGGGGTCAATATGTTGTCGTCATTCTCAGTGGTCTGGACCTTGAGGCACCCACTAATCCTCTTCCTGGGCCCGGCAATCTCTCCTGTGTCTTCGTGGGCAAGGAAGCTCGCTCTTCCAACAAGATTCCTACGCACTTCTGAACAGTTCTGTTATTGACAATTGCTTCAATCATCCTGTACTCATCATGTCAGTGAACGACTACAAGAAAGCACGAGGTGCTCTATCTGGGGATGCGGATGAAGAAGCAGACATCAAGAAAATCGAGATGGTTGATATCATCGAGACCGAAGGAAGATGGGGTTCTCGATCTACCATTACTCTCACTGCAGACATCCACAAGGCACGGCAGGATAAGGACCGCTTTCAGGAGTATGCTCTGATCCTCCGGCGTCTGAGAGATGAAGATGGAAAGCCGCTCGCAACGAGACTCGAAATACAGTCGCCGATTATCCGAGCTGCCATACAGGAAGTATTGGGCGAATATCCCACCATCAATATGGAGTCCAATCCTATCATCATTGAGCGGCCTTACGCACCCCTCTACCACTATCGGAAAGAGTTGCGCGAGTATGCCGTTCACGCGGATCGCACCAAGGAAGAAAAAGACCACATGTCGACTCTGATTCATTTCATGGACTTGTACCTCCGCAAAGCCGAGAAGACAAATGAAAAGCTCCTGCCATCTGAACTCACCTCCCATGCCCTGCTGTGGACTCTATATCGACCTGATGATGTTGTTATTGCTCGGAGAGACTATTTCACTGAAGCTTATGTGATCGAGTCGTGCTCAGTGGTCGAGTTTCCACAGGACAACGAGATTAAAATGCGTATCACTCTTGTGTGTCGCTCATGGGACTACAACGGTGCGAGATTTGGCCCTGTCACAAAGACTATAAACCTCAGGAGTTTCATTGGGAACAAAAAGATCTATGACTTGGACGTCTACCCGATACAATATCATAGAGAGCCGGATGGTCAGGACATCAGACGGAAACTGATCAACCGAGGCTTGAAATGGAGGAATATCGTCGAAGTAGCTCACCGCGAATATTCTGGTATGTTTGTTCAGGCAATCCACGTTTCCGAGAAGAGGGCTGACACGAGATGCTCCAGCAATATGTTGGACTGATCCTCTTACCCAAGCCGAAGAGGTTCGTCAGATCGAAGATCTTGTGCCGGTACATGTAAGTCGACTCTACGGCCGTGATGGGGATGGAATGCCTACTGACAATTTATTCTTAGACGAGCGGCCGTATCATCCTAGACTACGCAACTCACCAGCAAGCAAGACCTCAGCTCGCGACATTGTTGGCCAGGGGCAGCGCAACGAAAGCGGTGACAAAGGACGCAAAGGATGCCATTCCCGCCAATCAGGGCGACGACTTCTTGCTTAAAGCTGACGATAGTTCCAAGCCCAACAAGCGCGAAAGAAGCGAGTACGACGACAGATATCTATCACACCCAAACGATGCAACGTACAAGATGACGCACTCGCAAGCTCTAATCTGTCCAGCTCGAATTCGCGGATTTTCTCTCACCGACAAGATCTGGGCCTTCTTCCTCGTGGATGAGGTGAAGGATATAACATGGGCGGAAGACTCGTTCAAGACTCTCGAGCTTGAGCCCAGCGTCAAAAAGACCATCAGCGCCCTTGTCCACTCCCACGGCAAATCAAATAAAGCGCAGGACCAGACGGCTGACGACGTGATCTCCGGCAAAGGGAAGGGACTGGTATTCTTATTGACGGGTCCTCCAGGTTTGGGCAAGACATTGACAGCAGGTGAGTAAGATTTGGTGATACGTTTCGTTTCTTTCCATCACCACCAGCTCATCAACTGACACATTTGGGGGACTGTGACAGAAAGTATCGCCGAGAATACACATCGACCTCTCTACGCCCTCACGTGCGGCGAGCTAGGTACCGACCCGGTTGAGACGGACCAGATCCTCCGCCGGATCTTCATCCGGGCCAAATCCTGGAACGCCATACTGTTGCTGGACGAAGCCGACGTCTTCCTCGCGAAGAGGGAAAGGAACGACCTGCAGCGAAATGCATTCGTATCCAGTAAGTACATAATTACCCGTCAAGTGTCAATACGCTCCCCAAAGGTACAATGTTGCACTTCTCTCGTGTTTGCTGATACCGTCACCGCGACGCTGCACAGTCTTCCTCCGTCTCATCGAGTACTACGCCGGCATCTTGTTCCTCACGACGAACCGCCTCACGGAGTTCGACGAGGCGTTCCAAAGCCGGATCCACCTCACCGTGCACTTCAAGCTGCTGGACGACACCATGCGCGCGGCGATCTGGAAGAACCTCCTGAGCCGCTTCGACCCGGGCCCCCAGTGGCGCACCGACGCCCTCGCGAAACTCGGCCGCGAGTACAGGATCAATGGCCGCGAGATCAAGAATCTGATCCGCACCGCCGCGGCGTTGGCCGAGTTCGAAGGCGTGGCGCTCGACGAGTCGCATTTCCGGACGGTGTACAAGCTTAACACGACGCAGTATTGCGACGGTCTCGATGTCCCGGTCGCCACTGGAGGAGGAGGAGGAGGAGGAGGAGGAGGAGGAGGAGGTCTTGTCCCTGGCACGGGTAAAACTTAGATTCTAGATCAAGGCAAATGGCAAGGGTAGAGGGTTTGGTCGGGGTCCCATATCAAATTCCTGGTACAGCTACAGGGCAAGGTACAGGTGTACGTATGTCGAGGCATATATGTACATATCGCAAGGGCACGGTTTTACATGACGCACTCACTCGTAGGTCTACAGTAGTTAGAATCAGATATAATAGACCGCTCAGCCGACTCCCCGGATTGTGCGCGACTGAACAGACCGTTGTAGCGTCTTAAAGCGTTCTCGAAAAAGTTCAAAGATGAACAGCAAATTCGACATACCATTATTGCCTCTGCCTCTGCCGCTAATGCTGACGCTGAGGAAACAAAGCTGGAAAACTTCATAACGTCGTGACTATTGTCTTTTTCGAGATCCCCCTTTCCCCTGTGAATACGTCCCCCCAGACGACAATGCCATGGTCAATACCTGGTACAGACGCCAGACAATTCACGTCGAACCGATTCGAGCCGATCCAAGCCGATAACCAACTACCGTCCAGATACAGAGTGGTTGTAAGAAACAAAAAACTCCTCAATCACCTTAGTTAGTTGATCATACTTCCAACACCTTTCCTCCCAAACCCCTTGATCTTGTCCTACTGGCCTGTTTCGCCCGGATCAACTTCACCTCGTCTCCGATGATCCTGGCGTCTCTCCACTGTTCTTCCAAATTACTCATCCTTATCGCTGCCATCACGGCAAACACGCCGGCGCGGAATTTCTGGACAGGCCTCAGTCTCGTCTCGTACTTGGCTTTGTCCACGGAAACGCCCATTTCGTTGAGAATGCGTAGATCAACTTGGTTACTGTTGAGTTGAGCAAAAGGTTAGCGTCCGCGTTCGTAGATACGAGGAAATAAGGAAAGGGGGGAAACATACCATTGCACTCTCATTGCTTCACCCTGCTCGAGGAACGCTTTGCTCCACGCCAAATCTTTTCTCAACCTTTCCTCCCGTCGGCACTTGGCCTTCAGCCAAATCACCTCCTTGATCAGACCTCTCACTTCCTTCTGTCGAACCTCGTCCTTCACCAACGATTTACCCGAGCTGAGTCGTTCGAGCATACTTTCGTACTTGTTCTGTAGAACTTCAAGTTCATTCTCGACCGTTTCGGCCTTTTGGTTTGCTCGGGTTCGTTCCTCCCGAAGTCGACGCAGCTGTTGCTTCATTTCTCGTGCCTCTCCGCTCCGCACCGACAGACGCATGGAAAGGTCATGGACGGATGATTCTTGTTCCTCACGCAGTCGCTTAACTTGGGCTTTGAGCTCGTCGACTTGCCGGTCGCGTCTACTCGGACCGCCGCCCGAGACCCCATCGCGATCTTCCTCTTGAAGACGGTCGAGTTGGTCGCGCAGCTCGTCAATGAGATCATTCTGCTCGGCAATCTTAAGCTCGAGGGCCTCGATCTCCTCTGCGCGAGATCTCAGTGACACAAGTTCCTCGACATCTGTGCCGTTTCGACGCGTCGTACGTCTAAGTTCACGATTCTCCGAAGAAAGGACCTTGACCTCTGCTTGAGCATCGACAAGGTCTTGTCGGATCTTTGCTATCTCTTTCGAATGTGGCGGTGGAGGTGATAGGGACGGTGACTTTGCCTTGTACTGAGCAAGCTTTGACTCGTGAAGTTCTCTCTCAAGATCATTGATTCGGATCTTCAACTCTCTGTTGGCCGACTTGAGTTCAACCTCCCGCTTGGCGATAGCTGTTTCGTTCTTCCTCGCATCTGCCAGGTCTCGAGTGAGTCCCGTCAGATCCGCGTGCGGCGAGTTCACAACCTTGGTCTGATTATCTAACAATGATTCGAGGTCTTTGATGCGTGCTTCCAGGCGAATAATCTTAGCTTTCGAATTGCTGAGTTCTCGATCTCGGGTTTCCCAAGCGCTTGACTTTTGCGAGCGAAGATTGTCAAGTTCCGAATGGAGACGCACTTCCTCCTTACTGGCTCTTTCAAGTTCTGCATTGATCTCATCTTCGAGAGCGTTGTTTGCCTCAGCAAGGTTGTCACGCTCAGTAGTGAGTCTCGCCACATCGGCCTCCAGTTTGACTTTGAGGCGCTTCAGTTCACGCTTCTCATGGTCAACATTGAAAGTGTCATCGTAAGGCTTCTGCACACGCTGGACTGCCGCCTCGAGTTTCTCCCGTTCTTGCTCTGCAGACCGGAGCGCTGTTCTCGCACCATGTAGTTCCACATTGGAGTTCGTCAGCTGCTCTTGTAACGCTTGCTTCTCTCGTTGCAGCTTTTGGACCTGTGCATCCGCACTGGTAGAATATTTCTGTTGCTGTCTTTCTGCGAACTCATGCTCTTGCTCGATATCTGCCTGCAGAACTTCAATCTCCTCCTCCAACTCTGCAACTTTCTCTTTCAAAGCTGCTTGCTCTCGGATAGAAATGCGCAATTCTTCCTTGGCATTATTCAATTCTGTACGGCTGTCATCCGCCAGGTTTCGCTTGGATCGCAGGTCTTGTTGAAGTTCTTCAATCTGCTTGGAGAGAATCATCTCTTCTTGTCGGTGACGTTCCTTCTCACTCTCAATCGCCTCTTGGAGTCTCATTTCCCGTCCCGACAAAGTGCCCTGAGCATCCTGCAGCTTATCGACGGTACGCTGCAATCCTCTGGCCCTCTCTTCTGCCTTTTGAGAAGCCGCCTCAAGAGTCTTGCGCTGGGACTCCCAGTCTTCTAAGTCTGCTGCATGATCGTTTGCTTTGGCATTCACTTCGCGATGGAGGCCGTCGATCTGTTCGTTAAGAAGGTCAATTTCATTTCTGTGTCGGGATAGCAGATCATTTTCTTTCCTTGCCGAAACTTGTCGTTCCTCCTCGAGCGCGTTCTCAAGCTCCGCATTTGCATTCTGCAACTGGTTGAGATCTTTTTGTAACTCGGCTGATTCTCTGGTCAGAGCATCGTGTCGTGTCTGAAGCAAATCCTTTTCCTCCACTTTTATTTGCAATTCTCGTTCCACAGTCTCAAGGTGTTTGGTCGTGTTTGCCAGCTTCCGCTCTAGAGTGTCACGCTGTTGATGTGAGAGCTCGACCTCTTGCTGAAGCTTTCGCAGGTCAGATGCACCTTCCCGCTCCAGTTCACGAACGCGGTCCCGTAGTTGCCGCTCAGATTCTGTCTTCTCATTCATTTCTGCCTGGAGCGCGTCGTGCTGTTCTTGCAGAATCTGGAAGTCGTCCTCCAGCTTGTTTGCTTTTTCTTCTAGTTGCCGGCTCAAACCTTTCGTTGTGAACGACTTGTTGGCCATCTCGTCGCGTAACTCGTCCAGGTCCTGTTCTGCTTTTCGTTTCTCCTCCAGAGCCTCTTCCTTTTCCTCTTGCGCTTCATTCAGATCTTCTTTTGCGCGATCGAGGCTCTGCTTGAGGTCCTCAATTTCCTGTTTAGCAGATTCCAAGTCTTCTTCGATTTCCGCAGCACTGTTCGATTCTTTGCTAGCCTTCATCTTCAACTCGTCGATCTGGTCCTCGCGCTCATCAGCGATACGTTCCTTCTCACGGAGGTCGGCCTGCAAGTCTTCGATCTCGTCTCTCAACTTCTGAACTTCAGACCGATCTTGACTTGCAACATGGTCCCGTTCCTCAGCCAGAGCTTTGATCTCCTCATCCTTCTCTCTCAATTCTGAACGTAGGGTTTCCAGCTCGTGGCGGACATTCTCGTCAAACTGTTTCCGCCTAATGCGCTCCTTGAATTCTTCCAGTTGTAATCGGTAAACTTCCGCGTCTTTTTCCGCCTGTGCTATGTTTTTCTTGAACTTGTGTAGTTCGCGCTGCATGGTGATTCGATTGACTTTTAGATCCGTGTTCTCCTTGAGTGCCGCTTGGTTGAATTCGTTCCCCCGCTTCGACAGAGCCTCTTCGAGGAAATGGATCTTCATTTTCAGACCGAAATTCTCCTTTTCAATCTTGTCTATAATACCTTCCTGTTCCCGCAGGGTCATCATATTCCCGTCATTAACAAGCCCCCCGCCATCGCGAGTAGGTAGCTGCGCAAGAGGGGTACTTTTGACGCTGCTGCTAGGGTGATGAGGTATCGGAGTATCGTCGACTGCACGCCCGGCCGAGCTCGAGGTGTATTCGCCCTCCAGACGCGACAGGTCGCTCAGTCGCGGGAGTGCAGGAGTTCGCCCGTTGAGATACGAAGGTGTGTTTGACGCGGGTTGTTTCCTGCTGGACAGTCGCCTAGCAATGTTGTTCTTGGTGCCACTCTTCAAGAAGGGTGTGAATTCTGAGCGGCCTTGGTTGACGTTGGGTAGGAGTCGAAGAGGGTCTCGCGTGCCGGCCCTGGGCGTTTTGAGATTGGCTCCCGAATGTAGCTTTGCGCTTCGCATCTGAGATACCAAGTCGCCACCCTGGCTAGGGACGTGGAAGGATTTCTCGGGGGATACATCTTCAAGTCTGCCACCAGCATTGGTCATGAATGTGCTTTCGTAGGTTTGCGCAGGCGTGTGGATGTAGTCCATGGCGGGCGGACGGGCTTACAAACGATGAAGACGAAGGCAGAAAATCCAAAAAGAATGGCTAAATCCAACAGTAAGACATGCTGTTCTGTTCTAGACTGAGCTGCAGAAGTTCCACGTCCAACTGCGCGAGGTTTGATACACACTGTATGTTGATATTTACCAAAGGGGAATAGTGTGTTTTGGTATTAGCGCCAACCAACTCCGGCCAATCAGCACTTAGCACTAGTCGCCTCCCCTCCCCGTCTCTGTCCAATTCTCTCCAGGTACATACAGAGCATGCCTTCTAATGTCTCATTAGATGCCCTCTGGGAGGAAATGATCGATATGTGGCCCGAACGGTGTCTGACGAGCTCTAGAGGCATTTGTGTCGCCCATCTCATGTCCTCTAAGCGCCCAGGACTGTTTCATTCGACCATATGACAGTGGTTGATAATTCTGGGTTACAAGCAGCAGCACAATTAACGTGTTCCGTTGTGACAGCTCTCTTCCACCTTTGGTATAGAGCCATGTCTAGGTCCGAAAGAGCTCTCTGCCGTGACCTCTGTTGTTCTTTAGATGTGACAACCATCAGAAGGTCAAAGAGCCGAGCCTACTTCCGACGCATATATAGTTTTCATTACGGCGGCCTCGTGTTCGAGTGTCCAGTTTGCCGGCTTTGGTGCCCTTTCAGGAATGTCGATTGCATGATACTGATCATGGTTGTCCTGAATGTCCGACAACAACTTTCTGCACATTCTCCACGCTCGATATGCCGATGGAGATCCTTGACTCAGGCACCAAATATAAGCCATGGCCTTGCGCAGGTAGTTGACCACTTCAGGGATCTCGTTTTGAAAGTGTTGGCAGCCAAGTGCCATTTCCAGCAGCAAGACTGCGGTAGCTTGGGCTACGTAGTGGAGTAGTGACCACCACGGAAGAAGTTGGTAAGCCTCGTGGGCGCTGGGATTGTCTGGGATGATAGCCAGCAACGACATCGCCGCATGGACGCATGCGCGTGCCGAACTCCGATTAAATTCTTGTGATGCGTGGGATTGGTTTTCGATGATGACCTCGCATAAGCAGGGCCGGTGTAGGATCATTTGCACGCTGTGGTAATACATGGCCAACTCAATTCTGGCACGAGGATCAGAATCCTCCGTGGTGTCGCTTTGCAAGTTCAGCTCGTCCGGAAGGCTCTCGGCCCAGTGCCTCAAGTCCGTTTGCAATTCACCAATCTTTTGCTGCACCTGCGACCATGAGTCCTCGGACGTTCCGCTGTATAAGCGTGTTCCAATCTTATCGCTCAGGCGGCACAGATAGACTCGCTGCGGAAAATAGAGATGTGAGATCCCGCGGCCGATTGACGGGAAACTGGTCCACGGAACCATGACTCCTGTCATTGTCTGGGATATTTCACGCCTCGCCCTCAAGAAATCAAGCCATACTCTCCGAGACTCCGCAGCCGTTATGAAATGGTTCCCCTCAGCAAGGTTCATAGCTTCGATGTCGTCGCGTTGGAACAAGTCAACCGGAGTCGTCACATCAGACAAAAATATAGATTTTGGTCTTCCAGTTATCTCGGCGATCAAGATTTCGAGGGAATACAGCGCGTACCACGTCCGAACGCGTCTCGCTCGCTCGTTCTCGCCCAGGTCAGGATCTGAGACCCTTAGATGCAAACCGAGTGCCGTGGCATGACGTGTAGCATGACCCAAAGTGTTCCACGCACTGCACAGAATTAGAGACTGAGTAGAGACTGGGTCGGACCGGATTCACTCACCGAGTGATGGAGCCATTGATTAATAGATAAAGTGCCAGAACACCGATCCCCTGGACTCGTTCGATGTCCGGATGATCAAAGACGACCCGGTGGTCGAGACCCAGAGCGCGTGCTCTTGCATAATATACTAAATGAGTTTCTGGAGGGCTGGATTGATCCAGTTTCGTGATGTACAGCCATTTTGACCCAATGGCCCAGACAAGGTTGGCCAGTGCCAGCCAACGCCGCTCGGCCCAGGTCGGCATATTTCTTCGGCGCGGATACGAGAGCAGAGTATGTAGAAAATTCTCCCTCATCACGAAAGGCAACGTGCCTTGCATGCAATGGAAGTACGCCTCAGTCAGGAGCAGAGCACTCTCACCGGGAGGCCATTCATAGGGATCAACGAGATCTTCGTCAAATGCCAAGATATCGACATCGTCCATATAGAAGCAGAAGTCTTTGGTTGTGGTGAGATGATGGTCCATGACACCCATGGAAACTTCCGGCAGGTCTGTGCTGTTCCTTTCTTGATAGCTCATTAACTCAAAAGCACGACGGATCCAGGACATTTCTGACATCTTCCCAATGAACCCAGACGCACCAGAGCCGCCACCAAGGTCGACCACCTCCGCCAATTCCCCTTGCTTCCCTGGAGAGCCGACGCTAGATGCCGCGGTCTTTTCGCCTGAGACAGAACCATGTTCGTCACCATAAGACATGCGGTGGGATGCTGGACGTTGTTTACTACTTGCCACCGTGGGAGTGGAGTGACCACCGGATTCGTATCCATTCTGCGACGGTTCTTGTGAATACTACCATCCTAGAGTCAGCATATCTCGACAGGTATTCAGCCGAATATGTCATACCTGGGACAAAAGCTCGAGAATGTCGCCATGTCTTGGTGCATCGAATTCATCGCTAGTCGTGAGCGAGCGGAGTGCAGTGAGCAAGGCATGATTATCTCTTTTCAACTCATCAATGCGATCCAAGCACTCGGCCAGGTCCCTGTGCAGAGTCAGTACTGTGACGCTGTCGAGATCTTCGAAAAGGGCAAGGGCTACTTTTTGTTGCGCTCTCTTTTCCGGTCCCCGTACACGCAGCCGGCATTGTCCTTGACACACTTGGTACAACGGTCGCCCCCAGAACACTTGGTGCGCATAACCCTACACCTGTCACAGGCATGTGAGGTCCGTGACTTGTTGGCAGAGCTTCCAGGTCTATCTGGTTGTCTAAGGGGAGCTGGGCCTGAGTACGGTGGTTCGCCCTTGGGAATGACTGGCCGTGAAGGGAGTAATCGACCGGGTCCTGTTGACATGTCGAATGGGGGGTCTGCTGTAGGGTCTCTCAGATATCCGGCGCAGTATGGCGTTGCACGGTCTAAATAATGTGTATATCTAGAAAAACGAGGATGGTGTGGTTGAGACTTGGTTTTGACAGTGATAGTGGACAGGGAGTCACGGATATGATGCTCATGATTGTTGAACTGGATTTGAAATCCACGGTGTATCGTGAAGAGAGTTCAAGAAGGGTATGTCCGTATTGATAGGTGTGGTGCTGGCTAAAGAAACACAGCAACTGAGCGTCAAAAGCAGTTTCTGGGGCGAGGTAGAAATGCAACTTCCCCGATCAGCCAGAGATGGTCCTGGTGGTTTGTTGATCAGCAAATATGCCTGTGATCGGGTCTGGCAACCACCAATCTTTCTCATCTGGAGGGTGGCCGGCCGACTCGTGCCCACCAACCCTAGGAGAGCGACGACAGCCAGGAAAATATTTCCGTTGGCACAGGCTGCGCGTAAAGTGTAGTATCCGCAATTCCGAGGGTTAATCGACATGTGGCCTGGGTTCTGGGGGGTATGACGAAGCTACCGAACTCACATGCAACCTATTACAACACGTTCCTTCGAAGGTCCAGCAGCCAGTATCAACATCAAGCTTGACGCCAGCTCAGCCTCTGTCGCAGGGACCAGGCCCTCGGTCTTCCCGCACAGATTGCGGCTGCCCATGACTGAGAGCTTGAGATTGCTCGTCAATATTAGGGGTACATTATATGGCCGGAGAGAATGCTGCGACGGTAGGTTTCTCGAGAAATTCAGAGATGTGAAAAAGATTTCCGGGATCAATGATTGGCTGAGCTGCGTCCGAATGACGATCGGTTTGGTCCAGCTGGAACCATTCGCAGTTCCCACTGGTCCTGGCCACGAATAATGAGTGAGAACTAATTAAATCATCCTCATGACAGCGTTCAGTGTCCACCCAGCGAGGGAGGCGAAGAGCAAATGACCTCAGCTCGGCTGTTGTACTGTAAGACAAGAGAGGGCCCAGCTGGGAAAGAGCATGGTATTATTGCTCCTTGCTCCTGATTGCAAGAGAGATCCCAAAGAGAGATTGAGGAACCAAGTTTAGTCGAGGAGAGCTTGTACCTGGAACGCGAGTTGGTTGATGGGCAAAAGCATAGAGAAACCGATTGTTGGACTTCCGCGTCTTCGGACAATAATGTGGCGGCTGGTGGCACATCAACCATCAAATTTCCGTATTAAACGTCCCGAGGGGCGTGTCGGTTTGAGGATCTAGCTGTCCGCGCCCTCATTCCCTCTCTGCAGCTTCAGACCTGATGGGAACACCCATACGAAGCGTAGGATGCACTGAGAATCTTCGACGGGCAAATCGGTTTCAAGGCTTCAGGAGACACCATTCCAGGTACTCGTATTCGTATGGCAATTAGACACGGAGGAATAACACAACGGGGTGTGATTGGGGTTACGATGGTGCATTGTTAGATATGTGGTTTGAGCGTACAGCATATCCGGCGCGGAGATCTCGGCCAGGTCCAGCCCAATGGCCTGGCTAGGCCTCACTAACTTAGTGTCGAGAGCAATTGTCTGGGTTTCGATAAGGAGGATTTTTGGATGTCATGAGAGGAGCTCGGCTAGTAAAGCCAACTCTCTCTGCGTTCTTCCATGCCGAGATCTGCCGATGCCTGCGAACAGGAGATGCGGAGGGGTGACACGACAAGACCAAGGCCAGGAACAAGAGTGCTCAGAAGATATGTTAGCGCAGTAGGATATGTCGTGTGATGCTTGCAGTGGTACGAGGCGTAGCGAGGCCATGTATCCAGGACACAGGTATCTTGCTCCCTAAGCATGAGTCCGCGGGCTCTACGAGCGCAGTGTAGACGGTGGTGTCGAGCTCGCCCGATGACGTTGCTCCAAGTCCTTCACCAAAACGGCAGGCGCCGCATGTCAACAAGCCAAAAAAACTGCCCCTCCAAAAAGTGCATCGAGCTTGCTCGCCGAAAAAGAAACCACGCCTGATATTTACTTGCACTCGCCTCAACATACATCCTTCTCGATATCTCAGGGATTGCAGTCGCTTCGACTACCGCAGGTCTATTTTCTACGTTCATTTTTACCTGCGAGTGACCAAGAATTGCTCGCAAGGCTACGTATCTCCATCTCGTCACCACTTAGAACAAGAAGCTCCGGCCTCAGTCCACCAGTTTCCCACCGACTCCCCCAGTTGAACTCTCGGTCTCTGTGCCCTCTCTCCACCATGGCAAAGGTCGACCAAAAAGCCGTCTTGAGTAGGCTGTCTCTCAATCTTCCCGTCAAATGCAGCGAAGGCTAACTCGGCATTAGTTGTCATCGATGGCTGGGGCATCCCGTCCGAAACCTCTCCTCCTGAAGGCGATGCCATCGCTGCGGCCGACACCCCCGTCATGGACGGCTTCGCAAAAGAGGGGTCATCCACTGCACAAGGCTACACCGAGCTGGAGGCTTCTTCCCTCGCGGTCGGCTTGCCCGAGGGACTGATGGGAAATTCAGAAGTCGGGCATTTGAACATCGGTGCCGGCAGGGTGGTCTGGCAAGACAGTGTTCGCATTGGGCAGACCATTAAGAAAGGCGAAATGAAGGATGTCCCCAGTGTCAAGAACTGCTTCCAGCGCGCCATCGATGGTAACGGAAGACTTCATTTCCTCGGTCTCGTCAGCGACGGTGGTGTCCACAGCCACATCGACCACCTCTTCGCTCTCCTACAGGTAGCCAAAGAAATGAAGGTTCCCAAGATCTTCATTCATTTCTTTGGAGACGGTAGAGATACCGATCCCAAGAGTGCTGCCGGCTACCTGCAGCAGCTGCTGGACAAGCTCCAAGAGTTGGGTGTTGGTGAATTGGCTACGATTGTTGGTCGGTATTATATCATGGATCGCGACAAGAGATGGGACCGTGTAGAAATCGGTATGAAGGGTGTTGTCTTGGGCGAGGGCGAAGATTCGACCGATCCCCTGGCGACAATCAAGGAGCGCTATGACAAGGGCGAGAACGATGAATTCCTCAAACCCATCATCGTGGGTGGTGAAGACCGCCGAATCAAAGATGGCGATACATTGTTCTTCTTCAATTACCGTTCGGATCGTGTAAGAGAGATCACTCAGCTACTGGGCGACTATGATCGATCTCCCAAGCCCGACTTCCCTTATCCCAAAGACATCGAGATCACCACCATGACTCAGTACAAGACAGACTACAAATTCCCCATTGCTTTCCCACCCCAACACATGGGCAATGTGCTCGCCGAGTGGCTCGGTAAGAAGGGCATCAAGCAGTGCCACGTTGCTGAGACTGAAAAGTATGCGCATGTCACCTTCTTTTTCAATGGTGGTGTGGAGAGACAGTTCGAGGGTGAAGAACGGGAGATGATCCCAAGCCCCAGGGTTGCCACATATGACCTGGAGCCTCCCATGAGTGCTCAAAAGGTCGCCGACAAACTCAGCGAGAGGATCTCGGACAACAAGTTCGAGTTTTTGATGAACAACTTTGCCCCTCCCGACATGGTTGGCCACACTGGAGTGTATGAAGCGGCGATCAAGGGAGTCACGGCCACCGACGCGGCCATCGGCACCGTGTACGAGACCTGCAAAAAGGAGGGCTACATTCTGTTTGTGACGGCAGACCACGGCAACGCCGAAGAGATGCTGAACGAGGAGGGAAAGCCAAAGACTTCGCATACCACCAACAAGGTGCCCTTCGTCATGGCAAACGCACCCGAGGGCTGGAGCTTGAAGAAAGAGGGCGGGGTGTTGGGAGATGTCGCACCAACAGTCCTGGCGGCAATGGGTATCGAGCAACCGGAAGAAATGGGCGGGACAAGTCTCTTGATCAAGAAGTAAGTGGACCTGGAGTCGCGCAAAGGCATTATTATTAGCAATATCTTTACCGACTGCAAGGCTCAACTTGCACCCTGATGCGGAGCGTTCGTGCATTGACGAAATCCGAGCTGATATGAGAAATGAGATAGACGAAAGGCAAGCGACTTGAATCCGCAAGCCGAGGCATAGAATCCTTCTCCTAGTCCTCCATACTATCCTCCCTATCATCCTTCTCCGCGAAGCGAACAGACGGTGACTTCTCAGAACATTGGGCGTCTGTCTTCCAAACTCCGGAAGCTGTCCCACTACCAATCAAGAACAGGACGTACCGGGTCATAGAAGGTTTCCAGCATACCTTGGGATGTTCTTTCAAGGCAGACAGGTCGAAGACCAATAGAGAGATTGGCTAAACTAAACGTGAATATGAGGATATACACTACCCCTGCATGTACCATGCCAGACAGAAACCGGGGTATCGCTGGTCAAAACTCCATAAATTTTAGATAGATAGAAGGGTAGGTCGCATGTTTCCCTTCGTTCAAGAAAAGGGGGAAGAGAAGATATACACCGTGCTTTCGCAGGACTACAGGCACCAAGTCCTCGTTCTACAGTACCTACGAGTACATACAGAAACACACTTGGCACTCGTAGTTCTAGAACTTCTCAGAAAGTCAAGTATCCCGCAGAAAGTTTGCGCTCACTAGCCCTGATAGGTTAGATCGATCGGCCCCACAAGCCGATGGCAAGTTGGCCGAACGAGTCTCAACTTTCTGGTTTCTGCAAACAATGCACTCATACGAATGAGAGTTATGACTCCGTCGTAGTCTCGTCGACACTTCCAGGCTTATACAATTCTGACCGGCTTTCAAATCCCTCTCTTTCTCTCTCTTTCTCTCACCCACGCACATTGACACACGCACATCTTAGTCCCCTCCCCATTGCGAAGAACAGAACAAGTTCCCTTACAAGAGGGGGGAAAAAATCTGTGCACCCTTGACTGTACCCCTTTCCGATTGAGACTGCTCTCTCGAACCCGAGTGTTCTGTCGTTGTTTTCGTGTCCCTTCCAGAGAGTAACCCTGGAAAATGTCATTGACAGAGTCGACACCCGACGCCGCCGCAAAGGCTGCCTCTCTTTCGGCACGCAGCCTCGCAGTCCTATCGGTTGCAGCACGAAATGAAGCCCTAACGGCAATGCATGACGCTTTGCTTGCCAACAAAGAATCAATCCTCGCTGCCAACGCACGGGACATGGCTCAAGCCACATCTGCATCGGAGTCCGGTCATCTCTCACAGGCGGTGTTGAAACGTCTCGACCTATCCAGACCTGGAAAATATGATGACATGCTCCAGGGTATCCTGGATGTGCAAGGCCTCGACGATCCTATCGGCAAATGCGACCTGCGGACCCTGCTTGACGATGGACTGGAGCTGGAGCGCGTCTCCTGTCCGATTGGGGTGCTGCTTATCATCTTCGAAGCCCGGCCAGAAGTCATTGCCAACATTGCAGCGTTGGCGATTAAATCGGGCAATGCCGCGATACTGAAAGGTGGAAAGGAGTCGTCTGCCTCTTTCGAGACTATTGCCAAGGTGATTGGGTCTTCGTTGGAAAAGACACAGGTGCCGAATGCGGCTATCCAGCTCGTCAAGACGCGGGATGTCATCGATCAACTGCTGGGACTGGACCAATATATTGACCTCGTCATTCCTCGGGGCGGAAATGAACTCGTTCGATACGTCAAGGAGCACACCAAGATCCCAGTCTTGGGCCATGCGGACGGGCTATGCAGTATCTACATACACAGTGATGCTGACAAGGACATCGCAGTTCGTGTGGTGGTTGACTCCAAGTGCGATTATCCAGCGGCCTGCAACGCCGCAGAGACCCTGCTGGTGCATGAAGCCGCTCTGACAACCATCCTACCAGCTGTAGCTGAAGCGCTGTTTGCGAAAGGTGTCTCTCTGCGGTGTGATGATAAAAGTTTTGATGCTTTGAAGCGGCTGCTCCCTCCAGCCAGCGCGACTCTGGTACAGAGTTCCACCGACCAGGATTACGATACGGAATTTTTGGATTTGATTATGGCGGTAAAGACGGTGCCTGGCTCAAAACTAGGTGATGACACGGACGGTGGTTCGCTAGACATGGCCGTTGCACACATCAATACGCATGGCTCGAAGCATACCGACTGCATCGTAACAAGCTCTAAAGAGGCGGCAGACAAGTTCATGTCTTCGGTCGACGCGGCCGGTGTGTACTGGAATGCATCTACGCGGTTCGCGGATGGCATGAGATACGGCTTTGGCACCGAAGTCGGCATCAGCACGAACAAAATCCACTCGAGAGGACCGGTTGGCCTCGAGGGCCTCACCATCTACAAGTACAAGTTACGGGGTCATGGTCAAGTCGCTGGTGAATACGGAGAAGGAAGCGGTAAAAGACGGTATAAGCATGAGAGATTGGCCGTCTGAATTGCGTGATGAGCCTGTACAAAACTGGACTCGTAAAGAAAACAGAGCCTCCACGGGCGGCCCATCCTGAACGAAATTCCAAGAAGCTTGTGACTGGCGGAATAGGAAGTGTACCTACAGAACGATTGAATGTGCACCAGAAATGGACCAGCTCCCTCCATGCTCAGAAATGCATTTCGTCTTCCTCGATCGATTCTATGACGGTCTGATTCCCATTGCTCCGTGGAGAACCTAAGGCACGATTTTCGACGCTCCACAATCTGTTGGGAATCGCGTTTCGAGATATCCTTTTCACAACGATAACTTCATCGCCTTACGTTTTCACCTCGACGACCAGATCTTTTTATTAAGGGCGACTCTCAAGGCCATCGATGGATACCCGTCGGGTTCCAAGTCACAGGGAGCGAGCGCCTCCATGAATGACCTCCTTTACCTGAAGGGGACATGATACATGATTCTCGGCACGAAGCAGCACTCCGCCCACGCCGCAAGAGGTTTGCTTTGACTGGGCAGGTGGCAGAGAATTGGACATCCTAGAGAGATGATATAAGCTAGTTAAAGCGCCTGAATCCTAAAACATCACCCAAAATTGATGGGTAATCGCGACAAATAGACCAGGACTTTCGACGACGCCCGGGGGACTTTTCAAGTATGGCAGTCGCCGCAGGACGAGCCCGGACAGCCCCGATATATGAAATTTTCCCACAGAATTTGCGCATCATAATGCTGTAATACCCGGCAATCAATAGTTACCTAGTAGTAAACGCAATTCTAAATGCCTGGAATGAATAACTCAGGCATGTCCCGACCCAAAAAGACGATACGGCAACGAGACAATGCAGACAGGGTGCAGTCACTAAATATGACCCTCTCTCTCACACCAGAGTCCGATCTACCACGCAGATGGCCTTCCCGTTGACAGCGCCCCTTTCCAAGAGGTCGACCATCGTAGGAACCTCGGCGAGACCGTCAAACGCCTGCGTCTCGGCTTTGATATCGTGCCTGGCGACGACGGCGAGCATCTCCTGGGCCGTGTCTCGGTCGCCGTACATTGTCCCCTTGATGGTGACGTCGCGCAACACGACATCTTGAAAGGGAACGGCGATCTCCTCGGGCTGCGCAGCTTGCACGACCGTGCCATGCATGCGTGTGATGGCGACCGACAGAGCCGCCGTGGAGGGGTGGTCGCTGACGTTGATCGTGGCCTCGACCCCGAGGCCGCCCGTGAGGCTCCGGACCTTGTCGGCGAGCTGGGCCTTGCCTCCGCGCGCGTCCAGGACGTGGTCTGCGCCGGCCCTCCGCGCGATTTCCAAGCCGTCGTCGCGCGCGTCGACGGCGACGACGTTGATCCCCTTTGCCTTGGCGAACTGGACTCCGAAATGGCCCAGCCCGCCTCCGGCGCCGACGATCGCGAGCCACCCGCCGGCGGCGACCCCGCTGGCCACCACGGCCCGGTAGACCGTGAGGCCGGCGCACGCGAGAGGCGCCGCGGTCGCGAACGAGACGGCGTCGGGAATCACGCAGCTCTCTCGGGAGTCGGCCACGTGGTACTCGGCGAATGCGCCGTCCGACTTGATCCCCGTCGCCCCGTCGCTGTCGAAGCAGTACTGGCTCCAGTGCCGGTCGGCCGGGGCTGTGCAGTTGATGCATCTCCCGCACGCGTGCAGTTTGATCCCCGTCATGACCCGGTCTCCGAGTTGAAACTCCGCGGCGACGGCGCTGCCTTTGGCCACCACCACGCCCGTGCCTTCGTGGGACATCGTGATGGGCAATGGCGACCCGAACACGCCCCCGAGGACCATCAGGTCGGTGTGGCACAGCGAAGCAACTGCCGTGCGCAGGATCAGATCGTAGGGGCCGATCTTGGAAACGCTCGGTGTTGGCACCTTGTGGATTGCGAGCGGTGCGTTGTACTGTCAGAAGCGGACGTGTCTTTGTTAGTGGGATAGTCTTCAAAAGACGAAAGTCATGGGTAGATCGTGCTAAGGAGATGCGACTGAGAACTGACTGTACACACCTTGACGACCTGGACCGCTAGCATTTCGCTCGGGATATCTTGTGGTGAAGAAGCCATGGCTTTTGGGACGAATGATGCTGTCGGCGGACGGGTTCGGGGATGTCCCTCGCTCCAGCCCTGATTCCGCCGCGAGGAGGTAATGATATGAGCCCAAGGTGGTTTACGTGGGGGTCTGAAGGCCAAAAGCCTTGAAGTCTTCAACTTGTCGCTTGCTGAAATGCGTACCGCAATCGGGCTGAACTTTGTCGCAAGGGCGGACCTAACTATGTTACGCCTGGCCTGATGCTTGCACGTGGTCAATTTCTGGGAGGGTTCTTCTGGCTTGCATATGCTAGTGTTCGTACGGTCCGTTCGCTACCACACGCGAGGTAGCTAGAAAGCGTGAGGGTGCACGACCTCGTGCTGACCTCGGGTAAGGAAGTATAGTAGCTTTGGTCGGAGACGCGAGATACCCCAGACTCCGGCAATCCACTCCTCCCCTGCTCGACCCCCACATTACCTCAATGCGGAAATATGTGAACGCCAACGCCGACGAGACAAATGACGGATCACCATCAGGGTAGGAGATCCAAGTACTCCGTACAAATTGAACGACTTGCTGATTCTCGGACATCGATGACCCATGCCTCGCTAGATCACCATGGTGACACCACCGCTTCAGACTGCTCCTGTCTTCTCTCCGGCGGCGTTCATGGCGGAGACAGTTGCGTCTTTACTACTCTCCGATACTCCCATCAAGATCTTCTGGTGAAGCCAATGCGGCCAGCCCCGTATCCCCGTGGCCAAGGAATAAGACGATGGCACAACCAAGTGCCCACTATTGCCAGAATACAATTGTCTCACGACCGCGTCGGCTACTAAATCAGGCTCGACCATTGGCGCCTTCAATCCGTGGGCCACAAGGTGTTGGATCATTGGCGTGCGAATGAACGACGGCAGGACGACACTGTTTTCGGCATGGTTAGATGAACTCCCAGGTAGCGTAACTGAGCGTCAAGCCATGTCCGACCCTTCGCGGAACGGGAAACACAACTTACGTAGTCCTCACTCTCTTTGCACCATAATACACTGCCAACTCCTGGCCCAAGCCCTCATGGAAGGCCAACGCCGCCGCCTTGGACGAGGCGTACGTCACGTTGGCTGTGCGTGGGACATGCGCAGCAAGGCTCGCCACCGTGACTATATGGCCGTGGTCCTTCTGGATCATGTGAGGCAAGAACTCTTTGGCCAGTTGAAAGTGAGAAAAGACATTGACGGCAAACGTCTTCTGCACGTTGTCCATGGGTATTCCGAGAATGGTCGCGTCGAGCGCAAGAGCAGCATTGTTGATGAGGACCGTTGGATGGCCATGCTCGATCCGGATGCGACTGCAGGTCTCCATGACGGAATCCTGATCGCTGATGTCAAGCTGATATGCAAACACGTTCGGAGCTGATTGCGAGTAGACAAGATTACAACCCGTTTTAGTTCCTCAATGCAAAAAAAGAAAGAAAAAAAAAACAGGTCGGGGCCACTTTGACTTTGCGAGAAACTCACCGGGTAATGGTTCTTTTGCCTTGGTTATGTCCAGAATGATCACCTTGACCCCTCTGGCAGCAAGTTTTTCGACGATTTTGGCGCCGATTCCGGAATTGCCTCCTGTAATGACCACGGTCTCTTTTTTCCAATCCCATGTCGAGTTGGGCGTGTAGTGGTTCAATGATCTTTGCGACAACCACGCATTGACGGCAGCAAGTGCGCGAATGCCACACACCACCCCTAGAAGAGGCAGACCATACTTCCTAAGTCGTTGATCGGAAATGATCCTTTGGTACAAAGCTTCCATTTGAACTGGTGCTGAGACGATCTCGTCTGACCGCGCGAAACCAAAAGAAATACCACCCTGCGGTGAGAGGTGAGAGGGTACAGTTGCTAACGAAAAGCACGTACGGGCGGGAATAAAGACAACCCGATTTCGCCTCGACGTTCTCTTGACGAGAAGACAAGCACGCGTGGTGAAATTACGGTGAAATAATAGTTCCTCGTCGGTAGGCTTGTTTGTGATTGTCCAGGTGGGAATACGAGTAACAAACACGACGCCCTTTTTGACTTGCCGATCAGGCCCCCAGTCCAAGACTCTTGTGGATGCGAAGTGGCAGTGTCACAATCTTGGTGCCCTCAGTTGGCAAAGCGTTGTTTCCGTCTCGGCCTTTGATTGTTTGAGTGGTTAAGCAACGAGGTATTGATTAGGCTTTGAGGGCGTGTACTCACGTATCTCTGGCTCCCCCCTCCAGGGTTACAGCCTCGTCGCCAAGTACTTTGTGGGTCCGGCATTCGGCCTCCTCGGAAGCGATTATGGCGACGACGACGTCTCTCAGCTTAGTTCCGTTAAAATATTGTACGGAGCACAATCTTACCTTTGAAGAAGCAAATGGTTCCCCTTGGCTCCTCTTATTAATCTCAGTTGGAGTCATCTCATGATACACCCGCCTCATCCCGGTGTCGCGAAGTATAAGCACGAGTTCCTCATCAACACCGAACGACGAGGTTTCCTTCGGTACGAGCGAATCATAACATTTAGATCGGCTGCAGTTACGGTTGATCTTGTTAAGAGGAATCATATACCACAGAGTATATCGACTGTCCTTGTAACGTCTTCAGCCGCGAGATCTTCATTTTTGGGTCCCTGCATAGCATATGCTTTCTTGGGGTCAGATTTCGAGCTATTACTTGTTTACATGAACAACGAGTTCGACGGCCATCAAAATGAGAACATCAGCAGGCTCGGGTGACGACAGTCCTCAACTACAGAAACACAAAGAGCAAGTGTCCGGAATCTCGAAACAGATCGCTCAGTTCAACGCCTCGCACACGCCATTCCGAATCTTCCACGGCACCACCAACTCGACTCGACCCAGTGTTCGCACCAAAACAGGCACCGTCGACATCTCGTCCCTCAACAGAGTCCTATTCGTCGACACATCAACGAGGAGATGCCTCGTCGAGCCTAATGTGCCCATGGACGCCCTGGTCGCCGCGACACTCCCTCACGGGCTGGTTCCGCCTGTCGTCCCCGAGTTTCCCGGCATAACGGTCGGAGGCGCCGTGGCTGGAACGGCCGGGGAGAGCAGCAGTTTCAGACACGGCTTCTTCGACAAGTCCATAACGTGGGCCGAGGTCGTCTTAGCCGACGGCGAAGTCGTCGTCGCCTCCAAGGAGCAGAATGAAGATTTGTTCTCAGGGCTGGCCGGGACCTTTGGGACCTTGGGCGTAGCTACGCTCTTCGAGATGACCCTCATCCCGGCGAAGGAGTACGTCGAGTTGTCTTATATCCCCGTCGCGTCGATCGAGGATGCACAGGAGGTGATCCGCGAGGTGTCTGAAGGCGACGAGATGGACTTTTTGGATGGAATCATGTTTGCTCCGGACAAAGGCGTCGTCATGGCGGGGAAGTTCGCCGATAAAGTCACCACCAACACTACTACTACTACCGACGCCACCCTCCCGATAGTCACGTTCAGTGGAGCATGGGACCAGTGGTTTTACCTTCACGCCGAACAGATGTTGCGCGACGACTCGTCTCGGTCGAAAGGCGAGGCGGGCGCAACGACAGCAGCAGAGACAGCGGTCCACCGCGACCTCATCCCGCTGACAGACTACCTTTTCCGCTACGACCGCGGGGCGTTCTGGACGGGACGGTTCGCATTCACGTACTTCCTGACGCCGTTCACGCGGGTGTCGCGGTGGCTGCTGGACCGCTACATGCACACGCGGGTCATGTACCACGCGCTGCACCGGTCCGGGCTCATGCAGCGCTTCATCGTCCAGGACATGGCGCTGCCGAACAAGAACATCCCGCGCTTCTCGCGCTGGCTGGACGCCGAGCTGCCGCACATCTACCCGCGCTGGCTGTGTCCGCTCCGGACCCACGAGACCGTCAGCATGCACCCTCACCTCGCGCCCGCCGCCGATTCCCACGACGACGTGCTGCTGAACATTGGCGTCTGGGGTCCCACGCCCCCCGGAGCGCGCCAGGTCGCGGTCAACCGACGCATCGAGGCCGTGCTCGGCTCCCTGCACGGCATGAAGTGGTTGTACGCCCAGACCTTTTACACCGAGGACGAGTTCTGGCGCATCTACGACCGTCCGTGGTACGACGCGTTGCGGAAAAAGTACCGTGCGGAAAACTTGCCCAGCGTCTATGAGAAAGTTAGGACAAAGTTTGACGACACCGGCTCCAGAACCGACAAACCCGACAAAACCGACGGTACAGAGAACGACGACGGCGGCGGCGGCGGCGGCGGCAACCATCCTGCTGACGACACCGACATCAGAATCGGTGTCGAAAAGGGCTTTTGGAGCGTGTGGCCCTTTGCAGGCATCTATGGTGTCTTGAGCGCCATTAAGGGCGGTGACTATTTGAGAAAGAATGCCTGATATACGTATCTCACACGCACACACACACACTCTCTCTCTCTCCACGCCTCTCTCCGCCTCTCTGTATCCCTCTTTGTCTATCTGTCTCTCTTAGATTACTTGGTTTATCAGCCAGGGTCGTGGAGGGACATGATAAATAATCACATGAATATTCAGTACTCGATACTGTTCTACAGAATACAATATGAACACGGAAACACACGTAACAATACTCCCGTACACGCACGTATTGACGGATCAGATAGTCTAAGATGTTCCCATTTCATTTGATTTGGTCGACTCACAGAATCAAACAGGGTCGTCGTGGGATCTCTCTCTCTCTACACGATCGAACGGGGGAACTATGGATTTTTCATCGTCTCGCTGCTCATCAATCTTTGGTTCGAATCTTTGGTTCGAATCTTTGCCATAAGATTCATGCATACCAGAAGGTTTGCTATCTGTTCGTATCCATATCAGAAAAGCAAACGCATTCTCTTCGCTTGCTTTCGCTCCTCTGCCCTTTTGGCTAACGAAGGTCCTTGGATAGCTCGCGTCATTCTCAATCATCACACTAAAACAAATGCAGACGAAAGACGCATCCATGCGCGGTACATGCTCTCGACGACTCTTCTCTAGTTAGGCCCGTCCTTGCTTCTCCACAACGTCCCTACCCGGAAAAAAAATCATTACCGCATAATTTCGTTCCAAATCAACGCCTTGAGCTCCTCCTTGCTCAGTTGGTCTTTGTTGCGGTCAAAGTCAAAGAATTCTTCCGGGATAGGCTCGGCAGTCGGCTCGTCGTCAGGGTCGTGGTAGGGTTCCAGGTAAGGATGTTTCAGAGCTTCTTCGACGGTGATGCGCTTGACCGGGTTGAATGCGAGCAATTTCTCCAACAAGTCCAGAGCGAGGTCTGACGTCTTTGGGAAGAGTGCCTTCAACGGTATCTTCTTCTTGAAGGGCAAGGAGCGGATGTATTCACGAGCACGTCTTGATTTGATACCATAGTAGTCCTCCATGGTGGGGGTTCCAAGAACATCCAAGATCAAGGTCAGTTGATGATGGTCTAACGCAGATCAAAGGTTAGCTTCACGAACAGTTTTCCAGGTTCAACCCCAACAAACGAACTCACAGTCTTTTCCGGGGAATAATGGCTTTCCACTCAACATCTCGGCCAGGATACATCCGACACTCCAGACATCGATCGCCTTCGTGTACTCTTTGAAGGTGAGCATGATTTCTGGTGCACGATACCATCTAGTCGCCACGTATTCCGTCATGAAACCCGAGTTGTCATCTGTCGAAGCCGCCGATCTGGCCAGACCAAAGTCACAGACTTTCAGGTCGCAGTTCGCGTTCAACAGAAGATTCGAGGGCTTCAGGTCTCGGTGTAGCACGTTCGCGGAATGCATGGCTTTGAGAGCGCGCAGAGTTTGGTAGATGAAGTACTGGCAATGATCATCAGAAAGATCTTGTGTCCTAATCACACGATGCATGTCGGTTTCCATCAATTCCTGTGAACTGTTAGCACGTGTTCCCAGATTGGTGCCGGCGGTGTGTCCAACCTGAATGAGATAAACTTCTGAGAAGGACTCGTAACTTCGTGGTTTCTGAATGTCGAGAATAGAGATGATGTTTTCATGATTGAAGTATCGTAGCAGTTTCATTTCTCGTAACGTACGCAGGCAGAACATAGAGTGGTCAAAAGGCGTGATCTTCTTGATCGCGACCTTCTGATTAGAGGGCTTATGCAGGGCAGAACTGCAATAGTCGATCAATGATCTTGTCTCTTGATCAAATGGACTCTTGACTTACCAAACCACACCGTACGCACCCTCGCCAATGACATCTTGAATGTCGTACTGGTCAGAGACGTTAAAGGAAATCTTTCTGGAGCCCCCCGACGGCGCAGACTGTTGCTGTGGCTGACCCATGTTGCTAAGCGGCGGCGTTCCTCTTCAGGGTATGGCCGAGCGAAACGAGCTCCAAAGTATCTTCCTTCTCGTTCCAAAACACTCTCTCTATCCAACTGGAACGATCACAAGTCTTGAAAGAAGGGCGTCAACGGCGGTTGTTGCGTGGTGCAGATTCGAGAATTTCCGAGTGCGGGTTGGCTTTCTTTGTGCTTCACCCCTTGTTCGCTGCCGCTTTCTGGAATGTGGATCGAAATGCGGCGTAGTAAGCGCCGCTTGCAATGGGAATGAGAAGAACAGAACTTGTAGACGTCGAAGAGAATTCTCGAAGGTCACAGGGGCCGGCAAGTGTCGAGATTCCTGCTGCGAAATTAGTCCTGTCTTCACTTCTTGCCGAACAAATGTCCCGCAATCCTGCGACCATGTCACGAGTCTGTCTCACCTCAAGAACTTTTTCCTTCTTCCTCGCCTTCGAATTCCGCGCCTGCGATAGTCCAAGGCGATCAGACAGCCCCAGGCTGGCCTACTGCTCGCGAGGAGTGGGGTTGGGTTGCTCAACGCTGCGGAGCACAACGCCAACGGTGGTGGATAGGGAGAAGAGAAGTGGTAACCGCGGCTGACGATGATCGGATGCCCAGGGATCAGGAGAGGACGAGGGCACGAAGAAACGAGGTTGGAGGGATGAATGTGACAAGGTGATGAAGTGAAGACGAAAGTGAGAGAGGTCGAAAGATATGTGACCTCGATCGATAACCACCGTTGTCCTCGGGCGCGGTCGCAACAAAGCCCGTAGGGTCGAGTTTGCTCACTTCACACATTTGTCTTCACACCCACGGTCGAATTGAAGGATGTTTGGCCCTGTAGCCGCCCACATTGGCCGAGCTAAGTCGTGGAACTGTCCGCTTCCTGGGACACGCTATACTCGATGTTGGTCTAGTCTATACAGGGGCGCAGACTTCTGTGACACCTAGTCGCCCGTCGTCTACTCTTTGGCCATAAGTCAGATCAGTGTTTCATGCTAGTTTGTCGCAGATTCCGCCTCCCGAAATAGGCCAGAGACATGCGGGAGCTTGACAGCAGCCGAGCAGCCACGACGACTGGAAAGGAAGAAGTGCAAACGGGGTGGCTGGACGCGCACTGCTACAGCCTACCGACCACAAACTCTCATCGCGTGGTCACTGTGGTGGATCTCGTTGTATTTCAATCTATGGCGTTTTTGCTAGGCTTCCAATCTCTTCTCACTGCATGACCTGCTCCATGCTGGGTCAGCGACGCACGTCGGCCGTCGTCCTTCGAGCACTCATGACTGTACCTTCTCGCGCATCTGTCCCATCCACTGCTGAAGGCTGACACTCTGGTCCGCACGATCTTCCACCAGCATCGTCTGTGCCCATAATCTCAAGCCAGGCTCGCCATCCTCCTTCACGACGTAGAGGTGAGGTACGATGATGCTTCCCACACCCTTCGCGAGGTGATCCCGGCTCTTGGATATCACAGCTCGGACGCGCTCATTGAAGTCGTTGTCCAACTCTGGCAATCGTTGCTTACCAACCTTAAGCTGGCTCTTGTCAGATACGCCAAAGACATCCATGATGAGCTGCGGAACAGCATCGCGTCCCACCCACAGGAATTGCGTCTGGCCATCATCAATCAAGTAGAGTCCATAGGGTACAATGCGCTCTGATGAAAGGTTGACGGGCGGCGGAAGGATGATCTCGCCGGTTTCTTGGTTGACAGCGCCTGCGTCATCTGGCATGTCGTGAAGGGAGTACATCTTGGGGTAGATGTACTGAATCAGTAGAGGTAACGGTAGGGTGGACAGTAAGCAAAGTGCGGCTGAGCGCATATCGCTGGGGATTTGTGAGGAGCGCCTCAGACCAAGGTTCTTTATGAGGGCAAGGAACAGTACAGGCAGGCCCCGAAGGTTAGCAGGGAATTGCAACCCGCCGCCGCCCATGCTGCCACCGGCTAGCTCTTTCTTGTAGGTTGAAAGAAGTTCGACGAGCTTGCTTTGGACCATGTCGCGAGCACTATCAAGTCCACTGCCCAGGGCTCGTTCCACTGCCTTGTGACTATAGTATTGTGTGATAGCCTGCTGGTCCGCGGAAGCATACACATCTGATAATTGTTGGGTAGTGGGCAACGCTAATGTCAAAACCCGAATACGTCTTTCGCCGTTGCACGTCGTATGTAAAACGGCCGCTTGCATACACACCACCGGTTTGGTGATAGTCTCGTCAATGGCCACTTCGACCACATAACTCTGATCTCGAGGAAACGCTGGGAAAGCGCACAAATCGGAGCTGCGATTGAAAAAGTTACCGTAGAAGGTGCTCATTCTCAAGCCAGTTGTTGCTCGAACACGAAGAACTGCCTCGAGACCGATCTCGGCAGAAAGATAGTCGGAGAACTCTTTGGCAAATTTCATGGCATCATCTTCTCGTGCTGCATTCCAGCCTGGATAGAAGTATGTCTGGCCACCGGTATACCTCGGAAGATTACTCAATGAAGCAACGTCTTGGTATTGCGAGGAGAAGAGGAACATGTCCACCGAAATCTGCTGTTTCGAACACTCGACCGCAAAACTCTTGTAGAAGCTGTTGCTGGTTTGAAGAAGACTGCTCTCTTTTGATGTACCCAAAATCTTCTTATCCTCTCGCATTTCAAGTTTGCCGTGTCCAATATTGGGAAGAGATGCTGTGACCACGGTCATCTTACCACCCACAGGGCCTATCAGTTTATGGCCTGCTTTGAGAGCAGACCCCATAGCAGACGCGCCATTCTGAGTGTTCTGGAACATTTCTTGTAGTTTATCGAGGAAGTTTTCAATATTCTCTCGGCACTCGGATAGCGGGACAAGTAGATCTGCAGGCGTAGGAAGAAAGGCGTCCTCCAGGTCGCTCACCACAAGCATGCTCGTCTGTCCGTTTTCAGTCCCGTCCCTGGGGATATTGAAGAAATGCAGGCTCGAGTCCACAGCAATAAAACCAAGTCTAGTTCGTCGGTCGGCGTTTGGAATTCTATCCAAGCTCTCTCGGATACACCTTGCGGTTGTAGCCAACAGGCCATTGGTGACCGCAGCGTAACTTACGTCGAGTAGAAATAGGTAAACGAGTGGTTGTGGAGGCCGGACCATGTACTCTTGCGGAGCAATGTATTCAACGACAGCATGGTTCAGATCCGGTCTTTGCCATCTATCCAAGCTCTTTTGCGCGGCAGCATCCCAGTCAAACGCTTGAGGTACATCGTTGGTGAGATTACACATGTTACACCTCCATCGATGCCCGTGGTCCAAAAATGTCACAAAGGGATTGATGTATGATCGACATCTCCTGCAACGCGATATCACTTGATCGGGCACAATTGGTACAGGATCCTCGACATCGTGCAAGGACGTATATGGCTGGATGACCAGCGCGAATGGTAGCTTCGACTTCTTCAGAAGGGAATGTGTGGTTGGGACAGCGTTGAGGGAAGATCTAACATATTTGGGCGGGCAGTTGGCAAATGGCGAAGGTGTTACGCTGGTCTAGATCTTGGTCAGAATCGGCTCATGCGATAGAGAGGCTATACATACATTAGGTGGCAGGATTGCTGGTGGAGGGGGGTAGTCCAGTTCTGCCACGTTAAAAGGCTGGTTGGACAGGTCAGTTGGATAAAGCTGATTGAGAACAGGCGCCCGCTGCGGCTGTTGCGGCGCTGCAGCTACGGGAGGCTGCTGAGCAATGTCCATTTGGCCAAATTGCTGGGTGACGCCCGCGACCCCTGCTGTAGGATAGCCTGCAGCCGGAGGCTGATAACCACCGGCCGCTTCGGCGCCGGGATACATGGGCGTTGTGTTCGGTTGTACTGCCACTGGGTTTTGTTGATAACCACCCTGCGGATAGCCGGCGGCATCTTGTTGGGCGGAATATCCTGGATATGCACCGCCAGCTTGCTGTTGACCTCCCAAAGCAGCATTCGCACCCGCGCCAAATTCGTATGCTTGGCCTGCATAAGCACGCTTCTTCCTGCCTCCATGAGCCTGCCCTTGTGGAGGGGCCGGCATTACGCCTGGCGGTGAAGTTGTCTCGTAATTCTCATAGTTCTGTCCGGCGGGCGCCTGCTGGCCATAGCCATCTTGCCCCGGTGGTGTCGGCTGGGGATACTGCGACATTGTGCACGACAGTCGATCGGAATGAAATTATGGGAGGATGGTGGTGTAGATGAGCGTGTGACGCGGTATGTCGGGCTGCGACGTGGAGGTGAAGGTCGGAGAAGAGCTACGACAGGACTGTGCGATGTTATTCTTGCGAGGTCCGGTAAAGCATGGCATCCATATCCGTCCAGGGTATTCCACAGAATCAAGCGACAGACGCAAAGGAGTCGCGCAGAGAGAGCGGTTGTTGTTGTCGCTGGCCTTGCGAGAACAGACAGATTGTCCTCAGTGCGGAGGGAATTGTCTTCATCGGCAGCTTGTGGCTTCCAAGGCCTGGACCAATCACGCCTTGGCCCGCCACCAAAGGCTTGTTGATCTGAAGACGCACACTTTATCTGCAGCCTGAACTTACCATCATCCTAATCTGTGTACGGATACGGTTCGTCTTTGTTCCCACAGCTTCGTGGCCCTGGCATCGTATCATGCTGTCTCTTTGTTGCCCAGCCAGACTCTGTGCACTGCGGTCATGAGGATTTTGTGTGGGCTTGTGCTACGCGGTATGACAGAACGATTGGTACTAAAAAACAGTCGAGGAGGCGGCCAGGTCTTGCTTGATACGCAGACTGGACACAACTGCGCAGGTCACGACATTGCGAGCGCAGGGAGCGTGAAACCAACAAGGATGAATAACAGGTTTAGCAGAAACGATCAGATGGCCATCGCTGGAAACGCTTCTTTTTCTCTTATATGCTAAGGTATCTATGCCATATAAATCATCATGGCTTGTTTTCATCAGATCTCATGTGCCTCGTCATGTGGCCTATCGCTGGCTTTGGCCTTCTTTCGTGATGAAGAACTCATCAATTCGAATAACCGATTCTTACTGGAGCCATCACGGCTGCCCGGTAACACTCGAGTCCGATTCTCTTCGGAGAAATCGACCGATGCTGTTGAGGAGTTCGTAGAATTTGTCATTGCCCGAGCATCTGTCGCTCTTTGGGGAAAAGGGATTCGCCGATCCCATGCGATGGATGCTAAACTGGATGGCGTGGTATCGCCCTCACCGACATTAGGTGAGGTTTCAGCATGCTTATACTCAAAATTTGTGACAGTATCAGCCGTTTGCGGTAGAGCTGTAAGCTCGGCGCTCGTCCGAGGCTTGACAATTGGTGCTCCAAACATGTTGCTAGACGACGTTTCCTTTTGTTGATCGTACACAAGCCTCTCCCAAGAAGGCTGGGACCTTTCGCTAGGTCGTTCAGCCTGCTCCGCAGCTTTGAGACATTCCTTGCTCTTCGCGGAAAGCTCGAGACACAAGGCGTGGAAGACGCGGATAGGATCATCGGCGCTGGCCTCATTGATATTCTCTGGAATGTGTGAGACCCACAGATCAGCTAGTTGTGCCAACAATTTTGGGTAGTCGAGCAAATATGGCAAGCTGGGTAGTCCTTCTCGAGACAGTGGTGGCAGCCGACTTCTTATTTGTTTTGGAGCTGCAAATTGAGGCTCCAGAGTGACAGAAGCCATCTGGGATGCGTTAACAGCACAGATGTCATCAATGAAGTTTCGACATTCGGCCGCAGAGGCAACCAGGAACTTGTTCATAGGTTCCATCCAGGGTTCTTTGGTACCAAATCTGCCCCCGGCTCCAAGCGCGTTCAAGGACTTGGCGATCAAAGTAAAGGTGCGTTTGGTGCGATCAGGAGGAAGGTCTCATGAAGGAGTCAGCTTGTATCAAAGAAAATTCAGATAGATATGACGTACCGTTAATCAAACCGAACAATTTGGGATTCAAAATCGCCGGGCAAAAGAAACGAAGGAACAGAAAGCCAGAAACGCTGGTGAATCTGACGGTTCGAATAAAAGGTCCGTAGCGATCCTCGGCGCAAGAGCGGACATGTCTGAATATAAATCGCAGTGGCAATGGACAGCTTGCTACTGAGTCACGTATTGATTTCCAAATGGTGCTGGTCAGGAAGATAAGGTTGGCCCAATTCTTTTCTAAGTGCTCGTTTGATCTGACCCTGGTAGGGTCAACCTCGCAGTCCGGATCGCGTTCGACAATTTTACGCAGCTTTTCACCGAGAACTTCCTCTAGGTACTCCTTGCCTAGTCGGCGCATATGAGCGTCAAGGGCCTTCGTCACAAGGGAATTGCCCCGGAAAAGCAAATTGGCTTCCATAGTGGCTGATCGACTTAGATCTCTCACAAGCATTTCACGTTGCTCAGCAGATTCGTAGGAGTCGTTCGAATGGATCCGACCGCTAAATCTCATACGCGTCGGCGGAGTCTCTCGATATACGCCATCGATCTCTTCCTCAATAAGGCTGGCGAGCCAGTCGTTGGCACTTCCCAACGCCTGAAAAATGTCTAGCAAGATGTCAGATAGCTGCCGTAAATCTGGTCCTAGTGCTCGGGAGATCTGCGTCGTCAGGCCATTTGCAAAATTTTCCAGGACAGCTGCAAGTTCTTTGTACTCATCCTCCATTAATACCACCGCCTCCTGGAGAGAGAACCTCACCAAGAGTGTGCCGACAGAATGGTCATTATTGTCAAGCAGTGGCCACCACTTATCGACTGGTGTCTGGTTCTCCAGGTCGTCCAAAGGTACGTCAAGCCGTCCGAATACAGGATCATGGGAGGAGATCTCAAGACCGCCAACGCCAGACAGATAGCCGGCGTCCGCAGAGATGTCGTAAAGAGTGTCAGCTACCATGGTCCATTCTTTTTCGGCAGGGTTCCCAAATTTGACAGCAATCGTGATGTTTGACACAGACGGTGGAATGTCTTCCAGGTTGAATTCCTCTGCCCAGAAAGCTGCTGTCAGATTGGTCTTGGTGGTTGTACGGGCACGCAGATCGTTCCCGAGCATGACTTCGGCATACACTCCTTCTTCTTTTGGATGGTCTTCCTTTGCACGCCTCGTTTTGTGCTTATGTTGTTCGTGAGGAATCTGCGCCGTGAACTGCTGAGCAAACTTTGCTTCGGTTATTTTCACGGAGAGCGAACGCTCAATTCGGAACATGCTTTGCCCTGACTGCGGAGTTGCATTTCTGGACTCCAGAGAAGATGCCGATTGACCAACTTCTAGAGCCCGTTCTGGCCCATACAATTCTGGCACAGTGAACGCTCGAAGAAGAACATACCAAGCCTCAAGAGCAGTGTTCGACTCTAAGCACATCACCATAGGCCTCGAAAACCTCGCAGACGACGGCTGGGTTCGATATTGCGGACACACCGCTAGACAGTATGGCATACGGAGCACGCTTTCATCGAGCCTTTGCACAGCACTGCGGGAGAGCTCAGATAGATGCGTCACGCAGAGCACTGTAGGCTCTGAGTCAACCAGGATTCTGAAAGTGCCGTTCTCATGTAAAGTACAGTTCACCCTTCGCCAGTGGTAGTTGTCTTCGGTCATGGATCGACCGAGGCTATTAGGCGATGACACCAGTTGCGAACCTGAAGGCAGCGGACCGTCCCACAGAAGCATCTTCCCAACTTTAACAATCGCCGTACTTTTGACACCGCTCATGCCTGACAACCTGCGTTGCGATACCGACTTCTCGTCGGGTAGGCTGACAGGTTGGGGTTTGGTCATTTTGTTGTGAATGCCCTTGGGTCGCAAGGGTTGCCAGCACAGAAGCGCTGCGAGCCATGAATCAAACGTCTCTGGCACAGGGGGTCGAAGCTGATAACCTGTTGTTGAGGAAGCAACCAAAACACTGAGATATGTACTCTGGGTTTCATAGTCGTAATGTGTCCGCACCGTACACCCTCTGAGATCGGAGATCAAGACCGTAAACTGCGACACTTCACCTTTCGTCTGACAAACTAGACTTCCTGGCGCAACGTTGATGGCACAGTAGCCTGAAGCCCAGGCAGAGGTATGTAGTGGCCGGAAGAACAAGATACCGTGCATTCTTCCGCACGTAGTTTTCATCAGGTGCAAGATCCGAGCCGAGTCGATATCAAGTAACTTGGGCGACCGAAGCCCTCCTGCTGAACCAAACATCTCGTTCGGCGAAAATGGTCGGCGCGGTGTCTTCGGAGGATTCTGCGAATCGGTATGTTCCAGGGCGTCTGAACCCCGGACCACCGAAGGAAAACCAATTGACCCGTAGTCCTCGTCCTGACGTTGAACCAGCGAAGGACTTGTCGCTATCGACCCAAGTCTCTTGCGGGTTTTTGTTATAAAAGAGCCTGGAGAGGCATCCGAAGGGGCATCATCTTTTGTGTTTGTTCTTGTCTGTGCCCTTCTCCTCCTCCTATCGATTGTGCTTTCTTCATCAGTATTCGAGATCGAAGTGGAGGTCTCACGGCGTCTTTGGGGGTTTCTGGTTCGCGTCGAGGGGAGAACGGGAGAATGGACTTGACTACCGTCAGTAGAATCGTTATTGAATGTGGTGTAGGCCGCCGAATCGGGAGTGGCCGCACGGATCGTTCTCTGTTCATGTTCCTCGAACATCCTGCCATGGCGATCCTGCGAAGAAGCCTGCCGGCTCGCCCTCCGCTGGATGACTTGTGGCCGCGACCTGGACTGGCTGCCGCCATTGAGCGCTTCGTCCCGCTGGCCCGGCTTCATGGCTGCGATCCAAGTGGCCTTTAAGCGCGGAGCCGAACAAGGTTTGAGATATTTGTGTCCTTTCTTGTCACGAGCGACAGTCTCTTACTCCTTTACAATCGCGCACGCTGTGCGCATATTTGATCCCTCGACAGGCTGCGGACTTTGCACCACCAAGCATTTGCGCTGCGATTCGAGGGAAGCCGAGTGGGCTAAAATCCTCGTCCAGGGATGTCAATTGAGTTTGGCAGCGGTAGAGCGAAATGGCGGAAAAGTCGATAGATCTATGTCAGATTGAATGTAACCGAGGCCTCCTGTGAGATACGAGGTTTCAGCCGATCAGCTGGCGCGAGGGAGATTCGCAGCCTGTAGAAGCATTGAGAGCCGCTCGCTCTCTGCAGGAGAAGAAAGAAAGCCTTATGCAGGAACGCAGGATACGACAGGAATGTGTGGCACAACCAGAACAATGGCGGGAGCAGTTGTTGGAGGTGCAAAGCCTTGGAGATTGATAGGCCTGCTGGTGGGCGGGCATCAATGGCTATACAGAGGAGTTGGTACTAATGCATGTTGCTTCTGGCGCAGGGTTTTCTCCCTGTTGCACGTCGTTCTAGGGAGATGCGACCTTTCAACCATGTTGCCTCATGTGGGGTTGACAGACTACTATGCCCAATCCATGAAGCCAGTGCTGCAATGTCAACCTCGCTAACCAACATTCGGCGTGCTTTGGGCATAGTCAATCGGCGTCTAGTGCACTGGATGAACTATGTACGGGTAAGAGTGCCTCCAATGCCATCCATGGTGACTTTTAGTCCCCCTCGTGCTTTCTCGGTATCATCGCCGTGTCGTTTCTTGCCGGCCAGGCGTGAGGGAGCGTGCCCGTGGTCCGAAACGTCCTGCTTCCCAGCAAGGTCCTTTCGTCTAAGAGAAATTAGGACCCTGGTTCGAGATGCAGCCGGTTCCATGCGTAGGCGCAATCTCTGGGACAGCAACCAGAGGCGCCGGCGGAGTTAAGGTGTGGAGTTAAAGTTCTGGAGACGCCAAGACTTGATCTAGTCACGTGACTGGTTAGAAATCCGCCTCGCCCTGGTAGACCCCGAGAATCATTGTCTGCGCCAGACTTTCACCACCACCATCACACTCTCAATTCAATCTCACAAGTCGCTATCGACCCTTAGTGTGGTGCTATTGAAGCCACCTCGACGTTCATCATGTCGGACGGTAAGTGTATGCGTCGTTTCCTTGCTGCCAACCAACTGACTCCTTCCGCAGCCGACTTCGAGACCGTCCGGCGGCTGCAGGCTGAGCGCAATTCTCAGGCTGCAGGTAAAAAAGGTTCCAAAACCTTCGATCCATCTAGTCAGCGCACTGATTCATCCACCAAGGTCTCTTTGACCGAGAATTTCGACACGAGCCTGTATGATCGAGATGGCGGCGACAAATTCGCGGGATATCATACCTCACTTCCTGTCGATGGGGACGACGAAGAAATGTCGGATGCGGACGACAGTCGGAGACTCATTGGACAGTACACTGCGACAAACGAGCAAATGAAGGAGTTTTCTACCGGCAACGGTGTAGAGGAAGAAGACATTCTGCTTGGACGTGAGAAGTCTGCCAGGATAGCAGATCGCGAGACTGATTATCAGAAGCGAAGATTTGAACGAGGCCCTCTCACGCCTACCAGAGCCGATCCATTCGCAGCTAACAAACATGCCGGGGTCGCCGAAGGTGCCACGTATAGGGAGGTGATGCAACTGCAAGACCTGGAGCGCGAGGAGGAACGGGTCAAAAAACTCATCGCTGAAAAGCAGGAAAATGGCGATGCGGTCGAGCACAAACCTACGCTAAAAGATGAAGCTGATAAGGAGAACGCCGATGCAGGCTCAACAGTTGAAGCAACAGGCCGGAAGCGAAAGAAGAGGTGGGACGTGTCCAACGACGCTGCTCCTGCGCCTGATACTGCTGAAACCAAGAAACGCTCAAGATGGGACCAGGCTCCTGCTCCCGATGGAGCGCCAGCACCTACGAAGCGGTCAAGATGGGATCAAGCACCTGCGCTGGCCTCAGCCGCCCCTGTAGCCCAGACTCCAGCCGCAGCGTTTGGCACTGACGTCTCCGTGAGAAACGCGTCCTGGTCTGACGAAGAACTGGATATGATGCTACCAACGGAAGGATACACGATCCTTGAACCTCCTCCCGGATACGCCCAAATACGACCAGTCGCTCGAAAAATCGCTGCCACTCCTACCGCAGCAAGTAGTTCGATGGGAATCGGTGGCTTTATGATGCAAGAACCAGAAAACCCACGGTCAATGGGAAAACAACTCCCAACAGAGATCCCTGGTGTTGGTGACTTGCAATTCTTCAAGGCTGAGGATATGGCTTATTTCGGAAAACTTGTTGACGGAGCAGACGAAAATGCCATGTCAGTCGACGAACTCAAAGAACGCAAGATTATGCGCCTACTGCTCAAAGTCAAGAACGGCACACCTCCCATGCGTAAGACGGCTTTGCGACAACTGACAGACAATGCTCGGCAATTCGGTGCTGGTCCTCTGTTCAACCAAATTTTGCCACTACTGATGGAGAAGAGCCTGGAAGATCAAGAGCGACATCTGCTAGTCAAAGTCATCGATCGTGTCCTTTACAAGCTTGACGATCTTATACGACCTTACGTCCACAAAATCCTGGTCGTCATCGAACCGTTGCTCATTGATCAAGACTACTACGCCCGCGTTGAAGGCCGAGAAATAATATCCAATCTCTCCAAGGCGGCAGGTTTGGCCCATATGATCAGTACCATGAGACCTGATATCGATCATGTTGACGAGTACGTTCGAAATACTACGGCACGAGCTTTCGCTGTCGTAGCTTCGGCTCTGGGTATCCCAGCACTGTTACCCTTCCTGCGCGCTGTCTGTCGAAGCAAAAAGTCATGGCAAGCGAGACATACTGGTGTTAAGATTGTGCAGCAGATTCCTATACTCATGGGTTGTGCTGTCCTTCCTCACTTGAAAGGTCTCGTGGACTGCATTGCCGACAATCTCAGCGATGAACAGGCCAAGGTCAGGACCGTGACCTCTTTGGCTATTGCTGCATTGGCAGAGGCTGCAAACCCCTACGGTATCGAGAGTTTTGATGATATATTAAATCCTCTATGGACCGGAGCGAGAAAACAACGTGGTAAGGGATTAGCGGGTTTTCTGAAGGCCGTGGGCTATATCATTCCGCTCATGGACGAAGAATACGCAAATTACTACACCAGCCAGATCATGGAGATTCTTCTGCGAGAATTCGCCTCCCCCGACGAGGAAATGAAGAAGGTTGTTCTGAAGGTGATCTCTCAATGTGCAAGTACCGATGGTGTGACGCCCGCCTACTTGAAAGAACACGTCCTCGGCGAGTTCTTCAAGAGTTTCTGGGTTCGACGCATGGCACTTGACAAGAGAAACTATCGTCAGGTGGTGGAAACTACCGTGGACCTAGGTCAAAAAGTTGGCGTCAGTGAGATTGTCACTCGGATCGTCAACAACTTGAAGGATGAGAGTGAAGCCTACCGCAAGATGACGGTCGAAACCATCGAAAAAGTAATAGCTTCACTAGGTGCAGCAGACATAAATGAGCGCCTCGAAGAACGACTAGTCGACGGCATCCTATTTGCCTTCCAAGAGCAAGGCATCGAAGATGTGGTCATGCTCAACGGCTTTGGAACAGTTGTGAATGCTTTGGGCACTCGCTGTAAACCATATCTCCCTCAGATTGTTTCCACGATCCTCTGGCGACTGAACAACAAATCTGCGACTGTCCGACAGCAGGCAGCAGACTTGATCTCTCGAATCGCGATGGTGATGAAGCAGTGTGGCGAGGATGCCCTTATGGGGAAACTTGGTGTGGTGCTCTATGAGTACTTGGGAGAAGAATATCCTGAAGTCCTAGGCTCAATATTGGGCGCTCTTCGCTCAATTGTCACCGTCGTCGGTATCAATCAGATGCAGCCGCCGATCAAGGACCTCCTACCCCGGCTAACGCCTATTCTACGAAATCGGCACGAAAAGGTGCAGGAAAACACAATCGACCTTGTTGGACGTATTGCTGACCGAGGCCCCGAGTCGGTCAATGCCAGAGAATGGATGCGTATATGTTTCGAACTGCTTGATATGCTCAAGGCTCACAAGAAAGGCATCCGTCGCGCAGCAAACAACACATTTGGATTCATTGCTAAGGCTATTGGTCCACAGGATGTGCTTGCCACACTCCTAAACAACCTCCGTGTCCAAGAACGACAGTCTCGTGTCTGCACAGCCGTTGCCATCGGCATTGTTGCTGAGACTTGTGCTCCATTTACCGTCCTGCCAGCTTTGATGAATGAATACCGTGTGCCGGAACTCAACGTGCAAAACGGTGTCCTCAAATCACTCTCCTTCCTCTTCGAGTACATTGGTGAAATGGCCAAGGACTACGTCTATGCTGTCACTCCCCTCCTGGAAGACGCTCTTATCGACCGCGACCAAGTACACAGACAAACAGCCGCAAGTGTGGTCAAACATGTTGCCCTCGGAGTGGTCGGTCTCGGATGCGAAGATGCAATGGTCCACTTGTTGAACCTCTTGTATCCAAACTTATTCGAGACCAGCCCTCACGTGATTGACCGCATCATTGAAGCGATCGAGGCCATTCGCATGGCTGTGGGCCCGGGTATTGTGATGAACTATGTCTGGGCCGGCTTATTCCACCCAGCGCGAAAAGTCCGGACACCTTACTGGAGATTGTACAACGACGCGTACGTGCATAATGCGGACAGCATAGTGCCTTATTACCCGAACATGAAGGACGAAGGGCTACCGAGAGATGAACTGTATATTACACTTTGAGTTGAGAATCGACATGGTCCGGTTTCAAGACATTGACACCGACACCAGGGAGGCGTACCAAGAGTACTTTTGAAAATTCATGAACCTGGCATTGACGCCCACACATTTATAGTTGAACGAATGAGCAGACCGTGGCAGGTATTTTCAGCTTGGTGAGATTCAGGTTGAGGAGCCACTATTTCACGGCCTTGATATAATGCAATTGAACGATACCATCTGCCAACCCCTGGGATTTTTTGCTTTATCATGTGCACAGTTGAAATGCAATGCAATTCAACTTTCCGCCATCAAAGCTCGCTAACAGCCAGGCTACAGGCAATTCGGAATGTCTTGATGCGTCGGAATGCAATCTCCTCCTCTTCCTGTACGCTGTACTCCTTACCCTCCAGCAGCGGCTTCGGTCTCGAGTCTCCCTTGTTTCGAATTCAAATACTTGTTTCTATCCCGGCATGAAGGAATGATTTGGTGTCAGCTTGACGTCCTGTCCCATTGGTTCGAAGTGGAGAAAAAACATGGTACTCCCTTTCCGCTCTTCGAAGAGAAAAGAGCGGCGGTGGTGGTGGGAGTACGACGATGTGATATGATGGAGAAAAGGCAAACCCGAAATGGGGTGAAGGGGGAAAGGAGGAGAAGGGGAAGGAAGATATCATACCGCTTCTCCGCGCAGTCAGTGATCCACCAAGCCAACACGAACGGCGGTACGACGTATAAGAATTGCGCCCTGCATCGCCGAAAGGTGTTGAAGACGGCGTTGTGCCCTGCTCCTGCCAGTGGGTTCTGACGGTTCGGCGAGAGTCGGTATTCCGTTATGCCTTTCGACTTGGGAATGCGTTTGTGGCCCCAGCAGTAGACGGGACGACTGGGGATTTCGAGTGAAAACGGTGTCAGTATTGTTTGGTACGGGGATGGAAGAGATCAGACGATCGTTGTACTCAACCAGCCCGTAGGATGGCGACATTAGGGTGGACATGGCGACGTACTGGCCTCTGTAGAGGTTTTCGTTGTATTCCATTATCTTTGAATTGAACGGTGGTGATGGCACGAAGTGACGGGTAGGAGTATCGAGTAGAGAGACCGGAGGAAGATTTGGAAATGAAAAGGTCACCGAGAGATGTACCCTGACGGTGTGAGTACCTGGAGAAGTAAGTACCCGCGCCTGTTGGTTTAATTGGGTTACCGTTTCGACTATATATATATACATACACCTATGTAGCTTCCACAGAGTATGGAGCACGGAGTACCAAGACTGCGCCGGCAAGACTGGCTGACTGTCCTCACCCCACTATCCCTCACTCGCTCGCTGGCTCGCTCACTACTGTAACGTATGTCGACGTTGGTTCACTGCCGTGTACCGTGCTTTGGAGTACTACGGTGCAGGTATATACCGCCCCGTGGGTCAAGGGTATAGTTTCGTTGACGGAACTTAAACCGGACAAGGCAAGGCTCGCAAGGCAAGGCTCGGGATGAAAAAGGGATGGATCGGGGACGTTCCCGAGGTGGCACACTCAAACTGCACTGGACGTATGAAACGATGTACCCCACAGCGCGGCATTCGCTCACATAAATCGCGAGACACTGACCGCGGTGTAGAAATTAGTCAATTGCAGAGTACAGAGGACAATGACATACATATGTTAAACATGAGTTCTTTTCATTGAATCGCAATACAGACAGAAACACACGTAAATGTACGTACGGAGTATGGAAGGACGGTGATCGTTGAGCGTAAAAGCGAGGTAGGTAGATTTTGGAGCGAGCCTATGTACTCTGTACCCAGGTCCTCAACACTGACATTTGGCGACTACCAGTTGCGACATGAGACCTACATGATAGGATCTATCCCCTCTTCGTTCAACGCTTCTTGGTCTCCTTTTTGGCTCGCGGCGGCGGCGGCAGCAGCAGCAGCAGCAGCAGCAGCTTTGTTGAAATGACCTACAAGCAGCAGTCGTTGGAGCATCCCGTCGTACTCTTTGCGAGGTTCAGGCCCCCCGCTTTCGATGAATTCGTGCCACGAGATGAGGCTGCATTCGTCGCCGCCGTGTGCAGAGATGGCAGCCTCCCACTCTTCTTCTGTGTCGGCTTCCCACACACCGGTCCTGGCGTCGAAGGGTAGAGACTCGATCAAGGGCCGGTAGATGAAGTACCCTCGATAGACCATCTCCAGGACGACTTCGACCATGATCACCCAGATGATGGTCCGTCGTGTGGTTTCTGCCAATGTCCAGGCTTGCCATGGTGAGAGGTGGCCTTGGAGCGTTCGTGGAAGATGGGAGTGGAAATGCTGTGTCCATTTCCGGAAGAGGTCGCGCAGGTTTTGGAAACAAGAAACCTCGGGGCCCCCGCGGGCCTTGCTCAACGTCGATGCCAGCAGTATCGCCATAAGTTCATGGAAGGCTGCTAGGAACTGGGAGAAAGCAGTTTGCCGGAGGTCAAGGGACAGTAATTTGCCCTGCTTCGTTTCCATGAAAGTGAACAGTGCGTCTGCACTGACTTGGCCATCCGTGGGGTCTGTCGAATCACCGGAAGCCAAGCGTGATATCTGAGCGTGCAGAAACGGAGTAGTACGGTGCTGGAACGTCGCTAGCGGTATCTCATTGAGCTGAGCAAAGGCCAATGCGAACGTCTCTGGAGTTGAAAGGGCTGGGAATCTGTAGTTCGGGTCCAGGCCGCGAGGGGTATAGTTCTTGACGGCATCGGCGTGAGCTGCTTGTATCGAATCGAATACAACGGGTGGAAAAGGCTCCCGGACTAGCGGGGGTCGAAAGATGTCAGGGCCGCTCGTATTGGTGACTGGCTCGAGGTCATACGTGCATCCGATGCCCTTCTCTCGACATCTGGGACATTTGGGGAGTTCCGCACGACAAGGGCGTTTGGCTTTTCTGCAAGCGTGGCAAGCTTTGCGCAGGGGAACTGTCATCGATCGTGGGGGCACTTGTACTGTAGACCAGGTAGTGTGTCTGTATTCCTTGTGATGCCCGGTCTGACATGGACATGGTAGAAAGTCGGAATCTGCGCGCAAAAGAGCACGGACTGAAGAATGCTCGGTGGTGGCGGTTGTGATGATGGATGTTGTTGTCATTAAAGCTTGTGGGAACCTCATACAAGCCTCTGGGCGCCTCATCGCCCGCGTCTGACAAAAACCTCTGCTTGGGCCGAAGCCGTCGCCGCGAGTCGCAACATCCATCACCTGTGAAGTCATCAAAAAGAGGAACCTCCCCCATACATATGTCGACTGCGACAGTGTGGATAGATCTCTCCAAGTTGAACTGGACGGAGCTCTATCCCGACTACTCAAACAACAAACCAACGTAACTCGATGTCATCCAGGGTGATTTCTTCCTAACCCCTCGACAAGTCCAGACTCTTGCTGAGAATCTCGCCAGCGTAAGAAGGGGCTTTCGAATTGACCTCTGCAGAGTCCGAAATATGGTGCATCAAGATCTTTAGACCATATTGAAAACCCGCCTCCGACCCCTTCAGACACGCACGAAATGACACTGGGCAATCGTTGCTTCCAGAATGACCTGGAGCCCTCGCGACGGGCAGATGCTCGTCAAGAATTGTACGACTGCTTGACACGCATCAATGCCTACAACCCACCGGTGCAGACTTGCTCAACGGGATGGAGCTTTTCGGGACTCTACCATGGCCCAACGTCTGTCGCATACCTCTTCCTCCGCCTGTCCCAGCATTACCCCGACCTCACGTTCAAAGGGCAATCTCTCCTCGACTGGGCAGAAGCATACCTTACACTGGGGGCGTCTCAGTCCAAAAGTGTCGATTCAAGCCATTGCGGCGTTGCAAACGAGACTCTTGCCCAGGTGGCTATTCGAGCCGTGATCGACCGGGACCCGTCTCTTGTGCAACAGCTATGCTCGTATCAGACAATGATTAACGACGCAGGTGGTTCCGATGAATGGCTTTACGGTAGGGCAGGCTACCTTTACCTCCTCAGACTCGCGGGAAGTGTTTTTACAAAGAGTTCCAGCAGCGCGGCAAAAATGATCCATGAGACGATTCAGAAGACGGTACAACGCATTCTAGCCAGCGGACACCCCTGGACGTGGCATGGCAAAGCCTACGTTGGCGCCGCTCACGGCTCATTTGGGATTCTGTGCCAAGTCGTACTCTCGGGACCCTCCGCTGCGGACTCGGTCGAGCAAATCTTGTCACAGCTGCTCGAGACGCAATACCCAAGTGGCAACTTCCCTTCCTCACTGCCTCGATCATCTGATAAATTGGTCCAATTCTGCCACGGCGGGCCCGGGGTTGTTCTCTCACTGAGGTCTCTACGGCCACATCTTCCTCGTCTGCGGGAGAAGATCGATTCGGCGATCGCGGCTGCCCAGAGAGACACCTGGAAACGTGGTGTTTTGGTCAAAGACCCGTGCTTGTGCCATGGGATAGCCGGGAATGCACTCGCTCTGGATGACGCGGATGAGTTTCAACATTTCGTCACCTACATGTCAAGTGATTCCCTCGAAGCTCAAGGATGGTTGGAGGAGGCAGGTCGGAATGATTCTTTTGTCGGATTGTACACTGGCGAAGCTGGTCGAGCTTGGACTTGGGCTGTTGCAGAGAAATTTGACCAATTAATAGGGAAGTGTATTGGATTCAATGACCTTTGAGGGAGACACACACACACACACACACACACACACAGTGGGAGGGTTGCCATTTGTATGGCGGGTTCAATGAAACGAGCTCGGAGCCAGTTATGAAGGACACTTGTGGGCCTTTTACTTGCAACTGCGGAATATACGTAGCGAGTCAAATCTCATTTCTACTTGGCCTTTGACACTTCCAAGTATAGTTTTCCCTTTGCTACGAGGACCTACTCAGCAACAATACGAGGAATCCGACTGTAGACCTAGTGAAAGTTCACGCAGCCTCGTCAATGTCGGATGCATAATGGCGACGAGGCTGCGACGTCAACTTTAGGCTTTGAATACACAAAGTATTTTGCCATCTTCTCACCGTCACCGAGCGCTCATCTCCATGAACATCCACACCAACTAAAAAGCAAAGGGTACGGATACCTGATTGATCCATCCATCATCTCGCACAACGTCCACTCGCACGCACCGTCGTGCTCGTACTACCTACCAGTTCACCAGGACGAGGGCTGGCTTTGCACCCGTCGTTTGCGAAGATTGTTTTTATATTTTCTTTTCACGTCTGGTCATCGCTTCCACGTCCTCTCTCACACGACGACGCAATGCCATCTGAACCCCTACCGACAGCCCCCTCTCACCCAGACGTGCCGCCGTTTCCGCCCCCTTCGACCTTCTCCATCCTGCCGGACATCTACCTCCTCATCGCGCGGCTCACCATCCTCCAGCAGGCCGCCGCGGGTACGAACACCCTGACACACACGACGAGCGGCGGCTCTACTACCTCGACATCCACGCCGCTGGACCTGAAAGACCTCCCGGCGCAGGTCTACCCTATCAAGCAGCGCATCGCAAAGGCCAAAGAAGCCGTGCAAGCCCTGCCGGACGTCGAGAGGAGCGTCGAAGACCAAGAGCGCGAGATCCGAGATCTGGAGAGGACGATCGCGTTGCTCAAGAGGAGGATTGCCAAGTTGGGACGTATTGCGGCTAGGACACACGGGGAGGAAGACAGAGATGTTGTCATGAAGGGCGTGGAAGAGTGAGGCTCATGACGACGACAGTGACAACGACGACGACACCACCATACCACCAATACCACCACCATTACCACTACCATACCCCGGGTTGTTCAAACCTCTACGCATAAGGATACCCAGTCGCCAGACACAGACACCCAGACTGGAGAAACAGTCAAGAAGCGGAGAATGGTATTGCATCGCACGACACAGCGATCCACTACATGACTTGGCGTCACAGTACATCCGCCAAAAACATACATGCCCACAATCGAGCTCGGGAGTATCGTTGAAGATACACTGCTTTTTGGTTCACAGCCCACCAAAAACAAATCCTGATCCTAGCCGTTGAAAGATTTTCCCGCTCACTACCCTCTCCCGAAACGCCACAGTCCTAATTTATCCTGGTTCTGTTGGGGCAACTTACACGGGGAGAGGGAAAGTGGAAGACCATTCCGCAATTTCCTGTCTCAGCTTCTGGATCTCAGGCACAGTATCACTGGCAACTGCTGCCTTGAAGTCCTTGAGCTTGTTGGCTTCCTTGGGCAGGCCACCCTGGACCTGCTTGCACAGCTTGATGCTCTGGTCGATGTACCGAGCGACACGCTTGAAGTCTTCCTCACCAAATCCTCGGGAGGTCATGGCTGGTGTACCGATACGGATACCACAGGGAGTCAGGGCGGACTTGTCTCCCGGGATACTGTTCTTGTTGCAGGCAATGTTGATCTGCTCCAGAACGGCCTCGACACGAGCACCGTCCAGGCTCTGAGGGCGCAGGTCGAGGAGGACCATGTGCGAGTCGGTACCGTCCGCTACAAGCTTGTAGCCGAGAGCCTTGAACTCGTTTTCCAGAGCCTTTGCGTTCTTGACTACCTGTTCTTGGTACGCGCGGAACTCGGGGGTGGCAGCCTGCTTGAGCGCTACGGCAAGAGCAGTGATGGTGTGGTTGTGAGGGCCACCTTGATGGCCTGGGAAGACGGAGAAATTGATGGGCCCTTCGAGGTCGTAAAGGACCTGCTTGCCAGTCTTGGGGTCAGTGCTACGTACGCCCTTGCGGAAGAAGATCATGGCACCACGAGGTCCGCGCAGGGACTTGTGGGTGGTGGTCGTGACAACATCAGCATGCTCGAATGGCGAAGGAATGACTCCTGCAGCGATCAGACCGGAGATGTGGGCCATATCCACGATCAAGTACGCTCCGACCTTGTCGGCGATCTGGCGCATACGGGCATAATCGATCAGTCTGCAGTAGGCCGAGGTTCCGGCGACGAGGCACTTGGGTCTATACAGCTGAGCGTTCTCTTCAAGTCGGTCATAGTCAATAATGCCGGTTTCGAGGTTGACTCGGTATGGGAAGGTCTCGAAGTAGGTTGATACTGCTGAGATCCTGCGCGCGAATGTCAATGCTCTTTTGTTCCCTCACAATCTTTTTGCGTGTGTGTGTTGTTTTCTTACTTCTTCTGTGGGGTTTGGTATCCGTGACTCAAATGGCCACCGTGAGGCAAGTCCAGACCCATGAGTCTGTCGTGGGGCCGCATGATGGCCTGGTAGACCTGCAAGTTCGCAGGGCTACCGCTGAGTGGCTGCACGTTGACCCCCCATTTCTCCGGGTCGAGGTTGAAGGCCTTCAAGGCTCTCGCCTGGCACGTGAGTTCGACCGCGTCGATGTGTTGGTTTCCTCCGTAGTATCTCGCTCCGGGGTATCCTTCAGAGTACTTGTTTGACATGGGCGAGCCGAGGGCATCGAAGACGGCGCGGGACGTGACGTTCTCGGAGGCAATGAGGATGATGGACTCTCGTTGACGCTTGATTTCTTTTTTCTGCAGTTTTGACGACAGAGCGAATCAGTAGACGGCTAACCTAAAATGGCTTGAACGGAGAGGAGAATGGCTGCATGCAACACAGGTGTGTGTATGTGCACACTGTGTGTGATGACTAGGTAGGTACTCAAGGACGAGACGCAAAGGTAAAACGTACCATGATCTCGGCGATTTCAGGATCAGACTCGACCAAGGACTTTTCGAGCATCTGCATTCAAGTTTCATGGTAAGTATCTAGGCAATGCTGCACGACGATTTGCTGGGATGGAGATGTAAATGTAGGCAGGCAGGTTTCAGCCAACTCACGTCCTTGTGTGCCTCTGAGAGGGCATAGCTGGAGTTGGTGGTTGAGCCCATCTTTGGATGTATGTCTGTCTTCTGGACAGTCGTGAGGGTGCTGGGAAAGTGGGTAACTTAAAGGGTGAGAGAGGTAAGTCTGGCTGGAAAAAGGTCTCAAAAGATGCCCAGCAGAAAGAAAAACAGTCACGCAAGAGAGGTAGACACGAGGGGCTCGAAGGGTCGGACTCAGCACAGTAGAAAAAGGTGGACCTGTGACATTGGATGCAAAATGAATATTTTCTTCGTGTCTTTTTTCCCCGCGCTCTCGCTGCTAAGATCCGTCAATTGAGGCGCTAGTAGGGGCACTAGTGAGTTTAAATTGAACTAGAGTTGAGGATATGGTACGGGAGAGCATACGGCCAGGTTCGCGCACTTCAACAAGGCTTGCTCTAACGAGACTGTGGGAGGTACGAGTACTTGTAGGTCAGGTCAGGTACGCCATCTTCCACCCACCCAAGGGAGTAATAACGCTCTGCATAGCTATGTAAACTGTAAGATAGACACTCAACGGTGACGCGTACTATCAGCACACTGGTCCTTGCTTGTGGCGACCTTTCACAAGACATCCGCATCCACTAATCTGCGCTTCTTTTTCTTCTTCTTCTCTGGATTTGTCTTCTCGCCGTCTACCGACCCTTGAGAGTCAGCCCTGGATTTCTTCGACTTTTTCTTCTGAGAAGGTTCTGGTATCTCGTCGGGAACTTGGAAAGCATCAGCCATCTCGACGTCTTCTGATACTTCGCTTGTTGCTGTGGACCCATAGGGAAAGTATCGCATCTTTAGACCCTCAGGCTGTTGTCGGATTTCTTTCGCTTTCCCTGTTTTTGTGGCCGTGAATACTAGTGACGTAGGCGGAAGCTCCTGCTCGTTCTCCGCTGTCTCTCCATCAGTGGACGAGGATCCCGACGAGGATGCTTTCGTTTGACCTTTCTTATCGCTAGTGTTGACTTTGTCGCCCATTTCCCTCAGCTGGAAATTTTTCTGGATTGTTGCGCTATGCCTGTACGTGGGCTTCGTTCCTTGGGGCATCAGGATGGTCTCGCTGCCCCTAGTGAATGGCATGTCGTGCAGATTGTAATTGACGCCGTCTTTGCTGAGAATGCTTTCACCTCTCATGGCAGTCTGCATGTCGAAACTCTTGATGGATTTGATGGATATTGAGTCGGGTACTGAAATGTGCCAAATTTGCTTGCCCTCCAGGTTGTCGAAGAGAGTCGCTGCGCCTGATGTGTAGTCTGACGGTGATAGTGCAAGGGCCTCATAGCCACTAGGCGCTTTATAGGCCTTGGGCGCTAGTCTAACCTCTGAGGATTCTGCCGTTTTTCTGGCTTTCTTCACTGGAGTTTCAGAGACAGTGTCGGAAGACCGCTTCTTGCTTGATGAAGAAGATGAGCTGCTAGCCGCCTCGGAGTCGGAGTCGGCTTCTTCTTCGACACTTGATTGGGACGAAGACGACTCTTCGAGATCTTCATCGTCGGATGTAGTTGTTGTCGATGGTGACGCTGGTTTTGTTTGAGAAGCTTTTTTTGTTTTCGTTTTCGTTTTCGTTCTGGGTTGGACTGTTTGGTCTTCCTCGTCGCTGGAATCATGGATAATTTCCTCGCTCAGGTTGCTTTGCCTTACAGCTTCTTTCCTTGCCATGGCTCTGAATTCCGGTCAAAATGATCTCCGAGTTTGAGAGCGTTTCAGAATTGAAGGGGGGCCATGAAAGGTGGTTTCGGACCACGATCAACGTACAGATCAATTTAATTTCATGGACAAATTTTGGAGATTCACCGTCGCGAACAAAAATCTTTTCGGCAAGAACCGCACGCTAAAGCTTTAGTGCGCCAGGTTAGTACCGAGACTTTTACTCACTCTTCAGACTTGGGTGACTTTGACACCTGGTTCAACAACTATATTGTATGCCTGCGAGTAAGTGAACAGAACACTTAATTTTGCGACGGACAACTAACATGTCCAAGATGGTGAGCGGTTGAGCGCAGTTGCGAGGCAACGCCGTCTGCGTGAGGCGCAGTCCGCGCAGTCGACTCCTCGAGCATCATCCCCGGCCACAACGAGCGAACAGGTGCACTCTGTCCCTGCGACTGAGGAGAAGCCTCAAGCAATCGAGGATGAAGAAGTATATGAGCAACCGCTCGCCGTATCCAACCAGTTCTCAACCTTGGTCGATGCATCCACCGTTCATTTCAGCTCTTCCCGAGAAGTCGAAAACATCAATGAGAGGTCTGTTAAAGTGAGGTTGTCTCGGGGACAGGTATGTGCAGTGTGCTCTTTTCATGATTAGACTGACAAATCCAGAAATGTACCATACTGGGAGCTTGCTGTTTATGGGTCAAGGAAGGAGTGGTATCTGTGTATGGTGCCATTCTTCAGGCTTCTACGACTACATTCCGTCTATATGCACCTGCAACTTACGGCCTGCCGTCTATTGAGGCGCTGACATCCAATGCTGAATTCCAACTGGACTCGTTGGGAGATGAAATCCAAAATCTGCCATATATAGGAGTGAGAGATGTCTGGTCATCGACCGGAGCTGGCAACTCCAGATTGTCGTTTGACATTATCGGACATTCTATCGAACAGGATGCGAAAGGCCTGAGAAGACCCAAAGAGCTCAATTCCGATGCCTGGAAAACCGTCCTGTCACATTTCTCGAGTCCAGCCTCGACAAAGTCCCACTCATCCTCAAGCCCAAGGATTGTGGTATGCGGCAGGCGATCATCCGGGGTCTCAACCTTGGCCAGACATCTATCAAATCGACTCCTGACGCAACAGCACTCCAAGGGTCTTGTCAATTTTGTCGATTTAGACAGTGGAATGCCGGAGTTTACACCGCCGGGGACTATCAGCATGCTTCAGATCCAGGAGCCAATCCTCGGTCCATCCTTCTCACATGCTGTTCTTTCCAGACAAAATCTTGGTCGAACTTTCAGGACGCATTTTGTTGGCGAAATTGAACGTACCGACCTGTCGGACTGGCACCTCGATCGCGTAATCGATCTGCTCACTCTAGAACAAAGTGTTCGTGGCAAGAAAGACAATACTCCGGTCGTCATCGTAGTGCCCAAGTGGCTCGAGGACATTGAGTCACAAACTGCCAGTCTTATCTGGAAGATGATGCAACCGACAGATATCATCTGCCTAGATACACGACAGAGCTCACCCCATCTACAACCTTGGAAGACATTGGCGGAAACTGCTAGCTGTCGAATCCATCAAATCCCTGCCCAAACCTTTGACAGAATGCCTCCTCTTCGCGAGCATGAACTCTACATGCAGTCCTACTTTCACATGTCAGAGTCTTCGAGCGGCCATTCACACTGGGCGGAGACGCCGATTCTGGCCCAGGACCCTGTCATTCTCAATTATGGCTTCCAGACCCCTGACGTCGGCGGTGTATTGCTGCTTGGAGGGAGTGTCGCACTCGAAGACACATGTGAAGCGCTTGAAGAGAGCATTGTTGCTCTGTTGCTCGTCAGGCAGCAGCAGAAGGCGGAAGAAGACCCGGCTGTACTTGACAAGGGTCTGAACATCGACATGGATGATACAGAGTCAATGGAAGACAGGGGATGGCGGGTCAGCCGTACAGAGGAGCAAATTCCTCGATTGCTGCAAAGTCATCGTTCACATGATGCTTTTCCGTATTCAGTGAAGCAATCGTATTGCATTGGGTTAGGATTGGTAACAAGGTTAGACGTTGTGAAACGTCAAATAAGCCTTGTCACTCCTCTTCAATCCCAAATACTCTTGAGGAGGCCGGAGGGACATCAACTGGCACTTGTAGCTCCAAGAGCCACTTCGGATGCGAGATTCACATCGGACTGGGCTCGGAAAGAGATGAGAGGCATGAGAGGCACGAGTCAAGATCTGAAAGGACGGTGTGAAGCTGGGCAATTGGATTGATCACTCTCGCCTGCGATATAGACGTTATGAGTGGTGTGATTGGCAATGAACACATTCCATCATCCCTGTCTTCATGCAGAGTCGTGCATTCTCATGCGGAAAGGGACGGACGAGAGGGCTGCAGGATCCTTGCAAGAACAAGTCGACGTGAAGACATGGCCATCAAATAGTGTACAGTAGTTCTGCATCAACGAGGCAAAGTCATTGATCCCGACCCGATTGGCCACGGCAGAAGACGGTGGCTTCACTCCTCTGCAGAGGGCTTGGAGTGGCGGTCTGCAAAGACTGGGATTCATCCCAACGGCCGGTTGCTTAATCGGGAGAGATGGAGACTGGCTGCGAGAGTGGGAGGCCTCATTAGCCTGCAGAACAGTTCGTTGAGGTGAATAATCCCGAAAGCCGGCAATGCAATAGGAGCAGGCGGCAGTCTAGAGTCACTAGAGGCCCTGCTAGTGAATACCTAATAAGGCTACCATAGGCACCTGATGTAAGGAATAGGTAGCCTTGGGTGCCCCGGAACGCCGCCCGGTGTCATCGCTTCCGCTTCCGCTCCCACATCCTGTCCTGTTGCCGCCGTTGCTTTGCTTCTGACCGACGGCAAGGTCACCAAACTTTGCGTTCCTTGTCTTTCTCCCTCACCTTTCACCTTCACCATTAATCTCGTCTTCCCACGACAATCACTCTCCTCTCACTTGTACAATACTCTTCGCCTCTCTTCGCGCCGCACGGACTCAACCTCTCTCGGCGCACTGTCGCATTTCCTCCTACCCTTCTCCCTCGGATAGAGCCGCGTCTATTGCTTTCTTCAGAGCCAGGTTCAACCCTTGATTCCACCTCGTTTCACCAGACTCCGAACAGTGCCCTCCACTGCTCCCTTCCCGACACATACTTACCAGCGCCACCGCCGACCTTTGTGGGGGACCTTACCTGAAAGAAGCCCAGTATTTCCTGAGCGTTTGCAGTGAAAGGAGGACTCATGGCAGGCTCCGGTTCAACCAGCTGCGTCTGCCTGAGAATGATGTGCAATCAAGCCCACAAGCTATGAAAGAAGGCCAATAAAGAGATTGGGGACAAAACATGGATTTCACAGTAAGTCAGCACCTATATACCTTTGCCACAGTCTGGTTCGATTGCGCAAGCCACCTGGCGCATGACATCTTCACATGAGTCTGGAAATTGCGCATGACATTTGCATCGCAGCAGACGTTAACAAAGATCCTTGTAGCTCGCCCTCACGCATTTCTGCGAAGCGCATGGCCCCAAGTCAGTACTTTGCACACAAGTCCTCCCGGTACAATGCGCTTTGTGCCTCCCTCCGTCGCCATCGCTACGAGCTTGCTCCTCTTCCGACTCCCTTACGACTCAAGTCCACGAGACATCCTTTGAATCTACTCAGAACGGCCAACGGTCGCCGATCCTCCAAAAAACTGAGACCAACTTGACCTTACCAACCGACTTCTCTGGCGCTTCGACCAGCGTAGACTCAGAGACCGAGCCGGAGAGTCCCACGATCGAGAAACATCCCTTGTTTCGACAAAACCGGGACGGTAGCCTTCAGTGGCCATATGGAAGAGCCGAAGGCGACACCTGTGCCAGCTGTAGCTTCAGCGTGCCCAAAGCTGTAGCAGAGAAACTCCCGGCCGGTGCACCAGGTAGCAGGATCTCAGAGGGGAAAAAACCTGCCAGTGCACCAGTTCTTCGCTCGAGGGAATTCGTCTGTCTTCGAAAGCGAAAGAGAAGACCAAGTAACGACTATCATGACACTAGACCCTCATCATACAATTCGTCCTTTGCGTCCTCACAGTCTCCGGCGCAATCGATTCCTCACTCACATTCCGACGACTGCCATGACCATACACTAACTTACCTGACTGCGAAATCCCCCGACGATCGCGAAAGCTATGCGCAGTTACGCGCCTCTGTCATTCGTACACTATCTTGCGAGCTGCTCCCACGCGGCATGTCGGACGGACCTTTCTGCTTTGGCGACTCAAACACAGGCTATACCATTGCATATGTGTTCCGACTAACGGACCCGAGGGCGCGTGGAAGACGGCGGGCGTACGCCTTTGTCGCTCTCGCCGGGAAAGACGCGAGCCGCGCATTTCAAGCATGCCCAATGCTTTGGGAGGCATTTGCTAGCATGGCCAAAGGAATTGAAGCCGCGGCGCAAAGACATCAAGAAGAGCAGCAACGAAAAGTGGAAGAGCAAGCACGACTTGCTGACTCGAACTCTTCAAGAAACTATACACCCGTGTCGTCGTTTCTGACGTCGCGGACAATCGATCCAGATGGACACCCACGTCGTGGAGGACAAGCTTCGCCTCGCAGCTTAGCGGAGATCGTTGGAGACGAGAATATCTTTGCTTATCTGCATCAGTACTTTGTTGCGATTCTTCGCTGTCTTGGTGACCAGTTTGGAGGACTCCCACTGGCTGAAACACCTTCGGTCTATCAATCGGTCAGTGATGAGTCGCCGCGATTCGCAAAGTCTTCTGCCATGAAATCGCGAGCTCCACCGGTATCGTTTGCCCATCTTGATAGTCTTCGCGACGAGGACGCTACGCCAACGCCTCAAAGTCGAAGTCATATTGAGACCAACAACCCCTGGCAAAACAAACCGAACGTAGCGACGAAGAGTACAATGGATCAAGATGACGACGTTGAAATCTCCAAGACTCGCGCCAACAAAGCATTCAAACTCAACCCTCCATGCGCGCCATTGTTGGTCAGCGAAACTGCACAGCGACAGGTTGTCGTCTAACTGGCCAAACATCATCACACCCATGTACATATCACAGTGGGTACCCATGCCTTTCCTCCCTGAGGGGTTTGCTGGGGAACCTTGAATTCTAATGACGGCACGGCCTTGATATCGATTTCATATATCAAACGACATGAAATGGGAGGTGAAGAGGCGTTATGGGACATGCAATGGGGGCGGGGACGGGGGTGGTAACATTGCAATCATGGCATCATCATTCGATTAGATCCCATTGTCATGTGCTTTTCCCTTTTTTTGGCCAAGGGGGTAAAAGTGATACCACGATACATCGCGCGAGTAATGAGAGATGCCTTTTTTATACCGGGGGGGGGGAAGAATGACTTTGTTGTTGTTGACTATTTAGACTCTTCCTAGCACCTAAGAAGGGAGCTGGGGTGTGTGTGAGAGATTGGGGGGAAACACTTTAGCACCTTTGTTGTACTTTTGAAGTAAGTGCCTGTACTCCGCAGGTGAATGGAGATGATTCTTTCAGTTGGCTAGTTAGTCAGTTGCTTTGTCTCGTACATACTAACCTTGTACTGAAGTCTCGGGCACGATATTGACCTATGTGGGTACTTTTCGTAAGTAGAGAGGATAGAGTCTAAACGTCAGTAACAGCAATGGAATAGAAGGGGGTTTGCCTTGATAATGTGAACATTGAGGTAGTACAGTACATACGTATACATGCGTTCTTTTCGTCATGGTGAATGGGTAACTCAAGGTAACTACCAATATAGGCCGAAACTCAGCGAGTGTCTGTATACACTCCAAGTACCTGACATGGTGGACGACGTAGGTACGGAGGAACGTAGGTAGGTAGGTAGGTAGATAGTAGGTGCCCTCCCATACCTACCTGAGGTACAAATCGTTCGTGGTGCCTACATTTTCTAAGGAACATTGTCTGTTTCAAAAACTTACATACTCTCCTTTTAATTGTCCTTGAAAGAGTTAAGACCGCAAGGAAAAGCACAGCAAGGGAATGGCTCGAGTCAATTGAATTAATTTAATTCATCCATCCCTACGGAGGAGTAGTGGTACCGGTGGCAAGTACCACCCCTGCTCCTGCTCCCGCTGCATCGTGCAAGCAAACCCATACTCCGTCCGATACTGCAGAAATAACAAATGTATCATCGGCCGGCCCCCTGCTCAACTCATCTCACCTCATTTCGTCACAGCCCGATTTCCCATATCCGTCATCTTCTGTCGTTGTGCTCGTCATGTTTGCGTTGCGTTGCGTTGCGTTGCGTTACGTTGCGTTACGTTGCAAGGCAATGTGTTGTGTTTCTTTTCGTCGTATCGCAATCACAATATCAGACCACAACTAACTGCGCTCTGTTTCCCAAGGTGTGACTTTTCACTTTCACTCTCTTTAAACAAGATTGAACTCGGTCTTTCCCTGGTCCTTGACCTCCCGTAGGGTGGCGAGGGGTCGAGGCTTCGGCAGACTCGACGTGGTCCTCAACTGGCCCTGGTTCCGGGGTGGCAAGTTGTAGACGATGACGAAAGGCGCGAGGGCCGTGGCCGTAGCGGCGACGAGAGTAGTCAATGTGAAATGAGACATCTGGTCTGTTGGTTGGTGGGTCTTGGGTCTTCGTCTTTTTGTATGGTGAGTGGGTGGGTGGGTGCCAGTAAAGATGGAACGGTGGTGGTGGTGGTTGTGAGATTGAGCACTTTCTTGTGTGCCTTATGCTTGCTTTGCGCGCGAGTGAGTGAGTGTGTATGTGTGTATATGAGAGAGTGATGTTGTTGTTTGTTTTTAGTTCTGATGTTTTCGTCGCGTCGAGACGTCTCTCAAAAGACCAACAGGAACGTAATATGTCGTGGTTCGTTTCGTTTTGTCTATCAATTTTGGTGAACGCTTGAGTCTCCCAGAAGGGGACAAAGGATGAGAACGACAAAGACGGGGGACTGAAAGGGACAACGGTCTATCTAGCTGGCTGCCTAGCCAGTTCTATGCTCTATGGAACGAGTAGAAAGAGGGAGTGAAAGGTGTGAGGAAGTGAGAACAAAAAAGGAACAGGTAGGAACTTGTCACGAACGAGCAAAAGATACAAGAAAAAAGGTGGTCAATTAGTCGGTGTCGCAAGTCACTTCACAAAAAACCAAAAAGGGGGGAGTGAGGGAGCGAATCGGCGAGTCAGCGCTGAGTGGCGAGTGCAAGAAATGGAGAAAAAAGGAGAAAATTTATCAATCAACGCAGGTACAGCGCATTGTCACGTCGAGAACGAATCGAACAGGGCCTGCGAGCATTCCATTCAATCAGGTAGATGGTGACACGCAGGGATGTTTTGTCGGTCGGTGTGACTCGGACTAAAGGGCCGGTCGAGCGGCAATTTCTACGAGTATGTACAATACGACACGAGTAATGTATATAAGTACTAGGCTTACGGAGTATTAACTAGTACAAGCAAGTATTAACTAACTACGAACGAAATTAACTGGGGAAATAAGGGGGAAACCCCAATCTACTGGAGTAAATTACGACTCGTACTGTACAAAGTGAGCCCTATTATTGTGTAACCAGCTAAAACTGTAAGCTTAATTTCTGAACCACCAATAATGACACACCAAACTTCCATAAGCTTAAAATTGTTCCAAGCAGGGACTGCTACTGCACAAGTACGGCATGGACAGACACAGACACACTGCAAGGTACCTAGGTAAAGAAGAGAGCTTCAAACAAAAACAAAAACAAAAACAGAAACAAAACAAATCTCACCAATCATTACAACTAGGACATCGATCTTCTCCATCCATTATGTGCTCTATCCCATCGGCGTCGACCTCGACTCGGAACCATTCTGCCGGGTTCAGCCTGACGAATCTCCTGCGCCAGTAGTCACGAACATTGTCATCGAATTGAAGCAGGTCATACATGCGCTCAAACTCGTCCTGAAGCTTCGCACATCGCAACTGGTACTTGTTGGCTTGCCTCTTCCGGAACGAGACGAGAAGAGGACTGGAGCTGGACATGGTAGAGCAGGGGCTGCCGACCCCGACTCGATCGTTCCACGTGGCCATTCGTTCCGCCGTGCGGACCAGACTCAGGATGAAATGGATCCAATGGGCGATCTCGTCAAAATCCAGCGTGCCGATATGCTGCCGGAACTCGATGGTTCTGGCGGCACCTCCTTCGTACATCAATGGTTCAAAGTTGACGAACTTGTAGCGTGTTTCAAGCACCACATGCCCAGATTCATCCATGTTTGGTCGCAGGCAGGCGTCCATGAGCTTCGCAAGACCGGCTGGCGTCATATCCTTGTGGAAAATCTTCTTCTGGGCCTTGGAGAGATCGGTCGATTCGACACGCCGGCACCAATGGGTCGAGCGCCTGATGCCCATAAGATTCGTCTCCACGTAGTGTGAGTCAAAATCGGAGCGACAGCGTCGACTTTCGTGGTGCAGGACGTTGATCAGCTCTTCAAATTGTACAAGCAGGTAAGCCAGATGCTGAAGCACTGGCAATGGGATCATTTCGTCCATGTCTTGAGACTCGCGGGCAACGTGAACGTGGAATCCACAGGACTCATTGACAAAGACCCCAAAAGGGTCCCTTGGTCTGCCACGTAGAGCTTTCAAAAAACATGCAATCTCTTGCAGCGCATTGCTAGAGGTGAAATTGTTCAAAGACAAATCCTCAGGAGCCGCCAACACACGGGAGACGAGCTCCTGTCCAGACATGACCCAATCACACTCATCATCACTGTCGAGCCTGTCGGGCAGATATTTAGATAGGTTCTTGGGTTCGTCGATCGATCCATCCTGGTCACAGAGTTAATCAGCACTCCACATGAACAACTTAAAAACGCGACGTACGGCTTGGATGTTCCACGATTCGTAACCTCTCTCGCCGGCAGTGCATTCCAAGCCTGCCTGTTCCAGAACAGACTGAGTAACGAACATCGTAGTCGAAGCCTGCCCGATACGTGCACATGAATGCGGATCGGAAAATACAACTGGTTGATGTACGTCGACGTCCATGTTTACTCCTGTGGCTGGTTCACTTTCGTCGTCATAGCTTAATGCCAGGTCATCCTCCTCCTCCTCCTCGAACAGCTCTTCGTCGGTTATGCCGTCGACGCCGATCCATTCAAACCCGACCCGTGGGCTGCGATCGAACGCAAAGACATACTCGAGCTCTATACCAAACGTTAGTGACATTGGTTCTTTGGGTGAAAAGTAACGCCAGTACAGCGGAGGCGAGAAGATGGAGGAAGCGGGAGTGTCGAGATGTGATCCGTATGGTGGTGGCTGACGAACCGGCTGATCATGGAACGCTGGCTGGTCGCTGCCAGTCAATTCGCGTTGGCTCGGTTGGGCATGTTCATTCCGAACGTCGATCTGCAAAGGCACTGGACGTCTTGGGTGACCTGGACATGTTCAGTCAGCCGTTCCATCACAATATAGTACAGGCCTTTCCTTACTGATCTGACCCGGCATTTCGCGTTGAGGCGATGTTTCTATGCTTTTTGAGCCGCCATCCCCATGTTGCACATCCTGATATAACCAGGAATATAGTAGGGTTCGAGTTCGATGCTAGCGAACAAAGAAAGGCTCGACATCTGGAAATAGATCGATGTCACAGAAACCGATTGTGAGGAATGCAAAGGCAACAAAGAGCCAAACATAGCAACTTCTGTTCTCAAAATACCACCGAAAGAATCGCCAAACAGAGAAATTTGCAGCTCCAGGATTCATCATACCCAACAATCTTGTCCATGAGACAGACACTATTAGTAATTTCTTCAAGGCAGCTCAAAACAAGGGAGCCCAGAGTCCCGACCGGGCATTATCCCATATAACCTGTATTGTACATTCTATCTGGCGTCGACGGTGTCCTACTTTGCGAGGAATGCTTGAAACGCCGAGTGCTCAATCACCACATTACCCACAGCTTTCAACTTCTTGCGACCTTCTTTTTGTTTTTCCAATAATTTCATCCGTCTCGTTTTATCGGCCGCATGTAATTTTGCGAGGACGTCCTTCCGATATGGCTTGATGGTTTCCCGGGCAATGATTTGTTTCCCAACAGCAGCTTGTATAATGATCTCGAACATTTGCCGGTCGACGTGTTCTTTGAACTTCTCAACCCATTGTTTGCCCACGTAGCGTACTTGTGATTGGTGCAAAACCCTGGACACGGCATCCACTGGCTCTTTGTTCACCAACAGTTGGAGCTTGACAATGTTACTGGCACGCCAGTCAGCTTCCTCGTAATCGAGTGTGGCATATCCCTTCGTGTTTGACTTTAGCTTGCCAAAGAAGTCGTCAACAAGCTGAGCGAGCGGCATCTCGTACTTCAGGATGACCTGTGAGGAAGTAAAATATTCCATAGACTTCTGCTCACCACGGTTTGCCTCGCACAGTTCCATGACTCTCCCAAGATACTCGTCAGGAAACGTGAGAGTTGCTAGAACATAGGGTTCTCGTAGCTCTGCAACACCTCGGCGCGCTTCGTCATTGTCGGGGAACTCGGCAGGATTGGTGATGATCTCCTCTCTCCCATCGTTGTATATAACCTTGAAAGGGACCGTAGGTGGTGTGATGATGATGCTGGTTCCGTGTTCCTGTCTCAGACGATCTTCAAAGACCGAGCAGTGCAAGGTGCCCAAAAACCCTAGTCGGAACCCGGCACCCAGCGCCTGTGACGACTCCTTCTGTACGGTCACACTTCGATCGTTTAGCAAAAGCTGATTGATGCTATCCTCAAGCTGCTCAAATTCACTTTGATCGACCGGGAAAGCAGCCACAAAAACCATGGGCTTGGGTTCCTCAAAGCCAGGCAACGGCTGCACCTGCTTCTGAAAACCTAATTTTGTATATGTATCACCAATCTTGGCTTCGCTGCTCTTCCTCATCGAAGGATTAAAGTAAACATAACCAACTTGTCCAGCTCGTAGTACTTTCTGTGGTGTCTGATCAGGATACATGATACCGACCTCGCCAACGGTATATCGGTTCCCAGTGGCGAACGAGACAATCTGATCACCCGCCCGAAGCTCACCGTCAAACAGTCGTACCAACAGAACAACCCCTTTATAGCTCGAATACCATGAGTCGACTAGATAGAGTCTGAGCGGCTTCTTGGGGTCGCCGACTGGCCTGCTTCAAGTCAGCAGTGAATGATATGTTGTCTGAATATACTCACGCAGGTATCTGCTCAACGACGGCCGGGAGAACAGACTCAACATTCAAACCTGTCTTTGCAGACACGAGGACGGCACTATCAGGGTCCAATTCAAAGGTATCGTGCATCTGCTCCAAGGCTCGGGGTGGGTCGGCATGAGGCAAGTCGACTTTGTTGATGACTGGTATCAAAGACAAACCCTGAGCGAACGCCAGGTAGAAATTTGCAACCGTCTGGGCTTGAATGCCTTGACTTGCATCGACGAGCAACAGAGCGCCGCCACAGCTTGCATAGCTACGGGCGACTTCGGCCCTGAAATCGACATGGCCAGGAGTATCAACGAGGTGGAGAAGATAATCATATCCTTTGTAGTTGTAGATCATGGAGCATGTCTGCGCCTTTACCGTGATGCCACGCTCTCTCTCAACATCCAGTTTGTCCAGGACTTGCTTGTTTGCACCGGGTTCGATCGTGCCCGTAAGCTCGAGCAGGCGGTCGCTGAGCGTGCTCTTGCCATGGTCAACATGTGCAACAATGCAGAAATTGCGATATCGCTCGATCGGGATGGCTGCGATTCTTTGTTCGAGGTCGCCTGGTACAGACGGTCCGGCACGAAAGGGAGTTGAGGCGGAGAATGATCGCAGCGACGGGTATTTAGTCTTCGACGACCATACTGGGGCAGAAGGAGCCAACAATGCAGCTCTTCGCCGTGCAAAGACCTGCAGCCATCCTTTCATGCCAGTGAGCGTGGGCGGCTTATTTAGGTCATGGATGTGCCGTCGAATGTTCTGCTGTGGCCGCAGTTTGAGAAAATGTGCAGGCGAGATGCGATGCCCGAGGATTTGCCAGGTACAGATAATGCCACTATGCTTCAACTGGAGCCGACGGCCGCCGCTTTAAACTCACGGGCAGAGCCATATATCAGATACTAGGTCCGGATACCTACCTACCTACCTACCTACCTAGATACGTGCCTAGGTACTTTTAAACAGTCCCTGGTCGTGTGGTGAAGTTTGTTTTAGGCAGAATGTATTTCGCTCTCTGGTGTATTATTGTACTTCTAAGTCTACAGCCATTTAAGCTGGGATCGCTGGGGGACAGCTTGCTGATCTGGACGTGGTGCCTGCCTGTGGAACGTCCCAGGGAAGATAGATCGTCGAAGGTTGCTGAGAGGACTCGGTCCTCACGACTGACAGGCAATCAGAAAATGAGTGCGGGGAAGCGGCGGTGGCTCTGTGTCCTTTCAACGCGTTCATGTACTCGGAAGTGTCCATGATTGAGTGGACCCCACGACGCTTGTTTCCGTCAACAGCTATTTCAAAGAGTGTGGAACAACAGTGTTATGTAGATAGTGAGATCTCGATCAGCAGACGATGCTCGCGTCGTCCAGGGGACTGTCATGGAGTAGCTTGATTCCTTGGATAGGTTCAGGTAACCGAGCCTTGATGTCTTCCATTTTTCGCTTGGAGTGGCTCCATCCCGGTTACTGCATCCTCCAGACGAAAAGAGGCTCTCTCCACTCTGATACGCCGAGCGCCCTGACTTATTTCCGTCGAGCTGGACGCAGGGATAGTTCCCTGTTGATCTGGCTTGGATGAACTAATCCCAGGCGTCCGGAACCAGAATGCCGGTGCCGGAAACGGCAAGGCTGGTGACTCCCCGACTCCACTGTGACAGACTCGCGGCATCAGTTATGATCACCTGGTTTCTCGTGAACGCTGCCCTTTTCTTGCAAAGATCAGAAGCACCGCGCTGAGAGTGATTTTATTGCCCCGCAACATACTGCAAGAACATGTCCTGCTGGGACCGGAAACCAACTCCCCTCAACTGCTGTGTCGCGTCACTATGAGGCCACGTCGAGTCTGCGCTTCCCGTCAACAACGAGTGGTTATATCATTCTTTGTTAATTTCTTCGTCAGTGTGGAACTATGAACCTGGTCACCGGCAACATAACTCTGTGCTGCGGTGTCATCAGGGCCGGGTCTGCCGCTTGATATCGCAGCTACAGGAGACCCCATGGCCCTATTGTGGTGTGTGCAGTGAGATGGGGAGTTCCCGTCGAAGAATGACTCAGGCAGAACAGCAGCTGATTTTGTACTTCGTATTCGGGAATCTCACCCGTCAGAATGGTTGAGATCTGCTGTGAGACAGTGGATGCCTCGCTGTATAAAGTGCGAGAACTCCTCCCTGGCTTCATTGCTGCCGTCTCAAAGCTTGTCCGACAGTCTAATTCATTCTTCTTTCGACAGAAAAAGAGATTTGCACCACTAGCCATCATGAATACCGTCGCTGCCAACAAGGCAGAACAAGCAATCGGGGACAGACCGACGGCTACCACCAACCAGTACAAAACTCGTCCCAATGAGACCATGCTTGCACTGCGTTGGTACGGCGACAGGGATGTCCGAGTTGAAGAAGTCCCGGCGCCCACCATAACCGAGCCTGCCGATGCCGTCGTGAAAGTCACCGGTACGACAGTCTGCGGTAGTGATCTGCATCTGTACCACAAAGAGATTATGCAGCTGCAGAAAGGTGAGATCTTGGGACATGAGTTTATGGGCATAATCGACGAGGTCGGGCCCGCAGTCAAAGGCCTCAAAGTAGGCGACCGAGTCGTTGCCAGTTTCCAGATTGCGTATGTCTCGAGCGTCCCTCCATTTTGCATATCATGCCAGGGCTAACAATGGACAAACCCAGTTGTGGCGAGTGTGAGTTCTGTAAAGAAGGCCTTAGCAGTATGTGCGATCGCACGAACTCGTCTGCTTTGCAAGAAAAGCTCTATGGAAAACCATTTGCTGGATTATTCGGCTACTCCTTCTTCGCTGGCGGCTTTCCTGGCGGCCAGGCCGAGTATGTTCGGGTACCATTTGCGACCAACAATCTTCTCAAGATCCCCGACCATGTCCCAAATGAGAAAGCGTTGTATCTGAGCGACATCGTCCCGACCTCCTATCATGCCACCGTCTGCGCCGAGGTCTCAAAAGGCAAGAGCGTTGCGGTCTGGGGTCTCGGGCCTGTCGGCATGCTTGCGTGCAAATGGAGCAAGCTTGAGGGAGCGAGACGCGTGATCGCCATCGACCAGGTGCCAGAGCGCCTTGCTCTCGCCCGGGATCTTGGCTGCGACACTATCGACTTCTCGAAGGTCAAGGACGTTGTCGCCGAGATCTATAAACTCGAGCCCCAAGGCGTGAATTGCTGCATCGATGCCGCCGCCTTCCGGTACACCAAGACGCTGTTGCAGAGCGCTGAGCGCCTTGTAGGCTTGGAAACAGACAGCAGCGAGATAGCGAACGAGACTATCCGTGCATGTCGAAAATTTGGCACGGTCTCGATTGTGGCAGATTACGCCGCAATGACGAACCAGTTCCTCATCGGAGCCTTGATGGAGAAGGGCATCACGTACCGTGGCTGCGGCCAAGCTCCTGTGCAAAAGTACTGGCACCAGTTGCTGAAGAAGATTGAGAGCGGCGAATTTGACCCTACTATTGTCCTAACCCATAGGTTTTCGATTGAGGAGTTCAGCGGCCTGTATGAGGCCTTCGATAAGAAGAAGTATGGAATATTGAAGACCTATGTGCAGACAAGGTTCTCCCCACCACCGACCCCAGGCACTCCCAAATTGAGCAGCTTCGCGTCGGGAGATTTTCTCTAGACCTGTCTCCGGGTTGGCAATGATCACATCTGAGGCAAGGTCAACAGTACCCTGCGATAGGAGACTGGGTCCGTTGGGAATGAGGGGGGTATTTTGTGAACTTTTCATAGTACCGTTTATATCTTGTCAATGCCATAGCTGCAAAATCCGATATTGTATTTGTAACATGTCAGTACCATTGCAGCAATTCGGGTATGCTATGCTTTTGGATGGCTAAGCTGAGGAAGGCTCCGTCAAATAGGGTTCTATGACTCCTATCACAACTTGAGCCTTTGTTCTGCTGGACTTGTTCCAGTCACTCCTTTCTCCGGTCTTGAAGTCACGCAGATATCAAAATCATACTCTATCCGGGACTGCGCTTGGTCGAGACAATTCAGTCAAACGCCTTAGCCTAACCCTGTCCACGAGGAGAGCCTCAATCGGACGCAAATGTTTCACTCCTTATGCTCTACGATAGAAAGGAATCGACCTCCCAGTTATGATGGGCAGATCTGTCACTTCGTCATATTTGAGCCCCAATACGTGTCCAATCCTGCCATCCGCCCGACGTCTCTCTACGAGAGCCATGCTTGTTCCTATCCATCTTTCACAGTGAGATATATTGCTTGGAAAGGCCAGCCCTGTTGGTAAACCGAGTCGAAGTAAGCGTGGGGCTTACGCAGATGCAGGCAAGGTCATAGGCTATAGTGACTGCCCTGGCAGTGATTACACGCCCATACCGAGCTTGCCACCAGCTATGTAATGCTCCAACGCCACGAGGACAAGTTCAGGCCATTCATTCATTGCTGTATTCGTACTTAGTTGGTACCTCCGAGTATCACAAGGGTAGGAAGGCGGGCGTCTTCCTGCCGCGGGTCGGAACTCTGTGGGTATATTTCAATTATGATGGTATACATAGATGTGAAAGTTGACTGGATATCATATCATCACAGATTGCTTGTCCCTGACAGTACCAGGTTGATGTACGGATGTCGCATCCCGACGATTCTAAAGACTTGACAAGGCATGACACAGTGGCTGCACTGGCTGGCTTACCCGTCATTGCCATTCGATGACATAGTACCCTAGGTCATTGTAACGACCAACTGAGCAGAAGTACCAGAGTCGAGGCTGGGTCTCGCCACTGACTACAACATGAAATCGTGGGCCAAACTCACTAGCTAGCCTCCTACCAGACGGACGAGCTGTTCTTGCTTCAAAAGCGATGTTCACACAATACACCAATCTGAGTCTTGGAGAAGGGGCATTGTGTGAAGTTAAAGTGGACAGCATGATGCTGATGTTGCTAAGAACACAGAGTCTGTTGTGGCGATGGGTAGGGGCCCACTCTCTACTTCGCTACGTTCCAGATGACAATTCACCGACAAGGCTCTTGATACAGTCTCTCGACGAAGTCGCGGGACTGAGGTTGGTCTGTCCTTGGTTGCTACTGTTCCCATCAGGATGAATGGCGATTGGAACGGAGTCAAAGGGTCTTCTTGGATGAATGGCCATTGGTACGGAATCCATGGAATGGAGCCGGAATGAATTCCCCGGGTGCTAGGAGTTTCCTCGATATTCGGCCTCTGTCATTAGGCTTTCTGTCCCGGAGTGATACCTGGCTGGTACGAGTTATCACCTAGCCTTCAAATGAGGTGTTTGACTTCGCGAATGGTCCGATCACACTGGTGCGAGTAAGAGCATAAATATGCAGAGATCCCCTTTGTTGGCTTTCCACGGATTCAGACCATCATCGAACTCACCATTTCAAAATCATCATGCGTGTCTTCCTCTTCCAAACGGCGAAAGGCCTCTCAAGCTCGTCAGGCGGCTATAAATCAAACCTGTCATTGTTGAAGTATCTGGCTCATCGAAAACATGCGGTAGCTCAACTATGCTATGTTTGGGATAGCGACATCGACTCCTACTATGCCGAAATGGCTGCAGCCGGCCTGGAGCCAGACTTTGAAACCCGAGTGATATCGATGCCAGCGGATGACAGTACCGAAGTTCTCATAAGGACCTACACATTCACCACCAGTGATGGAGTCAGGAACGTTGCGTTCAATGCTTCCGATTTCATGAAAGCTCTCCCTGACAATGTTTTGGCTCGCGACACCGCTAGATTCATCGAGGTACCATGTTTGGGTGTGATACAGAGTACCGAATCTGACAAACGCACAGGAAAATCAAGCAAGCGTCCAAGTTCAGGTGTTTCTTCACTTCTTGGACATGCACATTTACCGCTTCGAACCGACACATGTCATATTCAACGACGGGTTGATGCTGAAGGCAACATCAATAATACCATCCCTTCGCGACGTATCCCGAAATTTGATCGTGCATACGGCTGAGCAGCTTCCTTTTGGGCCTTTCGCCGGTGGCATCCCGGGCGCGTCATACTCCACTGGCGAACATAAGTTAATGCGAGGAGTTGATGCTATTTGGGCAGTATCCGAATGCATCAGAAACTACGCACAGAAACACGGTCAAATCGAAAGCACGTTCCACATTCATCATCCGTGGACATATCTTGACAGCAAAACCCATGCGTTACCAACCAGGAGAGAGAACTGGGACAAAACCGCGATCGGGTTTGTAAACCCTTGTCCGGTGAAGGGCAGTTCAATATTCCGCGACTTGGCCAAAAGATGCCCGGAGTTCAAGTTCGTGGCGTTGTCTAGCTGGGGCATCAACCCACAGGTGGAGGCAGAGCTGCGAGAAGTGCCAAACATTGAGTAAGTCTTCCTTGATTTTCGTGACGAGAGAGATGCCTTTGCTAAAGAAATCTCAACTTCAGCCTTCGCCAAACCGCAAGTGACATGGAGAAAGTGTGGTCTGAAATCAAGCTGCTCCTTGTACCATCTCTATGGCTCGAAGCCTGGGGTATAGTGGTGGTGGAAGCACAACTAAGGGGCATTCCTGTGATCTCTTCCGACGCAGGGGCTATTCCCGAAGCCAAACTTGGTATTCCAGTCATTATACCCGTCAATTCTCTCACAGGTGAGAGAAGTGCAGAAGGAGGATACGCCATTCCGGAGCAAGACATTGAGCCCTGGAAAGAGGCGGTGACGAAGCTGATGACGGATAAGGATTGGTATGAAGAGATCGCAGAGAGGGCAAGGACTGAAACGGCCTCCTGGCTGGCCGAAATTGACCACAACGCTCTGGAAAGCTGGTTATTGAAATCAACGAAACCGGCCACGATGCATAGTAACATGAAGATTAGCATTGTGTAGCGTTTGTTACAAGTATGAGCGATTGATGTTCAGCATGTCAAAATGGAAACTGGCCGGAGGAGGCGCCTTTCCTGTCCCCCGTTCTACTAGGCCTAATCAGGGAGGCATCTGTCTAATCCACGTCGAACAACTCAGAAGCAGATTTGGCCCTCATTTCAGCAGCCCCCTCACAGAATGACCGAGAATGACGTGTTTTGAGGTTTTCGGAGTTAGAGATCACAGTCATGAGTACGAGGGCAGTACTATGAACTCTACAAGCAGCACCAACTGGGAGATACATCGACTTCAGATTCCCGCGGGGCCCACAGACGTCGGCACGAGTTAGCGCTTCCTCTTCACGTTGGCTTGCCAACCCCTTTTTCATACTTTCAACGATTTCGACTCTCAGGAATAAGCCAGGATAGGTCCAAACTTTCTGCCGGATGCGAATCCCCGGATTATATGCAGTATGACCTCTTCACCCGCCGAGGATGAACGTAAGATCAACAGGGCCGTAAGAAAGCCGGCTGGGACAAGTTCTTGGCATGTGTTAATCATGACAAGCTTGAGCATCGACCGGATTCACATCAGCTTCGACATCTGGGGCACAGGCATTGATTCGATGGTGAACTCTGAGATCCCCTTCCCGTAGCTAATGCAAGATATCCGGACATACGAGCAGCTGTAACGCAATGAAGTCAGGACTCAGAAGCAAGGTGGGTCCGGTGTCGATTATCCGTTGGGCATACGGCGTACGTCTCTGTGTATATATATTCGCATGGCAGTCGGCGAAACCACAGATCGTCAAGCTTGCTCAGACCCGGCATACGATCGAAACTCCGCTCGATCGATCTAGAGAAAAGAAACACGCTGCTCGATCGAGATTCAAAAGATGGCAGAAGTTGGGGGGTAAGTCTTCTTGTCTTCAATATCTTTATATCTACCCAAGTCTAACGTGGAGGCGCTCAAAAAGACCAGTGTACACCACGGCGTACAAGCCGCATCCCAGTGAGAAGATGAAAGCGGCCCTCTGGATGGGCACAAAGTCGATCGAGCTGGGCGAGGTGCCCAAGCCCACAATTACGGCGCCCAAGGACGCGATCGTGCGCGTCACGCACTGCACCATCTGCGGCTCGGACCTGCACATGTACAATGGCGATCTGAACAAGGTGATGGAGAAGGGGATGATCATGGGCCACGAGGCCATCGGCATCGTCGACGAAGTCGGACCCGAAGTCAAAAAACTCAACGTGGGAGACCGCGTGGTCATCTTGCCCGTCATCGCGTGCGGCGAGTGCTTCTACTGCAAGCGCAAGGAGTTCTCCCTCTGCGACAAGACGAACCCTTCCCAGGAGTTGGAGCAGATGTACGGGCACCGCCTGTCGGGCATCTTTGGCTATTCCAAGATCACCGGCGGATACCCCGGCGACCAGGCCGAGTTCTGCCGGGTCCCGAACGCGGACCTCACCTGCGTCAAGGCCCCGAAGGACGTCGCGGCCAAGAAGCTGGTCGCTCTCGCCGATGTCACCCCGACCGCGTGGCACGGCTGCGAGCTGGCCGAGGTGGGCGAGGGCGACGTCGTGGGCGTCTGGGGCTGCGGCGCCGTCGGCCTCTCGATCCAGCGGTTGGCAAAGTTGCGCGGTGCCAGCAAGGTCTACGCGGTCGACAAGGACGCGAGGCGACTCGAAATCGCAAAGTCGTACGGCATGATCCCGGTCAACGTCAACGAACACTCGAACCCGGCCGACTACATCTTGTCCGTGGAGCCGCACGGCTTGGACCGCGGCATCGAAGCGAGCGGCTTCAGGAGCACCAACTCGGCCGCCCACGCCACCATGAGGGCGCTGGGCGTCGAGGGCGACAGCTCCGACACGGCCAGCGCCGTCATCAAGGCGACTCGCAAAGGCGGCAATGTCGCTCTGATCGGCGACTTTTTCTACACCACCAACAACTTCCCCATTGGAATGATGATGGAAAAGGCCATCACCGTCCGCGGTGGCCAGCTCTATGCGGAAAAGGTAAAATGCTCTCGTCCCCTTCCCCCGGGGGACCCGCATTTCCTACGGCACAAAATGGGGATGTGAAGAGAAAAGAGAGCACAACTGCTCCCATTCTCGCCCCCCCCCCCCCCCCCCCCCCCCACAAAACACAAAATCAACAGACGGCGCTAACCGTTATGTGTGCGTCTTTTAGTATTTCCCATTCCTTCTCGACATCGTCGTCGACGGCAAGTACGACCCGTCGTTCATTTTTACGCACGAAGGTAGGTTTGAGTCTGCTTTTTGTTCCCAAACTATGATGAGTCCAGTTGATATCATGAAAACTAATGTCTTCCTCTCCCCGCCCAGACGACCTCGAGAATGTCTCGGATGCTTATGACAAGTTCTTCAACCACAAAACGCCAGGCGGGATGAAGGTGTGCCTGACGACTGCTTTTGGCCGGTCAGCGTAGATTGAGAACCCCAGTTGTTCTTGTTGGAAAAAGGGGGGTTCCCAGAAGAGGATGCCTCAGGTAGTCCAAAGCTTCCGAGTTTCTGGGAGTAACAATATGAACATCTATTCTGTGGTATGTTTCTCAGTTCCGCAGCGGTCGTAAAGAAATTTCAAACCCCAGACTACAAATCCCATTAAGTCCCATCATTCCAACCCTGATCCTCTTCGCGCATTGTGGGAAATATCTGGTGCTTGGGGGCCAAAAATATGTGCCTCGTCGTGAGGGCATGGACCGGGCATGGACCAAACATGTCAAGACCGCTTATCGAGTAACGCAAGAATTCGGCCGTGAAAGCCATATCGCCGCTAGAGGTCGTCGACACAGATAGAACAGCACGACGGTGGACTATGGCCAAAGCCCCGGATACTATCTGCCGAGTCTCCTGTCTGAGAAGCTCTTCATATTTCAGGATTTTCTTCTTTTGGAACATACTTACTTGCAAGGCAATACCTAGATCCACACTCTCCGTATTATTACAAGGCTTCGTCTCAAAAGGTCAGAAGAAGCCACAGGAGGACCATATGTGGTCTTGAATTATTTTGGTTCAGCTATTCCCCCCCCCCCCCCCCCCCCCCCCCAATTCAGGGTTAGAGTAGTTGACAACACTCCTATTCAACCATGCCGTTCAATTGAATACGAAGTGGTGCGTTCCCTTTTCGTGGAAAGTTTCCCGGCTCGTTCCTCATCGGTTTTCCAACTTTTCTAGAATGTAAAGGTAGCGAGAGTTTCTTATGGTGAAACCGCCGTCCCCGGAGGATTTTACCTTCCGAGCCGTCTCTGATGGTCCAGCATGTTCACTTGAACCCCTGCGTCCAATGATCTTACACTTGCTCCAGTTTCTCGTCATATGTTATACCTGCCTGTGCCCGAGCCTGGTCCATCCATCCCAACACCCTCAAGCTCTCCTGGGCGCCTATCACGCCGGGTTGCTTGTTGAACACGGCGGCCGCGATGACGTCCGCCTGATACCAGATCCCCCAGCCAACGACGGGTTTCTTGATGACCTCGTTCTTTTCCGTGCCATCCTCATTCAAGTGATCGTATCCGTACCATTGCACGTGCAGCTCCTCCGGCCGAATGGGCGGAAAGGGAATGGCCACCGAGGCTTCTGTGCCTTCGATCCTGACCGAAGGAGCGGCCTTCTGGGCGCCGAGGCGAACGTAGAAGGCAGGCTTGCTCGATCCAGGGATGGTCATGCTGGTCGTGACGATGGCGGTGGCTCCCTTGCTGCTGCTCGCAAGCACCACGGTGTTGATGTCGTCGACCTCGCCGGGCCTCCCCGGGACGCTCCAGGAACTGGAGTGGGCCACGTTCGTTTCGCCGACCTCGACGCCGTTCAGGGCGAGGTCCGCCCACGTCAGCGCATAGACACCCTGGTCGAGCAGCGCGCCGGCGCCGGCCGCTTTGTCCAGAAACCGCGACGTGTCCTGGAGGTCCGGCCCGACGATGGGGAACGAGAAGTCCGAGTACACCCTCCTCACCTTGCCGATCTTGGGCAGGAGCTCCTCCTGCAGGTACCTCGTCGCGGGGAGATGGCGCGTCCACATGGCCTCCATGAGCACGACGCCCTGCTGAGTCGCGAGGTCGACGCATTTGCGGTACTGCGCCGCGTTCATGGTCGCCGGCTTCTCGACCAGGATGTTTCTCTTGCACTGGAGCGCCTTCATCACCTCTTCGTAATGCAGCGTGTGCGGCGTCGAGATGTACACGATGTCAAAGTCGCCCTGCTCCAACATCGTCTGCCACGAGTTGTAGACGACGATGTTCTCGGCGTCTGGGATCTTGTTGTCCTTGAACCAGTTCTGTGCTCGCTCATTTGTGCCCGTCGTGCTGACGGCCACCAGCTTGTGGTCGTACTGTGCCTCCTCACGACCGAGTAGATCTGGGAGGAACACTGACGCGATGTTGGACAGGGACAACGCCGCCCACCGGCACGTTGTTTTGGGTTTGGTCTCGGTTGACATGATGCTAGCAAGGCTGGGAGAGAGATGTAGAAAGAGTATTGTGAGTGGAAGGCTCGTCTGCACAGTAGAGAAGGAAGACAATGTCGTGGAATTGTCTGGTTTGGACCAAGTACTCGTACCTGGTTGCGAGATGGCTCTCTCTCCACGGATGGTTTTTTCCCCACGGTCGTCGGTCTCCACTGGGAGACTCCAGACTGTACGAGCACGAGAGAGTTGTACGCGTAGATGCGATGCTGCAATATCTGTTGGTAACAATACCCACTCTGCTCCGCATTTTCCTTCTCGCATTGTACTGCAGCTTTTCTCAATTCTGCCATTTAGCCGTTTAGCAACCTCTCCCCTCCCATTCCCCCTTATTCTCCAGATTCTGCCAGGTCTGCCGTGCTTGTTCAACTGTCGGCATAGTTCATCCCCCACCTTTCACTACGTGCTATAGAACGAAACTCCACGATTCCCCATCCCGACAATCCGGATCATATGCGAGACCCATAGAGGGCTAACCCTGGTCCGCCACGCGAGATCCGGGAAGATCACCATGGCCACTGGCCGGTTCCATCCCGGGCGAATGGGCGTCACCAAGATTCCAGCCCCGGTTGAAGACAATGACAGTCATACTAATTCCAAGGCTGAATAGAACCGTATCAAGTCTTCGGCTAACAAGGCCTTATTTTGAGCGTCGCTCGGCTGGAGGATTCAAGGAACGGATGCATTTCCAAAGGCGGCAAGACTAGACTCGGTTCATTGGAGGAGACATCTTTGTTATAAGTAGATAGTATACGCGGGACATTTTACCTAATTGCCGAGCCTCAAACAAAGGCACAAAGTGTGGCTCTGCTTTCCATAGGTCTACGACAGTACGACTTCGAGGCTGTCGAAACAAGCCCCACGTGGTGCCTGGAGGCTGGTGAGGTTGCAAGAGTCTCAGTCCATTTGCACAGTAGATGTGTACCTTTCAAGATCGCGAATACCCTCCTGTGATTCAGTTCAAAACTGCAGGATGTTTCCAAGAAGTCGCACCACCGTCAAGCAGCAAATCCTGGCCGGTATACCAGCCGCTGGCCTTGGAGGAGCATAGCCATAGTACGGCCCCTTTCAGCTCTTCCGGCAAGCCAATCCTCCCGAATAAGGTCTCTTTCTCAAACTGCTTGACCAGACTCGGTTGCTCGGACTGTAGGCCCCTCATCATGTCGGTCATGGTGTAGCCTGGGCTGAGACTGTTGACTCGGATTCCGTAACGGGACAGCTCCATCGCCACCGGTTTCACGAGGCCCTTGATGGCCGCTTTCGACGCTGTGTAACATGAGATTTGCTGTGCGGTGCTGGCGATGTAGGTGGCGATACTGGCAATGAAGACGATGCTTCCAGTCGTCGCATCCGTCGCGGGCGCGTCGCCGTGCTGCGACTTGTACCGTTCAACCATGGCGTTCGCACAGGCTTGCGCTACAATGAAGGATCCATTGACATTGACCGCAAAGGTTCGCTGGAGGTTTTTGTCAGAGGTGGTCAGGAAGGGCTCGTCAGTCACAACCCCGGCGGCGTTGATGTTGATGTCTACGCTGCCGAACTCTTGGACAATCTGCGAGACTGTACGAGTGACCTGGTCTCGGACTGTGATGTCAATGGTGTAGTACTTGACTTTGACATCGTATTGTGACTGCAGCTCGAATAGTGCCGGTGATGCTTCGGGAAGAATGTCCAAGACTGCGATATTGCACCCTGCTGATGCCAGAGCTTCGGCGAAGGCGAGACCGAGGCCGCGAGCTGCCCCTGATATCACTGCCGTCTGGCCTTTCAAGTTGAACTAGGATCTGATCAGTTCGCGACTCTAGCTTCGCGGCGCGAACTTTACGTACCTTGTCCATTGTGTGATGATCACTGAGTGAAAGCTATGTGTCCGTTGAAACGACGTTCTCTAACTGGTACGGTCTGGTGGTTTCAGTGCTCAGCAGACGATGGAGGTGAAGAACTACTTGATGCTTCTAAGTAGGACACCCTCATCACGCCAATTCTTGCATCGAACAATGACAGTGGACACCAACACTGTCTGGGTCTTCATGGCATTGGCACTTCGGATTCCGAGCCAATGGCTGCGCTAGAGGGTCCTTGTCCCAGTCAGCCGCAGTGAGGTGTTGCCGTGCCCGGACTCCATGGGGATGAGGGAAAGCAGGAGAATAATGGGCCAAGCGATGATCTTGGTGGGAGGCGCTGTTTAGCCTTTTAGCCGAATCTTGCTCGCCCGCCGGCGCACGAGAGCCGCACACCATCACCATCCGAATTTGGTGCGTGTCGTACAACAGAAGAGGTTCGATCCAATCCGACTGTCATCAGGCACGTTTGGTCATTAATTTACGCCATGAGAAACCTTCAACACCGCGAAGTGGTTTGACTGCTCCGATACAGCGCCGCTTCAAGACTACCTGCCCACGACCCGCTCCTCCTGAACCTTCTCAGGACCTCCTCCTCACAGTGCGACTCACTCTCTAGGGTCGGACTACGACCGATATATCTTCCTCCTGCCTCGATGGTGCTCTTCTATAGCTTTACGTATCAGGATGATCAAGATACGACTCCCCACCGACGCTGTACGAAAGTAAGAGGATCGACTTGACGTCGGTGCGAAGACACCGTGCCCAGTGGATTGCAATCTATTCCTCCATGTTCACCGAAAGAAAGCATCGACGAAGATCTGGGGCGACGGCTCTATCGCAACACTGTCAAACACTTCCGTGAGCTTGTCGCTTGTAGCTTCCTGACCTTCTTTCGCTACACCTGGCTTATGATGGCCAACAATTCATTCATAAAACTTTTCTTGAGCAACGGAAAGAGTAGTTGACGAACATAGTCAAGGACTAGATCTGCATCCCGATCTGAGAGAAGTTAAAAGCTCTTCGGCGAACAGGTTGTAATCACCTCGCTGCCCGACCGTATAGTAAGTGTTGAGTTCATTGACAGATTCGGTTCAGGCCCTGTGGGAGAAGCTCACAGCTTTGCCGCAGCGCGAGTATGTCCTGTGGCTGTGCTACCTCAATATGCGAAGAGGACTCAACTGGGATACATGTTTTCTTTCACATTCCATCAGCGCCAACGTTCTCAAGAGTGCCTGGTATTAAACAAGTGAGATGTTAACCCGGAGGCTTTCGACTACTATACTCCAATCTGAGTAAGGCCTTCAGGGTAGCCATGTCTGCTTGGTCGTAATTGGTACTATAATTGGGAGCGGTGCTCACAAGCGTGTATTGTGGATCAGATTGCTGATCGCATGCCCAGCGAAGGACAATTTGTGCCAGGTACCAGAACTGCAACGAGTTCTTCATGAAGCCAGGGCCTCGCCACCGTCCTTCTGAATCATCGACTGCCTTTTCCGATGGCGACGGTGTTCCAAATGCTTGTGGGACGTTCTCCCGTGAGCGGAGGATCCAGATGCAGTTCCAGTTCCGAAGCCAGTATTGAAAAGACTGGCAACCATACTGGAGTCCGATTGATGACCGAATATGGAAGATCACAGAATGGATGGCTACAGAGATTCCGGTTTGCCGTTAGACACAGACTTCGTTCATTCCATGAGTGCTTTCAAATTGTGCACCAAACCAAAACCTACCGATGATCAAAATACCCAGGTTCACGTCCCCGAGATGAGTGAAGAATTGCACCGTCTCAGAGTCCAATTCCCGGCTGCTGCTTATGATTTTCAATGCTTCTGCGATCGAGATACGTCGACCCCTCCATAGAGGATGAGAAACCCATGTCCTCAGGTGGTTGAAGCAGGCGGCTTTCGTGCTTGCCTGAAAACAGGCCTCGGGACAGACGAGATCCGCGCGCAACTCGGAGGGCAGGACTCTGGGAGGCATGTTGTTCATCATTACGAAACCACCGTCGAGTACAACAATGTAATTGAGGGTCCTGCGTTACAATTGTTAGCACATGGTATGACGGTTGACGAGTAGTAAAATGTGTGGACCGTATGAGCTCTTCTTTGAATGCAAAATCCTCCCAATCGAACTCGGCTTCGGAGAGAGATACGAAATCCAGATGCATAGCTTTGGCGAAGCCTAGTTCTCGAGCCATCTAAGTAGGTCTCATCTCAGTCGCTCAACTCGCCTCGACCGAAAAATTGGAAACCCAAACTTACTGCGACAACCTGTCCGTACCGATGCTTCCTTACTCGCCGTTTTGCTCTATCGTCTCCTTCCCAGAATTGGCAAAGACACATAGCATGGGCGGCTTGAAGTGCTCTCAGGCGCCTGTTAACGCAGACTGCGTTCAACGCCGAGTAGGAGGAGCTGTCGCCAAAATACTCGTCACCAAAAATCGTTTCCTCTACTGCGTCACAAAAGAGCTTAGCCCAGTAGCCGTCTTCCGGGTCAGCTGAGTAACTCGCCCCGATCAGCACCATCACTGCGATGAGCGTGTACGGAATGTTTGTGTAGATGAAGGTTGGCCTGTGGATCACAGGCCAGTGCGGGTACCAGGTCGACCAGTAGAGCTCTATGAAGCGACGCAGATTATCAGGGCTGAAGAAGTCATCGGCGCGTTTCATCAACGCCTCGCCTGGTTCCAGACGAATTGGACTGTTCGGAGCTTTCTTTAGAATGGTAGAGTTGAGTCTTGCCACAATCTCTCTGGCGACCTCGTACAACGGGTCGTATGCAGTTGCATTCGCAGGCTGTCCGCCAATCCACGGCTCCTTTGTTGTTGTTTCTGAAGGGATAGATGCTGCCGTTAGCCGTGCATTCGAATCATGTGTTGCGGAGTCCGTAGTGTCTGATACCAATGTCTCCATCCAGTCGTTGCAAGGAAAGTCTTCCGGCATGTCCAGGATGAAATTTGGAAATTGTTGTATCGGGCCACGAGTATTTTGCATATTTGCGCTCTCACAAGGAGCAAATTGTCCGCAACGTAGTTTGGATAGTGAGGAAAGCTCAGGGTCAAACGTAGCGGCAAAACCGCGTGTCGACGTGACTCGAACAAAGAAGGAAAGCGAGTCGTGAATATCTTGGCTCTGAAGTCTTTCCAAGCACTCTTGTTCCAGTTGCAGCGAGATGAATGACTGTGTTACCCCTATGCCGGACGGGTGCAAGATTAAACTGTCTCTTGGGGAGAAGAGTTCTTCGCGATGGCCAACATCGATATCTGAAGTGGTTGTCTCAGTGGTGGATTCGGAAAGCTCTCCAACGACTTGACAGATTTCGGCATGTCTCGTATAGATATCCCTTTGCGGGCTATGTTAGCTGACGAAAATTCACGTCGGACTGGGTGTCACTATGTCACGAGTAGCCACATACCTTCTCTTGAAAGCCCTACCACACTTGGAACATGCGAAAGGTCTATGGCCCGTATCTGATGAGGCCACATGTCAATAAGTCGCTTTCCAATTTCGTTCAAAATGCTCCTGCGCTAGAATGCTAACCAAACAAGCAGCACTACTTACGCGTAATCATATGACGACGCAAATGTTCTCTCCGGCTGAAAGTCTTTGAACAAATTGAGCAACGAGGAGCACGCATGGTTTCGGTTGTTAGGTTCATCTCGTTCGACGCTGACAGGGGCCGAGGCAGAACGACGGCCCTGACAAGCTCTGTTCAACAACCACCGAGTGCTAGTTTGGACACCGTAGATGGCGCTTTGAGATTAAGGAATGAACTTAGCCGAGTTCTGAAGTGGTAATGCGACGCTGTACCCTAAGACGATGACTGATACCCTCATCTTTGCAAAAATGCTCCCTCGGCCGACGGTCGTGGAGAAAGAAGTGATGTCCTCGCCCGCCTGAGGGGAGCAAAGTGCACAGGGATTTGGATTTGTTGATTGGTAAGACAATATCTTAGGTAAACATGTTTGAGTGTGGTCAGCGATCACGAAACAAAGCTAGTTAGTTAGCGGATCGCCGCTAAGCAAACTAGCTACCAACCTATGCCTAGTCTGGGCTGCCTCGGCATCGCTATACTTTCTGCATGGCGCCTTGTCTGATGCCCTCCGCCTCCGCCTCCGCCCCCGCCCCCGCCCCCAGAAAGTCCAAGGTTCTCCAGGCATCAAGAGGTTTGAAGCCGAGTATCTCGATGTCGACAGCCAAATCCTATGGCTGCGGTGTCTATCAGTATGGCTTTAAATACGATGCGGTGGGCAACAATGCTCAAGAAGCTGTCACCCCACTCATCTCACAACAAAAATCCATTCCGGACAATCCAGAAGCTGTCCATTTCCAATGTCGTCTGCACAATATCCTGTCCGTAATGTCGGCATCTACCACAATCTACCTCAATTCGACCCTCAGCTTTCTGGACTTACAGCTTTGATCACGGGCGCTAATGGCATCTCTGGTTTCAACACACTAAGAGCGCTTTTGAATTCGCCTCAACGATGGGGGAAGATCTACACGTTGTCGAGACGCCCCATCCCGCCAAGCATGCTGAATTTGCTTCCGTTGAATGTACGCAGTCGAGTTCACCACATTGGTTGCGATCTGCAGTCCGACCCGAAAGAGATCGCAGCCATTCTAAACGCGGCCGGAGCCGTTGGGAAGGTACAGTACATCTTCTACTACGCATATCTCCAGCCGAAGCCAGAGGATGGAGAGCCCCTGTGGTCTAACGATCAGCAACTGGTGGATGTCAACGTAGCCATGCTATCGAAATTTCTCCAGGCTCTAAGCCATACCGACATAAAGCCCAAACGCTTTCTTCTTCAAACGGGGGCCAAAAACTATGGAACTCACCTTGGACGAGCTCGCACTCCCAACCTTGAATCTGATCCTCAACCTCGCCATCTGGCACCCAATTTCTACTACCCTCAGGAAGATCTTGTCTTCGAGTACTGTGCTACAAACGGCGTGGAGTGGAATGTAATTCGACCTCCGTTCATCGTCGGAACATCCTCGACGGCCCAGATGAATGGACTGTACGCATTCGCCGTGTATGCTGCTGTTGCTGCTGAGCGCGGAACTACATTGGCGTTCCCGAGCACCTGGGAGCTTTGGCAGCAATATTGCGCGCACCACGGGAGTGCACTCTTGACCGGCTACCTCAGCGAATGGGTCATACTCGAGGATAAATGCAGGAATGAAGCATTCAACAGCCAAGACACAAGCCCAATCTCTTGGGATCGTATCTTTCATGAACTCGTCCGCTGGTTTGGCGTCCAAAAAGGAGTGCAACCACCCAGTGAAGATGATTCTGATTGGCCCGAGTTCAAGGTCGGAGGTGGCAAAGATACACCCATAGGGCAAGTCCCAAACTCCACTCGTCTTGCTTGAGTGCTGCTGCTGACCAGAGCCAACGCAGGTACGGCCCTCCTCAATCGTGCAAACTTGCTTTTTCAATGGTGGGATGGGCCAAAGACCCTGAGAACCACAAGGCCTGGAAAGATATAATGCAGCGGGAAAACTTGACGTTTGATCCATTTCTGGAAGTTGAAGCCAATTTCCTGATCGGAGATGTGATGTTTGTATTGTTCGGGCCACTCTCAATGAACAAAGTGAGTGAAGTGTACACCAAACTCCTGTTGAGGCTGCTGACACTCTGATGATAGGCACGCCGACTAGGATGGACAGGTTTTGTAGACACCATGGAGAGCATCTTTGAGATGAATCAGGAGCTGAACGCACTTGGAATGCTGCCAAAGATGAAAGTACAGGCACCACTCCCACTTATTTGAAACATTGCACTGCATCTCCACACCCGACGAGATAAGTCGATGCTGGGTACTCCTGAAGCACTGCCAGGTCTACTGGCAGGCAAACGGTGGCTGGAAATTGCACAAGTGACAAAGGGAGTAGTTAGAAGGAGGGAGGGAAGAGGCGCCGATATTGGTTATAGTGGACACGAGCGCTATAGTTAAAACTCCATACAGGCACTCCCGTGGCCTAGACTGTCCCCCTTCGGCTTTCCTTCAGTCTCCCTTCGGCGGCCAAATGGATCGACGGCAGATCTTCAAGCCAAGAGGTCGCCCGGAACAACATTCAACCAGGAAAGATCGGATGGATCGAATGCATCGAATAAATCAGCCCATTCGAACACTTGAGATATTTCTTGTCCATCCAAGGCAACCTGATCGCTCAACGCTCCATCAGTAGGTTGAAAGCTCTGTACCTGGCCATTCCCAACCAAGTTGTTGTTTGGAAGTCGAGTTTGCATCTGGAAATTCTCGTTACCAGTCACAACATGGGTATCGGCAGACAACCAAAGTCTGCCATAAAGGGTGCGAAGAGCAAACACGCATCTTTGTGCGGAAATATTGTCGTTCTGGAAACTTTGAAGTATTTCCATCGCCATCTGCCATGAGAGTTGAAGCTCACTGTCCGATATAGCCCCTAGAGTGACAACAGGTCGGAAACGAGCCGCCAGTAGGACCGTGGCAGAAAGGTACACATCTATAAAAAGCTCCAAGTCAGCTCCAGATATCTCGGAAGGTACGAAATATGAGTCTAAGGCCCGTGAGTTGTAAGACGCCACTTACGAAGAGTTCCATATAGCCACGCAGGCTTTCTGCCCCAGCTTCTCGTTGTGGTCAAGTTATTGTGCATGATTTCGATAAGCTCCTTGGCTGCTTTCACACAGAGAACACAGCACTGTAAAGCAACACGATAGTTCAAGTCTTCGCCACATGGTCTTCCACTAGGGTTCTCAGAGGTGGGTGCAGATTGAGAGACACAAAGTGTGGCAAATACTGGACGGAATAGGTAAATTCTGACTTGGAGATATCTAAGTGTCTGTTGGTCAATGTTTTCCTGGATGATTGTAGGAGTTGTCAAATGTACCTCAGACGGAGAACAATTGCCTGTCGCCGGATCGTGACCGCCAAGTCGTTCTGAGCCTGTGCTATCGACGTACCACTGCGAAACTCCAAGTTTGCAGGAATGTCATCGCACCACTCCTGGAGCTTTCTGTCAAGCTTCAAGACGGAAGGGTTCCCTTCGAAATATCGATGATAGCCTCGGGCCACATCAGGTTTCTCTTCCGAATAGAATGAAAGGAGAATCTGCTGCGCAATGTCGTAGAGTTTTGTGGATACCACAAAGAATGCTAGAACAGACGGTTCGGCGGACGGATCACTCGGACTTATCACGTTAAAATTTCCATCTTCGGTCTGCAAAGGGAGAAGAGTCGGACAGTCATTACAAACTGTTATCATGGCAGGTCGACCCAAATTCATACAGACAATCCTAATGAGACTATGAATATCTGCGATGCGGATGATCATCTTCATGGAGCTGAGAGCACTTACCTCTCGAGGGTTACACAGCCAAGATAGATCCTCCTCACCCACTCTCTGTCTTGGTCGTTCAAGGGATTCCGCAGCGAGATAGCGATGCGATGGATGCCAAGGTGGTGGCAGGCGCGGAGAGCCACGCCGATGATTCCCCAAGCTTTGTGAGATTTTCCGGTTCCAATCAAGTATTGTGCCATCAGCAGCATCACTTGGACAAATTGTAACGAGAGAACACTCGTGTCAGTAGGATCATAAGGCACTAACGCATGTGCTCTTTCAAAGAAGACCTCGGCCTCTTCATGTGCCTCTCCAGGCTCGTTTTGGACACAATACTGACAGCCAAGAGCAAGGACAAGATTCAGCGTTGCCATAGAAGCACTCTCGTCAAGGCGCATGAGATGCGAATGGGTGTCTGGCAGAGGAGCGCTCTCCCAAAGTGACCTGTATATTTGGTCGAACGTTTTCCTGGCGACGAAGGGATAAAGTGGATAAACAAAATTCCAATAGTTTTCTTGGAGCTCATCTGATACTTTCCGAGGAGGCAGCACGTATTGAAGTCGCCGAGTTCTAGTCTGTGTAGCTCTCGCGGAAACTGGAGCAGTGTCTGTTCTGAACTCGTTTGATACTTGTGCTTCAATCGCCTGCCGAACGGAGTCTAAGAAAGATGCAGCTGAGGACATACCATGGAATCCTTCATTTTGTGGGTCGTCAGTAGCAGCGGCAGTGACAGCGTTGACAGGAGTACAGGTGGTGGCAGTTGCAGGCGGGCTAGTACTTGAGGGCAAATGGGCGGTATCAGGATTTCCCTGAGGATATTGCTGTGTAGGTGATGTCGAAGTCCACAAATCCTGAGGTGCAGCTTGGTTCTGACGTTGTTCTAGAGTTTGGATGCGATTCTGCAATTCGCGCAGAACACTTGCATGGTATCGTCATGTCAGCAACTGTCCGAATGTGCTTTGAGATTCCTCGGGCACTCGAGGCCAGCGTTGAGCACTAGTAACACAGAATGGGAGCTGGTACCGAGGGGAAGTATGACAAACCTCTCCGATGCAGGGCTAGGCTTCTTCTCAACGTGTCTATATAGACATTGTCTGGAACCCCAACCTCTTTTTAAGCAGGCGCCGCAGACTCGGGAAACGTCAGTACATCCCGTTGGGCGAAGAACCACCTACCTGGACGGGCCCCATTGCATTTTATCTTTTTCACCCGGCAGTGCTCGCATGCCAGAGAAGTCTTGCGTCGAGGGGTGGGAGAAGGTTCGCCGTTCATTTCAATCGAGAACACTCAGATTTCAGTGACAAGGACGCACGAGGTTCAACGGGGGAGCGCGTCGGTCGTGCACAACATGCTGGACGATTCTCAATGCATAATGGCGTCGCAGTGATTTTACTTCAACCGCAAGAAATGAGTAGTGAGCAGAGTAAACGGTCTAGTGGGCAATTGAAGCCGAATGGAAACATTAGGTATGTTTAAGTAAGGACACCTAGGTAAGCTTAGGCTCACAGTCTATTACTAATATAACTTTAGGGTGTTGAAGTTAGAGCGACGGCACTTACAAAGATATCCCACTTATCTACTAGGTAGGCTAGAGGCTAGTTAGTTAGTGACTCGCTCGTCTGATCTCAGCCTCTAAAGTATGCCTGGCGAGCATAACTTAAGTGCTGCTAATGAACCGCCGCCTTAAGATTGCTGAAGGGCTTACAATCCCCTAAAGATTTAGCGTCCAGCGGTGCTCACGAAGCTCTTACAGTAGACATACCCGAACTTCTCTCATCGCCCAGCCGCTCTTGGTTCCCTTCAATGTTAAAAGGTGTTGCCCGAGATTCAAAGTTGACTATGCCGTGACTGCCATACCCTGTCGTGGAAGCAATGCAGTGGGAAGCTAAATCACCATCTTCCAAGCAATCGACGAAGACTTGCAGAAGTATCGGATCTTGCTCTTCTCTCTTGACTTTTTGTCCTTTTTGAGTTCCCGTATGATGAGCTTGTCGCTCCCACCACCGCTGTGTGCAGCAGAAGTTGGACATTGTACTCTTCCATGATGTCTTCCGGAATGGATTCGAGACATTCGCGCTCAATCACCTATCACAGAGGTCATCAGTCAAATTGAAGGTGAAAAGACGCTGAACTTTGCCTGGGTCTCGGCAGTCCCTGACCCGGCAGCTTCTACAGTATCTGATCTGGTCCCACAGTCTCCCTATCTCTTGTCTGGAATGTTCTTCGATGGAAAAGACCTGCAATACGATCCAGCTCCACGGTGAACCTAAGTTAGTACCAAGGCACTTGGTACCCAAGTCGGGTGTTGCGACTTAATAGATATATTGAAAATCTGAGGAAGCCTTCTGAGCGAACTATAAGTAATATCGCATGGAAAATATCTAGGAGTTGTTTGAAAGTATGAACGGAAAGTACAATCGCAGCTTTGCATCCAAGGCGAGGAATCATTTCGCAGGCCCTGTCTCCGTTACCCTGAGCTAATATCTTCACAGAAAAGCACTCAGTCTCGGAGGCCTAGACTCGATTCCGAATGAGTTGCACACTCGGCTCGGGATGAAATTTTCGAGAACGTCTTCGATTTGGACTCCCCGATGATCCCATTGCCGACGAGCACCATTCTATCCTATCGGAGTGCGATTGAATATGGATGTCCGCTTCTCTTTTGGAACATTCCAAGTCCGAAACTGTTCCGAATCGGGTATCTAATCGGGAGTCATATACTTCTATGTACACTTCTGTCGCCGTTATGGAATTTCCGCTGTCCTCCACAATAGTATGATGCGATATTGGTATGATCTAACCTCAGGGTTGACAGTTCAGGATTCCTCAGCAGACTTTTGAGCAATCCGAGCAAATACTTGTGAAGGATCGAGGAAGGTCTCAGCCCTGTAACATTTCAACAGCCCATCTGGTTCCTTACGCACAAAGAAAGTTGCAAAACCCGGGATCTCAATGTCCTGGCATGCATCATCGCCCTTGACCCGATATCGGATCCGAGCAGCCTGATAAATTCGTGGTGCCACATAGTCAAAGTACACAATTTCATGCTCCATCAAATCCAGCTGTTGGAATACTCTTGAGAACATATCTCTGACCTTCTCTCCCTTCAACACCGGATTGTTGGCATACTGGAGTTCGACGTCGTCGGTCATGAAGTTGGTACACCACTTTTCTGCGTTCAGCTCGGCACTCGCACGATGGAACTGGATAAATGTCAGACCATAGCCAGCGATAAGGAACCTGCGGAAATTTGGATCTTAGGAACTTACGCCTTCAAGCCATGATTGAATTGTGGCTCTTTCTACGCTTTGCGTAGTCGACATGGTGCCAAATGAAAGGTTCTCGATTGCCGGCTATTGCAATCGTAGTACTTGGTGAATCTGGCCCTATCGTCCGTCATAATTTTCAGGGTATCACCCTCACATTTATATGCGTCCGTCTACCTAACTTCTTGCCGCAACGATGGGGCATCATTTCTAAGCTTTTCAAGAGCCGTGACTGAAGACTTCGGGATCCCATCCCGGATTCCGAGTATTTCATCTTAATAATAGACTTTCGAGCTCCCGCGGCGAGGCTGAGCTTAAGGAGGGCTTCCGAGATGGCACGTGATGCACTTTACGAACTCATGGCTAGGTAGTCTCGCGACGTGCTCTTGGCACGGCGCGGGTGCGATTACCCTGCCAACCGTCCAGAGTCAACACCGAAGCCCTCTTGCCATTTTTGAATTCCCACCTTATTCTTCCTACGAAATTGTGATCACCAACGTCAAACGAAATGGCCGTAGACAGGAAAGACAAGTCACAACTTCACAAAGTCGCCTTACGAGGTATGTCGAGGTACCGATGGTCGTGAACCTTGTGCTGATTGAGTTTCCAGGTTCCTCGAAGTTGGTAGCCGAGTTCTTCGAGTACTCCATTAACACGATTCTGTGAGTTTGAGAGGCCATAGATTTCTAGAGGTGGCAGCGAGTGGCTGACTGTCGAAAGTTTTCAAAGAGGTGTGTATCCTGCCGAGGATTTTACACCGTGAGTGAGACAACGAACCCAAGAGCAGGCGAATACTAAGCAGACACAGTGTCAAAAAATATGGACTCAATATGCTCGGTAGGACGATCGCTTCAGTCTCACAAGAAAGGCCCTCAAGGCTAACCTTTGCAAGTCTCCTCGGACGATCAAGTCAAGGCGTACATCAAGAAGATCATGTCGCAGTTGAACAAGTGGATGGTGGGCGGCAAGATTTCTAAACTAGTGGTGGTTATCACCAGCAAAGAGACTGGAGAACACGTTGAGCGATGGCAATTCGATGTCCAGATTCTGAACAAGTCGTCAAAACACCGAGCGTCCAAGAAAGCTCCTGACAAAGAGAATGCGGCCCCAGGGTAGGAGACCCGAGCACATTGATCAGGGCGGTACTGACCAACACAGGGACACAGCACCTGTAGACGCTGAACCAGAGAAGACCGAGGCACAAATCCAAGAAGAAATACAGGCTATATTTCGACAGATTACGGCTTCAGTCACATTCCTGCCTGTCCTTGATGGCAACTGTACTTTCAACGTTCTGGTTTACGCAGACGCAGACTCTGATGTACCCATCGAATGGGGTGACAGCGACGCCAAAGAAATCAAAAACGGAGAGAAGGTGCAGCTGCGAAGCTTCAGCACCAGCAATCACAAGGTTGATACCATGGTTAGCTATCGGTTAGCAGATTGATGGATTCATGCTGCAATAGCAAGAAGAAGCGAGGCGTTAGGCGTTCGGAGGAGGGGATCTATTGTAGGATACCTGAGATATCAGCGGTCTCGGTTGCTGGTTTGATTAGCAATGATAACGACTCTCATGACGAATATATTCATCTATTGCTTGGAGCATGATAAGTCGCGACAAAGCTCTACCGGTCGAAGGCCGGCATAACACTAATCATTTATAGTGTGTAGACACGGTTCCTTCTAATTGAGTGGAATGAGGTATTGTATGAGGCTGAGATGCAGCCTTGCCACTCGGCGGGGCTGGTCTGAAATTTGGAGAAAGATTTTGGATTCTGCTGGTCGCCCACCTAAAGAATCACTAGACTTATCGCCGCAACAAAATTGACGTTGGGCGTATGTTGATGCCTGCGACATATTCACAATTAATTTTCTGCTTGGTCATGCGATAGTCCTCTCCCATCTGACGACGAGCGAAACCTCACTTCGAAGAAGCAGATGTGTCGCTTGTTTTTTACGTTCAAGGCGGTGCGGTGACAACTGAGGCAGGATGCCTGTGGCTACACAGGTCTCAAATCAGTGGCCGGGCAAAGAGCAGGTCGTCAACGATGCCCCCAAAGTGATCAAAGAATTGCACTTTGGAGTTTTGTATGAGATTTCGGGGTGAGCGCATGAAGGAATATTCTCTGACAATTCTACAGATCCGACCAAGACATCATTAATCAATCTCAAGTCGAACTTGCAGACCGCCGACTCTTCGATCTCGACAAAGGTCGCACTTACGCCGAATATGGACCTTTAGATAGGCGCATGGGCGTCTCCGGAAAGCGAGATACCTGTGCGACCTGCGGTGAACAATTACAGACCTGCAATGGCCATTTCGGTCACGTACGCCTGGTTCTTCCAGCATTCCATGTGGGATACTTCAAAAAGGTCATTCAGATACTGCAGAGCATTTGCAAGGCACGCACTCTGGCCTCCGAGGCTCTGGACCAAAGTCACTAACTTTGTCAGGACTGTTCCTGCATCCTCCTTTCTGAAACCGATCGACGGAAGTTCATAGGCGCCCTACGAAGAGCGCAGCATGACAGTCTCAGACAGGCTGCGATCGTACGAAGAGTTGCGGACCAATGTCGGAAGACAAAAACATGTTTTGAATGTGGTGCAATCAATGGTCTTGTCAGGAAAGCTGGAACATATTCCTTGAAAATTTCTCATGATCGCTTCAAGTCCTACAATTCTTCCACAGCTCTAAAGAAGGTTCCTCCGCCTGAGAAGGTCGAGTTTGACAGCTCGTTCAACCATGCGAAGCAGTCGAATTCAGAGCTTGACAAGCACCTCAAGAAAGCTATGGACGATCTAAACCCTCTACGAACCCTCAAGTTGTTTAGACGTATACGGCAAGCTGACCGAGAACTGCTGGGACTTCGCTCCGCCAAACCCGAGTCATTCCTCTGGCTGTACATTCCAGCGCCACCGGTGTGTATCCGGCCGTCGGTGGGACAAGAAGGTGCCAGCACTGAGGATGACATTACTGCGAAGTTGGGTGACATCGTCGCAGCTAACACCGCCCTGAGAGAAGCCATCGAGAAAGGCGCTCCCGTTCAGTCTGTCATTGAACACTGGGATTATCTCTCCCTTCAACTGGCCATGTACATTAATAGTGACGTGCCAGGCCTTGCAAAAGGGGAGTTTGGAAAACAGATCAGAGGCTTTGTTCAGCGCCTCAAAGGCAAACAGGGCCGCTTTCGAGGTAACCTATCCGGGAAGCGGGTTGACTTCTCTGGTCGCACAGTCATCTCTCCTGATCCCAACCTAAGTATCGACGAAGTCGCCGTACCTATTCTGGTCGCCAAGAACATGACATATCCCGAAGTTGTCAATGATATCAACATAGAAAAGCTGCGAAAGAGAATCCGCAACGGCCCCAATGTCTGGCCCGGGGCGAATTATGTTTGGAAAAAAGACGGAGACTTCCGCATCTTCTTGAAGTATGGCAAACCATACGTTGTTGCGAAAGAACTCAAACAAGGCGACGTTGTTGAGCGCCACCTTGAAGATGGAGACATTGTCTTGTTCAATCGTCAGCCATCTTTGCACAAACTCAGTATTCTCAGTCATTTCGTCAAAGTTCGACCTCATCGTACCTTCCGACTCAACGAATGTGTCTGCAACCCCTACAACGCCGACTTTGACGGAGACGAGATGAACTTGCATGTGCCTCAGACAGAGGAAGCGCGTACCGAAGCCACTCTTTTGATGGGCGTCAAGCACAATATTGTCACGCCAAAGAACGGCGAGCCCATCATCTCGGCCATCCAGGATTTCATTACTGCTTCTTTCCTTCTCAGCTCTCTCGATCAATTCTTCGATAGGAAGACATTCGTTACCATTTGTATGGGAATGCTGGAACCTGACACAAAGTTCGAGCTACCTCCACCAGCTGTCATAAAGCCAGAAACTCTTTGGACAGGTAAACAAGTCTTCAGCGTTCTAATGAGACCGAACAAACAGTCACCAGTGACAGTCAATCTTGATGCTCCCTGTCGAGATCATAATCAGTACCATCCAGGCCTGCATCGGGATCTCCAGGATGATAGTTTTCTGGTTATACGCAACTCCGAGGTCCTATGCGGGAGAATGGACAAGGCTACAGTTGGCTCGGGAAAGAAGAATTCGGTCTTTTACATCCTCTACCGTGACTTCGGTCCAGATGCAGCTGCACAAGGAATGAACCGACTGTCCAAACTCTGTGCAAGATGGCTGGGCAATCAAGGATTCACCGTCGGCATTAGTGATGTGACTCCGCCTTCCTTACTGGTAAAAGAGAAGGCCGACATGATCGCAAAGGTTTTCGAAGAATGCAAAGAATTCGTCAAGACCTCCAAAGCCGGGAAGCTGAAGAGGAAGCCTGGTCTCGACGACGCTGGCTCACTTGAAGCCGAACAAATCAGAGTACTGAGTACCGTTCGTACGAACATTGCTGGGCGCTTGACATCTCAACTCAGCAAGAGAAACACTCCCATGGTCATGGCTATTTCCGGGTCCAAGGGTTCGAATATCAACGTCACACAGATGGCCGCGCTTCTAGGACAGCAGGATATTGAAGGCAAACGTGTGGCCGATGGCTTCCAAGACCGCACTCTGCCTCACTTTGCCAAACATGAGCGATCGCCACCATCGAAAGGATTCGTATCCAATAGCTTCTTCAGTGGGCTACTCCCATACGAGTTTTTGTTCCACGCAGTCGGTGGAAGAGTCGGTTTGGTCGACACAGCTGTCAAGACTGCAGAGACTGGTTACATGTCGCGTCGGCTGATGAAGTCCCTCGAGGATCTCTCTACACAATATGACCGCACGGTACGGAACTCGGCATCCAATATTGTTCAATTCCGCTTTGGTGACGATGAATTGGATCCGGTCGACATGGAGGCCAGTGCAAAGCCGGTCGATTTTGAACGTACATTTGCTCACGTTGAAGCCACTACCTTCGACATGAACGACCCTGGTCTTAGTGATACCGAAATATTCACCACCATGGAAGAAATTCTTGCGCCAAACCGTGGTCTTCTCACCCGTGTTGATTTGAACGGGAATGAGCTCCCATATGACAACGACGATGACAGATTTGTCGATCAGCACGAAAGCCATCGTGCATTCTTGCAATCCATCCACGATTTCGTCATGGCTAAGGTCCGGTCGGTCGAGGATGCGAAAGTACAAAAGAAATCATTTGCTCTTCCACCAGCAGTAGCCTCTAATTCGAGCAAACGTAAGGTTGACGCTGATGACGACGATGGTGAAAATGAATCTGTATCGAGTCCAGCTCGACGCTCCAGTCGCAAGGCAGCCTCAGTTGCGCCACTTTCACCAAAGGCCGTCAAGAAGCAAAAGAAATCCGAGTCGAATGACCAATCCGTCGTCCGTGTCCAGGCGGCCCCGTCCACGAAGGATCGCTTCGATATGACGTCCAAGGTCTCTGAGAAGACTCTGAAAGCATTCATCAATCTCTGCCTAGAGAAATACGAACGTGCTCGTGTTGAGCCAGGCCATGCCGTGGGCGCTGTTGGCGCACAGTCAATTGGTGAGCCAGGTACACAGATGACACTGAAGACTTTCCACTTTGCTGGTGTCGCAGGTATGTCGCTCACGGCCGGTGTGCCTCGAATCAAGGAGATCATCAACGCATCCAAAGAAATCAGTACGCCTGTCATCACGTGTCGTCTGGAACGTCGTCGAGATTTGTCTATCCCAGAATCACTCGGGCGTATTGTGAAAGGCCGTATTGAGTGTCTCTACCTCGAAGATGTCGCAAAGAGTATTGAAATTACACTACCGATGATGCGTTCCATCAGCATTCTCCTCAAGATCAGCCTTGACACGATCACCGAGCTTGGCCTTGATCTGACGGTGCAGGACATTTGCCTTGCGATCCAGCGCCACCGACAGCTCAAGGCGGCCAAGTTGCGGATTCGGATCAAATCTGCAAGCGAAGTCGTTCTCGAGACTGAAAGTGCCATCAAGTCGGCCAAGCGCGGTAATGCCGCCAAGATCGACGAAGAAGGCCAAAACGAGAAACTCCTCCGACTACGAGCCCTCCGCAGAATCTTGCCCAGCGTGCACGTTCTCGGCCACCCGCTGGCAACGAGAGCAGTGGTGATGGCCGAAGATGATCCTCGGAGCGACGAGATCAAGGCACTACGTGCTCAGACAGCCCGCATCAAGGCTGAAGCCGAACAAAGCCGGTCGGCGCACCTCGAGGTCAAAGACGAGGAAGGGTCGAATTCCACGTCGTCGCCTGAATCGAGAGTCAAGACTGAAGAACCAGTCGCCACACCGAGCGCTACCCAGGCGCCCGCCAAAGACGACGGAAAGCCTGTTCAAATGCATAAAGTCATGGTGGAAGGTTATGGATTGCGCTACTGCATGAACACCGAGGGTGTCGACGCGTATCACACGCAGACGAACAGTGTTGTCGAGACTCTGCAGGTCCTTGGGATCGAGGCTGCTCGTGCAAAAATCATCCTGGAGATCCAGGAGGTCATGAAGTCTCTGTCTATTGACCCTAGACACATGGCCCTGCTCGCTGACGTGATGACTTACAAGGGCGAGGTCCTGGGCATCACGCGATTCGGCCTGGCCAAGATGCGCGACAGCGTGCTACAACTGGCTAGTTTCGAAAAGACGGCGGATCACGTCTTTGACGCGGGCATTGCAGGAAAGATCGACAAGATCGAGGGCGTGAGCGAGAGCGTCATTGTCGGCAAGACGATGAACGTCGGTACTGGAAGTGTCGAGGTCGTAAGGTACCTCAATGTCGATCTGGAAGGAAAAGTCAAAGGCAAGAAGCCTGCCGTTTTTGAAGACGCGTGGAACAAGGCGCTCAAGGTCGAGAAGAAGAAATCGGCCAACTAGATGGAGCGCTCAGTGGTCCAAGGGAGGCAGGCCTGTAGACGGCGGGGTGGATGTTTGAATCATGCATGACATGACTACCTACGGAGTATCTTGGGAAGTTGGGATGATGAGAGACGGCGAGATAAGACAGACACAGATCTGTCCACGATTGATACGTGTACGTTGAGCGACTTATTGATGCTACTCAAAGTCGAAATGTATAATACTGGTTTTGCACGTCGGCAAACCCCAGCTAGTCATCTATTGGGAAGGTCACGCCAATTGAAACAGAAGCATGCAACCCACCCGGAGAGAGAAGTATTGAGTAGCAAAAGATGTTCAGCATACGATGATCGACCTCCTTTTGCAATCTTTGTGGTTTTGCTCAATATGTACAGCTTCGAGGTCGGCAGCCCAAATAAACATCCTGGCTGGCCGTCTGGTTTGGTTTGAGAACAGACAGACCATCACCTCTCCTCCTCACCACACCATCATGCCATGACAATCGACGGGTGCTTTATTTGAATCCGGCCTCTCTTGCTCGTTCGTCTTCCAGTTTGGCGTAAAAGTTGTCTCGGGCTCGGACGCGGGGCAGGTGATAGCCTGGGATTGTTAGTTTGGAATTTCGATACAGACATTGCATTGCAGCTTTGGGGGAGCCATGCTCTCCCGGTGACAGTATGATATACACCGAGTGCGCTGGTGTTTTATTTACTTACCATACCACCATAGATATCCGAATGTCGTTCCCAGACCTGGAAATCACCGTAACTTTGTCAGCTTTCAATTCCTCTTTATCCGTACAGTCCCGTGAGTTCCCGAGATAGCAAAGGATGGATTATTGGTGGGTGGGTAGGTATGTGCGTGTGTAGGTGGGTGCATGTGTGTTCTTCTGGACGTTTGATCCTATGCCTGCACTGTGCGGCGCCATCCTCTCCTGTGTCGAGAATGGACTGTAGGGAAGGTCGGGAAAAGGGTTCCGCTTACCCAGTGCAATACTTAAATCCAAGACGAGACCTCGTCGGAGCATCTGCAAAGAAACCACATCATGTCAGTCACAACGCGGTTCAGCAGAGGAAAAGGGTGGCGGCGAAGACAAAAATGTGCTCAGGTGAGCAAGTAACTGTGCTGGGCCAGACTGTCGAGATTGGAAAAAACGTACTCCTGTGATTGGTTTGATGGCCATATTTTCGCTATCGAAGCTCTCTCTCGGAGCTCAAATTGTACTGGCGTCGTAGCTTTTGTAGATCGTTGCAAGAAAGGGCTGTAGAGACAGCGCGCGCACACACGGCTACCAGAGGTCGGGACGGTGTGGCTGGAGGCGTGAATGAAGGTCGTTTGAATAGCTACCAAACAAGTAGTGAAGCTCCCTCAAAGATCCGCAGGTGAAGTTGCGAGAGCGAGCCCAGCGGGTCTTGGCACGTTTGCTCTCTCGCCTGTGCTCGGATCAGGGATCAGTCCACTTTCTTGTATGCTGTAATAACTGACCGAACCACCCTGCGCCCTCTCCGTACGGACAGATACCCTACCTAGACCTAGGACTCTAGACCTAAGTTGGTACCAAGGCACTTGGACACCTAACTCGGGTGTTGCGACTTCAACAATCCCATCACGCCAGAGCACACATCCTCTCAAGTCTGTCTCTGGACAGATGTCGACGATCTCCCCCAGACGCAAACAACCCTACCATCACCACCATGTCATGCGACACAAGGCTCAGTCCATCCCCACGAGGGAGCCGGCACTCGTCGAACAGCACCTCGTCGACAAGTTGCTCGTGGACTGTGTCAAGACAATCTGCGAGGCCGAGGCGCTGAAGCAAAACATTCCAGATCCCTACATCGAGTCGGTCGCGCTGGAGTCATTTACCGCGGCCACTGAAGAATGTACGCTGTCATCCAAACATTGACCCCTCTCGACCTCGCTGATGATGACGATATAGTCATACTCAAAGTACTCTCTATGGTTCGCCGATCAATGTTGGCAGCACGTCGAAGTGTTCCCATCGCGACTGATTTCGAGACCGCCATCGAAGTACGTGAAATCCCCAGACTCGACGACCAACTCAAACCCTACCCGTCGCAGCCACAATCTAATCCTCCCTTGTACCCGACTCCTCCTCCCGAAGACTCTTTTCACAATATTGTCGAACTCCCTTCTTCATTCCTCGGCCCCGAACTCGATGGACAAGACGAGTTAAAGAAGTTCACCTTCAACACCAAGGGCCTGCCAAAGCTTCCATCGGCGCATACCTTCCGTGACACACCTGTCCTTCCTTATCGAGAAGTCGACAACAGGAAGATCCGCGAATTGGCGACGCAGGAAGGAAAGCTGGGTGAACAGGCGCTCCGCAAATTGGCTGGCGCAGTTAAGCTGGATGCGACACATTCGATTGAGCCGACCTCCAGGCCCAGGTTTACGCTGGGGCCGCGGAAACGCGCGAAGAACACCATCAATATATCCGAGGCGGCGATATTTGAAGAGACACTGCGCAGTCTTCTTTCGAAGGAACCCGGCGGTTTCGAGTTAGGCCCGATCGTCACCAGCGAAAAGGCCTATCGGATGCCGGATGACGTTCAAGTCAAGAGGAAGGCGCCGGGAAAAGGGACGCTTGATGCTGAGCGAAAAGGCTCCTGAGCCATCCTTCGTAGATGCAAGAGAAGCAAGCTCGTGACTGGTCATTATTACATAGCGTCGGCGTTGATGGGTTTGAAAAACGGAGGATTGGAGATGTTGCATATGATAGTGATACCCCCAAGGCGGCCGCTCAGATGAGGCTCATTTTTCAGACCAGAAATAAGTAGCGTATCTCGTGATGGCATTTATGGTTGATTCATCGTCGGCTTTGGTGCTCCTAGCTGCTGATGTCGGTCGTGAAGATCCTGGCTGTGGTTTCCATGCATGCTCGCCCTCCCAAGCTGTGGTCTCGACGTGGAACACTTTGCCGTTCTTTTCGCACCTGTATCACGCAAGCTTGTGTTAGAAAGCTATCTCGTGTCCTCTCAGGTGATTTGCCCGTGTGGGAGGTGTGTGGGAGAGAGAGAGAACTCACTTTCTAAACAGTCGTACAAACGGGTGGCACTCCATGCCAATGTCTGCATGCGGATTCGCAACGAGCCGCTCGGCTTGTTCTTCGGGCGTGGTGCAACTGTACTGCACCAGCTCGAGCAGTTCGCAGTCCCGCTTCAGGTCGAAGTCTCCTAGTTTCCTGCTCTTTTCCTTGAAGTCGGCGGTGTGGTATTGCACGCGCTGGTCGAGGGCGCTGAGCGGGAACGGGTGCGTGGGCGGCGCCATTTGTGTGAGGTTGATGAGTGAGTGGTTTGTCCTACCTACCTGTATGTAGCCTTTAGGTACGGAGCCGGGTATATGGTTGTCCTTTGCGCTCTGCAGTTCTTGTTGTGAGGTACTAGGTCAGGGACGTAAATAGATACCCTCGTATGCTGTAATCCGTGAAACGCAATTGTGTCCTGCCTGGGTCCTTTGGGCTCCCCGGGGAGAGTAGGGTGGTGGGTGTTGAGCAAAAATTACTAAGGTCTAATATAGGTCGGGTAGGGATCTATCTACCTATATCTATCCTAGGTATCCTAGATACCCTAGGTACCCTGGGTATACCAGATATCGCTTTTTTATTTATTCCACCCTTCCTCACTTTCGTTTGTCGCGGAATCATTAACGATTCACCATACACACACTGGTCTTCTGATAATAATGGCGCGAGCATGTCGGCGGAACAGTATGGCGCCAGACTTCTGGAGGATGTGCAGGAAGAGAGCCTCGAGCAGGTGAGTCTCCAACATGTGTGCCCGTCAACTTATAGTCCACGGGCGTGAACTTCGCCTTCCGCTGTTTCACTGTCCTGGTGGTCGTCGAGGGTTTAAGCACCCGGTCGTCCACCGAGAGAGCCTATAGCCTGGCGTGACACCCCCAGCACTCTGTACCGATCGCTGGAAGAAAAGATATCTAACGGCGAGATACCGTTGAGACTTGCCAGTTTCTAGCAGAGGTCAGACTGAGATCGCATCGACTTCCAGTTCCTCACAGCCAAGATGTCACGACCACTTCATTCGCCAGGCTTCATGCCTTGTTGGATCCCGCGGGCGTACGGAACGTCCCCGGACCTCCGACGACTCGACAGGCGGGTTTAGAAATACCTACAACACACATCACAGCTCCAGAAGTTGACCCCAGTGGCGGCGGAGGCGGTGGTGAGGTCGAAGGCGAAGATGAACGTCACGACATCTCGCATCCGCATCGGGGATATCAGAGACTCACCTCACCGACAACAACCGTCGAAATAACATCCCGCAAATCCTCCTGCGGCAAGACGACGCTCCTCTACCATCTTTCCGCCCTGGCAGCACTGCCCAAGACCCACGGCGGTCGAGAGTCAATGGTGGTGTACATTGACAGCGATGGTACCTTCTCAGCGACCCGCCTCCACCGAACAATGCAGCACTGTCTACTATTATCATTAAGGTCGTCTACGCGAGCACAACAACAAGACCGACAAGGAGTTGACATGACAGCACCTCTGGGCTCTGACAAGACTCTCCATCAGACCGTGGCTCGCGATGCCCTAACTCACGTGCTCGTATTCCGTCCTCAATCGTCAACACACCTCATCGCGATCCTCGACTCACTACCGACACTGCTCCTCGACAGGACCAAACACTCCAGTATCTATCGCCCTCTGGGACTTGTTGTTCTTGATTCCGCACTCTCGTTCTACTGGCAGGATAGACTGGACAGGGACATGGCTCGTCTGCAACCCAGGATGCCAGCAGCAGCAGGAGCAGCAGCAGCAGCAGCAGCGGGAGGAGGAGGAGGAGGATCAGGAGTAGGGGTAGGGGTAGGCACGGCAGTGCCAGGGCCGTCGTTCACCGAGACCACCACCACTACTACTCGTACCGGGGCCCCGTCACTGCCGCCGCCACAGCCGAGTCCTCGACCGCGGACATCACAGATCATCGAGCGCTTGCAGAACGTACAAAAGAAATTCGAATGCGCCGTCGTGTTTAGCACGACCACGAACCCGAACACTCATACTCCTGCTTCCAAAGAATCAAACACTACGAGTACGAGCACTACTGGATCGGTCTATGCTAGGCCCGCTCAGAATCAGACACCGACACCGATACAAGCACCACCACCGCCGCCACCACCACCACCCAATGAAACTACACCAGCGATATCACCGTGGACCGCATACGCCAGTCTCACCCTACACCTGGACAAGGCTCGTGTTCCGCAGTTTGCGCCGCAGATGTCACTGGAAGAGTGTCTTCGAGACGCAGAGAAGCGGTTCGACGCCGTGCGGTCTGCAAGGATAGTCGCCACTGTCACTAAGAGTGCGAGTACGAATGCTGGTGGGAAGCGCGATCTCGAGGGGCAAAGGGGGCTTCAACGAAGACAAAGCCACGGGTTCACGTTCAAAATCAGTGACGGAGGATGCATCGACTTTGAAGAAGAGGATACAACAAGACCATGATTGACGGATCCCCGGCAATTACGAATTTGGAGTGAAATGCATCACCCTCCTACCTGCCTACAGGTACCTTTACTACCTACATACCCACCTCCTAAACCACCTGGGCTTTAGACCTGCAGCGTTGATAAACATCATCAGTCTTATTGGTCTTATTATTTTTCATCGTTTACATCTGCAACTTTGAAATCAAATCTGTCGGGCCAGACCCGATCAGAAACACTCCTTTGAAAGTAAATGTATGGTACTGCACAATCAAACTACAAGCCCACTCGGGTCTCAGTTCTTAAAAGGAAGTCCTTCGTAAAGCTGGGATGTTCATTATTCCCATCCCTGTCCAACAAGCTATCCTACCGATGTATGTGTATATGTATATTCATGTTCATGTTTATATTCAATCTTAATTCGCATCTGATCATCATACGCTTCAGCATGAGCGCGCATTACCTCGTCAAGAAAGCCATCTAGCCACCTAGACACAACGGCCTTGTCTCTAATATCCCACGGAGCACCGTGTATGAGCTGTTCTTCAATGCTCAAGACCGCGTCCTTCAGCAATGTCCTTGACACAGGCCTTTTTGCACTCTTCAAACACCTTGACCTGCTTGGCCACTTCCTCCAGACGTCCAATGACTTCTTTGTTCCCTTCGCCGAAGCCATAGATGACGTATGGAATATTGGTCTCCTCGCAGAATTCCCTCACGTAGTCCTGCGCCTTGCGCAAGTTATGTCTCGGGATGCGAGGGAACAAATGGTGGACTGCCTGGAACTGCAGGCCGCCATGGAAGAAGTCAAGCCAGGTAGGACAGTCGACGTCCATTGTTGTACGAAGCATTTTCTGTGCAAACGACTCGTGCACACCCAAGTCCGCGGTCGACATGGCGAAATGGGACAGAGTGATCTGGAGGTGCAGGGGCATTGTGACCATGTGCGAAAGCATGAAGAAGACGAATCGGTCCCAGTTGTTGGGGATGGAGCAGTACACCACGCCATAGCCATACCAAAACCAGAAGAAAAGGATTCCCGTGATTTCCAGGTACCGATATTTCCAGGCAGGGCCCTTCCTGGGACCTTGTCCGAGGATGAGGTACATCCACGACAAACGATAGAGGTTGAATCGGCCAAAGAGGAGTATGGGATAATAAAGCCAATGCTGTTTCGAAATCAGCCATTTGGAAAAGCCGTCGAAGTACATGACGTGTTCGTAAAATGTCGAGCGGAGACTACTGAAGAAGCGGGTCGAGATGGCGAAGAAGGGCATATGTTCGATATCCGGGTCGTGTTCAGGAGAGTTCGTGACAATATGGTGGATATTGTGGTTCCATTTCCACCAGCCGACCGACAGCCCTCCCAGGAAATCAGCGATGAAGATTCCAATACAGGTGTCGATGTGGAAATTGTGCGTGATCCCCATGTGGCCGGCGTCGTGGACGGTGAAGGAAAGCTGGTGGATGAGTGCTCCGAGACAGATGCCTGAAATAGCATAGTAGCCGTAATGCAGGGCTACCAGGAACCCAGCGAACAAGAGTGAATACCGGATCGCTTCAACCCCATAAGACGAAAATGGGCAGTCATATAATCCGGCAGCTTTGATGCGAGCATCGAGCTCTCGGTATTTGGCGACGATCCGATCCTGAGAAGCATAGTCCAGGGAGGGGTATTTTAGAATGTCAGAAGCCCTCTCTGCAGAAAGCTTCGCTTCGATGGGATTTGCCTTGATGTCGATGGCGTCTTTTGGAGACGCTGCATAGACAGATGAACTACCAACGGCTTTTTCGACTTTGGCGTCAACAGCGTCGAAGATGGGAGACGGTGGCACACTCGTGTTTGAGCGGCTGCTTAACTCGCCGTCGGTCTGGGAACCTGTGTCGTCCTCATGATCGTCGTTTGCGGACAGTGGTCTGAAATATCCACCTTGAATTGGGGGAGTGAAGTTGATCCAACGACCCTCGACTCTCCCAATAACATATTTCCGCATGCGTGCTTGAGCATCCAGGGAATGTAATGCTCGAACCTCGTCTGTCCCATCTCTTCCTACCATGTGCTGAATCGCTTTGTCTCCTCCAGGGTGGAAAGGACACCAGGCATCGGCCTTGACCACCTGACCGTCAAGTATGAAGATCTTTCGTCCATCTGCTATCAATCCTTCGATTTCTCTTCGAGACCATACTCGGTCTTTCGGGGAGGTGGTTGGGGCCATGTTCTAGTCGGTGAACACCTCGAGGGACTTTCAGAGGCACAGCGCGAGCATGATATACCTAGGTAGAAAGGAACGAATTGGCGGTGTGCTGGGTTTCACACGGGGAGGTGTAGGTGCAGTAGGTATTCACAAGCTGTAATCCACAGGGAGACAGGACAGTGTGGTTGATGTGTTTCGTGGGTACCTGCGGGACTGCGAGAAAGTGACAGTTGGCAGTGAAATGCTGGTGGTGTTGTTGGTGGAATGACCAGAACATGGGCTGTATCAAGTTTACAATACAGGATCTTTGCACCCCCACGTGCTATGAAAATGTTAGAGACTGTGTGTATTGAACCAGTATTACGTTCGTCCTTCGTATTTGTTCTCTTCTGCTAGACACGAGGATTAGATATGTACCTAGGTATCTAGTAACAGTGCGGATGACTCCATGTCTCCAAAGATCCTCCTCCGAAAGGCATGAATTGTTTCAAGGGTACTGATGCTAATACAGAAGTCCACTTTTACAGGTAGGTAGCATACCCTTTTGAGGATGAGAGGTGGCCCATTTTCTAGAGCATCTAGACAAAGACAGCTCCTGCTTGTACAAGATACGTCAAGGGGCTGCCAGTTGAGCGACCCCTCATGAATTCACACAAGAATTATGAGTCCAATCGAATCTGGGCCCAAAATCGGCGCTCAAATGATATTAAAGACCACAGCTCCGATGGCGAGCATGACCAACGTTCCCATCTTGGATATGGCATCTACCGAGTGCAATGCTCCACCCTCACTGGAGCTGCCATTTGAGCTGCTATTCGAGCTCCCATCACCAAGGTTGATGCCAAAAGGCAAGCCTTGATAGCCAAATGTCAAGTTCTGGGGAATGCTGGCGTTGTAGCACTGCCCGTTAACAATATCCAGGCCCATCAAATCGTCCGGAACTTTGAAGAACATATATGACTGTTGATTGAGATCTTTGAAGCCCTCAGTATTGTACGGAAATTTGTCTCCAGAGTCTGTCGACGATGTATTGCGCAAGAATATGCATTGGACCTGTCCTGGGAACTCCTTCGCCATTTCAGGATAATCGCGCATCACATCTGAGTTACTGGTATCAGCTACCAAAATGAATTTACGGTGCGGAAAGGTCTGGAAGACTTTAACAAGGAGTGCCTTGCGGATGGACAAAGTTGCGGAGACATCGCTAAAATTGAGTGGGCGGGTATCGAAGCCTTTTTGATCGTCAGCATCACGTTCAGATATGATCAAGTCTCTAGACAGAGAAGAGACTCACTTCCACCAGGGTAGGTATCGTAGATGAACTGCATATAGTTGCGGGTCACTTGCTCAGGGGTTGTCGTTAGGTAGTGAAAGTGCATGTTGGGTATGCTATTGGACCAATTCGCATATATCTCTGGCATGTTCATCCAGGGCGTGAACGGTTTGGCAAAGGTATTGAGCAATCCTTGCTTTGGCTCGTAAATCTTTGTCACTCGCAGAATATCATCGATATCGCTGACTATGGTGAAGCCTTGGTCGGATACCAGGTAGGATGTAGCGTTACCCGATAATGTGCCCTGAGCATACACGTTCAGTCTTTGAGGTGGAACGTCACCCACTCCAGGTGCCAGGCTCAATGATGAGTTTGAAACAGGCACGAACACATCGAAATCCCCCTCTGGTGTGGTCAGATATGGCAAAGTAATAGTTTCTTCACCCCCAGCTGGAGTTACTCCGCCCCCTCCTCCAGGCTGTCCACTCGAGCCAAACTCGGGACCGGGAAGGAGGTCCATAGTTACTGATTGATTGGCCTGTTGGACGACGTAGATTTCTCTCGTGAGATTTCTGGCTTGGTCTTGTTCTGAAGGTGGTAGATCAGCGACACTGGTGTCGATCAAGAAGAAATTGGCCAGTTTGTCGACTGTGGCGTTTGAAATGTTTGGTTCTTTGTAGACATTCCCATGGACACGCAGATTCCAGCCATTGCTCGTCCAGTTGCCATAGCCAGGTATGTTAAGCACCTGAGTAGGAGAAGCAGCCAGGTCGGTACTCTTTGCACCGACTGAGCTGGCTACGGCACTACCAGTGGGTAGATTCTGAAAGTTGGGAAACAGGCCATCAGAGACGTATGAAGGGATGGCAGTTCCAAGCTCGCTGAATATGCTGTTCACATAGGAATCTAGGTCTGCAGTGATATCACTGAGAATTCCCCGTCTCACGGCTGCATAATCCGCATAGATGGCGAGGGTTGGTGTCGGAGCAGGAGTTATCAGGGCCTTTTCTTCGTGAGAGATTTCGGCCGGGAGAGCAGATGTCAGGAGGGCGGAGAGGAGGATGACAAGCAATAAACGAAAGTCCATGATACAAAAGGATTGTGAACAAAGGGCGGACTGGAGATGAATAAGGTAGAACACTTCAACCAGTGAGTGAGTGACCGAAGGATCTCACCACGGAGTCACCATGACAAACAACAATTGGACTGAATGAGGAGTAAACGTCGAGAAGCAAAAAGGTACAGCAGAGAAAGCGAAGACATGGGTATTTGATCAAGGATGAATAGGGAGTTGGCAGGCATCGGCTTAGCTTTCTTTAGTGTACGGAGGTACCGGGCATCGATCAAGTGTTGTAAAAAGCAAGGAATCGAGGTTCTATCTCCTTCCTTCCTGGGCGAAAGTGATACAATGCTTGATCTGCGCATTTCTCGGCATGACATCACTTGCAAGGCTTATCTCAATGAAGCTTCAGATCGGGTTTCATGTGCATCTAACTCGTGCAATAAGGCAAGAACGCGGACTCGTACTAGTAAGAGGCAGTCCTCGCACTCTTCCTGTGGTCACCGCACTAAACGTTGACCTCAGGTTCGCTTCATCCATACCTGTACTTCTGAGTCTCCATCATGATTACTATGTGATTGTGAAATCTCTCTATTCTTCACCCAAGGCCTCTGTTGTCCATGTTGAATGTCAGACCCTCAATGCCGCAGTGAACGCTACCAACAGAAATTTTATCGCCAACAACCAGTGTACCTCCAACACCAGTTTATCTGACTTCCAGAAACAAGAACTCCAAGTACAGCGTAGAAATTAATGCAGTTTGTTCTTGCTCAGCATCCAGGTCAGCAGGTCGACCTTGGTCACCACAGCAATTGGCTTCATGGCCGGAACCTTTCCAGGCGTTGAGCTTGCCCCTGTTTCTCTTTCTGTGACGATTGCTGCGCTTTGCCATTCAAAAAACCGGTTGAGCGCACTCAGAGGTGTATCGACGGTGATCTCGACGAAATGACGTCTCTTCTTGCCACCATGTCCCTTGGGGTCTTGAGCTTCTGGTTTCTCGCTCATTTCACTCGAGAAACGGCCCAAATCGGACGAGGTCAAGTCGCTGAAGTCGTTGTGGTCGATGGTGACTTCGCTGATATTGCTGAAGTCAAACATGACATCTGATACTGGTGAGTCGGCGCTTGCCCGGCCATGACTGATTCGAGACAGAAGGTTTCCGAGCGTCACGAGTCCAACCAAGCGCCGGCCCTTTGGAGCGAGCACCGGAAGTTGATCGAAGCCTTTCTCGCGCATTGTTTCGATGGCCGAAATGCAAGGTTGGTCGGCAGTGACCGTTTGGACAGGCTTGAGCCGGAGGTCTCGAACTCGTGCTCCTTGGAATTGGTCGTTCGGCTTGATGCTGTCTCGTCGTGAAATTTGTGGAGTGCCCGGTACCGCCTGGTCTTCTGGCGGCGGTGTGGGCGGCAGGAGATCATTAGCAGCCAACCAGTCATCATCCACAAACTTCGATAGATATGATCGAATACTGTCTGGCAGGATGACCACAATAACGTCGTCTTTGCCCAGTCTCAGTTCTCTCGCTGCTGCAACAGTGGCTGCGATGGCAGAACCGCTGCTTCCTCCGGCAAGAAGACCTTCTTCTGCTATCAGTCGGCGAGCATAGTAGAATGATTCCCTATCATTTGTCTTGTACCATTTATCCACCACTTTCTGATCAAGGACATCCGGAATGAAGTCGTAGCCTATACCCTCAACCTTGTATGGCTGGTTGGAGAATTCGTCGTTGAGTTGCGATGGAAGAGCCAGGATCGAGCCCTGGGGGTCAGCTGCGATGACCTTGATATTCTTGTTGTGCTTATGCAGACCACGCGCCAAACCAGTAATTGTTCCACCTGTGCCAGCTCCGGCAACAATGGCCGTGATTGTGCCGTTGGTTTGCTCCCAGACTTCTTCGGCGGTCCCCAATTCATGCGCCAGCGGATTATCCGGGTTTCCGTATTGATCCAGGATGTGAGCATTGGGTAGTTCCTTTTCCAATCTCTTTGCCACTCCAATGTGTGATTCTGGGCTGTCAAAGGCCGCTTGTGTAGGTGTCCGGATAATGGTGGCGTTGAGGGCTTTCAGGACCGCGACTTTCTCTGCCGACATCTTCTCCGGAAGAGTGATGATCGTCTTGTAGCCTTTAATAGCGGCCACAAGAGCAAGGCCTATGCCACTGAGGTCTGCGTCAGTACTTCTTCTGCTTGCCATTTGCGCGCCATGGCACCTACGTGTTTCCACTAGTTGGCTCGATCAGGGTGTCTCCAGGCTTGATGCGGCCTGACTTCTCAGCCTCCTCTATCATGCGTAACGCTATCCGGTCCTTCACACTTCCTCCGGCGTTGAAGAACTCGCATTTTGCGTAGACCGTGGCCTCGATACCAAGCGACTGCGGGATTTTCTGTAGGCGAACCAGCGGGGTCTGGCCGATGAGCTCCAAAGCAGAGGCATGTATGCCCTGCGCATGAAATCGATTATCTCCAGCCATCATTAACTGTTGGATGTGATGAACAATCGAGTTTTCGAGTCAAGGAAAAAATGGTAACTTAAAATGCATGTCTGTGTGGTTTGCACCAAATCCGTTGAACATGACGAATATCAACTGATGGTTGCGGCGTTTCAGCCGTTGATAACCGAAGCATCGGCTCCCCTCATGAGCGTTTAACGAGTGAATAGACTGTACCTTGCTATTTCCTTGTAGCCCTATCAGTTGGAAGATATTGCTCCCTAAGCCTGTGCAACATCCTCCATTCCCCTGCGATCGCATGCTATCGCATCTGTTGACTACGTTCACGCAGATTTACCGTGTTTAGGTGAGTGTTCGGCCCCGCGCGCCTCGGTCTGGCGAACCCCGCGCCCTACGAGTACGTGTAGTAGGCGGGCTTCTTCAGTGTGAGTTGGCAATCGTTGTGATCATCCATGGTCTTCTCCTCTAGTAGGACTTGTTACGCTCTCCTTACTAGACAACGTTATTGACCTGGCGGACCACATTGCAAAACGACCCTGAAAACGCGGCAGGATGGCATACCCCTCGTTTACAAAAACGTACCACCACTCGTCCTACGCAGCTATAAGTCCAACGAGACCAGAGCTATCAGTTAGGGACAAGACAGTAATCGTGACCGGAGCCGGTGATGGTAGCATTGGCGGGACAGTGGCGCTGTCGTTTGCGCAAGCCGGAGCACGGAAGATTGCACTGATGGCCAGAACCGAGACATCCCTCAAGGCGACGAAGGATAAGATCGTTCAAGCATTCCCCGACGCCGAGGTCATGGTCGTCACGGCCGACGTGTCAAAGGCTGAAAGTGTGGGAGTTGCAGCGCACCGCATACGAGCAACTCTAGGAGCATGGGACGTATTCGCGCACTGCGCCGCCGTGGCGCCCACCCACACCACCATCGCCGGCGCGGATGAGGACGAATGGTGGCACGCGTTCGAGATCAATACGAGGTTCTCGTCACACTTTGCTAAACATTTTCTACCAAAGTGTCGGCCCAACGCCACATATATCGGTGTCAATGCGGGTGCGTGCCACCTTCCTGGTTCCAATTTTCCAAAGAGCTCAGCATACTGTGCCTCAAAGCTCGCCATAGCCAAGCTTGACGAGTTCCTCGCTGCTGAAAATCCTCACCTGCGTGTGTTCACGGTCCATCCTGGCATTGTTCAAACGAACATGACGAAAGGCTTCATCGGAGACAGCCGCCGTCGTGGTATCGTGCTCGACGATGCTGAACTGGTAGCCAACTTCATGGTGTGGCTGGCCTCTCCGGAATCCGACTTTCTGAGGGGAAGGTATGTATGGTGCAATTGGGATGTGGAAGAGATGATTGCCAAAAGGGCAGAAATCGAGAGTAACCCAACCCTCTTGACGATGACCCTGGGTGGCTGGCCCTTTCAGTAAGAATCAAAATCTCCTCCTTTTGGTCTGGTGTTCAAGCCAGGTGAAGCAAGTCAGCGTTAAGCTTTCAGTCAGCTATTCTGATACACGAGGTAGTGGAGCTTAAATACCAACATTTGAACGACATAGACAACTTAGCATTTTGGGCACGATCGAATACAACGGCTGCCAAAAGTGGGATTTTATCTATTCGCAATATCTCCACCCCCATGTCGACCTCGCCGGCAGCTTTTATCCCCCTGTCCAAAAGCCTATTCATTCAGGAACTCATTGACCAGCCTAGAAAATTGATCATGGTACTCGTTCAAGAAGCCATGCCCACTGTCCCCATACAAGTGCAACTGCGCATCCGAATTGACCAACCTCTTCCACAGCACTATACTATTTTCTGTCGCAACGAGTAAGTCATTACTACCGTTGGCTACCAACACGGGGATCTTGATCTGATCGAGTCGGTCATAAGTTCCCTCTTCCGGGTGTTCACCTGAGAAGAACCGCTGAACAGTGGCAATCTGGTTTTGCAGACCTTGACCACCCAGCAAAGGCGCGCGATTCGTACGGGCGTTCGCCATGCGCTGGATCCACTCCTCAGCTAGGGCTTGTTTCTTCTCCGATTGAGTGAAGAATGTGTGCTTGAGGCCAGCGTGGGACTCATCAAAGGTGCTTGCGCTAGCAACTTCGACAAAGTGCTTTGGGTCACTGGCCACCACACCCTCACCGGCCGAGGGCCCAGCGCCACCGACGATCAGTCGTCGCACGAGGTCAGGTGCTTGCAGTGCCATAAGTTGCGCAACGAAACCGCCCATGGAAAATCCAAGGACATCGAGCTTTGTGATTCCTAGGGCGTTGACGACGTCCAGGATGCCGGTGGCCCAGTCAACAAAGCGTGTCGGGACTTCGCCTTCGCTGAGACCGACGCCTGTGTTGTCCACTAGTAGAATTGGGCGAGCAGCGGCCAGAGGGTTGATAAAAGCGGGATCCCACCAGTCCATGTTGCCTCGGAAATGGACGTGTAGGAAGAGAGGGGTGCCAGAAGACTGTCCAAAAAGGCGGTAGGCATGTTTGACACCTTTGACAGAGACGTACTGCGTCTGTGCGGTCTCGTAAGTCGACATGTTGCTTGCTTGGTATAGTGTAGATGTTTTCTGATATGAAGGTCTCTCTTGAAGATTGATGAGCTGATGCCAGTAGCGAAGGGAAGTCCGACAGATGATGGCTATATCTGCGCATTTATATACTGCTGAGCAGCGCGAACCATTCGATGCTCACGGCTCCGAATGGAAACATTGAAAATCAAACCTGACAAACCACAGGCATGAGGCCATTCCAGTGCTGTATAGACAACTACTCGTATTCGATTATTCATGAGTGACTCGATGTTCATTGGTCCTCACGAATTTCCTAATGCGGTGCATGATGAGGCCCTCGGAGGCTGCCATTGGGCATGTGTCTTTGAGGAGCCAGGAGAGGACGCCAAATTGTTGGATACACCACGAGAAAACAGCGAGAAGCTGTTCGGTAATTCTCTTGCACCATGGACAAACGGAGGTATCTCTGTTGCGAGTAGCAACTAACCACCGACTCATGTGAGGATGCCTTCAAGTGCAAGATTTGTCAGCCAACTTGGAACTCCTGATCAACCTCAGCACACAGTAACAAGCCACCGACGCGTCGACTTTCGCTATTGTGATTTCTCTTCGTCAAGTTAACGGATTATCATAGCAGATCGCGCAGGATGAACCGATGCACAGTTATTGTCTCTACCAGAAGCTCGCAGCCACTGCGGTCCGCATATCGATCATATTCGGCAGGATTTTCTAGCTACTGAGATACGTCGACATTTCCATCTACAGTCACATCTGCTTGTAACCAACTATGAATGCTTCAGGTCGGCCTACATGAAAATTGGCGATGTTCTGCGTCATATTGTCGACAACGACCCGACTGAGAAGGCCGTGCCGAGTTAGTCGAACGGTAGCGAGGCGTCTAGAGATGCTATTGTGTGGCGTTCCACGTACAAGGTACGTTTCTCCCCAGGAAAGATTTTGACGGATCACACTAGTACAGGTCTACAGGAGTAAGTCACATGAAGGGGGCACAAGGTGGCCGAGGCGTTTTCACTTTCCACCACTGGGACTGCACACCGGTATGTACAGGCCTGTGGCTATGCTTATTTCAGCCCCCGGTGGCCCCATCGTCTAGTCTACTAACTGATCCGTAACTAAGTTAGTGCGACGACTGGCACCAGCGCTCACAGGGCTGGACGATGCTACTGGGGATACATCTGGTAACGACGACCAGGCACCAATTTCAATGGGTCACTGCGCCCTGTGCAACGGAAACATGCAGTACTGAGGGTAGTGGATGAGGAATCTACAAAGGTAGGGGCGTTCACTGAGAAGAGGTCCCATCCATGACTTTCTGGTTGATTTGCAAACCTCGCCTCTCAGGCTTTCACGATGAAGCACCTCATCCTACTCTCCGGCATCTTTACATTGGTTTTAGCCAAGTCGATCATATTTGATTTCTGGAAGGAGAGGCCAGTTCACAGGCCATCTCTGTCTCGTCGCAGCAACGATGACTTCAGCAACCCCCTCTACGGCGATTATGAAAAGGTTCAATACTACGTCAATGTCACCATTGGCACTCCAGGCCAACGGGTTGCCCTTCAGCTCGATACTGGAAGCAGTGATACCTGGGTACCCTCGGTAGACGCTGAGTCCTGCGCAGATGATGGCTGCAGTGATTTTGGCGCCTTTGACAAGAATACTTCATCGACGTATCACTTGATCGAAGACCAGGTAGGGATGTTCGGAATCATGTACGCCGATGGAACGTATGCCAGCGGCGACTATTTCACCGATGTTCTATCCTTTGGCGAGAACATTACTTTGAAGGATACGACCATGGCATTGGCCAACGACACTGTCCTTACTGAAGGCTTAATGGGCATCGGCTTCCGCTCCAACGAAGCAAGTCTCGAAAATGATGAGCCATTCTCTTTCCCTACAGTCCCAGAACAACTTAAAAATCAAGGCTATATCGACCGGGTTGCGTACTCGTTGTACCTCGACTCGTACGAAGACAATACCGGGTCTATCTTGTTTGGGGGCATCGATTCTTCCAAACACATCGGTGAACTCCTTGCTCTTCCCCTGTCCAAAGACGACGAAGGCAACTATACAGAGTTCTTGGTTGCACTGACTCAAATATCAATTCACGATGGGAAAAGCACGCGCTCTCTGACCAGACCAACATTCAATACGCCTGCCCTGCTCGATTCTGGCACCACAGACTCGTACCTCCCAAAAAAAGTATTTGACGCTCTGTCCGACGGCCTCGGTGCAACAGAGGATCAGGGCTCTGGATATGCATACGTCCCTTGTGCGTACCGAAAGAGCAATGTTTCAGTCATCTACACTTTTGGGGGAAAAGACGGCGTGAATGTGTCGGTGCCATTGTCTGAGTTGATTTCCGAACAAATCGACGACGATTCTGCGTACGAAAATGGCACTCCGGCATGCGCACTGAATTTCAACCCTACTGACGACCAGAATGGCATCATCCTCGGTGACAGTTTCCTAAGATCCGCATACGTGGTGTACGATCTAGAGAACAAGGTCATTGCTCTCGGTCAGGCCAAACTGGGTGGGAAATCTGCTGCCAACAGCGCGGCCATCACTGATATTCCGAAAGGAACCGCGCTTCCCGGCGTCTCACGAACTGCTACCGTCACGGCAGCGCAAGCGACTAGTTCCCTTGATGACTCCCCCTCCTCCAGCAGCAGCAGCAGCCTGTCACTTGGAGCCATTGGTACCCCTACTTTCAGCCTGCCAGGTGTTTCATTGACTGCTGTTGCCTCTCCCACAGGAACTGCAGCCAGTGCAGCCAAGGGGGCGTCAAAAGATAACGGGGCAGTGCTCGTCGGTGTTTCGAAGAGCACGTGTGTGATGGCAGTGCTAGCTTTTGTGATGTGTATGTTGTAATTGGTACATAGTAATAGAATGGACGTTGTGTCGTGCCATTTGTAGCTGATACAAGATTGTCTATGTATGTAGGCATCTGCCTTATGCATGCCAAGCCCCTGCACGGGTCATGGACTCTGATGATGCCGGATCAACAAATCCCACGCGCATCGCGTCACACATGTTCCTCCCACCAACACCTGCACTTTCTGCGCCACCATCTGCATCGTCCACGTCGCGCTGACTTGCCTCTACTCGCGCTGGAGGCTCTGCGACATAGAGGCTGCTTTTGCAGCTCACAGTGTTAACCAGATACCATGCCGCGCCCGGCGCTTCGTCGACGGCACCTCAACCGAAATGCGCCCACTCCACGCCATGGTGGAAAGATCCCCAACAGCAGTCCGGCCAAGCTGGAACTCGAGAAGAAGCTTGCGCATAAGCCAGTAGGACAAAGGCCGACCGATAGCGATGACAGCGATAGGCTCGTTGTCAAGGGAAATGGGAGAAGGGCTCGGCAGCCGCAGGAAATCTTTGCTTCTGGGGCGGTGGGAAAAGGCGACACACCTGGCGCGTATCCCAGTCGGGCACAGAGAAGAAAGAATATGATCAGGGATACCAGAGAGATACTTGCGAGCGCGCAGCAGAGCTCGGAGAATTCACCCGATCCGAATCCAAAGCAGCCTCGACAAAACGAAACTGCTCCACTCACAAATGGGAAGGTCCGTAAAGTGTCAGGCACCAAGCAGGATGTATCAGCGCAGACCCCAGCAGTAGTATCCTCTGCTCTCAAACCGTCGGCAGCTCTTCCAGGATCAGTACAGCCTACTCCGTCAAGAGAGACATCGATCCTGGGGATTTTGAAACCGAGGCGGAGACAACCTAGTATATTGCAAGACCTCGGCAACGAGTCATCCACCTTTGACCTTGCGGATGAAGAACAATTCCTCCCTGACGATGAATCGACACCGTATAACTTGTCGAAATCTCACAATGTTCCGATCACCCCGGCCACACACTCCTCACAACCCTCGACAGCATCATCGAAGAAAAGGAAATTCGGATCTTCCGATCCTGTGCAATCGCACGTAGACGAGAGACGAACCAAGTCCCCTCTTGTCACGATGGACGCTACAACCGTGTCACCAGAACCCTCTCTCCCACCCATGCCAGTATCTGCTCTTCGACAATCGGGCAGAAAGTACAGAGAACGCGCCGAAAGGCATGACGACATCCTAGCTCCTCCCGAAAGCTGTTCATCGTCGCCATCATCCCCAGCGAAGGTGTCCACAGCCCTGTCGGTGAAGAAGATAACTACGAAATCAAGCAGACCTGGCAACACCATGACCACGGAACAACTCCGGGCGCTCATGATGCCCACCAAACGACGGAAAACCACGAGAGAACGCAAGGGTGTTTTGGGCGAATTTGATATTCCCGCGGACCCTGACACGAATTTGGACGACATTGGGATTTTCGATGACGGCGACGGCGACGAGTCGAGTTTCCTCCCTACCCAGAGGAAGAGTCGCAAGACAAGGGCTAAGCCTGGCAGAAGGAAACCCCTGAAGGCTTCTTCTGCTGATGCTGGTGCTGTTGCTAAGCCAGCCAATCTGAACAAGCAGGCCACTGCTGCCGCTGCACGTGCAGCAAAATCAAAGACCAAGTCAAGTACGGAACATTTCACTGCTACCACCGCGCCTGTCCTCACGCCCTCCACCTCTACTGCCACTACTAGATTGTATTCAAGAAGGAACCGCGAAACTAAGTCTCCGTCACAGCTCCGAACCATCAACTTTTCCACGTCGGTCCCGGCGTCGGTCGAAGTCCAAGTCGAAAATCCCACAAAGTCATATGGTGGCTCCCACCTTCGGCGCAGCGGTCGACAAAGGCGAGATACAGCGGACAAGGAAAATCGCATACCCGAGGATTTCTCGTCAAACGAATCGTCCTTGTATGATGGCGACGGTGGACGTGGACGATCTGGCGTGGCGGTGGACGTGGAGGAGGAGCGGGATAAGGACAAGGATAGGCAGGAGAATGTGAGAGGAAAGTCTAGTAGTGTTCTCCGTAACGGCAACAAGGGCGGCAGCAGCAAATGGGCAGACATTGACGCTTGGGATATGGATTTTGAAGATGTCGAAGTCACGACTGGATCTACTAGTGGCAGTTCACCCATGAGGTGGTGATGGTGAAATGTCATGAACGTGTCATAGCATTAGGTACCTACATCATATCACGTTTAAACGCCCGTCCGCCCGTCCGTCCGTCCATCGTGGGAAACCCAGAAAACTGTAGTACTCCCGTTTCGGTGGTGCATGGTCTGTGAGTAATAAGTATCAGGAGGCACACACCGCTCTGGTAAGGTACATACATCCTACACTGTACGGACTGACTAGTTAAAAGATACTCGACTGATCAGTGATCGCCGTGGCCCGCCCGCGGGGGGTACCACGAGTACAAAACACTTGTAGTTTAGTTAACTAGTCAGTTAGCTACCCGTTTGTGTCGATCGATATCCGGGGTATGGAAATCGCGGTGCAATGTCCTACAAACAGGTACATACAGTACCACTGTACCGGTAGTTTCAGGCCAACCAGACGTTTTTTTCTTTGAATTGTCAGTCGGCACGAATCCACACACAACCTTTGGTAAACTAGCCTGAGGTACCTGACGGAACCCACTCCCTTCTGTTGCTTGGGCCCGAAGTTTTGAAACGCGCAAGTACCTAATACTAACTATTGTAGTTAAACAGGACCTGAGATTCAGGTTAGGGGGCCGTTCCCGCTTGATAGGGCAAGGTGAACTCAGAAAGACCCTGACTGGGTAAACTTAAAGTTTTACAGCACGGCACCTTTATTTCTACGTGCTCGAATCTCATAGACTGGTGGACATGAATGGCCTCGCTCGAAAACGACATAATTATCAAACCCCCCCCAAAAAAGGGGGGCAGCAACGGCGAGAGTAAATCATATGATCATACATGTACATTAGATCTTTCCGTTTTCAGTACATTACAAACCTGGGTTTTTCTATCGTCATCATCTCATGAACATCGTAATCACCAGTCCAAATGATATCGTATCCAGCAAACACTTTATGTTCTGCCAAAGACCTTTAAAGACATGGACGTTGTAAATGCTTTGCCGCTAACACCTTGTTGATGACCGGGACTGCGTGGCGGGTATTTTCCTTGATTTTGAATCGACGAAGATCGAACGCCTCAAATAGGTACACAGGTGCCAACCCACGACCGGGAGTATCGACGAAAAAGAGGACTGACGCCAAAGTAAACGGCAACACTAAGTTGAGCCATGACGGTCAAATCGTGCTGGGGTTAATGTGCACCGTCGGGCTTATGCAATCGCTGGCCGCCTGGCATAACGGCGTTAGCCTGCACAACTTCCGACAGGCGGGGACGTCGCAGACTAGGTTTCAACTCACAGCGTTCGCATATCAATCTCCACTTGCTCCTCTTTGATGGACACTAGAGACCGCTCCCTCGTCATCACGCGTTCCTGCCTGAAGTTGTCGTATGGGAGGTCATCAGTAGGGTCCCCTAAAGATATCACATAAGTGCCTCCATGCTGGTGCTGAGGGTCCGCTTTGTCGACAGGAATCGACTTCAAATGATTCGGGCGCAGCGTTAGTTGAGAGTTATTGAATGCGGTCCAGAACTGGTCTCGAAGCTCCTTGTCGTGGCTTGACTGCATAATGCAAGAGATATCAGAGTTCAGATGTTCATTGACCATCTTTTCTTGTGGTGCAGGTACTGGAGGGCCTTGTACACGCCGAGGTGCAGCCTGGTCCGCTTGGTGACCATTCAAGAAGTGACTGGATTTTGTACTGTGGAAGTAGTTGTGGATAGCTGCGTCTTTTGCAATATCTCGGGAAGGCATACTGTCGGTAAACAAACAAGGCAAGCGAACCAAGGCTTGTTGCAGCAAGGGCTTGCCTTGAAAGGGCTCTAAGGAGTTTGGTCAAGGATTTGTCTATCTTCAGTTATCAGGAAAGACCCACATTTTTTTTTTCGATTGTCCTCTGAAGCAGGGTTTGTGACTGGCGAGATGTGTTTTTAGTGATCGTCCATCTGCCGTAAGGTACTTGAGAGGATCAGATGATGTTGACACCGGCTTTGCGGATGAAAGCGAACGAACTTGACAATGACGCTCGAAGGTAGGCTGACTTTAGGGCAAAGTCGTGATAAGCATGCCCAAGGGGAGATAGCTTGTATTTAGGTAGCCATGAGAGCCCCGCCGTGCTTTTGCCATCTTCTATGCCAAGGACATTGTTCAATGGGACGTGCTGTTCATCGCAGCCGTGCTGCAGCTGTCAATGGCCATCGAAACGTGAAATGCCATAAGTGAGCCGTAGGCCCCCACATTGTCAACCGCGCTGTCCATAGATCCAGCTTAGTGCTCGGTAGGCGTCTGTAGCTTGCCCCGATCGACGTACTCGTCTCGTCTGGGTACAGGGCCGTAAAAATGAGGCAACAGCGATCGCTCCAATGATGAAGCATCAAGAGAACTCATGGTTTCCATGGTGCTGACAGTGCATGGGAAAGTGATGTGGATCCTCGGTAGAAGTACACCTCATTGCAAAAGAGGCGGATTTCCACGACGCCCAACTGGAAAATTACGGACGTGCAAACATCAACATGCAAAGTGTGATCTAAAGCCCATGCGACGCATGTCTGGTTGTGTTCAGGCCCCGCTTCAGCCTCACCATGAATCTGATCTGTGGTCTCAGATCGAACTCCAACGATCCAGGGCACTGACCGTGCATCCATAATGCCAAGCAGAGAGCAAACAGGAGAAGATGTCGGCAAATGGTTGTGCGTCGCCGCACACCGCGATGGAAATGTCAAGGTCAGGGTTAAGGTGTGAAATCGAGGGCTCGCAAAGTCTGGCCAGCGTCGGGTAGCAGAGGTCGGTGCTTCACCCAATCAACCCTTGCGTGAAAGTGTACTTGTAATGCACAGTTGGCATTACTGGTGGACACGTCGCTCAGAAGCATGTCTATGTTGGCTTTGTGTGCCCAGCACAACCTCATCCCTGCAACAGTTACACGATCCCTGCGGTCTTCTGCGGTGCGAACAATGTGATTGGACTCGCTCGTTTGCTACCCTTCATTTTGTTGAACTGACGATTGTAGTGGTCCATAGGCGACATTGGTAATGAGGGCTCGGCCATGCCACGTTGGTAGAGATGCCCGCGGCTGCCGTCAATTGTCCTTCAGCCCCATGCCTAGTCCGTATGTCGTCGCGGATCGGTTGTCTGCGTATTTTTATTTCCACCAAACCATTACTCGTATAAGTCAAGATACGTTCAGATGTAGCAGAGATCCCGTACATTCGTTTGCTGCGCGCACGGATACCCAGCAAAGTGTTCCCCATCAAGCTTGAAGGCAGACAAAGGTGAAAGTCAGCGGAGAATGTGGCCGAAAGTGAAAGTCATCGGAGAGCAGCTCTCAGCAAGGAGACATCGAGAAGAAGGGCCATGCTGAATGCTGAATTGGCCACGTAGTGCATTGAATGAGAAGTACCTGGAGTGAGGTGCCTCTCAAGGTTCGATCGCCAAGACTCTGGGGGAGGTTTATGGGAACCTGGGAAGGAAGGCACGGGAGAGTCTAAACTCATGCTTAGGCAGCCGCGACCGCCAATGCCAATTCGGTGGGTCTCACATGCGGTCACAACCTCATCACTGCTTGTAGACAAACACCGTCTGGTGCCAGCATTCGCCTGGCCTCGACTCTGCACTTCGCTCAATAACTCACTCATTCATCACAAACCCTCTTCGTACCGTCACCACATCAATTCTTCAATTTCTCGTCAGTTGTGGGCATGCATACCACTTCCTAGCCTCGCCAGTCCTTCGTACCCTCGTACCCTCGTCAATCTATCTCCCGTTGGTCGTCCTATGGCACGCTCGTCGTGACCAACCCCCGTCTGCGTCCTTTGTTGGAACAAAGACCATGGAGAAGCTCTTGGAGCTGAGCGCAGCGCTCACCCCGCAGTTGCAGGCGCAGGACGAAGATCAATACGACAGAATAGCGCTGGGTCTAGTCTCCGCGTTGAATAAACACCCTTGGCAAGATCAACCTCCTGTGAAGAGCGAGGACCTTGATGTGAGTGCCAAAGGAGTCCCGTCACTGCGTAACAACTAACACTCGTAGGGTATCCCTTCTGCCGACACCATTCTCTTCTCCTACTTCCTTGTCGCTGCAATAGAGGCAGCCAGCGCAGGTGGAAAAGCCGCCTCGAGACAATTACCTGCAGCCGTCTTACAAGGAGGATCGTTGTGGCGTCATATCACTCAGTTCCTTTTCGACTTCGATCCGGTCCAGGCGAGATACTGTGGGGCACACTTGCTAAAAGTACTCGACTGCGTGGCAACTGGAGCTGAACAGACTGAGGACTACGACCTCCCCATACAGTTGTTACGCGATTCTATTCTACGATTAGACGATACCTCTTCCACCCTGACCTCCACACATCTCACCTTCGTACGAATATGTCTCTTATCACATGCATGCTACCGTAGCACCGATATTCTCAGCATGCCAATCGGTCACATTCCAATATCGCACAACGAAACCCATGGGCCCAACAACATATGCTCAGCTTCCCAGCCACCTTGGAAATACCTTACTCCAGCCACGGGCCTGACTCAGCCGGTCACGAATCGCATGTTCATGGAATATTACCTCCTCGGCGGTCTTTGTTATATGACAGAAGGACGATATCGAGAAGCCTTATTCTTCCTTGAAGTCGTCATCTCGACCCCGACAGTGCCCAACGTGGCCAGCTTGATCATGGTCGAGGCATACAAGAAGTGGCTTCTTGTTGGCCTTCTCCTTGATGGTGTTGCCCGAACAGCCCCCAAGTACGCGTCCGCGAGTGCAATGAGGTACATTCGAGCTATTGCGAGACCGTACGAATGTGTGGTAGAGGCATTCAAGGCGAACAATATCGATCGTCTACGTCAAGAGATAGAGGCCGGGCTTGGCGTGTGGCAAGAAGACGGAAACTATGGACTCATGGTTAAGGTCTTTCAGTCCTACCGCAGACTCTCGATCGAGAGAATCGGTAAGATGTTCGAAGCAGTTCCGATTGCCGAGATTGCAGCGAGGACCTCGCCCAACCCGAACGACATTGACGAAACAAAGTCTTACATTGAATCAATGATTCTTAAGAGACAACTTAAGGCCGTATTCATATCTTCCGAGAAAGGAGACATGCTACGATTCTCGCCGGAAGAACAGAAAGCCGAGACCAGTATTAAACACTTTCTGGGATGGCAGATACGAGACCTTGAAGACCTCCTGACACAGGTGAAGGACACCGATCATCGCCTTGGACTGAGTAAAGAATATATTGAGTTCTTGAAGAAACTCAAGAAAATCCAGGATGATGAGAAGAGGGGCGGTTCTTCCAGCAAGGCACGGGCTGACGACGTCGATGAGGACATGATGGAAGAGTACTAGACCGATCGCTTGGACATGCAACCTGGTCGACAGGCAATGGACAAGCTGCTGCGCGGTCTGCAGATGATGACAATATTTGAGACGAACACTGGCACCCGGGATGAACGAAAGAAACGACCTGGGATGGCATTGAAGCCCCGCACTACGACATGACATGACACTGGTTTGTTTGGGGCCGAGGATGACGGTGGACATGGAGAGACACTCGGACGGACACGTCTTATGCATGGGCTAGGTATGATTCAGCGAGTGATTACCCGGCATTTGAGGATCCAGAATCAGAATCAGTCGCCGTCCGGCACATGGATGTTTGTGGTATGTCTTAGAAGAGAGGAAAAGTGAATCCGGCGCAGAGCTGGAAGGTGTGTGAGGTCTGTCACAAAATGGCAGCAGACTCTCATCACGCGTCCCTGCCGCAAGAAGGGAGTGCACCGTGCATACTTACAGCTAGTAGATAGAAGCTGTACTCTTCTTGGTCATCCATCAATGCTAGCAGCCATGGGCCACCGGGCTGTAGGTGGTCCAAGTTAAACGTTTCAAAACTACCAACCCATTATTGATGCTCGAAGTCCCACACCCGCGCCATGTTCTAAAGTTAGACCAGTCGTACAGGAATTCAAGCTTGGTATCCGGTAGGTCTGTGTCTTGGAAGCATGCATACATATATACATAGCAAAGCTGGAAGTATGTAACGATTGGACCTTACAAGTCACATCGTGGGTAGGTACATCGGTAGAGCCCCTGGGTTGATTGAGACCACACTGTTCGCCGACAACAAAAACAAACTCGACATGAATCCCAGTTCCCGCGAGATGAGGATTTCGCAGCGTCGGTTAGGTAGGTCGAGTAGCTTACATACTCCAAACCAACCACCTTTCTTACTGCGTCCCCCTTTCCCTGGAACACCGAGATTCATGAGGATGTGGATCACCGAATCCCCTGTTTCTTGACATCATTTCCTTGCCATCACTGACTGAACAGTGAACACATCGCCGTTTCCGTTCTCCCCCTTCCTCCCCCCTTCGTTACCCATCCGTCACCCGAATTCTGCGGGAAACGTCTGCAGGTACAGACAACACCCAAGCAAAAAGAGTGGAGGGATTGTTTTGGAATGGCAATAATAAGTTGTACAGCAAGCCCCCTCGTGCACAAACGCCGTTAAAAAAGACCAATAAAGACCAAGCCAGGGTATTGATTGGTGTGGTTCGAATATTTCAAGTTGTTTTTTTGTTCTTGTTCATGTCGTTGTGGGATGTGGTCATCACAATTTATGCGGTGGCGCTGGCGCCGGTATCTGTCGTCGCCGTGACCCGTTCAATTTCGATCTTGGGCATGCTTGCGGAGGCACTGCCGAGGTCGGTCTGTCGGGCATTGGGATTCTTGGTGTAGTAGTTGCCTGTGATGGAGGGGTCAGTATTGCCTCCGGAGGTTTTGTGGGGTGGTAGGAGGGTTAAACTTACTAATGGCCGACTTGATGGCGTCCTCGGCCAACATCGAACAGTGAAGCTTGACAGGAGGTAGACATAACTCCTTTGCAATCTCTGTGTTTCTGATCTTGCCCGCTTGTTCGAGGGTCATGCCCCGGACGAGCTCGGTCAGGTACGACGAGGACGCAATGGCCGAGCCGCAGCCGAATGTCTTGAACTTGACGTCGGAGATTTTCTGCGTGTCGGGGTCGACCTTGATCTGGAGTTTCATCACATCACCGCAGGCCGGGGCACCGACGAGACCTAACAACGAGATGACAGTCAGTATGAGTGTTGGCAATCCGTTGTTTGCAGTGCGGGTTCGGAGGTCGGGTTATCGCGCATTGGAGCGAACTTCGGAGATAAAATAATAGATTACGACGGTGTAGGCGATGGATGGCGGAAAAATTGAAGACGACAGCTACTCACCGGTACCAACATCGACGGCATTCTTGTCCATCGACCCGACATTTCGTGGATTCGAGTAGTGGTCCAACACTTTTTCATGGTACGATCTTCTCTGTGTCGGCTGCGTGGCGGCAGGTCGGAGGAGAGGCGTGCGGGAAGCAAAGGATGGCCGGACGGAGGATTGGGCCGAGGCGCTGATTGCGCGAGGGACGCCGAGAAGAGCTCTTCGTGACATTGTGTGCGTGGTGTGCGGTAGCTTGCGAGGTACGAGAGTCGTTATCGAGGCAATGGTGATGGGTTTGGTGATAGGAAGTGTTCGTGCAGAGGTGTAGGTGTGTATGTTCGATTGTAGAATGAATGAATTGATTAAGTAGCGCATTTAACTAAGCTGCGGATGGCAAATGGCAGGAGGGGAAAATGTTGAAATGACAAATGACAGGCAATGCGTCACGGCCGCCACGTGACTCGCCATGACATCAATTGCGCTTCTGCAGCTCGTCGTGCTCGTATTCGTATTTGTATCTGCATCTGCGCGGTGGGTGCCTCAGTGGTTATACACCTTCAAACAAGGCCTCGCCTTTGTAGAACAGGACGCGTCCCTAGCAACCACAGTCAAAGTTTCCTAGACGTCAATCACGTTCCCGTTGATACAAGTTGGTTACTTCGTCTTATTACTTTCCTGGCTTCACGCATTCCAAGCCCGACGCTACAGATTGTCACTCCCGGAAACCCAAACACACATGTGATACGACTACTCAGTCCTGGTGCGTCCCGTCACACTCGCTCAACTCAACAATGCCGTTCGCGTCTTCCAAGAAACGCAAGTCTTCCTTTGTCGCCAACGACGATAGTGACGTCGAGGCCGATGTACCCACGAAGCGCGGCAAGGGCACGTCGGGCACTTCATTCAAACCCGCGGGCAAGCGCCAGACCGACTCCGAGGGCAACCCGTACTGGGAGATTTCGAAAGGGCGACGCGTCACGATATCCGAGTTCAAAGGCAAGACGCTCGTGAACGTTCGCGAGTACTATCAAAAGGATGGCGAGTGGTTGCCGGGGAAAAAGGTAATGCCTCCTCCTGGCCCTGCCCCCTACCCCTTTAACCCGAACAGAGTATCCCCCCGACCTTCAAGTTACCTGCAGTACGGTACGCATCTAATCACTCTACTCGTCGGATCAGGGCATATCAATGTCAATCGAGCAGTACTCGGCACTCATCGGACTCATGCCTCAAATCGAGGGACTTCTGCGAGAGCGTGGGGAAAAGGTTCCTCGGCCAAAGTACGATGAAAGTGCCCCGACAGACTCTCTCCAGGACGACGAAGAGCCCGAGACCGTAGCAGACAAAAAGGCCAATATCGAAGCCACGAGCGACGAAGAAGAATAGGTATATCTTCGCCCGGGGTCTTCTTCTAGTAGAGCACGGGTACCGAACCACGACGAGAGCAGATATGTGGACCCAAATGCAGTACCGACCAACACCGCTTTGTCATCGAACGGGACCTTCAGATCATCCACGAGTGTAGGTCAATAGTTTTGTGGTGTGTGTGTATAGAGTCTTTTTCTACGGCCCCGTAACTGACATCTTCAGGCAAGAATCTTGCCGAGATATACCATGGTTATGCTGTTCGAGCCCTCAAGAACTACTCTCCCATTCGGCCAACCTGGAAGCCAGGCTTCCTTTCTTCCAATGTTTCTCGAAGTCCTCTTTGAGCTCGACCTGCGACTTTTCTCCGACCTTGCCATATCCACCACCGCCAGGTGTCATCTTAAGGAGAACAATTGTTAGCTAGGAGACAAACATGGTACCGGGAATGGGCTTACCACAATGATCCTTTCTCCAGGCTGCATGAAAGCTGTGTTCTTAGCGCCCATGCTGATATGCCTGTATTCATATTCATCGCCACCGCCTTCTTCTCTTCGCTTGCCTTCATGTTCACCACCAGATCCTCGACTCGTTACCTTTTTGATTTTTCTCACCCAGATGTTCTTGCCACATTGAGCATCGCCACCCCCATGCAAGCCGTATGGTCGATACACTCGTCGCTCGCTGAGTATACTCACTTGAACCGGAATTCGGAATTCAATGTCTCGAATCACGCCGTCGCCTCCCTTGTGCTGTCCTATTCCACCACTTCCAGCTCTCAGGCTGAATTCTCTCAGGATAACAGGATATCTTCGTTCGAACACCTCGGCGTCTGTGATTCTGGTATTCGTCATGTGGGTGTGAACGCCACTAGTCCCTTCCCAGTCTTTTCCGGCACCGCTGCCACCCGCAATCGTCTCGTAATATCCGAAGCCTTTCTGCTCATTCTCACTTTTTCGGTTTCCGCCGAAACCAAAGGTGAGATTGTTGCAGTCTCCTTGGCTTGCTGCGCAAGCCTCAAAGCACTTGAAGACCACGTCGGTCACGCGCTGGCTCGTCAGCACATTACCGCCAACCACAGCAGCCTTTTCACTCGGGCTCAAGAAACAGCCGGGGGGGATCTTGACTTTCACAGGCTTCAAGCATCCCTGGTTCAGCGGAATATCCTGATCGACCAAACATCGCAGGCAATAAATGATCGCTGAATAGGTAACGGCCTCTGGTGCGTTGATGTTACCGTACACTTCCGGCCCGGTGCCTTCAAAGTCAAACACGGCCTCTCCCTTTTCGCCGTCTATGGTAATGCGTAGACATATCGGGCTTCCATCGTCCATGTAATCAATGGCCTGTAAATCTTTACCCTCGAATCGTTTGCTAACTTCCTTGAGTAACGTTCGAACTGACTGCTCTGCGTTGTCTTGGATATTATGCATGTAGAACTGCACGACGTCCTCCCCGTAATCTTCAATTAGAGTGCTGATAAGATTGATGCCCTTTTGATTTGCCGCAATCTGTGCTTTTAAGTCGTTGAGGTTGTCCGCTAAACACCGCGTACCGCTGCAGTCAGGGTACTGAGCAGGCTCGTCGTAGAGTAACTCCGTGATGCGCTTCTCGTCGAATTTACCTTCTGACACGAGTTTCTCCGATTTGATTGCAGCCCCTTCCTGGAATAGTTCGCGACTATGAGGAGGCATGGACCCCGGCAAGATGCCGCCAATATCGGCATGGTGTGCACGAGAAGCAACGTAAAATACGATCTCGCCGGAAGGGCTGAAAGCTGGAGTCACGACAGTAATGTCCGGTAAATGTGTGCCTCCGTACTCAGGGTGATTTGAAACGATCACGTCGCCCTTCTTCAGCCTCCCCTTCCAGATCTCAGCCTGAGTCCGGACGCATGTCGACATGCTGCCCAAATGCACGGGGAGATGTGGCGCATTAGCCACGAGGCCGCCAGCACTGTCGAATAGGGCGCAAGAATAGTCTAGCCGCTCCTTCACATTCGTGGACACGCTGGTCTTCTGTAGAGCACGTCCCATCTGCTCGGCGATGGCCATGAACCGATGGGCGAAGATTGAAAGCAAAATCGGATCAACTTCCTTCGAATTGGCCTTCTTGCTGGTGCCTTCCTCGCCGATATTGATGACCACGTGTGTCTCAATGACCAACGCTGATGCTGAAGGGGGAACAACGATCGTCTGCGTCCCGTCGGCAATGATGGCAGGGCCTTTGACTCGTGTGCCTACCTCCAGATCTTCGAGCTTGTAAATTTTTGTGTCTACACGGCCGCCCTCGAAGTACACTTTTGACGTGGAGAAGGCTTTGTCCTCAGCGACATCCTTCGGCTTGATCTCCTTGAGCTGCTGGTCTGCTGTCTTGGACATCCCGCGGAACGATTTTCCGATGCCGCGCACGCGTACGTCGTCGACGATGATGTCCCTATCTGGCAGAGTAAATCCGAATTCCTGCTCGTGCTGGCGTACAAAGGCGGCACCAAAGGCCCAGTCGTCTCCCGAGTAGAGTTCCTTCACTTCTTCCGTACTAGGCTTGATCACCATCAGCGCAGACTCTGTGCCTCTGTACCGCATATTGAGATACTCTTCGTACTCCATAGAGTCATCGGCGAAGCCCTGGTCGCGAAGACGCTTTCGTGAGCGTTCCTTCAAGCCGTTCATCTTTGACTGAAGGCCCTCACGGTTGCCACCGCTCAAGTCCCAGACGTGAGACTCTGGTACTTGGCTTTCATCGACAACGTCTGCAAGCGCCATGCCATATGCAGACAGGACGGAGGAGTACCGGTGGACAAGAATCTGGCGGATGCCTAGTGACTCTGCGATAGCCACCGCATGCTGGCCCCCGGCACCTCCGAACGTGGCGAGACGGTGTTGGGCGGTATCGTGGCCTTTCGCTTCTGTCAGAGAGCGGATGGGTCGTGTCATGGTCTCGTTAGCAATCTTAATGAAGCCGTATGCTACTTCGTCTGGAGACATATTTTTATCAGTCTGGCTGTTGATATCATTGGTAAGTTCTTCGAAGAGCTTTTTGCTTGCCTCCGGATCCAAGCCTTCATTTTCGTTTTTACCAAAGATCTTTGGAAAGAAGTCTGGGAGAAGACGTCCGAGGAAGAGATTGGCATCTGTGACGGTCAGAGGGCCCCCCTTTCGATAACATGCTGGACCGGGGTGCGCGCCAGCTGACTCAGGCCCAACGACAAATAGGCCATTTCTAAAAAACAGGCGCGACCCTCCACCCGCAGCGACAGTATTGATGTCAAGCTGAGGGGACTGGATGGTCACGCCTGCAGTAGTGGTCTCGAAGACATGTTCGTAACGCCCCTGACCGTACCTGCTCACATCCGTGCTGGTACCACCCATATCGAAACCAATCACTGGTGTTTTGGTTTCTGGATCATAAGACGTCAGGGCGTAGCCCACCACACCGCCAGCTGGCCCTGACAAGATGGCACGCAAACCCGAGAATTTGTCGACGTCGACGAGACCTCCGTCAGACTGCATGAACTCACATCGGGCGCCTTTGCTGCCTTCTTCGTTCTTTACACTTTCTGTGCCTAGACCGCCCTCGAATCCAGCTTGAAACCCAGAAATGTACTTCTTGATGGCGGGAGTAAGATAAGCATCGGCGCATGCTGAAGTGGCTCTTGGTACCAGCTTGATCATCGGCATCAGATCGTGACTGAGGCTGACGTGCTGAAACCCGATCTCTTTGGCCAGTTTTCCTACCAGAGCTTCGTGATCGGGAAACGTGTAGGCGTGCATCAAGCACACCGCAATACTTCGGAAGCCTTCTTCGTATAAACCCTTCAGTGACTCCTTGATCTTGTTTTCTTCGGGTCTCTGCAAAATCCGAACGGCCTCTCCAGAAAGCCCTTTGACAAGATCGTTGTTCTTGTAATCTTCATGCTTGGCCTCGACCTTGGTCTGGTTGCGGACCGGATCCTCGGCGTAATCCTCCAGGGTCACACGCTCGTCAACTTCGACCACCTTCTGGTAAAGCACATCCGGTCTGCGGATGGCGAGGTCAAAAATCTTTGGCCTGGACTGATTTCCGATTTCCAGGCAATCCTTGAACCCACGAGTCACTACCAGCGCCATCTTTTCACCTTTGCGCTCTAGCAATGCGTTGGTAGCCACCGTCGTGCCCATGCGGATACTCTCAATTTTCGAGGTATCTAATGGTTGTCCCCTCGGGATTTCCTTGTCGGTAAACTTTTCCATCAGGCGGCGAATACCTTCGAGAGGCGCATCCTCGTAGTTAGACGGATCCTCTGACAGCAGCTTGATGATAATGTCATCTTCCATGCGTCCTGTGCCAGGGTTCCCGACACAGTCCGTAAATGTGCCGCCGCGCTGATGGGGTTAGAGCGTAGACTGGGATACAAACGATCAACGCCTGAAACTTACATCTATGGCAATGCGGATGCCTCTCTCCTCGCCTCCGGCATCCCCCATGGTGAAGTTTGCTGTCGAGTCCGTTACGAACACTTTTGTTCTGTGGAATATCTGTTGGACAGACTGAAAATGGCGAATTTCAAAGCAGGTCGTCGGGATGGAGAAGTCCGCTTAGCACGACCATGTGAATAAAGATTTAGATACGATGATGTAGTGCGCCCAAGCTTCTGGTTGATGAACCGCTGCTTCACTTCCAGCTGGGCCTCATTAATTCCAACAATGGGAACACCCTTGTATCCAAGAGGTGGTTGTATAGAGCGGGGCAGAAATGAAGTAACGGTCGCCAAAGAATAAATAGTTCAAGATAGAATAAAATAAATAATCAGTCGTATTTCGTAGAACGATTGACAGTTGGATATTCCGTCATTGACGCCGACAATCGGACGGCATCAATTACCATCCACAATATGATGAAGACGGCAAGGATTAAGAGAAAACATCGTATGGAGATGGGTTAATCGAAGCTCAATTCACGAAATTGCAAACAGACATCATCAGCTGAGTTATGCCATCAGTTATCGTATCAACACAGCGCATCACTATTTCTCCCAAAAAGCCCTGGCTATGAAGGGTGCAAGCAAACATTCTTCCTTGTTTAACGCCAATATCTTCACACAAGCCAAGTCATGCTCAAACAGCTTCATCAAAAATTTCTACCAAAGGCAGAGTCGTCCATGGGGGTTCGTTTTATTGCTCCGAGCTCGTTCTGCTGGTGCCAGAGGCTCGCTGGGCTCCACGCTCGCCCCCCTTTGTGGCGCAGTGCTTGATGATCCACGGATGCTGAAGTACGTGGTCGAGAGGTATTCTCTTTTCGGGGTCAAGAACGAGGAGCTGTTCGACGTGTCAGCGGAAGCCCGAAACCAACTCAATGTCACTTACTCTGTGTATTAGATCCTTCGCCTCTGCGCTGACAAAGCTCGGCACGCTCATGTCACCACGAGCAATTCTTCTCTGTGTCATGATCGGAGTGTCCTCGAACGGCGCTTCTCCTACGAGAAACTCATACGTTAAGACGCCCAGACTCCAGAGATCGACTTTCTCGTTGTAGAAGTTGTCGGAACTCCCCGGCTTGAGCATTTCTGGTGGAAGGTAATCCAGAGTACCACACATGGTCTGTCGTCGATTGTTGGGGGCATGGACGGACCAGCCAAAATCGGAGATCTTGATCTCGCCGTGAATGCCCACTAGGATGTTCTCAGGCTTGATATCTCGGTGCATGACATGCTTGCTGTGTAGGTATTTGAGAGCCGCGGCCATTTGAGCGATATACTGGGCAGCCTTCCATTCCGGGAATCTGTGCTCCTTGCGAAGATGCTTGTACAGCTCACCCTTTCCAGCAAACTCCAGGATGAGGAACACCCTCTTGCTGTCATGGAAATGACCGTACAGCCTCAGAACGTTCGGGTGTCGCAAATTAGACTGAATCTCGATTTCTCTCCTCACTTGCTTCTCAACTTTTCCTTGCTGCAGTTCGGATTTGTGCAGGACCTTCAGTGCACAGATCCAGCCTGACGATCTCTCGCGCGCCAGATACACCCGACCGAACTTTCCCTTTCCCAATGGTTTGCCTATTTCGAACATGCCCAGATGGAATTGTTTGGGTGCTTGTGGCTGATCGAAAAAGGCAATTGATTGTTTTTCATAGTTCTCATCAGACGCTCGAGATGTGGGTGCAGGCTTTCGGACTGGTGAAGGAGGAAGAGTTGGAACAGTTGTGGTGGTTGTAATGGTGGTGACTGGACCGGCATTCTGCCTCGATTCACTCGAGGTCTGGAGGGCGTATTTGACTAGATTCGCCCTGGATTGGCCTGAAGGAAGACTCGCTATTGTACCAGTAGCGGCAGCCTGAAAGTATCGGTTAGATCTATCCGTCGCATCGAAGCAGAGACTGATAGGTACCTTAGACTTGAGGACGGTGTTGGAGGGGGCGTCGTTTTCGTCGGTGACTGTGAGGTGCTCGAATCGAGCTTCTAGTGTTTTTGTCGCCATTGGGAGACGTTGAATATGATAGAAGGCGGGAGTAGGCGTTGACCTGCAGTCTCGTTACTTTGATAAATTGACTGATGCTGCGACTGCGACTCCGACTCTTCTCAGGTGAATATTGTATGGGTGCGCCAAAACAAATGGTCGCCTATGGCAACCGCCATCGCAGGGCTTCCGGGCATTTGTAGGGCTGCGCAGAAGGCGCCTGGAGTGCAACTATGTCGGCGGTGCGGGGATTGTTCAACTGGACTTCTAGGTACCGCTCCATGCCCAGAGACAGGCATCATACGAAGCACCACATCCTTTCGTCGCGCACCTGACATGTAGATTGCAGCTTAGCTGACAATCTCTGTCGGACAGGATCGAACGTACTCGCTATACTCGCTATTGTCCACCAGCTGATTCTGCTAAGATGGCGGTCAACGATACCCAGTCCAGAGATGCTGTCGACACTAATTATCCCTCTGCCACAACGGCTCCTCCGCGGTCGTTCTCTATCGAAGGCTTCCGCATTACGACCCAAAAGCTCCCTATACTGAAAGCTGGGCCAATCGAGGAAATGACGAACAAGCTTGGCATCGCACCTCCTGAAATGATATTCGGCGACAACTTCGTGGCGATCGAGCACCCGTCGTCCGGTTGGGGAATCAAATTCGACGCCTTCGGGGCTCTTGACCGGGTGGATAAGACCGGCGAGAAGAGGCTGAAAGTAGCATATTCGAAAGAGTGGCATCAGAGCAGGGAGGATTCACATGATATCAAGGAAGTCATCAAACCGTTCGACTGGTCCTACACTACCGACTACAAAGGCGACCTTTCCCCAGAAGGTCCGCAATTTGACGAAGGAGTCAGCCCCATCCCTCTAGAACTTCTCAAGCGGCCAGATCCAATATTGTTCTTTGATGATGTGATCCTGTACGAAGACGAGCTCGCTGACAACGGGATCACCATGCTTTCCTGCAAGATCAGGGTGATGCCTGCTCGCTTACTCCTTCTGTGCCGATTTTTCATGAGGCTCGACAATGTTCTGCTCAGACTCCGGGATACCAGGGTATACATCGACTTTAGGAAGAAGGAAGTGCTGCGGGAATACGTCGCGCGGGAGGAATCGTACGACAAAGTTCACAACGACCTTGCAGCCAGAAGGGACGATGTCGCCGCCGTACTCCGAGATGCCAACCAGATGCCAGATCTTCTGCCAGTCGTTGAAAGAAGGCTTGAAAGGCTTGAGCTGGGCAAGTGAGCCATATTCTTCCAGTTCTAGGATCAGCAACAGCATCGATGCCTATGATTGATTGAGAGCGTCGGGGACCAGGGGCTTGGTCGGGAAGACAACTTTCTCAACAACCGTTCCTGTGCAGATGTCCTCATTTCCAGACACGAGGAAACAGACCTTCAAGACCATCAATGCCGAAGACAACATGATTTGGAAGCTGTCGCTAGAGAACTCTACACGAGACGTCAGACCGAGAAGCACTGACGCTAAGTCCCACCAACCTTCGATACAGCGAGGGGTGTTCACGTCAAGCGTTGAGACAATGACACCTGGGACCGAGGGTGCCGATACTGTGCATTGGTCACGGATGCTGATCGCTACCGGTCGGGCATCATTGTACCTCGAGACTCGCAAGCACACCATGCAGCCATGGTCTTAGCAGAAGCCCCAGTGTAGAAGAGGAACTGGGCAACGGAAGGGAGTCTCCTCACATACAATATCATGATATGCGCAGCTAGAAACTTGCTAGCAACTCGCGTCGCAGTTGATCTACAGGGCAAGCAGGACGAACTCCGGATACCGGTTCATGTCAGGGCATAGAACGAGCACTCGGACCCCAAGTAGATTATTACAGCTCACTGGCCATCTCAGATCTGTGCCGAGTTTTGATGCTGCTGAGCACTCCAATTCCTGGGTTTGGGGGCGGTGAACTGACATGTCGATGGCAGCTGAAAGGGACCGATGAATGGTCCAATTTCCACATTGTCCCAAATTGCCAGAGTGGAAACCCAATGCGCCAATAATGTATCGCTGGCTTCAGCCTTCTCCTTCTCCTCCTTCTTCATCAACCCATCAACCTTTCCTCCTCTCGGCCCTGGCCTTGATTTAACCGAGTTTTCTAGCCCCAAAGGCCCAAGTTGTACGTATTTGGGTGGTCGTTAATCTTTCATGGCATCAGCCGTGGCTTTTCACAAACTATTGATGAAGGTTCCGTCTCCCCACGCGAAGATTGTCCCTGGAAGTTGGCCGGAACAAGCATGCTTGATGGCCCCAAAGATTAAGGTGAGAAACAAGGGTAAGTCAATAATGGGATCTCGCTCTTCTTCTGAGATCTTCTTCTCCATCTCAGTCCCTTGCTCTTCGCCTCAAGGATTCTACGTGACTGTTTCGATCCTCTCCCTGGCTCGGGCAGGATGAGCACTCACACCCGGATGGTCCTATGGGCGTTGGTGTTGGTATTGAGTATCTCGTTTTCTAATGCATCGCCTTCGGTGCCCGTTGCGACCGATCCCGTTGTGACAACGACGACAGTCACGACGGTTGTCCCGTCGCTCGTCACCATCTACTCCGTTGTTCCTGCAACCGGTGACCCGAACCTGGTGTCAACGATCACCACAACGATCAATGGTCAAGAGACAACTGTGATCTCGTCCGGCGGTGTGGTTGCGGGCTCGAGCACAAGCACTATCGTGTCCACGTTAACGGTGACAACGACTGAAGTTGTAGTCAGCACCATTGGGTACTCGACAGTGTTCGGTCCCGACCCTGAACCAGCAGTGAGTATTGACCAGCACTTGTTCCCATTAAGACATGCTGCAGAAACATCGCGGGAGATGCAGTTCATAGCTGATGTCCATCATAGACCACCCCTGCTTCAACGCCGGCCACGGTCTCCAATCCAACAGCACCTACAACACCCATTGGTGTCACCCCTGCGACAAGCCTGTCGCTGGGAACATCGACGACGTTACCAACTGGAATCGTCAGCTCCTCTGGTGCTGGCATTACGAACACGGCTAGTGATATTGTGCAAGTGACCTCCTCGACTTCCTCGTCCGCTTCAACGGCGGCTGCAACAGCACCTGGTTCATCAGCTTCGCCAGCGTCGTCGTCGTCGTCGTCATCATCGTCATCATCGTCATCATCATCATCATCATCACTGTCAACCGGAGCCAAAGCAGGAATCGGTGTTGGCGTTGTCATAGGTGTCATCGGAATTGTCATCATATCCTTTTTCCTGGGCCAGCGATATTCCCGACGTCGGCGAGACGAAGCCAATAGCCGCGCTCTCGCTGAATCTGACAGCCCAGACCAGGAGAAGGATGTTTTCCTGGCTGGCCGTCCATACGAAGAAACGAATCCATATCACACTGCTGGCGAGTCGACTACTGGTAACAATCAATTTTCCACAACGACGACGACGACAGCAACAACAGAAGCGGGCAGTCCATCGCCGGGTATGAAGTTTGAAGACGTGTCAAGCCCAGCCATGTCCTCGTACCGTAGCCACAACGACGAGATTTCCGCTCTCCCCCAAGTCAAGGATGAGGATGACATGTATGTGGGTGTACCAAGCTATATGTCAGGATCGAAAAGGTGGAGCATGAAGGAATATGAAAGATGACAGATTCATACGAAACATGAGTCTGCTTAAGCATTACCGACTCGAGACATCGACCAGGCGTGGGTCAGAAGATCAGAAGTGACGTCCATCACACTAGGTCCTGTTCTGGTATACGCATCTTCTGGCGCGGAGGCCCCTTCACTATTGTCTGGTCATCTTATCATCAAGACAACATGACCATGATTTGCGCGACTGAGATCATCACCAAGACTTCCCCACGTCAGCGCTGGTGGGCTTGTGCCACAAAACCACCTTCAGTCGCCAGCGATGATCGTCGTACCGAGTTGACTTACTGACTTATCAGCAGTAGTCGCCTACTTTGACAGTTACGCATTTTCGAGATACAAAGTGGTTGCACGAATAATCTGCATTGGCGGGATGTGAGGGGATAAGTGGTGTGAGAGCACCGGAGATGGTTCCAACTTCCTCAACGTTACCAGCAGTTTGGCCACGTGACCCACCACCATCTTTTGGCGGCTTTTGAAGAGTCTCGAGTTTAGAGCTCGTGTGTTCCAAGGTTGGGTAAGGCTATGCTGGACCCTTGAGGAAGTGCGCGTGCTTTGTGCATTTTGAGCGCGCAAACATGGCCCGGTTACGAGACCACATTCACGGAAGGCCTGGCTGCGGCAGATCAGCGGTTCTGGCCACGCTGGACCTGATTATCACCTCAACGAGCTAACCGCGGCAGGAATCGCCTTGGTCAGACAGTCCTCCGTAGAAATGGAGCGAATCACGTGTGTCGGTAGGACGGAACTGTGGCTACGCTGGAGAGGACGAATTTTTCACTTACACGGAGCGATGTGTTTTAAATTTGAAGATGTCTGTTTCTATAGCCGCACCATAGTTGACTGGCAGGCAGTAATCACATTCATGCCCTCGCAGCAGTTCGGCACCCAACAGTGAACACCCCGACCAAGGTATCGTCAACTCCCCCATCCGGACTAGGGCTGCCAAGTCGTGATCACGTGCTGGGCGTCAAATCAAAACCTCCTCGGCGTCTTGCTTTCTTGATTTTTCATCTTCTCACGGCTTGAGCATCTACTGTCATAAGACTGGCAGCGCATTGAACGACAAGATTCAAATCGACAGCCCACGTACGCCGACCACCGTCCGCCGTTGATGGTCCATGATGCCGGCCCTGCTGGAGGACCCAGAGTCCGCCGTGATATATCGGCAATCTGGGCAGGGTCCGTATCCGACCCCAGATAATCCGCAAATTCCCTCGTCTATATTCCCTAGGCCCGTCACACTCAGGGATCGTGTTACCATTGCGACTCTGGTACCTTTCTTCTCGCCTGAAGCTGTGCCGAAAAGACTATTGGCTTATCTGTCTGAAAACCTCAACAAGGAGATCGAGAGTGGAGACACGTATCCAATGATCGACCCCTTGCCTCTCGAGACTTTTGGGCCTTATTGGTTTGGAAATTTCGGTGCGGTCATGATATTGGGTGACATTGGAGGTATCGAGGGAGTTCAGGAACTGGATCGAAGTTCTGCCGATTGGAACAAGCTTTGTCTGGGGAGCTTCTACGTCAAGCCCAACTACCCTGGTCGTAGTAGTCATGTATGCAATGGGGGCTTCCTCGTCACCCCGGCCGCACGAAACAAAGGTGTTGGGAAGTCCATGGGCCAGTGCTATCTAGACTGGGCACCTCAATTAGTAAGTTGGACTCGAGAGAGGATCACTGTCTCGTTGTAGAGGTGTTGGTCTAACACGCAGTAGGGCTACACATACTCTGTCTTCAACTTGGTCTACGAGTCAAATACCGCCTCTACAAGGATATGGGACTCTCTTGGATTCAAACGCATTGGCAGGGTTCCTGGCTGTGGAAATTTGAAGTCGTCCAGCGAACCTGTAGATGCTATCATCTACGGAAGGGATCTGAAAGCGGATGGCGAAAACGATCAATCCGAGGAGAGATTCGACAAAATTCGATACTACTTAAGACACCAATTATACCCGCAAGGCGCGGACAGGTCAGAGAAAAGCCGACTAAGGAGCGCCGCAACGCACTATAAATTGGTGGGAGGTCAAGATGGGGTGCCTGAAAAGCTCTTCTTGAAAGATAAGGAAGTCATCTCCGATCCTCAAGCACAATATGATATTGCCACACAGATACATCTACAGTCCCACGGAGGCATCAACAAAACCACAGCTCTCATAGCCACCCAATACCACTGGATTCGGATAAAGGAGACTGTGAGTCATGTGATCAAGAACTGTCCCGAGTGCAAGGACGTGAATAAACCTCCAGTCATCCGCACCGAGAACAGAGCTCGAAGCAAAACAATTGAAGAAACCCCGGCGACATTGCCAGCACCCCCGCCACCGCCTCCCCCTCCCCCTCCTACTCAACCTCCACTGACGGTCCAATCTCCTGCCGAGGTTCAGAGCACATCTCAAGAAGATTTAAGCGCCAATCACATGTCAAACCACGACTTCGCTTCAATACAGCAGCAGATGAATCTTGCAAATGATCATTTGACTAGTCCAAACGGCCATCTACAGAGTAATGGCAACCTCGAGGCGCATCTTCATCCCGAGCGGCATCTACATCCTGAGCTGCACTCTGATCCGCATCTCCATGATGCACATCTCAACGCCTATGATGAGATGGCTATAGATCCACAAATCATGGAGCAGATCCAAGCCATGGCCGAATACGATCAGAACACACATGCATACGTTCAAGCGGGATTAGGTCAATTCGAGACTCCTCACCTCCAACCGCATGACCCGCACGATTTCAATCACCAGCCTCAAGACCATGGCTTCATGAACGACGCCAATGGTCCCATGATGACACACGACCATGTCATGGACGATAGCGGGGCAGGGACCGGACTTAGCAACATGCAACCGATCCAGCATGTGTTGCCCATGGATTACCTTGACGCTTCAAACAATCAGCAGTTTAAACTTGAGCAATGAAAGTGATGGTGCCAGGCGTTTTGGAGACTACTGGGAAATTTATAGAGCACTCAGGTGAACGAGCTCACGATGAATCTTTGCCATGACCTTCTCTTCGATATGAACATCCTTTCACCAAAGGCGTGCTTTGAGTCCCAGATGCTTGAAGTAGGGGGAGTCACGCCAGGCTTGAAGTTTAGTGTAGACACAAAATAAAAGAACTCTGTATTGGGAGTGGTTCCCAGCAGCTTGCTTACCAAACTTGAATACGCCTGAACTTCGCATGCGACTCTTTGACCCTCTTCTGTGGACAATGGAAGGGAGTGCGCCGAATATCAGGATTTGAGGTGAATTAACAGCCGGCGAAGGCTGACCAGCCTTTTCAAAGGGGCCTATAGCATCCTAGGTAATGTATATACACTGGGTATATTTCTTGGAGTCTGGTCGTCGGCTATGATTGAGAGTTTGACTAACCCAATCGGGACGATCTACTCCGCTCTCTATCTCGAACCTCGAGTCACTGATTTCCTGGCACAACATGAGGCGGATATCAATCAAACAAACCCAGTCCTGCTTGTAGTTCTAGGATCAATACGCCCTAACGTCGAACATGAAACCATCGTCGGTCCATTTTCCGATAAACGCGCCTAGCCACAATGGATAATTGCAAGCCCAAACGGCCTCCTCGACCTCCACCGAAACTACGCACCAAGACGGGCTGCCACAAATGCCGGGAACGTAAGTGGCTTCATGCACACCGAGCATGCCTCTGTATTGCTGTTGCGTATGTTATCACGACGTCTTCTAACAATCAACAGGACGTAAAAAGTGCGATGAGAAGAAACCGAAATGCGGCGCCTGTACGAAGTTGCAACTTCATTGCAGTTACCGAGAGTCTGCGTGGTTGCCCGGACCCCCTTCGAATCACTCAAGGTCATCAGCTACAACGCCAGATCCCGAGGACCAGGTCGTTGACCTGATCTTGCCTTCACCGCAGAGTTCTACCTTAAGCTTCAATCCATCAGTGCTAATGACAAAGCGGGATTGGATGGTGTTCCAGTACGCCTCTACGAGATTCATCCAATTGCTCACCACGCCCGATGCCAGGGACGAGTTTCGCGACGTTTCGTTCGTATTTGCAATGGGTTTCTATAAGCCCTGGGTCATGCACGCAATATTAGCCCCGGCGGCCTTGCATGCTTCGTGCGCTGCGTTGATGCCGCAAGAGGACGCCATGGTCTACACCGAGAGTGCTCTCCGTGGTCTTCGCAAGGCTATCGAACAATCGGAGCTTACCGCTGACAAGGGAGAGACGTTTTTGGCAGCCTCGCTTTTCCTAGGTGTCTTCGAGGTTAGCAGCTCCCCGCCCCCTTGGGTCGCCTACCACGCTGATCGACTTTAGGACTTCTACTCAGATCCTGCAAGTCATTGTCTGACTCATTACAAAGCTGTTGCTCGAGTACTTGAGGAAGAGACTGTGAAGACTTGCCGTTTGGACCTAGATCGGCTGTCAGCTTTCCGACGCACACTTCTCGACTCGGTACTCTACCATTTCGCTACCAGACTGATCCTTGAAGAGGACGTCGATGCCATTTGCGAGTCGTTCCCCTCTCAAACGATAGCTATGTATATCGACGCACTGGAAAATATGGCACAGCAGGGTCACGAAACATCTTCAGTTCTTCCGGTCCTTGGCCGATGCAAGCCCAGTCTTTTCCTTCTCATTTACCAAATCACCTGGCTTAGTAGGCAAGTCCCGTTGGATCTACACAGCAGCAATCATACCCTTGCTCTTCAATGTTTGGAAGAGCTAGACAAGCTCTTCTATTCACACCCACTTTTACAATTAGACGACCTCCATTCTTTCGGCGATGATGCGCCGAGGACACTGACAAACACAGATATCGCTGCGAAGCTCTACTTCTTGGCTACGAAGATGTTCCTTCTGAAAGTCTTGAGCCCAGACCAGGTGCGGACGACCTCGAGTCAAGTCTCTGCTATGCTTCAGCAAGCGTTTGAATTGCTGAAGTGTTACGACGGAGCTGCCGATTGCGCACAATTCATATGTTGGGCTGTTCTCGTCTTGGGCTGTGCAGCCTGTCCAACAACCCATTTCGAAACAGGAGCCAGCCTCCCAATTGACATCGGCGCCGAAGTGCGCCGGAAAATGAGGAACCTTATTCAACGGAAACTATTGCAAATCTGGGAAACCTCTTACTCTGGGTACGTCAAACGAACAGCTGACGCCCTGGGCAAGATATGGAGCCTTCCGAGCCTTCTGGTGCGGGATGCTTCATCCTTCAGCTCGGAAACCGAAGCAGAATACGATGGTATGAATGCCCTGATTTATGGCGGTGGCCTGGGACAAGCCTTGCTTTTTTTTGCCTAGTTCTTGAGCGGAAGTTTTACGCCACTGCACGTTGTCATCAGTTGAGCGCAGTTGGAGTGGGAAGTACTCTATGCCGATAACAATATCATCTACTAGCAGCCGAACCGAACTCCAGTCCTGTCATCCTGACTTTAAACCTGAAGTACTAGTTCCACCAACATTGTTACATGGCCTCGAGAACGTGTTTATTCATTATTCATTTCTCAACCACTCGGCGCGACGCACAAGGGCCTCTTGATATACTAAGTTCGCTTCAAGCATTCGTCGATGATTGATGCCACTTGCAAACACTCTTCATCTCGCATCCGGCTCGTAAAAATTTGGACCGAACAAGGTGCACCATTCATCAGTTCAGGGTCATCTGGAAACCTTTGTCAGTTTTGATTGCAACGCGGGGTACGACTTACAATCTGGGCCGCCTTGTCCTGCTTGCACCTTCGTTGGCTGTGGATCCAGTTCTTTCGACGCCGTTCCGAAAGGTATTACACATGCCGGATACTGGCCAGATATTGTCAGCTGCATTCAACGAAGAGGAATGGGCTCCTACATCAAGCACATTCAGGAAAGCCGTAAAAGCCGGCCAACCAAAAGTGTCATGGGGAACGGCAGTGTTTTGTGCAGCAGGCGCAAGGACTGCGTCCAATCTTTTCTCCAACCAAATGGTTCGCCAGTTCTCACACAGTTCTTGTCTCTTCACCGAGAGAAGAGCATATTTACGGACGAAATCAAGTCCGTCTAGCTTCGGGACGAAGTTGTACTGCCCGGCATTACCAGGTCCAAACTGTGCGGCGACAGACGGTACCGGAGGCTCACCGCTCGCTTCTATAAACTGCTGGGATGTCTCCGTATGGAGGACGAAGAGCTCGCATGCCACCTCGTTAATATCCGCAACCTGGCCTTCAGCAGATGTTAGTTGCACTAGTTCATGACCAGCTGCTTGAAGCTTTTTGGCAGCCTCAGCCAAGGCCCGCTTGATTGGAGGTTGCAGCGGATACACAGGATCCTCTGGCAAAACACCAATCCTAAGTTTGGACTTCGTGTTCGGGCCCAGCCTGCGCCAGGGAACATCGATAGCCGTAGAGTCGAGCAGTGCAGGGGTGGTGTCGAGGACTGCTTTGGTGAAGATTTCGAGGGCCTCAAAATCGTTGGCAAGGGGTCCGGCGGAAGCAGTGATGGGTTTCCAGCCTGCGAGCGAGGGGACCTGTTGGCCCCCGTACGGGATTCGAGAACTTGTCGGTTTGAAACCATAGGTACCTTAGAGTGAGTTAGCATTCGCTTTCACGGCGTCTCGGAGCAGAGAATAGGTCTGACATACCACAGCATAGTGAAGGAATGCGAATTGAACCTGCGACATCGGTGCCAACACCCACGGGGGAACCTCGAAAGGCTACCAACGCGCCTTCTCCTCCGCTCGAACCCCCGGCATTGAGTGCCGTGTTGTGTGGATTCAAAGCACGTCCGAAAATGTTATTGTCGGAATCAGCAGTCATGAGTGTTTGAGGAATGTTGGTCTTCACATAAAGCACAGCGCCCAGACTCAGGAGGATGTCGACCAGTGGTGAATTGGCCGTCGATTTCTTTCCCAGAAATGAAACATAACCAATCGAGGCTTCCTGTCCCTTGACCTGGAAACCGTCTTTGATGCTTATCGGTAGACCGTGCAATGGGCCCAGTTTCTCTCCCTTGGCTCTCTGCTCATCAAGAGATTTGGCTCGGTCGATGGCCTCGTCAAAGAACGTTTCCGTAAGGCAGAATGTCAGTTGCTGTGCGATGGCAGCCCTCTTGCAGAAGGCGGTCGTCACATCAACAGAGGAGAATTCCCCTGACGATAGTTTGCCGAGGAGAGCAGCAACGGTATAGTTCTCTGTGATGTCCAACTCATGGTCGGTCAAGATGCCTGACTTTCTCGGAATATCCAAGGCGAGCAAGTTGTTTGGGTTCTTGTCCAGAGGAAAAGACAACGAGTCCAGGATTGCGGAAGGCAGCAGCCAGTTCTTTGGGATGGCAGCTCGACGCTCTTCTCTTTTCCGGGCGGCGATATTTTGCCAGCTCATTTCCTGTTCTGGTGCGATTGAGCCCATTTTGTCGTGTTGAGACGGAATGCTTCTTCTTTGCTGCTTGGCTTGGATATGTTCCTGTTGGCAAGGAAAACGGCTTTGCTTCACGATGTATGGTGAAGTACCAGCCTATATAGTCAAGATCTTCGTACGTACTGACAAGTCGCCAGACTCTAAGACGAGTCTACCCTTGGGAAGACGTCTTTGGTGATAATGTACGTCGCTTGAGCTCCACTCCACCCCGAATGATGGCATCTTGGTTAGTTGTACGAGTACTCCGCGGTACACGATATCATTTGACGATTCTTGGGTTGACGGCGGGAGCAAGGATGTGGTCGTACGCATTTCTCCGCCATAATGTTGTCCTATCAGCATCGGTTGCGCCGACACTACCAAAGCCTCGGCAACGTCCAGAGTTGCTTAGATCATTCTAGCCTGACGCCTCGAAGTGGACAGATCCTGGTCCTCGAATGCAACATGATGCTTTGCCTATGTTCGTGGTTCAAGTTGCGTCCAAATATCTCGATGGTGGCAGGTTGTTCTTATCGCTGTCTAAAAGGAACCAGAGAGCCCACAAACGGCGGAAACAGTACAGTCTGATTGAGGGGAACCCTTTCCAGTACTATTACCAACAGTCACACAACGACCATGGGTTCTTCTATAGATCCTTCTATTTGGCAGACTCTGGCGGCGAGGCTGGTTCGTGACCCTGGAACACCGGTCGACAATCCGACCACGTCATTCTGGCAAGAACCACTGCTTCCGATCGCTCAACATGCATCTTCAAGTCTACCTAAAGACGCCGAGGTCGTCATTATCGGCTCCGGCATTGCCGGGATCAGCACAGCATTGCATCTTCTTCGAAGGGATCCAAGGTTAAGCATTGTCATGCTCGAGGCAAGAACCGCCATCTCAGGAGCCACTGGCCGAAATGGCGGGCACATCAAAGCAGTGCCCTGGGCGGATTACTTTGCTCTTAAGGAAACGTATGGCAAAGAGAGTGCGATGAAGATCACAAAGTTCCGCCTCGCGCACCTTGAAGCCATGGTGGCCGAAGCAGAGGCGCTGGGCGAAGAAGGAAAAGTCGGGCTGGTGCGACGGGTCGATGGTGTCTGCGCGATCTACGACAAGGACTTCTGGACGCAAGCAAAGCTCAGATTGGGCGTTTTTCTCGACGACTTCCCCGAAGAAAAAGGGAGATGGAATATACATGAGGACGAAAAGGAATTGAAGGTGAGTGCGTGACGTTTTGAAGTACCCAGATTTCTGCTGGTGGTCTCACTCGACAGCTACATCGAGTATCTACTTGATGACAACTCACTGACTCACGCATCATGCATGTAGGCCCTCGAGTTGGCAGATGCCCACGGCTGTATTGTAGGTCCTGCTGGTGCAGCATGGCCGTACCGGTTCCTGGGGGTCGTATTGTCACGGTTGTTACAAAGTGGGCAATTGTCCCTGGAGACACACACGGTGGCCAAGGACATCCGACGAACATCGTCACCCACTCATCCTTACGAAGTGCATACCACGAGGGGCACGGTGGTGACGAAACATGTCATTCACTGCACCAACGGCCACGCAGCGCATCTACTCCCGGCGCTGAAAGGTAAACTGTACCCGCTAAGGGGACAGATGACGGTGCAGGCGGTGCCCCCTGGTTTTCCCCGGGCTGGGATGCAGAGATCGTACTCGCCCATGTGGGCCAAAGGGTTCGACTACATTACACAATCCGCGGGTGAAGATGGCTCGCTATACCTCGGCGGCGGGCTTCTGCAGGACGGTCTTGATAACGACGAGGACTTGGGCAACCCGGACGATAGTAGACTGAGTGCAGGTTGCCTGAGACACCTTGAAGCTGTGCCTGGTCGGGCGTTTGTGCACGGCAAGGGGTCTACGATTGAGAAGAAGTGGACCGGCATCATGGGATTCACAGGCGATGGGCTCCCACTGGTAGACCGCGTCCATCAGTATCTGTCGGGGAGGGAAGAATGCGACCCCGCTGCCGGTGGCGAATGGCTCGCTGCAGGCTGGGACGGGTATGGGATGGTGCATTGCTGGTTGACGGGCAAGGCTCTCGCAGCCATGGTCACGGACCATGAGGATGAGGTTCTCGAATGGTTCCCACGGGCAGAATTCGCATGTACGCAGGACAGGCTGGCGAGGATGAGCCCTGAGAGCGCGTTGCGACACTTGCTTGGTCATTTAGACTAGTGCCATTATCTACGATATGCTATGTCATGGCTATCTACCCTGTGCATGTCGTTTCTGTACCCCGGATAGACCTGACACACTCCCCTGTGGTACTGGGTGGTGAGGAAGCCACTAACCACTAGCCAAGGTGGTTAGTTAGCGGGTTGGTTAACGCCATGCCTGAATCGGAAGGTTCATCCACTACTGACTCCCCCCGGTCGTCAGGGATTCCCTGCTCCATCTGCTTATCAAAGCTCGAATCGAGACTCTTCCGGCGCAAAGTGCGTCCATTGGTCGTTTGACACCTACGAGATCGAGGGCATACTGTATCCCCCTCTCTGGGCCCATGTTATTCCCTGGGAACGAGCAAGGGATCTACAGATTACCCTGTGTACATGCTGTAAGCCACCCAGCCGAAACCTTGTCATATCGTCGTCTGTCCCGGCGCAATGCAACTTCACTGGCTCTGTCCCTATCTCAAAGTTTGACACAAATGAGTCGACGACCTTCTGCGCATCGAACCTTAGCCACCATTACGCCTTGGTTGCATAACCGACCCAAGCGGCCCAGTCTCGTCCGGCAGATACGGTCTATCTAAGCCTCCTGCCGACTGGCCTACCGCAGTCTAGTCGTATCTTGCAGGATCGAAGTTGGCTGGCGTGGCAGACCTCCCAAGATAATGTTCATTCTCAAGCTGAGAACCCCTTGATAACGACACCCGAGAAGACGAGCCAAGGAAACATATCACTCACTACCTTGTCTGTACTTATTGGAGTACGTTGACTTGCGGTTGGTGATGACGGCAGGTCGAGCTTCGTATCCCTTCTCTCGAAGCGCTATCGTACTTATAGAAGAGCTTGATACCCCCTCCTGGGCTCTCGACCAAACGAATTCACCTCCTCATTGTCGTTGAGACCTGACAACAGGACTTTCCGTTGTTCCATCCAACCCATCTTTCCGACACTTCCATTCTTCACACAACCCTCAACCTATTTTCGCTGCGCTGCTGCTGCTCCGCAGAATGACCTTGGTCAACAGCCAGATACTCCCCCCGGGGACGCAGCGTATCGAGGATCAAGCGGGATCTAAGATTCTGCTCGCACCGCAGCCGAATGCGGACCCCAATCAGCCTCTGGTACGTGTTGGTCCACCCAACAAGCCCGTGGATGTGAATACTGACTGTTATGCTTCCTGTAGAACTGGCAAGTCTGATAATTCTGCGCCTACTCTGCGAACGGAGATGTGCAGTGCCGCTCGAGCACTTCCAATGCTGACGCTGTCGAACAGGACCAAGTTCCGCAAAACAGTGCACATGACCGTCCTCTGCTTCTATGCTCTGATGGTGTTCGCTATGTGAGTGTTGAGTCTTTGGTCCGTGGACATCCGTCTGCACATACTGACTCAATTGCGACTTCGCTACAAAGCCTTTGTGTCGCACTTCCCCTCTGGCAAGATTTCAATATCGAGCTTGGTATGAGTTATGCTATCCTTAACGACGGCTATGCAACCAACATGGCTACGCTGTCCGTGGGGTGCATATTCCTTGTCCCTCTGGCTCTTCGATTCGGAAGGCGTCCAATATACCTCCTCACCGCGCTGGTCATGCTCGCCGCTGCGATCTGGCAAGCGAAGATGCAGACGATTGGCGACATGATTGGCGCGAATGCCATCTCTGGCTTCGCCGGAGCCGTGAACGAAGCCATTTTCCAAGTCACGGTATGTCTAAGTCTTCCAGTGATGATGATGAAGGAATATGCAGTCTGACTCTACTTTCACAGGTCGCCGACCTCTTCTTTGTCCACCAACGCGCCACCATGAACGCCATCTATCTCTCTCTCGTCACCGTAGGGAACTACCTTGGTCCTGTGGCTGCCGGGTACGTTGCGGTCAACCAGAGCTGGAGATGGGTATTCTGGTACTGCACTATATTCATGGCGGTCGTGACTGTCTTTATGATCTTCTTCCTTGAGGAAAGCAAGTACATCCCTCGAATAGAGGAGGGACACGAGGTTGGTTCGGCGACGGACCAAGAACAGGCGCAGGATCTCGCGAAAGTGAGCAGCGTTTCCAAGCAGAGATTGGGGTCGGTTTCAATCGACGCAACAGAAGCTGCGAACAATGAGCGCCGACGCATGGTCGAGATTGACACCTCAATCCCTATGGACTCGTACCTGAAGCGTCATCGTCTGTGGTCAACCGAGAAGGCGATCACCACTGGCAATCGCAGTCACTGGACGCATTTCTTTCAGGTAAGAAGAAATCGCTTGAATCCGGTTGTGGCTTGAGGATCGTATGCTGACTGTATATTTTGTTGTCGCACAGCCGTTTCAAATGATGTACACTTTCCCAGCTGTGGCTTTCTGTGCACTTCAGTATGGTTTTCTCATCGCAATGCTGTCAGTCCTTGCGGTCACACAGACCACTCTTTACCCAGCTCCACCGTATAACTTTACGCCTGTCGGTATTGGAAACATGGTAAGTTGGGAAGTCGCTTTTCCAATAAAGGACCCTAACAAAGAGTAGAATCTTCCCCCAGCGATTGGCGCTATACTTGGATCCGTCTTTGGCGGTCCCATCAACGATTGGTTTATTGTCCAGGTTGCCAAAAGACGAGGAGGCATTTACGAGCCTGAAACTCGTCTCTGGCTCTTTTTGATCCCTGGATTCTGTATGCCTCTAGGCCTTTTCGTAAGTCGTCAGAGCCCTATCCTCGATACTGAACGTTGTGCGGCCCTGCTAACCACCTTTTGACGAACAGCTGTATGGCTTGACAATCTCTAAGGCATGTACAACCTCCTCCTCCTCCTTATTCGCCAGCCCAGCCAAAGACATGGCGAAATATGAAACTGACTTGGTAAATATTTAGGGCATGCCATGGCCCATCAATGCTGTCGGAGCCGGGTTCATTGGTGCTGCGATAGGCGGCTGCGGCGACATGGCTTTAACTTACTGCCAGGATTGTTACCAATATGTGAGTGTCTCCTGGCTGCAATTATCTCTTTTTTCGAATTGCAAACCAGAGGAAAGCACGTACTGACAAACGTGTCCTTCGTCCGTTTCTAGATTCTCGGTGACGCTCTTACGGGTGTCGTGTTCGTCCGAAACGTTATTTCTACGGCTCTCGTCTTCGCTATCACACCTTGGATGAATGGTATGGGAGTGTACAACATGTTTGTGCTTTTGGGATGCCTGTCCATCGCCGTGGCCCTGACTTCTGTCCCTCTCGTCATCTGGGGACGGACATGGCGTATGAAGCTGGCCGGAAAGTACGAGTATTTCGTTGCTAAGCAATACTGATTGTATTGGACGTGGAGACGTTGATGTGACGCTTTGTAGGCTGCTAGTAGTCGAGGATGCCATGGAATATGTTGATTAGGGTATGTTCAAATCTCTGAGCTATCAGATGTCTTGGTTAGGAGAATATGGATCACTTAAAGAAGGCTGTTGCTCCCTTTACTGTAATTCTTCATTCCAAGAGTCCACGGCATGTGCCTAGCGAAGTCTTAGCACTGAGACTTCATCCGCACTTGATACATTGGGTTGCTGTACGAGAAAGACTCGCCTCGACTTATCCGGAGATAAACTTACGTTGTCAACACTAGCCGCAAGACCTGTCTAAGCTATCATTGATATTGCTCTGAGGCATCCTTGAAAGCCCAGTAATGTACAAGTGAAAACATGCTGAGGTTGCCCAGTGCTGAAGGGATTCAATGCTCCGCCGTAAAGGATGCTGCCAAGCATAGCCTGCCTTAGTTCGAAACTGCGTGGACGCCAGAGACCAAAAAAGTTCTTGAGAGAGGACCACAGACAGGTGTGAACGAACCCCCCACTACAACACCAGAACCCAAGTGCAAGGCAAGATGGCAGCATTTGGCGGACAAACACCGACTATCATCGTTCTCAAAGAAGGTACTTATGCTTCCCGTTGCGTTGTGCTACGTTTTCGGCTCTGCGTGCAAACCACAAACACACTTGACTAACCCTGCGGCCGACATCCAGGCACCGACCAGTCCCAAGGCAAGGGTCAGGTAATATCCAACATCAACGCCTGTCTCGCGGTGCAAGCCACAGTGAAATCCACGCTGGGCCCGTATGGCGGCGACCTCCTCCTCGTGGACGGCAACGGCCGGCAGACCATCACCAATGACGGCGCGACCGTCATGAAACTGCTCGACATAGTGCACCCTGCAGCTCGGATACTGACGGACATTGCGCGGTCGCAGGACGCAGAGGTCGGCGACGGCACGACATCCGTGGTCGTCCTGGCCGGTGAGATCCTCAAGGAAGTCAAAGAGCTCGTCGAGCAGGGCGTGAGCACGCAGACCATCATCAAGGGCCTGAGGAGGGCGAGCGTCATGGCCATCAACAAGGTCAAAGAGATCGCCGTCGGCACCACCGAGGGGAACAAGAGGGAGACGCTGCGAAAGTTGGCGGCCACCGCAATGAGCAGTAAACTCATCCACCGGAATGCAGACTTCTTCACAAAGAGTACGTTACATCCCCCCGTCCTTTTGAGATTTTCCAATTTGGTAGTCAGAACACACACTGGGTCGGTATGTGCTGACAACTGTTGCGTGGCGCGTATAGTGGTTGTCGACGCCGTGTTGTCCCTCGACCAAGAGGACCTGAACGAGAAACTTATCGGCATCAAGAAGATCACCGGTGGTGCGCTAGAAGACTCCCTGTTTGTGGACGGTGTGGCATTCAAAAAGACATTTTCCTACGCCGGTTTCGAGCAACAGCCAAAGTCCTTTGCGAACCCCAAGATCGTTTGTCTGAACGTCGAACTCGAGTTAAAGGCCGAAAAGGACAACGCAGAAGTCCGGGTGGACCAAGTGTCCGAGTACCAAGCGATCGTCGACGCAGAGTGGCAGATCATCTACAACAAGATGGAGGCGCTGTACAAGACTGGTGCAAAGGTCGTGCTGAGTCGATTGCCCATCGGCGATCTTGCGACTCAATACTTTGCAGACAGAGACATCTTCTGCGCTGGACGAGTCGCGGCGGATGACCTCGAACGCGTTTGTCAGGCTACAGGGGCCACGGTACAGAGTACCTGCAGCGACATTCTTCCATCACACTTGGGCACCTGTGGTAAGTTTGAGGAGCGACAGATCGGCGGTGAACGTTATAATCTATTCAGCGAGTGTCCAGAAGCGAAGACTTGCACGCTTGTTCTGCGGGGCGGAGCCGAGCAGTTCATCGCCGAGGTGGAGCGAAGTCTTCACGACGCAATCATGATCGTCAAGCGTGCTATCAAGAACCACACCATTGTCGCCGGCGGTGGCGCTACAGAAATGGAAGTTTCGGGCTACCTACACAGATACGCAGACAAGAACGTCCCCCACAAGCAACAGGCCGTTGTCAAGGCCTTCGCCAAGGCCCTCGAGATCATCCCACGACAACTCTGCGACAACGCTGGCTTTGACGCCACCGATATTCTCAATAGATTACGTGTCGAGCACCGCAAGGGAAATACCTGGGCCGGTGTCGACTTCGACCACGAAGGCGTGCGGAACAACATGGACGCCTTCGTCTGGGAGCCGGCCCTGGTCAAGGTCAACGCACTCAGCGCAGCTGTTGAGGCCGCCTGCCTGATATTGAGTGTTGACGAAACCATCAAGAACGAGGAGAGTCAACAACCCCAAGCGCCAGCACGAGGGTTACCTCCCGGAGCCGCGCAAAGAGCCCTAAGGGGCAGAGGAAGGGGCATGCCGAGACGGTGAGCGAGGGAAGAGATGGTAAACACGATGAAAGAAAAATCGGAGCGCGTGGATTCTGTCCCCCAATGTAGAATACATCAAAACAAAAAAAGTCGTCATACTGGCTTCCTTTGCTTCGGTTAGCGAGCATCTACAGCCCCCGGTCGAGAAGGGCCCATGGCGCACAGGATGAGATGACATGAGATCAATGATACCACAATATCTGCCTTACTGACACCCTGGGGTGGTTTTAGAATGAATGTGAACATTGGTGGGGTTTGTAGCATGAAGATGCTGGGAACGGACGATGTGCTAGGATCTCACAGACATGTGACGTGATGAAAGGATGTGTGTATGCATGGACTCATCTGATGCTGTCTGGTGTTCAGCTCAGGAAAACAGGGCGCCTCCTTTTTAGGGCGGTCGAATTGAGCAGAGAATCGGTCAAGTCTTCTTGCACGCCTCGATGTCATACTCCATGAATAGTCGAGCTGTTGTGAATCTGGTCACCGAATTACTGCGCTCATGTTGTCATGGCTTAGTTTCGTGTAAGCATGGATTGGTGTAACCACGATATTATCTCACAGGGCCCCCGTATACACATGTCAGCAAATCTGGGGTATGATAAAGAAAGAACACCGCCGTGTGAACAGCCCTGGTCAGAGAATCCCCAGGCCATACGAATAGGGCCAGGTCATTCGGTGAGGGCTGTACTTGCTGTATACGGCCAAGTCGTCCATTGCTTACACAGGTTCACGAACTGGAAGGGTATCTTTCTGCAATAAAGCCACGGACCGCAGCGCAAAGACGAACCAATCGAGTGTTTTTCGTGTACAGCTTTTTTCCAGAACAGCCAATCGTCAATGGTCGCTTTGCTGGCGAAGAGGTGTGGCGCAGCTGGATCTTGCATGCAGCAAGCTGGTATCCCAGTCTGCATGAATTCTAATGATCTCTGTCCATTTGTTTGGTGGTGCATCATGAATAAACGCAGGGCTTGTTCGAAGCTGATTGTGATATGCCTTTCCACAGGGCACCCCGAAACTCAGCACAGACGGTGTTGTAGCTCTGAAAAGTCGAAAGAGAAGAACTCAAACTCTCGCTGGGAGGCAGAGGAGCAGGGACTGGCGAGTCATGATCACTTTCGATGTGGATGCAGCTGGCATCGGACTCCGTCTTCAGCTTGGAAGTACCATGAAGGGCCGGCCCTGACTTTTCAATTGTTCATGGTGTATCACGCACACTGGCATTCAGCAGGGTTGCAATTCCTACTACTGCATTTGGAGTGTATAGCCAGCTGGGACTGTATCTTTGCATCTGGGTTTGAGAACGCTTACTCGATCTAGGGTTAGGTCGGATGATAGCAGACAAGGAAGCATGCAACTGTTCGCTGGCAGGGGGTCTGCTTTCGAGGATTGGGCTAGTCGTAGGGCTAACTAGCGAGGCTGGAACTGAGGCGAAGGACTCGTCACGTCGCCCATCCCGGTGCAAGCGAAAAGGAGACAGCGGCTAGCCGAGGACAAAAGGACCCCTGGGAACATCGGCATAGACAGGTTGACACAGCCAGGGTCCCCAGGGGGAGAGCTCGGGCTCTCAGACAGATACGAGGACATGATAGTCACTGTCAAGGGTCATGGATGGTGGAGGTTTTTTGGCTGCGTAAGCGTCCACTTTCCCATCGCCTCTTTTAAAAATCAGCAACAAGGCAGTACAGTAGGCGCAGAGAGATCGTCTCTACTGTACCTTGTGGCCTCAGATTCCATTCCATTCTGTTCTCCCTGACTCCTGCGCACGAGGTATACCTGTCGCCACCTCTTTCCAGGCACACTCTTCTCTCTCGTCTCGGCTTTGGAAGATCCACGTATCGCGGCACAAACACCACTAACTCCACACCCAACCCTGAACCTTGACCTAAAAATCCCCGTCTCAGCCGAGAACCTGACCGGCCAGTTCGACTGCCCGCCCGCTTCATCTTACGAATACTGAGAGGCACCCGCGACGACACGACCTCTCCTTCTGACCCGACATTGTCCTGCTTCTTGAGAACGTCCCAGACGATCTTTACAGCTTTCATCACCTCTTGCCTCTCTACCTCCTCTGCGCCATGTCTTGGTTCCCTGGACAGGGCGGCTACGGCGTAAGTCTGACACCTTCAGGCCTGCAACTTGAACAGCGCCGTGACTGTTACGACGCAGGCGATGGATGATTGCTTACTGATGGTACACAGGCTCAACAACATAACAACTACGGCGGCTACCCTCCCTCGCAGTCTCCGTCGCCATATCCTCCTCAAGGCTACAACCAAGGCTACGGTCAACAACCATACCCCCCTCAGACATCCCAACCCTACCCGCCACAGGGTTACAGCGCTCCTCAGTACAGCCAAGCCCCGCCAAGTGTAGCGCCGTATGGCTATAACGTACGTCCAAGGTCCTTTCCATGCAGATGCAAGTATCTGATATGTTGTTAGAACCCCCCTCCTCCTGCCCACGGCGGTTATGGAGGATACAACAGCCCACCGCCCCAACCGAACGGCTACCCTGGACCTCGAGTTGGCGTGCCATCATATAACAACAACCAGTCACAAGGCTCGGGCGGTTCAAGACCCGCGCCTCCGCCTACCACTCCCCAGCAGTTTGGACACGGAGCGCCGGCAGGATATTCATTCCAATATTCAAACTGTACGGGAAAGCGGAAGGCGTTACTGATAGGTATAAATTATTTCGGTCAGAGAGGGCAACTGAGAGGCTGCATCAATGATGTGAAGAACATGTCAACCTATCTGAACCAGAACTTTGGCTATGCTCGAGAGGACATGGTAATTCTCACCGACGACCAGCAGAACCCAATGTCCCAACCGACAAAGGCCAATATACTCCGAGCTATGCACTGGCTGGTCAAAGATGCACGACCCAACGACTCATTATTCTTCCATTACAGCGGCCACGGCGGCCAGACTCCAGACCTCGATGGAGATGAAGAAGATGGCTATGACGAAGTAATATACCCCGTCGACTTCCGGAACGCCGGTCACATTGTGGATGATGAGATGCACCGCATTATGGTCAAATCGCTACCTCCTGGGGTAAGGCTGACCGCCATCTTCGATTCCTGTCACTCAGGCTCAGCACTCGACCTGCCATATATCTACTCCACCCAAGGTGTCCTCAAAGAACCCAACTTGGCCAAGGAAGCTGGTCAAGGTCTGTTGTCGATCGTCTCGTCTTATGCTCGTGGAGACTTGGGCGGGATGGCTTCTACGGCTATGGGCTTGTTCAAGAAAGCCACGACGGGTAACTCGGTCAATGAACGCAACAAGCAGACCAAGACAAGCCCCGCGGATGTGATCATGTGGTCGGGCAGCAAAGATTCGCAGACTAGCCAGGACGCCAACATTGGAGGAGAAGCCACTGGCGCAATGAGCTGGGCTTTCGTGACGGCGCTGAAGAAAAACCCACACCAGAGTTATGTTCAACTGTTGAACAGCATTCGTGACGAACTGGCGTCGAGATACAGTCAAAAACCACAACTGAGCTGTTCCCACCCACTGAGTAAGTTCCCCTTTCACTCCATGTTCAATTCAATCTCTGATTTTGACCTGACAGACACCGATTTATTATACGTAATGTGAGCAACGAGATGAGAGAGGGTAGGCATTCTACCAGGGCCTCTTGTAGCTATGGAATGGTTTTTGGCACAGATCCTCTTCGTTTACAGTCAGCGTTTTGTGAGCGACTTCCTCTGGACATACTACGTTTTCTCAGAAAGTGGAAAAGTCATGGTATTAACGGAGGACTATAATCGAACCCATTCACACTCTTCTGCTGAAAAAACATCTCTCGATGCGTTCGTGTGCCGTGTAACCGTCCGCTAGTAGACGTAGCTGTTTAAGTGGCTAATGATGAGCAATATTCAAGTTTGTCCAGGCTGTGCAGAGGCCTAGCGCTCTGTAGCCAAGGTAAGGATAGGCACGAGTCTGCCTTAGGAGAGTCCAGAAGATGACCAGGATTGGAGAAAGGATGGAAGCCATTATCCGTTCTGTGCTTGGCCGGGGTGGTCATGCACAATGCACGTGAAGGCGGGATGTGGCTCGTATTCGATACGACGAAAAGCCCGAATGCTGGTGGCATCACCACCAACCAACTTTCCGACTCTTGCTTTCCTCATCTTGACAACGAGCCCATGACTGTCTTGACAGGGCTAACGGTATAGACTTGGCTTCCTTTGTTTCGTCCCTGCCTTGTCGGCAACAACACGTCTCTCCGCCACTCTTCTTCCCAACATGACTTCTCCTTGTTCGTGCGAACCGCCTCCAGCATGAAGCCTGATGTCCCTCCCTCATACGAGAACGCAATCAGCCGCGAGGCATGGCCGATCATCGCTCCCTACATACCCTCGAGTGACCTCTGTTCGGCCTGTCTGGTGTCGCGGAAATGGTACTCGATATTTGTACCCTTTCTCTGGGGTGATCCCGCATCCCACTTCGGCATCGCCAACGATGCCGTCTACGTCGCGCTCACGCGCTTCAAGAGGACCCTCCGCAAGGCCAGGCCGAGTGTGAGAAGCCTAACGCATACTCTGCACCTACCGCCCGCCCTCAGTGAAATCTACGGGGGCCCAAATCCGACGTGGTTGCGCGATGTCCTCGAATACCTGCCTAATTTGCAGAGCCTGATTGTCGCGAAACTACCCTTCTTCGACCACCATAGTCTCAATGCGTTGAGAGTTGCAAGCAATGGGAGGAAACAGTCCGCAGCAGAAGATGACGAGCTGCCTCCGTACGGGTTGAAACTGCTGCTGGCTTCGAGTGAGCCGAACACCACATCGTCAGCGCTGGCGGGCGCCTTACCGAGGTTCCAAAGCCTGGTCTACCTAGACCTATCATACACTTCCCCGGCTAGGGATGCGGCCGTCCTGGCTTCGCTGTTGTGGCTGCGAGACTTGCAGGTCCTGAAGCTGAGAGGTGTTGGTCTAAAGGATGGCGAGGCGGAAGTGCTGGCCAATGCCATCGGCATCAAGGTCCGACTACTGGACATCAGAGATAACCTGTTGACCGATATGGCTGTTCGATCTCTAATGCAGGCTTGCTTTCTTCCATCAGACACCTCGAACCGTGGCAATCTAAACCTCGAAGATTGGCCTGTAGGCATGGCGCCAGGTCCTAACTTCTTCAGTCTGGACACCTTGCGCAGCGAAGAACTTGACCATGAATTACTGAAACAGTTGACCAAGCCTCTCACTGGGAGATTGGCATTTGAAGACATCCCCCACCGCGGCCTTACGCATCTATACATTTCGGGTAATCGGTTATCCGTCGAAGGACTGGCTAGTCTGCTCAAGTCGGAACGACTGCACGTTCTTGATGGTGGTTCCGTTGATACTGTCAAAACCATTGCAAGGACGAAGTCACTCTCTTCGCCTACAGGGTATATCGATGAAGTTCGATTTCCGGGCGCCGAGAAACTTGTACCAGTGCTCGCGAAGTCGGCGAGCAAAAACCTCACACACCTCCGCGTGGACCACGCCTTGGTTACTGCGAAACTAGAGGGCCCTCATGACTCCATTAAGACCAAAGCGTCTTCAGCTGTCTCGGCCGAATCGGCCACGTCTCAACCAGTTACCGCTGAATTGTCGTCGGAGGAAAGGCACATCGCCGAAGCTCCTGCGTCAGCTCATTATGCAGTCGAGTTACCTGACAGCCAGGCAATTTTCGAATTGGACGCCACCCCAGCACAGCCAAGAGTAGAGCTGGTAGGTGATATGATGTACTTTGCCTTGAGCCCTCCCATCGGCGAAAAACCGCAGGAGTCCAGCCCCGTTGTGGAGAAGCACAGTCCGATCAGAGGTGAAGGTCCTTTCGCACCCGAAGTGGTCAACGAACACGATTCCAAGAAGGAGAACAGTGCCGAAGACCATGGAAATGCAACAGAGTCTGAAATATCTGACGAGACTGGGACGCACAGCACGACCAGGTCTCTCTTTTCGCCTGTTTCTCCCATCAGCAATCAAGGAACTTATCAACCATTAGTGCCTCCGACAGCAAAAGCAAAGAGCACTCCTACTACTCTTCCTCTTGTAAAAGAGTCATCCGATTCGATATCCGAAACCCCAGTCGCGCAGCCAGATGCAACGTTGGCTCCCCCACCAACCCCGACATCACATCGTCAAGCTCAGATTGAAGCTCTTCTGGCAAAAAGGCCGGTGCAACCGTCTAAGCTTCAACAAGGATTGAAGGTGGACCAAACAGCGTTCTCAAACCTGCGCAGTCTCCATCCGTCCCTGCTCCCAAATCTACGAACACTGATACTGACTGAAGTGCCTACCACAACGTCGAAATCCTCGGGTGTTTTGGAGAACCTGAAGTCATTCATTTCCGCTTGCGCTGATGAGTCTGCCCTGGCTCGTCTCCTCGCACGTACCGATTACTCCCTTCCGCCTGGCCGAGCGCGGTATATGGCTGAGCTTGAACAAGCGCGTGCCCTCTTCGCCTTGCGTACGATCATCCTAGAGATGGAGCAACCAGCAGCCAAGAATGCCGATGCCCAACGCCGCTGGCAACACTCTCGTCAGGACGTCACCATGAGTAAGTCGTCCACTGGTGACATGGACAGTGAGAACCTCTGGTCAGCTGCAGCCAATGACTTCAGCTTCTTCGGAGAGGAGGGAGAAGAACATGATGAGTGTGGAATATACGAGCATGATCCAGAAAAATATTTCCCAACAGCGCATTTCGATGATAAAATTATCTTGACTGCCGATGACGGGCACGACGACGTTCGACCGAACAGTCCACATGGCAGTCTCAACCAGGGTTGGGGGACTGGTAGCGGGACGCTATCACCTTTCTCGATGAACCTTGGTGGACGATCAGCTGGGACGATACGAAGCCCAAGGAATCTGCCGCTGGGAAGGAACCGGCGAAGTTCAAACGAGACCCGTTCTCGACCACATAGTGGTTCCGGCAGTGGAACTTGGGATCCTCGCGGAATGCTGTCAGAGATGCAAGGAGGGCCTGTTCCTCCAAAACTTTTGAATGAACATAGTCAACCTGCACAACGTCGGATAGCCCCAACAACTTCGCATCCCAAACAAGTCGAGCAGGACAATGAGCCGGAGGAGGAGAAAGTGGATGTTATCGCGGAGCTAGCTGCATGGAGACGGGAGCGGAAGAAAGCGTACGAGGAGGAGTTGGCCAGGCATAAGTCGTCAAGGCTCGGACACAGTCGAGGGCCGAGTCAAAACGGGCTCACTCACGTCAATGGAGCCAGCACCAACACTCGATTGGATTCAACAGATGGGCCCCGGGGGTATGGGTATGGCTTCGATCCGGGGGCCGTTAATGCTGCGACAGGAGCAGGCAACCTCCCGATGTCGAATGGATCGGCCACTCCAAAGGCTATCACACATGGTGATGTTAATGATATTGACATGAAATTCGTCGAAGGTCATTGGAAAGGCGAGATCAAGGTCATCCGGAATCCGACTCCGAAAGGGAGAACGGGTGTCGTCGACATGTACGGGAACTATTTTGAGAAGGGTTATTTGTATCCCTGAGAAGACGATGTTTGGATAGGAAGAAAGGGAGAGAAGGCGGGTCAATGACAGATGTTGGTTGGTATTGTTATGCTTTTCCCCGAGAACGAGTCACGTTTATGAACATTGTTTAATAGGAGGGATATATGTGGGATGTGGGACGATGGTGGTGGTCTATGGTTTTTGCGTCGTTGCATATTTGAAAGTCTTTAGCCTGGCGTTCTTGGTGTGCTGTTGTTCAATACGGGGTACCTGATCTTTTTTCACCTTGTGTCACCTTTGTACTACCTTTTGTTACCTTGGGACATGACCTGCATTTTTGAAGCAATCTGTTAGAAAGATACTACTTCTATACTACCCGAGGAGTCGTGAGACACTCGGTTAACCGTGTTTCAACTTTTTTTGATTGTGTACGAACAGACCCTGCGAGGGCAGGCAGTTACTAGGTAGAATGAACACACGATGGTACATGGCTAGTTGTATAAGTGAATCGCCACCCTTTTCCTTTTTTTTTGGCGAACAGGCGAACAGGCGAACAGACGAAGCAAAAAAACTCATCCCGTAATCCCTGATCCGGGGGGGAAAACCGGGGGAGGGGATTACGGGTTTAGAAAACCAGGAGGCCTGGTTTTTGAAGGAGCAACACGGATGGGACACCCTGTGCCCCATTGTTGACCGAATTTTGAAAGACGCATTTGATATGTCCAAGCGTACCATCTTCCGTCAACCGTCGACCCGTTTATGCCGCTGCGGATTTGCGCCAAGAGATACATGTATTGACAATGATTGTTGATGTTGGATCGATCGGTCGATGGCGGCGGTGGTGGTGCTGTGAAGGCCCGGCGAAGATGTTATTTAGTCACACAGAGACACCCCGACGTGTGTCAGGCAAGTACGGAGGTAGGTAGGTAGACAAGTTCACGTTGGAGTAAAGTGGTGTAATGTGTTGTCACTTGTGTATGTTCGTAGTCTTTCTTCTTTGCCAGCGTCTCGTGTTTCGGCGGGTTTCTTGCAATATGATGAACAAACCGAAAACGAAAAAAAGAGACCTTTATCATCATCATCATCATCATCCTCCTCCTCCTCCTCCTCATCGGCCAGCAGCAGTTCAGTCCGCGGCTCGGTTCCGGCGTCGAGTCCAGTCCAGTCCATCACCGCTCGTACTCGTACGTAGCTCAGTCCCATTCGATTCTCCAGTCCAATCAAACCCAGACCCGAACCAACTCGATCCCATAGAAACCCCAAATGTTCCGACGAGGTTGATGGAAGTGAAAGAAACAGAGGAACAAAGGAAAAAAAACGAGAATTTGTTGCGCCTCTGGAACGCCATTGCTCATGCAAAAAGGAATCATGCAGACACGCTCCCGCACTCACTCCCACATACGTACGCAGATACGCACAACTGCTCCCAAATACCTCCTTTTCCAAAAATTTCCCATAATGCCCCCCCTCTTCTTCTACTCGACGCTTGCTAGATGCTTGTTTTACGCTCCTTCACTACCAAACTCCGCTGTCCATTCCGAGTTTCGTTTCAGATCTTCGCCGGACACGGTAGGTCTGGAGCCCTTGATGGCGCGGATAAAGTCCTTGACGGTCAACGGAGGTTCGAGGAGTTGATCGGACTCGACTTCCATCCAGGTCATTTCCATCGCTCCTGGGTCGCCGGGAGAGCAGGGGGTGAGTTTTTCGGCACCGTCTACTTGGACCTGGTTGCAACCAAAAGGTGTTAGTGTTGGATAAAACAAAAATTATCATTAAAAATTTCCAGCAGCCTTATACAGGGGCCTGCTAGTCAAGAAACGTACCTTTTTATAATGGGTTGCCGTCTGGATTTTTCTAACCGGTTGCATCAGGGCGTCTTGCACAGCGATGCTGATATCACTTCCAGAGTAGCCTTCGCTGAGATCGGCCAGTGTCTTGTAATCTTGTTGCGTCATTTCGCATTTCGTGTCGCCGACTGCGAGTTCGAACATTCTCATCCGCGCTGGCTTGTCGGGTAACGAGATGTGTACTCTGCGTTGGAAACGTCGGCGAATGGCGGCGTCAAGTTGCCAGGGGATGTTTGTGGCGCCGAGGATTAATACACCCCTCGAGTCTTTGCCTACGCCGTCCATCTGCACGAGTAGTTCGGTCTTGATACGTCTCGACGCTTCAGACTCGCCTTCTCCTCTGGGACCACACAGGGCGTCGACTTCGTCAATGAAAATGATTGCCGGCTTGTTCTCTCGCGCCATATTGAACAGTTGCTTGACCAGTCGTTCTGACTCGCCCATCCACTTGCTGACCAGGTCGGAAGAACTCACGCTGAAAAAGGTACTGTTGGCCTCGGTCGCCACAGCCTTGGCCAGGTATGACTTACCCGTCCCGGGGGGGCCGTAGAGCAATATACCCTTCCACGGTTGTCGTTTGCCTTGGAAGAGATGTGGGAATTTGATAGGTAGAATGACGGCCTCCTTCAGTGCCTCCTTTGCCGCATCAAGACCGGCCACATCCTCCCATTTCACGTTCGGTTTGTCCGTCAGGATCGCCCCAGTCAACTGACCACGCAGCTTCTTGCTCTCGGCGTCTTCGTCATCCTTGTCGCCTGCTTCGCCTTTACCTGCGCCGTTAACCGCCTTGCCGTTTACGCCCATCGCCGCCGGTTTCTTGCGATTACTTGGGTCATTCGCTTGTATGTGGGCTTTCAGTTTCTCGACTCGGTCCATGTATTCGCCAGCCTTTGCTCGTATCATTTCTTTGGATTTTGGATTCTTCTCCCATTTTAGCGCGAGCATAAACAGCTCCAGCGCCGCATAGTACTGTTGGTATGCTTGTTCGTAGGATCCCGCAGTGTCTAGCTCAATGGCCTTTTTGACCGTGTCGATGGCGCGGCCGAGGAAGTCGGTGTTCGACATGGTGGGCTGAGGTCTTGTAGGATTGTAAAAGTGGTCGTAGAGGGCGTTGGGAGTTTCGAAAAGAGGTTATGTTCTAGATAATCGGTGATGATGCTGGACGTAAACAAGCGCCGCTTGAGGGCTGAATTTTGGGTCTCGCCCAGGCGCTGGTGTGTATTGTCGAAGGCGGGCTTTCTTTTCACAGGGATAACGACGCTTGGCCTTGTCAGACAGAAACCAAGGTAATCACTGTACTTGTTTTTGCTAGACTTGTTGGTGTAGGTAAAGGTGGGATATGGAGAGGAATTGGCAGATAGTCGGGGCCGGTATTTGCCCCGCGACAAATCGATGCCTGCGTTAGTGAGCACACGCTAATATCTCTCCAGAGTCTCCTCTGCACCCTGACAAAGCTTTTGCAAATACACCATCACTCCTCCCTCCACGAGACGCCATGGAAGAGGAAAGAAACAAACTGCAGACTCTCTCCGAGGCCCTGCAAAAGTTACAGGACGGTGAGCTGCACACACTCGAACAATGTACAGCCTGAGCTTTTCTGACTTGGCTGGCATCTAGATTTACAGACCACGATCGAAGCGCGACAGAAACTCGAAGCCCAGCAGCAGGAAAACAAGGCTGTTCAGAAGGAGTTTGCAACCTTGAGCGACCAGGCTGGGATTTACAAACTTGTCGGCCCTGTGTTGCTGAAGCAGGACAGAACCGAAGCTGTGGGTGCTGTGGACGGTCGACTGGAATTCATTGGCAAAGAGATCAACCGAACTGAAGGCAGGATCAAAGAGTTACAAGATGGTGCTGAGAAAAAGAGAGTAGCATTGCTACAACTGCAGCAAAAGCTCCAGATGGCTGCGCAGGAACAGGCAAGTGGTTGAAGCGTTTCAACTGTCCACGAATACAACATTTCGACAACGGCGGACGTTACATATCCCCGGCATAACACTTCAAACTCCAGCCGAGGCCATTGATTCAGTCATGCATCTGACTTTATCACCTCTATCAGTCGGGCGAAATCGTCAACATGAGTTGCGGCCGGATGTGCTTCAGGCAGAGCATGATGTCTCGCTGTAGCTTGTCGGTACGAGTACCGACACTCTTGCTCCTGGCGGAAAGACACCTCATAGGTAGTATCACCTGAACGCCCCCGGTAGTGGGAGGTTTAGGTGGTCTTGAGAATGACCTACGTATCCTTGTCGTGGGGAACCTTGACTGGTACAGGCGAAAGCTACACATGCATCAGCTTGACATCGGATGGACGTTCTTCCACAGATTAGTCAATCCCTCCTGTCATGATAATGCTAGTGGAAGGTCCAGGACCGCACAGTTGTCGTACAAAGGTACGAGAACAGTAGGCAACCACAAGGCCAACATGGCGAGACAGGCGAGGAAAAGCCAACATGGAGATCGCACACGCGTGCCGTCTAGAAGTCGATTCCACCTGTGTGTCTCTCCCTCGCGAATAGGTGTAATTGTCAAATGAGCACAGGAACATGTATACATCGGCCATCTCTTCATTTCCAAGCCATCAGGCTGAGCGATGAGGCTGAAGATTGACTAGGCTGACCTGCCCCTCTACGCTAAAGGCGGACTAACCAAAAAGACAGGAAAATATCCCGCCGCTTATCAGGGGCTACAGACTAGTCCTAGTTAATGTGTCCCATATGTAAACGACTGCCTCCTTTCTATTGAGACTCACTTACAACCAACCAATGCAAAAATATCTCCCCTTGATGAATGATAAAAGAAACGCAAACATCTTCAACGGACCGGTGCCTTCGACTACATCTTCTGACTCAACCCGTGATCCTTGCAGATGAGGGTCCCGGCCTCTTCCAGGGCTGAAAGCCTTAATAACATGGTGATGGATATGCTAGAACGCGCCCTTGACGAAAACCCTGAAGTTGATTTGCTCTCTGTTATACCTACATCGTATAAGAGCCAAATCTCTCCAGATGCACGCCCTCTGTCAGATATTGCAAAGCTCAACCAGTGGACGATACGGAGGATGGAAAGGCAGTTTAGTCAAGAGCCCGACAGCGACTTTGCCTCAACATTTCAAGACTTCTATCGGAGAGAGTGGGATCGCCGTATGAAGTATGTCGACTCTTCAACACTTGGGATGAAGTCAGAACCAGAACCTCAAGAGATTCACCTGCCACCTGCCGATACTCTCGAGAAGCTTGAAGATGAGGACGAAGCAACTGTGGTGTCTCCGCTCTCTGAGGGTTAGCCCACCAGTAATCAAGCAGGGGGCGTCACAGCGTGCAGTTCTCTTGATCCTTGTAAGCATTAGTAGAATAATTGATATAGTTTGAAATTTCAAGGTACGCCGATAATCACAATCGTTATTCTACGACGCGCTCATGATAAGGGTGGCCCAAACTGCCCCAACTGTCTGGACAGGGAGGGATCGGTCACTACCTTCGGTTTCCTATTTCCATTCTCCGAGTAGAAAGTGGCAAGGGTCGTGCTGCAGGTGGCCGTCTTGCTGAATAGTTGACGCTCGTGGCACTAGTCTGCATAGGTGCTCAAAGGTGAGGAGGTCGCGTGCAGCGGGGTGAGAGGACCGCTGAACGTCCACCGGGTGGGAGGATGGCGAAAAAGGATGCATGCTGCGATGTGTGACACACGACGAGTACCTGAGGGCGAAGGAGCGGAGAAAGACAACAAACAGGTTGGAAGGGATAGAGCATAAGGGAGGTACTGTACGAGGTACTCCGTACTTTGTACTTTGTTTACGTTAAAAGCGGCGGCGCGCCCAGACCACGACCATCCCCAAACGGCGACGCCGCCTAAAGCGCAGACTTTTACTTGTCCAAGATTCGACCACAGGATATTCAGATCAAGCATGCATTGAGCCAGAGTTTGATAATCTCAGCTTTTGTGCACATTCTGCTCAACTACACACAATGCCTCGCGAAAACAAAAAGCGAGGTCGCCGCGAGGAGGCCAAAAATAAGCGAAAACACGAAGAAGGCGATTCACAGACTTCGAAACGATTCAAAGCCGCCGACCAACATGAGGATGCACAAATCGACCAAGTCGATGTCAGAGGGAATGCTGGCGACGACTTTATAAGTTTTGGGCCTTCCCATGGTGACGATTATCCTCAGGAACTCCAGGGAGAGGATCAATTCCACGGTCTTCTCGATCCCCAAGAACAGGAATACTACTCAAATGTGAACGGCAAAATTGTTGCGAATGACTTCGAGTCGGATGAAGATCGTGCAATCTTCATCGAGGCAGTATATCGAGAAACAGAAGGCAAAGAGCTCAAGGTAGCCTCTAGCCAGTCTTGTTCGAGATACTTGGAGAAAATCATCATGTTGTCGACCTCCGATCAGCTGCGAAGACTTTTCAGCAAGTTTCTCGGCAATCTCACGTATCTTGTCCGTCATCGATTCGGCAGTCACTGTTGCGAGACGCTGTTCTTAGAGACAGCACAGCGAATTGGTGTATCACAGCGAGAAAGTGATGACGAAGACAACCTACCTACGATTGAGCAACTATTCTTACAGGCCGCAGAGGAGTTAAAGCCCAATCTTGGATTTCTTCTAACGGAGAAATTCGCGTCTCATACCCTCCGAGTGCTGTTTCTTGTTTTGTCGGGCGAGCCGCTGGATGACGAATCGACCAAGACGATTCTTGCCAGCAAGAAGAAAGAAAAGCTGGAAGCCCCGGTGCCGAAGGCCGACAGCAATACCGGATCAAAGAGGCGTGTACCCAAATCATTCAACAAGGCGCTCGCGGAAACCATTGAGGGCTCGGTCTCTTCAATTGACACCACATACCTCAGAGCACTCGCGACGCATCCCACCGGAAATCCTGTTCTGCAATTACTATTGAGACTGGAGTTGACGTTGTATGGGAAACAGCACCAGTCGGAGAAGATGTCCGTGTTCAAGAAATTGTTACCCGACGAGGATCTCGAAGAAGAGTCCGAGAGCGCCAAGTTCATTTCCGGGTTGATATACGACCCAGTCGGTTCACACCTGGTGGAAATCCTTGTCGTGCACCTGTCCGGCAAGACCTTCAAGAAACTCTACAAGAACGTTCTGAAATCCCGTCTCAAGAGCATGTCCAGGAATGAGACGGCAAGCTATGTGGCGATCAAGATTCTGGAACGACTAGGCAAGGACGATCTCCAGGAAGCGAAGGAGATGATCATGACCGAAGTCCCTGGCTTGGTACAGCGGCGAAGGCTTGGAATCATCAAGGTCCTTGTGGAACGCTGTACAGTGCGCCACGTAGATCTGAACGACGTCGCCGCACTCATTGAATCTGGAGTTGGAGATGACAAGACGACTTTCCTTCCGAGATTGCTGGGAATGGAAATCTCAAAAGAGTCTACTGGAGCGGAGGCGGACGCCGAACGGAAAAAATCTGCTCCAGCCCAAAAGGCAGACGTACACGCCTCGCTACTCGCTCAGGCGATGCTGCAGACTCCCTCTGCACGCCAACCAATCCACGACAGCCTGCTTGCAGTCGAAATTTCGTTCTTGGTTCAGATGTGCAAGGACCCAGCTGCGTCCCGACTCATCCAAGCCGCCCTCGCTCCTACCGACACAAACGCACAGTTCCGACGACAGTTCATACCTCGGTTCCACGGCCACATCGTCGATATCGCGCAGAACCTCAGCGGCTCGTACGTGGTCGACCTTCTCTGGTCGGCAACTGACGGGCTCTTTTTCCTCAAAGAGAAAATCGCAAGGGAACTCGCAGACGACGCAAGCCAGCTTAGAGAGTCACCGGTCGGTAGAAACGTTTGGAGAAACTGGGCTATGGACATGTACTCGAGACGGCCAGGCGAATGGCGAGCTCTGGCAAAGGGCCAGACAAAGGCGGCGACGGCTTCAGACGAAGCTGCGGCGTCGAGGGAAGAAAGGAATGGACACCCACAGCCTCAGCAGCAGCAGCAGCAGCAGCAGCAGAAGAAAAAGTCCGGCCTCGAACTGGCGCGGGAAAGGTATGCGCAGAAACAAATGCACGGAGCAAAGCAGAAGACTCCGGCGACGTCTGCGAATGCCACCATTGTGCGGACGAATGCATAGGGGGCGTGTGACTTGATAGATACGTGGTTACAAAAGGCTTCAAATAGTCGTCGTATGGGGGACAAGGCTGGGTGGGCTCCTTCTGTGCTCTCCCTCGAACGATTCAGTCCTGTGATTTTTGGCGTGGTGTTTCCGGATCTTCGCATTCTGTACGGCGACCCGTTCACCACACGGTTCGCCGCCGTGGCCCGTGAACGACTTTGTCACTCATACCTCCGCCAGTTAGGTAGTCTGGCCACGTACTTGGCGAGCGCACTTCCACTGTACTAGTAAATCGGGCTCCGATCCGTTCACGGTGTCGATTCTTCATCCCGTGACGTTACGCACGCGCCTACGTCTTAGAAAATGTGGTCCGTCTTTGTCATTGTATTCGGATCGACGGTGGACAAGACAAGACTGAAGGGACTTTCTACTGACCGACGAGGCTGAAAGTTGAGGGACGAGTACGAGTGTGAGAGTCCGTCCCTTTTACGTTATTGGCCCCCCGGGGTTGGAAATAAAGGTACTCCACATTTGAAAAATCTTTCTGGGAAAGACAATGCCACACTCCCACTGTGACCTTCTCTGGCCAGATACTTGTGAACGTAGACACGTACCACACCGGACGAAAGACTCACCGATACGTAGGAGAGAGTATCTACACCCACAGGGTCGCGCAGAGAGAGCCCGAGAGGCCGAGAGAAACTGCGTGACGGAGAGAGCATTGTATTGTAGAAAGTCGAGCCGCGCCGAATGACGCGATTCCACCATTGATGAATAGAGATTAGTCGATTCAAAAAAAAGACGGAGACCGGACAATACGAGAGTATTTACCGGGGGGGGGATTAGATAGATATACAAACGTGCACACGAAAGATATATATGTATATGATCCTCAAAATCTAACTCGACTTCTACATCCTCACAGGTCACAGGTGTACGATACAACAATGTCGGACCACAATCAACGTTTAAAACAAGTCAGCAGCCAGCATGAGATCAACGGATACAAGTCTCAAGCCACCAACGGATCCAGCAAAAATTTCCAAAACGGGACGGTAACACCGTCCAGAGCATCCGAACTAAAACGGCTCCTCAATGCCACCTTGGAACAACTAATTCCTTTCCTTCAACGAGCCGACGACGAGGTGCAGGCTCATCAGCTCCATCAACCCACAGACACCACTTCGCTCGTCGAAAGTCACCCACCGTCCGAACTACGGTCGATCCTGTCACGAGATGGGACGCTTTCACTCCCCGACGACGGCACGGGCCAGACGGGACTGCTCGACTCTCTAGCATCGATCCTGAAGTACAGCGTCAACACGTCCGCCCCGGGATTTCTGGACAAACTCTACGCTGCACCGTTGCCGCCCGGCATCGCCGCGGACTTGATCCTGAGTGTCCTCAACACGAACCTGCACGTTTACCAAGTCTCTCCTGTCCTCTCGCTGATCGAAACGCACGTCGCCAAAGCACTGGCGTCGTTGTTCGGCTTCACGGGCCCCACGGCCGGAGGGATCAATGTCCAGGGTGGAAGCGCGAGTAATCTGACCAGCATCGTGATCGCGCGGAACTCGCTGTACCCCGAGACGAAGACGCTGGGCAACCACGCGGGCGGGCTGCGCCTCGTCATGTTCACTTCCGAGCACGGGCATTACAGCATCGAGAAGGCGGCGCAGCAATGCGGCTTTGGCACCGAGAGCGTCGTCTCGGTGCCCGTCGACCCCGTCACGGGCACAATGGACCCGGTCATGCTCGAGTCGTTGATTGTGCGCGAGAAGGAAGTCAACGGAACCACCCCCTTTTACGTCAACGCCACCGCCGGAAGCACGGTTCTGGGTTCGTTCGACCCTTTCATAGAGATTTCGCGTGTCGCGAGGAAGTACGGGCTGTGGATGCACATTGACGGCGCCTGGGGTGGAAGCTTTGTCTTTTCCGAGACGCTGCGCGAAAGGTCGTTGCGAGGGTGCGAGCTGGCCGATAGTATCGCGACCAACCCGCACAAGATGCTCGGTGTGCCCGTCACTTGCAGTTTCCTCTTACTCAAGGACCTGAGGAACGCTCACAGGTCCAATACCCTGCGGGCGGGGTACCTGTTCCACGATGAGGAGGAGGACAACACCAATGGTGATGGCTCTCGCAGCACAGACGGTGCTGAAGGTGAGGAAGATGGGGCGTGGACGCCACCGGAGGATCTCGCCGATCTCACGCTCCAGTGTGGCCGACGAGGCGACAGTCTGAAACTCTTCCTCGCGTGGCAGTACTATGGTACACTGGGATACCGCACCAAGATCGAGAACGCATATTCCGTCGCGTGCCACATGGTGCAGCTTGTCGAGGCGCATCCTGACCTGGTGCTCGTGAGCACGAATCCGCCGCCATGTCTGCAGGTGTGCTTTTATTATGCTCCAGGAGGGAAGATGACGTTCGACCTGGAAGGTCAAGTGCAGGCCCGTGGTAGTGACCGCATCCAAGTCGGCAAACGGAACTCGGCCATCACCAGCCGGATCACGCAGAGGCTGGTATCTCGCGGGTTCATGATCGATTTTGCTCCTGCGCTGAGCAACGCAGTCGAGAAGGGGTCTTTCTTCCGTGGCGTTGTGAATATTTCGACCACGAAAGGAACAGTCGAAAGACTGGTCGAAGAACTTGTCAGGGTAGGCAAGGATGTTACGGAGGAGAGAAGACGGAAGTGAGCAAGTGGGAGTAGCGCATGCATATGCCTGCGCACACATTGTAACATGCGACAAGAGATGTATCGTTATATGTGGCTATAGATATTGAGAAGTGTATATAAAATCTCAAGATAGACCGTAGAGAAACAATCTACAGTTTTAGACTCTGTCTTTTCCTCTTCCTTCACTGCTCACCACCAAGCACAATACCATACTTCGAATAGTCGAAGTCCTCCAAAGTAGACAATATCTCACCCCATTCCTTCGCACGCGCCGCTTCACTCATGCTCATCACATCTTCTCCTCCCTGGCCATCCGCACGCATACTCTCTCCAGTTGGACGTCCAGCAAGCACCTCCTCTTCTCTACCGGCATACATGTCCCTCAACCACTTCTCCGGGACCCAAACGACCCTCATTCCCGCGCTCCTGGCCGCCTGCACACCGGCAACGGCGTCCTCAAAAACGAGACACTCCTCTGGCTTAATCCCGTCCTCGTTGTCATTCTCCTTTGATTCTCGCCGGCTCTGTCTCAGAGCCTGATTCACCCTCTCCAAAGCAAGGAGGAAGATATCAGGACACGGCTTGCCCCTCCCCTTTTTCAACCCTTCATCATCACCCAACACCTTATGTTGAAGAGGGATGAGACTCAACACACCGTCTGGACCAGACAAATGTGCCGTTTTGAGGTTGTACATTGCGACCTGCGAACTGGTAGCCAGTGCCAACTCGATTCGCTTATTGTCACCACTACCACCTCCTGTCGTCGCTGTCGTCGCTCGTGCCAGATTTCCCAACAACTTCTGCACGCCTGGCATCAACTCCGTCCTGCTGAACAGCTTCCGTAGCCGATTATCCAGTTTCGCTTGGAACTCCTCGATCGTCACCACCGCCGTTGTCGTCGTCGACGATGATGACGTTGACACTTCTTCTTCTTCCCCATCTGCAGGAAGAACCAGTCGTGCAGACTCGTACAAGATGCGCGTAGAGTCCTGTGCCGAGCGACCTTGTAACTTTGCCTTGACCGTCGCATCCATCGGTGGACGCGAGTAATCTTCCGTCAGCGTCGCGTTGCGGGCTTCAGTTAGTAGTGTCTCCGAGTTGATCAATAGACCATCTAGGTCGAAGATACATGCTCGTACTGGCCGTGGATGTGGCGGTGGTGGTGGTGGTAGCGCCGGTGCCAGTCGTTCAGAGAGAGTCGTCGATCCTATTCCCACTCCCATTCCCACTGCCGCTGCTCCCGATGATGATGTTTCTGCCATGAAGAGGCCGACGTTTCCTGACTAATACTACGCACCGCAGGTGGTTAAATAACGTCCCTTTGTGTGCTTGAGTGTGTGCTTGAGTGAGTGCGTGTGTGGATTTGTTCTATTGCACAATGCAGGTGAGAGATAATTCATCGGGTACTGTAATCCAAAAAGCGACCCACGAGTGCCACGTAGTGTGGCATTTATTTAGTACCCAAATAAAGCCAGGTCTGCTCTTGACAAACCGAGTATATCGTACACCACCCAACGACGTGCACTGATCCTTCCGGGAAGAGGAGGACTGAAAATCATGGCCAGCAGGTATGTACCTATGTCGTAGAAAAGGTCTGCTGAATCAGGAATGTTGCTCTTGCTCGGCGAGGGAGGGGTCAGGATGGTTAATGATGTTTACTTGTTACCAAGGTACTTAAGTACACTGTGTACAGGAAATCCGAACCCTTGCTTTGCCATCGTATCAAACAACATCCAAACAAGACCACGATGCCTCCTTGTCGATAATCTTAGATGTGGCACGGAATATTTTAGACCACAAGACTACACATCAATCGACAGAAATAAACAAACCCTAGTAGCCAGTCTACATCCAATTCCAAGATGTAATCAGCTTGAACGGAACATAGTCCAAGAATGCGAAGAGAACACAACAAGCTCATAGCTCAAACATTTACTGATTTTTTTTTCTCAAAAGAAAACTCAGATAGAGCTATATAATGTACCCGTAAGGCCTCGAGATATGCCTACCGAGGACGTGTACTCTGATGAGAAAAGTCATACCCGTCCCGCGCCCAAAACGCCAGAATTCAAAGTGCAATGACATCCCAGACCAGTGTCCCCGTTACCATTCCTCCACCACATACCACATGTGTTTGTGCTCGTGTAACGCATCAGAGGAGACTCATGGCTGGTCCTGATCAAAGGTGCCCCCGCCGTTCTTTTGCTGCTGTACAAACCCACCATTTTATGTACACATAATAATAATAAGATAAGAAAGAAGTGCCACATTATAGCACTGGGTCGAAGCCAACCTGTTGCATGATGGTCGGCATCGAAGGCGGATAGACCATTGGGAACGGCAAAGGTGTGTAAGAGAACAGCAGCGCCATCGAGAGCTTGCTATTCTGTTGAAGTCCGGAATCATCTGCCCAATGTTTGAATGGTCGTAAGAGTAATTAATCTTGAAATGGATCTTGATCGAAGAAGGGAAGTCTGGTGTCAGAGTCGTTCTACGTCCGCTGCATGCCAGGTTGCATGGGAGGCCCATTAGGCATAGGCATTCCGTAAGGGTTGACATGTTGGGTGGCAAACCCATTAGGGTCTTGCATGCCGCTCAGGAATTGCCCAATGCCTTGGGCATGTCCAACGGGGCAGTCTTTGTGGCCCATCAGGAGAGTCCGAAGATTGCGGATCTCCTCGTGAAGCTGTGCGACTTGCGTGTTTAAACTGTCGTTCTCCGCAGAGTACATCTCAACTTTGGCTTGGAGATTAGCCAACCATTGTTTCTTTCTCTGTCGGCACTTCAAGGCAGCAATACTGTACAGACAATTAGCATTGGTCATACAGACATCGACATTTCAGACGTACCGATTGCGTTCGAGGAAGTTTCTGCGCTTTTCTTCATCAGTCATCTTCTTCCCATTGCCATGAGTGGTATTCGCATCATCGTCTCCCTCGTCGCTGTCCATGTCTTCTTCCTCGTGGGGATCAAGAGCAGGATCAACATTGGCAGTTCCCGAATTACCCTTTGCACGCTTATTGCTACCTTTGGCGCTAGCTTCAGACTTTCGTCGGTTGCTAGCGGGTTCTGCCTTTGCCTTCTTCCCACGACCACCACGGGTGCTGGCCTTAGTCTCCTCATGACTTTCCGGACTGTCGCCATTTGAGGAGGCTGCCTTTTGGTCTAGGCCATTTCGTGCTGGGGTCTGTGCTGGATTGGGAGCAGCAAATTGACTGCTGGGTTGGCCGCCCTTGGCTAGCATGAACAAACCATTTGCGGCATCTGTCGCGTCATGCTGGTTGTCCATGTTGGTCTTCGGGAGGGCTTCTTGTGGATTTGACGTGTTTGCAAACTGATTGTTCTTATTGCGAGCAGCTGCGTTCATAGCAGTGCGATGAAAATCAAGAGTTCCTGGAGTGGCACCGCCACTTTGCAAGGAATTGAAGAGTGCCTGTGAATTTGGACTGGGGGCCGGGAACATAGACCCGCCACCGCCTGGGGTGAGTCCCGTCCGGAGTGAGGACTCGTTAGGCGTTGGGAACCCTCGGCCGGGTATGTCGAAATAGTCACCTTGCTGGGGCCCGGTCAACATTGCAGGGCTCAGTGGCCCAGATCGAAGTGAACTTTGCCAATTGTATCCGCCAGTGGAACCGGCACCAGGGATGGCAGGAGATGTAAGCGCAGCGACGGGAGGCAGTAGGGTTTTTCCTGGCGTGTCTGTTGAGGGCGCGCCAAAGGATTGTTCAAAGGGATTGAATTCTTGCAGTCCTCCGGCGTGGACAGCGGAGAAGTAATCTGGAGTCTCTGCAGGATTTGCACCAGCAGGTCGCGGTGGAGGTGCAAGAGGTTCTGTTGCTTGAACGATGGGCTTTGCGTCGTCGGCCTGCGAGGTGGCTTGTGGTTCTTCTAGACGACGGTCAACGGCGCTGTACATCACGAGATGGGGTGGCGACGCGTACCTGGTAATGACGATTTAGACTGGACAGGCGAAGTTTTGGTTGACGAGGCTGGCGATCATTGTTAGCAGTCAGTTCCCTGCAGAGGGAAAACAAGCCAGAGTGATGCATCGCAGGATGCTAATGCGCGAATGGTGGTGCTGCAGGCAGATTGCCAAAGCGCGCGATGAAGAAATTTTACTAATAGGGGCCAGCGATAAGGTGACTAACCTTGCTTCACATGATTCTTTTTATTGTCCATAGGCGACGAGGTACGAGAAGTAGGGCCAGCCCCAATGTGTTGTTGTGATGGTTGAGTTGCGACTGCGACGCTCGCCATATTGTCGGGTGGTGATGAAGCAATACGTAGATGGAGGAAACAACGTCAGCCGTTGCAAAAGTGACGTCGACAAGAGCTGGGAAGCGCAGGCGCCTCATATACTTTGGTAGGGCAGGCCAGGAGGGAGGGCTTGGAAGGGAGAGCGAGGTAGCAGGGTTGAGTTTTGCCCTAAGGGGCCCTAGCGATGTGGGCGACGGGGGGGATCCTGCGAATCAAATGCCTGTCAGCAGGGAAGACGGCAACTCATGGTGATCGCCAGCCATCCAAGAACCAGTTGCCATCGCCACTTGTTGCGCCCACCCTCCCAAGTCCGATCGAGCAGCGCGGAAATTGGGGCCGGGGACAGAGAGAAGCACAGATGCAGGTCAAAAGGCAGACAGCCGAATGACTTTGACTTACCAAGAGCGGGAACCCAGAACCACTACTCGTGCGACACTGGTATCGATTTTCTGCGTGTTCAATGTATTCTCACGAGGTTTGACCAGCGGCCGAAGACTAGCAATTGAAGATGGGAATCGCAAAACCCAATGTGTCGGGGAGAAGCCGGTAGAGATGAGATATGGCGGTGACGTTACTGGGTGATACAGCCGCCCGGGGGAAGACAAAGCCCAGACACACTGCGAGGCCTGCTAGTGTCCCGAGACAAAGTACCGAGCAAGTACTCGCAAGTGAAGAGCAAAATGTCTTTGTGAGCGTGACACTCGATGAGGAGAGTTGTGTGTGAGACGAGAGTGAAGATGAGTACGAGTACCGCAGGCCAGTGACCTCGACGCGTTTGAGATGGTGAAAAGGTGGGAACAGGGTACGAGACCGTCCGAGCACGACAGCAAGGTGCAATTAATTCTCCTTCCGTTGTCTGAAGACGCGATATCAGCTTGTCTTCGTACCGCTGCTCCTTCGATACCTCGACCAACTGTGACTGGACGGATGCGTATGCAATGCAAAAAAAGTCGGGTGCTTCTGTGAGAGCGAAAAAGTGTGACGCAATCACTTGTCAAGCCAGAAATCTTCCGAGGCGACGCCATCCGCTTTCTGCCTAGCGGACTCACTAGGCCTCGCCTTAGCTCCTCGCGGCAAAACGCCACCCATCCCGCCTAACACGAGTACAACAAATGGCACGCCGCGACACGAGTCCAGCACTGTATACATTTGTACAGATACATCAGCAGATGTCAACGCCGAACTTTGATGCCTTCAATCATCAACATTCCCGTGTTATCGGAAATGGGGAAATTGAACGTTTCCCATGGCTTACTCTTCTCGTCTTCACAGGACTCTATCATTAGTGTCCTTTGTATGAGACGCTATTCCACGACTCAGCTATGTGGAGGAGCCAATTGCCACTATTGCCTCCTCAGACCATGCCGAACGTGCATTATTAATACATGCAACTCTCCACTCAACTCACCATGACGCAAAGATGGTAATGTTTCGACTTGCACGGAAGTCGATGCTGGCACGGATATTATAGCCAGTCGAAGGCAAGTGGAGGAGTTTGTGCTGAGGAGGATCCATGTGTGCCAGTCAGGTACATGTACCGTCTACTATGTTATCAAAAGTACACCATCACGTTTTGGAACTTAACGCGGTTGCTCTACTCGTCCCTTCGAAAGGCAAGGAATTTAATGGCCGTGCCCCCTTGTCTTGTAACCAGCAAGGTGCCGGGATAGTTTCATGCTCTAGTGCTACAGATTGTCTGTCCCTCCTTTGAAGGTGTACCCTTTAGGCCTTTCGAAAGGGGAAAACGCCATGAATTATGCTGCCATCTAGTTTCCCGCCGACCAAGGTGACATTCTGCATATGTCCGAATACCGTCTGTTAACACATCATCTGTAGAAATCAAATTTATCGGCCTCTTGTGCACCCTTGACCTGGCTCGAGTAGGCATCCTCTAGATCGGCTTGAATGATGTTGTAGCGATTCTTTCGGACCGCTCGAAGACCGGCTTCTTGCATGATGGCCGCAATGATGGCTCCAGATAATGGGTCGTTGCGTACAATTAAAGAGTCCAGGTCGACTTCGGGCGAGAGTGACATTTTGCTGGCTATGGTGCTGAAGATGAGTCGGCGTTCTCGTCGATCTCGGAGTGACGGGAACTCGATTTTTCTGTCCAGACGTCCGGGCCGAAGAAGGGCAGGGTCCAAAGTATCCGCACGATTGGTGGCCATAATGACCTTGACATTGCTGGTTTGATCGAATCCGTCCATCTGATTCAGCAATTCCAGAAGAATACGCTGGACCTCTCGGTCGGCGCCAGTTTGAGCATCAAATCGTTTGGTTGCGATTGCATCAATTTCATCAATGAAGATGATGGCGGGGGAGTTCTCGCGTGCCATCCGGAACACATCCCGGACCATTCGTGGACCTTCACCAAGATATTTCTGCACAAATTCGGAGCCGACCACCCGAATGAAGCTTGCAGTTGTGCTGTTGGCCACCGCCTTGACCAGCATAGTCTTGCCCGTACCTGGCGGGCCGTAAAGCAAAACGCCACGAGGGGGGTCAATACCAATCTGCTTGTAGAGGTCGAAATGTGTCAGAGGCAGTTCGACCGCCTCCCGAATCTCCTGTTTCTGCATGTCCAGACCTCCCACATCGGCATATGTGACATCAGGCTTCTCATCCGCCCCGAGCATAGCAATAGAGGAGTCGGCTTCTGGGGGAAGGATGTCTACTAACGAGTTGGAATGTCGGTGAAGAGCGACCGAGGAGGATGGCTTCAGCTTTTCGCGGTCGAGGGTTGACAGGATCCGGACAACATAGTTTGAGCCCGTCGAAGATTGGACAATACCAGTGCTACTTGATGTCAGTATCGTTTACAAAACATAGTGTGGCCTTCCTCACTTTTGATCGATGGCTTCCATGAACTGGCCAATCACTAGTGGAACACTTTGTATCCGCTTGATCTCTTCCTGCGCGCGGACGAGTTCTCGTTTGAGAGATCTACAACTTTGTCAGACCATCTGAGATCGCTCGTTCAAGAATTTCTTACCTCTGTTCGTCCTTGATGTATTCTTCTTGTAGCTTGATGTACCTGCTTGTAGTCAGTGCCGGCACCGGGGTAGCAAGGGAGCTTCTACTTACTCCAAGTGCCGCTGTAATCTCTTCAGCGTCGAGTATTCATCGCCTCCATCTGCCCCAGCTCCTTCTAACGAATCGATGTCTGGTATGGAATCTGATAGAGGCTGTTTTTTGTGAGGCGGAACAGTATGAACTGGATTGTCAACAAGAACGTCTCCCATCGTTGCAGCGAGATGCAGGACAGATGTGTCTCGTGAGAACCGGTTGACACGAAGGATATGGCCGAGGAGAGGCGACGACAGGCTTGCTTTCGTTTGGTAGGGTGTCTAGCTGGTATCGGATCGATGAAGAAGACCAGTGCTTTAGATGGCCGTTGTCTGAGCCGTCAAGAAGGCGACCGCAGGAACGCGTTGCCAAGATGGATATGGCGCTAAGCTGACAAGGGGCGTTCCACCACTTCCTAAGGTCTTCTATGCTTAACCTCACTTTTAGATGTGGCCGCGTCCAGACCAGCTAAGCTGATCTCCCTCACGTAACTATGTACATACCTAGAGTACAGTACCTTACCTACATGTACCTACCAGAGAGTCTTACCCATCATTCCGAGTAGGCGACATGGGACCACCTAACGTTGTTGGTACAAGGGCGCCAACCCACAACCCCCCCTTGGGCGCTAGATGGCTGTTTCTGCCAAAGCATGCACTGGGCTGCTCTCAACCGCACAGCTAACTTTTGCTCTATTTGTCCACCAGGCTCTTTGCATTTCTCCTTCAGAGCTTGCTCTGGCCATGAGGAATATCCTGTTTTCAACCAGACAGGTGTGTAATGTACTCTCTCCGTGGAAGGAGTTTTATCGGAAGTTTGTCTCTTGTCCTAGGGTTCCGGATTCGCTCGGCTTGGAAAAGCGCCGTGGAAGATCCCGCCACCAATATTCCTAACGCTGTCCTAAATCCGTTCTATTGGCGTCGAAAGCTAGCTACCTGGGTCGTCGGGAGTCTTGCGATAGTCGCCGTAAACCGAATGGCCTGGCACGACGAAGTATGACGGTGGGCGTCCCTGTGGCATCTTCAGAACTGAGATTCTCGTATATCATAGTTAGGAGTAAAGGGTGGTATTCAGACTTGATTGCAGACCAAAGTGAGGGAACATGGCCGCCCAAACCCTGGCCTGGACCGCCATGGCATACCAGGCAGACCTGTGCCTAAAGTGGGATGAAACGAATCATATCGGATTTTGAGTCGCGGGAAGCCAGATTTGTTTGAGCCTATCTCTCGGTTGTTCCTGTGACACAGCGAGGATTCGTGTCTAAAATGGATTCACACTGCGAGAGTTGAGAAATTTAAGGGTGCATCTGCCAATCACGGAAAAGCATGCCTGCTTGCTACGAGGCGTGAGTCTCAACCATGATGAATGGGATGTAAGCGGTGGGAAATACACGGTGCCTTGTTTAAAGATGTCGGTTTCTTCCTCCTTTTGTTCTTCTTCCTCTTTCCTTCCCTCTCTTGTGTTCTGGCGATCTTGTGTCGAGTTTCTTCACATCCCACCCCTTGAAGATTCGTTCCTCCTGTTACTTTACGTTTTTCCGACTATGCACTCAAATCGTTGGCTATCCACAGGCCTGTCCCGATACCATCTTACCAAGTGACTACCTGAGTGACTGGCGAAAGCGACTGATTCCATTTTCGTTGGATTTAACACACGATCCCCGATTTCCATCTGCCGGGTCATTGTATCCGACACTGTACCAGTTCCATGACTTGGACCAGTGCAAACACTAACAGTCGCGCTGGCAAGCAACGGCTAGTAATAGGCAAGGAAGTCTTCAGCACTGAGCGAACCCAGCAATGGCATATTCAGCATGCGTATGAGAGTGCAAGTGGGCATTTGTGCCTCGTGGACAGGATGACTCCGGCTTGTTTGATGGCACAGACCCTGCTCCAAGGCACTTGAAATGGAGCCTAAACCCAAACGGATCCTGGTGCGACCCTGCTTCGGCTTTGCATTAGTGGTGTCGACAGTACAGATACAGGGGACCCGTACCAAAACTCCCAGCGGATTCCAGAGGATGATCCCCAGCAAGCCGTGCTATTCAAGAGAACGGCCACTGCAATTTCCAGGGAAGAAAGCCCTAGGCCAAGCCGACTTTTGGTGATTGAACGGTCCCTGGATTTGGAAGAGGCGGGAATAGCATCGGGAGCCCTGGACATTGGTGAGTGGCTGAAAGAAATGTTTCGTCCGACATCACCTTTCTTGCTGTGTTTGCGTCCAATGGCCCCTCCAGTCTCTTCTGTCAGACCGTCAGACGCCCAGCGCGTCTCCTAGACCAGGCTATCGGCAGCAAAGTGGGCTGGCCCAGCGCTCGCTCCAATCCCATCGAGCGGCCTCCAGGTGCTAACGACCAAAGCAGAAGCGCCAGGGTGGCCATTTTTAGGGACTGGAAGCGCCCCCCAAACGTGTCACCCGACAGCGGTAGCTGCATCATCACCACCGCCCATCCTTGAGTGCTTTGTGTCCGTGTCTCTGTTCTTCCTGTCTCTTGCAGGCCGTTTAGGCTCCTCTTTTTCACAATCCCTCGTTCACATTTTTTCGATTCTGGCCCAGTTCCCGACCGACTTTGCCTCTGGTACGAGACACCAGACCGCAGCTTTTTGTGCCCTCTCACGCTCCCCCGCTCCTCCCTCTCTGTGCTTCTCTTCTGCCACTTCCGTACCCGGCCACTGCCACCATACGCACCACGTATCAAACAAGCATCAAATCACCATCTTGATCACACTCGCGGTAAGCCTCCTATCGAACCTTTTTTCTGCCCCTCCTGCTAGCCATCCCCCTGGCATGTCTTTTGAAAGTGGATTTGTCTTGCTATCGTCTTCCCGCCGGTGCAGAGCAACCGGAAAAGCTGAACTGCACATGGCTTCTGCCCACCACCACATCGCCGACCCTTTTCCTCTCCTACCACAATCGTCCACCCACAGATCCATCACTAGCGTCTGTTTTCCCATCAACAGCATTGATTCAGATCGTGTTGCACGGCCCAATAGACGCGTGTGGAACTTCGTTGATCCTCGATGCCAGTCCTTTGACCTGGTCGACTCCATCGCTAACCTTTCCTTCTGCCAGTCAGTTTCTCGAGCTAAACCGCTTTCGGCACCCCAGCCTCAGACCGAAAAATCGTTCCCTAATCTCGACATTCCGATTCGGTTCGCATACCTCTACGCTCTGACGATTCCGCTTCACAACACTGCCAGTCAGGTAAGCTGCCTTATCCGAACCCCATGATTTTCATTGAAGGGATACATCTCACTTGCGCTGTATCACATGTTTGCTTGTGTCATGTTGACCTTACCCCCATCCTGACGCGTCTTCCTCAACATCGAGCGCATCCCGATGTTTCTTCAACCATCAACCACCCATGGCGCTGTTCATCAAGACTCCACTGCCTCTTCATAGAACCCTGACCATGTCACTCACGCGACCTTCATCAGAGCAATTGTGAACGTGTTTGACTTGAGACTGACATTCGCGTTGCTATAGCTCATGGATGCCCGAACCACCTTCGAGCCATGAACCCTTGGCTTCCCGACTCCTCCTCGACTCCAAATAACCATGTTGGCTTTGGAGGCACGATGGATGGTGGCATGTCTTTTATGCAACCTCCTCAGACTATAAATCCTGCGCAATTTCAGAACCCTGCCTTCCTCAATGGTGCTGGACGGACTGCCTCGCCCGCGACTTTCCACAACCCAGTGTACCAGACGAACCCTGTTATACCATCTAAAAGAGCAAGAGATGATAGCTTAGGGGCATCACCTCGCCAGGCACCTGGAGGTTTGCCTGTGTCGAGAGCGCAAACACCTGGCCAAGGCCCCTATCCCGGTTACAATCCCCAAGCCAATGGCGCTCACTCAATAACAAACACCCCGACGCCTTTTCAGCATCTCCAAACCTCTGCCAATGCTACACCTTCGCCTACTGTTCAACAGCTGAATCAGTTCAATCCGCCACCTGGGAATCAACGCGTTTCGACGGCGTCGCCAAACCCCTTTTCACCCCAGCATGGTCCACCTCATGCCTCTCCTGGTCCATCAGACCATGCCGGCCGTGTTGGGACTCCTCACGACAATCCGCAGAACTTCATGCCCAACGGAGGGTTCCAACAAGGCTTCGGTCAACCTCAATTTGGACAGAATATGAACAATGTGATGCCTCAGATGGGAATGAATCCGCAGCCTAACATGCCACAGCAACATCCTGGCGTCTCTGCAGCACAGAGGAATTATCAGATGCAACTTCAGGCACAAGCACGCCAGATGCAGGCGCAAACACAAGCTCGTGGTATGAATGCCATCCCTCCTAACTCGGGTCAGCCCATGCCCAATCCGCAGCTCCCTCAGGGACCTGGACAGTTCCAACCTCCTAAGCCGAACAATCCTGAGGAGTTTCTGAGGGGCTTGCAAACATTTATGGCTTCTCGTGGCCGAGCAGTTGATATCAATCCAGTTATCTGTGGCAGGCCAATACAACTATTACGCCTGTACGCGGCGGTCGTCAAGAATGGTGGCTCACAGAGAATCTCTAAGATGAACCAGTGGGGTGGCGTGGCGCAACAATTTGGCTTCCCACCGCCGCAACTGATGCAAGCTGCCCAGGAGCTGCAGGGATATTGGCACAACAATCTGGCACCGTACGAGGCTGCCTGGCAAATGAACCAACAGAAGCAAAGAATGGCAGCACAAGCCGCTATTCAAAATCAGAATCAGAGCCAGAGCCAGAGCCAGACTCAAATGTCGCCGCCACGAGAGATGAACATCAACCAAGATGCTCGACATCAAAGATCATCCAGTGCCTCGATGAACGGGCAAGCGCAGCACCAGGCGCAGCAGGCTGTGGCCAATGGCCTCATGCAGCCACCCCATGGGCAGCAAGACCCTTCAGTGACTCCGCAACACCAACAGAACATGTCCAGACAACATGATCCTCAGCAGATGAACGCCATTCAAGCTCAGTCGCACGGCCCAATTCCGCAGAAACAGCCTCCAGCTGCTATTGTTAAACCTGCAGAACCAGAAGTTGATTACAGCAAACCACTGTCGAACCCGATCGAGGACCCATTCAAACCAGAGGCATTGCCCATGAGTCGATACCATGGCCCCATCAACGTGGAAGAGATGGTGGTGATCGGGCAACACATTGCGGACATGAAGCCAATAGTACCTGCGATTCGAGAGATGGGTCTAATTGACATCCACGCGATAACAATGTCAATAAAATCTGGAATGCACGCAGAAACAAGACTCGCGCTGGATATTCTCACGAACCTCTCAACGGAGCCAGCGTTGCAGCTCTCATTAGTTGATTGCGACGATTTAATGGATTCTTTGATCGATTGTGCTCAGGAAGAAGTCAATTTCCTCAGTGAGCATGCAACAGAAGTATCTGACGATATGTTTCTTCCATCATACGAAGAGCTCATTCGCTCTGTTAAAACAGAGAACGAGTCATTACCGGACATCCCTACATTCGGGACTGTGGCCTACGATCTAGAGCGAGCAGCCGATCGATTGATTTGTATCACGACTCTTATCCGCAACTTCTCCTTCTACGAAGCCAATTTTGGTGTCTTAGGCCAGCCAGAGGTTCTAAAATTGCTCAGCCAAGTCATCCGGTATCTCGGAACCACTGAAATGTTCTTGCGACATCACCAAAATGCTTTGGACTTCATGAAAGATGTGGTCATTTTCCTCAGTAATTTGTCGACCTCACTGCAGCTCCCCGGGAAAGAGGAGGCCTTTTGCATTCTCCATTTCCTTCTCGCCTTTGCGCCGACTCCGGGGCCAATAACAAGCTCGGGTAAGATATCATTCACCATGTACACTCCGTCTTCGCACAAATACCTACCTTCTGCGGTCGACAGCTTAGCCAAGCTATTGGCTCGTGATGAACCAAACCGAATGTACTACAAATCCATTTTCGCTGCAGATGCACACTCAACACAGCCACATGAACTTTTGACCAGAAGCTTCGGCCTGGCTATATCACCTGTTCCAGCAAACTCGAACCAAACCAGAACAATCATCGAAGCCAGGAAGCCATTCCTTCTTCAAGGGATGCTAGCAGCCGAAATACTTGCAAATCTTGTCCCAGGATCTGAACAACAGCTAGCTCGGAAATGGTTAGAATCCGAGGATGGGTTTGCTGGCAACTTGTTGCGACTAGTAGGGTTGTTGAGTGCTGATAGGACGACTCAGACCGCACCGAGACAGCCACAGCAGAATAGCAGGCATCCACAGGAAACCGATGTCAACGGGTACGGAGCTATTTCGAATCGTGCCATGGCAGTACTCAAGACGCTTGTCCAGAAAGCGCGAACCGTCGATACCGATGGAGCAACTGTGGTTCCACTGGGTGTCATGCCCAAGAGAGAAAGTCTGCTGGGTGCCATGATACAAAAAGATATCGATCCAGGGATTCTTCGACAGTTATGTGTATATGCTGCTCTGGAGGACTGAAGGCCTTTCACAGGTCTCAATCAAAGGTCTTGACTTTGGCGTGGCTTTGAGCTTCAAAATTGGATCTGTAAATTCATTGGTCCGTGTAGGAATACTGGGCAGTCTCATCCGTTAGGAGGCCTGAACCTGGATGCACGGAACGCATCATTCTTATCACCGTGGGATACAAACTGTCTACTCTAGTCTTCGCAAGTGTACAATTGTGTATGAGGGCTGAACCCTGAAACCATGTATCAAGTCAAAATCCCTGTACTTCACTAAGAACAATCGATGTCTTTCTAATCTACAGAGAGCATTTCATGCAACGTATCTAGGGCCCCTAGGCTGGGTAAGGTTGGCGAGGTACCTAGGGGTTGTGCCGCCTTAGGGATTCGCTGCATCCTTCTGTCCATCTGGATATGTAATTGTCGAGTCGTTTACTCAAATCTATTCCCTCTGTATGTACAATCATCGGCGTAAACACAGCTTCTGGTTGAGTTGTTCGTGCTTCCTGAGCACAATATTATACAAAAATAGCAGATACAACAAGCTGGGCTGAGTGTGTTAATCCATCTGTCCTTTCGACCAAGGCCTCTGCTCGGCTTCAATGCCACAAGGTCAGACCATTCACAGTGTTCTCCCCAAGCTGCAGTGTATCTTTCACCAAAGGCTCCAACTTAGGAGCCGCTCAAAACCCATTCAACTCGGCCCACTTCTTGATCTCGGGAGCTCTCCATCCACGAACAATGACTTGTTTAGTTGTCCGGTTTATAGTGACAGTCTCTTTCCGCCGACCTCGAATGTCCGTGATGTATTGATCCATTCCTAACGCATTCCGTACTTGTCCTGCCAATTGTTCTAGATCGCCGGTGATTTTCCGTATCGTTGTAATATGCTTTGAACCTCCTGCCTTTGTGCTTTCATAGACTGGAAGATTCGAAGAAGGCGTTCGCGAGATCTTGAACGGCAAGTTTGAGACAACTGCTAATCTCGAGAGTATTGACGAGGGTTGTGAAGTGGCCGACGGGGCCGGCATCGGTGTCTGACTGGTTGCTTCCTCAGAAGTCATGCGCTGGGCGCGGAGTGCGCTGAATTCACCTGTGATTCGTGTCAATTCAACTGTTGACGGCTCATCCGGAAATGTAAGAGCATACGTTCTTTGCGGACTGCTGCTTTCTGGCGCCGATGTAGCTTGTCGAGACTGGTGATTTTGGCATATTTCTCGCGCGGCATCCAGTGAGACTTGGAGCGGACTTGGCAGAGCGGACGCCCTGGTCGAAGCCATAAGGCCCGAAGAAGGAGATTCGAGGGTGCCTTCATCTTAGATGGACATGTTGAGGAGAAATAGGTGATGTTAGACCGACGCTCATCAGTCTGGCGCAGAGAGAGATGCCAAGACGATCAAAAAACCCGGCTGTCTCTGGGACTATGGGCTAACCATATTGGGACTAGGCACCATATCCCCACCGTTGGAAACAGCGACACACAGAAATTCCCAAGGTGATGGCGGATTTGAATGTGCAGGAAGCGTTGCGCTGAACACAATTCCAAAGCCACAACACCGGGGGTACATCTTACCCGTTGACCTCGAAAATCTGCCACGTATCAGGCAGTCTTAGCAGCACACCCTCTTCCCTTTCTTCGATTGCTGCCAGAACCGCGGAGCCAAAGAAAAGACCAAATCCTTCGCAACTCTCGAAATCGACAAGATGACTGCCGTCGAAGATCCCACGGGCGAATACGCCTTTCTCTCAAAGCTCCTCCAGCATATGGATCGTCACCTCATCTTCCCTCTGCTCGAACATCAACTCGGCTCTGAAGACATCTCACAGCAACGATACGATGACCTCAAACTCGCCATTTTCAACCTCCTCAAGAACACGAACATGATCGACTATGTCGGCAACTTGTACAAAGAAATCCACAAGACTGATACAGTACCCTCAGAGTATGCGAAGAAGCGAGAGGAAGTTCTCAACAATCTTGCAAAGTTCGAAGAAGAATCCGCCCATCTCACAAACCTGCTCAATGACGAGGCCGTCACATCTCAACTACGTAGCGACAAAGTCGCCAATTTGAAATTCCTCGAAGAACAGCATGGTGTAACTCAACAGATGGTGGACAACCTCTACGACTTCGGCCGATTCCGATACGAATGCGGTCTGTACCCTGAGGCCGCTGATTTGCTCTACCGATTCCGGGTGCTCTCTACCGACAATGACAAAGTTGTGAAAGCCACCTGGGGCAAACTGGTATGTGAAATTCTAGGAGAAGAGTGGGAAAGTGCGCTTGAAGAGGTCGAAAAGGTTAAGGAGCACATCGAGACGAGACTTTTCAACAACCCACGCGCGCAATTAACCGCTCGAGAATCTCTTGTGCACTACGCACTCTTCCCATTCTTCAACTACGAACCCGCCCGTGAAAAGCTCACCGAAATGTTCTTCTCTCCTCCATACATCAGCTCCATTCAGACAGTCTGCCCCTGGATTCTACGGTATTTAGCTGCAGCCGTCATTACGAACCGTGGCCGGCTTAATAACTCTCACAACTACCAGAAACAACTGAAAGATCTGGTCCGAGTTGTCAAGCAGGAAGTCTACGAATATGAGGATCCTGTTACAGAGTTCGTCAAGGCTCTCTACGTGGATTTTGACTTCGAAGGCGCGCAGAAGAAGCTGTCTGAAGCTGAGGCTATTCTGCGAGGAGATTTCTTCTTGGGCTCATCTACAGACGCATTCATGGACTCGGCTCGACATCTCATTTCCGAAAGCTACTGCAAGATTCACCAGAGAATAGATATTAAGTATGTCTCTCCTTCCTCGCAGCGAAGAAGAAAATTTGCTAATGACCGTCCAGAGATCTCTCGACCCGGTTGGGTCTGTCTCAGGGTGAAGGTGAGAAATGGATTGTGAATCTGATTCGGGACACAAAAGTGGATGCAAAGATCGATTATCAAGCTGGTACCGTGGTTATGAATCATCCTCCACAGAGCGTGTATCAACAGGTGATTGAGAAGACCAAGGGCGCGTTCTTCCGTACGCAAGTTCTCAGCGCCGCTGTTGCCAAATGAAGGATGGGAATTGTGAATGAGGAACTGAATAGACGGCAACAACAGCGGGTCCTTGGACCCGATTACTGTTGAATTGAACCAGACCAGATGGTGGAGGTTGAGCCGATCGAGACTCTCGACGTCCGATGCTCAAGTGGCGCCACGCGGAAACCTGGGCGAAGAGATTGAGCGAACAAGCTCGAGGTTGGATGAACGTTTCTCATTCTGCCTAGAAGTTGGTGGGTCAGGCTGTCGTTGTGTCGAGGGTGGAAGACGGCGAAGCTCCGCACTGAATGTACAGCATGATTGATACCCATGACATCCGATTCAGAGCTATGGGAACGAGCTAGGGCTACAACCAAAAGCATACACAGGAAAGTGGCGTGGGATGAGTGACGTCCTGTTGATTTAGGGCTGTAGTATAGCAGCGAAATAAAATCATCACGAAGAGAGAAAAGAGCTCCATTACTATATATATCCCTAGCAATGCCGTGTGTCGAAGTGTTGTTACAGCAGTTGAGGCACGTAAGTTAGTACCAGATGATGCGGACGGAATCCTTTTCTTCGGTGGACTGTTCATGTTTTATTTCTTTTGCGATTCGGCGCGGTTGGTCTTGGTCTTGATTTCCTCCTCGACCAATAGACCCTTGACCTCTTCCTCGCTCATCCACTCCCTGACGCTGTCCATGATGTCCTCGAGCTCGTGGCCGCCCTCGAGCACGGCGTCGAGGTGGCTGGTCTCCTTGCCGCTGCGGTGGTCGGTGACGCGGTTCTGCGAGTAGTTGTAGGTGCGCACCTTGTCCTCGCGGCCGGTCCTGGCGACGCCGCCCATGACGGACCTGCGCAAGTTGATGACGTCGGCCTCGCGCTGCTCGCGGCGGATCTGGGCCAGCTTGCTCCGCAGCAGCTGCCAAGCCTTCTCGCGGTTCTTGTGCTGGCTGCGGCTGTCCTGCATGGACACGACGATGCCGGTGGGGATGTGGGTGAGGCGCACGGCGCTGTCGGTCTTGTTGACGTGCTGGCCGCCGGCGCCGCGGGCGCGCATCGTCTCGCTGCGCACGTCCTGCGGCGCGATGTAGTAGTCGCTCTCCGGGTTCTCGTAGTCGAGGTCCTCGCCGCCCGTCTCGGGCAGGTTGGGCAGCACGAGCACGCTCACGGCGCTCGTGTGCGTGCGGCCCTTTTTCTCCGTGCTCGGCACGCGCTGCACCCGGTGCACGCCCGCCTCGGACCGCAGCACGTCGTAGCTGCCCGGGGCGTCGACCTCGAGCAGCGCGTCCGTCAGCGCGCTCTCGGGCACCGAGTCGTCGGCCGTGTAGCTCGCCAGCGTCGTCGGCCACCGCTTGCGCGCGCAGAATCCCTTGTACATGTCCAGCAGTGTCTGCGCGAAGAGCGACGCCTCGCTGCCGCCCGCCCCCGGGTGGATCTCGATCATGCACGACATGCTGGCGAACGGGTGCGCCGGGATCAGCGACGTCTTCAACCTCGACGTCAGCCCGGGGAGTGTGGACAGAGTCGACTCGATGTCCGACTGCGCCAGTGACTTGAGCTCGGCGTCTGAGGACGGGTCGTGGAGGAGAGCGTGCAATTCGGAGAGACTCTGTTGTTGTCGTCCCGAGAAGGAGGCGTCAGCGTTCGTGAACAGAGTTCGCATACGAGTATCTAGCAGACCAAGGTCTGTCTGCAGACAAACTCATACACACAGAACACACCCAGAACAAAAACAATATAGCCAAACGTGCGTACATACGTTCTGTGCATCTTCCCAGTCTTTCAACGCTTCACAAACCGAGCTCAGTTCACCAATCTTCTTCGCAACCGACACGTCGTAGTTTTCGATGTTGGCCGCAGACAGTTGTGCATGTTCGGCTGCGATGCTCCGCGCCCGTCGGAGCAGGATGGGTGAGAGTTGGGACTCGGTGTCGTCTGCGGGTGCGTAACAAGAAACCCACAAATTAGTCAAACATGTTCTCTCTCTTCATCAAAGCAAGGGCGTGTCGGTGGTTGCGTGCATCGAGTGTGTGTATATACGTACGAGAACTTTGAAACCGGACCGTCCCAAAGGCATTAAGAAAAGGGCTAGCTACCGTGCGTAGCGAAGGTCCAAGGCATCTTGAGCATAGCAGCCAGCTACGACTACTTCTCAACATGCCTCGGAAAGTGAGCAACTCAATGTCATACAACAGAGGTGCAGTAATTCAGCTCATGAGCCTGAAGGTGCAAGAGCCCATGGGAGGTACTTTCAAAAATGTTCATATACTCGACTCGGCTGCGCTACGTCTCGAGGTTCGGAATTTTTACTGTATGGGCAAGTCTAACGAGCCAATCGGTGACGCACCCCGTTCAGCCTCGTTCGGCCTTGAGAGCCTCGCCATGGAACCTCATGCGCCCTCTCGCCTTTTGAGCCTTGCACCAGAGTCACAGTCTCCGACACATTACGACACATAAAAAACGGATAGAAGCTTCGTCCATTTAATCGAGGAGAGAAAGGTCAAAAAGACTCAATACTAGGCGTGTTAAGGTGCTGTATATCTATGGCGTAGCACAATTTCCCGCCCGAATAACAGGCAATGATTAGAGCATAAGACCTCGTGCATGACTTCATACCCTCCCCCATCCTGCCCTGTAATGCTGAGACCAAACTCCAAAGCCAGGCTAATATGTATGCATTTTTATCCTCTTCAACCGTCGAGCACTGCGTATCCTGGGCGGCGGTAGTGATGAAAAGCTGTACAATTTTAGACGCCGTTCGTAAGTCGTCAGTTCCTGTGTTTGTTCAAGATCACCATCAAGATGCAGTTTCAATCATGACCGGAAGGCCCACATGTTGTTGCTTTTGCCCGAGGCATATCCCCCGTCAGGCCTCTCCTGAACTGGTGCCAATCTTGGTGATTGGCCGATCCAGCCCGAACCTCTGTCGTCTCCATCCATAGGGAAGAAGACACCTTCGACTTCTTCGTCAATCTTCTTGGAGCTGAAGCCAGGGCTAGATATGCCGTGATCGAGTCGGCCGATAGGTGCAGACGAATGTCTTAGCGCGCTCCCTCTGCCACCGTTTGATTCGCCAGATTCGGTGCGGTTCAATTGCATTCTTGCCATGGCTTGCGATATGCCAGACACTTGCAAACTCGGTCTCGAAGATTCTTGTGGCATCCACGATCCACGAAGAGGTGAACCGACATGGCCAATACTTGGGGCTGTGTTTTCTGCCGCCTTCTTTTCACGCTGCTCGGCCCACAACGCACTGAACCTTGAGGGGCTCCCTGCTGGTGGTGAGCCGACCGAGGTGGTAGATGCGCCACTTGGGATTGCAAGACCGCGTACGTGATCTTTCGCGCCGAGGTCTTGCTCAGGCCGTGACATCCGCCTCGCCTTTTCTTGCGGCGTAAGTACTTCGTCATGCAGGCTATTCGGCAGCAAGTCGGTCTCAGTCCCAAGATTTTCCTCCCATTCATGATACAGGTTTGAGCGAGGCATGCTGGCTGATAAACCTCTCATCTTGATTGGCCGTTGTGAGTGCATGATCCGCTGGCTGATTGATTCTTCTGTGTTCTGGGGGGACAGCCCAAGCGGCGATGCATTTCGAAGATTTGCGCCAAGGTTAGCGTTTCGTACGTTGACAATCGAGTCAGGCGGACTTCCAAGCTGTCGAGAAAGAGAAGACGACGCGGGGGACCGTAAACCAAACTTGTCAGGTACAGATTGTCCTAGAGGTCCATATTTTGCGATATGCGAAACGCCGTTGGCATCGAATGAGTGTGGAAGGGGAGCATTGAGGGCCGTACGGAGGTTATCGACTGGTGACTTTGGGAATTGGTAATCATTGGGAGGTGAGCCGAACTGTGAGGTTGGAGGGGAATTCAAAGCGGAATCAATGGCAGAAGCAGTCTGATATTGGTGGTATCGGTCCTGGAATGCATCGGGCTCATCACTATCCATGAGCGGAAACCCTTGATTAGGGAAGTAGTCTGCGTTGTAAGGCTGCTGGTTCAAGATCGAGTCTGCCGGGTCCTGAGATGGGAAGGGGGATTGGTCTCGGTTCGAGTAGGTATAATTGCGATTAGCCATTGCTAAGCCAACATCCAAGTCTGCTCGGTTGACGCGCCGTCCATCAGGAAGGTAGTGCGCCAAAGCACATTTGGCGCCGAATTTGCAGTTTCCCTATGCTTATCTTAACGGGGTAACATCAACGTAAGTGAGGAAAATACCTTCATAAAGTATTTACAGGGCGCTTGGTGGCTCATTGGGTCGAGAGAGTGTGAGAATGGACAAGCGTTTCCCGCTTGACAGGCACCCTGCCGGAAGAACTTGCATGGGACATGCTTGGTGTCTTTGGAATTCTTAGAGGACCAGTTCTCCCCGTACTTGCGAGCAGACTTACTCTTGTTGGAGGCATTTGGTGGGCTCCTGGCCATATCGAATAGTGTTGCACCGCCGGATCCTCCGATACTGCCCTTTCTGTCCAAATCATTCGCATATCCAGGCACGGGAACCGCCTTTTCTCCGTTGGCGCCGAATCCATTGCGCCCTCGATTCTGCCCTGGCATTGTTGACCCAGGCGTTTGTGCCGAAGTCAGACTGCTCGAATGACCCCTATTCATGTTCGGGGGTTGATCATGATCATTCCAGAGGTCTTGAGTGTTTGCAGCTAGTCGAGGGAGGGCAGTGCTCGTGTCAGATTCGGGGTCAATGGTGAGCAGAAGCCTCGAGATTGTAAGCCGGTCGTGGGGGAGGTGAAGGTCGGAGGAGATGTCAGTACCTTTCTGTGAAGGTCAGACTGCGCTGGGACGAGGAATGCTGGAGGGGTGCCACGAGTCATGCGCACACCTTGCGCGCAGGCCCAGGGACGGTGTAGGCTCTTCCACGTGTTTGGGCAGATGTGCGTAGGATGGGAGCCGATCTGGTGGAAGCGTTCGTTGTTGCGGCGGTAGAGTGAGGTCGCGGTGAGGTCTGTGCTGGTGGAGCAACAGATACGTGGACTGATCTGTATAGGACTCTGGCGGGCGAAGGCTGGGGGACGCTGATACGGACTCTGGTCTCTTTTATCAAGGATCGCAAAGACACGTAGTGGGGCGCGGTTAGAGGAGGAGGAGGGAGGCTACGGGTGGGATGCAGGCGAAAAGACGCAGAGGTGCAGGTGTTGATAGGCTGCTATCTGCCCCCCACAGAATGCGTGATTGCCTTCAGTCACTGCCGCCAAGCCTTTGATAGACGGATGAACGAAGTCTGAGATAGGCTCTGTCTGACAGAGAAATACGACTGATAGCACTGTCGACGCAGGCATCTTTTTGTCAGACAGAGATCCCATTTTTCTGCCTACAAGGCGCCTTTGGATTCGCCGAGTCGTTGGCAAAGACAATATACAATCCGACCCAGATCACCCTCGCCAACAATGGCCGGCCGCATCGAGCTCCCCTTTCTCTATCAAACAAGAACAATCCTTCGTCGACCAGTACGGATATATCGAACATCACAGCGACGGCTGATATCAGGTTACCCAAAGGTGTTCGTCGATGGCAAACAAGAATCCAGAACTCCGCTGTCACCTCCTGAAGAATCTTATCTTCAACAGAGAGGTCGCCAGGCGTCCAAGTCTTCAACCGGCAGACTACCAGAGTTTCTCGGCTCTAGTGTAAACTCCACGATCACGGCGAGTGAACGACGCGCATTCGAGACCATCCTCCGTTTCACACCTGACGAGCCACGATCTGGGCCTGTCGGTGTCAAAGACCAGACGCCTCAGGACGATGCATTGGACACGGACATCGAAAGCATTCTCGACATCTTCGCCACTTCAGTTCGGAGCTATAATGCTGCGCGCGATGCCAGACTGGCCATCCGCGACCAGGACCAGGACCAGGACGAAGCTCTGGATTCACTAGAATCCAAACTCGATGCGCCGTCACGACAACAACAGCAGCCCCGAGAACCAGACGTCCCACTCGACGAGCAGTCATTCAGACAGATCGCCGACAGTCGTCGTTTCGAGGGCTTCAACGATTCCATCAAGGCTGCCGTCCGCAGATCCATGACTGAGATCTCGGCCGCGCTCCAAGCAGCCGCGGCGTCGCCCACCGAACGGGGCGACGTGGCCATGTGGCGTGTTTGCGAAACACAGATCTTCTCGCTCGCGGCGTATCTGCGTCCGAAACCCGTAAAGCGACAACGGTACATTGGGCCGCTGAGATTTTCCTTCTCGAGAACCGAGTCCGACGACGCTCCTCTCGCTCTCGAGGCCGCCTCCCGCGAATTCAACGCGGCCCAAGAGGCTTCCAATCCGTCCGTGGCCAGCGCCGAGACTCTCCAGCAGCGCAGCCACGACGAGTCTCTATCGGATGACGAAACTCAGATGCTCATCTCTCACAGCATCTTGCACCACGTGTACCCGGCTGCTCTCCTGCTCGCTCTGCGCCTGTACATCCGCCACTTTCCGTCGTCGCACCTTGCGCACAATCTCCTCCCGCGAATCCGCTCGTACGGGCACACGAGCTACGTCCTCGGCGCCAGTCCCCAATTTTACAACTCCCTCATGTATCTCGTGTGGTCGACGCGGTCGTCGCTTCGGGAAATCGACGCGCTCCTGTCCGAGATGGAGGGCGGCGGCGTCGAGATGAACGAAGAAACCTACCGCATCCTCAAACAGATAGAGGACGAGCGCGCCGCCGACCTCGAACTGGACGAAAAGGACGCCGGCACGCTGCTGGGCAGTCGCGGTGGGCCCTGGTGGAGGAGACATGAGCAGGTGTTCTGGTTCCCGCGCATCCTCGATTGGCTCAGTGTCGTCTCAAAACGGCTGAACACTGCAGCCATTGAAGGGAAGCCTTGAGCCACCTAGGGAGGGAAACGATCTCGCTCGCCCCTTTCATCTCACCTGTATTACTTGTATAGATATCACAGTGTAAAAATACGTTTGTATAGATTAGAACTAAACGAGCCTTGCACATTACAAAAGCAACATTACCTATCAAGCATACAAGGACATTGTTGTACACGAAGGACGGTTGTTGGTTTAATTCTCGATATCTAGTATCTATTGCTGTTTGGAATCGCATCGTGCATGTTGTTGAGCTACTGTGTTCATGTACGACTAGCCTGAGCCGTCGTTCTTGAAAAATCCACAGCTACAGCCTCATACGACCGCATGATGCGGAATCCAGGAGGCCTGAGTTTTTTTTCTCCCCCTCGCAGGTCGAGTGACCTTTTCACTCATTTCAATTCTCCAGAACTGTATACTCCCGCGCCGCTCATACGGAAGGAAGACAGACTTCCTCAGGGGCTCAAGACATACACTATTACTGTAGATGGGTCGTATTTGCTGTCAGGAAAGAAAGGGGCCGAGTAAAGCACATGTCACAATGGCGTGCATCCCAGAGAGGCGGATTCGGGAGTTTCTTGACCTTGGACCCTCCATTCATTATTATTGTCGCTTTCGATTCTTTCACGCAGCCTCTCCATATGGACCTTTGAGGCCTCGAAGAAAGATGCAGATAGCACCAGCACCAGCACCGTCTTCGAAATAGTCGGTACAGCTCTTCCTTTCGATCTCATCCACGAGTACCAACCAACCTCCATTCACGCGAGGCTATTTCAGTCCAAGTCCAAGCTCAGTGCCAGCGAACTCATCGAAAAGCGACCTCCTCGATTTGGACAGTCCCGTTCTCCACGCCAGCCACAAATTCTTTCAAATCCATATTCCAACGTTTCGGCCCGACCGTGTTGAGGTCCATATCGACGGGACAAGCCGGTAGACGGCCCCATTGGGATTTATCCACGGCCATTGTATCAGCAAGACTGGCATCGTCTTCCCCGACATCCACTTCGTCGCCGTCGACCTTTGCATGCTTTCCCCCTTCCGCTTCCCCACCGTGTCTCTTGTCCAGGTCCTCCCTGGTTTCGATCTTGATGAAAACAGGAATAACGGCACCTGTACCTAACGCAAAGGGCCTGTGCCCCAGAAATCTCAGTATCGCGCCGATAGCGCCCGAATGGCTGGTGAAGCTGACTCTTTCCGAATCTCTGAAGCCTTCGCTCGTTCGCATCAATTGATCAAACAGCTCTCCAAGCCTCGTCGTCAGTGCATCATCGGGCTCTCTCAAATCTGGGTCCCAGAACTCATCCGACTCCGTAAGCAGAGGGTCTCGCGTCGTGATGAACTCGGGAAAACGGCCGCGGATGTACGACACATCACTGCGCCTGTCACACGTGTGGATGCCTGTACCTTCCCGTAGCCGCTCCATCACCGTCGGATCAAATTTGTCCAAAAGACCCTTGAAAGTGATTTGTGCAGTCTCCATGGCTCTGTCCAGGGGACTCACAAAATACTTCTGTGGCAAACTCATCTTCTCGCCTCTGATCTGCGCGTTCCAAAAGTCATTGACCTCCGCAGCCTGTCGGCGTCCTTCCCTGCTCAGGTGCGCGTCCGACCAGACCATCACATTCTCAGGGTCCCCGTCCAAGGCCGAGTAGTGGCAGTCCCATGCTTCACGCCCGTAATACCGTTCCGCGATGTTGTGGTACCCGTTGCCGTGTCGGCCCAGGAACAGCAACTTGTACCGTGTGTGGCTGCCTTCCTCGGATCCATGCCTCTTCCGCTCCTCTGCTCGATTGAGTGTCGCGATGTGGTTTTCGAACCGCTGCCACGCGGTCGCATCTCGACCCCCGTTTGGCAGGTTCTCGTCCGAGTCGTACGAGAGCTGTACAAGTCCAAAGTTCGTCTTCATGAACTCAAAGGTCTCCGGCTTCGTCTCCGGGTCATCCTGCAGAAAGTAGCCAGGCAACGTGGTATACGTGTACTTCTGTACCTCGGGCGTGCTTTGTGTGTGTCCCGGCGTCTCTTGCGCCCCAGGATCCGGATCCGTGTGGACGTCAAGCACTTTCTGACCACTCATGGCGAGAAGAGATACGCCTGCGTCGCTTGCCTCTAGTAGACCGCAGACGACCAGCGACACGGTGAGGAAGAGAAGGAGTTGTCTGTAACGAGTTGTCGGTGTCGCATTAGCCCGGGAAGACGCAGGTTGTGGTGGGTCGCTGGGCGAGCATGGGCATCCACTTACATAGCAATCGTTGTTCGACAGATTCTCGTCGGTACTCTCCACCGACGATGTGCTTTACGATGACTAGGGTCGAGTAGCATCGTGTAAGACTATCTCATGGTGTCCGGGGCCAACATGAGTGTCCGAGAGATCACGGCAACCTTGGAAGTCAACGAGTCTATAGTCAAAGCCTGACGCAAGCCGGGAACTTTCTCTATGGGCGCATGTAGTCTTGTTGCGTCACCGTATAATTACGGTCAAGTTTTAGGCCATGCAGTAAATCGACATCAGGGCCTCATGGTAAGCCTTTTACTATTTAAACTCCCGCCTTGACTGACCCCTTTGTTAGACGCGAGTGAACGCGACATTTATGCCTTCAACATTATACGCGTACCAAATGGCTGCTGCCTAGTAGCACTTTACTTCACTCACTGAGGAGCCCTCTTGCCGCCGAACGACCAATAGGCCTTCCCGGTGCCACAGCTTGAATATTCAAGGGTTATATATTTGAAAGAGTCAATATCTTCCAACAATTCCTCGTGGCTACCCGTGTCACCTGATCCACCGCGGTCAGATGGCGTAAGGGGATTTCACCAGACATGAGGCAGTTTACTTAGGCTAGCCGTGAATCCTAGAGGCGACACCCTGACACTAAGGACCCCTGCATAGGGCGAGGTGTTCCCAGCGAACATGGCTTCTACGCGTGAATCACCTAGCTGATGGAGTAACCTGACGACTTCTCGAGAAAAATCCCTGTGTTGGCAGGGATTTCCCTCGACCTCAACGTCAATCACCCAGCGTGTGATTGGCCTTGAGGTTAGAGTTTTGCTGCTCGAAACAAATGTGTTTTTTTTTGGTAGCAGCATTCTTCTTCCAGTAGCCCTGACTGAGTTCGCTGTAGATTATGCATGTAGCACACTGGATGGCGTCAATATGTGGCGGGCTTCAAGGGACAGATGTTACAGTGAGTCGAGCACAGTGTTTGGTTCACACCGGCTTCTAGACTTGCTTCGGAAGGCCATCCAACTGGCTGCGCAAGATTCTGAACGGGGGATTTGGCTTCCATCAAGAAGCGTTCGTGGCTCCATTCTTCAAGGACAAGACCGAGGTCGCTAGCATTTGCTGGCAGTCGCAGGAAGGTGCGTAGGACATTCTCAATGGTTGACCACATCGAAGAGCTGGTCCGCTTGACGACACCAACGAGTCGGGACATTTTCCACACTCGCTCAAAATGGCCTTGGCCATTAGATAGGGAAAGCAGCGTCCAAAGCAGGTGTTCTGCACTCAAGTCGCTATCATCATCATCATCCTCGAGGATCTGCTGTAGCGTTGCCAGATACGTTTCCGTCTGAGACGAAAAGTCTCCCAATTCTGCCAGTACCAAGTTTAGATGGATCAACGACGCCATCCGACAGTTGTCAACCGCTCGCCGCTTGTCGAAGTCATTGTAACCGGTCTCGAAATTGTCCAAGGCGATGGACAATTTAGACCCGGCTTGAAACGATTTTGTCCGGAGTGGATGGTCCTTCACAGCCTTATGTTGAGCGGCAGTTGAGGGCAAGGCCTTGAGTGCCTGGGCCTTCCGACGGTTCACAAACTCCACGAGTTCGTCACAACTCCGCTCGTACGCAGACCCGGAGAGTAGGCTTGTGGTTGCAGTCGATATACTGACCGATTCTGAGGCTTCATCGAGATAGGCTGGGTTTCCATCCATTGTCGGCCAAGACAATGCTATAAAACTCCTTCGCCCTGTCAGCGCATCTTTCTGTGGGAGGGCGTTGGATAAGGCTTACCAGACAATCTTTGTGTGATAGGGTAGGTTGTCTCGCAGAGCCGGGAAGCCTCCACGCTCAAGCAATAGTCGCTTGAGTGCACCCCAATGTAGTCTTGCTATCTCACGGTCCCCCCAGACACGCTAGCTGCGTCAGTACCATCGGAAAAGAGAAACTCGAGAACCTACTTCTGCGTTGGCGAGAAGACCGACACCCATCGTGGTCCAGTCATCACAAGGGCCCTGGAGGACCTGAAGGCTTCTGTTCACAGCCTCTAAAGAGCGCTGCTTGAATTCAATCGCTTGGAGAGATTCTTTCCGTCCCTTTAGCGTTGCTAGGTGGAGTGCGGCGTGGTGCAACATGCATAAGAATGGTATCTCGTGCTTTCGATAGAGGTTGAAGAGATCCCAACATGAGCGTGGCTTGCGCACTGCTCTATGCCAATGCCGGTGGACGAGTGATGGTATCACAAAGTAGTAATGGTCGACCAATTCATGCACGTCTCGCGTGGCCGGTACCGGATAGGAGTCGAACGGGTCAGACCTCCCACGGCCGAGAGTGTCGATGAAAGAAGTCCTCAGCTGGTGAGAGCTCAGTATGATCTGTGTCTCGACAAGCTCGCGCTCCTCGTCCTTGGGAACTCGAATGCCATTACCGGGCACGTGTGAGCTCTTGGAGGCCGACCCGGTTGCACCGCTGATGGAGAGAGTGCACTCGGTTAGAGTAGCAGACTCGAGTTCCTCATACCTCTTTCGCCGATAGTGTTGTTTTGTCACGAAGGCCCTGGTCCTTTTTCGCTGGGCTTTGCTTTGCAGGCCGTCCACGAATTGAAATTCTTGATCGAATCCAGAGGAAGGCTGGGTCGCAACCCTTCTATGTAGCCTTTGGAGGGAACTGTCGATCTGAATGCTGTGAAAAGACAGGCTAGTGTCGCAAGGTTTTCGACGAGTCATGCTGCTGTCAATGTTGCCGTCGTGACCACCCGGCGCCCATTATCTCTGATATATCCCTAATATAACACTACGATACAATATTACAGTACCCTGTACCCGTGGCTGGGAGGAGTTTTGCATGTTGGGTCTTGTTCGGATCTCCGGGATATCCTATCTCCGTAAGTCCAACAGGAACCTCTCTTCTTAAAACAGTATAGCCGGCGGCTGAACGTCAGACGATATTCTTCCGTTAGAGGTATTGCGCTCAAGTGGTGACCTACGAAGTTGTGTATCATCAAGCAACTATCATTTCTCATAAGCATAAGCCGACGAGGGACTTGTCGCTGATATCGTGTTGAGTATCAATGGAGATAAGGACCCTGCCACTTGTGTCCTCAGATTGAATACGAGACGCCGAACTCTGACTGTGCACATGGAACAGGGTATCAAGAATCATGGTGGAATTACTGATCACAAACAGTCTTTGTTGTTCTGCTTCTGTCGAACTTCGACTTGTGCTCGCAGCTCACACAAGCTCAAATCACCCTGTACTAACTCAATAGTACTCCAGCTTTTTGCTCTAACTGCGCATTGAATCATGACCTTAAGCCTAACATAAGAGCTTGGCTTGGTCCTACCGCGACAGTCAAGAATCTACCACGATATCGCTTGCAGATACAACACTCTGTATCCAACGCTGGTCCTTTATCCTACTCCCACCATTGTTGTCGAACAGCGGACGGGCCGTTTTACTTGCAACGGGAAGCTCTTGTGTGGCATTGACAAGAATAGCTGGTGAGAGAGAAGCAGGTCGGATGTGAACATCCCACAAGGTCATTGGAGCATTTGTGTGGTTGACCAAGAGCGCATACATCGCTTCCATAGCGCATAGCTGCTGTCCAAGACCACTGGTTCCATCCCAACCGTCGATGTACCACTTCGATCCGCAAGTAAGTCCGTTGTTTCTGCTCACACATGCTCTCGCGGCGCCCTGTGCAGAAGCTCGAATGATCTCGCCCACGCGTCCTGCGGTGAAAGGTGCCATAATCGATGTCGCGGCCAACCATCGAAGTAGGTAAGCTTTCATGGAGAGTTGGTCAGTATTGCAGGTCATGCTGAGCTCACATTCCGCCTCAAAGAGAACATTGGTTGCATTCTCGAATGGGGAGACGAAAGTGTTTGTAGCTTCGAGTAGGCCAGCCGTTCTCTCAATCCAAGGAGACGAGCCATTGGTAAGGTTTTGCAGCACTGCGGAGCCATACAGGAACAAGCCGACATTATATGTCCATTGATGATGATCGATACCGGTACAATTGATTTTTTCATCAGTGCCATCGAACACGTTGTAGAAGTTGTCGATGAGGTGGACACCAGCAGCCCAGTCCCATATCTTGTTCGCCCAATGGATGTAGGTTTGGTTTCCCGTGACTCTTGCCAACCGGGCCGAAAGTTGAAAGAAGGCGCCGTTCGAGACGGCATTTTTGTAGTAATACCCTGCATTTTCCGGGTGAAATTGCCATTTGAGACCCCCATTGCACATCGAATTATTCCAACGAAGAACGTAGTCTTGCCATGAGTTCTCGACGATCTTGAGCCAGGAAGGAGCGGGCGCGGGTGGTTGAGGGAAGGAATACTCTTCGGCGGACATTGCAGCAAAGACCCAAAAGGCTTGATCGTCATTTCCCTCGTCCAGGGCTTCAGAGGGCATGTTGAAATCATTTGCGGGGCCTAGTTGGGAAACGAGAGCTTCGATCATGAGCATGTTGTATGAGTCGTCTCCAGAGTAATGCCAATACTCCATCATGCCACTCCAAGCACCGCCAGACTCCCACCTAGGCATGGTAAGTCGCCGAGCGTCTCGAAACAGGGGGCACAGGTGGCTCACCAGTAGTATGGCGGAAAAGGCCATTTTCCAATGGTTCCGCCGCTACGGTTGCCGTTGTAGAGGTCTTGTAAGCCAGAGGCAATGCTTGCTGCCACGGTGAGAATGGCACCTAACGATTGTTAACAATGGCCTGATTCTAGGTCGAGGCAGAACACGTAGACTCACGTCTGTCATCAACATCAAGAGCGATTGCTAGTGCGGCTGACGGAATCGAAACAAGAAAGAGGAGTGAAACGAGTGTAAAGCCATACATGATGGCAAATTCAAGTCTGAAGCAAATCGACTGTTGGAAAGACAAAGGCTGACAAAGAGAGAATTGATGGAAAGAGGCTGAAGGAGGAGGGAAAATCTCATCAACGTGAAATTTCCAGAGAAGTGTTGCAGAAGCTGCAGTGAATGCGTCCGCTTGAATGGAAGTTCATACCACGGAGACTTCACTGCCATCAAAGGTGAACAAAGCATTACGCGAGAATGTTCTGTTTACCCCGGCCATCGATCAGTGTTCCTGATAAACGGATTCAATCGATCAACAGGAGAGCGTATACCGACCGCACTCTCTGCTCCTGACACACCGTCCATATATCTTGCTTCTTTCGCATCCGGAACAATGACCACTTACAAGTCACAAAGTCTTACGACCAGACTGCCAATACACAAGACTCGAGCAGACGATTTTCCCAGACCGGCGCACCAATACCGGATCTTGATAGAGCAAGATCTTGCCGTTGACAATGTACTGCGCGTAGTCTGGTTTCTCTTTTCAATCTCAGTCGACTACTATCGGATTCTGTTGCTCATATAGCCTTTCCCAAACCGCTTATGGCAGGCTGATGCGGTTCTGGTCATGCGTTCGTTCCGTCTCCCGTCCTCTCCAGCTCTTACCATCCTTCATCTGCGACAAAGCCAATCTGCGACCCTGAACGCTTTAACTGTGACAATTTTGACCAGATTTGACCAGCCCAATTGGCAAGGCGATGCTTGTGACAAAGCATTCTTCGGCAGGCGGTAATGGCGGCATATCGCAGCTTTGCGCAAGCCGCCAAAGTTGGCCCACCGTGGTCACGAAGATGACTGCATCTCCTGCATGAGATCTTCAGCCAGGCGCGGGGAGGATGTACCTGGCTTATTTAACACCGCGTGGAGGACTGTTCCCGGAGGGTTTCCACCTATCCAAATCAAGCGGCTAAGCTGACTCATTGCACCAACTCGATCCGGAATGTATCATCGAAGAGACTGGGTCTTAAAAATGAGCCTGGCATATAAACTACGGCCGATGCCTAGTCTGCTTCGAATGTCCCCTCTATTCGCTTCAAACATGCACAACTCTGTAACACTATCGTCACCAAGATGATTGATTTTCAATTGTCGCCAGAACAATTGGCCCTCCGTAATGCTGTGAAAGGATTTGCGCGTGCGAACCTCCAGTCAGCAAGGTCAATATATGAGGCTCAAGGAGCATCGTCTGCTGCGTGGGAGGACCGCTTTCGTTCCACCAAGCCCATTTACGCTGAGGCCGTCAAAGCCGGTCTGATAAAGGCCCAAGTTCCCAAAGAGCTAGGCGGAGCAGGTGGCCCTTTAATAGAGGCTGCTCTTGTCGTGGAAGAATTCTATGCTGTAGAAACCAGCGCATCCTTGACCATTCTAGGAACTGGACTGGGCTTGACTCCCTTGATTATGGCTGGCTCCGCCGAACACAATAAGTTCTCCAAGCCATTTCTCGATGGCACGGGAACACCGCTTGCCAGTCTCGTCTTCTCCGAGCCTGGAGGGAGTGCGAATTTTGCAGAAGAGGGGGCGTCGGGGTTTGCGACTGTCGCTCGACTGCAAGGAGACGAATATATCATAAATGGCGAGAAGGTGAGTGGATCATGTTCTTAATTGGCGGACTTTCTTACCGACATGCCGCAGATCTGGGCGACTAATTGTTCCGGATGGGATGATAGGGGTGCGGACGTACAGTGTGTGTTGTGCCGCGTCGAAGGCTCAGCTGCCGTTGAAGATGTTCGTGGGCAGACAGCAATCATCGTCGTCACCCGAGAGGATATTGCTAAGAATGATGCGAGCGCGTACTCTGTCCTTTCCCACCCTGAGACAATTGGTCATACAGCCGTCAACGGGCCGCACATTCGCTTCAAGAATTTGCGTGTGCCGAGATCCAACCTACTTGCTCCTCCTGGCAAAGGAGCAGATCTAGTTGAGATGACATTCACTGCCTCCGCTGCTCTTGTGGGCGCGATGGGTGTAGGCATCATGCGGCAGACATTTGATCGGGTTCTCGCCTGGGCCAAAGAAAATCGACGAGGGTCGAAGCAAGCAATGATTCATAAGCAAAGCGTGGCGGACCTGTTGATCAGAATCAAGACTCGTTGCGAAGCAACAAGAGCTCTAGTTTGGAAGGCAGCGTGTTGTTTTGGCAGCACTCGATTTGGAGCCGAGCTCTGCTATGAAGCCAAAATTTTTGGATCCGAAAGTGCAGTCGACTGTGTCACAGATGCCATCAACCTGGTAGGGGTATCAGCATACTCGCGAGCCCAGCCATTCGGAGACCTGCTGAACGATGCCATCGTCCTGCCAATTTTTGACGGCGGTAACGTGGGCGTTCGCCGGAGACAGATTGAAGCAATCTTCGCACAAGACGCCTATGACCCTTGGGAGACAACCTTTGGGCCTGAGAAGTGATGTCGGGACCAAAGAAGCTCTACGGACACGTTCAGGGTTGAATCACGACACCAGACTGCCTCAGGGGAACAGTAATTTCACAACACATTGGATTAGCCGTAGGTGGCCCGGTAAGGAGGATAGTAAATTACAAAAAGCAATAACAGAGGAGCACTCAAACTCGATACGAATACGAGCCTCGTTTGATAAGAGATTACCTAAGCGCCAAGCCTAAGTGATCAATACCTGGATGCAATCGTTTCTTCTCTTCCAAGATCCGTTCAGTGACTTTGTGAAAACACACATCATTATTTCCCAGCCTTCCCCGGTATTCCAGTGTGAAAACGTGGCAACCCGTTATTTCCCGTAGGATAGGACCAGCAATCTCGGCACAATCTTTAGAAGATGCCCTAGACGAATCGGGCAACCGAAATATTGCAGGGATTGAAGTACTCTGCCTCGGGCTCCGCCTCATTCTGTTTCAGTACTCTGAGCACCCTGAATCGTCCCCAAGATGCCGAAAGCGGTCAAGGGAGCTCTACTCCAGTGTGATCCGCCTCAGATGGCTATGGTACGGAAGATTGACCGCGAATCCAACAACGCATACATCATCGAAGAAATCGACGATCACACTTGTTTGGTCAAGGAGACTAAAGTGGAAGAGATCAAAGCGCGGGTCAAGGAGCTCATGGATGCAGCCATGGGCATGGACGAGGATGATAACGACGACAAGGACAGCGACCTGGATTGACCGATACAGGCATGCAGAGGACTCTTTCGGATACTCCAAGTCGAAATGTATCCACTACTCCAAAGGTCTTCGCAGAGACTGGAACACAAGAGGGGAACTTTTGTACCCCATGCTTGTCGAGGTGGGCCAATTCAAAGTTGGATGGATGAACGAACGGACGACTTGTCTCAGGGTAGAACACCTCGTACCTTGAATTACAATGCATTTCCCGAACACAGCTCATTGTTCAATCCTCCAGAACCGAAACTGCGGTGGATACAAGCAACAGAGGAAGTAGCATAAGGCTGCCACTGGTGAACAGGAAAAAGGATCCGGGCGAGACGCAAATGTCGTATCATCAACCAGTCTGCATCGTGATGACCGTGGAACACGGGCTATTCGTGGGCAGGTGCCGGCGACAGAAAGCTGTCCACCCATCAAGCACGGGGAGGGAGAATCTACATGCAGGACTTGTATGCGGCTTGGAAAGTTGGTCACAGGGGGGGTTGTCGAGTGTTGCATTGCTAGGCGGCTGCAGGACTGAATCTCTGAATCTGACAATCTGACACTCTTGACACATCGCCACCGACATCTCTACACACATGATACGCTAAGGCAGGCTTCTGTCTGGGTGCATGGCTCATGCACATGACCTCTTGGGTGTGGAAGATTGACTGGATGAAGGCGCAAGTAGTTGGATTTGGGCCACTAGATCGGGGGGCGAGCGGCTGGCGGCATTGTTTACGGGGCGCCCGGTGAGCCCAGTGCGCCTAACGCGGCGGTAGGGGCGGGGAAGACAGCCGGGTGGGAATCGTGAATGCCTGAAAACTGATTAGGGCCAAAGTCTGGCAGTGATTTGCGTGAAGCCACCCGGAGCCCTGATCTGACTTGACATCGGAAGCGCTCGCGAGGACAAGGATAATGCACTTGCAGCGGCCTCGTTTGCATTGTACAAGTACAAGGAGGAGGAGAAGAAGCGAACTGAGACGCCATGGCGAGCCATTCTTGACCAGTGCCCAATACTAATGCTGTGCTGTACTGTAGCGATAGGCTGGCAGCACACTAGCCCGTACTCCCAATGTAACAGGGAATAGCCTAATACTGCAGGGAATACTCCGTATTGGAGGCACCTTGGGCAGGCAGTAAATTATAGCCTACGGTAGAATGGAGGCTCCTTTCTCTCCCCGAGTCACTGGCAGCCCCTTGAGCATCTTTAAGCACCTTAAAGCACCCAAGATCAGTTTTGGGTGAGCCAATGGTGCCGGTACGGAGCACAATGGTCGACATGTGCCGAGTCCCTTAGAGCCTCAACCTGTGCCTACAGACCACAGTATGAGCTGCAGATTCTCGACTCCAAGACTCGTTGTTCGGAATTCTGCTTCTTCTCGGTGAATACTGGCCAATGGGCAGTGGTCGTAGCCACATATCCATGTCTCTTTGCGTCCAGTATCGACGGAGTAACTCGCAAGGGAAAAACATGCTCGCTCCCCGTCACCCCCTTCAACTATCTAGCGCCTGTCATCTGCCCACTACTCTTTTCGTACATCGCCTCCAGTGGGCCTCAAGTGAATCTTAGTGCTGCTAAGGAGTCCCATACTCTGTACTGACAGAGTTGACAAGTTGAGTACAAGGTAGATGTCCTGCCCCGGTCTTGTCGTCCCTTTTCCCGTATCTGGATTTTCCATTCACCGTTACACTAAACAAGCCACGGCCAGGACAAGCAACAGACGTGCTCCGACTCACCCAGTCCTCAGCGCAACTCATTCCCTACAACCCACCCTCTCTCAACAATCACCTGGAGACTTGATTCTCTCTATCTGTTCTAACTAGTCCTCACCTCGCCTCGACTAGATCGGTGCACCCCGCCTTCCTGGTCGGCTCTCGCCGCTGAGTACCTGGAGCTTCACTATCTTATTCTATCTACCTTACAATACCAACTACATACCTGTATGTTCGCCTCATAACTGCACCTTGTCTTCAGCCCACAACATCGACAAGCTACGTTTCCCGGCGTTGATGATCAGATTGTTCGTCAAGCCAGACCCATCGTCCACCAAAGCTCCGGGGAAATTGACCCCCACGGCACATTCATCATTTACTTTACCCAACGATAGTGACAAGTCACGCCCTCCCACGTTCCTCGTCACCGCCTCGCCTTGTCCGCCTCCAGTTCTTCTCAGCCCTCGAAACCGCTGGGTCCTCCATCAGACCTTTCTTCGACTGTTACATGATCCATCGACCTCATCACAGGAGCCCTTTTTAGTACACTAATAGTGTGGCAACCTCCCCGGCCCGTCTCGTTCAGGTCTTGACGTGAAACGGTCCCACATTGTCCAATATTGTGAGCAGCCTCTGATAATCGCTTTCCACCCCTGGCTGGCTTGTATCTGGATCTAAAAACCCCATCACCACTCATTGAGCTGTTCATCTCCTTGACATCCAGTCGGCTTCATCGAAGCAGAGGTCCATGGCACAGCTCACGGTCGGGCAGAGAGAAGTATACAGCCCTTGACCAGTGCTGTTCTACACCTTATTATCACACCCATCGGAGCAGAGGATGAGGCCAGCTTTTGGGTCACCCAATCATGCTCTTCCCTGCAAACCTCCTACCCAACAGTCCACCTCTCGAGACCAAAAAGGCGTTGATATTGTTGGACTTCCAGAATGACTTTGTCAGTCAAGATGGGCGACTACCAGTCGACAACGTCCGAGGCTTCTTACCCGACTTGACGTCGTTGGTGAGAGAATTCCGCACCAAAGGGGATGTCATATGGGCTGGAACCGAATACAGGCAGCCTCGTTCTACCCGGTCTGCTATGACAGGTTCTCACGCCATCCTCCTTAAGCAGTTCCTGCAGGAGCACGACAATGAGGACGAAGAGGGTGAGTGTTACGATGGCCCCAGTTCCCCCCGCTCACCTACCGAGGATCGTCTTTCTCCGTCAAAAAACCCGGACTTATGTGAAGACCGTGAAGCCTACCTGACCCCGACCATGACCATGACAGGTCCAAGGTGTTGCTTACCTGGCTCTACTGGGATTCAATATCCGAAGGTGATCGAGTCTGCCATGGACTCGAAAAAGGATTTAATAATGCTCAAATCACACTATTCAGCATTCATTGACACCCAGCTTCTGATGCACCTCAGGACAAGGCTCGTCACCGAGATTTATGTCTGCGGGTCACTTTCGAACATTTCAGTTTATGCAACTGTCCTTGACGCAGTCTGTCACGGTCTACAGGTGACCATTATTGAGGACTGTCTCGGTTATCGCGACGAGATGTGTCATACCGAGGCTGTACGACAGATGGCCGACAGCATGGGAGCAAACGGTATCGACTGCCAAGAACTTCGAGACGATATTGCTGGTTTGTTAGGCGATGTGATCCGGGAGGAGGAGTTCACCACCAAATTCCAAGTAACCTTGCCGTGTCCAACTGGTAAGACAAAGTCGCATACGTCCAAAAATCAGATCCACAACTGGATTTCCAATGTTGAGTCTGACGAGTTCATCACTCCGCCTCCGGAAACCGAAAGAACTTCTTCGAGAATAGGAGGGAACACGGCTGACGACAAGTCGGAAAAGGAATCCACGGGTGGCCTGTCGAAGATGCGAGCCCAAGCTGCTTCGGTCGAGTACAGCCCCCCACGAAAGAGGTCAACCAGCGATGTCGACTCTTTGGAGGAGAATCGCAGCATCAAGTTGTCCCATAAACCGTCCACAAGGCGCAGCTCGGACAACAGTCGCAACTCGGAATTAACGAAGCAGAAGCAGAGACCGTCGGCCAGGAAGAGGTGGCCATCTCAAGACACCTCTTTACAGTCTCCTAAGCCTAGTATGACCAGCGTCATCGAGCATGTTTCGTCGACTACGGCTCAAGTCGCTGACAAAGATCTGCGTCCCAAGACCGCAAAGAACGAGGGAGACAATGAGCCATCAAAGCCTCATAGGGAGCATCGCCCGTCCAGACAGAGGAGAAAGAACAAAAGTATAGCCAAGATTGTAGGTCAAGGGGACAAGATTGGCAACGGAGACTGCCGGCTTTTTGTCGACGTGATCGACAGTGAAGAGGCGAAGAACGCCTTCTACTCCTTGAGAGACCGAGTAAAGTGGACCAAAATGTACCACCGCTCAGGCGAAGTGCCACGCCTCGTCGCTGTGCAGGGTGAGATGGGTGGGAATGGATCCAAGATCCCCATCTACAGACACCCAGCGGACGAGTCGCCTGAGTTATTACCCTTTGACAGCACGGTCGACATGCTGAGGAAAGCGGCCGAAAAGGCCACCGGGCACCCCTTCAACCACTGTCTGATCCAGTGGTATCGGAACAGCGAGGACAATATTTCAGAGCACTCTGACAAGACGCTCGACATTGTCCGTGGGTCCAGCATCGTGAACTTCAGCCTGGGCGCGCAGCGGACCATGATCTTGCGGATGAAGAAGACGGCGGTGCCGACCGAGGATGAGGGCTATCGCAAGGACGACGAAGACTCGTCACGACCTTCTCAGCGAATTCACCTTGCCCATAATTCTCTTTTCGTCCTCGGCGACGAAACCAACCGATACTGGCTGCACTCTATCCGGGCAGACAAACGGCCCCTGACGGAAAAGGAGGCCGGTGAGCGTGCGTTTGAAGGACAACGCATAAGTTTGACGTTTCGACAAATCGGGACCTTCATCAATACTGTGGGGAAGACTATCTGGGGCCAAGGCGCAACAAGCAAGGAGGAAAAAGATGCCCGTAGACTGCTGACAGGGGTCGAAGCAGATGCTGAAGGAGAGGCCATGATTCGGGCATTCGGTCAAGAAAACCATGCCAGCGGCGACTGGGATTGGGAAGCAGCATACGGGAACGGGTTTGATATCGTCTAACTTTTGGTGTGAAGACTGAAGCTGCAGTACCGGTTGATTACCAGACAGCCGATGCTGGATCGTGAAAATCTAGGATGCATTCCGGGTTCAACGGACTAAATGACTGAATGACACTCAGTCATATAAGGCTACGCAATCATGCGGATGGGACTTCGGGCCTGGGGTGAATGGGAAGGGTGTTTTTAAGACTCGACCAGCGACCAGCGACCCGGTGAAAGGGTCTCATCGACAGCTGCCCCTGCTCCTGATGCTGACTGCAAAAGGTCCTGATGTTGGGGCGGAGGAGGGAGGGGCGAGTGCGCGAGAGAATGCCATCCGTCCATCTATCTAATTCCGCCTCGGTCACCGACGGGTTTGTCACCGGTCATTTAAAGATTGGAGAACGTCGGAGCTTCCTCTACTCTGCTTGTTTGCTTGCTTGCTTGTTCAAGGTGTTCAAAAGGTTGAAACAGTGACTGACTTGACACCTTTGCAGCGCAAAACAAGGGAGAAAGTGAGAAAAGTGTAAGGCGCAGCAGGCTTTAGGACCAGGTCGTTACGTACCACCGATCGCTCCGGACCCATCGAACACCAAAAGCCACCTCCTGCTGGAGGAGGAGGAGGAGCAGGAACAGGCTCTCACCTATACTACCTCCCTACCTTGGGAATATACCCCTACCTACCTATACACCTTCCTATGCTATCTATACTCTCTTATCTAAATCTATTATACACACGACGAAGGGACCACGGCCTTTCAATGACACCGTTTCATGAGAACCGACTGTGATCTCTACCTGTACCTGTAACGGCTGAGATGAACCTGTTTGTTGCGCCGGCGTTGCGCTAGTACTAAAGTTGTTTGAATTCTACGTGATGGTATATGTATATATGTATAGCCTTGACCTAGGGAGGTAACCTGACGCACGCACGCACGTGAGGTGCGTACCTGACTTTTGTATACAAGGCATCCAACCATACACCTAAGGTACGGTAGGTAAGGTATACGCGCGGGAAACCGAGCTTCCTGTCGGTACATGGGCATGTAAATCTTATCATCATCATCATCATCACCACCACAATGGATGTTGTATGTCGTACTACTTACGTATGTGGCTTTGGCGCCTAGTGTACTCCGTACTATTGGTAGCTAAAACGAATGTACGGATGAGGAGTCCTCGAAATTCACCATGTAGACATCTCCACGGTATCCACCAGTAGGACAAGGGGATCAAACCCCCCGAAGGGGTGAATCAATCAATCAATCAGTTAAACTGCCTACTAGGTAAAGTGATTATGATTGAACGGAACAAAACAAAACAGAACAGAACAGAACACGCTTTTTGAAGCAGTGGGTGATTGATGACTGGGGTTTTGCTTTTACTTTGGTTGGTGTACATGCTATGTAGATGCTCTGCGTTGCCGGCTGACTTGAGCAGTTGAGGGTCGATACATGGTAGTTTTGTTGAACTGGGAGCTACCTCAGGGCTTAGGTAGGTAGGGAGGGAGGGAGGCAGGCTTAACTGAACGTGACCTTTCCGTCCTTTCCTACCGTGGCGGTGGACAGCTTAGGTTGAGACTTGGGTGTCGCTGATGGTGTCGACGCCGACGCTTCGCTCCTGGCCTTTTCCGCCTCCCGAGCATTGTCGATGGCTTCCACCACGCTTCCGGCCGGAGCGTCCGCGATCTCATTGACTTCCTGCGCGGTCAGAACGTCAGTGACCCTAGGTGCCCGACTCTGGATGAGCAGCGTCGTCGGGCCGCGAAACTGCAGGAACAGCCTGTCACCCCACAACGTCCTGCGGCTCCACGTCCGCACTCTGAGCAAGGCGTTGGCCAAGAACTTGTACGCGGTGCTTGTCTTCAACGTCCGCACAAACTTCGAAGACGGGAAGAAGTTTCCCAGTTGCAGGGGTATCTGCAGCCGGACGTTGTTGGACTTGAATCTGTACGGCTGGGGACGAGGAGAAGGCGACGAGGCCGTGTACGCGAGCACGTTCGAAGGGTGAACGACGTAGGACTCCCCCTCGGCCAGTTCGACCGCGTAGACTTGTCCTTGGCCCGCGAGGGCAAGCAGTCCTCTCCCAGTCACGTCGGAACTGCCCCAGTACGCCAACGACAGTTTGGCATTCAGGCTCGGCTTCACCGACAGCGTGCTTCCCGTCCACGCCAGCAACGCTTTTCTCTGTGCCAGTTTCCAGTCCGTCGTGCCGTCCAGCTGTAGGATCGTGAACGTGGTCAAGGGCGACCGCGTCGATATGAGGGCGTTCGCCGGCGACGTACTCGTGACTTTCTGGTAGAGAAAGGGGATTCCAACCAAGGCTCGACGGACGGGGTTCAACATTCGAAGCGCCGAGACCGTGCCGTCCGGGTCGCCGCCAAAGGCTACTAACGTTCCTCGACGTGTGTAGAGATCTTGAGAAGGAGAAAGGGTCACGGAAAGTAAAGAGTACGGACTGCCAATGACTTCGAAGCTGGCATCTGAGCGGATCGAAGTTAGATACGCCCTCCCGCGAACGCTTGCGTTTGTGGTCGTCACTAACCTGGAGACGAGGCAGACAGAGACCTACTTCCGACGTCGATCCTGCTGGTATCCGTCGATGGCGTCGCTTGTAGCGAGATGTATCTGTATCCGCCGACCCGTCGACCAGCGACCAAGTGTGCTGGGAACGCCCATTTTCGTGGAAAATTGCCCAATTGGCGCAGGCTGCAGGCTGGAATGGCAGGCATTTCGACCGGACACGGTGTGTTTTGAAGGTCGAAGTACCGGGATAGACGGCGGTGAACGCAGTGTCGCCGTCGAATACTGGCGCGCGGAAGAGAAACCTCGTCTCTTCGAAAAGCGCACGTTATGGAAGCTTCCTACGCGGAGCTTGATGCCCGGCTGTCGTGTTCTCTCGGCAAACTTGCCCCTGGTTTGGCCAGCAGCCTTGTATGTCAATTTCTTTCAACAAGGCTCAGCCGCTTCACTGTTCTTCAAGACCATTCATCCTCACCAAGACGTCAGTCACAGCAAACAAGGTGATTCCGGCATATAAATCGCTTGAGACTTCGCATATATGGCCAAGAATCACATCGAACAATGACCTTACACATCTATACATATACATAGTTCTCATCTGCCGAACATGGACCTGTTCGTCGCCCAAAGCTTGTCCTTGTCCTCTGGCTGAAGCATTGGGGCTTGCTGTGCGGCTTCCCGACCGTCTACCTTGCTTATTTGGTTGGTACTCGACACCTCGACGCCGACGGGCGACCAGATCTCCGATGTATTCCTCCTTCATCTGAGTCAACAGCACTATGCTCACAGACCAGTAGCCCTCGCCAATTTTCTGCTGCTTCGCGCTTAGCGCTAAACGAGCACAGCTTTGGTCGTTGTTTCTCTACTTTAGCTCGAAACATGAGTAGAACTTCTTCATTCCTACTCATCAGAGCATCAATACGAATTCTTCGGTCCGAAGAGCGTCCACCCGCGTTTCCATCTAAACTCATCTAGGCGACCTGCATATGGATATATCCGAAGTTCAGCCTTAATATCAGCCTAAACCTCACCAGGTGGCAGATCGGGAGTATACTACCGAGATAAGAGTGGTAATAATATAGCAAAACTCTGGAGGCCAAGCGTGGACCCTTTCTCTCTGCCCCATTTTCGTTGCCCGCGGCCGAGCTCGAAGCCAATAGCCGCGTATCATCAAGATGCCGCCTGCCCATCACACGGTTGATTCCCCTCCTCAGAACACGCGCATGATGTCGAGAAGGGTAAATTGTGATGGAGCCAGACCGCTCTTCCACCGCCGCTCCATACCGATGTGGGAATTCAACTTGGAAGGTTTCGAACCGGACTTTGACTCTTGATAGCTTTCCCTTACATCTCCCGGCGCAAACTCTATGCAGAGACTGCATGTAGACTTGGACCTTTATATATCTTCGAGACTGCGCCCCGTCGAGCGTTGTATGTAGCAAAAACATGGTGAATCAAGTGACCGCAAGTGCCGGGAAGGACGATGACGCCTTTCCCTACAAGCAGTTGGCTGTCGTGGGTATGTACATCATTGCAGCCACTACATCTCTACGACGCTGACCTAGTATGATATCTAGCCATCTGCCGTCTGGCAGAACCTATCGCCTTCACCTCGATAACAGCATATACCTTTGTTATGGTCAAAGACATCAAAGGTGAAGAAGATGCGTCGTTTTATGCTGGTCTCCTGATATCAGCCTTCGCCATGGCCGAAGCCTCGACAGCCATGATCTGGGGTAATATTTCAGATTATTATGGCAGGAAGCCCATCATCCTCGTCGCTTTAGCAGGTACGGCTCTTTCAAGTCTCATATTTGGCTTCGCCAAACACTATTGGGTTGCCCTTCTTGCCCGAGTCGTTGGTGGAGCCCTAAATGGAAATGTTGCCGTTATGCAGACGATGGTGGCCGAAATGATCAAGAAGCCGGAGCATGAACGTGAGTTATTCTGTAATCTCTCCGGTTCTTTCGCTCACTCTATGTCAGCCTCAGCGTATGCTGTTCAGCCCTTCATGTGGAGCTTGGGTTCAATTGTAGGATCAGCTTTAGGAGGCTTTACAGCACAACCTGCAAAATTCTATCCTCACCTATTTTCGCCGGACGGTCTTTTTGGGGAGTATCCATATCTTTTGCCAAATCTAGTCGCTGTGGTGGCAATTCTCATCGCCATGCTGCAGGGCTGGTTGTTCCTCGAAGAGACCAACCCTCGACTCCGACCAAGCTTGGGGCAGCCTGAACAATTTAGAATCGAAGAGCCTCCTATCTCAGAGCGAACACCCCTTTTCCGATCACGAGTACGAAGAGGATCGGCGGTCGAGTCAATAACTGTCTCCCTAGGCCGGAGCAGCATGCGCAGCAGCATTCGAGACAGCTTTTCGTTCGCTTCTACCACCGCGCCACTTCCGAATGACCCTGCCTTCGACTTACGGAGAGGCTCGCTTGCATCCATGGTGTCAGTCGCCTCTTTCAAACCCTTAAGCGGCATTGCTCCGCAAATCTCCGACGTCGTCATCGAGGATGACGAAGATTCGGCTATTTTACAGGAATCAGTCACTGCGTTCAACAAACCCGTCATATTCTGGACGGTCGCCCTTGTTCTGATGTCCTATCATCAGATGTCGTTTTCTTCTCTGTATCCGGTCTACTTGCTTGATGACCCACACAAATCACCAGGACATCTTGACCTCGTAGGAGGGTTAGGACTAACCCTTCCCAAGGTTGGCGTCTTCCTTGCGGCAAACAGTGTACTGTGTTTGTTCTTTCAAGGGGTTGTCTTTCCAATGTTCGTGGGCAAGCTCGGTATCTGGAAGTCTGTCTTTTCCCTCGCTGCCATAACGCCTCTCGCGCACATCTTGGCTCCCTTTGTCTCAACCCTGCCGAATCCAGGCTTGGGTCTCTGGGCCCTGCTTGCGCTTCAAAGCTTCACCTGCATCATCATGTTTCCTAGCTTGTTGATCTTGCTAAAAAATGCCACGGAGTCGCCGCTTGTTCTAGGCAAGGTTAATGGTCTAGCGATGTCGGGCTGTTCAGCAGCAAGAACCGTTGCACCGCCGCTCGGAGGCATCATCTACAGCTCGCTAGGATCTGCAGCAGCGTGGTGGAGTTGCGCCATCATCTCAATCGCTGCCATTGTCCAACTGTTTTTCGCGCCCAGACCCGAGGAGGACAATACCACAATCCTGCGCCGAGCTTCAGTTGTAGTAGAAGCGCCACCAATGGCCGACCATGTCAGGGATTGAGCCTCTGATGACCCCACGCCTTTCCATTACTACATATCATCGCTTCGAGGAGTTGCTGGGATCATGATTTGACATGCATGCATCATATGGAGATTTTCGCGGATTATTTGGTGTTTTGGAAACGCATATGGCGTGTCTCGCATCCACACGGACATCAATGGGAATGGTTTGGCTTCTTCTGTTTGATTCTCTGGTTGAGTGTAAAATCTAGCTTACTGCAGCCTTTCTTTGAGCCACAATCTAATGGCACCCTCCTGACTCTGGTCACCCCGCTTCTCAAGTTCATTCTCTGCTAATGGGGTTAAAGGAGCATCATGGATCTCGTTCTTACCCACCACAAGCTTCACCACGTCACTGCCGACTCCTTGTTTTATTTTGTTTGCTAAAGAGACGATTGCGTCGCGCAGAGCTTCCTGGTCCCCTGCTGTCATGAGCACGGAAGACACCTTGACGCCGGACCACCAACTTGGCGGGGCTTGTTCTGCGACAATGTACTCGTCGTCCTTGATGTTCTTTCCTCGACCCTTGTACGCATCAATCCAGTAATTCGCGCACCCCGGGTTCACGATATCTCGCTTCGCGAACTCGGTCATGGATTTGAACTTCGAGGCGTCCGACGAAGCCCATGGTGCGATCATGAGTGCGCCCTGCAGTTTACCGGCGAGATCGAACGGCTTCACGACATCTGACCTCGGGTGTGGGTGAGCTGAGATATGGCTGAGAACGGCGCACACCAGGTTGCCCCCGGCGGAGTCGCCGCCTATCATGGTCGTATCTGGCGTGCGGTTGGGCAGAGAGAGCACGTAACGCAGTGCTTCGACCGATTCGGCAAGCTGAAGCGGGTATACGCCCTCCGGGGCGAGGGTGTATGCGTTGCAGAAGACGGCAAGTTTCCCACCTGACCACTGCACGAAGCGGGAGAGCAAATCGATATGCTGGGCCAGTCCAGGCATGACGAAGCCGCCGCCGTGGAAGTAGACCATTACATAAGTTGCCGAGTCTGGGTCACCGAGCCAGAAGCCTCTAGTTGTGGTGTTGGGAATGTCGACAATCTTAGGGGTCAGTTTCTTCTGAGTGCAGAATTTGATGTAGACGGCCTCGAACGAGGGGAGGAGGATTCTGGAACCAGAATTAGCGACACGAGGTCATGGTCTAGGACCGCAAGGCGCAAGGAGGTTGCAACCGCCTCGGATGGCTTTGGGAATGCACACATACTGCAATTGACCGGTGGTGAAGTGCGTGAACATAACGCGAAAGGCGGTTTGCAAGACATGTTCGGTGACTGTCGGAGCGCCCTTTGATCCTCGAAAAGGGCTGCCCAGTAGAGCAAGGATGCTTCTCGCAAAAACGTACGATAGCCCTGGGACGAGCAGGACTTTGTCACCGACAGTTGATGGCATGGTGGCTGATTTTCCTGAGGCAGGGGTCTCTTTGGAAGATTGGTGTGGTGCGAAAGCAGGGGGTGTCAGATTGGAAATGTGAAAGGGATCAGGGAGCTTTATACTTCGAGATTAGGATACTTCGGGGGTTTGATCACTGATCAACTAACGATGCAGCCCTCGAGAATCTGTGCCTTGGGACATCCACGCTCACACGCCTTACCAGGTCGAGTAGCTGGAATAGCCAAGCGTCTCCAGACTCTGGACTGTACTTTAGTGTCAGGCAACCAACATATGGAGTAAACTTTGGAGAAATCTGGTGAGACTGCTGACGGCCAAGTAATTATGCCTGGTTCTCGGAGTATCCGTATATCCTTTATGCCTTTCCAATGCCATGGCGACTTCTGCCATGTAAGCGCCAGGGCTGACGACAGAACAAGGCTGGCTAAGCATGCAGCGCTACCATACGTTGGACCTCAGGCCTGGCGTACACTGATATTCTGTTTAGTACTCCTCCAGACTGCTCTCCTGCAGCTCCTGCCTGATTATGAGCTGTCAGAGCCCGAAAAGCACATACAGTAATAACTCAGAGGCCGTAGAACTTAAGAAATGAGGACACCCACGTCGACGAGGCTGCGGTGCTGTCAGCCTAACGATTTTGGGCTTAGGCTCTCTACGGTGAATCAATGCAAGGGCCGAGGCCGCGAACTCTGGCCGAATACGGCGATCGCATCATAATCCGCAAAAACGCCTCATTCACTTCAACAAAACACGCGGTAGTCCGACGTCCAAACATATACTCTATACGATATACCCTCGACGCGACTATTCGATGACCGGTTCAATGCGACATCGATGATAACGTCCTGTTCAGTAAGCCGTTGCGAGAGGGTCCGGAAGCAACCCTGTTGAGAGCACTCGCAAGAAGCCGAGGATCAGCTTACGCAAACCATGCTCCCCAGGACGGTTTACAGCTGTGGCAGGCAGCAAGTCTACAACTTTGCTTGGGCCGGACCATATAGTTGGACTGCCACATACCGAGCCGCACCGTCAAGAATTGCTGTACGCACTTTTACTCAATCAGCCTTACTAAGACGTGACGAACCCGCCAAGAGGTCGATTCAAGCTGCTAAAGTGGCAGAAAGCCCTCCAAGCCGATCCGACAGTGCAGAGGTCACAAAGCCAGAGACCCTCCAGAATGTAGTCACAGCTAAGGCGGGCCCAGACCCGGCCAAGAAGGATACGACTCTCTTGTCGGAAAAGGTTGTGTCCAACAAGGAACAACGGAGAGTCGACCTCGCCATCATGAAGGAAATGGTAAGATATCTGTGGCCGAGAGGCGATTGGGGCACCAAGGCCCGAGTGGGTACTGCGTTGGGTCTGCTCGTGTCGGCTAAGATCTTGAACGTCAACGTCCCGTTCTACTTCAAGAACATTGTCGACTCGATGAACATTGATTTTCTGGCAGTGGGTGGGACGGCTTGGACTGTGGCTGGTTCGATGATCGTGGCGTACGGTGTGACGAGGATCGGGGCCACTCTCTTTCAAGAGCTGAGGAACGCCGTCTTTGCCAGCGTCGCGCAGAAAGCTATACGAAACGTGGCTCGAAACGTCTTTTCCCACTTGCTCCGCCTGGATCTCAATTTCCACTTGTCGAGACAGACTGGAGGATTGACACGAGCGCTTGATCGGGGCACTAAGGGCATCAGCTTCTTGCTGACCTCCATGCTGTTCCACATATTTCCCACCGTGTTGGAGATAGGAATGGTGTGTGGGATTCTCACGTATCAGTACGGTGCTCAGTTTGCAGCCATCACCGGAGCGACCATGGCTGCGTATTCGGTCTTCACCATTACCACGACATCGTGGCGAACAAAGTTCCGAAAGCAAGCCAATGCCGCGGACAACCAGGGAGCCACGGTGGCAGTCGACACGCTCATCAACTATGAAGCGGTCAAGTACTTCAACAATGAGAATTTTGAGGTGAATCGTTATGACAAAGCGTTGAAGAAATACGAAGATGCGTCTATCAAAGTTACAACGTCGCTAGCCTTCTTGAACACCGGCCAAAACGTCATCTTCTCCAGTGCCTTGGCTGGGATGATGTATATGGCTGCGAATGGGGTCGCAGAAGGTTCACTAACTGTTGGAGATTTGGTCATGGTGAACCAGCTTGTCTTTCAATTGTCGGTGCCTCTCAACTTCTTGGGATCGGTCTATCGAGAACTTCGACAGTCACTTTTGGATATGGAAACACTGTTCAATCTGCAAAAGGTCAACGTCACTGTGAAGGAGGTGACAAATCCCAGGCCGCTGGCCCTGACCCGTGGGGGCGAGATCAAGTTTGAGAATGTCAGCTTTGGATACCACGCTGATCGACCGATTCTGAGAAACTTGAGCATGACGATTCCGGCAGGCAAGAAAGTGGCCATCGTCGGACCCAGTGGTTGCGGCAAGTCCACGATCCTCCGACTCTTGTTCCGCTTCTACGATGCAGAGTCGGGAAACATAACGATCGATGGCCAAAACATCCGCGATGTGAGTCTGGACAGCCTCCGACAAAGCATTGGCGTCGTCCCGCAAGATACCCCGTTGTTCAACAACACCATTGAGCACAATATCAGATATGGAAAGATCGACGCCTCGCTGGACGACGTGAAGCGAGCGGCTCAAAGAGCGAGGATTTTCGATCTCATCGAGCGTCTGCCGGCCGGGTGGAATACCATGGTGGGTGAACGAGGCATGATGATCTCGGGTGGCGAGAAGCAACGCCTTGCTGTCGCCAGGCTGCTTCTGAAGGATCCCCCGCTCTTGTTCTTCGACGAGGCCACCTCGGCCCTGGACACGTACACCGAACAGACGCTGCTGCAGAACATCAACAGCATTCTCAAAGAGAAGGCGCGCACGAGCGTCTTTGTGGCACATCGCCTCCGGACAATCTATGACAGCGATATCATTTTCGTGCTCAAGGAAGGCCAAGTCGTGGAGCAAGGTACTCATGCGGAGTTGCTTGCCATGAACGGCTTGTATGCGGATCTGTGGGCCGCGCAAGAGGTCTCGATCGGTCAGGACATGACTTTGGAGCGGTCACTTGAAGAGGAACGCGAACAGGACGAAAAGAAATGAGTAGTCCGTCGATCGAGACTACGTGATATCCGCCCCCACAAGAGATCCACCGCATTTGCAAAGACGACTCACGGATGACCTGCCATTGCCTATAATCGCAGATGAACTTCTGAAGAGTGAAATGTCGATGGGGCCCCGATACGTTCCCGTCCAGTCCGAGTCCGGGTTCGACTCGAGTATACGTGTGTCTGACGACAGGATGCATGTTCACCACTACCGTCACCTTCGTGTTCACCACCTTCACATCCTTGTACGCTCACCACAGTCTATCGAGAGTTCTGTCCAAAAATAACACCGAAAAGAGAAAAAGTTTGGAGGATCGAAGCCTGGTCCCAGCGCACCGAACTTCATAATACTTATCCCGACTATGACTGCTCGTATCGGCTAGACACACCTCTACTCGAGGTTCTAATGATACGGAAGGAGGGCCGTGGAAATCTGCCAAAGACTCCCAGTTCAATCCACCAAGCAGCTGATTTCCAAGGACAAGCCCCAACCTCCAAATCACTCGGACCAAACTGTCGCAGTTCGACGCGGTGAGCCAAGTCTTACTAGTGGCCAACAAGGCGGGCCTGTGTTGAAGAAAATTCACTGGGTGGAATATAGGTACATGCCTGTGTAGGATAGAATATAGACTTAGTATACGCTCTCCTATTTAGACAGGTATTCGATTCTTCACTCTGCGATTTTGTTGCCTCCTGTGGAGCTGTCGGCCCGAATCCAAGATAGGCGTCGTCCGTACTGGGACGACGGCAGTAGTATTGCACTGCACGCAACCACATCCTGGTCTGGGTGGAAACTGCATGTATTCCTGAAACTACCTTGCGCTCTCCGAGGGCACATTCCTCCGATGAGAGCACAGTTTTACCTACATAGGCTCTCCTATCCACTTCCTCCATCTGTCCGATCCTCAGCGACATGAGCCGCTTCTCCTCCACGCGTTCCCGAATAGATCTTTCGTAACCTCCTCTCAAGAACATGAGATGCTGTCGCGGTGTCCGAAGAGCTGCTGCGATTCGTAGTGCCGACTACGCCAATCTCAATGGCTGCATTCCTCGCCAAAGGAATATAGACTTCTTTCCACGGCGTCACGGATAGACTTTGCCCCGAGGACGAAAGGAAACGAACCTTCATTGGGCGAGCTGATGACGATGAAACCAACTCTGATTTCCTCGGCAACCCACCGGCTTTCGTCTAGACCGCGGATTCTGATGCTGATCTCTCCAACGAGAGGATAGGGTTGGCCAGCCATCGTAGTGACCTTCAGAGGGGTTTTCGGTACAGTCCTGTCTCGACACTGATTGTAAACTACTATTCTGTCGGCCATTCCTAGCATTTGAATTGTCTCCAGTGTCGTGTAATTTTCCAGGCTGCCTGTGTCCTCCATCATCCTAAAGTAAATTCGTTCTAGGCGCTTGTCATCAAAGATAGGCCCGCCAGTCCCAGGTGCTGGCAGATTCGCAATAATAGTGTATTTGGACGCTCTCATGGCGCCATTGTGTCCAGGAAAAGGATGACAGTAGCCTTGGTCGCACAGTAAACACATGGGGGGCTTCGGGGTTTGCACGATCAAGACCAGCTGAGTTGTCCGTCCGCTTGTCCAGCGAGTCAGAGACTCAAGGTCATCGTTCAAGTCTTTCAGATCCTTCACCAAACGCGAGAACCCAGTCTTATCGCAGACAGCCCATTTTGCTGGTCTCAGAAATTTTGGGTGACTGCTAGCGGTCTGGGTGTTGCGCTTCAAGCCATAATTCCTAGACAGCTCGGATTCATCCAAGAAGAGGTTTCGTATACATTCCAAAGTTTCTACAATCCGATCCCTTGGCTTTGACTCAGCGGCTCGTGTGTGGTACTCGTAGTTGTTTATTATACCACAGGCTTGTCCCCAGATAATCAGGCGGTCCTGTTGGTTCTTGAATTTTGTCTCTAGAATCTTGAAAGCTTTCTCAGATGCGTGCACCGCTTGGACACTCCGGTAAGACTCAACACATGAAGTAAATAGGTCTAGGAATCGTTGAGGTGTGTCAGTGGCAGATTGACCTCGGGGGCCTTTGGTTGTCTCCTCGTCACATTTGAGCAAGTCAAGTGTTGCTTCATACCGGTTCCGCAAATCTATAGATGCGTGTCAGTACTTGAAGAGATTACAATCATGACAAACGGATTGTAAATGTAGAAAGGCGGGCGTTCAGGGGGCCACCTACTCCTCGAAGACTTGTTGATTTTTGCTTTCAATCGTACAAAAGCATGTTCCCCCTCACCATATATAAGTGGCATGTAGACGTTAAAAATCCCAAGAAGGGAATAAGCCTTATCCTCTATTTTCCGGGTGTTTCGGTCCTTCGCCCATCGTAACCGTTCATCGACACTGAACTCTGATAGAGATGCTCCCCGGAGAGCCGAGACGGGAACCCCTGTTATCTCATGAATCTGGTCCCCCAGCGTCTTTTTATCGCCCAGAAATGTTCCTTCTCGTGAATAGAATTGGACTGATCTTGGAGCGATCAGTTCTTGAAGCGTCCACCCTCGTGTAAACCATTTACTGTCCCGAAACGCTAGTTCCCACGCTTGATCGGTAGGGGTATCGGCATCGTCGCCGACTGATACGTCGGATAGATATACATAGCATTTCTCTGCTCCACTATACCAGCGGAACATCGAGGTGATAGCTTCTGAGAGCTCAGTGAAGTCCGCTTTGTTTATGGAGCATGTGTCCACCCAGAAATATTCTAGGCCATCCCTTTTGGCTTGTTCTCCGCAAAATCGAATCTTCTCGTAGCCAGCCTTGCTCTCTCCAGATCCATTTTGTAGATCTTGAAAAGTGACTTCGTCATCATCAGCTCCCCAAGTGTGAGAAAGTATCGCATAGCAAGTGGTGTTCTGGACGGAGTTCTTGGACACGACTAGGCGGCCACCATGGTCGAACTTCAAAAGCCACATCCTGTGGATCACTTCAGAGAGAGCGATAGGCAAAGACGAATAGCTGTAAGCATTTGTGAGTGCGGCTCAACATGGTCTGGCGTGGAATAGACTGCGATGCAGGTGGGTTCCGGACGTCTTGAGGTTGAAGTTCTGGTTCAGGGCTCTTCGAGTTGCTCAGAACGTGGTGCGAAAGACTCAAGTTAATGTATGCTGGATCAGGCTGGGATGTTTCCTGGATCCTACACGGAGGGGTCACGTCTGGCCATGATCAAGGAAGACCACGTTAGCAGCCTCACCGCAGAAAGGCTCGTCAGGCATACGCCACGTGTCTATCCGACGGAGAGAGCATGCACAATGACAGGATCAGGATCATCCTTGCCAGTCTCGACATCTGGTAGCGACAGCGATTTGAAAGCTATACCAAAGCCGAAAAGCGACAGACTCAGTGTTGCCCTGTGTTGCCCTGTAGAAACGGAGTCCAAGACAAGTACGAATACGACTCTCCCGTATTCCAAAAGCCGTACGACTTCTCTTCCGGCTTCTGGACATATTGATACGGAGTAACAGAATGGGCAATCGCTCCGGTCTCGCAGCAGAGTCTGTAGGACGATTCGAGCCACCGATACGAGGTTATCATGAAATCAGCTCATAGTCGAGACGATCAACGATCTTTAGGTACTGAAGAATAAATTTCAGAGACAGGGGCCTCGCAAACCATCTTGGCTTAGGGAGCCCCTGGCACGTGGCGTTACTATAGTTTACTGGGGAGACACCTCTACTGCACACTATTTCAGCACCCTAACCGTACCACAACTATTACTGGTGACTGGAGAATGTCCGTCGATCATTTTGACTCCATGGCTTGCATCGAAAAGTCCACCGTCGCGCTCAAGGCACGGAGCGGCGTGTAACACAGGCTTAGGCTGGCTGGCTGAACAGGGAGGCAGGACGAGCGCGACACACAGACGCACAAAATCACGAGGTTTTGATCTGGCAGGGCAGAGCGCAGCTCATTGCGAATAGCTTTGCAGACAGATGCGCGTGCCTGAGCAGAGCTGTCACTCTCATTCCCCCAGCTTCTGGCCACGGCTTCTGACAGGACATGCATGCGCTCTGCATATTCCCACGCTAGAATCTTGGAGTGGGAACATTTAAGCCTCCAGGCAGGAACGACAGCGACTTAGGGGCCCCTATTAGGCTAGTCTGACACCAAGCCACGCCTAAGCACGTCCATTCTCCGCCCAAACGCAGCCTAAGGACTGGCTAAAGCCTCGGGCAGAAATTGCCATCGGGCTACCAGGCCGTCTCTTTTTCACACGAACCGACTCCTTTCTATCCCTGGATTGATAATGGGAACCACGCCCACTATCGCTTGTCGCCAGCGGCGAGCATGACATCTTCGTTACACTCCCTCCCTTGACTTCCTCTCCTTGTCGATACCGAAAGCCTCGCACTCGCGCCTCAGACTGTCCAAGTCCGGTCACATCAGCCTTTGTTGCACCCGAGCGTTTCACAAAGCTGCATAAAACCACCGAAAAGTCCACGTACGAGCATCCGAGATCTGGTGTCGGCGGGGCGCAAGACAATTCCTTTTTACATCACCTGCCATTGCGACGGCTTCTTGGTCGAGGAACCCTCTCGCTCGGTGTCGAGAAAAGAGCGAATCGTCACACAGATACCTGTGAACCTATCGCTCTGCATCCTGTCAGTCGGAAGGCCGGATCGAAAGAATCCACGATTGCGTCTACATCACTCTACTCGGGATCACGAGGCTCTACACACTGACGCATCTCTGTCTCGCGAGAATCAGCTTGCGGATCCTTGTTGGATATAAGCATTCTCTTCTGCGCAAATCCAACTCGCTCATCGTATCGCCCAATTTTGCGTACTATTCGTGAAACTACTTTATCAAGATGGGTCTCTTTGAGAAGCTACAATCAAGTAAGTTAAGCAACCTTCTCTTTTTCTCTGGCTTGGGTGCGCTGAGGGCTCGCTTGATTTGATTCCTTTGCTGACAGTATCATTCTAGAACTCGAACTCTACCGCCTCGAGCAGAAATATGCTCGCCGCAAGAACAGAACCACGTTCAGCACTGGCGCTCAGTATGTCGACGGAGAATATGTCTATTCCGGTGGACCAGACTACTTGGGCAGTCCCGTTTCCGCAAACTCGACGGGCAGCTCGGACAATTCGAACAAGAGAAGGACCATGTTCTGGACACCGCCTGATCAGCGCAGGTGATGCCTCTTGAATGATTCCAATTCATGTGAAAGTCTGCCGCTGTACGCTTTCGTTATCTTTACTGCTTGGGTTCACGGGTTTTCAGCATAGCATGGGCGTTGTGATTTCTTTGGGGTTTGAACCACGCCATGGTTATATCGTTATGATAGTTACATGGTCAAGAACGCATTTCATTTGTTACGAGCAACATCAATCGACCTCGCAGAGAGACGGGGTGCTGTCGAGTTTGGCCATGCTGGGTGAGCACTGCGAGGAAGAGGACCTACGTCGCTGATGGACGATACAGCGTAGGTAGGAAGAGCGCTTTCGCTTCAGCAAGCAAGTATGAATATACAGTACTCCGTACAGTATAATTATGTGCCAAAGCCGCAAGGATCCCATGGCCGTACTTTTCTACGTCACGTCCGCTGCGTCAGTCCCACGCTCAGACCACCGCGTCTAATGGATATGCATTGCCCGTATCCGAAGCGGCCGAAGCCGTAACGAGTGGGAAAAGAAGTGCGCCCCATACTCCACCGTACTTGGCTACGAGATACGTGAACTTCGAAGCCATAAAGACTGATTAAGAACGTGTCCTCTTGCATATGGCCGCGAGGAGCTCCTTTGCGGCGCCGGAGCTCTTCGCGGCTGTGTCAAACGGAGTGTCGAGCCATTGATGCTTGACCATGATCTTCTGTTTTAGGGGTTTTCGTGGGTTACGGCACCCGACAGCAGAATTCCAGTCCCGAGTATACCCTCGCTGCCTGCCGTGTTACAGGCAGTAAGAGTGACAATGGTCCAGTTAATTCTGCTGCTCAGAGATGCGGACACCGCGCGGGTGATGCTGGAGGTAAGTGAGTGCGAGCACCTTTTCCGATCACTGCCTTTTGTGATTGCTGTGAAGGTGGACCGATGAGACACGAAGAAAGAGACATGTCCAAGTTCTTACTTTGCTGATTCTGCGCCCAACACCACAACACAGGATTGCCTTCTGACGACAGGGCATAATTCCAAGAGGTCATGAACAATAATAGACGGGTCAGGAGGAGCGCTCCAAAAGCCGGCGGTGGCAGCAGTCAAGCAGCCGGTAAAAATGATCCAAAATCCAACAGTGATGCAGTTCCGGTCTCCTTGGTCGTGAGTCGTAAAACATCAAGGTAAGCCAGTAGAATACCACCATCCTTTTTGGTATGTCTTCGGCCACTAATTGGGAGGGGCACAGCTTTGCAGGGTCAGAGATTATGACTGTTCTTGTCGACAAAGATGAAGTCAAATACTACCTGCACAAAGACAAGTTGACCTCGGAATGTCCCTTCTTCGCAAAATGCCTTGGCTCGGGCATGAAAGAGGCTCATACCAACGAGGTTAAGCTACCAGAGGACGACGTGGAGGCGTTGGACTGCTTCGTGGATTGGATCTACAAAGAGCCCATGCCAAACATCTCCGTCGGAGAGTCGGTGATTGTCACGATGAAAGCCTGGGTCCTTGCCGAGAAGCTCTGCATGCCAAAGTGGCAGAACGCATTGATTGACCACCTGGCCCACATCTTCACGTATTTTCCAGTGGTGAAGGCGTCTCACCTGTCCTGGATCAACGACAATGTTCCCACGCCGAGTCCTCTGTCGAACTTCATGAGGGACTATTTCGCGCACGAGCTCGCCAAAAACGCGGGCGCTTATCGGAAGAAGCAGGAGTCGGAATTGGGCCTGGACGAGGGACTTTGGTCTGCGTTATCCAAGTCTCCCACGGGAGATCAAGTGACGCTGAAAGCCATCGCCATCGCCCGCGACTCGGACGCATCCAACCCGAAAAATAGACCGCACGAGCACCATGTCCCAGTCTAGCCAGTCTGGGTTCATTGTCCTGTTTGGGGGACCCAGGGCTAGAGGGCTTGAGTCCCGTTCCAAGTCTGGTGTCTGGGGATGATGCCTTATCTCATGAGGGACGTCGACGGTGTTGGCTGAGATACGATGATGCACTGGACATCACTGGACATGAATGCACATACCTACGGAGTTTTGGCCTTGCTTGGACAATGAACATGTTGATGTCGTGGTTTCTTTGAGAACTAGTGATATGGTTAGATGGTTCACCACAATCGTGAAAGAAACCCTTCGATTAAGCCTTTGTTTTCAGTAGTTCCGTTAGCTACTCAATCTCTTCGTCCAAAGACGCCTTAAGGCGGTGGAGGAGAGACATGTTCCTGCTTGCCTCGAAGCATGGCATTCGCCGTATGAAGCTTGGAGTGCGGATACTCCGGAGAACTCAGGTACGGAGTAAATAAGTATCAGTACGGAGCACTCGTACCTCGACCATGTCATCGTCCTACCTCCGATTGGCTTGCGATTGATTGTTTTGTTCGCCCCCATGTTTCGAACCCCAAATGTCTTGGGTGGATTGGAAAAGAGAGAGAAGACACACCCCACGGCGGAAGATACGGAGGCGGCTGGACTGACCACTGACCGACCTGCGCCCTCCCAAGCCTTCACAGCATGTACTCGTACAACTCTGTAAGGATTCGGTCACCTCTGGCAGACTCTTCTTTGGTTGGTCTGATCATACGAAGTACTCTTACCGAGTACGAGCACCGTATCCCGATTCCGCAGCCCGTTCCCGCCCGGTGATTCGCCCTGTTGTGGTTGTTGCATTTTCGTGCCCAGCGCCTTGTTTTCGTGGCACTGACTACATCATTCATTTCATTGTCCGTCGCATTTGGTCTTCCGAGCCATCCTACGATACGAGTGAGTGTCTACTCTGTGTGTTTTGTATCCTGCGTTCGGCATTCGGCGTTCAGCACTCAGCAGTCGGCAAATACAACGACAGGCACACAGTCGGTCAGTCTCTGGTTGTCGGCGAGGAAAGAGTGTACATCGATCCTTCATCGCGCAGCGAACGACTCGCTCCCTTGCTATCCGCATCGTCGTTCGGGAGACCGTTTGATCCAGAACAGATACCTTACTTACCTACCTGCCTACATACTTACCTATATTGTATCTGGGACAAGTCATGGCTCGCATTTCACGATTCTTCTCGTATCTACACTCCCTCCTCATCCAGGTGCCTCAGCACGGCTATCACAACATCTCCCGCGTGATTCAGCCGCGCATGCGTCATCTCTCGGAAGGACTCACGGCGAATTCGAGTCGCATAGACAAGGACATTGAGATGCAGCCGATGAAGCCGAAAGAGGGTGCGTCGAGACGGTCAGAGATGTCGAGACGTCAAGACTGATGGTGGGACGGATGTACACGGAACAGCTGCTCCTTCACTACCTGATACAGAGGTGGTCTGGAATAACACTGAGACGGCCCTGCTGGGTAGCACACCTTCACGACATGGATGTATCGGGGAAATCACCTCGACAAGAAGACGGGTGTGTCCCATGGGTCACGGAGAGACTGGATCCACGACGCTGTGCAGAATTGAGTGTACACAACAATACACTCTTCGACAAGATGTGGAAATGATCAACTTTTCTATCCTATCCATTTCACCTTTTGGGACTCATCCTCTCGGCCAGGCCAGATACAGACACTGTTGTTTGGAGGTCTCACTCGGCTCGAATTTACCACCGTCGTCCTGGCCCGTCATCATCGACAACTCGGACGGTAATGGCGAATGGCGCTTCACAACCTTACAACTCGTTGCCGCTGCCACCTCGGCACCTTGGATATGAACGACGATCGAATCCAATCGCCCGTTGACAACCCTCGCTCCTGCCCGCTCAAGACTGCACCTTCCACAATCCACACCGTCTCTCGCACAGGAGGCGTCATCCTGCTCATTCTGGAACGTGGTAATATTCGATATTTTCAGCTGGCTCGCATGGATCCTCTTTTGCATGTTTGACCGTAGCCCAAAAGAACCGGGTTGAAACCGTGGAAACAGCCAACAATTTCATCAAATCCTCGTCCTCAAAATATTCGCAGTCACCCAAACTGCATTCCCACGCAAACTGATCGAGCACGAACGAAAAGAGTTTGCTATCGTGGGCAACACGTGTGACCACCCAGAGAACGATGTCGGGTGCCACCAGATGGCCTCTACACCAAAGTGCCAGGGCGTTCATGATTTTGTTTTGCAACCTCGGCATGCAGAACTTGTCTGCCATGACCCAAGTCCGCAGGAGATCTTTGATGTCTTGTTCATCAACGATCTTTGGTGCACCTCGTCGATAAATCCAGTCGATGAAGTGACCAAATGCTTTTGGATTATCTTCTGGCAAGATGACACAGTCTGTTTGGGCCTCTTGCATTCCCGCCCCAAGACATTTTTGGAAGAATGGGCTCTTCTCCACGAGCTTGTCTTTGTGAGCAAAGAACTCGAACTTTCTCGATCCAACTAATATGGTGACTATCGGCGAGGTTGCGAAGCTAGAATAGTCGGCTCAGCCATAGCACACATTTCTACAAGTGTGGAGCACCTTACCTTTCGAAGTCACTTTCATCGGATGTGTCAGAGCCACCGCAATCATTGATGGAAGTTGTACTTGTGTCGTCAGCCTCCGTCTTCATGTCCACGTCCGCCATTGTTGCAGTTGAAGCGATTGATTTTCTAGAGCAATGAAGTCTGAGAGTTTTCTTCGAGGCGGGAGAAACACTCGTGGTCTGCATATCCGATTTATCCCATAGGAGTTGACTTCTTGAGGAAGATGGTAATGGCAGTCAGAGTGAGGCAGCACATCCTTGGGGATCAATTACAAGCCCTTTTTAAATATCAACTGCACGTTCACTGCCCCTTCATGACTGCCTTCTGCCTGGAGGATTCACCATGTACGATTTCACTGATGCATCTCCGAATGTACTTCAAGCCGTTCGTTATCGGCGGTCTGTGTGTCTTTCTCAACCACTTCGCGGGCAGTGGCAACAGGCAAGGCAGCAACTACATGCAAATGTGTAAACAAACACATGCTGGAACATCGAGTGACAAGACACCATGTCATGAGTACAATTTCGATGTATCCTATGTACGTTGTGCACGAGGAAAGTATCGAACATCTTGTACGGACTATTACCATGCATGATATTCAGCGTGCCATGCCGAGCTATCGTCTTTCCTGGTACGTACGGGCCATCAACTTGATCTTCGACATACTGTGTCGAGCTATCATCTCCACTGGTACGTTCGTTCTGGCACAGTCGCCCACATCTCCTGTCCTCCTTCGGGCCCACGCCAGGCTACTCATAAGGGAACATAGTACTCTTGAACGGCCTGCGTCGGCTCATTCCCCCCGTACTTTTCTTTCGCGACTGCCATCGATGTCCAAAGTATCCGGCTGGAAAATGTGGAGTTTGCCAACAAGTCATCCATTCTCGAAAGATCCTCACCGAGTTCATCAGGGCTGTCGCAGCGGGCAAGGTCCCACGAAAATTGTTCAACCACAAAGGCGAACAAGGGGCTGTGTGTGGGGACATGCTCGGCCACCCACATCACGGCGCTGGGTGCCACGTTGAACTCGATCCAGAAGTCCGCCAGTGACTCGATGATGCTGTTCTGCCAGCGTGGCATGCAGAACTTGTCGGCAAGAAGCCAGGCCTTCAACAATTCTCTGATCGATTGTACGGTGTTGACGACTCGTCGGGTTTTCGAGTAGTACACCCAGTCGATGAAGTGGCCGAAGACCACGGCGTCGTCCTCTGGCAACGTGATCTTGTTCGTCCTGGCCTCCTTCATCCCGACCCCGAAGCATCTCAGGAAGAACAGGCTCGCCTCTATCAGCTTTGCTTTGTGAGCCGTGTATTCGACCTTGCCCGGTCCGACTATCATGGTGACTATCGGCGATCTGGCGAAGCTGTGTGTCTTGGGTGTCAGTACTGGCCACGATCAGGTATCTTGCAGTTTGTGGGAATCTGTTCACTGGTTTCTTACCTTTGGGACACCTCACCTTGGCCGTCGGCCATGCCGTCTTGCCTGGTATCCATAAAAGTCTTGGAGTCCGCTCTTGTCGATGACGATTGTAGTGGCGATTGCACTAGCGATGACCGCGGCTTTCGAGGAGCCAGGGATGATGACATTGTGTTCTATCGTAGGAGGAGCGGAAGAGTGCAGGACGTTTTACACAACCTTATCTGCACATGAGATGGGAGGCAGAGAGAGAGAGAGAGAGAGTTGGTGAATGGCACCTGGAATTCTTTGTGAGGAATTGAAAGGATGCTTGTGTTTGTCAAGTGTTTGTTGAGAGTACTTCAGCCTTCACCGCACGCTCGAGACCGCAATACTTGTTCGACCGTCGAAGGCAAGGCGGCAATCTTGCTTTGGTGTGTTCGACCGCCCGTGACGAGACAGATATCTTGAACGTCGTACTTGCTTGTGGATATCCAACTTCGATTCAGTTCGACGTGACTTTGTCGACGTGCATCTCTGCGAGGCTTGACATCGACCTCGCCTCGCACCTGGGGAAGCGAACTGACTCTTGTTTGTCCGGATCATCGACGGGCTTCTTTTCCACGTTTCACCTCCGTAGATGGTCCATCCAGTCCGGTCCTTTCTGCGAGACACCCAGATAGTGTGTAATACACAATCACCCACCGCACTTTTCACGCCACCACATTTCCCTTGTATTTATTCGCGACCTTGAAAACTCTGAATCTGATTGGACAAGACGGGGACGTCCGGCGATATCCTGACATTGTGCACTGAACTTTTGCAGCATGCGACTGCGAGGGATCAAACTGAAACTGGAAAAACATCATCGTACAGTAGTAACGCACAGCACCCGTACTTTTTCACTCCCTCGACAGACTCTTAACTACTACCTACAGGAATCTTCTTCCCCGCCTCTCCTCGACGGACATTCGTAACCATTTTTGACCTGGAAGGCTGCAAGATGACTAAAAACCACAAACTTGTTGTCTCTTGATTCTCCTCCCATTTCATACCGTACGTTGTTTACCTACCTCTCAAAATCATGAGGTGAATATATCATTCTCGGGATTTTTTTTCATTAACTTCGTACCCATCTCTGCTCAGAATATGACATACAAAAACGCTTCCATGGGTGGATTCAGATCTTTGGACGGCGAGCAGTACCCCTGCACGCGTCCTCGTCCTCGTCCCAATCCCGATCTCCATGCCCATCCCACTCTCGTACCGACTCTCAGTCAAGACCTAATGGAATTGATCCTCAGTAACTCCTTTGCCCATGGCACTCGTGCTGCTCACGCCACCAGTGACCATCTTGAGCAGGTTGTCGACATAATTTGCGCCGCTCCACTTCTGGTGCGTGACGACGTCGACCTTGTTCTGCATCTCGGGCTCCTGGATCAGTTCGCCGTAGGCGCGCATGCCGCGCTTCGCAAACTCCTTTGCGAAAGTGTCGGAGATGAGGGCCGTCGAGTGCAGGCCGGCAAGGGTGATGAATTGCCAGCAGTAGCCTAGGTCCGCGAGGCGTTGGATGTACGTTTCCTGGTCCTTAGCGGCCATGGCGGCTTTCCAGTTGAAACTGGGCGAGAGGTTGTATGCGAGTCTGGAAAATAACCCCTCAAGTCAGCATATATGTACATTTCCATCAAAAAAAACCAACCCGGAGGCTAAACCCTCCAAAGAGGGAAGAAAAGTAGCTCTTCGAAAGAAAGGAGGCTGGAAATACACAGGAAAGGGGAAACATAGGAAACATACTTTTGTTCAGGCCATACGGCATGCACACCATCGGCGAATTCCTTGGCTTGAGCGTAGTCGGGCAACTTGCTTTCCATCCAGATCATGTCGGCATAGGGAGCATACGCAATGGCACGGTTGACCGCACATTGGCAGCCGCCCTGGTATCTGTAGTATCCTTCACGGGTGCGAGGGGAGTCCCAGTCGAAAAAGATGTCGACTCCTGTCAGGCCCTTGGCGATGGCACGGCATTCGCTGTTGCTCTTGCCCTTGCTTGCGGCCTTGTACTTGGCAATCAGACCCTGCTTGTCGACGTGCACGCCGGCATTGATGGTGTCAATCACAGCATCGTCGAAGAGCTTGAGGCCGCATTGGGCGATCCACGAGTCTTCAATCGCCTGGAGCTGGTCGCCGTTCTTGCCGGCGTGCTCGGCCGCAACCATCAAGTCGTTCAGGGGTTGCAGGTTCTTGTTGGTGCTGCCCAGGATGAACGGATGGTCTCGGTAATCGATCGTGGTGGTGATGAGCGTGGCGGCCTCCGAATCGGTACGGGCAACGGCCAACAGGTCGACGCCCATGATGTCGGCCTGCGCGCGGATAGCCACAAGTCGGTTGATGTGTTCGGAGATGGGCACGAGCACTTTGCCTGCCATGTGGCCGCACTTCTTGGTGCCGGGGGCTTGGTCTTCAATGTGAATTCCGGCTGCGCCCTTTTCGACGAACAGCTTGGTCAGCTTCATCACCGCAGTCAGACCGCCGTGGCCGGTATCTGCGTCCGCAATGATGGGCCGGAGGTAGTCCACGTTCGGGGCGGATCCTCTCTTGTCCTTGGGTGTGGTGAGGCGTTCCTCGCGTTGTTTTCGGTCGTGGAACAACTGTGCCATGAACAGGTGTTGAACTTTATTCGGAACGGTGTTCATGGGGTAGTCGGCCAAATCGGGCGAAGGTTCGTCGGTAGAGGATGCTGTGGACGAGGATTGCCATCCCGAGACGTAGACAGTGTCGAGATACTTGTTCATCTGAGTGAGCATGGTGGGCTCGAGACAGCCATAGGTGGCGGAAGCAGTTTTGGTCTGTCGGAAGCCATTGTCAGTACCTTCGTCAGGAAACAGAATCTTCAGCAAAACGTACAGCAAAGCGGTTCTCAATCAACTTCCACAGCTTCTTGGCCTGCACATTGCTGGGGTATTCGATCTTGATGGTGCCTCGCTTTTGCACAATCTGCTCAGCTGTAAATGGTCTCCTGGTGTAGCGCCATCGTGAGTCGGTCCACCACTTCTTGACAGCCTCCACGTCTTGCAGATACTGCTGCTCTTCCTGGTCAAGGGAACTCATCTTGAAACTGTCGACAATCTTGTTCAGGGTGGACGTCATAAACTGGTAGGGCAGATGGGCTGGTGGCAGTAGTCCTCGCTCGTCACACAACTCACGCGATCTTCACGTCAAATGATACAGAGACAGTGAGAAACACCCCAACAATGAGTGGAGAGTAAGGGTAGGATACAAATATAGTCGTCGGAAGAGAAAGGAATTCAGGAAAACAGTCATACGAGCAGACTTGGACTCTAGTTTAAGTATAATGCGCAACTCGGACAAAGGCAAGTGGCTGACGCATGCTGAATGGTCGAAGCATGAGCAATGGTCCCATCCAACTCCGATGACAAGGACATGACACCGAGGAAGCACGCCCCTTCAGCCAGATCATGATGAACGCATCTGGCCAAGCTCAGAATGCGAACGAGCGTCTGGCTACCCGGCCCAAGGGCGGAAGGGAGAGGAGGGAACAACGGCGCACAGGCATTGGCTGTTCCCGGCACAGTGACTGGGGAAGATGCCGGGCTGGAGGAGGCGATGGACTCGAGAGGCACGAGATGATTCGGCAGAGGATCGGCTGTCTGGCTTTCTGGGGAAACGAAGATTCGCAGGTGAGAAAAGTGAGCAGAAAATGTGCATGTGGAAATGACGTCCTTCGAATCCTCCGTTCACCCGTTGCCATGCTCTTTTCCTCCTCTTCCTTGAGTCTTGGGGGCTCTCAAAAACCTCGTGAACAGTCATATACATCTGAGATCACTCGCCTGTCCTTTCCATCCTTCTCTGATGCTGGGCCGCTGCATATCGCCGCGTTCCTGCCGCAGCAGCTGCCGCGACTCCCCAGATAAAATATGTGCCTCGGTATATGTCACGTGATCCCCCAGCCCACCCGAAAAGGGCAAGGTGTGACTCACGAGGATTATTCGGAACCGAGCGAGACAGAGCCAAATGGACCATGCCGCCATCAGAAGTACCGACGGCGGCTATATGCGATAGCAACGATCCCAGACCCTCGTACTGAAGGTCATGATGATGACCATATTCCATAATTATTGTTTGCAGGGAGCGCTAGCAGTATGTACAGACTACTCGAGGTACATCGTCTAGGTAGTTCACACCACCGCTCTACCACCACCCACCCCCAACGCAAACCCATCGTCGCATTGAAGCTCGAAAGAACACTCATCACCGCATCTTGATCCCTCGACGTCGGTAATCTCAGCTTGGCAACAGATAATGCGTCAAAAAAGGACACTGTGTATCACTTCAGCCATACACGTTGCAATCCATTCCGCATCTTCCCGATTATCCACCTTCCTCGGTCAGTTGTCGGATCCGGACTGCACGGCATGGTCAGCCTCATCGGCGGAATCAGGTCTCGACTCATCGGAGCCTTCCTGGATCATATCGTTCAACTCGCCTAGATCGATCTGTGTGGCTTTGGCAAATGTCTCCCACGGCGTGAGAGTGCCCAGGGCTCGTTTCATATGCATCGGGATGAATGACAGTCCGTACACATAGCTGGCATTGACCCAACCGAAGCTGTCAAAGGTCAGCATACCCTCACTCGCAATCATTTGGGACTACTCAAGTGACTCACCCTTCCCTTGGGACACCCTTGAAGTCGGCGCCTTGGTTGCCATATTCTGCCTCCACCTTGTGCGGATCGAGCTCACGAGTCACGTTGTACTTTTCTACAACAACCCCGTTGAAGTCAACGAATGCCTTGGTCACCATGTACAACCACTTGTACGCCAGTCGCTGTGCTTCCTCAATGTAGCCGTATTTGATCAGGCCTCCCCAGGCCAGCATTTGCTGAGGAGCCCAGCCGTACGGATAGTCCCATTGTCGATTGGGGCGATCAAGTCCGACTTCGCCGCGAGAAGCTTCGGTGCCAGACACCAACCCTCCAAAGCAATCAAACTTGGGAAGAGCATTGAGGACCAGGGCAGCGGCTTGGCGTGGTGATGCACATACGGCCCACATTGCCCAGAACGTGGTCGCGCTTTCGTAATCGGTGCGCTTTTTCTGAACGGTATCATAGTCAAAGTACATTCCCTTTGCTTCGTTCCAGAGGTATTTGTCCATTCGAGCCCTGCGCAGTTTGGCCCGACGCTCCCAGGTGGCCGAAGTCTCGACCGTCTCGTTCTGGTTGGCCTCGGATCGGAACTCCGGGGGCATGCTCAGCTTGTTCTTAAAATGCTTTCGAATGCACCAGGCGATGTCACACTCATACTTGTACAGCAATGAGTTCAGGTCAACCGTTGCCAAGTTGGCAGCACAACCTTCGAGACGATAGGATGTATCATGGCCGGATTCTCGGACGGCACGATCATGTAGGAAGTACTCATCGAGGTCGGGTTCATAGACTTGTTCCTCGTTGTACGCCTTGACAAACTCCTCGAATGTCATGCCATACTTTTTGGCATACGGTGTAAGGATATGCACAAAGTGGGATGCCTCGGTTTCTGGAGGAACACCGAGCCCGTCAGGGCGATAGCGTGATAGCCCCGTCACAGGATCAAGACGGGGTTCCGACATCCAGACGCTGTAGTATTCCTTGATCGCTGCTCGTATGGCCAGTTTCAAGAACTCTTCAGCACCGTGCTCTGACTTGATCTTGTCGTATACCTTGAGAGCCATATCTGTCAGAAAGGGTGGCTGAGATCGAGTTAGATAGTATGATCGATTGGCATTCAGAATCTTTCCGTAATGTTGTATGCAAAAGGCAAAGTTGATGACCATGGACTTAGCAATGTCCACTTTGCCATTCTCAATGAGACCGATAGACTCCATGTAGCTGTCCCAACCGTACAACTCATTGAAACGACCGCCCGGGACAATGAATGGTTCACCTTTGAGCGTTTCCTTCCCGTTGACCATGGTCTTCTTCATCGCAAGCGCCAGAATGCCGGGTGAATCGTTCAAACTTCGAACATACTGAGCAGTGATGGGCCCTTCAGGAAGCCACCGGACATCCAGCCTCAACTCAGGACGGTCTTTCGCTACGTGAGTATAGTATTCAAACTGCTCTGGGCAGCCACGAGGAACGTAGATCCGCGGTCTCGGATCTGGTGTCCAATCCTTCGGGTCCCGGCCAGCTTTCTCAATGGTGTCGGAGTCGAGGGTTCGGGTCAGGTTGTGCCAAAATTCATCTCTAATGCGACGGGAAAGACGGTCCACCGGGTTTTCACTTAGGCGAGAGCGGTGTATTTTGACCACCTTTTTGCCCAAATCTTGTGCCAGAGTCAACTCTTGGAGGAGATTGCTGATCATATAATTGCCCCGAATGTCAGTCGATCGGTATCCGGCCGAGGCCAACGTGCCCAACGTGATGTGCTTTTATAGAGTTAGCCACTGGACATTGTGGAGAGGATCTGCCGACTTACTTTGGGGCCATTGTCCTCGATGGTGATCTGCTGGTTGTTGTCGTGATCCTCTCTTTCCAAGAGATCTTTCAAGGTCCGCTCTACGTCCACCAAAAGCTCTTGATGCTGCTGAGTTTGCTCATCTAGTATAGTCCGGCGTCAGTTCTTCGGTCCAGGTAGCAGAGACGGCAACAACGAACCGTGACTTGTCCGACGTGCAGGATAGTTGCCCTTAGCAAACAGGAAATTGGTTTCGCGAGCAGGTTTTATGTACTGTGAACTGTCAGTCGACGCACTGTTGATGGTTTTGCGGCCATGCTCATGCTCACCGATGAGACAGTCCTGTTTCGGTTGCCCAGTAATTGATGTCTAACCGAGTCTTCGTCAAAGTAGACCGAGGGCGACGAGTAAGGGTCACGCCGTTCTAGGGACGAGCTCCGTCTTCGATTGTGGCCATGTGACAAGCTCATGACAGACGAGGTGGTCTATACACTTGTCAGATCAGCAGCGAGCAGAGAAGAGATGTGCAAGACACTCTTGCCAGGGTGGTGTTTTTACAATATGGTACGGTGGGATGGGACAACAACGCAGGCAAGATTATGCGGAAGAGATGCGAGCTGACAGGGGCCACCGATGATGTCGTTTCGGACCCGCTTCAGATTGTGATTGAGCCGTATCCGACCGTGTTTGGGGAACCGGCCCTAAGCACACGACCACAAGGTCCGCGAGGAATACGAGGGTTGAGAATCTGCAAAGACCGTGTTGTCGAGGACAGAGCGCAGGGGGGGGTTTCGGAGGAGTTGAGTGAGTGTTGTGGGAGAAGAATGAGGAAAGAATAGTCGGAGCGGTGAGAAAAGTGAAGAACTGAGGCCAGGCCGTTAGGGAGCAGGGGAGTCAGAATGAGCGAGTGAGGTATCGTTGTCGTCACGGTAGACAGAGGAAGTGCTCGCCGAGAGGATTCTTCAGGTATTTACGACGTCAGAAGAAGTGACGACCAGCAAGAGGGAGGGAGATAGGGAGGAGAGAAAGAAGGAGATTACGGACTACTGACTCTCTGGGTCAGCTGGACCAGATATTGATTATTGCAATGGCCAAAACACAAAAAAGCAAAACCCCAAACAGCAGGGCATCCAGCGGTGTGGCCGACGGCTGTATGGTAAAATACCTCTGGGCACGGAGTACCCAAGTCCTCAACAACAGCCTTATCTCTGGCTTTTCCCTATCATTAATTCCCTCTGCTTGTGTTGAGATTTTTCGATACAATTACAAGTCCCTGCAGGGTCCAGCAAGGAAGGGGGCGATCACTGCATCTGGATATCGCGCCGCATGGGGAAATTTGCCGGAGTCCGCGCTGCTATTTTCTTATGCTGGACAATTAACAATGGCATCATTGGATATGGACAAGGCTGCAGGAGTGACAGAGAGTATGACAGGCTGTGGCGGATGTTTGGTTGTACCATTCTTATTATTCCCAAGACTGTCTTGACTTTTCACCATGCGACGCCCAATATTCCATCTGGGTAACACCGTCCTCCGTACTCCTTACGAACAGTCGAATCGGGCTTCATCAGGCTGGCCAATCAAGCCTTGTTTAGCCCAGGTCTCAGTCTTCGTTGTGCTGGAGCTACTACGAGTAGCACCGGTGGCAGACAACAGATACTTCGTGCTCGGCCTGCAGATTGGTCGCCACACCACCATGCACATGTCAGGCACAAAACTCTTGTTCCCATCCTTGCTTGCTTGCATAACCGACCATCCCAAGATCTGGGGATCCCGGCGTCTGGCATCTCGGAACTCCGGCGCCTGGAGTCAATGCATCGGACACTCAGTACTTTGTACTTTGTAACTTGTACGCCGGGTTCGACTATATATAATAGGTAATGTTATCCATCTTCCTCGATACATCAGGTATCGAGCTGAGTCAAGTTCACTAGCTTTACACAGGCGAGACAACTTCCTTGCCAGTTGCGCTCCCCATATAGCTACCTACCTGGCCCCCTCATCTGTACCTTATGCGCCTATATTAGGCCCTCAACTCCCCAGGTCCTTTCTACCCTGTACCTGAGACAAGTTTTAGAACGGGCTGTTGTCGGTCCTCGGCCCCTGGACATACACGTCCACACCATCCACACCAGCTGCGCATGATGCCCTGAGATTCCCTCTCCAGGTATTTGCCACTTTCCCTTTCGTCTTCATATTCCCAGACCGTGGCGCCTACCTTGACTCGCTTCTTGACCTTCTTCTTGACCACCCCGCCTATGCCCTCGATTTCTTGCTGCAGATAACCGGGCTTGTTGTTGACATAGTCTGGAGTACCAGTCCGACTCATGCCACTGCCTTCGGCGTCCTCGCAACCCTTGCCTTCAGAGCATTCTATCTCGACCCAGCACACCGCTTTCCCGCTGGTTTCGAGACAGTCTTTCCCACGCCCGCATTTTTGGCCCTGATTACCTACCCCTAACCCAGTGCCCAAGCCACCGCCGATGTGCGTTGAATACCTCGATCTCCAGGTCCACACCCGCTGGTATGTCGTATCGGCAGCGCCCAGATTCTGTGCACAAGGCATACAGAGACAAACACCATGCGACTCACAAGTGCATGGCTCTCTTAAGAAAGCCGGCGTAGTGAAGGTAATGTTATACTCATGTTCTGGGGCGTGCCTATCGGATCCATCTTCAGAACTTGTCGTGGATGAGCCTGACACTGAGCGTTCTGAGCGGATGGAACTTGCACTGGATGCGGTTGCTCCAGGCTCATAGCGCGACGAACGTAAAGGCTGCAGGTGAGCCTCGATGGGTGCATCTAAGCACGTCTTGCATAGCCGTCGATATCTGTTTTTCAGTCTACTGTTGCTTGGGGGTTTGGCCGTGCAGTTCCGGCAAACAACAATACCACACCGCCTGCACGGCGCGACCAGGTCTCGAGCACAAGGACTGATCTTGCTTGCAACTCCCGACGACGTATAAAGCCCAACAGGCCTGTATTCTGGCCTCGTAGGAATGGCAGAGCCTGGAGGAGACCGGCCTTGGGCCTGGAGGGCTGCGGCTCCTGTAGGTAGCATTGTATCATGTAACAAATCCTCGAGCTGCGGTTCGACGCGTTGCGTGGACAGTCTCTCGGCGAGCACCGGAGTCTCATCGTGGACGCATCGCAGAGAGTGCGTTTTGAGCTGCAGTGCAAACTGCGTCAAGCTTGTGTTGACGCTTTTGCAGGTAGAGGCAAGGGCATGGAGATCGTTCAGGTCAATAGAGGAGGCCAGCGACAAAGCGACACTGAATTTCTAGCGTCAGTATTCACACTTTTGACAGGGCACCAGATCAGTGCATACGGATAGCATGTTAGAGCAGCGGCTAATTTGTTTGCTGCGTCGGCGGTGGTCGTGTCACCACTACTGTTGCTTCCGACTGTTGCTCCTCTGGATACTGAGTTTAGCTGGTTCCAAGGGTAGTATGGACGCGGATCGGATTGCGCAGATCCCAAGTCATTGCCCGATCGACTTCCAGATGCGCAGTCAGTGTCATCGAGGTCGTAGAACACGGCCATATCGGTGCCATTTGAACTGGGCAATATCACCAAGGTCCAGAAACGAAGCCAGCCGTCAAAGAAGGTGTCTTATGATACAACTACGCTTTGTTGTCCCTCTTGAGAGAAGTCTTCAAGGGACCAGCTGACTTGTAGGCGCGGAACAAGAGCGTGTGAGCGGGGTGAACAAGATCTGGCATCATCGAGGAAGTCGAAGATCCCGCAAAACGCTATCAGGAAACGCGCTTCCCCGCCAGCCGCCTAACAACAAAGCTCACTAGGCTCACTAGTTAGGCCCAGCAACCAGGGAGTCAAGATGTACCACGATGGTCCCTACAGTTCTCATACTGTGCATTGAAAGGCACATAGAAGCAGCAAGCCTACCAACAGGCATCCATCTAGCTAAATTGCTACTACAATGAGTACTGTACCTTAGGCAAGGACTAGTAAGTCTTGACTCTTATGTGGCTTTCTGAAACGACGCGTATGGGTTCCGGGCGCTATGCAAGCAGCCGCAAGTAGTACAATCTCTCTCTCCTTTTGGGTACGACCATTACGCCTCTGAAGCGCATATCCGAAAGGAGTTTCCACTCCCTGAACTTTGTCGAGGAGTAACCAGGGAGGATGTTCTCGTATACACAGATACGGGATACGGAGACTGGGAGACGGGACACGTGGACACGGCGGAACGGTAGAACGACCGAGGTACGGAGGGATACGAGTTACGAGGAGCCCTTTTGGCGGATGCGTTCCATGCGAGTCAGGTCCTGTAGTTACGACGTCCGCAACCACCCTACGGAAGTAGGTATTAAGCGACACCTCCTCTTTCTAGCGACGCTCCTCCGTCTTACGCCCTTGACCCCTCTCAATATACATGTCTTCGCCATATACACACGCTGTCTCCGTGTAATCTGAACCATCTACACGAAAAAACCCGCCAATTCCAGGCCGAACAATGATGGAGTCTATAAAGCTGCCCGAGTTTAAGACCACGCCGGTCGACGAAATCCCTGCAATTGTGTCCCGCCTGCGCCAAACGTTCTACTCACAGAAAACTCGTCCTGCAGAGTTCAGAATCAAACAACTACGCAAGCTGTACTGGGCAATTGAAGACCACAAAGAAGAGCTGGTGGAAGCATGTCGCCGCGATATGAACAAGGGCCACTTCGAAGCCATGGCGGGAGAAGTCAATTGGGTACAAAACGATATTGTCTTCCAGACCCAGAACCTAGAGAAATGGATGAAGGATGAAAAGCCCCCCGACATTGCTCTTACCAACCGGCTGGTGAGCCCCAGGATACGCAAGGATCCCTTAGGTGTTGTGCTTGTCATTGGGTAAGGCGATTAAGAATCCCTCACTGGGGACTGTGCTAATCCTCCTCAGTGCCTTCAATTTTCCAGTGAACCTATCATTTGGACCCATGGTTGGTGCTATCTCTGCGGGAAACACAGTAGTCTTGAAGCCATCCGAGAGCTCTCCCAACTCTGCTGCCGTTATGCAAAAGATCATGGAAGAGTCTCTCGATCCGGATTGCTACGCCTGCGTTCAAGGAGCCGTTCCCGAGACTTCGGCATTACTAGATCAGAAATGGGATAAGATCTTCTTTACGGGGTCGTCAAGAACCGCTAGAATCATTGCCCAAGCAGCAGCGAAGAATCTCACCCCGATCGCTCTGGAACTAGGAGGCAAGAATCCGTCATTCGTGACCAAGAAAGCAGATCCACGCCTGGCCGCTCGCCGGCTACTGTGGGCGAAGACAATGAATGCGGGTCAGCTCTGCATCAGCCAGAACTACATTCTAGTCGACAAAGATGTTGTGCCTTCCCTTATTGAAGAACTGAAGATTGCTATGAAGGAATTCTTCCCTGACGGTGCCAAGAAGAGCAAAGATTTCTCACGCATCATCAACACTGCTGCCTTCAATCGCATCAAGAAGATGGTGGACAACACCTCCGGCAAGATAGTCATCGGTGGGACGATGGATGCCGAAGAACTATTTATTGAGCCAACTGTGGTGCTAGTGGACGATCCCAAAGACTCTCTCATCGTAGAAGAGTCCTTCGGGCCTCTCATCCCTGTACTGCCCGTGGACAACTTGGACCAAGCCCTCCAGATTGCCAATGAGACCCATGAGACGCCGCTGGCTGTTTACGCATTTGGGTCGAAGGAAGAGACCAAGAAAATCCTGGATGGGACTCGCTCGGGTGGTGCCAGCATCAACGACGCACTATTTCATGGTATCGTTCCCAACCTAGCGTTTGGCGGTGTAGGCGATTCTGGTACTGGAGCATACCGTGGCAAGGCCTCGTTTGACTGCTTTACACATCAACGATCGATCACCAGTACACCAGGCTGGATGGAGAAATTGCTAGCGGTGAGATACCCGCCTTTCTATGGCACGGATAAGCTGAAGCAATTCAACAAAATGGGCCTTATAGCCCCCGACTTTGACCGGAACGCCAACAAGAAGGTCGGCTGGCTCTGGTGGCTACTTACATTGGGTACCGCCAGCGCATCGAAAGGTGTGTCTAGGGCTGCATTAGTAGCCGGTCTCTATGTTGCAATTACCATGCTGATGCAGCGTAGGGCATTGAGGACTGCTCTGGCATGAGGGCTCAGTATCTAGTTGTAGTTCAAGTCGAAATTAGCAAGCGGTTACAATAATGATCTCGTGTGTTAGGTTGACAACGACACAATGATGATGTTTTATAGTTGGTGATCCCCAGCCGCGAATATCTAGGTACTACCTTAGTTAGCACTCGTCGGCTAGGACACCCTGGGTAACCTTATCAGTCTGGGCCACTCGGGCTACCGGGCGAATCTCTACCTACTGGGACCTAGAAATGAATGTTCTGCCGCCTGCGCCCTCCAGCTGGGCGTCTGATTACGAGTGCAGAGACGGTCATAGGCACCACCAGCCACAGCCAAGTCATTATCGAATTGTGCACGTCATTGCCTGCGCCCGCGATTCTTTCGGGCATCGTCAGTGCAACAGTAGACCATCCCGCATTTTTCTCGACACCACGATCACCAACTGCTGCGTCTGGTTGGATCGTTGCGACGAACCTTCTCCCTGCATCTTCCTGTATCTCATCTCAGTATCTTTGCCAGACGCGTCTCGGATTCCTTTCTGCTTGCTTTCCTCAGCTCACAAACCTAACCTCACCGAGTATCCTTATCGAGAGACAGCCTCGCCGTCACACCTCTCCATCAGCCGCCCTCTGCGCAGCCGCTCGCCACCTACCCCTACTCCCTGAAACAGATTGTATAATGACCTCTACCTCAAATACTCCATTTGCGACACCTGGAACCTCTACACCAGACACTAGACCAGGTACCCCCAGCGGCCAGCAACCTACCCCAACAAGTGCGCCGGCAGATAACCAGCTACAAGATGATAGCTCGAAGCTGCGAACCTTTTTGAGCTTGTTAAGAAAGTAAGTCATGCGTAAGCCAGGAGACAGCATCTCCTTGGGAGATCCAAGGCTATGTTATACAAGAACGATACAACTAACAAGCGGCGGTGGCCAGATTTATCGGCGTCACAGATATCGCCAATGTCCGTTTCTCTTTGCCATCACAATTGCTGGAGCCTATACCGAATTTGGGTATGATACATATTGTTGGGAAGTGGCTAAAAACATGGGATTGACGAGATGCAGAATATTGGCACTATCTCGACAGACCTGAGACGTTTGCAAGGTGAGAATATGTTGGGCTGGACACGATGCATGCCCATGAAGAAAAGCTAATGCGTATTTCATGACAGTATCGGCACCTCAGATAGTGATGTTGGCCGCATGCTAGAAGTCCTGCGCTTCTGGTTCACAAAAGATCTGGTAAGTGTACCTCATCCATGGGCTATCGCCTTATACTCACCTCTGTCACAGAAATATGTCAAGGGAAAGCCGTGCAAGCCATACAATTCCACGTTGGGAGAGTTCTTCAGGGTGAGTGGTATCAATTGGTTTTATTATGTGGTTCCCAAGAGCTGTTGCTAATCACACGTATATCGCAGTGTCAATGGGAGGTTCCAGAGCCTGCGCCGTCAATATCCCAACCTTCTAAAGCCCCTCCACAACCACCGGCGGACCCGTCTGGCCAGGGCAGTGACAAGCCGGTACGAATATCGTTCTTGACCGAGCAGACATCACATCACCCTCCCGTCTCAGCATACTGGTATGACTGCCCAGAGAGAGGCATCTTTGCGCGAGGCTACGACCAGATCTCTGCAAAATTCACGGGCACATCCGTCCGTGTCGTCCCGGGCATGTATAATAGGGGCATCTTCATCACTTTAGCCAACCGGGATAACGAAGAGTACCAGCTCATCCACCCAGCCGCCTCTCTGGGAGGCCTGCTTCGCGGGTCGCTGTATATTTCCGTGGCAGATACTTGCTCCGTAACTTGCCCGAAAACGGGGCTTAAGTGTCTGCTGACATACGTCGAAGAGAGCTGGTTTGGTAAAGCCCAGAATCGCGTCCATGGCCTCATATTCCGCTATGACCCCAACGATGATAAGTATACCCGGGTCAAGGATGTGCCGGAAAAGGACATTCTTGTGAAGATTGAAGGGTGCTGGCAAGAACGGATCACCTACACAATTCCTAAGACCGCGGCTGTCGAGGAGACCGAGGGTCTCGAACCCACGTCAGATAAGCAGCTTCTGATCGACTTGCAGCCATTAATGCCAATCCCCAAAGTCACACCACCTTATGAAGAACAACTTCCTCACGAATCTCGGTCATTCTGGAAGGAGGTCACAGACGCGATTCAAGAAAAGAGGTATTCCGACGCAACTCGAATCAAGCAGGACTTGGAGCAAGCTCAACGCGACAAGGCAGCTAAACGGAAAGAGCTGAATGTCGAGTTTAAGCCACGATTCTTCACCACGGTTACTGAGCCGAACGGCAAGCCGGAGCTCACTGAATACGGCAAGGCTACGCTCGAGAATATGCACAAACAGACGTATCGACTCGAACATATCCCCGAGGCAGGGGTCGACGAGTAGGATTCGGCGTCACCTGGATAGTGTGCTGTCAGGAGGAGGTAGTGTTATACACCGAATGCCGATCAGTGTACGCCCCGAAGGACAGGCTCGCAATGGCATAACGGTCTGGGTAGATTATGTTGGTAACGCAAACTGAGGAGGCAGTATACAGCACACGAACAAGCTGGGATCTTTCTGCATATATAGAGGACGGGACGAGGAAGAGCTGTGTAATGTCGATAGCGGGAATACTTCCCCCAGCTCACCCGATCCCGTCCATGGATCTTTTTCTGCTTTCCGCGATAGCATGGGGAGGGTTTGTTTTTGTGGTGATAGATTTGGTCAATGTTTCACCAACGGAGTACAAAGCACAAGGCTTTTTCTTCTTTCGTTTTGCATTCTTTAATTTTGTCCTTCTTTCTGCCACTGTATTATTACAAGTGTTCGACGAGGTGACCAGATATTTCCAAAGCAGTAAAACAAAAGATGGTTTGACGGTCAGAGATATACCGATATCATACATGAGGGAAGAGGGGGAGAGCGAGCTCCTTGCGAGGAATCCAGTGTCTTGAGTGAACCTGGAAAGCGTTGATAGGGATTTGGGAGTCGTGTTCGTCCTCATTTCAGCGCCGTCGTGTATCCTCCCAACAGGACTCAGTTTGTGAAGAGCGAGAGGGCTTTGTTGAGATACTCGCCTTCCCACTTTGTTCAGCGACGGAGTGTCGCTGGAGATCCGCCGTGGGTTCTCCCCCCCGCCCCCGCGAGACGTACTGTAGTCAGTCCGTCCGTCCGGAGTATCCGTGAACAGGAGGAGCTGGACTTGTAGGATATTATTCAGGGTACAGGAAGTAGATAGAGAGGGAGGGGGTGACGACGACTCGAGGTCTCCCGTGATCCGTATCCGTACTCTCGCGTTTCACGCGAGGCTACGGGGACTGGACGGGTCTTCCTCGGTAACCTACCAGACTATCCATTGTATTGTATCTGTAGGGCGTACTGCATGTGGTGATAAGTGCGGATCCTTTGCGGCCAAGTCAGGTAGGTACATAGGTAGGTAGGAGGTAGGTAAAGGTACCTGTAGGTAACAAGCATCGTGCTAGCTTAGCGAAAGTACCTACGGTAGCTGGCTGGCTGCTTGGCCTTCTTCCTCCCTCCGGAGTGTCGCCATTTCGCTGAATGCCCTCCGAAACGTCCGAGCCGACAAATACAGTACCAACGAAGCTACCTGAGGCTAGTTGGAGAGGTCCGGTGGCTCGGCCCACGGAGGATAACTGATTGTGTTAAGAAATCCGGGGGCGAAGGTTTGTACTGTGGTTGCGTAGTGTACTTTGTAGGTGGCGCAATGCGGGATACACACGGAACCAGCCTTACTGTACGAGACGGATTCGAATCCCCGATGGATTGGGAGTTTTTTTTTCTAACCGAGGACAGGGGGGATTCGTGAGTATAAAAAAACACGAACTCACAATGCGGTACCCGCACAGTAGTACATACATACTGTAAGGAAGGGTGGTCGGGGTACGGTTCCTTTACGGTAGTCAAACCGTGGTCTCGATAGGCGACGTGCACACGGGTAGTGTATTTCGTACTACAATATACAAGTAGCCTCCCACTACAATATCCTGCAGTGTGGGGGGGTTTTATGATGATCAATTGTCCGGTCGGTGGTGAGTCCGTGGGTGTGTGAAGGTGCTCGGTCGAGATCCGAGTAAGGCTAGAGTGGGCCGAGCAGACAGATATTGGGAACTCTACTTAATGGCGTACAGGACACGTACAACTTCTGAGAAGCGAGCCGAGCGGCGCCGCGAAAGTAAAACGGGGGCCAGAGAGGCTACTGACAGCCTACTGTACAAATTCACTGGACGGAGTAGGTTGGATTGACAACAATGGAGACCGTATAGTAGATGTAGATGGCCTTGCATCGGAGGTGTGTCTGGAGAAGGGCCCTTTCTCCGTGGTCCGTCCCGAACATAAGTGTACAAACAAGGTATTGTAGTCTTTCGTAGGCTCGTAGCGAGTAAATCGTCGCTTGACAACCCGCGTGGCACTTCGACAGGCATGCCATGTCAATGGCGATCGCTAAGATAGCTCGTTCGGGTCACGGCCTTACTCAGGCTAGCATGGCCCGATGTATACTGTGCGGACGGAGTACGGATCGGGTCCTGCCATTGGCACAGTCTACAGCTGTGTGTGTTGTAGATCTGGGAGCCGGAATGTCTACCGTTGTTGGCGAGATCCGAGAGGTGGGCGCGCTAACAGTGGTAGTCATCAGTGATGGAATGGAGGACTTTCCCATTTGGAGCCCATTTCCGAGTATGCATGTTGTGAAAGACCTACCTTGGGTACGGAACCGAGTGCCCTTGGCCTTTTAGGTGCATGTCGAGAATTGTACTGTAGGGGGGGTAGACAGAAACGGAGTCCTTGTATTGTCAATAACCCCCCTTTGACGAGGTGTTCCGGATTAGCCTACGCTCAATATGAAGCACAGCCCGTTCAAGAATTTTACTTACTTTTTAGAACAGCCTACCTCATACCCATACTATACCTATCAGGCACTGTATCCGGCAGGGGAGCAAGTGTACTTTGCAAGTCTCGTTTAACAAACACCAGGTCCTCCGTCGGCGCCATGATGCAGCATGCAGGATGACCAAAACATGCATTGCTTCTAACAGTCTCGTCAACACACGCACGCATTCATTCACTCTAATTTTCACCTTTGGTCGTATAGTAAGCAGATTGATTAATGCATGATTGAAATTCGCCGTACGTGTCCATTTTCGCATGGTTACTCCGTCCTCTGTACCGGACCGACGATTGATAATCAAGCCGAAGACGAATGAAGACCTGGTCTGGACCCTAGAGCCTTCAGAATGTTGCGCGATGATAATGTGAAACCTGCCTCAACGGCGTCTCGAAGGCTGGTTTCTCGCTTCGAACGTGTGTGAGTTCCATTCAGACAATCCTACAAGGCCTGGAAGCATTCAAGCGAGATGCCCCAGGCGTCGAAGTACATTGTACTCTTCATCATACATACATCATCCTAAGTGAGGACTGGTGGGACCTCCCTGCAGAAGGGTCCATTGCGCGTCAGTCGTGGTAGATTGTACGTGCTCCGTACTTTCAGCGGACTGGCATCTCGTGACGAATGTTCCGCTCCTCGTTTGGGGTCAAGTCCTACCGCACGCCGACAGTTTCGGTAAAGTACACACAATATGGATGGATACTGTTTGAACTCAAAGAACGAGCTGTACTGGTTCTGGTAATAGGGGTGTCTGGACAATTGGCCGAGGGATCCAGCGGGTCCATTTGCCTCCAGAACTCATGGCGGGTGGAAGACTCAAACAAACACGGGCTGTAGCGTGTACAGTAGGGATGTGGGCGTGAAGCAGAAGGGTCCAGGGTGGATGCAAGGAAAATCCCTTGTCGAGCGTCTGAAACAGTTGGCGGGAAGCCGGCTGGGCGGCAATCCTGAAACAAGGCATCGTAGCTCGTACTGAACGAGTTACTGTAGATTCAATGCCGTGGTCTGTGAAATGGTATTGGTTGGTGCCACACGTATCGACTAATTTACATCACCCGTCTCTCTATCCTGTCATCTGCTCGTTCTGTACTCCGTACGCCGTACTATGCTGAATGCAGTCCTCATCCTTAGCCTGCCGTGGCTGGGAATGACGAAACCGGTGACAGGGATCCCAGACGAGCCAGAGATACTTTGTAGTTTCGCCACACACCCAGACTCACTGCAGTGACGATCCTGGGAAGCTGCAGGAGTCAGGAGTTGGTGGAAAGTCATGCATGCCGGTGCTTTTTCTTTGGAGGACGCAAGGAATTCAATTTCTTTTCGCCTAACTTTGTACATACATCCTGCGTATCGCTCCTGGCGACTCGAAGTAGCCGAGAGTCGTCTAGGAATGGTGTCGGAGAAATCCACGGTGAGAGATGAAACAGCCATGGACAACGTCGTTGTCGGGCTGCAGATGTTGTTACCTCAGTCTAGGCCATGGCCTTGTCTCGTCTGTTTCCGTGACACTAACAACATGATGAGATTTTTCTCAGACAGAAGAAGGACTAACCGAGAATACCGCGATCGACCCCGAACAAAAGGCGATTAGTGCAGAAACTCCTCTCGGCAAAGTGAACAAATGAATGACGCCCATTGCACTTTTGCTTATGGGGCGTGGGAGATTATGGGACGGACAATTCGCATTAGGTATTTCACCGGTACTTCTCTCAAAGCAGTCCGCGTCGAACTCTTCCAAGATCGACGTCTAGTTAGAGAGCGCGACAAAATCAGTTAAGCGGCGCAAGCCTCCGGTGGGCATAATAGACCAGTAGAATTGTCACCGTGGTCGACGACCAGGTGACGCGCTTCTCGAATGCGTACAGAGGAAGAGGCCAAGTTACAGATATCACACATACATGTGGCAAGGACGAGTGCCACGCAAGTGCCCGACTACAAATGTACCATGGTACAGCAACCTCGTTCTCGTACCCAGGTGGCTGATCAAGCGAAAAGGAATGGGAAACGGCGCAAGGGACACGAGAGAAATCTAGGTGATCTGCGCCATACACCAGGATCAACCACGAAAGGAGGTTAGAAGGATCCATCATCGATTCTTACGAGGGTGCCACTGCGCCAATACCGCGCGTGGATATACGGAGTAGATGTGCTTGTCAAGCAGCTGCATGATTTGCATCCAGCTGGTCAAGCCACAGAGCTCCAGCCTGGTGGATGTGAAATCTCCCGGAAGGATTCTGATGCTTTCTGAACGATCAGGAGTTATTAGTTGGATGGCAGCAAAAGACCCATGCACCCGTCCCTCGTCCTGTGAGTTGGCTTGGAGTTTGTTTACGGCTCGGAGAATTCCTCTCACACACGGTCGCAATTTCAAAACATGTCATGAGTTAGTGGCTGAAGCAGCTTTGCACGCGGCCAATCGCTCATGGTACTATTTCAGTCGTGGTTTGATGCAGCCCATGGCCCGCCCAAGAGCTGCGCATTACATTGGGAGTTCGGCCGTGGTTTAACAAAAGAGCTCACGCCGCTTATTCGGGGGCGTTTTCGGTATGACAGATCGTCAGAGAGCCGGGACCGAGCATGCGACCGGCCCTCTGGGACAGCGTCTCCCACATAACCATGGACGATGGAGCAAAGCCATCGTAACTGTCATGGCTGGACATCAACAAATACGGAGCACCGAGTTGCTCTAGTGCTCAGGTAAGGCAGACTCGCCTTGCTACTTAACCACGCTTAGCGCGACGGCTAGGGCTAGTACGAGGCGGGGCGCGCGTGTATCGTGGCGCTGCTGGTTGGCTAATGTTTCAGGCTTGTCCCGTTATGGCATAATGTCATTCCTCAAATAGCAACGCCAAGCCCACCTAGGCGGCCTGCGCCGCATTTCGCCATACCGAACGGTGGGTGGCATGCTATTCAAAGCCAGCAGGGGCCTTACAAGCCACGACCCAATCGCTGGTGGCGGCCTCAGGTACCTCTCCATCCATGTCATCTTCTGTGCACCATCTGACGGCCATCTCACGAATTGCTGCATGCATCTTGAGCTAAACCGGCGAGGATGGCGGGATTCTCAGCCTCCCACTGGCGGATGGCGCTCGTTCTAGCCACAAAGTGGCCGGCGAGCCGTTTACGATCCACCCCGTCGGTCCCTTCCCTTCCATTTTGGAAACGACTTGTCGACACCTGGTCGTCTTCTCTACGAGCTAGTTCGGCGGTGCTTTCTTCCTCGTTCGCAAAAGGTTCAACTATTCTCGTGGCGGAAATGGGTCCCCCTTGGTCATCTCGAAGAAGACCATTTCTCCCCTAGCCTTGTCGGTATTCCTCAACCCACTCACACGCTTCCCCGGTCGCTCCAATCATGAGACGATCGTCCCTTGATCAAAACGGTCCATATTTACACACACGGAGCCGGCCTACTGTGCGCTTGAGCCAAAAGCCTCACGTCGTCTACACAGCCGCTCGTTGTTGATTGGCCGGGATCGCCCTATACCTCACGCTCCCTCTCGCTCATCCACGATCAGACTCACTAATTTCACCCTGGCTCCTGCGTCTTATTCAACTCCATGAACTGCCACTCCAAATCGGCTTCATCGTTCCCCGTCACGGTCGACAAGAATAACTCGTCCTTGTACGAGGACAGTACACTTGTCCTCGCCCCGCCACGTGCCTAGGGCCTCCCAAGTTCCTCTCCCATTTCCAGTCGTACTCAGCCCTGCCCAATAGGTTACGGGAGTTCTCTAGTCTCCTGCCTCCCATCTTTCCACCATCAAATCGTCATTTCCTTCATCACACTTTCTCTTTCCATACCCATGCTGTGGTCTCCATTTGCTCAAACAAGCTTAATCTTTTGCATGAGGCTCAGTAAGGGGCGGAGACTTCCAAGCATTTCCTCGACTCCACCCTGAAACAGCTGGGCGCAAAGTTCTGGTCTCTTCGTATACTCTATATCTTCTATACCATACCCTTCATTCCGCCATGGCCCCAAAGAACCGTTCCCAAACACCTCGACTTTCTGGTCCAGCTGAACCAACTTTGCCGGTCCTTTCTCAGCACACCACCACTACATTCCTTTCGGATCCTTCCAACCATCACAGTCGTCGCGGCTCCCGGGACAGCCTTCGTAACATATCTTCAGCTCAGTTGCCTACCCCCGACACGGTTGTCTCGACTCGGTCGCCTATAGTTCCCGACTCCCCTCATTCTACTCTCGAAAGTTCCAACTCTCGTCGTGAAAGCGTTTCAACCATGAGGACGTCGTCCATTTCCCTTGACGGGCCTCCCACTTGCACGCCCACAGGTCGTGTTAGCAAGGCGAAAAAGGGCAAGAGAGTCCACGCATGTGAATTCCCTGGTTGTGGAAAGGTGAGTCTGACCAAGCAGAAAGGCCCCAATTCAAGGCCGACCACTTCAACCCAAGGGGAACCCCTGGCTGACGATTCGCGTAGGTCTTCACCAGAGCAGAGCACAGAAGGTAAGTCGAGATTGGGCAGCTCGTATGGGGGCCTTTTTTCCCTTGCTTACAAGTCCACAGACGGCATGAACTCAACCATAACCCGGAGGCGTTGTTTCCCTGCACGCGTCCTGGATGCAGGAAAGCATTTCATCGTCTTGATCTTCTACAGCGGCATCAAGAGAGACAGTGAGTCCTTTTTGGAGGTTGTTTTTTCGGTTCGCACGTCTAACACAACGACAGCGATCTTGAAAACTCGGCTGCCTCTCCAGGGCAAATGAGCCAGACGCCGCAGATGTCAGTTTCCTCAGAACCGCCTTCTTCAGTCATGCCTGCCGCAGTTATAAGCAGTCCTCAAGCTGATAGAAGTGCTCCAAGATCCTCTGCCGGTGCTTTATCGATCGGATCCCTTGTCCATCCACAAACCGACTATGGCTACAGCATGGGGACGCCAGCATTCAATGGATTTGGCCGGCAAACCATACCATTCATTCCTGGGTTCAATTCTTCCGATGATTCTTTGTTCTATACACCCGAAAGCAGCCAGTCTCCTGTTTCTGATTATTACGGGCGATACCCTCACCGCCAAAGCATTTCCTCTTCTTCTTCAGTCGCTGCTTTTGAGCCCAACGGGGCCTCTCCTTTGATCAGTGGAACTATTCCAGGCCCATGGGCTCCTTCTTCTGCTCCTCCCAGTATTTTGCCATCAAACATGCTCGATGATGGCGCATATCTTCCCGTTAGTTCCCCTTTTCTTTGGACTGGTGCGTATACTGAAGCTGATCAGTCTCCTGCAGACTCTTCCATACCGATACCCCTCTCCGACCTGGATGGCTACGAATGGTCTGTCATTCGAGGAGAACTATCAAATTCCTCTGGACTTTTATCAGGAGATTCCCCAACCGGTGTATCCGACACTATAAGGTGGCATTGTCTTGACCTCTACTGGCAGTACTTCCATCCCCATTTCCCCGTTGTGCACCGGCCCACGTTCCTACCTACGAAGCCAAGCCCACTTTTGGCGAGTGCCATGTCGGCAATTGGATCACAATATGATGATCGACCAGATGCGAAGCAATATTCTTTGACACTTTTAGAGATTGCGACAAAGCTGCTGAGAAGGAGAGACAGCATTACAAGTCGATCCAGATTGGCGGACCTACAGACAGTCTTCTTGCTGGAAGTCTTGAGCAAGTATTGCTCCAGGAGAGTAGAAGTCGAAATGTCTGCAAGGTTTCGGTCTCTGTTTGCCAGTCTCGATCAAGCACGTCGAACACTGGCCACAGATCCTCTAGCAGTCTTCAGAACACTCCGGAAAGACAAGACCTCGGAAGATATTGCGCGAGCCCACAAGTTCTGGCTCGATCATGAGACTCGGAGACGAATTCTTCAAGCCTCAACCGTGCTGGACCATCAACAGGCCACCTTGTTCGAACAGCAACCGACAATAGTTCAACACGGGCGGCCACGGAGAACTACCAGCCCGAGTCTACGATGCAATATTCCTCTGCCTTGCTCTGAAGAGCTTTGGGAAACGAGCCCCATCGAAAGTTGGGTTCAGCTGGCGGCGAACAACGACACATCCAAGCCACGATCTCACCGACAAGATTCAAGCATGGGACCACCCCAAGACTACTTCCAGAATCTTGTGGGTATGGTAGCCTGTCAAGGGTTGCCCGACCAAGCGCCACTTCGGCAAGAGCGACTAGCAGACGCCGCGGCCTATATGGCGTTCAATCAACACGCGTCGGAAATGGCTAGGAATACACCCATCAGACAATTGCTCATGACCAGCGGCGAGTCCTGGATCCTCGGGAAGAAGTTGGAAAACGAAGCAGAGTTCCAGGACGCCAAACGCACGCTGAGAGCTTGGGCCGATTCAAATTTCCAAAGTCGAATTGCGCTGTGGCACGCCACCCAGCTGATCCGCAGCCGCGTCAAGTTTTCGTATTCCGAACCTACAAGGACTGAACTGGGCGTTATGTTTCAAGACACCCATATGCTTCATGAGCCTTGGGTGTTATACCTTGCCGCCCTTGTATGCTGGGCTTATGGGTTCTCAGCATCGACAGCCCTCGACGTCAATGTGCAGGGTTCGGGCGCCGGCTCAACGACCAGTAACCCACAGTCCAACGCGTCTCGGACGCCGAGTTCATCTGCTTCAGCACATCCGGCACTGCTCGACTCTCACGAAGCTGCGTATTCCATGAGAGAGTACCTCCAAACCACAGACGTCGACAAGGTGGACGGTATTCTCAGCATCGATCCGCAAATATTCGGCCGCACGCATGGTCTCCTTGAAGCCATCCGACTGAACAAGATTGGGTCGCTTCTGGGAGGACTTATGAATGAAGCGGAGAGAGTTCTTTATCGACTTGTAGAGGGAAGAAGTCGTTTGTCACATTTTTAGAGCAGGGAGCACTTTTTCTTTTTTTCGTTCCTTGGTTCTAAGCGTACGTTTGTCTCTCGGGATTTGGGGGTGCGAAAAAGCCAATTGTCACGACTATGATGCCACATTTATGACGACTACGAAAATTACTGTGTTTATTGTTTATGATCTTCCTGGCTTCTTGTGCATTGGGATATACCAGAGACTCAGAGGTGTGTGATACCATGGCTTCTGTAAGAGACCTCAGCGTATGGCGTTTTTTGGGTCATTCTTCAAGAACCTTTTTGGAAAGACTTTTGTTTCTGTCGTTTCTTTGGGGAGCGAGCCTTGGTTCAACGGGCATGATTTTTATCTGCAAGGATGAGTACAGTCTCCTCGTACGGAGCATTCGGACAATTATTTACTTATGGGGGGTTTCAAAGTTGCTCCCGGTCACCTTTTGGCAGGGAGACAAGTACCTGACCTGAACCTTACCTAGAGACTACCAAGGCATGTTATGCAGTGGGCGGAGAAATATGACCCTTGCTTGACCTTTGACGTTTTGACTTTTCTGAGGATTTTGACTTTACACGGAAGTTTCGCAAGGTCTTTTAGGTCACATTTGACGACCGGTCTCGTCCGGTTTACGAGAACTCAGACTGGAGACGGGGACGGAATATTCCATACCTACTTTCTTGGGCAACAGTAGAGCGGGTTTGAAGTGTGCGCGTGTGAAAGATTCGTATTCCAAGGGAAGTGAGCTGTGACGGAATGCAAAGAGTTGGGCGAGTTAGTGAGTAGACAGGAATCGAGAAGCAGGGTGTTGTTGTTCATCCATCCATCCATCCATCCATCCGTGGTCCAACAACAATGATAATCTCTCTGCGCTCGCTTTGGCCTTCCTTTCTGGTTTCCCGGACTGTGGCAGGGGATGGTCCTGGCCTAAGGTTTTGTCTTTGCAAACTACTGGAAACTTACGGAGTAAGGAGAGATTCACCAGACCTGAGACTACTGTACAGTTGTGAGTCCGAATGACCGGCAGTGAGTGGTGACCGTGTTTGTGCATCGTTGATTGTACCTTGTATCAAGGACCCACGACACACACGAACCCACTGCCGTGCCCGTTTGACCCGTGGTGGCGCGTTGGCTGGTAGGTGAGTGGATGGATTCGATGCGGCACTGGGCTGTAGTATTGTGTTGTGTGCATCTGTAAGTACTACTGTACACACGAGTAGGGGCTCCCGTCCGTTAAAGTTGCAGGGGTCGGGGATGCGAATGCCTCGATGGAGCATGTGGAGGCGTTACGGGAAACATCAGCACTTGTAAAAAGTATGTAGGTACCTATGTACTCCCGTACCGTGTACTCGGAGGTACTTTGTACGAGAGAGAGAAAGAGTGGAGGTACTCCGTATGAGCACGGGCTATTAGCCCAAACTCTGGACTTTGGACTCTGGAGTAGCTAGGGTACTCGTAATAAGTTAGTCCGTACGGAGTACAGCACGTCCTTTGGAAATTTCAAACAGACCGGGAAACGGGAGACCCGTTCGTGCGAGGATGAGGGAGCTTGGAGTGTGGTCCCGGAAGGTACCTAGGTACCTAGGGTACGGATAGATACTCCGTACATTACTACAATAGCAATATACGACGAAGGCCTAGCGGTTATTGGTACAGTACGACGAGTACACGAGATCATACCGACACCATGTTTGGCAGTGGAGATTTCAGGGGGGGAGGGGGGAGCAGAAACCGCACCGCTGTGCACCCAGCCGGCGCTCGCGTTTTGTACTCCGTACAAAGGTACAGAGAGGGTTCGCTCATATGTACCCATGTTTTTGGTTGCACAGACGAAGTAGCGTCACTGATGATCAGTAGTAATAGTAGCACATGCAGTACGTACCTTTTAAAATGCCACACATACTAGGCGTATTTATGGGTTCGATGCTACGGTACTAACTGTCCTCGGAAAGCACACTTATTACTATTTTCCACAACACGAATCTACGCCTCCAAAGGCCTCTAGAATAAAGTATGACTGCTAGTCACAAATGTAGGAGCGGATGGCGCCATCCCCCTGTCCTTGTACGGGCTAAGAACGATCATCCATGGCAACTGGCGGCGATCCAATCGACACAATTTTTTTTACAGTACCTAGCTCAGCCGTTTTTCCTTGTGTACACATAGTACGGAGTACGAGTATGTGACTTGCGAACCTGGAAACGAGATGCGCAGGCAGAACGTTACCCACCACCACCACCACCACCAGAAACCAGGATAACCATTACGTGCAGAATACGGAGTAGAGTCTGCAAGATGAAGACAGTATCCATCAGACTTTTTGCCGTACGTGGTACTTGTACATACAATACCAACGTTAGAAAGGACCAATATCTCTCCGACCAAAAAACATCAAATAAACGAGGTGTGGGTACGTTACTGTGGTCCCCGTAACGAGGTGCGTTTCGAGGCTCGAATTACTGTAAGCGGTAACTGCTCTCATACTCCATAGAAAAAGGGCCCCCGAGGTCACCACTTAGACGTCGATTTCGCCTAGTTGCACCCCTTTAGCGCCGTGGTGCACGATGCGGGAGTAACATGTCATGCAGACGATCCATGGGACGCCTGAACATTGCTTTGCACTCCCTTCACGAGTGTGAGGCCGTCGAGTCTAAGAAGAGCAGTGAGTGACGTGTGAGGAAGAGGAGTGTTGGTGTCTCGATCCTCGACCCCCTGGTGCAAATCATCCATGCGCCACAATATCAAGGTTTTCCCAGGAGAAAGTCTGACAGGGGTCGTCATTTATTGTTCAATGCACTCCCGTACTCCGTAACTACAAAACTAAATGTACAGTATTAGTTCGTGGACCCGTGGGTTTGTGCGGCAACTTCTTCGAAAGCGCCGTAGCGGTTTTGGGTAGTAGGGGGTCAGGGATCGATTGGACTCCTCCCTCAAGACACCAAAGGGCCACCCGCGCGGAGACGTTGCTTTTTCGCCTCTTTAAATTTACGGTGGGCATTTTCGTGCACCGTCGTGCGGCTAGTATACATATTGTACTTGCTGTAGCAGATGACTGAACTTGCAACAAGCGAGTCGTGCTGTAACAGGGATGGTACCGATGCTTCGAAAACACCAAGGCAAATGTTGCCGATTACTGGAAGTGGAGGGCTTTCAACTTGTCACAAGGGACGCAACTTTCATGACTGCAAGATACCACAGTGCCCTGCATAATTGGTACCCCCAAAAACGCCTTCGTTCTGAGGGATGTTCCCGGGAACCTGATCAACCTCTTGTCATTCTCACGGTTCGCTCATGAGTTGGGTGCCTTGCATCTGGCCAACCTCCTCATCAGTATCGACAACAGGAATCCCCATTCACTGCCCAACTTCGACCCTTTTCTGCCTGTCCCTGACCTCGTCCCAATGTTCCGTAGCCCAGGCCAAAACATCACTGAACCTCTCTTCTCGGAACGCTTCCCTGACCTCTACGAGCGAAGCGGTGACTGTACCTCCATCGCCCGCGATATCACTCTTCATGCGCACCATGACACGTCCAATTTGAGCTCCCTGGATGGGTAAGGACTTCCTGATGTCACTCCACAGTTGGTCGACCTTGATCTGTCTTGTCCATTTTGCTTTTCGCTCATCAAACCTTCTCCCGAAGTCCTCGCCAAAGTACTCCTTCGCATCCTCAATGACCTCGTCGCGACTGAGATGCGCGTCCTTACCCGGTTTGTCGTCTACGCGGGCAGGCAAGTACGTATCAATCCAGTAGCGAAAGGCTGGCCGTTTGTTTAATCGTGCACGGTCTCTGTGTTTGCGTTTCGTGAGGGGGGTTGGCGTATCGTGGCCATCACCGCTTTTCGAGTCTTGATCTGCTTGGTCTGGTTCTTTCTCCCACTGTTGACTGTCTCTCCAACGTCCAGGATCATGGAATCTACAAGTTGCGACGTATGCCATCATCTCGTCCCAGCTGTTGAAGGGCTTCTCGTACCGCTGGATGTCGAGACCTAGGTAGTCAAGTACCAGCTTGGGATCATCCGTCAGCTTCACTCGCGCCTGGGCCTTGTTGTAAGGTTCAATCTCCTTGATGCGAAGTTGGAGACCCTTGGAACATGTGAGACCAGCATGTCGGATGATACCACCGAGCATGGTCCATATCTCACCGTGAGACTCGACGAAGAAGTGCCAGTTAAACGACTGTTCGTTGTCGCAGATCTGGACATCAACCTGACAGAACATCTCTTGAAGGTCTGGGGAATTCGCTGTGCAGGGTTCGGGATTTGGATTGAGTGCATCCTCCGCCTCCTCCATTTCCTGGTCCTGATACAGGCTCTCCTCATCACTGCTGATGCTGTGAAATTGGTCCGGCCAGGGCACTGCAAAATGGAACATTGACCGGCTTCCCGAACCCTTCGATTTATGTGCTCCTAGGATGGCAGACAGATCCATCCGACTGAAAGTCTGAGTCTTGTTCAGCGGCTCAGCTACCACGACATCGACGTCTCCGTGACTTGCCTTCGACAGGAATTCCGACGAACTTGAAGTGAGCTTCAAGCAGACACTTTACGTTCGACGAGACATGGTAGTAAACTTTTGGAGGCATTCGCGGCGTGGACAGGCCATCCTCCCTGAAGACCAGCCCTCCCATTTTGTCGATGTCTGTCTGCCGATATAATTAGTCCTAGAGATGAGTGAAGTAAAGTTGAGATGCATCGCAAGAAGGAAGAGTGGGTGACTCAAAAAAAATGCATGCTTGCCAAAGTTTGTGGTACAAGTGGTCAGCTTGTGAGTCAAACAGCCAAGCCAAAGGATCATAGAATCTGGAACGAAGATGTCGCCAGGCAGTGTTTGTCCCTTGGAGAGATCGTTTGAACCATTCTTGCGGCCGTAGCAGGCAGTGTAACTGACTCACTGCCAGAGGCAAAAGCTTCGTTGTCGCATTTCGCTCTCATAACTTCTTGAATCGCTGTTCAACTCCAATTGAGAGGCCAGATGAGTGCCCTAACGACTTTGCCTCTTGAAGGTAACCTCCGAGTGCTGGAGACTGTTATTTATTCGCCTCGAGCTCGCAGGGGTTGTCTGCGCGCCGCGATGGGCTGCGAAAGCCACCAACCAACCTTTGGCGGGGAGTATACCCGTGGTCAGCCTCAACTACTGCCGTTGATGATGGCAACATATTCAAGAGGAAAGTAGACGTCTCGCCTTAACGTCGGGATGACTGACTACGAGCAAACACTATGAAGGCGCAGCTCAGTGTGATATGTTGACGACGAAAGTTCTTGGTAGCTGTGATTGGCCATTTCAGATCATCACCGCCACTCCAGCCCACTAACTAACTAGTCCTGCTACAATACGACGAACTCCTCAGGCGCCCGAGTCTCCGTCTAGATACTCCGTACATAACTTGAACTCTCAACGGACTGGCTGGGGAACAAGTTGCGACGCTAAGTAGCGTTGTTGCGAGCCTGCATAACTCGTACGATGAGTGGCTGAATTCTTGACCATACCATCATATCCAGGTCCTAGCGAAATCACAATGGGATCGACCAGAGAGCAGACACTCTTCAAGACTGCCACCTGTGCTGGTCGGGATGTCCCTTAACACTGGCAACAATCTGGACTGGCCAGGTTAAGCCTACATGCAGACTCCTCTTGTGCTCATGCAACATCTGGGCGTGTTGACTTGGGTCCTGGCTGTGGTCCTATGGAGTCAGTCCCCAGTAAATTGCCGCCCTCCGGCTGAGACTAACAGGGTGAAACATCAAGCGCGCCCGAATGAGATCGATTGAGGCCGAGCACTCGTGGCCCCCTTGAGAGGCCTCACTGCTTAAGGCGACCAGCGTGTTCTGTTCTTTGTGGCTGCGCCTTTCGAGCCTCTTTCTTTGCGATATCATTAACTACGATATCCTTAACGGAGTATCAACAGCGCACATCCAAGTCCATTCCGATTTATCAAGCACAAAGAACCCCCAACCACCTACAGGAGCCTGTCGCGTATCCAACCTACGACCAAGTCCCCGTCCTTCTCGAGATTGCCCTGAATTTGCACCCGTTTCCCCGAGGGCGGCCGACATGGCAACGCCCATGTCAGCTTCACTCCTCCTCTGCCTTCTAGCGGCCTCTCAACTCGCCTCAGCGACCTGTTACTGGCAGAACTCTCCGGTGCTCGCTGCAGACGATCCTGCTGCAATAGCACCCGATGATACAGCATGTTTTCCTGACCAAGAGAATTCTCCATGTTGCGGGACGGGCTGGGACTGCCTTAGTGACGGAGTTTGCCATATTATGCAGGATGGAACAGACTTTTATTATCGTGGAACCTGTACAGATCGTACTTGGAACAGTCAACAGTGTCCTGGATGGTGTTTTGCGCAAAGTAAGTGTTCGATGTTCGACACCACGTGATATCCGACAAGTCATTCACTCGCATCAATGAATGACATGTTTGCTGTTTTGGTTGGCATTTGACTGTGAGGTCCTGGCTAATGCTTTCTGGTGGTAGACTCTAACTCTTCTATTCCACTTGCTAAATGCGACACGGAGCAAGACTGGTATGCGCGCCCCCATTCTGCCTCTTGATAGTCAAGAGCCTGCCTGCGGGTGTTTAGCATGCTGATATCGAGTTTCTAGGTATTGCTGTCCCGGTGATGCAGACTGCAGCTGCGAGACTGGTAAGAATGCCGTCAAACTAGGAGGAGAGCAACCTTCGACCATTACCGTGATTGGGAGCACCAGCTGGCCCGGCTACACTAGCACTACCTCACCATTTACAGCCAGCAATCTTGTCACAGACGGTACCCAAACCGCGACGGGGACGAGCAACCAAGCTGCGGCCACCACCGCTACCGCCGCCGATAGTAACACGAACACCCCGGCAACTATATCGTCAAACACAGCTACGGCCGAGCCTGCCTCGGCCTCCACAGTCATCCCAGCTACATCGAGCGGTGGAGGATCAAGCAACACAGGTTTGGCCGCCGGACTTGGGGCTGGACTAGGTGCTGCAGCTGTCCTCATTGGAGTGCTCATTTTCTACCTCGTTCGAAACCGACGCAGGAAGAATGCGGTCAATGCCGGGGGTAATGCGGCATATGGCGGTATTCCTTCAAGCGCTGCTACAATGCAGAAGCCAGTCTATTCGGACTCTCAACAGTCCGCACCGTACAGTGACAATACCAACCCGCAGTCCCAGCCCGAATTGCCTGGACAAGGAGAGCACGACAGAGCAGAAATGGCGACAATCAGTCAAGGCCAGACCACCTACCAACACCAGCAAAGAGCGGAGCTTGATGCCTCATGATGTGACGAGCCGTTTGATGGGCGAGCGACGATGTACCGTTTCAGTTTACGAATCCCTTTGTGCCAGAAATAACGTCAAATGATAGACCACATAATATGATATCCCTTTTCAACGGCCAAGACATGATATAAGGCCAGGACTATTGTACCGTACATTCACATTTTGGTTTCGGCACGTGAAGATTCGAAGGACGACGGCTGTCTACTTGTAGTCGGCCGGTCCACACGGGACCGGGGAGTCTCTCACAGGGATCCCACAACGCAGTCCACCAACAAGTATGTCTCCAGTGGTGGGAACTGATCTTGGGACAGTTAACCGCTGATTGCATAAAACCAGCGGCGGCGGAGGTTCTAGCGCGCGTGACACGTCGAGGCTTTCGTGTGTCTATCTCGCGAACAAGGAAGTTCCCTTACAATTCAGAAAAAAAAAAGCTCGGGATCATGACCACTGGGCCAACCAAGATGAGACTACGACGCCATCCGCAGAGGCAGTGAAGATGAATGTACGATGTGTCAGCAACAACCCACCGGACCCTGTGGCGACATTGATTGGGCACGATTTCGTGATGCTCTCGGTCCGGCGCACATCTCGGTTCGATAGCTCGAACTTCACCCTACATTGCACCCTTCATGCAGGGCTCTTTCTCGTCCGTTCGTCAAATAGCGTCGCCTTATCGCGCTCGAGGAGGGGGTACGCTATGTCCAAGACGGCCGTCGCTGCATGATTTGCTAAGCACAGAGTAATGTCGACGGGTGCCATGGCATGACATGGCATGGCTCTGTGATCCGGTGGTTTTTACTGTTGCTGTAGGTGTGGTAGGAAAAACGTCTCTAACTCTACAGGAACAAGGGGCACGGACAGGCCTGGCTGGACCTTTGTGTGGGCTGAAAGAATAATAAATCTCGCACGCCTCTGCTTCTGTCATCTCCCTCTTTACCTTGTTAGTCCCCCGCGTCCGCATCAATATCCATTCCACCTTCCCACATCGGAATCTGCTTTCTGTGGCAATACAACACTGTTTACCAACCACACGACAAACGCCCCTTGACACTCTTCCGACTTTTCTTCTGTTCCCTGTCCTCGAAAAAGGGCCCGCGATCGACCTCTGACACACCCTCTGTCAAGCACGGGGAATGGGTGTTGCAGGGTACCCTCACACTTCAGCTGACCTGAGGTCCCCATTTTCCCAATAAGGAGAGCGAGACTTGCCCGTCATCCTTCTATCTACCTACCCATTTAATTCTAAAACTATTCCTCTTCCTCATTCAGACACAGGACGAGTGTCACTGCTACATTGTGCTTTGAAGGAAGGGCCCTTTTTGCACTTTTGTTCTGGACTTCACTTCAAGTCCGACCTGAGACTTCGATTTCGACCACGGACCACACAGATCCCTACCGACCCATTTCGACTGTCGTTTTGTCGCGAGGCCATACCGACCAAAAAAATATCACATCCGGCAGAATTCGCGCTCTGCTGAGGTTAAACGTTTTCTTCTTTGGCAATTTCTAGGGTTGAAACGTCCTCCTGCTCAGGGGAACCCACGCCACACTCCCCCTTTCACCGCGGTGTGTGTATGTGCGAGTGAAAATATCAAATTACCGCTCAAAGTCGAAGACCATCTAATAGCGATCGGTCCGATAACGCACGTCTAAAGAAAATGTCATCAGACAGCCTAAGCACGACATCGTCGCGCTCTTCTCGCTCCTCGTTTTCACTACACATCGACATGCCACCCAATACCACAAGCGCCGATGCTGCCGCCGCCGCCGGCGCCACTTCTTCGATGCCCAACCCTCAAAACCCGACCTCGACAGCGTGGCACCTTGCCCACGCCCACCACGCGTCGCACATGCCGCACATTCACATCCCGACGCCTCACCCCGTGGCGGCGACGGCGCAGTTCCTCGACAAGCACGTGCCCGTGTTCGCGAAGCACCACACGGAATTCAGCGTCAACAAGGCCGCGAGGGCCGCGAAGCGCGAGGCCCGCCACAGTCTCGTCGACAGTCCGATCCCCGAGTACGAGTCCGACCACGACCAGCAGCAGCACAGGGTCAGCACGGCCTTGAGGACCGCCGCCGTCACGACCTTCGCCCCGGCCCTGGCCGACGGCGAGGGCCTTGTCGGCAGCGGACAGGTGGACGCCAACGAGGCGTGGATGGCCGTGTTGGCCAAGAGGGAGGCTGCGAGGTTGAGGTCGGGCGTTGTCGGCGGAAGTGATGGGGGCAGCAGCGGCAGCAGCAGCGACTTTGGAGCTCGTCGTTATCCTGCTGCTGCTGCGCCACAGGACGAGCAGAGCGACGACGGGATAAGTGGAAGTTGAGTTCCTAGGAAGTGGGCAGCGAAGCAACGGTTGTGAAGGGTGAGGAGGCTTGCGTCTTTTTTGCTGCACGAACTACAATCTACACACTAGTAGGTCACCCTGGCCACAGACACGCACGAGGATGGAGAAAGAAGGGGAAGAAGATGATGATGATGTCGATGGCTCATGATGGGTCGACCAAGGCTCGAAAGCTATGATGCATGTCGAAGGTCCCTCCGTCCCTCGGTATGGGGAACATGGATGATGATGGCACGAGCATAACCCGGTCACGAAGGTAGTAGTTTCGGAATACAAGATGGACGAAACAATACATTGATCTCGTTCCAGTGCAATCAAGAAACAAATCATCTCCTCGGGTCCTATCCACATGAATACGTCTACTGCAACTCCAATGTGCCCACGACACCAGGAGTATACCCACTTCGCCATTAGCCAGTCATATCTTCATACAAGAATCTCAATCATTAAGTTAATGCTGTCACACCTCACGCCTCACTCTCAACGACTCGATAGCCCTCGGCCAATTTCTTGTTAATCTCCTCGTTCTTATGCTGCAACAACGACAATGCGTAGGCCGTGTCGTCCCATTGTCTCTTGTTCACGCATCGACCGAGTCTGGCCGCAAGTTTATCGGCAAGGTTCTTCGCATGTTTGTCCTGTAAAAAGCGCGAATCCAAGCATTAGCCCATGATCGATTTATGTGAGCAACAAAGGCACAGTGGCCTCCCGAATAACGGTATCTGGAATACCCGCCTTGCGGGCTGTAGAGAAAACAGATCGAACGTACCTTTTCGATGAAACCACACAAAAACTTGAGAATTCTCTTAACGGCTTCTTCTTCCATGACTCCGCCCTCCAAAGGACCATCTTGAGTGAGAACACTGAACATGTCCACAAATTGGTTATACACCGCGTTGTCCTTGGTCGCCAATTCAGTAAAGAACATGCGAGCAAGGTCGGCGATTTTCTTGTCTCCGTCTTCCAGACATTTGGCCATTTCACCCAGTTGACCCTTGACTTTGACTTGTCCAGCTAGAATCAAGAACGTCAGCGTCATCAAACACGTCCGTTTGACGCTCTCGTCGCCATCATTGAGTCTTCGATACAGGAAATCCGTGTTTTCGTCAATGAGGTGATTGAAGCAGACCGCCATGTCGCCGAGGGCTATCACGGCGTTCGACCGGACGATTGGATCTGTTGATCGTTCAAGTATAGTAATTAACAGAGGCAGGTTCTTTTCGCAGTAGTCGCTGCTGACGCACATGAGCTTGGCCAAACACAAAGTCGCCTGTGCCTGGAGTTCACGGTCTTTATAGGCCGCGTTATTTGCACAGATTTCCGTTACCAAAGGGCCAAAATTTGCAAGGAGAGAGTTCTGCCCGTAAAGAAGTTCCCGTTCTCGAATGTGAGCAATGGCTTCGGTAAAGTCGTCCTCAGTCGTGCCTCCGATCATATCTAGTTCATCCTTCTCTTCTTCTTTCTGCTTTTCTGCTAACACCTCTTCCGCGGCGGTCTTCTTTCTTCGAGCAGGCGTAGGACCGGCCGATTTGTCTGGCAAAGTGTTACTGGCCATGGACTTGTTCTTTTCCTGCTCGTGTTTCCGCCGTTTGAAGTCAAGCTCGCACAATTCGAGATGAACAATCTGTTTGATCGCGATATGACCAACAGTAAAGAAGAGTTGAGAAAGAGCGAGAGATGGCTTTTCCTGGCCTTCTTTCGAGGCCTCAGGTTCTTCTGGGCCGGGTTTGTTATCACCTTCTTCCGCTTCGTCAACATCCATTGCCTCAACCTCTTGAGGAGGCTCCGGGCTCGGCGTTCGCGACAGCGAAGACATGGTCTTCGTTTGTTGAAATACTAGTCGAGTTTTCTGCCTCAGCACTTCCGAACATAAGACGTCTGGGTGATCGGACAGAACATAAATGGCGGAAATTGCTTGTTCAGCCATTCCGTACCAGTCTTTGCTAGGGGACGTAGTCAGGAGAATCGACGCCAGCATTCGTAGGACTTCGTGGTTGTTGGACATCCTCGACAAGCCAGCTGATGCTGTCTTTTCTTGGGCCTTCTTCGCGACTGGTATCATACGTCGCAATGCAACGCAGGTGAACTTAGCAAGGACAAAGTCTTGCCTGCCCAGATGTCCCAACCCTATCCGCAACATGGTGTCAATCTCCCTGATGACGACCTCTGGATTGGCCAAAGCTATCATTCCAAGGACGATAATTGCACCTCTCCGCTGAGATTTAGAGATTTCTTTGTTGACTCCATATACCTGCCACAACTTTGAAACCACTAACTCAGAAATGTGTCCGGCTTTAAACATCGTCGCTAGCAGCTGTTCCAGCGATGTCAGTTCTGCAGGAGTAGCACCAAACGTCAAGCTGATCATGTTTCGAGCGACAAAATTGGCGGAATCGTTCGCGGTGAACATATCTGGAGCGTCGAAGAACAACCCCTTGTAATTCTCGATCAGGTGAGTTTGGATGCCCTTTCCTTCGTCACTATTTCCCTTGGTCCAGATTAGTCGGAGCATACGTCGGATACCTTGACGAGCGGTCTCGATTTTGAAAGCATCGATAGTCACGAAAAAGTCCATCACGTCGATGACTTCGGTTTTGTTTGGCGAAGACAGAAGCTGCACTGCAAAATCTGAAGAGTCGTGGATCACGTCAATAAATCGCAATGCCTCTAGGTAGTACTTGCGAGTCAGCTGGAGTTTTCCCAACACTTCCGAAGTTGCAGCTTCTTCGGCGGCCTTTCTGGCAGCCTCGATCCTCTCCTCCTCAATCATTTCTTCTGGTTCGTCGGCTTGAGCATCGGGGTTCTGTGTCGCATCATCCAAAAGTTCGTTATCGACCCTTTCCTCGCCGTTGGCCATCTGGGCTACTCCAGCTTCTTCGGGTGGAGGTTGCAGAGCCTCAAGTTGGGATTCTACAGCTTCTAGCCGTTCGACCCAATCCTTCCGCGACAACTGACCACCGTGCATTACACTGAAAGGATGCGAAGCGACAAGTTTCCTGAGCAACTTGATTGCATTCCGACGCACATTGCTACTCTTGTCTTGTAGACTCTGCATAGCAAGCTCGGCAGCGTGTTGCCGCCGTTTCGGAAATTTCTGCTCCAAGTCGCATATCTTTGTGAAGACCTGCATTGCCTTGACTCTGCAGAATGGGGCTGTGTCCAAAAAGCGTTGCTCGAGTGTGTCGAAGAATGCATTGATCTGGATCTTAGTAGTCTCACTTTTCTCCTCTTGCTTGCTGAGATCGGCAAGAAGATTGCCACAGACCTCAATGACTGCACATCTCAAGGTGTAAGACTCGCTATCCAGGAATTTGGCGAGAAGACCCATCTCTTTGATGACTAGTCTGGGCTCCAACTCTGACAGCTTGATAATGAACGTAGATACTGATTTTGGGCCTTTTGTGTCATTCTGGCTGAATTCCTTCGCTGCCAATTCTCTGAGGATCTCCGCAGATAGCTGATGATAATCGTACTGTTCTGCCAGGATGTGTAGAAACTCAGCCATCGGTTCCGACAGGTGCTCGAAATAGGTCAAATTCTGTACGATTGATGTTTGTGCACCCAGTGCATGGCCGTGGTGTTTTACAGCCACACAGAGCACCTTGAAGCAAAACATTCGGACTGGGGTTGTCTTCACCCTGGCCTCGCTCTCCATAATCAAGTATACCGACCTCGTGAACAAGTTCACGAATGTGTCTCTGTCGGAGGTGGTCTGAAAGATGCGGTTCAACTTCAGCTTCATGACCCGACACATGACATCCATTGCTCCTTGTACTTGGCCGGCAGAATCCCAAACATCGTCTTTGGCAGCTGACTTGGATTTTGCTCCTTTCCCTCCTCTTCTTGGGGGGGCCGAGTTCGATTTCTCCAGAGCTTTTGCCTCGACACCTGAGATTGCCCATTGGAGAAGGAAGGCGTACATCTCCAGGAGACGTTTATGTTGGGTAATGGTATCTTGCTCGTCATTTTCAATATCGTGATTCGCAACGTCCGCTGTAGTTGCGAGGCCGGAGACGATAAGGTGGAGTATCTTGCTAAGAGACTGGGTAGAGAGGACAGAGGATTGCCTAGATTGAACCCGTTTAGCAGAGGAATCCCGGAGAGCTTTCATATGATAGTAGGGATGGGAGAAAGCATACTTCAATAGAAAGAGCAGGGTGTCAAAGATAACACTTCTTCCCAGAGCCTCAGGGTTCTCTGCAATTGCGTCTATCACCGGGTCCAGCGCATTGTTGACAAGGTCTGAGGTGAGGCTGTCTGGGTCGTTCTCGCAGTCGAGCAATTCGGAACTGGCTTCAGGAGTTGGAATCTTCGCAGAATCGCTCAGATACAGTTTTAGGGATTCGTTAATGTCGAATTCGACCTGGTCGTCCATTTTGAAGGTGGTCGTGGTGGACCGTGTGGAAAGGTGAGTGAATTCACCACCTTTTGTTGCCGGTGGGCGCGGTATAAACAAGGTGGGCGTTCACCGCAAGGTGATTATCACCTTTAGAGAAATTATATCACTCAGAATCGAGATATCGGTCAGTGCAAACAACAAGACCACGCTCACTGTCGCCAACATAACGATTGTTTAGTCGTCAAGAATTGCTCACTCGCATGCGCACGCGTATTGATTGGTGCGATTTGTTGACAGCCGCTTAATCGGGTCGCTCTCCCCACAACAACACAATGAAATTGGTGGATGCCCGCAGAGCCGTCCTGTGGTCTCTGCGACCAAAAAGGCCGACTGCTATAAAATCAACACGCCCAAAACACTCAAAGAACAAACATTCACAATATAATGTTGTGCTAAGCTCCCCCGACGCGTTGGAAGTCGAAGACGTTGAAGAGGAAGGAGCTGACCCAGCGCGTCGCGAACATCACCGATTGGAGGCTGAGACGCAGCGGGCCGCTGCAGGAGAATTTGCAACTGCAAGGTCTCACATCCTGGGCAAGAGACGGCGACTCGACATGGGGCAGCCAGACATTGCCATCCATGAGGATGCCGACGACGTCTTCCATGACGCTCGTAATTCGCAGAAACTGCGCAGACACGAGATGCACCAGTCGCACTACGACGAGGAAGATGAATCCGTCGCGGGGTCCTGCTCCGAGGATTCGGAAGAGAGTGAGGATGAGGTTGACGAGAGTGTCATGGAAGACATGCGTAAACTAGAGGAGAGTTTCAAAGGCATCTCTGAGAAGTACCGCCTGATCAACCGTATCGGAGAAGGTAAGCTCGTCGTGCCATCTCAACTATGTCGATGTTAATGATCCCTAGGAACATTCTCGACGGTGTATAAAGCGGAACAACTCCCTCAGGCCGATGATTTTGACCAGGAGAACAATGTGCCCGAGGAGGTGCTTGATGAAGATATGCCACCATATAAGAGGCGGAAGACCAATTCTACAGACCTGCGGGTGCGATCTCGACGAAGGCCGCAGATTGTGGCCCTGAAGAAGATCTACGTTACTTCGTCCCCTCATCGAATCCTCAATGAACTAGAGCTGTTGCACGAATTACGAGACTCGCCGTACATTTGCCCCTTGTTGACGGCATTTAGACACCTCGACCAAGTCGTTGCTGTGCTGCCCTATTTCAAGCACCTGGATTTTCGACTATACTACCGCGATTTCTTGGTCAACGACATGCGTCACTACTTCCGTAGCTTATTCAACGGACTGTGGCACGTTCACAAAGCAGGAATTTTACATAGAGACATCAAGCCGACGAATTTCCTCTACGATCACTCAAAACGACAGGGAGTGCTGGTTGACTTTGGTCTTGCTGAGCGTCAGGGCACAGACTGGCAACAGTGTCTTTGTACGGAACTCAAGGAGCGACGGAAAGACAGGTTCCTCAACTCAATTGCCATCCAGACGCTGCAGAACCAACCTGATCTGATGTCGAACGGCCATCCCAAGAATGATAGTCGACCATCTCGACGGGCAAACAGGGCAGGCACACGAGGTTTCCGGGCACCGGAAGTTTTACTCAAATGCACCTCGCAAACCACCAAGATCGACATCTGGTCTGCAGGTGTTATCTTATTGACACTTTTAGCACGAAGATTTCCGTTTTTCAACAGTGCTGATGATGTCGACGCTATGATCGAAATTGCTTCTATTTTTGGCCGGAAAAAGATGAAGGGTGTTGCTGCTATGCATGGCCAAATATTCGAAACCAACATTGAAACCATTGGCGAGCGTGGATTTACGCTCGAGAAGATTATCCTGTGGGCAAGCTGTCGAGAAAAGGAACATGACCAGTTGCGCGCAGGCGAGGCGCAGGCTGTTTCGTTCTTGGAAGGCCTCCTTGAACTTGACCCTGCGAAGCGATTGAGCGCAAAAGAAGCCCTACAGCACGAGTTCTTCACGGCACCTGTCGAGGACGAAGAAGAGCGCGCAGAGCGTGAGGCCCAAGATGCTCTCGAAGAACAGCAGAGACTAAGGCGTCGTTGACCGCGTTGTCACAGCAATTTAAGGTGTTTGAGGAATTCATGACAGCGAGTGGAACTGTATTATTAGCATGCTATATACCCCTGGGGCATCGGACGGCAGGGCATTGCATGGTGAGGCCTGTGTGTTTGAGGGTGTTTTGTTTTGACGAGATGAAAAAATGTCCTCGATCCGAATAGAGCGCCATTTAATACGATTAAAGAATGCACTCTCCGCTTTCAGAGTCCAGTAGACACTACATGATCCATTGTGATGTTGAAGGCACTGAGAACTGTTGTTCTCGCACTCCTTTTGATGAAATGTCACTAACGAACCACATCAGAAGCCGGTCGTTGATGTCATGACCAACACGAAGCAAATACGAGCACAAAACTCAAAAGTGGATCTAGACGCGCTGATAACAGCGACACCGGCATCGTCGACAGTTTCCAACCTACAGAGAAGCTGCTCAAGTTTTCTAGACTTCCAGATCCAAGGTTGCACGCTACCCAGCACATCTCGAGAGTCTGTCGGACTAGGCTTCTGAGGCTTGGGCAGTGACGGAAATCTCTCAAACCGTCGAGAACATCAAGAATCACATCAAGTCGCCAGCTCCGTTGATCAGATCCGCCGTGCAAAGGGTCTTTTGACGTTCTCACCGAGGACTAACAAGTGCTGAGAGCTGAGAGCCCGGGCCTATCGTGTATTTGGGGGGTTGCACGCACGGACAAAAGTCAATGTCAAAGTCTCGGTATCACGCAAAGCCAGTCACCTTTGATGCAAAGACACCCGAGACGTCTTCTCCTGCCGCTAGCAAAGACGTTCAGTACACCCAGAGCCATGTCGACGGCGCCGCCACTGGGTTCAAAGCCAAAGCGCCCGCCTAAGCGGTTCGCGCCACTTGATCCGACAGCACAGCATGACGAGACTCTCCCGAAGCTCAAGGGTATCGTATTCGATGTGGATGGGACGTTATGGTGAGTTTACGCAAATCTCAATCCGACCACTTGCCTACCTACCTACCCACCCATCTACCTACCTACCTACCTACCCACGTATACCCTTGCCTAGCACGGAGGCAGTTTGTTGGTCGGTGCGAAGCTTCGTATGTATATGGGCCGACGGCGTCTAATGGTGACCGGTGGTACGGACAGTCTCCCTCAGAACTACATGTTTCGCGAGATGCGGTCTGCCTTGGGCATCCCGAAATCCGTCGACATAATTGACCATCTACGCTCTTTGTCCAACGAGCCCGACGGGGAGCATCCCGCAGCCGAACCGCCGCATGCACCCCTTGACCCGACGCAACCGCCTTCTGAGGAAATGCTCTCCCCGACCAGCGACACCGACCCGGACCCGGCGCCGTCATCGCCCCAGTCACGCGCGGTAGGTATGATCAAGGCCATCGAGCGTCGGGCCATGACCTCCCAGCGCCCTCAGCCTGGGTTGCAGGAGTTGATGGCTTACCTTACGAGCCGCCGTGTGCCCAAGGCGTTGTGTACGAGAAACTTCCCGGCCCCGGTGCACCATCTTCTCAGCAATTTTCTGCCGGACGAGAAGTTCCATCCCATCATAACGCGGGAGACGAAGGGAGTCCAGCCGAAACCTAGTCCAGAGGGACTGTGGACGATCGCGACGCAGTGGGGACTTGATAAGGATGTTGATGACCGCGTGTTGGACAGTATCACGGTTCGGAGTGGTCCGGAGGGCGAGATTGAGGTTGATCCGTTGGAGGTCACGAAGAGGGTGCTCGGGTCGGGCTTGATCATGGTGGGAGACAGCATGGACGACATGGCCAGTGGGTATAGAGCTGGTGCGGCGACTGTGTTGTTGCTCAACGATGAGAATCAGGAGTTGGGAAATCATGAATATACTGGGCTGTGTGTGAGGAGGCTGGATGAATTGATTGGTATTCTAGAAAGGGGTTTTGAGGAGAAGAGTTCGTCGTAAATACATCTCTGGACAGCCTACCTTTTCTCGCCCAGGAGATAACTGCTGGATGAAGAGTCAGTACATGAGTGATCCGCACCTATGGACGACGATTCTCTGCATCCCGAGACATCTGCATTGTTAGGTGATTCGCAGCATATTCCTCATGCTGTGATCCAGACGGGCTGCAGGTCATTAAACAAAAGGAGAGAGATTCACCCGCCGTCTTACGCAATGTGCATCCTGCCCTGACAGCACGCGGGATGAGGGAGTAATGAGTCCTTGGGGAAGCAATGCAGACCTGTGACAGGATTGCAGCGAGGCAACCTCCTACTCATACGTCCAATGATGTATGTCACAGCCACCAGCATTCTCGTGCATCGATATCAGAACCAAGAGCACAATATGTCGAGACACGGCGATGACACAAAACGATTCGCGGCCTCTGGGACGGTGCGCTGGCAAGGACGGTATCGAATGGGCGAATGAGATTGGCACAACAGGTGCTGAAACTTCTCGTCACCTTTTTGCCTGCACACCACTGCCGTCGCCCGTGCAACGGGAGCAGGGGTTGCTTTTCGCTTTCTCCCTGTCCGTTCTCCTCAGGCCGGGTGCCCACCGGGCACAAAGTTGAAAGGCAGCGGCTTGTGGAGACAGCGGATGGCGGCAAAGGCCCGTAGCTGGAAGCCATTCGTCCCGCCAACCGTGAAGCCGGATCTTTCTGTGATGGCACCTGTGGGCGGTGTTGATCGTGATTGTAGGATAATTTTGGACTTTCGTTGGGCACAGTATCGAGGCGGTCAACAAAGCATCAGCTTAGCTCGCTCGCTTTCGCACTTTTTCAAGCAGGACTCACATCAATGTTGGATAGTCGTTTGCAGATCGGGTCCAATCAGCGCTGTGCGACCTCGGATTTCACAGCAGCACCATTCAGAACCTGGCAGCAGATCTGTGCACAGTCGTACAGATAGGAATACCCGTAGCTTGTAGCGAAAAGCCCGTGCGTGTCTGGAGAAGGATAAAAAGCTGGAGAGAGCTTGGGCCGGTATACGACGCCTGTCTCATGATAACCATAATTCAAGGACGTGGCAGACATTGGCTAGGATTCTGCATAGTAGGATCCTGATGCTCCGTCCCAGTGAATGAGATGATGTGTTCGGAAATGGACCAGGATGGAGGCGTCAGCTGGAGGAGGCAGGCTGACCCTGGTGAGGCATGTTGAGCCTTTCACCCGCAGTTTCCTGGTAGGCGTGACGAGCTGTGTACAAGTTGACTGGCACCGGAACGCCGTCTAAGTTTAGCGGCACTTTCGTACCACTGCACCAATTGGCGCCTCTGAGCCTCGGGGTATGCAGCTGGTCGACAGAGCCTTAGAGAGCCTAGACAGCCTAGACAGCCTCTGCCCAATCGCCCAATAGGTACCTAGAAGTATCGTTAACCGTCGCTCACCAATTCCCGACCCCTACTCCTCTCCCCCTCCTGCTGCCGCGCTACATCTCACAATCCCAGCTGTCCGCAAACTCATCCACCTCCATATCTGTCGACTCGCTTTAGCTGTTCCCTTTACTTTTCCGAGCCAGTACTTGTCATGTGTTTGCTTGTCAGTTGAGTCTTTGATTTCTGGCCAAAGATACCCATGAGCGTTCATCAACTGCGGTCCTTGTCTTCCAATTAAACAAACGGTGACCATTTGTCTCAAGCAAAAGCCGTCCACAAATCTCCCAGCCTCACAAATCTTCCACGAACGGATCCTGATCCTGTCACCTGTCCGTCAGTTCTTGAGTGGAATCCTCCTTGCGATCGCAAACCCTATGTCGTGAACAACTCTGGTTCTTGTCACTTCGCAGACGTTCAATAACTCTGGTGGACATCCGTTATTTCCACTACCTGCGGCCTTTTGTTTACATTCGACGGAAAGCCTCGCACTAAGAAGTCCCTCTTTCACCGACAGTACCGGCAGTCATGCAACGCTGCAGCCTCACAGGAAAATAAATAACCGATCTGTACAAGTACGAGTGCATGCGCTACAAGTTCCGCGCATGTTCTCCATGAATCCTCTCTACCCGCGGTAGCTTCAGAATGGGCTTTACCAGTCGACGCCCAATTCTGCCTGCGCCTACCGACTCGGAATTAGGTCCGACTGACGACACTGGAATTGAAACCGACCTGGGTACTGATCTCTCACGGAGGACTGACAAGACATCCGATACCATCCCGGACGACGGTACACCCATTACGATCACGACCGCACCTAAGCATAAAGCCAAGGGCAAGCTTACGAAGACCCGACAACAATCCCAGACTTCTCTCCTTATTGAGTACTTTGAAGGGAACAAGGCATCCGAGTCTGGCCAAAGACGACCAAGTCTGCGGGTCCGATACACCCCGTCTCATTCCAGGAAGAACAAGGACAAGGGGGAAGGACACATCTTGGTCACCGAATCTAAATCAGCTCGGCGACCGTCACAGAGTCACCGTATCGTCCTGGGAGGCAACGACTCTCTTGCCGAGAATCCCATCACGAGCGACATAAGTTCACTGGATCCTGCCGACGATCTTGTCGCTGCCGCACCGGTTGAAGTCGAAGTATTGCAAAGCACCCCCAGCGAGCTTTCAGACAGAAGCCCTTCTCCGGAAGACAGGTACATTGAACCAGGATCAGACATCTCTTCTATGCCCGCTGAGAGCTCCCTCGGACCACATCAATCTATCAGCATGGTTCCATCAAAAGAGACCGGTAGTGGCGTTAAAGGTACTTCTTATGACGGGCCTATGCTGAAGCCACCCGTGATCCCGGCGGAACGCAATCTAAGTAACGAGCGAATCACTCAAAAGGTCATAGAGAAACTCAGCAACAAGCCTAGACCATCCACGAAACGACAACACAGCAGTCAAAGTGGAAGTCGCAGCAGCGTCAGCAGAGAGGCTGAAGAACCGATTCGCGAAGCTCGAATTCGTGTCACTAAGCCTGCCGAAGATCAATCCGCTCCGAGTGCCACAGGATCTAGTCTTGTTAGCGGCTCGCAGCTATCTGCAGACCATCGGTCCGCCGACCAACGTTCAGTACGCTCCGGTGCTTCGAACGTCTCCATCACGAATAACCCCAGACTATTGCAAGCAGTTGAAGATGCCATCAAACGCATGATACTACCCCAGCTTGATGAGATAAGAAGAGATCAGAAACACTCCCATCGCTCGGGTCATGATAAACTAAATACACCTTCAGACGTTTCTTCCAGTACTATTTCTCGAGACGACAGATCACGGCGTAAGTCGTCAGGGAGCAAATCAAAGCGACGTGAAAGTCGTGACTCGGAGTCTGGCTTGGCTGTAGGCTCTTCCCGCCGCCGTAGAAGTCACAAGGTTGAATACGACTCACCATCCGAGCAAAGCTACGACCAAACGGAGTCGCTTGATAGCAACAGCATACGCGAGGAGAAGAAATCCCGGAAACATCGAAGTCACCGCGCTCGAGACGTCGCCTCAGGAGCTCTTGGTGGAGCAGCCCTGACCGCGGCGGCTCTCAAATCTCATGATTCTGGTTCGAGTCTCGAGTATTCAGAGCACCGAAGACGGCGGAGAAGCAAGAGTCGCAGCAGTCGGAGTACCAGCATTGCAGAGAAGGAAGATGCCTTCCAAAAACACCACGTTCCTCCTATGCCATTTGTCAGTGATCTCGGGACCGACTTGACTCGAAGTTCCCTAAAGTCCTCGAATGATGGCAGATCTGAGACTCCAACCCGACGTGAGGTTCGGGAAGTAATACGTGGCTCCCCCCTCGAAGCCCCTTCACCAGGGTCGTTTACACCCACGCGAAACTCTTTTGACCTAAAGAGAGGACTTGGCACCCATCATGGCAATCTCTCAGAACATAATTTGTCGGGACCTGATATCTCATCCAGGAAGGAGACGCTCGACGAGGACGTAGCTGACCGTTCTGGGGAAGTGGACGATGTTGACTTTGCGACTCATGGCTTTGCTGCCCTAACTGATCCTGAGCGAGCGAGAGCATATGAGAGAAATCTGCATCAACAGCATCCGATCAGAAGGGGTCTAAGCCCTATACAGAGTGTTGCTAGCTATCAAACCACCGAGCCTAATCGCACATCCATCATGCACGCAAAGAGTTCTGAGTCTATCAACTCACTGAAAAAGACTTCTCAGATGGACGACCAAATATCCGTGTCCTCGATATCGTCGGCACCTAGTACTGATTTGGCTCGCTCTCGACGACCTCAAGGTATCAGTCTGGAGAACCGCAGTGAGATCATGGGACAACATCCGAGTTCATACGAAAGCACACCACGGCAAGCAGAGGTCGATGTTTTTGAAGAACAAAGTCGCGAAAACGAGAGTTACCGCGATGAGCCTTACATTGATAAGGTTACGGCTGGACAACAGGTTGGCCAAGTATCAGGCGCGACTGCAGAGTATGTAGAGTCTCCAACAGGCGTAGAATCTGCCGTGGCATCATTGATTGAGCCATCGGTTGTTGATTCTGCCAACCACTACTCACCGCGTCTGAGTCAAGCAGACTCTTACGGCGCGCAAGAAGATCAGAGCCCATATCACTCTCATCGAGGAAGTCCCCTGAAGCACCAAGTGTCACATCACAGCTTAGGCGAACGAAGTTTTCCCGGAGGTATGGACACAATGAATTCCCCTGCCCAGAGTCCTGCCCGCTCGATGGATCATTTCGACGCTGTTCCTGCTCAACCAGCCGTTCAATCAGCAAGAAATCCGCCTTTGGATCAATCCGAGCGGTCACCAGACTCAGACATCACAACCAATCCCTCGATCATTAGAGGCCCCATTGGTGGTATAGCCCAAGGTAGTACTGATCACTGGCCTTACGACCCGACACCGCCACGTTCACATGCAGAGCTGGTTCTCCCGCCAGTGAGCAGAGACATAGGCTCTGCTGGCACCGACCTGATTCCACAAGCGTTATCAATTAATCGTGGCTCCGACTTGGATCAGAAGGGTGACCTGTACTTGAAAGCACCACCACTAGCAACACCACCTGGAGGCAAGGATGAAGGCTATGAAACTGGTGCCAATGCTCCCTCACCTGGCCCGTATTCCAACAAGGAGAACTTCGCCGTCAATGCTCCTCTTGAGGACGACCCTTTTGCCACCGGTCGGGACAAATATGTCAGCGGCTTGTCTCACGGCCTTTCACCAATGTACGATAGTGCTTCTGGGCGCGGCCGCGACAACATCCAGTCAAAAGATATTGTCGCGCTCATGGACCATCTGACAGTGCGTGATGCCCAACGCAATGCTCGAGACACGGAAATTCTCGTGACATTAGTCCGGAGTGCAGCTGAAATGAGAAACTCGTTCGAGGACATGAAAAAATTCATAGCTGAACAGGACGGGATGATCATGGACACGGCTGATAGACAACATCAGCAGACACAAAAGATTATCAGTGGACCTCGGCCACAACCGGTGACGCCTCGCGCTGCCACCTCCGCAGCTTCGGAGGAGGAATTTCCCTCGAAACGGCGCAATGTCTTTCAACGAGCACTCCGTGGCCTCGGTGCTAAGAATACGCAAGAGCTACAAAATATCGAGAACATGCTGATACGACTCCTTGACGAGGTGGAAGGACTTCGAGCTATTCAGTCCACTACAGTCCCCCAAAACCAGCCCAGGTCTACGAGTTTAGCCTCAGCAGACAATGCCCAACCTCCAACTGATACTGGTTATGAACCAGAAGGACAGGCCGGTACATCGTCTACCGGAGACCGTTCTGGCTTCTTTTCCAACAACTCTTCTCGCCAAGCAGACTACCGGAATTATAGCATGCAACGAGATGCTTCGAATCGAATAAGTACAGTGATGGAAGGGGACGAGGAATATGATGATTACGGCAATGGTCTTGGTACAGCTACTGCTGGAAATGCTCAAGCCATGTCACAAGCAACCCCAACACGAGCTGATCCTGGTCGACAAGCCAGAGGCGGATCGGTACCTTTAAATACGCCGCCTCGGACGCATGTTCCACACATGGGCTCGTTGAGTAACGACAACACTCCTCAGCATTCCGCAAATGACGGCTCTAGCCGTAAGCACAAGACATTTTCGTCTTCTTTTATTCCCAAGATGGTCTCGAGGTGGTCCAAGACTACAGCCTCAACGGACAATTATCGAACAAGCAACCAACGAATCCGCCCATTCTCTGAAGTTTCTCGCTCTGGCTCAAACTTGGGAGAATACGAGTACGAAAATGATCCTCAAGGTGACGATCGAATTCGTTCTCAAGGCTCATTCCAACAAGAACACTATCAGGATGAAGAAAATCGTCCACGTTCTCCCCTGTTACCCAGCCAGGTGTCAGATAACCCTAAATACCAGGCACACCGGAACAGCATGAATCTTCAACACCCTCAACCTCGACAAGGTCCAACGGGACGGTATCAGTCTCGGTTAGAATCCGAGGCCCAGCTCTACAATGACGAATTCTCTCCAACCTCTCAGGCCTCTTTACATTGGGATAACCAACCTGGCTTGCGAAACCCAGATGGCGCCGCCGCCATGTACGGAGGTCATGTCAGCCCGAGCTCTGATTTGACCTACTCCAGAGATGCCGGCATACCCCACGACAACAGAAGCGCTGTGTCTTCTCAGGGTCCGCCGCGGCCACCGAAGATTCCAAACGATGAGCCTTTGGTGCCTCAACGCCCTCCCAAAGAGATGATGAGCCCTCCTCCTTCGAATCGACAACAGACTTATGTCGATCATGTAGCTGCTGCACGCGCAGGTAGTCCAGCATTTGACAAGGTATGTAGTGTTATTGGGGATCTCCAAGCAGAAAGTTGCTCTTTGCTGACTCTCAAACAGTCTCCTGTCGCAGCTTTGCGATCTCCCCAAAGTCAAGGACGCAAGCCCTCTGGACCTAGGCCACTTATGGCAGCAAGTGGCTCGAAGGGTGATATGAACACTGTCAAGAGAACTCGATTCAGGGGGAGTCCCAATCAGATCGACAGCGAGGATGAGGCAATGGCGGCGTATTGAGCCAAGTTGTGGTCCAGCCTTGGGTTGGAATTTTCAAGGTGCATTCGTGCCTACAACTGTACAGTTTGACTCAAGACATAATGATTTGATCCAACTCCTGGCGAGTGGACCAAGGCCGCAAGGCTGGAGATGATGATTTGATGTATGTAAGATGGAAGGGGCTTTTACATTAGGATCAAGCTTGAGTCGAGCTGGTCTAATTTTTCAAAAGCGGGTAAGTTGATTTGAATGTGGTAGAGAGATGGATCATGGCTCTCTCTCTCGCCTTTAGCAGCCAAAATACAAAAAGTAACAGCACTTCTCACTCGGATGGTGACGACAGGAATCTTTGAACTTGTTTTGAGCACGTACAATGCGGTGTTTTTGTGTCTGTGGCATCTGATGATGTCGATGGGACTTGGCAGAGAACAAAACGGTTGGGATTGCGTAGCACATGAATTTTTCTTTCGCGCGAACGGTCGATGAGGAAAACGAAAAGATAGCATTTTCGGCCTGACATTATGAGGTACAATTTTTAGAACTGAAGCTGGGAACTGAGGAACCTCAAGCAGTGTTCGTGGCAGACTGGAAGCCTCCCCTCGCAATCAACGCGATCCAATCCGGCACGGCCCTCAAGAGGGTGCCTCGCTCGAGATCCGCGGGGACGTAGACGCTCCCGCTCCTCCCCGAGAGCACCTGGGCGACGACGGCGGCGGCGACGTCCCGCGGCGTCAGCACGGGCTGCCTGGAGCGGTTGAGCTCCGACTCCCACGAGGCGATCAGCGGGGTGCGGGCCCACACGGGGTGCACGATCGAGGCCTGGATGCAGTGGCCGTTGTCGTAGCGGTGGGCGAGTTCCTGGACCAGCGACTCGTGGAGGGCCAGCACGGCGGCCTTGGTGGCTGAGTAGTCCGCCAGGTTGGCCACGCCCGTGTAGCTCGACATGCTGGCCAGGGTGACGACGTGGCCCTTGCGGCTGCGCAACATGACGGGGAGCACGAGCCGGAGCAGCGTAAAGTGCGAGAGCACGTTGATCTGGAAGATGCGCGAGAGGTAGCTGTCGGGCGTGTCGAGGATCGTGTGCGCCTGCGCGATCCCCGCGTTGTTGATCAGCACCGTCGGCGTAATCTTGTGCTCGTGCAGCAGGTTCGTGACGGTCGACGTGATCGATTCGGGGGATGACAGGTCGATTGTGTGGTGCGTCACTCGTGGGACTGGTTCGGGACGTAGGTGATACAATGCACAGGTCAGCGAACCGGCGCGGCGGGGGGGGAAGGAGGAGGTAGCCGTTATCATAATCTCCCAAGGCATATAGTAGGTAGGTATCCTTTCATTTTGTGTACACGTGACAACACAGTGTACTCTGTATGGCGAGGGGTGATATGGATACTGTACCACGGATATCCCGTACAAAGGTGATGGGTAGGGGGTTTATGGACAGTGTGGAAGGTGTGGGTCAGGGTGATTGGTGAGAGAGTGATATGTGATGGAACGTCCTCCGTGGTACGGATGGATCAAGGTAGAGAAGGTAGATGATAGGTAAGGTAGCAGGGACTCACGCTTCTCGAGGTCATCAGGCAATTCCTGAATATCCAATACGACAATGTTGGCCTTCGTCTGCGCGGCAAACATCTTGACCATTTCCCTGCCAAACCCAGAACAACCGCCCGTGATGACGATGGTTTCGGCACCTTCGCCTTCGGTGTCGAAGGACCATGGGACGCCTTGTTTCTTGACGTGCCAGTAGTTCAGCGCCAAGCGGTTCAGGAACCTGTTGAGATGGATGACCACGCCGATCCCGAAGAGGACTCTGAGCGCTCTGAGAGGCGGGTCGGCACGGAGAGTGATGCTGTTGGTGGTGGTGAAGGGAATGCGGAAGGGTAAGGGGAGTGTTGATCTGGCGGGGGGCCATGGGATCTTGGATAAGACGGTCGGGTTGAGACTGGCGTATAAGAGAAGAGGGCCTGTGATGAGTGGTGAGAGGAGAGATTGTTTGACGGCGGTGAGACTGAGGGGTGAGCTGTGCGAGGAGGATTGAGATGACATTTTTCGTTGGTGAAGAGAAGAGAGGATACGCTGGTACGGGAGTGTGTGTCGGTGTCGTCAAGGTGTGTACATGGAGTTTGATCGCGAAAAGTGAAAGAAGGTGTGTCTCGAGTGGTGAGACTTGAGAGTAGAGAGTAGCTTGGAGACAATCTCAGATGTAAAGCACCTCGGCAAAGGAAGACGAGACATGAGGTTGCTGAATTGCTCCTTGGACGCCTGATATACGGGACACACACAATACAATAATATAAGCAACGACGTCAACTAAGGTGCTTCAATTGAGCAATGGCCGATGATGGTCTTTTACTGGACATTCAAAGCATGTAGTGACCGAAGTTCAAGGGTAAAGGCGAGACCTCAATATTAAGAGATCTACCAGAGCCACAGGCAAACCCGCCTAAAGGGATTAAGGCACCCCCATAAGGACCGCCCCAAACCCCTCCAAGCACCCTCTCTATCATTCATTATAGTGTCGACTGTGTGAGGACCATGGAGTAGCCCTCCCTAAAGTACGGAGTATGTAGATACCTAGGTACATATCATTTTGGGTCTCGCTAGTGTTGATGAAGAGGCGTATGCACTTGATTAGTCGTCATCCAACCCCGCGAAATCTCCGCAGTCTAGTGAGATTTCGGCCGACTTGCCAAAACGTCCCGGCACTCAGGGTGCGAGTGAGCAACAGCCTCGCCATGTACGCATCGTTGTCAGCACAAGATGTTGTAGCACGAATCCCAAACCCTCGGCAATGGCTGGTGTCGAAGAGTTGAATCCGCAACTGGAACCACGACGGGCATGCCACGAATGTAACCGAAAGAAGACAAAATGTGACATGAGGCGGCCAGCATGTGGTCTCTGTCTGAGGACGGGCAATGCCTGCAACTTTCCCTCGAAGAGAAAGAAGCCGGTTCCTCGAAAACCTCTGATGAAAGCTCAGACCCGAAAGATTACCGAAAGCTTGTCCAAATTGTTGGCAGTCTTAGAAAAGGCGTCACGATCAGACGGGGAAAGTGAGGTCTCGCAAAACACCCCGGAGGTCTCTTCGGCATTGGTCAAAGACTCTCTCAAGGACCTTCTCGTCGAAATCAAATCGCCGGAGGAACGATCGAGCTTGCCAAAGGCAGCCACCTCTGGGAGCGCCGAAGGAGATGATGACGACATTGAAGACGAGAGCATCGGGACTGATGAGGCTGACCTGTCCCAGACAGACCCTGATACCTCAAAAGCAGAATCGGTGGTCTCAAGCACGACCCCTGACACCGGAAATGGACTCTCATCTTCACTGGCCGCGGATCTAGTCAATCTGTTCTTCGAAAAGGTCCAGCCGTGGCTCCCACTCTTGCACCGGCCACGATTCCAAGCACGCTATAAAAGTAAATTCCTTGTAGGCGGGGATTTCATGAAAGGCCTCTCCCAGGACGAACGACTCCTATTCTACAGCATGTTTGCCATGTCGGCCCGATTTACGAAACATCATCGATTCGATGCTATCCTTCCTGAAAACCGAGGACAGATGTTCGCGGAGCGAGCCAAAGATGTCTACATCCACAGTCGTAATCTGAGGACTCCCTCGCTCATGTATCTGCAAGGCTGCATCCTCCTTGCGTTCTACTTCTACACCTCCGGGCCAACCCACCAGGGATGGCTGCTGATTGGAGTGTGCGTCCGGATGGCATACGACCTTGGCTTATTCGAGATCGACGACGAGGATTCGACACCAGTACGTCCTGTCGATCACGTGGAGAAAGAGGAACTCAGAAGAGCCTGGTGGTTGGTATGGGAGCTGGACGCTTTTGCTTCAACGGTCTCCCGAAAACCTTACGCGATCGATCGCAAGAGAATGTCGGTAACGCTGCCAATCTCGGATGAAGCCTGGTTTTCCGAGATCGATGTGCCGTCTGCAGAGCTCAACTTCCTTCCAGGCCAATCTTGGAGATCTCTCCACGGCTGTCCAAATCAAGACGAACGGGCGTGGTTCCTAGTAGCAAACAGTTTCATGGCAACTATCCATGACAGGCTGCAGCAAAAGCAAGAGATCACCCCAGACGAGAAGTTGACGTTGGAGAATGAAGTCTGTTGTTTCAAGCTGGCACTGCCTCGTTCACTCCGGTTGGATGCCGACACGTTAACGTTCAATTCACTATCCTTCTCGAGGTGCAATTGGGTCATCGGTACCCATCTCATGCTCATGACTACATCTTTTATGGTTGCCGGCATTATGACCAGCGACAACGATGACCGAAGCACCGCAGGTGCCATGTCGCCTCTGCGCCAACGCGCAATTGATTTGTCACGAATTATCAGTCTCTGGGACGCCAGATATATTGTAGTCGCCCACCCTTTCCTGGCATGTATGATGCTGTCCCCCTACGCGATAGATGACAGTGCCTGTAAATCACAAACATTGGTCTCCTCGACACATGACCTGGCGAAATTGGTAATCGGGCACTTTGGAGAACGATGGAAGCTTGGCTCTGTCGTCCTAGGTAAGTTCCACCATATGTCGTCTCATCTTCGGACGCCGGACGCTGACAAAGATTCTTACATAGAAATTGCCAAGATGCTCGAGCAAGGGGGACCACGCAACGACGAGGAAAAGCAGTTCGTCAAACAATATGCGGTATTCTTCCGCATCCCTCGACTCCGTGGCAATACCCCGGCATTCCTCCAGTCCGACCGTGGCCAGTCCGACAAGCCGGCCTCGATCGTCGGCGATGAGATGGTGCAAGGGGGCAACCCTGAAATCCAGCAGCAACGACTCCAAGCTCTGCCACCTTGCTCCTCCATCGATATGTCCAACCAGCCGGATACACCACAGTATGAAGCCTCAATGTTTGACCCGCAGAACTTTCCACAACTACCAGCCAATGCTTACGATCCAATCAACGAGGTGGACCTGGGCTTTTCCGATTTTTTCGGTGGCTTGCAGGATACAGATCTTGCCTGGCTGAAGTGAGCGAATTTTCCATCTAGATTACGGGAAGATTGACAATCCACGAAGCCGACAGGGAACAATTTTCGGGGCCAGTGAGCCTCGGTGCCCCTACGTTGAACAGTAGTAAATCAGGCGCGTGTTGACACGTGACCTAAACTTATCACGGCGCACCGTGTTTCACCGACCCCAGATCCGCACAACTGTATTGTATCACAGTATCAGCAAAGCCCCCCCCAGGCCACGTCGCCTTGTCCCTCGGCTTCCCCGCAAGATGTTCGCGGGACTCGACGGTGCTGCAAAACGCCGCCTCATGAACGACCCCATGACGTTCCAGAATCAGCCACGTCTACCCACCACCTACCAGTCAGTATATGATGAAGTGATCCCATGGTGCTCTCACCAGGATCCTCGAGTGTCCATATGCTCTCTGCCCGTGAACACAACCGAGTCAGTCAGCGCAACTTAATCATTGAGAAGGCCACAATGTCGACGAGCAAAGTTCGAGTGATCCGACTCGCCCACGTCGTCTATCAACATCCAGATCTCGACCGAGCGCTCAAGTTCCTATTCGACTTTGGATTGGTGGAGGAGCACCGGACAGATACTCGCGTGTATCTGCGCGGCTACGGCGTGCAACCTTTCATCTATGTCGCCGAAAAGTCTCCCGACTCGAAGAGACATTTCCTAGGCGGCTTCTGGGCTGTGGAGAGCGAAGAGGAATTTAAGAAGGCGGCGTCGAAACCAAACGCTTCATCTGTCCAGAACATCGATGGTCCCGGTGGAGGCAAATTCGTCACCATCGACGACCCCCATGGCTTCAAAGTCGGCTTTGTGTACGGCCAGAAACTGAGAAAGGCCGATCGGCCACCACCTCTGGAGAAGACGGAGCCTGTGTTCAACGGCGCAGAAGAGAAACCTAGACTGGGAGCCTGGCGTAGATTCCAGCGTGGTGCCAGCCCGGTCCACAAACTAGGACATTACGGCTTCATGGTCCCCGCAAGCACCTTCGAAAGCTCAAGGGACTGGTATACCGATCTTATGAACCTCAAGGCTTCAGACGCAGTCTTCGATCCAAGGACAGGAAAAGATGAGACTTGTTTCCTGCATATTGATCTTGGATCTGAATATACCGATCATCATGTAGGTTACAGCCAGCGATGCCAAGAGATGAGACAGAGCTTTCAAAGTTGACGAAAGGCTAACTAACACGTACGTTTAAACGCATTTTGCAGAGCATATTCTTCGCCGCTGCTCCTGAAGAGGCACCTGCCCATGTCCATCATTCCAGTTACGAGGTAGACAATTTCGACACCGAGACCATTGGCCACGACTGGCTCAGAAGCAAAGGGTGGACAAATTGTTGGGGCATTGGTCGCCATGTCCTAGGGAGTCAGATTTTTGACTATTGGTATGTTTTTAACTCTACACGCACGCTTCATCAACGGGGTGACATCCACACCGATTTTGAGACCCGCGTTCCTCCTGATCTCGAGGTTTTAGAAAAGAAAACATGCTGATCTTTGCCCTGGCTGGGATCGTTTACAGGTTCGACGGCTCAGGAAACATCGTCGAGCACTATTCCGATGGAGACCTGGTGAATGAGGACACCCTCATGACCAGAAATCCAGCTGCACCCGACACGCTACATGTCTGGGGCCCAAATATGTAAGTGATAACCTGCTACTATTATTAATAACTCCTACTACCTACCAGTCTTCCACCACCACCACAACCCCCTTTGCAACCTGGAAATATTTCTTCTAACGAGACTAATTTTGTTACGTTTCCAGCCCACTGGCATTCGCTACCGGTCGAATCGAGGATGCAGGCAAAGAGCTGCCCATGCCCCCAGACGTGTTGGAAGGGAGACCGGCGAAATTGCCCTTGCCCGTCGTGGCTTCTTGAAAACGCCCGGCGGGGTCTGTAACAAGCCAAATAGCACGATTTCACTATGTATCAAATCACAATTCACAATGAATGATGTATTTACGGTAATACTTGACTAAGTCACTTTAAATAGCAAGTAGATTCTCCCTAGAACTTACTACTCTTGCCCGTGCGTGGTCTTAAGAATACTGTATAATCATTATGAAACCTTGAGTCAGCCGAATGAACAATTCGCACATGAGAGTACATGCTACACGAGTAGGTTACTTAATCGGTGGTATATTTATATAATCATGCAGACGTTTCTTCCAACGAGTAATGTAGTGGACTTGTCACTAGTACTACTGCAGTTAAGTTCTAACATCAACAAAGAGACTAGACCAAACTGCGTAATTCCGCGGGTGCGGTTCTGTGTACGGTAGTCTTCAGAGGAGGATCTCCGCCCACATTAGTTACTACTGGTAGTAGTTGGCAGAATTGGATGAATTACAGACAGCCAGCCCTGTTTGAATCGATTCTACTAGATCTACCTCTATTAGAAGTCAGACCCGATCCTGGATCCAAATCAATTCTAGTTTACAGTACATACCCACTGTCTGCGGCCTACTACTACTAGTTATTCAAGCCCCCTGCTATAAGGCGACGAAGGAAGGCATTGCAATCCATCCTAGTACTTTGAAATCCGGGGGCTCCCCTGAACTCGGGAAGTCCAAGTTGTTTGACAAGACAGAAAACTCTTAGACGATTCGAGCAATTCGCCAACTTGAACTTGTCATTAAATGTCAATCGCAGCATAGAGAAAGCGAAAGTGCTCGTCGATGGCGTGACATTGCTTCTTCTTATGCATGGCTACTACTTATCATTTGCGCATCCAGGTCGCTCGCTAGGTGAACTGGGCCCCAGCATTCATTGGTGTCACTGCTCAAGAAAGACAACTTCAGAGTCTAGCCATCAAACAACAACAACTAGTAAGGACTAGTAACACTTCCTGACGGAAACTTGCATCACTCAACTAGTTAACTGTCCAGCCTGTTAGCCGAACATGACATGCCACAGCCACAAGAACTCCCAGAATCCTCCCGCTGAGAAAGAGTCTTCGAGCTCTGTTTGAAGCAACCACTCCAGGATATTGACGTAGTCCTGTAACGGTCGCTGCTCTCGCGATACTGCAAACTGCGTGCAGCAAGGCGTCCAGATTCTCCTCAAAGAGATGTCTTCATAGATCGTAGCCAGTTTACTTGACGCAGCAAGTTTCTCTAGACTAGGATCGTACAGCGGTGTTGAAGTGTTTGCAAAATTTTGTCGGGTTTTCAGGTGAGGATTTGGATCCAGAAGCTCTGTACATCCTGGACTCCAGTTGCAGCAAAGATTGACGTAGCCTTGTTGCTTGACATAGCTGGGTTGCCGATGCTATTGTGAATTGGATCCTCGACGTGCCATGCTTTAAGAATTCAGGAAAACCACCATTGATGGAATATAGTGGTCGTCGTCGTAATGGTCGATGATGTATGTCAAATATGTAATTGCTTCGTTGCCCTTGTTGGGTGACAACAATTTTTTCCCAATCAATTTGTTTATGACTTCTTCCTCAGAAGCGTACATAGACGACCAATCCCCATCAATGCTTTGATGAAGGATACTAGATCGCATGGGTCAGGCCTGTTTGGCTTGCGAGGGCAAGCAGGATTGTGTTGGTGACCAAAATGACGAGCAACTTTAACACTCGGTCGGAAGACATCAACCATTTCGTCGATCCCTGGTCAGCAATGAGCTCGCGAAAGGTTGCAGTTAGGTTCAGACGAACAAAGCCAATAATTCCTTATTGGCCTACGTCTTCGAAAGACTCTCCAAGGAGGCCTTCAAAGAATCTGTAGTTGAAGGCAGGCTGACCAAATTAACAGTCGGGACGATGATTCCATGTAATTATCGTATTGAATACATGGGTCGAGGGCGATTTATGTTTCTGGGAAGGACGCGGGAATCCATATATATAGGCCGGGTTCACTGCCCTCACGCTGCTGGCTAAATTTCCTCGTGGAAAAGTGGCAGACTTGGTGGCTGTGTGCCATCCAGTGGCTACTCTGAACGAGAGAATCCGACTGGGCTCAACTCTGGGACACAGAGGGTGCCGAAATAGATTTCAGATATTCCGTACGTTCGTCGAGAAAGCGCCATCCATGCAATAGGATGTGCATAGGCCTGATAAGGTGACTGTCCCATAAAATAGACATAGGCAGCAGTTGCTCTAGAAATACTCCACGCTTGTAGCACGGATTGTGGCTGCGCGCAGGTATTCGTCCCCACGGGACGCAGACGTCTTTCAAAGGTATGTATGTATGCCTACAGAGGCAAGGGGGAAGAGAACACCTGGCGACTGTCCGCAATTCCCATAATCTTCAGATGCGCCATGCAGAGTGGCCATAACAGAACGACAGCTTTCGCGTAGGTCTTGACCAAGTCCTTCGACTTAGCGCAGTACGAGGCAATGCTCAGGACCGCTTGCTTCGCCTATATAGGCATCGTGCAAATATTTAGCGATTGGTCTCTTTACCAAGGCTGAGATTGTGAAGCCTTCCTCAGCCCCTTAAGGGTGACATAAATAGGGCTGTGAGATAATTGGTTGAGGCCAACTCACTTGGGCATTGCCACGTACATTTCAGCCTCATCTGCCCAAATGACATCCGACAGAGAGATATGGCCCTCCAGACACTCTCACTCCTCTTGCTGAGCTTATCCAGCCATCCTCTCGCTGCGTCCTAACACGAGATGCGCCTGCGCGCACCTCTAGAATCACGGTCGCTGTCAACCACGAATCGTCTTCGAAGGACTGCTTCCAGAAGCCTCCCGATAGCTTCGCAACAATGCGTCTCCTGAAAATTTTGCCCAACAGAGACTTCTGCCTGACCGAAAGGCTACCCGACAACGCGATCCTTCAGTATGCTATTCTCTCACACACATGGGGAGATGAGGGTCAGGAGGTCACGTTTGAAGATATGGACAAAGGCTCCGGGCGAGACAAGGCTGGATATGAGAAGCTTCGCTTCTGTGGAGAACAGGCCAGACTGGATGGCTTGGAATACTTCTGGGTGGACACCTGTTGTATCAACAAGAAAGACATGGCCGAGCTTTCGCACGCTATCAGATCTATGTTTCGCTGGTACCGTAACGCAGCTCGATGCTATGTCTATCTATCAGATGTTTCAACAAACAAGAGGAGACGAGGAGACAGGGGCACAAGGGAGACATGGGAACACGCCTTTCGGGAAAGCAAATGGTTCACTCGCGGCTGGACTCTTCAAGAACTTCTCGCCCCAAGCTCGGTAGAATTCTTCTCACAGCAACGCAAGCGACTTGGCGATAAAAAATCTATGGCACAACAGATTCATGAGATAACGGGTATTCCTAAGTCAGCGTTTCAAGGGGCCCCTTTAACTCGGTTCAAACGAAAAGAGCGATTTTCGTGGATGAACCATCGCCAGACCAAGCTCGAAGAAGACAAAGCGTATTCTCTACTCGGAGTTTTCGACGTTGACATGCACCTTCGTTACGGCGAAGGGATAGCGAGTGCATTTAAACGGCTTGATGAGGAGATCGACAAAGTAGAGAAATGCATCCAAGAGTTACGCCCTACCGATCCCCATGACGATAAGAAGCGAATTGAGGACACCAAGGGTGGCTTGCTCGAGGATTCATTCGTACCGCTGGGTCCTGGAGAACTCCGAGTTTAAACAGTGGCATAGTGACCCGCAGAGCACATTTCTATGGATCAAGGGCGGGCCCGGCAAAGGCAAGACGATGCTTCTCTGCGGCATCATCAACGAGATGAGCAAGTCGATAGTCAACAAGGCCATCCTGTCCTACTTCTTCTGCCAAGCTACTGATTCGCGGGTCAACAACGCTGTTGCTGTGCTACGAGGTCTAATATATATGCTTGTCTGTCAGCGGCCGTCGCTCATCTCGCATGTCCAAGAGAAATACAAGCACGCAGGCAAAGACCTCTTTCAGGACCAAAATGCTTGGATAGCTTTGTCCGAGATTTTCACCAATTTGCTACAGGACCCGAGCTTGGACAACACCTATCTAATCATCGATGCGCTCGACGAATGCGTGGAAGGTTTACCTAAATTGTTAGGCTTAATCGCGCATATGTCTTCTGCATCCCGTGTCAAGTGGATCGTCTCTAGTCGAAACTGGCCAAGTATCGACAAGGATCTCGATCCTGCGACGCTCAAAGTGAGACTCTGTCTTGAACTCAATGAAAAATCCGTCTCCGCTGCTGTTACAACATACATCCACTTCAAGGTGGACTGGCTCGCGAAACGACACCGGTACGACAGCGACACACGGGACGCTGTCCTGCGTCACTTATCGCTGAATGCAAACGGCACGTTTCTTTGGGTGGCCTTGGTCTGTCAAGAGCTCGCTGATATCTCAGAGTGGGATGATGCTGAAGAAATGTCCAAGGCATTTCCGCCGGGGCTCAATCCCTTGTATACGCGTATGCTGGACCAGATTGGAACTTCAAAATATGCCAAACTCTGCAAAAGTATACTTGCCGTCGTCTCTACCGTGCGCCGGCCTATCACGCTAGATGAATTGAAATCTTTTGTCGATATGCCTGCTCGACGTTCTGGAAATTCCAGCGCTCTAGCGGAGATTATAGAGCTTTGTGGCTCTTTTCTGACGCTCCAAGAACGTACTATCTTCTTCGTTCATCAGTCAGCGAAGGATTTTTTAGTCAAAGAGCGATACAATGATATTTATCCTTCTGGAAGAGAACATATACATCAGTCTATCTTCTGGCGATCTCTACAACTCATGCTGGATAAGCTGAAACGCGACGTCTACGGCTTAGGTGAGCTCGGAATTTCCATCGATCAAGTCAAGCAACCTGACCCAGACCCGCTATCACCAGCGCGGTACTCGTGTGTCTATTGGATCGACCACCTGCTCTGCTGTGATCACGCAAGCAACGACCTCCGAGATGGTGGATCCGTCGACAAGTTTCTGCGTCAAAAGTTTCTCTACTGGCTCGAGGCTCTTAGCCTTTGCAGAAGCATGTCCAATGGGATAGTTTCCATGGCGAAGCTCGAGACTCTCATTCAGGTAATCCTTGGACTAGCTATGCCATGTACATAAACTACATACTGATATATTCTAGGGAAGAGCAGATGCGCCCGCGTTAATCGAACTAGTTCGAGATGCGCATCGATTTATTATGTCTCATAAGTGCGCGATAGAGAATAGTCCTCTTCAGGCATATGCGTCCGCGCTCGTGTTCAGTCCGACTCGTAGCCTGATTAGGGTTCTTTTCAAAAAGGAAGAACCAATGGGGTTCAAGATAAAGCCGACTTTGAGAGATGACTGGGGTGCATGTCTGCAGACGCTCCAAGGTCATCGTGGTTCTGTCATATCAGTCGCCTTCTCTCATGACTCGACACGACTCGCGTCAGCATCGTACGATAGTACAGTCAAGATCTGGGATGCAACCAGTGGCAACTGCCAGAAGACCCTTCAGGGGCATATAGACTGGATCATATCAGTAACCTTCTCCCATGATTCAACACGAGTGGCGTCAGCCTCGAACGATAGAATGGTTAAGATATGGGATATAAGC